GGGCTTCATGGGGATCTCAAAACGTTCTAATGAGACTCATCTCCTAGTGATGTCAGCTATCGTTTAAGGAAAGGGATCAAGAGTTGAACTGGGGCGCCTGGCCTATCAGTTAATTGTCATTATGTTTTTACTGATGTTTAATGTACTGAGATCATGGAGTCTCCTAGCATAACAAGGGAGTCCTCATCGAATTTCGCTAGGATCGTCGCCCAGGCGAGGCCTTGAGCGAGGATGTAGATCGTGTCAACTAGGCGGACAACGTTAGACATGCCGATCTTACGGGACTTTGTGTTATCCGTGTCCAAATGATGAACACAGCTGCTGGTACCTCTTACGTTGTCACTGACATCTCTATATGTCGCACGACGATAAAGAAAACATATTTCGGTTTATTCATTGCTCCTTTTACCCCTTGATAGAAGAATCACTGCCATTGAACGGCTCGGACGACTTCGGTCTAGTTGAAATCGGTACGCAAGTATTCTTGACCACAAACACAACATTCTTGAACCGGACCGCGAGCCCAAGGGGTCGATATTCGCTTCTGCGTGACCCAGGTTCAAGCCGATTCTAGATTACCAGAGCCAATACCGCGGCACTTTGTAGCGCCGGGACTCGACTGAGCTCACGTCTTGGGAGTTTTCTGTTCCCACTTTGGAGTTCAAGCCACCTGGAAGATAACTTATTCCTACAAGGATCCTTCAGAGGCAATAGTCAAGTGCCAGCCAGATTGTTGCCAGTCTTGAACACGCCATTGTTTATAAACAGGTAGATGAGCAGGGAAGCGACTGTAAGCGCCATATACACCCATAGACTGAAGCGTGACAGCAAGACCGAGTTTCGTACTCAATTTCCAAGTAACGACCCGAGACATTTGTCCTGTTTACATCTTTGCGTGTAGGCGAGTCTAGTACATGGAGGATGACGTCGTGGACGTTGCCATGCCGCTGGATATCATGTTGATAGTCAGTTGGAATGCCGTGCCGGCTTTCGAAGTGGTTGAGCAGTCAAATTCGTAGAATACGAGGACATCGACTAAATATCTTGTCTTGGCTGTATCATCATGATGAGGTTCATGACGATAATGCAAAGTGTAAAGGCCATCTGCTCGTTCCAAACTTGGCGATTTCAGTTCGAAGGGGATCAATTTTTGACAGGTGCTCCTATGAATATCTCGTGTCCTCTACGAGAACTAATCATCATGAGATAAAATGGGTTGTTCATCTTCACCACCAAATAATCTTGTGAATGTCACTTCATTGAATCCCAAGGTTTTTAGCAGTCCGAAAGGTGATCAGGTCGGTCGATTTATAACTAAAACAGAATCATTATATTTCAGTATTCTTCAGGCCCATCGTCACTTCCTTCCGCAAATTCTCGCATGCCAAAACTTGCTACTTATGTACAGGTTGTCTCCCTATGCAATATCCACACAGCTTCTCCAGCCTTATCTCCAACCCAGGACGCAAGGTACACCCCGAATTCACTACTGTGAAGCGGTTTTCCACCGCGATGAATCGATAGTCGCGCACCGTCTGGAACAATATGTTATTCATCTGAAATAACGCCAACTGCCACTCGATACGGATCCGAGGATCGTTAGAGAAAGATGCATTGACGTAGGGAGACAACTGATCACCGGCCAGGCGATACCAGCGAGTAGGGTCCACGTCATCTACATCGTCTCCCCAAATGGTTGGATTCAACAAAACGATCGAAGGCCAAGCATCGATCTTGGTGCCTTGGGGGATGTGCATTCCCTCAATGTCAAGATCGAAGTGGGCTTGTTGGTGGTATCATACCCCACCACCATTCTGGTAACCAAATTGGCGGGGCGCCACACATAAATCCTTTAACTTCTACAATATTCATGTAGTATTTAGATAGGAAAATAGCTGAATTCAAGATTTTTTATTGATACTAAGTTTTAGAGGCATTACGTAGCCAGCATCGGAAAATTCCTAGTGCAGTAAGCGGTGAAATGTTGATTTCTGATACTATGGGTAATGTAGCCTAGCCGTCAACATTCCACGCGATAGTTATGGCGACGGGCAAATAGTATTTAATATATTAAACGTCGCGGACAATAGTTTATCGCAGTGAAATCAGCTTAGAAGTATGGAGTGCATCAGCAGCGATTATCAGCCAGCCTTGACGGAATAGAGCCTTACGTAACTCATCTTGATGGCCTAGGGGAGCTGTATAGTCAACTAGATTATCGAGTAAGAATACTAGGCTATACCCTAACGCATAGCTATGTGTGGTCCGTCATTTCTACCCTAATAGCCCAATAGGGGGATACTGAAGAGCTAGGGAAGGTTAGATAGCTATATTTATTAACCGCTATAAAGAGATCAAGACGAAGATATGGTGTAATAAGTAAGATATTAAAAATGAGGCTAGTGGTGGGGTGTGACACATGCTCGAGGAAAGCAAGTTAGCCGAAGTATCGTGGCCGCGGCCATGAATTCCAGGAGATGAACCAATATCTCCTTTTCGCCAATACCCTCTGCTGTGTCACCCGGCATGCACTCCTCGACAATGAAGGTGACCAACTCCCGCGAGTTTTTGCTTTCGTATTTTCCGGTAGCCACTACGGTGGAACGTTGACGGTAAGGGTCCCGAATCTCAGAGTGACGAGGGTGTCATCGAGCCAGTCCATGGCTAAGAGGAATTCCTGGTTGGCTTCAAGCGGTAGCCAGCGGGTTGGGACGCAGCCTTACGTGAAAGGAAATAGTCTCCGGATAGGATCCGGCGCTAAGAATATATCGTAGGCTTCGTAGAAATTGTTCTCTTTGTTACAGCCACCGGATTGCGCCGTTTCTTCCTCGCCAGGCTTCATAATCACCGCGCACTCCAAGTATGGTCGAACTCGTGATATTGAGAATCGCCTTGGAAAAAGTGACTATACAGTCGATGACTTCAGTTATTCTATAGTTGTCCGCGATGGAGTCCTTGAATACCGATAGAGGTCCTTAGTCTTGTCTTTGAACACGGGCAGGGGAGTTTCCCTGCACTTTCTGGAGAACTTGATGCTCCAACCCCTCCACAACCATAAGACTACGTCCGGCAACTCCTTCAAAAATGCACAGAAACACTTCGATTTTTTAATTAAAAACACTGCATCTGCAACAGCTCCTTGTGGGCGCCTAGGCTGTTGGGAACTAGTACCTCAGTATTGGCGATACTAAGTTACCTGATGAAAGGTGCCTCTGGATACTGTCTCATCCACTTGATGTATAGAACCGTTGGCATCTCCGCTTTTAGATTCTGACTAAAGAAGAAATAAGTAAGGGTTGAGGCTTCTAAGACGTCGTGCTCCCTAATTGTAGAACCTGGGACATGGCGAATTGGTGAGGTATTTGCAATGTAGGAATATGCGGTAGTACTTCAGAGCCAAATATTAGACCAAGAATAGAGCCCAAAGAGCCTGAGTAACGGAGCTACCAGAGAAGAATAATTCTGAACCCCGAAGATCGTTGATCAGAAATAACCCAAGTATTGAGCCTGCCGTATGTCTAAATCCTTTTCGCTATGTAACGGCGATGTGCCAAGTACTGAGAAATGGCGTAGAATAATTGAGAAACACTCGGGGCGATCCATTCGGGAAATATTTTCACCAGGATCTAGCAGTTGGCATACACATTGGTCATGCACAAGGTGGGGGCTGCCGCCATTTGTCTGTCAAGGTCGGTGGTGATATCATAGGACGACCTATGCTGACTGGAGACTCGCTTACCCCTGTTAACCTGTAATGCAACGCGAATCTTACACATCACTTTGTTGATCGCATCCCAGAGTCGTGGGTACTTACTCGTTTTAGCTGTTGCACTTCCGAGGAGTGGCAGATGCTGTGGGCATGGGCACGTGGTAAGGTTCTGTATGTTTCGACTTCCATGGGTTCCATATGTAAATGGATACTTAGAGTGCTATAGAAGAAGTTATTTCGGTGCTTGACGGTTTAAACATGGAGAGAAGCATTAGATCTATCTATCATATTGCCCAGTTGAAGGTCATCCCGGAAGAGGGTTTCCGAGACATCGTGCGAGGTCTCTAGAGAATGAAGGAACTCGAGACTATTCCAACAACTAGAGGTAGGTCACGAAGTTGGCTGGACTCTTGCTTCAATAATGGAAGGTATTCCTTGAGACTGCTGGAGTGTCCTCTCAATTTACTCTTTTGTTTCTTGAATAATCGAGTTTCTTTTGACTTGCCTGAGATGTGTCAGATGCCCGTTTGTGGAAGCTGCAACAAGATACGGAGAATCCTTGTACGGAGTAAGAGTATACCTTCTAGCGCGAACTCCAAATAACAAAATCAGGACTCATAGGAATAAACATGGCCATTTTCATTAGGAAAAGCTTCGGGAGTTATTACAATCCTTATCTCATAAGATAATAGCTTGAATGGTGAATATCTTAGCCTTATGATTATGATCGTACTTATAATAGTTCTATCGAGTTTTTGACAACTTATGAGGAGAATTGCAGGTCATAAATGATGAGGAGGTTGTATTATGCTGAGACAAAGGTATAAATTTGGACTTGTATGCTAAAGCTTGTTACCTTCTAGCTATTTATCATGATAACAAGACTGTACTTGTGGGATCGTATTAGCACTGGCATTCCGACTACGTATGAAGGTGAAGGGATTACAGGTCTGGGGTATTTCAAGCCGCACAAGGACCCTAAAGTAACTCAGTTATACCTCACCATGACCTCAGGCCACCAATTCCACAGTATTGTTAAAATAATGTTCCGAACCAAAGTAACTCTCTCCCACATTATTCAATTTTGTGCGTTCGGCTTGATAGTCACTCTTTTGCGTCGAGGTAAACCTGAACGGCCGGCCTCATAGGTATATAGTCGGAAATCATACCAGTAATACTTTTTCCACATGGGGAGCTGGGTAGCGCCGCTGGAACTAACTAATTGCTGTGTGCTGATTGGCTCCCGACGCCATGGATGTTCCAAGGATACTAAAGCTGGCCAAAATGAATCACCACCACTGCCGACCTCGGTGCGTTTTATAGCTTTTAGTTTCCTCGTCCAGAACCGGATCTAGCAACTCGTCTACCGCCTACACCCTTAATGTAGCCCCCAATGGCAGCCGACCTTCAGCAAAAGCCCGCAGAGGCCGGCAAGAGCCAAAACTACAAAGGCTTTGTCGCCGGGGTGTTCTCGGGCGTCGCCAAGCTCTCGGGTACGTTTTCTTGTTTTTTTGCTTTGCTTCCCACATAAATCGTAGTAGGAGTCTAACTCGAAAAACAACATTGAAAGCTGATACTTTTGCTCAGTCGGCCACCCCTTCGACACGATCAAAGTCCGCCTCCAAACAACCGACTCCGCACGCTTCAACGGGCCCCTCCAATGCGTTGCGCAAACCATCCGCAATGAAGGTATCCGTGGCCTGTACAAGGGTGCCACCCCTCCTCTGGTGGGCTGGATGTTCATGGACAGCATCATGCTCGGGAGCTTGACCATGTACCGCCGTCTCCTCGCAGAGAACATCTTTGTCCGCTCACCACCGTCGGCGCGCCATCCGGACCTGGCCAGAAACGCAACCGCAGCCGCGCAGGCCGCGCATAGTATCGCGCACCTCCCCTCTTTCGGCCACGGCCTTGCGGGCATCATGGCTGGGGCCACGGTATCCTTCATCGCGGCGCCGGTGGAACACGTCAAGGCGCGGCTGCAGATCCAGTACTCTGCCAACAAGGCGGAAAGGCTGTACTCGGGACCGATAGACTGCGTGCGCAAGATCTACGGGGCCCACGGCGTGCGAGGAATCTACAAGGGCTTATTCGCTACGCTGATGTTTCGGTCTTTTTTCTTTTTCTGGTGGGGCTCGTACGATGTGTTCTCGAGGATATTGCGGGAGCGGACATCGCTCAGTGCTCCCAGTGTTAATTTCTGGGCGGGGGGATGCAGTGCGCAGATCTTTTGGTTGACGAGTTACCCGAGTGATGTGGTCAAGCAGAGGATCATGACTGATCCCATGGGTGGCAGGCTTGGAGACGGAACGCCCAAGTTTAAGACTTGGTCTGCGGCCGCCAAGGCGGTCTACAGGGAGTCTGGATGGAGGGGTTACTGGAGAGGATTTCTGCCATGTTTCCTACGTGCTTTTCCAGCGAATGCGATGGCGTTGATGGCATTTGAAGGAGTGATGAAAGCGTTACCTTAGATGGCGACGTAGATTATAGATATAGAGTGGACCAGTTGGGCCCATAAGAATCATAGACCCAGAACAATCGTCACAATTTCACGCTGCACAGCATAGACAAGGAGTGTCGTTGTTGGGTCCATTGCTGAACATGGCTTTATTAGAGTGCCGAACTTTTCCATACCCTACGCCATGTAGATCCTAGCACCCGATGATGCTATGCTATCCGGAGCCCCAACGCTGACGCACATTTATTCGTCATCATCGTCAGCCTCTTCGTTAACGACGTTGAAGAACTTGAGCTCGTATACTCCCTTGCTAGTGGAGACGACACGAAGCCAGTCACGGAGCTGCATCTTCTTGAGGAACTTCTTGGTCCTGCATCGCAACATTGATCAGTCACTGCTGGGCGACACAGAGTAAGGGTGGATTCGAACATACAGGTACTTGAGGTAGCGACCAGACAGTTCATTGTGAGCGATGATCTCGATCTTGCCCTCGCCCGCCTGCTGGATGACAATGGTGTCGCCGAGGTTGCCCACACGGCCATCGACCTTAATTCGGTCCTGGAGGAACTTCTCGAAGGCGGCGGTATCGAAGATTTTGTCGCTGGCGGGCTGCTGGGCGTTGATAACGAACTTCTTGGTAATCTTGGCCTGCTTGCCCTTGGGGCCGGTCTTCTTCTGCAACACAAAAATATGACTTTAGCCTACTGTTTCACGCCATCATCCTGCAAGGAGGATAGGCCAACAGCAAAGCGGTGTCATTGAACATACTGTCTGGGGAGCCATTGCTTCTGATTTTTCTTCGGAAGGACGCAAAGAGATTAAATCCTACGCCTGTTTGGTGGTGGTCGTTGGCCGGCTTGTGGTTGCTTTCCTTGTCGAGATAATCAAGAAAAAAAACCAGTCGCAAGCGCCAAAACTCACGAACTTTTTGGTGTAGCGGAAAACCCCGGTCGAGCCACCCCGCTTAGCCCTTGGACCAGGGCTTGACCAAAGCTCGGGGCATATGTTGATCTGATCTGCCTTTGTTCTGATTTGAGGTACCCTGGAGCCACTTTGACCAAGCCTCGTGTTGATTTGATGCAGTTTCGCATTCGCATTTCTTGGTCAACTTTTTGTAACACCAAATTCGAATGATGATGTGCAGGGTATGACATAGGCCCCTACCTGCATGGCCGCATCTGAACCGTGGGACCACGCGACTCGACTTGTCAACCGACTATGATTCCCACGATACCAGCCTTCAATGAGCTCGTTGGTACCTGTAAGAACGCACAGCTAGCTCCTGGGTCACCACTGCCGTCACGTCCGTGCATCTTGCCTCCCGGCCGCAAAATCGCATCGTCATCACTCGGTTCACCAATGAAATCCAGCAGCATTGGCAATTGTATACCTTCGTTGTATGACGTACCTGCATATGCGTATTTCGTTTACAAACAGCCGGCACTATCCTCTTGCAAGTTTAATCTCTCTATCACACTCCAGACTGAGACCAGAATATCGAAGTTCTCTAGATACTGACTTCTAGTTGTATAGGCTCACAAATGCTGTCACAGCCAACGAAAGTACGCAGTATTGACCCTGTACGCTATCCATATAATATGACGTAAGATAGCTTTCCATGCAGCAACCTTCTGGTGTCGGCAAGCCAAGGCTTGTTTATCAATCGCTAGACGGTAGAGTCCAGACATAAAAATATACAAACATTGTCATTTCTACAATAATGAGACACGATGATCTGAAAAACTCTTGGTATCGTCCCATAAGCACATGCACTTGATGATGAGGCCATATTGCCCCACCTTCACGCAGCAGCGCGAACAAATGCCTCGGTTTGCACCCCTGGCTAGAGCTCCTTTACTAGGGTAGGTTTCGACATCAAGTCAATAGCCCAAAACCTTCATCCACATCGAAGACGTACTACGGTATCAGGCCAAAGTTTTCACCCCCTTGACAAGTACCAGTGGACCACTGTCAAGGTAACGCTATACTGATTCTTGCCTAGCCTACTCATGGTAACGAAAAGGTACTTCCACCTCTGATTCCAACTTGCTGTTAACGCGTCCTGATTATCGCGTATTCAGCAACTACCATGGGGACTAAACACCTTACAGAAGCGGATCGCCAACGAATTCGAACCCTATATTTCGACGGTGGTAAATCGAAAGCCGAAATTCACACTACTACAACGTTTTCTCTTAATCATATTCAGACAGCTATGAAGGTCCCTTCAAGCCAGGTAGCGAAGAGTTGGCGCGTGCCTAGGTGGGGCACGGTACCAACACGCAATAGAAAACTTACCCATGATACCATAGTAAGTTGCATTGGCCACCCGTTTTTCGGTGAGTTTAGTCTGCCCGACTTCCAGAATTGATACCGAACGTGCCTCAAATAGCTTTTATCCCACATCTCCAAAGCTGATCAAGACCGTTTGAGGCAACAGCCCCGTGCAGACCACCTTGGGCTGGATGGAATCATATCCGGAACATTGAATCATCTCTCCTTTCAAGGGTGTAACTCCACGATTGCTAGCGTATCCATGATCTGTCATTTCCGCGCCTCTTTCCGCGCTTCTTTTGATTCTTTATCATCTGTCAATGACAAAAACAGTTGTGCTGTCACTCTGTTTTTGACCTGTTAATCGTACTGGACATATACCAAGAGCAACCACCCGGGTGCATTACCCACACGTCAAACCACATTCAACCAGAAGCGACCAAGCTTCTGTTCCTTCAACCCCAAGCACCACTTCTTTAGTACATCGGACTTTGACCACCTCCCTCACTCTCGTCATCTTAATATTCTATCATCACACCACGACAGTTCCTCACATCGGCAATCATGGCTCACAAGACGACCCACAAGGTGCAACTCCCACTTTTTGAGGCGACGCCTGTGGACGAGATTCCCCGAATTGCTGCTTCGTTGCGCAACACCTTCAGAACCAATAAGACTAAGGATATTGAGTATCGACTGGTACAGCTCCGCAAACTGTACTGGGGACTGCAGGACTACACCGAGCACCTGTTGGAGTCGCTGAAGCAGGATCTCAACAAGCCTGCCCACGATGCCCACATGACTGAGGTCGGCTGGGCCATACAAGACTGCATGTTTGTGATTCAAAATCTTGAGAAATGGGCCCAGGACGACACCAACGTGGACATAGCCCTCAGCTTCGCAATGCTTAAACCCCGAATCAAGAAGGAGCCCATCGGCACCGTCATCATCATCGGAACCTACAACTTTCCTGTCAACCTAGTTGTATGCCCCCTCATCGGAGCCATCGCTGCGGGGTGTCCCGCTGTGATCAAGCCTTCCGAGAGCGCACCTGCCACTGCCATGGTCCTGAAGGAGTTGGTGGAGAAGTACTTGGATCCAACGGCGTACGCAACGGTCAATGGAGCTGTGCCCGAGACAACTGCTCTGCTCAACGAGAAGTGGGACAAGATTTTCTACACCGGTGGCGAGAGGGTCGCAAAGATTATCTGCAAGAAGGCTGCCGAGACATTAACACCTGTATGTCTCGAGCTCGGTGGCAGGAACCCCGCCTTCGTCTCCAAGCATGCCGACTTGCACCTTGCTGCTCGCAGATTGATGTGGGGCAAGACGCTCAATGCCGGCCAAGTATGTATGTCACACAACTACGTCCTGGTTGACAGGGCTGTGGTGGACGATTTCATCAATCAGTTGAACGCAATCAACCAAGAATTCTTCCCCAACGGCGCCCAGGCAAGCCCTGACCTCGCACGTATCGTCAACCATCAACACTTTGACCGCATGAAGAAGATGCTCGAAGGCACCCGTGGCAAAATCGTCATGGGCGGAGAGACTGACAGGAACGATCTCTTCATTGCACCGACGGCTGTTCTTGTTGACTCCGTCAACGACATCATGATTCAAGAGGAGTCATTTGGCCCCATCTGGGCCATCCTTCCATACGACAATCTCGACGACGCCATCAAGTTGGTCAACGGCGTAGATTCGACCCCTCTCTCACTTATGGCATTTGGCAAGAAAGATGAAAACGAGAAGAGTAAGATAGCTCCCGTTACAAGGGGATTAAAAGATGGCGACTAACCAAACCTCACAGTCCTCCACAACATTACTTCAGGTGGCGCGTCGTTGAATGACTCGTACATGCATGGGGCTGTGTCTACACTTCCCTTTGGTGGCGTTGGCACGTCCGGAACGGGCAGTTACCGCGGAAAGGCGTCGTTCGACGAGTTCACGCACCATCGTACTGTCGTCGAGACGCCCACTTGGATGGACAAACTCCTGCGCGTGCGCTACATGCCATATCAGGAGTCAGATCTGAAGACGTTTCAGTGGATGAACGGGGTGAAGCCCGACTTTGACCGCAACGGCAAAAAGATCCAAAGCGCCGGATACTGGCCGAAGATGATCTTCGGTCTTGGCGGCCCGTCTGTTAAAGGTGCGTTGGTGAGATGGCTGCTGGTCCTCATATGCAGCTATATGACGATGCGCGGGTTCAATCTGAGAGGTTTCCAGTTTCTGGGCCTCAAAGTTTAATGTACTTGGCGTCATTCGCCAGTAATGTTGTATGATAACGTTTGTGTTTACATGTTTTGACTTTTTCTTCCCTAGGTTCATCAGAGTAGACGCGACAGTCTGATAAATGCATAACAAACTCAATATGAAGCCACCTTCCCTATGTGTCTCCCAAAAAGGACATACGCAGGGAAAGGCTTGGAACCGAATAGGTAAGTCAACCAATCAGAAGCTCCCCCTTCCCGCCTCTACCTGCTTTCCTCTAACCGTGTTGCTTTTACAGAAGTTATGCAAACCCTAACAATCCCCACGGTCGCGCGCGACCGATGAGGACCCTGGATTTGGCATCGACTAAAATTTTCACCAGCAAACTTTTGTGTATAGACTTCCATGATTCCCATATTTTGAGCAGCAGAGCGATGTCGAGTTGTATGACACTACTGCTGGTTCAGTGCCGATAGATAGCATTGATTCAGGAGATTTCCTTAAGAGAGATTTCCTTTAGATACTTTAGATGCTGTACAAATCTTGAGACGCGACAGCAAATAGTGAGGATTTTTGCCATGATGAACTCGACGACCGTAGTTTGCCTGGGATTTGTTGCAACCATGCTCCGCACGTACCTGACCATCTAGCTGACTGACAGCAAATAAGCCGACAATCAAGCATACCTGCAGAAAACCCCCTTATCCCGACGCCGCATCTCACTCAAGCCACGGCATTCACACAAACCTTCGTCTTATTACCCCTCGTTCCACACGCTTCTTCGCTGGCCTTGGAAGAAAAGCGGCAATTTGGGGAACAAAGAATTCCGTTCCTCCATATGGAAACAAAGGTGTGGCTTTCCTGAACCAACACAATGATGACCACCCCACCGGATTCAAGTTCGACGCAGATTTTGTGTCGCAACCGCAACAAGGACAAAGGAACTGGCACAGTCAACATGGTATTTATAGGAATTGCCAAAATGGAGTTTCTCAACCAAAAACTACCACCAAGCCTACCGCTCGCTCGCATCAGGGGCGGCCTTTCCAACGACCTTCGACCAGAAACTTGCTACTGATACACATGCATGCAAGCCGACCAATCATACGGTAAAATGCAACGAAGACCCATACTACTGCCGCCAATATCGCGACCATCTCAGCAGCCGTGCCGGCTTCGGAAAGTCATCGACGTCCTCCGGCAGTCAGTTCCAAAAAGCAGCAGATACAGAATTCAGAAGGCCCAGGTCCAGTCTGGGAAACAGGGGAAGGCTTCGAGGACAAGGGCAAAACGACGGGCCACATCGGTGCCCAAGAACGAAGGGTGGCTCAAGTTGGCCCCGGACCGCCTTCGGCATGTTAGGAGATGGAAGGACTTTAACTACCCTGTGCTAAGAGTGGCACTCAAGAATATTCTGAATCAGATCGCCATGCCGTGGAGTCAGCAGTCGCGGGATGAGATAACCTCGTGGCCGCGGACGGGGGTATCATTCTCGAAAGAGCATAAAGTGCAAAAAGAGGATGAGAAAGTAGAAGACGGAAAAGAAAGCAAACAGGGAAAGAAAGAGGAAGAAGACGACAGGGGAGGACTAGACCACCGCACGCTCACTGAGCTCGGCACGCGGCTAAACGAATGCCTCGTATACGCCACCATACACCGCAGCATGCGAGGCAAACCGAAACCAACCCTACGTCTAGAGCCAGGCCATACGGAGCAAACAGAGCCGTTCGGGGGAGATCCCGAAAATGACGGCAACGAAGGAACCGGCAACCGGTGCACGCTGAGAATGGACTGGAGCCTGCGGACAGACGAGATTGACCCGGACACGGGAGAAAATACATGGGCCGTGGTGGGCGTCAACCGGACCGAGGAAGAGTTCTCCCTATCTGCTCTGGAAAATTCAGCGAGGACAGGGGCGCCGCTGGATGCCGATGTCGATTGGACGATCCGGCAGGTCGGGACAGTGTGTTTCTACAAGGGGGCGGCGCACGGGTTTGTACTCACACCCGCAGGTGCCGCTCTGCTGCTCTTCTCGCAGACTCTGTCTAGCGGCAACCCGATTGATGATCCCGCTTCTGTTGATGAGCGCGGGCATCTGTGCGTGCGGTGGGTGACGGTGCCCTGGACGCTGGACCCGGGAGATAGGTTGGGTCTACCGCTGCTGATGGGACTGTGGTCGTTGTGCATGGTAGCCTTGAGTGATGACGATGAAGCGCAGGCAGAAGGGGTTAACACCCTTGCACGGCTGAACAGCTGGCATTGGCAAAAGAAGTACGGGAGCACGCTCTACACACATTGCCTGTTTCGGCAGGGGAATAGAGGACATCCACCCGGCGCCCTGATTTGGGGAAAGCTTGGGGACGGCGATAGGGAGGACTTTGAGGAGGAGAAGAGGAATGGCCGGGTTAATGGTGTTGAGGAGCCGCTGCCCTTAGTTCATTTGTCTCATCGTGGACGCAAGATTGTGAGGTGGGACTCAAACGGCATTCTGGAGTGTGAGCTGGATAGTCCGCCTCTGTGTTCGTGGTCGGATATGACGCCAGCCTCCACCACGTCGTATTCGTCGGCGAGTCTTCCGGATACGGCATCATTGCCCTCGAGAGAGGGATCCCCGTCAGGGTCGATGCATACTTTGGCGCTGTCTCCCATACAGGCTATGCCGGGAATCGAGGACAATCTGTCACCAGCATCACTCCAGCTCCTGCCTCATACACCACCAAGCAATGACGAAGCTAAACTACCAATGTTTGAACATAAAACATACATATCTCCTCCAACACCGAGTACTTTGCCCTCTTCGCAACCTGCATCGGAAAACGAGGAAACAACATCACCGGATCCAGTCTCGCCTACGTCTTCTCCACCAACAAACAACACCGAGAGTGAATTTCCGTCAATGAAGAACGATGAGTGCAGCACTGTGATAACTCAGACCCCGGTGGAAAAACCCAATGCTATGACTCCAATACCACCAGATGGACCTGATAAGCAATGGAAACGGAAAAGAGATCCTACTGATATCGAGGGCACTGGAACTCTAGAAGGAAACCCGGAACCGTGGTCGAGGAGGTTGCGCCCAAGGACCAGAAGGCCGGACTATCGTGACGGGTGGTGAGAGCACGAAACACGGCTTGGGCAAACACAAGCATGGAAAGACTGAAGTGTACAAAAATACTCCTGGGTATTGTCGAATAGAGCAATGAATGAATGAATGTGTTTACATTGGCCAAACATCATCTACTGCAAACAAACGTATGATCACTGGCTGACAGATGAGAGCTTTGGTCAGTAAACAGACCAGAGCGCGAGTCTCAACAGGGAAACTTCAAGTTGTGACTCCTCTAGTTCAAGCAGCATTCCAAAAGAGGAAGTTAATGGAAGGGCTACATAGACCGAATACCTTCTTAAGCCTGTACGGGCAGGCCCAGAACGAAGGAACTGTCGCAGAGTAGCGATCGATAGGAATGTAACCTCTACTGATTCCTGAATCCAGGTTAGATTTCTAACCCGACCTCTGAATTCTGGATGAGCAACGGGTTCGTGGTTTCATTTGTCTTGCCAGGTGCGAAAACACTCGTATCAATGATGAGACGACGAATGTCGATATACGTTTGAAACGTATATCTGGCTTATTTGGTGACTGGGGACGACGCGACTGAAAGGTGACCCTCGAAGGCCACAGACTCGAGCACGAAAACCTCGAGGGCCATGGACTGTGAGAGAATCGTACACCGATTCGCTGTATATGTCAAAAGGAAGACACATACTCTCCCTTCACGATAAGCATCATTGGTATCATTAGCTTTCCTTCAAAACATAAAATCATCGTCCCACCAGCGCATCGGCAAGCCGCTTCCCCCTCTCGCCACCGAGCCATAGCGAATGCTCGCCCTCCCTGTCCATCCTGCTCATCTCCACCGCCTCCTGATACCCCTTAGTGACCATCTCCTCATCAACCTTGAGCCCATTCTCCACCAAGACGGTAATCACACCCCTGACCCTCGCAATCTCGCGCATCGTATCCACAGGTATGCTGTCGTTCTGGCTCGAATACACATTCAGCCCCACACTATCCTCAATACGTGTGATGCCCGGGCCTGTCGTCTCGGCCGCCGCCCCCTCGCCCTCGACGTGCTTGCTGATCCAGATGTACCCATTGACACCCAACACCACATCTATCTTCTCTCCACTATCACTCCCGCCCTCCCCGCCAGGAATATCCAAGGTAAACGCCTGTCGTCTCGCCCTAACCACCCCTCCTCCACCTCCCGTCCCGCTCACGGCCACGAAGACGCCATTGCGCAACTTGCCGTACTTCAAACTGCGCGTGTGCAGCACGGCGCCACCATCGCCGTAGAGCTGTTGGACTTCAGCGACCAGCAGCTCGCCCTCGCTGAAGAATGTGCGGATCTGCAGCTCGTCCGTCTCGGTGCGGCGGCGCTGAATGCCACCAGGTAGGTTGATGGCCGACAACGGGAGCTGGGCTAGCAGCGAAGCGCCTACGTCGACGCGCCACCTCTTCGCTTGGACTTCGACGATGCGGCCTACGACTAAGTCGCCAATCTCGGGGGTGTAGCGGGCGCGCAGGGGGCGGACGGAGAGGAGTTTGTTGGTTTTGGAGAGGGTGCCAGCTACGGAGGAGACGATTTGGGGTGGGTCGGGGATCGTGTAGGTGCCGTGTCCGCTGGAACAGCAGGTTAATTACCGAGCCTTCAAGTCTGTGGGAACAATGCGAGTAGCCTACCGCATCCATTGCGGATCTTCTGTTATGACTTCGCCTGGCGTCACGATGGCTGCATCCTCAGTCCTGGCTCTTTTGGCGGGACGGCCTCCCATGGAGATGTCGCCGTCGAGGTCAGCGCCTCCATCGGAGTCTGAGTCTGACGGGTCGACATTGTTGGTGTCGTTAAAGGGCACTGGGGCCGGGTGTAATATTGTAATTGGCATCGTGATATGAGGTGAGAATTGCAAACGGGATGCCTGCCGATTGGAATTTCAGTTGGAAATTTTGGATTGCGGGAGCTAGAGCTAGCTCAAGGACCCCTAGCATTGGACCCCGCCGTCTCCAACTTGCATGGACACCTACCCTGCACTGTGAGGGAGGCTACCCTGGAGCCCGACCGCCTGAAGCCGACCGCCTCTAGGCGGCAAGAATGACATGTGACGCTACAGGGCTGACGACTTCAACAGTACTTCTTCGGTCTCGGTCTTGGAAGCCCAGTTACCCATCTTCTCCGATATTCATTTCAACGAAGCATCTTGAAACTGGTGCTTTGGAGATACTACGAATACCTACCTAGCTAGATGATGCCAGCAACCGAGTGAGCTGGGCTAACATTGGTGCCTACGTCATAGGCTCTCGCAGACAGCAAATCCTATCATCCTTAGGCCCTCGGAGAGGACAACGACAACATGGATGAATACACCACAGACGTATTCGTCAACCGCGACGACTCTATTCCTATCGTGAGGCTAGATGGTACTCAGTCGCGGTCATCAACTCCCGCCAACGAACCCCCAGACCACTCTGACGCCGATTCGCCCACCCCGCGGCGCAAAGGCCTCCGCGGCCGTCTCTCAGCCCTCAAAGACAAGGCCTCCCTCCAGGACCATCTAGTAGAGAAGCTTCTCACCCAAGTCCTCGCCGACGACGGCCGAGACTTCCCCCAAGATGACGGACCCAGAGGCGGTAGCAGTGGCAGCAGCCCCAACAGCGGCGGCGGCACCGGTCCCAGCACCTCACGCCCAGCCTTCAGCCTTCCCACCATGTCGACCAATTTCCGGCGCTTCAACAGCCGCATTGGCGTCGTCTTCGTCTTCCAGGCGCGCGTGGTACGGCTGCTCTCGTGGCGCCACCCCACCCATACTCTCTCCTTTCTCGCCGTCTACACCTTCGTGTGTCTAGACCCTTACCTCCTTCCGCTCTTACCGCTCGCCATCCTCCTCATCGGCGTCATGATACCCAACTTCATCGCCCGCCACCCAGCCGCCTCATTCGCCCTCAGTAGCGAGCAGGCCATCGGGTACTCGCCTCACGGCCCGCCCCTGGCGCCCGCCCTCACGGTGAAACCGGTCAAAGAGCTCAGCCGAGACTTCTTCCGGAATATGCGGGATCTGCAGAATAGCATGGAGGATTTCAGTCAGTTACACGACGGGATCATAACGCTAATGCTGCCGCGTATCAACTTTAGCGATGAGGCGTTGAGCAGTGCAATCTTCTCCTTCCTGTTTGCAGGTTGTCTAGTCTTGAGCATAGCGGCCAATGTGCTGCCGTGGCGAGCTATATTTCTGGTTTTGGGCTGGGCGGTGACGATCGTTGGACATCCGGCTGTGCAGAAGCAGATGGAGGGTATGCATGGGAAGCATGTTAAGCCACAAGAGGACAGGGCGCTTGGGTGGATGGAGAAGTGGATCGAGGGGGATGTCATACTCGACAGTGCGCCTGAGACGAGGGAGGTTGAGATCTTTGAGCTGCAGCGGCTGTCAGGTCCTGATGGGGAGTGGGAGGCTTGGGTGTTCAGTGCGAGCCCCTATGACCCTCTGTCACCGACACGCATAGCCGGTGACCGGCCAGTTGGCACAAGGTTCTTCGAGGATGTCCTGCCACCGCAGGGCTGGGAATGGAGTGAGAAGAAATGGGCTCTGGATCTCTGGAGTCGCGAATGGGTCGAAGAACGCATCATTACTGGTGTAGAGGTTGAGACGGAGGGTGAGAGATGGGTATACGATATCTTTGATGAGAAGGAAGCGGACAGGGTTGGTGTAATTGAGGAGAATGAGCAGTTGCAAACCCCAGCGAAGGGGAAAGGCACGGCTCCTCCGCCGAAACCGAGCTGGGAAGAGGGGGAGGACTACGAGGGAAGGAGGGGAGACTGGAGGCGGAGAAGGTGGGTTAGGTTGGTGAAGAGGAAGAATTTGGGCGCTGGGAAGGAAGCAATTAGCTAGGTGGAATTAAGTATACCCAGATATCTTTCAAAGTATTTATGTTGGACTTTGAAATTATTTATTAACCTAATCTGTAATGAGATAGCTACTGGATGCAGAGAACCATAACATCACTATTCTCACTCGGCTCGACTGGTCGAGTCCCGTGGTTTCGAGCCAGTGAACATTGGGTTTCTTTCTTGATTACGCTGGGCCTCACGACAGTTGGGTCGAACCGAATCGATAGCACAATCATATTGTTGCTGGCTGTCTCACTTCGCGAATATGGGTACACCTAGCGTATTAATTCGTAACTGGTAGGTTGGGTCTGAACGGAGCGGCGATGATTATGACAAGTTGGACTATTGGTTCCCATAATACTAAGTCAACGGTATTCGAGCGGCAGATCTAGTTGTGCTTCTCGCCCTTTCTTGGCCACATAGAACAGTGTCCTCGTGGTTTGGATCTCAGTGAAATGTCAACACTTCTTGTGAAGCTAGGATTCCGACTAGCATTGCACTCATAGTCCTGACTCCCCAAACTAGAGTCTGTGGTATCATTACGACAACATCCCGAAATTCCCATGTCTTCTCTCTCCCTATGTGTATTTGTACGGTTGTCTGTTCTGTAACCATTAATTCCATTTGAACCCACACCGTCTCTCCGAATCGCACAATTCTCATCCCAAGCGTTGCAATGAACAACATAGAAACTGACGTGGGCCCCTCATCCTACCCCTCGAGACTCTTTCAACGAATCTTCGTAACAATCCTCATGAACCTGCTGTTCAACTGCATCCGGCATTTCATCGTCATGTCCTGGGTGTTACTAGAGAGCGACCTCATCTGGGGCGGTGGAACAAGGTACCAGCGCCGGGTTCTCTATGTCAATTTTATCTTTGTCGAAATGTTTGTGTTATACCCGCTGTGGCGCTACGTGTTCGTGAAAACGGGTACCTTTAATGAAGCCGTCAGCCGTCGTACCAATTTCCGAGTCTTTCAACGCACAGCAGGGTGATTCCTCGGCCAGATGTCGGTATGAAAGAAGCAGCCAAATACCGGGAGTTGGAATGCTTAAGAGTGCCGGCGTTGGCAAATATGGAAATAGTGTAAGTGTAAGCGATGAAGTGCATCCACGGGAATATCGAGGTCTCCCAAATTACTACACCTTTTGATACGCCGTTCATTGTGCCAGCTCCTTGATTAATCTTGCTGATATGGTGCACCTATGAGATCTCAATGACCTGACTGTTCTTGGCTTGGGTGTTGAATCTGCCTTGGACCGCCTTAACCAAGCATCAGGAGCTGAACATGCTTAGTCTGCCTCCCGGCCGCATCGAGAGCACGTAGTAATGGACGATTATCTTGTCAGATAGTAGTATTATGATAAGTTCATGACGTAGAATGACTATCTATACTATCCGAAGCAGCAAATTTCCAGTACAGAGATAAGCGTGCAACCGATGCCTCGGGATCCGACCCAGACTGATTAAGGATAACTAGCTTAATTGGAGAAGCATCACCCAAGCAGCATGACTGTTATAGGTCCTTTGGCCCAATGGGTAAGCCTTTGCGTTTCTCCTGCTGCCGGAAAGTTCAGACTAACAAGCTTCTAGTAAGGCGTCTGACTACGAATCAGGAGATTCTGGGTTCGAGCCCCAGGAGGACCTACTTATGTTTTTATTTTTTACCTCCAATTCAATTCTTTTGAATACCCCATAACAGCTCCCAGGCATGGGGGTTGGCGCACTGACGAGCTTCCGGTAAGGTCTGTGGACAGGACCCTCCATGCACTGATCTCCTCAGGCATTTAGCGGGGCACTGTTCAGATGTAACCAGATGCATCCAGCTATTTCCATCGTCATCTAAGATTCCGGCCAAACCACAGTAGTGCTCTACGACACCACGACACCACCAGACCTGACCAATCTTACACGATCTCATTGAACCTCCAAACTTGCTTTCGTCCTTCTCCCAAATCTACTGCTTGACTGTGTCACGCTCAATCAACCTGTTGCAAAACACATCATCATCATCATGGCATCGACAGCAGTAATATCTACTGATGACGCCCTCGAGCCGACGCTCCAATCGATCCTCGACCAAAAGACACTGCGCTGGATCTTCGTCGGTGGCAAGGGTGGCGTAGGAAAGACGACGACCTCGTGCTCCCTCGCTATCCAGCTTGCGAAAGTGCGACGCTCCGTCCTCCTCATCTCGACCGACCCCGCGCACAATCTGTCCGATGCCTTTTCGCAAAAGTTCGGCAAGGAGGCACGCCTCGTAAACGGCTTCGACAATTTAAGCGCCATGGAGATCGACCCCAATGGTAGCATCCAGGACCTTCTGGCGGGACAAGGCGGCGAGGAAGCAACCGATATGGGCGGCGGCATGGGGGGCATGATGCAAGACCTGGCATTCGCGATCCCGGGCATCGATGAGGCCATGAGCTTCGCCGAGGTGCTCAAGCAAGTCAAGAGCCTGTCGTACGAGACCATCATCTTCGATACGGCCCCCACGGGCCACACGCTTCGCTTCTTGCAGTTCCCCTCTGTGCTCGAGAAGGCCCTGGCCAAGATCTCGCAGCTTTCGTCGCAGTACGGCCCCTTGCTCAACGGTTTCCTGGGGTCCAACGGCGCGCTGCCCAACGGGCAGAACCTCAACGAGATGATGGAGAAGCTCGAGGGGTTGCGTGCGACGATTAGTGAGGTCAACACGCAGTTTAAGGACGAGAATCTGACGACGTTCGTGTGCGTGTGCATTGCTGAGTTCTTGTCGTTGTACGAGACAGAGCGCATGATACAGGAGCTGGCTACATATGGGATTGATACCCACTGCATCGTCGTCAACCAGCTGCTGTTCCCCAAGCAGGGGAGCCAGTGCGACCAGTGCAACGCGCGACGGAAGATGCAGAAGAAGTACTTGGACCAGATCGAGGAGTTGTACGACGAGTTTAACGTCGTCCGGATGCCGTTGCTGGTGGATGAAGTCAGAGGCAAGGAGCGGCTGGAGAAGTTTAGTGATATGCTGGTGAACCCGTATGTACCCCCGGAGTAGAATCGGTGTACACGAAGAAAAGGAATTTGGCATGGCCTGGTAGATGGGACAGACGATTGGTGTTCCATCGTCACGCGGGTCTTGCTTAATGACTGGCCGACTGGCATGGCTCTCTTGCTTCAAGTTCTCACCCTTTAGGCCAGGGTGTTTTAGTTCCGCACAAGTGAAGATACTCCAGTACACACAAGCACATCACATCGCGGGCTCGCGACTAATAGAACAAGAAGCCACGTAAAATTGATACCCATTTTCTGGTTCAGAATGCATCATTCATATTCATGCCCCTATATCAACTATGCACGCTATAAACAGAGACCAGCACCAGACCTGTCGTCTGGTCTCCGTCCTAAACTCCCATGTGACCCCTGTCCACTTAATCCTAACTCCTTGGTTCCAATGACCTAAATGCAATGCCGAGCTTGTCTTTCTGCTGCATAAGCAGTAGCTCCGGCTGTAGATAAAATATCAATCCGCCTCTCAATGCATTGGCGTCCGATTGTTGCGTGTCACGGCACTCGCCGCCTCAAAATGAACCTCCTTGCCGACGCCGGTGGAGAATGGTGGGGATGCAATGTATATGTAGATCCTAGTCGTACTGTACAAGTAGCATATCGGGAGCTGTTTATAGCTCGCGATAGTCACTGGGCCGGTTTCTTCGTTGCCGGTTCTGATGTCGTCCCGGGTTGACCGGCTTGCGGAAGTAGGCATCTTCGTCGTTGTTGGGCTGGGTGAAGTTGGTTCGATTCGGATGTTGGAATCCATTGTTCATGTTGGCGAGGCCACCAGGGCCCATACCAACTCCCATCCCACCGCCGTTCATGTTTCCGCCGGGGCCGAAGTTGCCACCAAATCCATTCATGTTGGGGAATCCTCCTCCATTAAAACCGTTCATGCCCATCATGGGATTCATCATGTTGGGCATCATCGGCATACCCATGCCCATGCCCATGGCCATGTTGGGAAAGCCGTTGAAGCCGTTCATGCCCATCATGGGATTCATCATGGACATATTAGGCATATTGGACAAGCCTGGCATCATGGGCATACCGTTTGCCATCATGTTGTGCATCTCCTTGGCCTCTTGGGCCTTTTGCATCGCTTTCGGCGCTTTGGGGATCTTGGGGTTCTCTAGCAGCTCATCTGCGGGACGTTTCTTCGTCGAGCTATCGTCAGGCTTGTTCATCCCGCCGCCATTCGTTACCGGGTTGGGGGTCGCAGACTTCTGAAGCGCCTCAGCCGAAGCAGACTTGACTGCTGCTGCTGCTGCTGACGACGGTGATGGCGACTGGGTCTTCTCTGGAGCCGACGTAGTCGCCGTCTTAGGCGCATCTGTCTGTGCTTCGTCCTTCTCTACCTTATTATCGGATTGAGACAAAGGCGACTTTGCTATTGTCGGACTCTTAGAGCGCTCTTTCGTCTTAGCCATATCCTTCTCTTTCAGATAGTCCTGAATCTGGCGGGATGTCTCAGTATCTGGCCGGAGATCATCGATTGGAACTCCCTCCGAGTCGCAACCGGGGCAGACGAGATCATTCTCAATGAGAGAATTTGTGATGCAATCATTGCAATACGTCTTCTCACAACATGGTGTCTTCATTGGGTCTATGAACAATCTCTTGTCGATGGCGCACAACAAGCCCTTCTCTTCAAGATCCTTGTCTTCGTCGGAGGCTGCTTTCTGCGCAGCGGCCGAAGTCTTCGTCTTGGCCTGGAACTTTTCCCATGAGGCCGTATCAGGCTTAGCAATGACATAATCTCCATCTGCATTGACCATGACGCCAGCCGGAGGCTTTGGGCCATCCTCACCTTCACCCTCGCCCTGCTGAAATGCAGACTTGTCTACTGTCTTGAGAAATGACCGAGGAATGCCTGTGGTGCGCTTGACGCGGGGCCGGTTGTCGAATTCAGGATTGTCGTTGGTAGGACAGGCTTGGATCCAGTGACCTTTTTGACCGCAGCGATAGCAGATGTAGCCGGTCGGAGGCTCGTGATCGGGTACGTTGACGGGCTTTTTAGACCCTGGCTTGTAGACCGGGGCCTGATTGGCCATCTCTTCCTGCTGAGCATTCCACTGATCTGACTGAACCTGGAACATGGCCGCCAACTTTTCCTCCTCCGTGAGCGCAGTGCTCATTTGCGCCAGCCCAGCTGTAGAGGGCTGCGTCTTCTTGACCGTGTCCTCCCGCCGCGATCTGTTCTTTGCGCTTCCAGGCATCTTTCCAGTCACATATCGGGCGGCCCTGCCGGCGCCCGGCTTGAGCGGCGGTAGGCGGCGCGCAATGACGGTCGTCGATCGAGGAATGACGGTTGTGTCATCATCGTACTCTACGAGGGTGTTAGCAGATCTGACTTGGCTTGCACAAGGGGTTGGCAGCTCACCTTCCATGCCGTCTTCGACATAGATGGCAAGGTCAAAATCATGGCCATCGCCAAGTCCGCTCTTGATGATGATGTCACGCTTGAGTTCGAATACAGAGATGCCGGTACCGTCGAACTCCACCCGCGAGGGCTCCTTTTGGGATTTGAACTTGAAGAATACTGATGAAGTCATGGTGAAGGATGGATGGTACCTAAGCCTTTACAATGATACCGCCAAGACAGAGGCAAAGGGGGGTTGTCGTGGTTTGATGGTGATTCGTATAGCAAGTCTCGGAGCAATGAGATCTCTGCAAAGGCTAGAAAGTGTTAAGGGGTTGTCGGAAGCGATGTGCGATAGGTGTGATAGGCAAGGTATTGCTATCGATGTTCGACCTTCGCAACTCAGGGGGGTCTGTATTGTGTTGATTTGCGACACAGTTTCGCTTCTTGATTATGGTGATTTTTGCTGTTTGCCCAACTGTTTGGTCTTTCTTTCTCAAACACCGACTGGCAAAAAGATGGACGGGGGAATCAATTCTGATTGTACTTGGAGGAACAATAGGAGTTGGCACTCCGAATAAGGAGGAACGAAAGCAGCAGAGATTTGATGTACAAAGCCAAAGACCGACTTCACCACCAGATCAATTCGGCTGAACAGGTAGGTTAGGTAGTATGTCTGATCCCTCCTCCCGTACGTATCCAGCGACCACACCAAAGAACCGGGATTTGACTTCAGTTAGCCTACGCCCTCCAGCCTTCCCTACCAGAGATAACGGAATGCGCACGAAAAATCGTTTCACGACAGCGTCAACCTGTCATCGCCGGTGCTACCAAGAATGAGAGAGTAACGTGGCAAATTTGACGGAACAGGGATTTGCGCCGGGCGTAGCAATTCGCTCGAAATCGGGTCGGTCGAAAAGGCTCGAAAGGTGATGTCTTGAAACGAAGAGGGGATCGCTATCAAGTTCAACAAGAAGTCATGAAGAGGTGATGATGGGAGCAGAGGGTGAGTGAGGGAAAAGTAGAACGGGAGAAGTTGGCAGAAGAGGAGGATGAGAGGAAAGTGGGTCTAGGCATTAGCCAAAGGAGAAGCCGCTAATGATAAAAGCCTGCGGCACGTGACCTCGTCAAAGGGTCGGCAATCGCGGTTCCAGTCAATTCTGGCGCAATGTTGGGACGCGTTGGATTCATTTACTGGTCCCGGGTAACTCGAACCACCGCAAAAATTGTGTCAAGATGCCCAACATAGTTCACCTGGTGTCATCACAAACTATAATAACTTGCCTGTTCTGTATCACAATGCTGTAATTATAAAGTATATTCACATCTATCCCAAATATCTTTGCCGGTGTATCTGTATCTAATGCCATTGTATTCGCGTACACGAATTGGGTCCAGCACTCATTCTCCCGATCATAATCCTAGAATCCTCAACCTACAGCATCGACAACGGAATATTAACAATCATCTCATTGCGGGTGCATTAGTCATCACCGCACGAGAAAACTGCTGTTCACCAATCCTTGCATACTCAGTTCCATAGCAATTGCAAAATAGGCAAACCGATTGCTATGCCGAAGACCAAGGAAGTATCCAAAATCACCAGACCAAATGCCCCGCTGGTCGCCTTGCCACAGCAGCTGCGCGAGTAGGTTACATTATTATACTTCGCAGCCACCTCAAAAACAGATCCTGGGTAGCCACCATAGTTGTAGTAGTCCACGTTCAAGAAGTTTGGCGCTCTGCCCCATTGGTTCTCGCAATTTTCCGCACCCGATCCCAGACTGCCGAAGCCCGTTGCATTGTTAGTTACGTTGAGCTCGGTTCGGGCAGGCACCAGCATAGCGGCACCTAGAATAGAGAGCTCCAGGTTCAGATTATGGTTGTGAAGATAGAGACGGTTCTTAGCATCAACTTCAGACAAGTCTGGCGGGCGCTGAACATCACAAGGAAAACTTTGGTTCACAGGGTCGAAGGCCGTCTCCCACATCTGTAGCCAGAGTCAGCAATAAGCGCGGTACTATACGGAATGAAATGATACACACCTGGGAGAATTCATCCATGAGCCAAGGGTACTCGATCTGATCCGCCATGTAGTCCAAGAACATGACGACCCTTTCACCGCCGAGAATCATTTCGCTCAGGGTAGGCCAGTCGTTCAACGTCATTGGCACTAAGGGTGGCGTATATATATAGTTGAGAATGCCCGTGGACTCAATGTATGGCACATACATTGACGGAACTGAGTAGTTGCCGTTACCCAAGAGAATTGTCACGACATCGTAAGGATGCGCTGCGACCCAAGTTTTGATTTCGGTCAACCAGTCTGTGATAGGGCCCGCGTCGAGAATGTCACAGCTGGTGTGACAGAAATGCGGTTCCGTACCATTGGCTGGCCACTGGATTTGAGCTTGTAGAAACCTTACACCTGTACGTTGTTAGTGTTGGCTTGTTGTGTTTTATGGTATGAGGGCGGCAAGAAAAGGGCGCCATAAGTGAATGAGAGGTGAGCTGGTTCTCATCTGACTATCCCACTTAGTAAGTGAAGAAACAGCCCGTCTTATTTGCTTCTTCATTACTTTTAGTGGAACCAACTTGCAGTGTGAGTTTACTCCAAAATGGCAGAACAGTCCATGTTTGCTCAGCAAGTTTCAGCGATTTTGACTTACCATCATTCAGTTGCGCCGTCACGTCATACAGCTGATTAGCGGCGAGGTTGTTCTTTGTAATAAAGGGCGAGTTATGACATGCAATTTCGGTAATGTTGCTGTATTTTCGGAAGCAAAACTCCGGGTAGTTGTTGCAAGGCCGTGTGTTAGTGACGGTTGGCGTGGCGATGGATGAAGTCGCTGAGAAGTTCCCGGCAAATGTTGTTGTGGCGGATCCTGTGAGATATGTGACGGTATCCGAAGTTTTCGAGACCTTTATCTGGGTTACATTCGCGGAGTTGAGGGAAGATGACTGGTCGGACAGGGTTATTTGTGAGGTGAAGGTCTGATACGGTCCAGTAGGCGTGGCGACCTCGCTCAACGACGCAATTGTTGAATCCCCCGTCAAAGTTGTCCTCGAATCGGTGACATCTGTTTGACCAAAAACCGTCGAAGCGACAAGGAGAAGCCCTCCAAGCCGCAGGGCCATTACGGGCAACGATGGACTCTCTGTATTGGCGTTTTACTGCAGGGTACTGGATGATCGCGATGAAGTATCCAGGTAATGAGTCCCGTCGCGTTGCTGGATAATCGCGAATGTGTTTATCCAAGACTCACTCCAAAGACCGACTGGTTGGAATATTCAAGACTGAGATAAATCCGAACTGCTCGAGAACCTCTGGCACCGTTGTTGACGCGATCAGTCGACTCAGGGCGGTGTGAGGGAAAGTCGGGGGGAGCTGGTCAGAATAAGTTGGATTTGCAGAGCAGCATGACGGCAAGGTCAATTTGGGCCGGGATGAGCCACCGAGGAGACTTGCAGTTACCTGTCGAATACCTTTCGATGTTTACGACCATCTGAAAAGCTTCGATGAGGGTGATTGAGTCCACTCTGTCTAGCAGGCTTCCCGTCCCTTCCCCGGTCGGCCCAAATGTTCTTTACGAGATTTCGCTCTCATCCAAAGTCTAGAGCCACCCACTAACGCGTCAAAGCACAAAGTGGCACAGCCTTTGAGTCCAGTGTCGGGGCTTCCTATAACCAACTAATGACGTAGTACTTAGCAACTAGGCAACTAGGTTAGGTAGCTAGCATAGGGTTGCGTTTCAGCTTTTTTTTGCGGCGGGTCTCAAGTTGCCAGATTTCGGCATTCATACGTAGTACGTCGAGATTCGCTTACTATAGTATCCAAAAGGTACATAGTAAAGTCTAGATCTCGCCGCAGTGGAGCATCTTTTGTTGCTTGGTTTCAACTTCAGCTGACTGTGGTTGCCAGGTAAGACCTGGTCTTGGGTAACAAGATCAGAGAAAAATTGGAGGACATCACGATGCTGGTGCCCAGCAATCAAAGCTGCAATCTGCCAAGCGCCCATCACGCCAAACCGTCATGCAGTCAACATCTCAGCAACCCCCTGGCAATGCACATCCACCGGCACTGATAGCCGGGCAGCTACAGGTATTTCCGACCCCAAAACTGTCCAAAAGCCCATTCAAAGATTGGAACCCCCCTGTCGACGTAATGAAGACCACCCGGGCCCCCCCGGGCTCCCAATCAACGCCACGGCACGGGCAGTTTCTGCCTTCAAATCCAAACCTGCCTTTTGGGGCCTTCGTGGGGCTAAACTGGAGCTGTACATCAAAGTACCTCGCAGTACCCGATCTCGAGGTTACGAACTTCTTCTCCTAAAACTCGTCGTGGGCCCACGTCACAGCCGAACAAGATGGGACTCTGATGATCCTGATCCCACTCCCAGGTCTGACCCTGCCGTCGATCGTGCTCTAGCAGCGCGAAAGGCCTCTGTCACGTCTCTTCTCTTCAACTTGTGATTATCAACATATTATTCATTGCGCCGCCGTTTTGTCGTTCCATTCTTCCATCTCATCCAGTTCGTGAAGCAATTGAATCCACCCCATATCGCCGCCCACCAACAATCAATCATGGGTCTTGCCGGGTTTCGCAAACGACGCTCTAATGGCTCGTCGTCTGCAGAAGGTGTTAAGGAAGGCCCTCTGTCAAATGACCAGGGCGATGCGAAGAAGGCGACCAAGACAAGACGAAATGCCATTATCGTGGCCTCCTTCTGCTATCTCGTAGGATGGGTGTTCCTCATTCTTGTGAGTTTTCTTCATCTCACCTCGCCGTAGATGCGGTCCATTCTGATTGGTCCTGCAGGTCGAAATAGGAAATACCAAGGCCACCAGGGTGCTCGGCGATATTTATTTTTTCAAGCTCGACTTGTCGGACATCATTCCGCAGTCCGTCCCAAATCTCACGTTGTTGAATTCAATTGCTAGAACCCTTGGGCTTCACGACTTTTACCAAGTAGGACTTTGGAATTTCTGCGAAGGCTATGAAGATGAGTATGTGCCCCCTTTCCGGGACGTACCACGAGGCGCAAACTGACCCTACAAATAGAGGCATCACCCATTGCTCAAAGCCAACCAAACTCTTTTGGTTCAACCCCGTTGAAATTCTTAAGAACGAACTCTTCGCCGGTGCTTCGATTGCGTTACCGTCCGAGGTCAACACAATCCTCTACCTCCTCCAGATTGCTTCTAACGTCATGTTCGGTTTCTTCATTACTGGTCTCGTCTTGGACTTCGTTTTGATGTGCGCCTCGCCTATCGTGTTGTATTCACGATGGTGGAGTCTGCCATTTGCATTGCTCGCCTTCGTTGCTGCATTGTTCGTCACGGCCGCAACTATCATTGGAACGGCGATGTCCCTCATCTTCAAATATGCGTTGACGTCTCAGAGTGATCTTAACGTAGTAGCTGACGTGGGTGTGAAGATGTTCGCATTCATGTGGATCGCTACTGCATTCACGGTACTCGCCTTCTTCATCCACGCTAGCTTGGGATGCTGCTGCACGTCGAGGAGAGACCTGCGCACCGGCAGGAAAGGCGGGAAGGGCTTGACGTCGGGCCCGAACAGCGAGCCGGCGAGTGAGCTGAACAACGAGGAGAAACCTAAGCAACGGTTTAAAGTGCCAAATTTTGGCAAGAAGACTGCTCCTTCTAGCTGAGCTCTTTTGACTAAACCAGACGGGAACTGAACAAACAGACTGGCATTTTTGGTGCTAGCTACACACTACTAATTTCACAAAGCGAGAGTTAGGATAATAGAGTAGATATGTGCAGTGTAATTTCTGATTCGGTAAATTAGATATGAATAGGTGGCAGCCGTGCCTGGCTTGCCGGCGAGTGGCACATACATGGATAGATTAGGGAAGTATGCGAGCGGATGGGGGAATTATACTTGTGGAGATTAGGGTAACTGCAAGGGAAGCAGATGACTAAGGAGGTACTGCGCTCACTAGATTATTATATACACAACTGACGATTGGGTTTCATATATTTAACGCGCAACTACATCAACTGCTATTATCAGATTCCTGGATGTCTACTTCCAGTCCTTACAAAGCCGACATTTATTCACACGATCAAAGGTAAAAAGTACTTCATGACATTAATCTGTGATTCTCACGTGCCTTAAACGGGTGTTTCATGGCGCTTGCAAGTGTTAGTAATACTTGAGGTCCTCCTCGATTCGTATCCAACTATTGTCATGTTAGTGATTACTTTGGTGAGATGTGGTCAAAATGACGAGCACGGCCTTACTGTAGCATATTCTCAACCTCCACATTATATAGATGGCGTTAACTTGCTCCCGTTTGCGTCTCCCGTTTTCTTGATTGTCGCTACTGCAGTGTACTTCAGTCAACTTTGAGTCCACATGATGCGACATTCTATTCCCGCACCTGCAGGCCCACGAATAGAGGAACCATGACAGGATGGAAGCCAAACCCCAAGTATCCTTCTACTAACATGTCCCCTTCCACAACCCTTATTCCCATCACCACCCCATCCCCTTCCTTCATTCCCCTCTCGCTCCTTCCATATCTCGATACCAACAATCAACCCCCACCCCTCACAAAGAAAACTCCAACCGGTTCCCCGCAAAATCCCTCGCAAAGAACCTCCCCGGATACTCCTTCCCCTTCTCCCCCGAGCTCTCCCCCGGCCTGTCCGCCGCAACCGGAGCCCCCTCCTCGCCCCGTTGAAAGTGCTCGTAAATCCTGCTCTGGAGCTCGAGAAGCGCCTCCGCCGACCCGATCTTGAAGCAAGGATGCCGGCTTGAATTATGGGAGATGAGGTCCCCCTCGTGCTTCTGCGTCGATATGTGGACCTGCTGCCCCGAAGACCCGATGGCGAACCAGGCTAGCTCGTGGGTTTGGACGACGGGAACCTTGAGGGGGGTTAGGCCCAGGGTTAGGCCGTAGAAGGAGTGCGCGTGGGGGAGGGTGGAAAGGGGGATGGTGAGGTTTATGTGTGCGAGGCCTGTGATCAAGGGAGTGGATGGGGCGTCGGGGGTCTCCATGGTTGGGATATTGGGGCTTGTAGGTGTCTAGTTGTTGTAGAAATAAGCTATGGACTGGTTGGTGTGTCCGGTATGAAGGCAGTTAATAGAGTGTAGTGCAGATGCTTCTGGGCGACTTTCAGATGGTATAAGGGGAAAGGAGCAGAATGTATGCTGCCAAGATACCTCAAGTTAAACCTCTTGCGTGATTGTGTAAGCCAGCACTAGCTGGTGGATATAGCAAGACAGATGCGGGGAAAGCTGTACCTAACATATCAAGTCCACTTACTGTGCCCTCGGCCGGCACCGGAGCAATCACGGCTTTCGGAGAGCTCGCCGGTTTGACGCAATCCGAACTACTCGAGAAGAATGTGAGGTCCTCCTTTCACCCATTGATGCTTACCTTTTGGTGAAAGTTTCTCAGGCAACTTCTAAAGTTAGTTGCCCGGTGGAATTATCCCTGCCATTGCCAGAAATAAAGCTTACCCAAGTAGTTGAAGTGCAACCCGCAGGCTTATCGTACACGAGTTAGGGCTATCAATCGCAAAGCCATGTTCGTCAAGTGTACAGTGACAAACTCGAAGAATGCAAGACTTGAACGACTCATATTACCAAGAACATGATGGCTCTAGTCGCGATCTAGTTCTTAACCTATAGTCTCCCTTGAAACCTTGCGCCACATGTCATTAGACAAAATCGGAATCCCTATGGTATCTCCTCCATCAATACGTACTTCAATACCCTTTCTTCTTCCTTCTTTTTCCGGCCATTAAATACCTAATCACGCCTCCTCAATACCATAAGCCTTCATCGCCGTCCCGCTCCAAATCATCCCCTGTTCCTCATCCTCAAACGACGCCATGTAGCACAACCTCTCGACGATCTTCTTCCACTTATTCCACGCATCGTCGACGCCGACGGTGCACACGGGCCAATCGCTCGCAAACATGATGCGCGAGGGCCCGAAGGCGGCAACGAGGATGCTGAGCCAGGGGCTGATGGCGCCAAAGATATCCTCGGGGGTTCGTGCCTTGAGTCCGTCCGTCATCTCGGGGAACCCGCCCGAGAGCTTCATGTACGTCTTGCTGGCCTTGCTGAGGGTGAAGATGGCCGTGCGCCAGGCGATGAAGGACTTGTCTATGTGGATGTTGTAGACGGTGAGATCGGGCTTACACATGTGGTCTGTTATTGGGTGTTAGTAACTTGACATGAGGCAGCTTTGAGAACATGAGCACGGTACGCACTGATGATGAAGGTGACTTTTTCCTCCTCGGGAACCCCCTCATGGGCTCGCTCAATCATCTCGACCGCCTCCTCGAGCTGGATCCGACCCCGCTCATGCAAGTTGATACCAAGGTCGAACACGAACCCCCTGCGGCCGAGCAACTTCAAGCTCTCAATGAAGTTATCCGAGAGCATAGTCTTGTCCGGCTTATCCTGTACCAAGTACCTAAACCCCCTAACCTTGCGGAAGCTCTCACCCGCCTCCTCCTTCACCAAGTCGATGTACTTCTCCATGGCTTCAGGTCCGCTCGGCAGCGGCGCCCAGGGAATGTAAGCGGCGCACAGCCCTGCGTCCTCGGCGGCATGGCCCTCGCCGTCCCGAGGCTGCCCCAGGGCAATGCGCTTCAGCCACGACACTTCCTCGAGCGGATGCTTCCAGCCGCTGCCATCCTTCACGCCGGCCTCGAGGTCGTTCTTGCGGTCCGTCTCGACGAAGATGAAACCCTTGATATTAGAGCCCGCACTCGCCGCCTTGTACTCGTCCAGCGAATGCTGCTTGGCTAGCGGGCTATCAGCGTTGCACCAGGCCAAGGTATCAAGCTCTGACTTGGGATAGAGGTGAATGTGAGAGTCGATGATGGGGAAGTCGGCCGCCATGATGATTGTACTTTTAGTGGCTGATCTCCGCTGGGGCCTCTGTACTGGTGCGACTTTTCTTGAAAGATGAAAATTGGTTATGAAAGTCAAGTCAGTATCGAATCTCTGCTCCCTTCAGATAAATATTTACTTGAGATCTTCAATATTGGCTTGGTTTCATCTCCTTCCGCTGGCAGCTACCCCGCTACGCTCTGACGTCCGGCCCCACCATGGTCAATCATTGGTGCGGTGGGGTTCAGCAGGTTCGCTCTGTCCCCGTTCTGTAGAGCTCGCGCGTAGTGGGAAAGAGTGGTTGGTAAGGTGAGACAAATGGCGGTAAAGCCTGTTGCTGCTGCAAATAGTGTCAGGGGCATAGTGTTTTATTGGTCCACATTTGGCTCCTGCCGCGAGGACTTTATCACCACTCTGGAGTCGAGCGACTTCACGTTTGATTTTGACGCCCAAATACAAGTTTTCCCGATCCATTCTGCCAACAACTGCGCGTGCTTAGACATCTACACAGTTCCGTCGCTGACTTTGAGTCTTATTATTATGCCATCACATGATCACAAAGTCCCTTTACCAAAAACGAGTTTTAGATCACTCAATGAATAGATTCAATAGTCCTCTATATACCGGCAGTCAGATAATTGTCTTTGCTGCCCTCATCCCTAATCTTCATCTCTTCACAAGTGGCAGGTCTGGACCTTCCAAAAGCCGGTCCAAGGCCACAAATTGACATTCCCAGCAGCCATCCTCAAAGACGGCAGGCTGTGGACTCCCGAGCAGGTCGAGGCTCTCTCTCATCTACGTGAGAAAGGGGGGACGCCTCGCGCTCGGGACTGGTGTAACTATCGCACGACTGGAATTGGGCTCACAGTTGTGGGGGTCGCAGCATCGACCCGATGGGTGGTGATGGCACGCAAAGCTGAGACAAGACCAGCTTGAACTCGCCCGCGTTGATGCAATGGAACAACAGGACGAGTGTAGTGCGAGGTAGGACGCACCTAACCCGTAAATGAATGAAACGGCCAATTCTGACTCGGGCCTTTCTTATTAGGTGGCGTGTGTTGCTTGGTGTGGTGGTGTTGGGAACCCTCCCGGCGAATGCTGATTCATCATGCGCGGACAACCATGCCGTTGCGTCGAGAGCTGTGCGAGACGTACTCTTCCTCGTCGCTGGAGCAGGAGCTCTCCTCGTCTGAGTAGCCGCAGCGGGCACCGCCGCAGTCGATCTTGACGCGGTCACCCTTGCGCGTGATGCCGTAACGCTCGCACGTGCAGGCGCTGCAGTCGGAGGCGGGGGTGCTGTAGCCCGAGAGGGACGAGTTGGGCGAGGAGCTGTCGGAGCGGTAAGACAGGTCGGAGCCCACCGATGAGACGGGGGAAGCAGAGAAATCGGTGGTGAACTCCTCTTCAATACCGGCGGAACCGAAGCGAGCGGTGAGCTCCTCGATGGTGTCCTCGTCGCAGTAGTCGGCGTCCAAGATGTGGCGGGCAACCTTGGGGCTGACGGGCTTGGGAGCCTTGATCTGCGAGGTCGACAGGGGGCGGCCCTTGGGAATATCCTCACGCTTGGAAGAGTGCTTGGAGGCAGACTTGCTGGAGCTGTGAGACTTGGACTTGGAGGACTTGTCCTTGGGAACGTCGAGGATGTTTAGCTCGCGGCCCGTGGTGGGCTCGATGGTGGAGGATTCAGAGGGGTTGTGGGAGACGTGGTAGCCATCGATGATGTAGTAGTACCAGTATCGCTGGCCCGCCTCGAGGTTGCCTTGGAAGCGGAAAGTTCCCTTCCATGAACCAGACTTAGAGGAAGTCTTGTCCTTGGCCAGGGGAAGCTGACCGACGTAGTTGTCCCAGGAACCAAGCAAATGGACGGACTTGACGCCAGAAGAAACGCGAAGAGAGAACGAAAGTTGAACGGAGGCCATTTTCGATTATATTAAAGTTGCCGTTGCGAAATATTGACGGTTTTAGATAGTTGAGAAGGCGTTTCGAGCAAGAAAAGCTAGAGCTTTGGTGGTATAGTTGACCAGCAACTGATTTTTGTGATTTTTTTGATTAGTTGGGTATTAGGTTGTGAGTCGAGCACAGCTCTATCAACAACGAAGAAAGAGGAAAGAAGGGGGGAAAGGGGGAAACCAAAGATCTAGCTTTTGATATTGAATGCTTGCTGAAGAGAAAAGGGAAAGAGACAGAGACGAAGGGAGCGGCTGGTTGCTATATATGGTTGCGGCCAACAAGTGAGGCCCGCCTTGGCCCATCTCTAGGCCATACCATGTCATCAGAGACTCGTGGGCCAGCAACTCACCGGCAGACATCCGCACACTAGTCAAGGATGCAGCGGGCCAATTGGGAAGGACAAGCTTCTGTTTGGTCGACTTAGCACACCAATACAGAGCAATATCACTTGAGCACAGGTGCCATGCCGAAAAGGCGTGCTGCGAAGGTGCGCAGTATGCTGCACGACGGGCGGTTAGGCATCGGACTGGTTCGCCTACAAAACATGGAAGCTCCATCTAAAATTCCGGGCAATAAATAGACATCATCACATAGCATTGGCGGGGAAGATGACGGGCTAGACCAGAAAGGGAGGACTCGGCGTCTAGATCCCTGTGGCGATTGGCCAATACCCAGCATCCGGCAGCCATTGCCCAGCCTCTCCGCCGTCACCCATCACAAGTTTAATTGATGCGCACACAGCCAATGGCGATGCAAGGCTTCGAGCTGTGGCTGCAGGAAAACTGCAAGTCGATCTTCAGTGATCCATCTGAAGTGCTCCGAGAGGCTCAAGCCTGAGCGAGCCTGGGTGCGCCGTCCGATGATACGACGATTCCGTAGTAACGAAGATTGCATTCGCAAATCCTTCGATGAGTGTGACGAAAGGGCAGGGAGCTCTGCGAGTCGCACTTGACCGCATTTGCATATGCAAGCCATCATGAGAACTCGAGTACCCATCGCAACATCCAATCCGCTTGGTGGAATCGCGAACGGGCATTGACGAGTCGGAGAAGCCTAAATTTGCGTAGATGAAAACCCACTTAGACATGTCAGTATGGACTCAAGATGACGATGAGTGAGCGCATGGCAACATGCCGCAGTATCCAGCAGGATCCCAAAGATATCGAGTGTTGCAGAATGTCGTGTGACACAGAACGAGGGAAGTCTCTCGGCGAGATACAAGGAATCTCGAGGTCGGTCAAACCACTCTTGGTGATGAGAATACTGATTTCTACAATCATTCTGGAAGCTGGAACGTTGCGGAGCAGATGGAGCCGAGATGCTCTCAGTGCTTGGGAAGGATTTTGCCGGCCGGTTGTGGATGTCTAGCATGCCTTGAGATGAAGTGATGAGGGGCGAACACCGGCTCCATGCATGCACTAGACTAGCTTCGGCGGGTAAGTAGGTGAGCAACATCGTTCAGCATTGTGAAAGTGAGTGCTGCAGAGTAAGTAGTAGAGCTGAGAAAACCCCGACAAGTCCGACAAGTCGACTACATTGGTGGTGTGGGAACACGAATATTTAGCAGAAACGCACCGACATGGGACATCCCTTCCATATCGTCCTCGCCTCTAGATGGTAGATGGTCAGCTTCGCTCGAATAGTCACATGACTTGAGCTTGGCACTGCGTGTGATGGGAGAGAAGGTGCGTCCCTGGCATTGCCGCACACAAATTGGACCCCTGCTTAGAGTGTTCTAGACATTACACCGCCCTGGACAGAATCTTGGTTTTCGATCTCACCTGTGTGGTGACAGGCGCACTTCACATCCACTCTGAAAGTCCATTCTGCAACGGAACACAGCATTGGCCGCCGATCGCCTGCCGGCAAAACCCACTTGGAATTCCAGGCTCCGAACCGCGTTTACCAGAGCGGGACCTCGTCTTTGCGGCAGGCTCTTAAAATAGTGTAAGTCGGAGTGGAGTGGATCTGTGTGCCGAGACGCAGCCGAGCGATCGGATAATTATCGGAGACTGAACTCAAAGCGAGTCAGACCTTCCCTGGCACACAACCTGCACCAACATCTGACAGTGAGGCGATTCTCGAGTTAGAAAGCAAAGCTACTGTTCTCAAGGTTACAAAAGGCAGACGAAGTACATATTACAGAGTCACCCTCTTGGTTAGGCCTAGCGGGTTCGCATAGGCATAGTTTTTGATTGCGTAGTTGTCAGCTATGCGGGGCGCTCTAGTGATTGCGCGCCTCCAGGATTATGGGGTTCTGGGGACATGTTCGGGGAGTCCATGCTGATTTTAGCGTTCAGATCAGTGAAGTGATTATATGTGCTTGATCGTATTGGAATTGTTGGTGTTGGTGTTGGTGTTCCGATAATTAGTAATATTTGGTTCTTATATTAACTAATATCTGGCTTAGGCCGAAGATGAACTTATTTGACTCTTATTGGGGCTAAAATCGAGATGGATGTTTCCCCGCAAATTCACACAAGTACCAAAGATGGCTGCTCAAGCTCCGGTCGACGAGCCCAAGAAGCTTAGTAGTAGGTTTGATCATTCTTTTTCATTTATATGCAACCAAATCCGATCGTGTACACAGTCAACGGCACCAATGGCTTCAACGGAGTCAGTGGAAAGGCCGCTGCGAATGGTGGCAATGCAGAAGAACCCCCGGGAGGCGAAGATTCCGACGATGATGGCGATGAGGCCGCTGCGCCAGGCGCTGAGGAAGGAGCGACCAAGAAGAAGAACAAGAATAAGAAGCGAAAGCCCAAGAAGAAAAGGAAGGGCCCTAGTGCCCAGACCGACCCTCCGAGTGTCTTGATTTCCCAACTGTTCCCGAAGGGCGAAGAAGTCGAATATGTTAACGAGAACCGCTACCGTACCACCATAGAGGAGAAGCGACATTTCGACAACCTGAGCACTGAATGGCTTAGCGACTACCGCCAAGCCGCTGAGACGCACCGTCAAGTTCGCCAATGGGCCCAGAAGAACATCAAGCCTGGCCAGACCTTGACCGAAATTGCTAACGGTATCGAAGATAGCGTGCGCCGCTTGGTTGGACATGATGGTCTCACTGAGGGTGATACAATCAAAGCCGGTATGGGTTTCCTGTTGAACGATCTTCTACATGCTTTTCGCGAGTCAGAGTTATTTGTTGTAGACAAAACTGATGTGGAAGCTCCAAGAGAGCCATGCCATGCGCCGTCAGTCCTTTGTAGCTTTACAGCCAGGCTCCTACCCACAGGTTATGATCGACGGGTTAGTATATGCGAGGAAGTTACACTATCAAGCTTCAAGGTATTCGTGATTCAGACTGCCCACGCAGCCGTCTAATTTACAACTATCCAAAATAACTACCACAACACTGTGCACCATGTCCTCAATCCCCTTCCTGTGACTATCACTTGATTGAGCCAAATTATTGCTTTTTTGTACAAGCTATCAGATCAGTCTCCAGTCAAAAGTACATACAGAGACCTGATCTGAGCTTTGGGTACTGAAGCTAAGTAGACGAATTGCTCTTGGCATACGACAGCTGAAATACATGCTGATGTCACGTGAACGACACTCAGTTTCCCTTCTATTCTCCTCTTGAGCTCCGTTGCATGACTGTATTGACAGGGTTGAAGGGTGTCACCGAACGTCGCTCCATTAGTCCCCACATGCACGTTGAGGTGCATGCCGACTGGATGAGGTCCGACAACGCATTTGGTACGTAATATTGATATGATCGCAAGTTTTCGGAAGTTACATTCATCTCTAGTATTCCCAGGGGATGGTCGTTGTAGGAGGCGTTGTTCGCTCGTTGTAACTCTCTATAGGTTACTACGTATTCTGGCGCTTATGTCTCCTATTACGCCCTTTGGCCGACTCCATTCTCCACTAAAGTTGTCCTATGCGCTTATCGTGCTTGCTAATGGCATCGCCTAGTGGGCACAACTTGGCGCGACTGAAAGAGCATCCATCATGGCAGCTGTCGACTCCAGTATCGACGAGAAGCTCGTTCGCTCCGTCACGGCATACGTCAAGGACTTTATGGCAAAGTACGATGGTTCGCATGATTTTGCGCACATACAGCGGGTCTTAGGAATAGCCCGGTATATCCATTCTCGCTCACCTACAACGCCGGCTTTAGACTCCCAAGTTGTCGTCTTAAGTGCTCTTCTCCACGACGTTGGCGACAAGAAATATCTGAAGCCAGATGAAGACGCGTCAACCATGGTCTTTAAGCTTTTGGTGTCACTGGGTGCTGATGAGCAACTTGCCCAGAAAGTCCAAACAGTCTGTCTCGGCGTGAGCTACTCGAGCGAGATCAAGAATCCGATGCGAGTACAGGAGCTCATCAAAGCTCATCCTGAGCTGGCCGTTGTTCAAGACGCCGACCGTCTCGATGCCATCGGTGGTGTAGGCATTGGCCGGGCATTCACTTTTGGCGGCGCTAGGTCTAATAGACCCATGGACGAGACAGTCGAACACTTTGAACAGAAGCTTCTCAGACTCGAGGGCATGATGAAAACAGATGTTGGACGAGAGCTGGCCAAGGAGAGAACGGAAAGAATGGCTCTCTTCCGAAAGTGGTGGGATGAGGAAACTGCATTTGCCAACATGTCTCCAGTCTCCTGATACACCCAAGGCAACTTCACTTATGTATGTTATCACTCCACTGTCTCTCAAATTCTCGACAGAGCGTACCTATGGGTGAACACCAAACAAATATTAACCGAACCCAAGTGAGAACTATCCGGCACAAGCACAAGCACATGTACTATTGAAGAAGGCCAGATAGCAACGATGATTCAATAGGAACCATGCACGTAAATCTATACGGAGCAAACCGCGGTTTGGTCAACAGGGCATTGCAGAGCGAGCATATCAATTTTTCCCAAAGTTCAATATGAGACCCTGGTCTCAATATATAACTGTCAGCTTTTGGCTCGCCTATTTATCCTAACTGAGACTGCACCACCTTCCTCGACGGGAATCGCATCTGCAGACAAGCTTACACCTCTGAATGATAGTGCCGTACTCGCCCCGCCCATATTTCTTTGTAAGTGTGGTGGAAGTACAGCACTAACATTCAGAGAGCTGGTAGAGGTGTAAATCATCCATTACCATGCCTACAATCTTTGCCATTGGGCACGCCTTATGCCACGCCAAGCGGCCAATCTATTACCCCCTCCATTGGATCCTGCCAGCTTACCAGGTGATAAATCAGTGGCCACGCGGCGCACGGGATGCGAGGTGCCACCCTGCAGCTACACACAGCAGTTGGTTGGCGCAGTATTATCAATTGCGGTCCGATGCACCGCAGCTCAGGTGGCCGTCCTGATGACTGCGACAGGCTACTTCCACATTTTGCGGTGTTTTGTTGAAGAACTTGCGACCTAATCCATCTTTTGATATTGGCCAAGCTACAATCTTCCGTCGCACGCATCGTTTGAATTTTTCTAGTAGATATCTCGCGCGGTCGTATGTGTGCTTCACCACCTGGCCTGTGAGGCTCGTCGCCTGACGCTGACCGCCCAAGATGGCGTTGAGTCGAGCTTCCGCGGCGTTGATTCTACTATCGCTTCATATTGTCTCTGGGATCGCGGATGCAGGCTTCGCTGCATTTGGCGATGCGGCACTTTTCGATGAGCCCGGTGTGGGCTTCACTACGCGGTATCATTTTGGAGCACAGCCTGCCCGCCAGCTAGAGCGACGACAAAGCGGCTGCGAGGCTGGTCATCATTTGTGTGCCGAACTGGGCGAGCTGGGCATGGGCCATTGCTGTCCCAACACCCAGTGTAAGTGTCCGGGCTCCTGCCGGGGCTTAGAAAACTGCTAACACAAGAGTTGACTGCCTTTTCAATAGCTCATGGGCTGTAAGCTGCTGCCAATTTGAGTCAAATTGCGGCCAAGTATGTGCTGGAAATAGTATCTCATGCAACGCCACGACCACCATCACGAGCTTGATTACGCCCTCGGGAACAGCGTCATCTTTCGTCGAGGAAGTTACAAGGACAAGTGGCTATTTGGGCTGCTGTCCACGGTCATGTGCAAGCACTGCTTTCAAGTGCCCGTCATCGATAGGCGCCCACTGCTGTCTTTATGGCGAAGACTGTGTCACTGGTGGCTGTGTCGCCCCAGGGACGTCAAAGCCGACATTGGTACCCACATATAACGGCTGCTCAAGTACCAACATGTTTTCCTGCGCCACCGGAGTAGGATGCTGTACCAACGGACAAGCATGCACGACCAATGACGCTGGTCAGGGGGTTTGCACAGGCCTACCCGGCAACGTCACCGTTAGCCACGAGCTCTCACAAGGCGCCAAAGCCGGTATTGGAGCCGGCGTCGCCATCGCCGCCGCAGCCGTCATCGGAGCCCTGGCGTGGTTCTGCCAACATCGGCGCCACGAAGCCCGCACCGCCGAAGCCCGCACCCCCACCTACCGCAGTCGAATCCAGAGCCCAGGCCCCAATGCGGAGGAGATCATGTCCGAAACCAGCGGGCCCTCCCGGGTCGGCGGACCCCACCAGAATGGGCTTGTATACGAGTACTTCGGCCCGGACGCCATTCCCGGACCGTACACGTGCACGGAGCAGGAGTACACACAGCGCGAGACGCCGAGCGTGCTCGATCGCGGTGTGCCCATATGTCCTCAAGGGCCGGGCGACATCATGAGTGCCGTAGAGCTGGATGCGGAGGTGACTGGTGCTGAGAGAGATGAAGGAGTGCGGACGCCTACTGCGACAGTTACGCCGGTGTTGGAGCAAGAGCAGGGGCCGTTCGAGCTGTGGGTTCCGCCAGGGAGGAGCCCGTCGCCGCTGAGTCCGGACGAGAGGGGCCCGTCGTCACCGGGCAGGTTTTCACCGGATCCGCGTTAAGTCACACTGGGAGATTTTCAAGATTCTTGATTGCAGAATTGAGGTATATTTTCCTATAGCCCGCTTTAATGGACTCAGATGCCCGTAAAACCAAGTGAGCGAACACATGTACAGACAGACACACGAATTATATATGATACCCTCCATCCTTTCGCCTTGCCTGAAGAAAACGAACCAACGCCTTTGGCCCCTAACCCCGTTAGCCGATGCCCTTGCCTAGTCTGCGGCGTGAAGGGTAAGTAAACCCCTGGCTAATGCTGTGCTATGCAATTTTGCCGTAAAAAACTGTGCCGCGATGCTTCTCAATAACGCCTGAAAACATGAAGAAAATCGGAAATGCGCTTTGGAGGCGAGCACTCAAACAAGTGACAGGGCAACCTAATATCGTTCTGTCCCCGTAGGAGAAGCTTCCCGCTTCCCCCGGAGCTAGCACACCACACCACCAAACGGCGTGCTCTGCCGCAGGTCCTTGACCAACTCCTCAACACTATTCAGATGGCGACCCAACAGGCCCTGCTTCTCTTCCTGGCTGCGCGTCTCGGCGCCGTCGCTATCGGCCCGCGATCTGCTGTCGCGCCTCTCCCCATTAGGCCCACTCATCGTTGAGAATGCCTTGGCTAGCTTACTAGGGCTGCGCTGCAACAGCGCCGGTACGTTGCCGCGGGGCGTGGCGCTCGGGATCGAGGGTACCTCGGGCATGAGATAGAAGTACAGGAATTCGACGAGCTTGAGTTTGACTTCACGACTCGTGGAACGCGACTTGAAGAGGGAGGTTACCGTCAGCAGGCCGTCGAGATTCTCGAACGTGCGCGTGTTTTGCGGGGTGTCGATGAGCGCTACGACGAGCGTCAGGAGGGTGGCGGATTGGATTGCGGGGCAGAAATCGGGCTCTAAGAGGTCGAGAAGGAGCTGCGAGTGGCATTGTGTCAGCAAGTCTGGTGGTGTGAGGGAATCAGAGCCAATGCGCCAGAAACATACATTCATGTACATCTCGCGCGAGAAGAGCGTCTTGCTCGGCGGATGCAACAGCAACACGCCCTGGATCAAGTCCAACGAGTTCATGATCAACAAGTCGTTCTGGCCATCGCTCCCTTTAGCCAGCAGCCGGTCCAGCGTGTTGACTAGCCGCAGCGCCACGTTCCACTCGAAGCCCTCCTGCAGCTTGAAGAACTCGTAGAAGGCCGGGTCCTCTGACAGCTCGGCGAGGTTTTTGGGTGACGCCGGCTGTTGCGAAGCGGAGTCGTCGTCCTCGTCTCTGAACGGGTCCTTGTCCTTATCCTTATCCTTCTGCTTCGGTTGCTGTTTCCGCGACAAGCAGATGTTGGCGAGCAGCCCTTCGACCTGGCGCAGACCCTTGCGGACCTTGGGGCCGTCATACGACGAAAGGTTGTCGAAGGCCATGGAGAGCAAGTTCTCCATTGTGATGTATGATGTGTCGCGCGGGCGAATTGTTCTATGGCGGTATTATACAGAGAATGCGCCAGCAACTATTGTTTGTTGTTGGGGTGTCGCAAGACAGTTAGAAGGTGTCAACTGGTGGGAAACTCCGGAAAGACGGATTGGGGCGGGCAACGACGATGGCTGAACTTTTGATACAGAAGCACGAAGGAAAAGGGTAGGAGGGCATCAATTAACGGCGAAGGGTGTGGGATGGCACCTGGAGAAGGGAAGAGGAATCAGTGGATTTGAGCGCAAACCAACTGGTGCTTCTTTAGTTCATACGACACCCTGGACCTTGCAGGGCTCTCCAGTTGTATGTCACAATCGCGGCAGTCAACACAGCAACCACAGCAACGGAGCTTGGATGCTCCCTGGCTGGAAGCACGGGCCCAAGCGTCCCGAGCTGGAGCTCCGATAACGATAAGGAATGCTAATGATCTGAAACGCGGGGCGGACATTGGGAGAATTGGACGCTGGGAGCTTTGACTTCAATATTTTCGCGCCATGTGTGTATTGCGCATCTCACAAGGTGTGAGCGTTATTCCATCTAAACCTTTCTGAATGAGCTCATTGTTGAGATGAACTATTAGCTTGCGATAGCAGAGCGAGGTTCAATAGCCTCAGACTGCAAGTGGTCATCAACACACATGCCAAGGCGACCGCATCTGAACCTGACCAAAGATATATAACATGGTCGAAAGCTATCAATAGCTCCGAAGCTGTGGAGAGGCCGATTGGAACATTGAGGCCTGGCCGCCGAATGGCTTCTAGAACCGCTTTCAAGATGGCATACTAGTGTGCCCAGGTTGTTATGGGTACCCGCTTCCGTCCAGTAGTTAGGACGGCGCCAGGTCAATTATCGAGCCCCAGAAAGCAGAAGTGCCGATCGGTTCCAGACTTGAATCGCCATTCAGTCGGGCGCTTGAGATCTGCCATGCTGCTACGCTAACCTCCTGACTTCCACAAGAGTTTTTTTTTAATTATCACAACAGTTCTTGAGTAGAACTTTCAGCGGCATTCTTGTGTGACTTGCTTCGTTCATCACATACAAATTCACAGTACGCTGGCTAGATTCTGAACTCGAAGCTTGCAAGCCGAAGTATGTCAATTGCCCCCGCAGTGCCCTCCAACAGCCAAGCTCCTCGGTCAAATCGTGACGGCTACGTCCCGCACACAGCCAACTGCGCTCGCATAACTCGGGATTTGTATAACCCCATCAGAAACAGGCGACAAGATTGTTGGCTCCCCTGCAGCTTCACAAGCAAGCAAGCAGGCTGACCCAAGTCCTACAGTCGGCTTATTCTGGGAGCTTGAACCCTGCTGGTAAGGTCAACAACGCCACCTGCTCCCCGCAGGAACTCTGGTGTGCGGCGTGACCCAGGCAGGGCCTGCAAGTCCTGGCGAGTCTAATAGATCGAATGTCCACGGTTACCCGCATGATCCAGTCGAAACGCTCCGGCCAGGAGCCGTCAGGGACCGCCATGCTCAACAACGCCAATAGTCCCATTACCTTCCCTTCTCCCAACGCGATACCACCGAGAACTTCTTCCACCGGCCACATCGTCCCACATCGGCCCTCCAAGTCCGTCCTACGACCTGTTCCCGAGTCCGACTGGCTAGGACAGAACGAACGGGTCAGACATCATCGTCACAACCCCTCCGCGACCCAGGTCCCCTCTTTTCCGAATATCATGCAAGCGTCCGCCCCTCCAGATCCCTCGCGATATGCGACCGCGGATTTCAACTTCGTCGCGAAGAAGACATGGACCGAACAGAAGGAAAAGGTACTATGGGGCCCATATGACTACTTGATGGCACACCCGGGCAAAGACTTCCGTGCACAGTTGATCGCATCCTTCAATACATGGCTTGAAGTCCCCGAGGACAGCTTGGACATCATTACAAAGGTGGTGGGAATGCTGCATACGGCTTCCCTGCTCGTCGATGACGTTGAGGACAACTCGGTGCTACGACGAGGATTACCTGTGGCGCACAGCATTTTTGGTACGGCGCAAACCATCAACTCGGCCAATTACGTCTACTTCTGTGCTCTGCAAGAGCTTCAGAAGCTCAAGAACCCCAAAGTGGTCAACATTTACATGGAAGAGCTCTTGAACCTCCACCGCGGGCAAGGCATGGACCTCTTCTGGCGGGACACCCTGACCTGCCCCACGGAAGAGGATTACCTTGAAATGGTGGGCAACAAGACGGGCGGGCTCTTCCGGATCGGCATCAAGCTGATGCAAGCCGAGTCGCGGTCATTGATTGACTGCGTGGAGCTGGTCAACCTGATGGGGCTGGTGTACCAAATAAGGGACGACTACATGAACCTATCGTCGGTGGAAATGACCCAGAATAAGGGGCTATGCGAGGACCTGACCGAGGGCAAGTTCTCGTTCCCCATCATACACAGCATACGGTCCGACCCCAACAACCTGCAGCTCCTCAACATTCTTAAGCAGAAGACGACGGAGGATGAGGTTAAGCGCTATGCCGTCAAGTACATGAATGGCACCGGCAGCTTCGAGTATACACGACAGGTCCTCGCGGTTCTCATTGAGAGGGCAAGGAGGACTGCTGATGAGATAGACGACGGCAAGGGCAAGAACCAGGGAATCCATAAAATACTGGACAAGATGGTTGTATCTCCGTAACTGTTGTCAAGGTATTTGTGGAGCGGTTCTGTAACTGGGATCTGTAATCGAAAAAGGCGCACACGTATCAATGGTTGATATATACCGTGTAAGATCGGACGTGGCTCGCCAGGATACCCTTTTTCACGGCGATGATGACATCTTGGCATTAGAGGATTCTTACATTGCTTCTTTGAACGTACAATGGCTGGCCTCGGCTGGCGTATTGACTATAGTCACATAATATACCTCATGTGAGAAGACTCATATGATGCTTTTCTCATCTTTGCGTCATTGCTCATCTCTATGCTTTGTGGCTGTCCAGTACTGTCCTATGCCTGTGAAGGTTGTTGGCAAAGCGTTAGAATCCTTTTGCCTGCTTGCTGTCTACCAACTTCACATCTTCCGTTATTCAGTGCCGCTTTCAACTCCCCATGCATTGAGTCCAGATTGTGGTGCTTGCACTTGAAGGGATCTTGTTTGTGACTAAGGAACATTTTCCTGCACTCCTGGCTGGTTTTTCTAATGCCCAGTTCGTTCCCTACGTCTAGTATTATCGACTGCCAACAGTCGACGAGAGACCCGCTTCATCGTGAACTCTGTCGGCCAGACACACGAGGTCCCGTCACTTTGATACTATCACTCCTTCCTTCCTTGTAAATATTCAAGGGACTGGATTTCTTCTCCTCTGCTTATGTGGAGTTTCCCATCTTTCTACCCACCGACCCTCTATTCATATTCAGCCTCCAGCCCACCCACAACTTCCTGGTCGTTTCGGCGCACCGCATACTTGACCGTCCCAAGTCACTTATCTCATCTCGAGTAACCTGGCAACACCATCACCATGCCCAAGTGGACGGACAAGGCTGATCGCGATCTCATCTTCGCGATCCTGATCGCCAACATGGACAGGCATCTGAAAGTCAAGGTCCCCTGGGCCAAGGTCGAGAGCCAGATGATCGACTGGGGCTATGTCGGCCCCAATGAGTTCACACGGAAGGCCATCACGTAAACCAAACCCGTTCCTTCCATCCATCGCTCCACGTCTCCTTTATTCCTGCCCTCCACATCTCATCGACCTCTTCATCGTAACCTCCAACTTCGTCAACTAACCCAACCCGTCCTCACAGTCTCCGCTGGTCAATGAAGATTCTTAAGGAATTCCGCGACGAACAAAAGGCGAAGGACGGCAACAGCCCCCAGGTCGTCACCGAGCCTGTCCCCAAGAAGTCCTCGGGCGGCAGAAAGAGAAAGGCTGCTTCTTTTGACAACAGCGTGGATGACGACGATGAATCGGACCTCGCTGAGACCTTGAAGAAGCGACGCAAGATGTCAGCTGCGCTCACTCCTGGTCCTGTCCTTGGCAAAAAGAAGAAGAAGGCCGCCGGCGGCGCTAAGGTCGAGAAGCAAGAATCGGAGGTGAACGACGAGATTGAGAAAGAGCACGATCCTATCCACTATGCCCCGTTCGCTATCTGAATGATACAAACTCTTCCACCCTATCCAGCCTCAAATGGAAACGCACACACATGTTGGCCATGGAGGAATTCAAGCTGGTTGGGGGATAGGGATACTTATTTGACAGACAGGGGTTGATTGACGTGGCATTTCCGTGGATATGATTCTTTTCTTTCGCATTGCATTTGCGAAGTCATATTTTGCTGAGGGTTTTAGGAAATCATATGGAATAGGACCACGCACACGTCGATCCGCCACCTTGTGGTATGGTTTCTAGGAAGCCATGAAATAGGAATGCATACACTCTGATCTGCCACCTTTTGAGGCTTTGCTTCTTGAGTTTGATGTGCTTCAATTACTGTGACGATCAAGGTGGAAAATCTTGAGGTCATGATTAGACGGTACATCGTTTACCACCCTTATCATCCTTCCGATAGGCGTGGTATAATACGTCCTACCATGACCAGTAATAGGTGGGCGGCCCATGCTGTAAGTAGATGCTGTCAGCCTCGGTGTCACTCCACATGAATTAATGAACAGAATAAAGTGAGTACCTCGACGGGCGATCATCCCATAGAATCACAAGTAGTATTCGGGCATCGACTTCCATCCGTCAATACACCTACAGCCCCCGCTCCTCAACCTCAACCAAACCTCCTCCCAAACGCCACCGTCCCTCCAACCAACTTCCCCAGCACATATCCCCCAAACACACCACACAATATCGTAACAGGCCACTTCTGCCACTCGCGATCCCAATCGAGCGGAATCGGCACCGCGCCAACCCAAGCTCCGACACAACCTCCCATCAATCCCCCAAACGCCTCATCGAAGGGCGCCCTCGCGCCGAGAATCTCCAGCCACTCCTTATTCGAGACGCCGTGGGTATAGAACAGCGGGAACAAGCCCAGAAGCGACAGGTATAGCGAGCAAAGTGACGTATGCGGTAGGTGAGTCAGGAGGGGGGCGCCAAAGAGGACGAAGAAGGTGTGCAGGACTGAGGTCGCGAGGGTGGTGAGGACCAGTGCTACGACGGTAGTCTAGCACAATGGCCATTGGTTAGCTAGAATTCTTTCTCGTAGGATATGGACAGATGGACTGGATATGATACGTACGACTGCGACATTCGGCACCGTCCCATCCGACGAAGCCGACTTCTTCTCGCCCGGCCGAAGCTTCTTCGCGGGCTTGGCTGTCTGGGACCCGGCCGCCGGGAGGCAGACAATGGCGTATGTGCTTTGTATGGCTACGACTACAGGTAGAGACGTCCACATTGTCGATACAGGATCGGAGACCAGGGCATTGAACCGGACGAGAAAGAAGGATAGGAGTAGTATCGGATGGACATGGCGGACGCCCTGGGCCAGGGGCGTCGGAATTGTTGGAATTGCTTGCGTGGGCAGCCCCAAGTCCTTTGTCTTCGCGTTGCCCGCAGGCGGGGACATGGTTACGGGGTCTACGAGAGGCATTTCGAGAGGACGGAGCCGAAGTTGGCAGGATGATCGGTGGCAATGGAATAGGTCACTCTTGGGTCGGGAAACTAGAGCTATTGAGATCGGTTAACGTAGCGGGTACGTATTTGAATGACACTCATTGGCAGTTGGCTAAGGCTGTTACCAAATGGCGATAACGATAAAGCACCATCTGCTAGACTTGCAGTTTCGCACGTGCTCGCCGATGTGACTGGATTTGGCAGTGAAAAGAGTCCCAACTAGGCACCGATATTTCAGCTCTACGTTAGACTCCTGTTGGCGCTAAATTTGCAGTGAAGGAGTGTGGGGGCCACCATAAGGGAGGTATTGGCATCTTCTTTTTCAGCCTCAATGGATGACGTTAGGTCCAGTTACCTAGGTATCCTCGTAGCTGCTGCTCTTTTCAGAACTCGACCTTAAATATGGATATGACTGGCCCAGTTGGCCGGTCAAGGGACCATAAGCACTCAGGATCAGGACCACGTTGTTGGCGATCATAAACTCAGGACTCGTCCGTTCCACCAGCTGCATCTCGGGAGGTGCGCATGAATCCCTCAACGCTCGCATAGAATCTGCATGTAGCAATAACTCGTACCCGAACTCGTGAGTCCTTCGTGACCACCACATCAAGCATCCGTATCCATGGTCGTGGAGTCCGGCTTAGGGATCAAGCCTCGCAGGGATAGATCATAAATGACATCCTCGACCTTCTTTACATGATACTTGACGGCGTCGACCTTGCGTCGCAGGATGTCGTTTTTCAGGTTAAGCAGTTGGAATCCCGAAAACAGGTCCTTGATAAAACCGCTGATGCGCACCGTGAGCTCGATGTCGCCCATGGTGACCGAATTCATGGAGAGACGGCTGAGCTCCTCGGTTATGTCCGTCAGCGATAAGACGTACTCCTCGATGGTGATGTGGAACGCGTCGCGGTCCTTCAGGTTGACAGGGACTGGGATGGATTTTAGCAAGACCGGTCAAGTTATACTTCGTAGACGGAATCGAGAGGGCCTGTAATAACAAACCTTGTAAAATCTGGCCGACCTCCTCAAGGGTGAGCAGTCGACCAAGCTCGCCAGGGCGAGAGTCAGTGCCCATGCCGCCAAGCCATGCCGTGAGAAGAATGGTGTTGATGATTCCCTGGATGCCTCGAGTCCATCGGTTGTTGTACCTGGAGTCGGTCAGCCTCAAGTAATTCCAACAGTTGAAGTAGCGCCTACTTATAGTACGGGTAGTTGGAAGCAAATGCAGCTAGCTCTTTGACCGTCTCGGTCGAAGGCCTGATGGCATTCTCCTCGACTTGCTTCAGCAAGAGTGGGACTGCAGGTACTGTTAGTTCATATTCCGTTTGGAGAAGGTCACAGTAGAAGCCTACACTTGGCAGCGGGTGTCGAATGGATGCGGCTCAGAAACCCTTGGGCGGCCGAGACGTGACGGTTCAACGTCGTCACGAACTGTTGGAGCTTTTCGCTGACCTGTATCTCCTGCTCGGCATTGACGCGCAGGTAGTCGATGATGGAGGGGTCAATGGTTGTGGAGTCGTTGATCGCCATCTTTGCTGTTGCTCCGTATGTAAGCTGGAGTTGGAGTTGGAGCAGAAGACGGGATGGTTTGGCGGTGGCAGCAGAAATTTTCTAGTAGGACGGCAACTACTTTTGGGCATTCTCACTCTGCCTCAGTTTTATTGCACTTATGATCGTCAATAAGGCATGTTGTATTACGCTGGCTACATTATGTTTTTACGACCTAAGGATGCCTTTCATAGCTCCAAAGCCGCGATCGACTGGGGGAGCCTTTAAACTTCTCAATCCTGTTGTCCCAGAGGCTTTTGAACATGTCTTAATTATGCACGTATATCTACAGTAGCGTCAAAATCAGTCATTGCAATTTCACGCATGTTCAATGCATCGAGGTGAATTCTCTTTGATGGAAACACAGCATCTCCACATCTGCTGACCTAGCTTGCTGGATCACCTCACAAATTTCAAGATTCACAATAGCGGAGTTTTCTTCTTCACATCCCCAGACAGGCTGAAGATTGCAATGAAAATAACCATTCGCATCACCTGGAGGCAGTGTAATACCAGGGACACGGTGGGTGTGATCATGTGCAAGCACAGAGGATACACTCCCGAAGGAAAAAATTGGAATAATCACGATTGAGTTCCATAGAACTCTTTCAGAGATTAAACTGAAAAGAACACTGCGGACAAGGTTAGTTGATGATTTGGAGTGTAAAAGGCCACGGGAGGCACTCACGATACTACACTTGATCTGTCGAGGGGTTAGCACAAGTCCCAATAGTAAGGAGAACTGTGGCTGTGGCACATACCTAAGCCAAAAGGCAAAGAAGAGCTAAAGAAGAAAAGAAAATCAAGTAAACCCCGGGCAGAGGGAACCTGCTTAAGTAGTAGTTGGCAAGGCGGTGTGGCTGATTGTGGTTTGCCGGCAGAATTGGGCGGTAGGTGAATAAGTGGGTGGTTTGGTGGGGTTACGAGCAGGCAGCAGTTGCGCCAGCCAAAGCCAGGCAATACTATTGGTTGATAATAAAATTTACATTGGACAACCCCCACCACTTAGACGATCCATGTCTTCATCGTTCCCTTTCACACTACCTTCAGGGCCATAGCGGTACAGTCTGTTTGTGCAGCCTCTATGTGGCCTGGCAATCAGTTGGATGCTGAAGATTCGACTATCCAGTGCTCTCCACCTTGGGCAGCCGGGGGCAAAAGATCATGACGAAGGCAGTATTGAGCCCAAACCAATAGCTCCTCTCCATGAGTTGTACAGAAGTCATGGCACAACGGCCAATGGTCGGATGTATACATTCCGGACGGATAGTTGCCGACTTGTGCATTGGAAATGTACTAAACTACATGCTATGCGTCTCGAAAATGTGGTTCCCAGACATACCATCGCGGTGGTGTTGAGGTTCTTGGCGCTGAAACAATCCACAAGCCACTTGATATCATTCATACCTTGACACTACCTGCTTGCGGAGCTCTATGTTGCCATGGAACGTCAAGAAATTATGTAAATGATATTTGACGAAAAGGATGGCAGGTGGGTACGAGTTCGATATTGACCACATTCGACCTGAGTGTGGTTCACTGTTCACCATACTTGGTCATGGTTCAGCTCGTTGTTCTTACTCGGTCAAATGCTGTCAAATGCTACGCCACATATGGTGGGCAGCTTCTCGGGCACAGCCCTACAAGATGGACGTCCATGGATATCAAGGCTAAGAAACAGGGTTTATAACAACCTATTTACGGAAACCAGCCGCTCCAGCAGTTATGCGTTGTCAATTCTACAGTGCATTCCCGAGCGTGTTGCTACCCGCAATATGACCCATCACTATAGATCGGCTACGGATACTGACCTGCACACTGGTTTGAAAGTTATCGAATATCTTCCGGCAGGTGACCTTTGATCTCAACCAGGCCTCGTCAAACATCATATCCAAGTTGGAGCTAGATTGTTCCTCTCGATATAATCTATCGCAGCGGGGCACCGCAGATACAGACTGCTTCTCTATCAAGCTCAAGCTAAGGCCACCCATATTCACATTTCATGCAGGCCCAAGAGCCCAAATGTGTAGCTTGATAATTCAGGCAGGCTGGAAGAATTGGAAGCAGTCGCCTTGCCAGCCAAATCTAACTCGAGAATGTGAGGCTGGCGTCGTTGTCATCAAACTGTACATATGATGTTGTGCCACAAGGTATTTGGTAGATTTTGCACTATACGCGGCAGTTAATGACTTTTTCCATACGCGAAATATTCGCTTTTCTTCTCCTGCTACGATAAATCGCTCTCCAACGCCCCTTCCCAAACCACTAACCCAATCCTCCATCCCGGAAAACCCTTGTTTCCCTGTCAACCTAGCTCCCCCTATATGTAGAATAGCTGTAAGGCGACAACAGCAGCGGCACATGGTAATGCTGTCCCTTCTGGACGGAGAACGTGACGACGACCTCAGGGAAGAAGGTCTTGCCCTCGCCAAAGTAGGCGCCCGTGTCGAAGCGCAGGGTCCAAGTGGACGTAGTCTCGACCTCGCTCAGCACATCGTCGAGCGAGTAGGTGGGGACGTCGCCCGAGGCGTTGGAGCTGCTGTAGGGCAGCCAGGCCTTGATGCGGCCGTCATCGTCCGTCTGCGACTCGAACGTCTTGAGCGGGGCGTGGCCTCCTTCGAGCTTGACGCGCACGCCGCGGGCCGGCTTGCCGACGCTGGTGTCGAGGATATGGCACGAAATGAGGTCCTTCTCTGTGGTCATTTTGGTGGTGGGGTGAGGTCGGGCTGCGGGTTATTTGTGGATGATTTCCGGTTGATGGATCAAGAGATTGAGGGATGGCAGATACGATTTCTTGAGCAGGAAGGCAAGTGCAGAACTCACGAGGCACAATTGATCGAGTCCGTCTGAGTTAGGCAGAAATCTGGGAAGAACTGGTGAATTTGAAGAAGCTCTGTTGGCAGCAGCACTGAAGTGACTGAGCTCTTTCCTTAGAGCGGGGACCTTGACGGTTGGAGGCGTCAGCACATGAGATCCCCGGCACTTTATATGGGAACAATGGGATCGCTGAGTTTCAAGACTGCGCCTCCCGTTTCCCGGTTCTCGACATGAATGGATTCGCTCGAGTCCTACAGAACCGTTGAGAGACAAGCGCAGCTAACAGACTTTCAATCAGCTTCCGACGCTGGCCGTCACGACATGAGGTGAACCCCGCCTTGGGGGATTTTCAATGGGCCCACTAGGCTGAGCCAGCCCGGGAGTTACCCTGCCATCAATGGTTGACAGTTGTGATAAATTTAGAACTAGCTGTTCCAGACATATATGATCGCCCAATATCGTGTCTGGTAACGGTTCAGCTTTCTGAAGCAGATTGACTAGACTTCTGGTACACTGGGATTCTTCGATTAGCTAATATATCTTAGCGAAATACAGGGTGGCGGACAACCTAGATACGTCCACGACGCGATCAGCTATAAGCTCGATTCGGGTTCTATCACCGAGAGCCCTCTATAATAATTGAGATATGTTCTTCTCCTGAAGAATGAAGGCGATTTCCTGTCTTACAATCTAGAGCAGAACTCAGGTGCACACCAAATTCAGGAAAATCATTCAATTCAACAACACATAATTACTGAAGAACTTCTAGAGATCCAACAATACAATAATAGCTGATACCAGGTTTCAGTCAGTCGTTTCAGTCTGCTCAGTCTGCTCAGTCTGCTCAACTAATCTCGTATAGCACTACCCCAAACCAACTCTTTCGTTCAACACAGAAACGACCGATTGTATAACAAGATTGACAGTATCACAGATGTGAAAAAATGCAGGGCAGCTCGGTACTCGAGTATATTAAATTAGACATAGCCTGATTGTTCCACCTGGGTCTAGTGTTTACTCTATTATTCACTTTGCAGAGATCAGTTAGCCACATGTACATATTTACATCATTGGAATGAAAAAACCAAGACAAGACAAAGAAATCATATCGCAAAACACACAACAAGCAAGCAAGAAGATGATTGTTACCGTAATGCAACAAGGAATGGCCAGCATTGTCGCTTAGTTGGAAAAGTCACTTTCAACGTTATTCTCTGACAAGCGTTGGACCAAGTTTACCTCCGTATGACCAATATGAGGAGAATTTCAATTAGGGTCTTCTATGAGCTCTCGGAGCTGAATCCCATATCCCCACAAGTAGAGACTGAAAGTTCACCCGAGGATGCAGTCTTCTCAGTCTGGGGGGAGTCTGGATCCGAATCCAAGTATGCTTCTGGCGAAGATAATGACATGCTCCAGTCGCCATTCCCAACGCAGACGATGGCCACCGGAGGCAAGAAAAAATATCGTCAGAAAATTGTTGCCGAAAATGCCAAGTCGAAGACGGAGATCAACATCCAGCAAGATGAGGAGGCCACCGAGACGGCGGCAAACAGCGAAAGCAAGGACAAAGGCATTCCTGATACAGCCGCCAACACCGTCAAGAATAAGATGAAGATAACCAAAGACGCCGTAGTCGCCGCAGCAAAACCTTATACTGGTTCCTTAATCGTCCCGTACAGAGCTTTCGCCGATAAAACCGCCAACTCGCCATGTCCTCTAGAAGACTCTTCGTCCTGTTTACCATTCATACATCACGTATTGGGGTCCTGGTCGAAGACCCCATCATCTGTGCAACTCAACAATTTTTCTGTCTTCTGATGAATCTCCAATGCGCTATCTTGAGGCATAAAACGAAGCGCTCGAGCATAGCTATAATGCGTCAAGGCTTAGGTACTGGCGAAATGCTTCGGTCAGCTACTCAAACCACCAAAGACAAACTCACCCCATGGCAGCCGAGACAATATTATCAACCGGTCAGGAAATTCGTTAAAACAGACCACAAAGACCGAGGTCGACACAATCCAAGGGTGTCTGATGATATGCAACACCCTGGAAACGATATCGAGCACCATACAAGATGACAAGCCAAAAGTTATCAATGGAACCAATAAATAGGGGAAGAAGCACTACAAATGGTGGAAAACACCTGCGTTACCGGAACTTGATGCGCAGCTGAAGGTGTAGGGCGAAGTCCATCGAGCGTGCCGCGAGGCTGACTTTCGTCAACAAACTAAGAGGGACTGCGAGGAAGGCCCAAAAGGCGCTGCAAGATCTTATTCCCAAGGCTGATAGGCAAAGAGGAGCCCGCGTTGGAGGCCCGATGGACGAAGAGAAATTGCGGACGGCGGTTAACAAGTGGCTTTGGGTCCTAGACGCTCGCATGAAGACCCTTGAAGCGGGAGTTGATGAGTTTATACCGATGACGCAAGTCAAAACAATCACGGTTACTACTCAGCCCACTTGGCTCTCGGTTTGAGATGTTCCATGTATAGGCGGAGGGGAGTAAAGGATGGTGGGAAGATACGGGCGATCATAGGCAGGCGCGGTATAGCACAGTGCTCATAGGTTCAACAGTCACTACAGATATCTGTCAGGTTACACTGAACATATTCCAAGTCAATAAGGTGTGGAAACTTCAACTACGCAATATGTTCATACATATATAATATGAAACTTGCGAGAACATTTCTTCGAAAACCCACAAGCGTACATATATGGTCAGGTAATCTGGATGTATATTAGCCTATAACCTGGATGATCAGAGTTGAGTAGTTTCTGGAACTATTATTGCACACTGCAGCTCGAAATACGAGCATGCCTTCCTATTACGAGTGCCGTACCTTGCTGTTTGCTGCTTGGAGCTGCCCTCGCGGTAATGAGCTGGTTGACCCATTTCGCAAATCTCTACTAAGCTGATAGTAATCTGATTGTGAGGCATTTAAGCATGGCGAAACAGAAACCGCTTCATAAAGCACTTTGAGTCTCTTGCTGCCCCATTGTTCTACTTATCTATATCATCGACCTGGTTTCCTTCTGTAAGAGCCTTCAGTTGGCTGGATCTACACATACTCTATTTGCGAGCCCTGAAGTCATGTCTCACAGCATGTCTCATGGCTTCTATGCCCGATATATACCCAGTCAACGTTGACCGACCCCTGCATCTCCCTTCATCTCCCCATTTATCTTTGAAGTGCCTTTTGGGCATGTTTCCTCGGTGTCCCTACCGCAGTTAACATATACAGAGCGAGCAAGGCGGAGAAAACCTGGAAAGCCGCAATCTCAACAGCCTGCCTCGCCAGAAGGGAGAGCCTCATCTGCGACCGTGTACTGTCGTCTTCGTTGTCCCGGCGCTTGCAAACCTCCAGGAAGAGCTTCGGGTCATCTGTAATGACGCCGTCCAGGCCTTTTCGAATACTCCATTCCATCCATGCCTCGTCATTGACGGTCCAGACGAAAACCAGCCGGCCCGCTTTCCTTACGTCTTTCAGGAAGCGAGTGCCGCATGGCCCTACGAGGCTATACTGCAACATGTTGAAGTTCATATTCGGCACAGGGAGCAGTTCTCGGGCGTAGGTGAGTGACCAGCCGATGTAAGTGAACGGGAACCCGGGGAGATGTCTCAAGCAGAGGCTCACGTAGTCCGCCTAGGCGTTGATGAGTTTTCATGTGGACTCAAAAAGGGGATTCGGGGGCATTTACGGTCCAGCAGCCCATGACTAGTCTCTCGCTCCATGCCCGCTTTGTTGGGACAGAAGCACAGGCAGCTGCTACACCACTCAAGAGCTCGCTACCGTCATCGTCTCGCTGCAATTGCAGCATGTCAGTGATACCTCCCAAAACTGATCTTGACTGTGAGACTGACTTTTACATCAAGCAGAACCCAAATATTCTCTAGGCCTGGTTGCGCCAGGTACTCAAGCAAATCTACCAACCGCGGTATTGGTTGCCGGGGCTCACGTAAGGTCCGCAGCGTGCTCAGATAACGCCACTCGCAATCGGCAATTTTAGCGTCTATGCCAAAGCACCGTTTCAACGAGCTGTCCTTCCATTGGTGTCAGCACAATGACATCCACAAAGAAGCACTAACTGAAGATGATGAATAGACTAACATGGCAAAGCACCACAACGCCATCTTTGGACATATGCAGGTCCGTCTCGATGGCGTGGGCACCGATCTCGATGGCGCTCCGGAATGCCACCAAGGTGTTCTCGGGAAACACGGCCTTGTAACCGCGGTGGGCGATGGTCTGCGGGAGTCTGCGTCTGACTGCTGGGGAGACATCTCGGTCTGTATCGGCTTCCAACAGGACCGCAGCGAACGGCGCGCCTGTTACAACGTTAGGCCGGACAACCGTGAGTGGCCGAAGCATTGTGCGCCGGGCTAAGCCCGTTACACGAACCTCACGAGTCGGTGCTTTCAGTGCCGGATGCCGTAACGGAGGCGCCGGGAGAGCGCAGCTCAAATCAAATGCGTGCGATGGATGCTACTCACCAGGCGGGCCATCAGTTGGCTTGCTCTCCCACTCGAGCATTGGCGTCAGTTCCTCGGACCTCATGCTAGGGGCGATACGGGATGACGATGGTTTCTCGTTGAACAGGAGTGCAGGCACAGGTACAGCTGCAACTGGTGCGTGTTTATATGGACGATGCACTTGGAAATACGAGCTATGAAATTAGGAAGAAACGACATTCATGAGTAACAATCGCGGGAGGTCATCACCTGCCGAAGAGGTCGTGGCCTGAAGTGGGTACACGGCGTACTTAAGAACCATCTTATTCCCACTCTGGCCCCGACGTAGTGCTGTGTGCACTACGCACTACGAATAAAGGTATCCAAAGTGTGCAATCCCGTATCCGTGGGTGGGGGAGGCCTGAGGATAACCTAAAGTCCGGTTTGCCCAAACTGTTTTGCACACAAATGGGGCGGCATTCGGGTGGAATAGAAAGCCGCACACAGCTAATGTGACCCCACATGTTCTGAAAATACCAATGGCGACTGGGGATTCGTGACAGCTGCATCAGAAGTCTGACGTGTGCAGGGGATGCTGCCCACGGGGAACACACGCGGGGATTCCAGTGCTTCCGCGACACCATACGGCGCATTTCCACATGTGGAAGCCACCACGGATCCCGGGGTCGTTCCAGATGGCTGGACGTTGCTTCAAAAGGGAAAGGAAGCAGAAAACAGTCAATCCAGAGTGAGAGGTCCAACGTCTCAGGCTTGGATAAATGGGCATTCATAGCTACTCAAGCACACGAACAAGATGTAGTATATTTACATTCGAACCCCCCAATCGACTGTACTCAGGTACGGCGACGGAAGAGTACCCCTCCACAATTGTTTTAATGCCTAGAGAGTTTCACTCAAGCCGCATGCTGTGACCATCACCCATGTTTTTCTGCCGTCGTGTCACATCCAGTTAGGAACTGTACTATGGTGTGCAGCTAGCTCACTGCCGAGGACCTCGGAGCATTACAAATACCGTAGTCAATCCGTCAGAAAGTCAGACACCCGGTGGGAAGTTCATGATCTTATCGAACGAGAAAAATGAGCGTTGACAATCAGATGCGTTGGACATCATCCCCGTGCCTTATCTCATCGTCGCCTCAGTTTCTATAATTTTGTTAGGTCGGTCCACGGCCGGAGAAGAATCGGATATTCGGGAAGCAATCGTGCATTTGAACCAATGAGTTTTGAGTCATAACCATATGAGAACCATGCCATTTCACCCATGACGATCTCTTCGAACCCGAAACTGGCGGTTTGATGACTGGTCAGGTGTAGCGTTTCGGATTTCGTAGTCTCGTCTGATCTTTACCAGTTTGGCGGATGGGATACCCTATAACGATCAATTTGTTCGGCTTACCAATGGGTCGACCCGCCAGCTCCCGCACTACGTACAGATGTAGGGAAAGTGACTAAAACGGGTACGTCATCTTATGTGTGAACTCGTCTTTTACAACTTTTGCTTAGATGACATACTCGAGTGTTTTTACGGCTACAATACAAATATCCTAAACGGCGAACCTAACCGCTTAGCACCTGTCTATGACGTACTTTTATTTACAAACGTTATACCTGAATAAAATGATAACTTATAACTACTAGGGCTACGTGTAGACTCTTATATACACATGATTATAAATAATCATACTATGATTCTCTTGCTATAGGATTTTCTATCCATTTACTATATACTCCATTTCAGCCTTATCGGTTGAATAGCTATCATCTTATAAAGGTTTGAATTCATCTTACTTTGGTGGGAACATGTTGCACGTGTGGGTGCGTTGTAGAAGGGCTTCAAGGTAGTTAGAGTACTTATCCAGACCCACTATAGTCCCCATTGAAATAAGATACATATCAGTATAAACGAATAATCTGCACGGCGGCTATATGAAAGCCAACCAGTGCCAAATGACGACGCTGAATGCAACGCCCTTGCTTTCCGGCCTATCCGTCTCGGTAGAGCACCCCAAAAATTCAGAAGCCTTTGTCCAACCGGCGCTATATATATTGCAGTAAAGAACCAATATTGTAAATCATACCCAATAATTCAACCAAATGAGTTCGTAGTCAAGTCCCACCTCCAAAGCAACCATGCTACACCGCCGTACAATCACAACCCCAAATTCAAATCCAGACCGTCTATAATCAGCCCACCATCATTTGCAGGCCTGGACTGTTGCAACCCACCGCTATGGAAGTCCTCGTTCCCCATGCTCAGGAACAGATCATTCGTGGTCAAATCATCTCCCGAGCTGAGGCTGTCGTCGCTCAGACTAAATACACTTTGCGGCGCAGCTGGATTAGACGCCAAATCTCCGATGTTGAAGCTGGCCAGATCCCACGAGTCGGGCGACCACTCTCCGTAACTCGTATTCGTAGGAGTCGGTGTCTCGTTGAGTGATATGGCTGGGCCGCCGTAAATCGCATCGTATACGTTGATTTGGCCCCCGTCCATGGCGCCCAGTAGGGCCTCCCACTCAGACGCGGAAATACCACTGCCAGATCCCCCATGCTTCGCCGGTGGGTTCGTCGGGTACAGCGGTGTTTGAACTTGCGGAGGTTGCGTGGTGACCTGGGCTGTTGGCATACGTTTCTGAACTGGCGATGTTGGTTGCGAGGCAGCTGGCGTGTTATTCAGTGACAAGTAGTCGAGGTTCGGCTTCGCATTCTGTCCCGGAGACATACGCATCATGCTTTGCTGGATTTGAGATATGGAAAAGCGATGGTCACGACGAGGCATGGACTGATCCTGAGTGCCATTTTCCAGGGAGGCGCGCGACTGCGAGCGGTATAACTCAGGACGGCCGTTAGAGATGGTCGGCGTGGTCATGCGACGAAGCTTCTCCTGCTGCGACAACAAATCCGTCTCGCTCACGCTCGCACTTGCATGCCGGCCAATGCTGTATGCTGACTTCTTCGGGGGTATGGATGCTCGCGGCGGTGACGCTCTTGACGGTGGCGCAGCCATGTTGGTCTCAGGGCTTGCCTTGCGAGCCGGTGCAGCCCGTGGAGATGGTGCGTCGACAGAGATCAGCGTCGAGGCAACTCGCTTCAGCTCGAAGGTTCCCGGTGCCTTCGCTTTCTGAAGGAGCTTCAGTGACCCGTTGACAAGCCGCTCAGCGTCCTTCATCAGCTTGCCGTCATGTTTGAGATCCAGGGTCTGGTACAGTAGAGTCATGCCGCATAGCGCGATTACGTCGGTCTTGTTCAGGCAGAAGGCGAAGGACATGCCTCTTTCTTCCAGAAGCTGGATGATCTGAATGATGTGCTTGCTTGACTCGCCGATAGTCAGAAGAGACGATGCAGCCTTGGGCCCTAGGCTGGAGCCAACCGCCGGACGGTGAATCAGAGTGCGAATGTAGTAGAATGCGAGTGCCTGTGGTGGTCAGATAGAACAACATGAACCGTGCAGGACGGAAGCGCTTACTAGTAATGGTGACCTACTGCCCGTGACATCGGTCGATGGCTTGTCTTGGGCAAAAGTGAGCTTGAGATGAGTTGATAACGTATCGCACCAGTCAGACAGTTCCGTATCTAACGCCGAAATTTGTTGCAGGGACAAATCATGCGAAGTGGCTGCTGGGTAATTCTTCTCTAGCACTTTGGCAAGGATGCGAGATGCCCTGAACAATGCCAGGGCACTCGACAGTTTCGTGTACTCGCCAGGCAGAGTGGGTTGGAAGCCCTTTTCTGTGACATACTCATCGTCGCAGTCAGAGGGATATTCGGCGTGGATGTCCTCCTCCTTTAATGCTTTAGGAAGTCCCAGGACGGCAGCAGAGAAGCTGTAGAAGTTAGTGGCGCAACGCTAAATGTAGACAGCGGCAAGACATAGCATACCAATCAAGGGTGTAGAGGGTCCAGAACACCTTCTTTCGCGTCTCGATGGTGAGTGCGCCGAAGGAGAAACGCTTCTGGCTTTGGTGCAAGCCGAGACGGTGAGAGAGCCCGACGGCAACGCTCTTGTAGTGCAACAACCGTTTGTAGTCGGCCCTGATACTGCAGTAGATCAGGGCGAGGACTAGGCTCTGCAAGGTGTTCATGGTGTTTTCCATCAGAATCGCATCAAGTGCTTTTTGCCATTGGACTTCGCAGGCAGCGATCTGCTCGGTGTCGGGAAGTTCGCTCGAAACCGCAGCGATGCCGAAGACGAGGTAGAGCTGAGCATTCTTGTGGTTGCTCTTGATCTTGTCGGCATCGGCGACGAACTCTTCATACAATCGAAGGAAGGTAGGCTTGTGGATGACTGGGAAGAGTGGCGCGATCTCCTGAAAATAGACGTTGACACAACGGTCGGTGAACAGCCGTGGCGGTATCTTCATTGATAACGATGGCGGATTCTCCACCAAGGGCTGGCAGCCTTGGATGTGAAGGAAAGCCTCAGGATTGAAGTCTGAGCACGACCTTCCCATCTCCTGAATCTTGCGCTTGAATACCTCTTTACACACAAATAGTGTTAGTCAATGGCAATGGCAGTCTCGTGGAGGAGACCTACCGATAAAAGAGCGACCACTAGACGGGCCCATGAAGTACGAATCAGAGTTCTCAACGCCGAGTAGGAGTGGCGACGCTTGAACCCGAAATGTGTCCTCCTTGACCGGCTGCACCACTTCCCTACTCACTTCTCCCGACGACGTGCTGCCTGGGGAGCTGACGGAGGGTCGACGGTGACGGCTCTGGCCGTGCATTTTGGACAACATGTCGATCTTCTCGTCCTTCTCGTCTAGGAGATCCTTCAGTTCCCTGACCTCAAGCTCGAGCACCCTCACCCTCTCCTCGAGCGATTCCGTGTATCCTCGAGGGAACGCGCGACGGCTGAGTTTGTCGCTTGTGCGGCATTCGAAGCCGACGTTGGCACATTGCGAACAGCACGGGCGAATGCCGTCGCACCTTATCTTCTTCGAACGGCACCTGTCGCAGGCTTGAGCGATGCGACTTTGCGAGCTGGTGCCCACCTTGATCACTTTCATTGGCAGAATTCCCGGCATCTTGACGACAATTATCCAGCACTTTCAAGTATTTTCCAAGCCGCTGCAGCAGTCTCTATCACTTCACAATCCTGTAGGGATCATGTAGGGAGGCCGCGGTCCATTGACGCCGGGCGCAGCGGGTCTGGTCAGCAGTGGGTGTTGCGTAGCGCCGCTTCACTGGCGATGGTAGCGTCCTCTCATGCAGGTTGCACAGTGTTGCGCACGCCGTTACGAAGGAAAATGGGCCTGAGTTTGTGGCTGGCAAGATGATGCGAATGCGATGATCTCTTCGATCCGGATCTGCGTAGTAGCGTTTAGTCCTGGGAAAGAAGTATGAGAACGGTCACCCGAGGGAGTCCTGGATATGGGGTGTATGAGAATGTGAAGTGAGACAAATGTGAGAGATGCGCAGAGGGGTGGGATTTGTGGAGAAGCTGAGGAATAAGAGATGGAAGAATGGCGGCTAGGTAGAGTGTCCACACGCACATTATTCCAATCTCTGCGGCCGGGGTCCGGTGACTATGCCAATGAAGGGCCCCGTTGGAAATCTGGGGTGGACAAGGATCAGGGTGTTGATCTCACGACCGTTGTGCTCCGGAATTCGGAAACTCCATGGGGTTACTATCATGGTTTAGGAATGGCGCCTCCTCGAGTGGTGTGGTGCAAAGCCATAGCTTAGCATATACGTGACTGTGACTGGCCCCAACTGATGCTGGACTCTCGTCCCCCAAGTTCTCACGATAATGAATCGGCCACTTGCTACCAAATCGAGGGGGGGCTTGTGGAGACCAACTAGGGAGGCGCAACTACGTTGTTGGGGACTACTCCATACTCATGTGGCATACTAGCTCGCATTGAGAACCCTGGCATGACTCGGGCTTGATGCGGGCTTCCAGAAGTCGCACAGTTTGGAATGCAAAGTGGTCACGACACTTTTTGACAGATGTGCACGACAGCTGCCAATGACGGTGGTTGTCGCACAAGACTCCATTCATTGAGGTGGTGGAACTCTTGGCTGGAAGCATCGATTGTTCTATTCCACAAGTCTACCATGTGCTTGTTGGTACGTGTATTTGCTTCCTCGATTAGTAGTTCGAGGCGCATGCCATACAACGTAATGAGCAATGCAATCCCGGGCTGTAGATCCTCTGCATACACGCTTCTCAAGTCGTCCAAATTGCCGTAAGGAATGTGTTGCTTAGATTTCATTGCGACCTCATTTTGAAACCATTCATTTACACGGCAGTGTGCGTCCGAGGCCATTGTCGGCTACAAAGAAGCCACACAAACTCACCTCGACCCGAAGTTAATAAACAAGTCAAGTCAGTTGGCCATATCCAAAGATGGGTCTTAATTGTAAGCTTTCCCATCTTTCAAGTGGCTGTTCAGTGGGCGTTGTGAAAGAGAAGTTAAGTTTCATCTATACCCCAGAGTCGAAAGGTCCTCCTTCCGAATGGATAAATGGGGATGCAGCCTCGTGGCGCCAGGATAGTCAAGGATAGTCATAAAGATCCTATTCTAATGATTGGAAGATTAAGGTCGCCAAACTACCGAGAGTGTGGTTTCCTGCATGGGGCCAAGCATGGCCAGACCACCCCATCAACACTGGCTAGACAGGACGAACGAGGTGTGCCAACCCCAACAATTCGATCCTTTAGCAAATATAGATCGTGCTAGATCATCACTGAGCAGCCGTGATCAATCATATGTGGGAAATACTCCGTGATGAATTAGTCGGTCATGCAGCACAGCAACACGCACCATCACTGTCGCTTGGTTGATCTCTCTTCAGCTGGGGCAAAAAACGGGGATGTTTCCCCCGGGGTCGTTACCAGATGTTCGTTCTGTATTCGTTTGTCTGCATTTCCGATGCAAGTAGAGCTATCCATGAGCGGCTTGTTCCGTTGTCCTTCGGAAGGATTCTAGCATCCCGGGACAGCAGCATACACTCCTATCAAAAGTACGTAACTTTTCAGGCGTGAGATGCCTTCAGCTAAAATCTTCCTCATCATTGGACAATGCGGCGCCGGCCTCGTCAGTTCTAGGCTCTTCCACAAAGCCGAGATACGCGATTACGCTATTATCTGCAAGCAGTCGGGTTTTCTGCAAGGGTCAGTCACTATTAGACGTGGATTGTGTTCAAGCAACAAAAAGATGGCAGTACCGTGACGTGGCTTCGGTAGCGTCATGGATTCGGGTTATCAACTTACCTGGTCCTCTAAGGCTCGTGCCGCCCTTTCCAGAAGGTCTGCTTCTAGATTTCTCAAATGCAATGCAGTCTGCAAAATCTCAGCACGCACTATCCCCGGCATGGCATTGCTATGCGAGTCTCGCAGGCTTTTGATTTGTTGCTCGACTCGCTCCTGTATGAGAGTGACTGCGCGAAGCTCGAATATCTGGCGCAATTCGTGGCCGTCGATAAGGGCCGTAAGCTCATGCGCCCTATCAGTCACATCTTCTTCCTGCCAGTGAAGCCTCAAGTGCCGAGATCCATCATTTTCTTGCAGTAACGCAAAATTGAGTCCGTCCTCTTCGTTCAAACAAACAAGGTAGATGAATGGGGCTGTCCATTGCGGGACGCCATCCTCGGAGTCGTGGATTTGCAGAGTTGGAGGGGTGCCGAACACATGAAGCTTAGCCTTCGCTAAGGGATCATCTTCTGTGGGTTCTACGGGAAGGACCAGGCTCTTGGCGGTTGCGTCCGAGTCGATGAAGCCGTAACTAAATAACATTTCGGCTGCCGATTTCCCTTGCCCGTAGTCAATGGTAATTTCCTGGCCGGATGAAACAGCACAGCCTTCACGCAGCAAAAGCGTAACCTCTTCATTACTGCTCTCCTCAAAGTAAGCAGACGATTGCCGGGAATGGTTTACAAGATCCAAACACGGGACCATCGATTCTCCCGACTTTGGTAACCCGAGTGAGCGTGACCGATATAATGCGTCGAGTAAGACCCAGTCGTGGACCGTGAAAACTTCGTCCGCCCACAGAAGGTCATTCCAGTACAAAAGATCACTTGATCTGGCGCGCACATCGTTAAACTCTTTAGTTAAAACTGAAAGCTTTGCAGCAACAGCAGACTTATTCCATGTTAGCGGTACTGTGACCTGATATTTCGGGGGGTATGGAGGGGTTACCTCCAGAGAAGAGCCACGCAAGTGTGAGAGCTCAGCGTCGGTCCACATAGTAGGGATTGGCACCTTTGCTGGCAGAAGACTGAAGTACTGCGTCCAAGGAGTGACAATGTTTTTGGCGCCAGGGTTATCTGGCGAGGAGAGAATAAGCTGCACCATTAAGAATAGCAGAACATCTCCTCGATGTGATCGGTGTCCTGCAGCCTCGAGCAGTTGCCGAAAGTTCTTGTCCTCCTTGGCGTACTCCTCGACGGCCTCAGCAGAGAGAACAAGGTCCTTCGGAATGGTCAGGAGTAACGGGGATTCAGAATTATCCTCTTCATTGACCAAGTCTCGCTCTGCAACCAGACCATATCCCTTCCCCTCGATGTCGCCAACCTTCACGTCGAAAAAGGTGACATCATTGAGAGAGCACCACACAGGTAGAGATGCGATTGGGAATTCGCCGCGTCGCATCGTCTGATGTAAATGAATGGGATCAGGAACTATGAATGGTGTTCTGTAGGGAGTATGATGTCAAGTGGTGTTGCCTGACTGCTTAGTAGAACAACGTATTCCTCGTCGTCTAATACCTTCATCCTTGGAAATCTCAGGTCCCTGCCCCAACCTTAATGTCAAGGTCCACTCGGCACCACATCAGCAAAGCTGAGAATGTGGCCAATCAAAACTCATACAGATAAAATGAACGTTATCGATAATGGCAGTGCCTAGACACTCCAGGGATATATATATGTATTTGTATTGATGCCTAGGAACTGCCTTCACTTATATCTTGGTTTTCAGGCTCGACCACACCTCTTCCAGTATTTAACAGGTGAGCGCGGAAATTGGAACATGCTAAGTTACTAATTTACAATCTCATTTTGTAGGATCTTCAGTAACTTACTTAAGATAGCAGGTTTCCGTGTGCGCTGGTGTGATTACGTGACTGTGAAGGTCAACCCTCGCAGACTCACTACAACCAGGTGACTTACAGCTGGAACACCTGCCGTGGCAGTGTCAGATGGGAAGCCAATCATAACCCTTGTAGGAGCCCCGCCAAGCGTGGATGACTTAGTCGCGCTCCCTCAAACCTAAGTTGTCATCTTCTTTCCTTCGCTCCTTAGAGTAGAATCTTCGTCGATAGCACCTAATCGAGGTCTATACCAATGCGATGCAACCCAGGTCGTGACAGTGACGAACACCCGAATTTAGCAGCATTCTGAAGTGTTCTGGGGATTTCTACTTAATTAATTAAGTACTCTAGGAAGCCTTGATCAGTCCTATACCTTAGAATCTCTTCGACTACCTACTCTTCCTAGTGCTCTACTAGCTCCAGGAGCGGTATTTACTCAGTGGCTCCTTTACGAATATACTATAGCTCTAGTAACGACACTAGGAACATTTCGTGTACAGGAGCGTATTCGCCGGTAAGTAGACTTGGTAGTCTAACTACTAACTCTTTCTTGAAACTTTTACTCTAACAAACCTTAGGCGACTTTCCTTGGTATTTCCTTAAACCCAAAGGTTTTCGGGGATAGTCTAATGATATTTTCCGGGCCAAGCTCTATTAGCTTCCGCCGCTAGTCGTGGTACTTGGCCTGGGCCGCCCATATCTGCATCGTCCAAAATTAGCAACAATACTCGTCAGTGGTGAGGTACAAGACGGGCGTTATTCAACATAGAAAGCCTAAACAGGTACTTGTAGACATATGATCGTGCCTCTTGCGATAATACGTATTAGAAAAGGTATTAGGAAGTGTCGAGACGAAGCTGTATCAGGGTCAAGAATAATGTCGTTGCAAATAGCCCAGCCAATTCTACAAGTAAAATCAATCTATGAGGAGAAAAGAAGAACTACTAGTGTAATAGAGCTCCCCAACATTCTTTGTATATTCGTCCTCCAGTACTGACGCTTTCTGGATGTCGAGAAGTGAGGGCATTCAGGATTTGGTTGTGGGTCTGGACTCGTAGGGAATCTTCTTTGGGGCCTTTAACAAAAGGCATCGCAGAGGCCACATACCAGTCCATATACACATCGTGACAATCTGGCTGATCTGCCGACAGGATGAGCCGGGGCATATCCAACGGGTTCTGTGTGGGAAACGGTTTACCTTAAGTACCGGACGAGTTAATAGCTAGTAGTTCTTATTATATTATTAGATAGTTAAAAACCAGAAGACTTTGAACGATACTAAGTAATATTCACTATAAGGGTTAGTACTTACTATAGCTAACCTCAATAGACAATTATAGATTAAGAGCGACGTATCCGACTACGTAATCGGAGGATAATTATGATGACGAGATAAGAATAGAAAATTGATACCGATGTGCCAGCCACCTCTCTTACACTCGTTTACAAAATCTCTAGCCTCTATGAATTGCTTCGGCCATGTGAATTACAATTTCGTTATAAATGGAGAGTGCAGTAACTTACTGGCAAAAGGGACACTGAATCACAATTCATAAATCAAGTCCCTTGTCAGGCCAACCTGGAGATTGTCGATCGTACGTCTTTAGCGGGTCCCTGCCCAAATCTTATTTTCTAGGCTGGAAACTTTGCTTGGAATGCGCCGTGCTGATGCCCGGAAACAACCTGCAACTCAACCCAATATCGTGAAACAGACGTGCACATTAAACAAAAACGATGCCGAGAGATCCGCTCGTAGGATTAGTTGGGAAGCCCTCGGCTGGAAAATCCACAACCTTGAACTCTTTAACCGACGCGTCGTCAAAAGTTGGTAGGTTGCAATCTTTCGAACCCCGCGATGCTCGAACCACGCCACTGATATGATGCGATATAGGCAATTTCCCGTACGCTGGCTCCCCGATCCTAACATGGTTCCTCAAGTCGTGCATAGTCATATATTTGAAGGTGCTGACTGTATCTCTACAGCTTTACCACTATCGATCCCCAGCGCGCCATCGGCTATCTCCAGATCGATTGCGCCTGCGCCCGCTTCAACCTGCAGGATAAATGCAAACCGAACTACGGCGCATGTGTGGACGGCAAACGTTCAGTGCCGATAGAGCTCCTGGACGTTGCCGGTCTCGTCCCTGGCGCCCACGAGGGCAAAGGTCTGGGAAATAAGTTCTTGGATGATCTACGACACGCCGACGCGCTCGTCCACGTCGTGGACGCGAGCGGGAAGACAAACGCTGAGGGCGAGAACACACGAGGCTACGACCCTTCACAGGACATAGCATGGCTGCGCGGCGAGATCGTGGCCTGGATCAAGGGCAATCTGTGGCAAAAGTGGGGGTCGATAAGGCGACGACACATGGCAATTAAAGCGACAGCCGTCGAGACGTTGCAGGGGCAATTCTCGGGATACGGAAGTACAGCGAGTGTGGTGGCCCGGACACTGGATAAGTTGGCCCTGAAGGAAGGCTTAGAACACTGGAGCGAGGAGACGGTAGACCGGGTCGTGGGCGCCTTCACCGACGAAAAGTTCCCGACCGTCATTGCGCTGAACAAGATTGACGACGCTGACGCGTATACGAATTTGATGAAGATCACCCGGCTATACAAGAACAGCCCCGTGGTTCCGTGTTCAGCCAAGGCCGAGCTGTTCCTACGAAAGATGGCGAAGCAGGGTTACGTACAGTACACAGAAGGAGGCGACTCCGTGTGGACGAGACAGGACCTCATAGACGACGGCGATCCTGATGGCGGGGGCCTGAAGGAACTGGATGAGAAGAACAAGGAGACCATTGAAGAGTACAAGGACATGATCCTGTACCGATACAACTCCACGGGTGTTGTTCAAGTTCTTTCAAAAGCCGCCGAGATTCTTGGTCTTGTCCCGGTATTCCCTGTACGAAGTACTGCCACATTCAACTCCGGGTCGGACACCAAAGCTGTTTTTAGAGATTGTGTGTTGGTCAAGAAAAACACTACGGTGCGCGATGCAGCAAGAAAAGTCTTTGGCGATGCACCACTGGCCTATGTGGAAGGGGTTGGTGGTACTCGAGTCTCCGAAGACGACATTATTTCGGTCGGCAAGCACGATGTAAGTCCCATTCAGAAAGGCTTATTTTGAAAACTCACACTGACTTATTTCAGATTTTGTCGTTCAAGATTGGTCGAGCTTAGACAAAAAAAAACTTGATTCCTAGAGTCCGTGGATCCAGATCACCACAGGCTCTCGTTACACCAAGTAGAATTCCTGCGAGTCAACTCTCACTGCGACCAAGTTCTCGGCAGGCGCCTTGAGCAGCATATGGGGCTCCCTTTGCCACCTGATATAAAAAATCCTCATCATCTGCAGTACCCTAGCCGGGTCGTTCTCGAACTTTCTGGTGCGCTTGTATTTGAGCGCGTAAGGATACTTATCAATATAGTCCAATTGCAAGCTATGCTCCTCCGGCCGTAAGTAGCCCGGCAAAGACGCATGAATCGCCTCCTCGTGCATCATGCCCTGCGTATGACAAGGCCGGCCACCTGCCACCGCGGCTGCGCCGACGACTTGTTCTGAAGCACCACAAGGCTTCGATTCCTGTATATTTCTCATCAGATTGTTGTCTGTTGCCAATGTCTCCTATGTGTGTCGTTGAGTTCGGTGACCTGTCATACGGTTGCCATTCAGACACCAACCACGCCGAGCATACTATCGCCACGGTATTCGGCTTGTACGGACATATATCCACGCGGATGCGTGCCAGGCTGTCTTTTGACTTCTGAATACGTTGAATAGAATAGCGGGGGTTAGCGTGTATACCACTATTGCGGAACGAGGCCCAGACTGGGAAAGATTGAGTCGGAGAGTGCCATGCTAATGCTCCCTAACCGTAGTGGATCACTCAGGTGCTGTATTAGTGGGTAAGGGCGCCGTGACATTCCAGGAGGTTTATCGCCATAACACTCAGATTTGGGAGAAGACAGGGGTAACCGCAGTCGACAATTTGAGGACCCAGAAATGACATATATGAGATGACAAACAGGAAACTCCATTTCAAACCCCGAAGACAATGAATGACGAGTATAAATAAGTAAAAAGAGCAATGCGAAAATCAAGAATTCCAGTTGAAAAGCTCGGAGCGGCGTGAAATGGACGAGAACAAGTGGCGGAACAAACAAAGAATACAAAAGAGGGAGCTGGGAATAGAATCCCTAGTCTGCCATCTAGCAGACAGCGGAGACCTGGATTAGTCCACGGGAAAAAGGGAAAAGAAGCAAACGTCCCCCAACTTCTCCACCCTCCTAGCTTCTGCCCCTGAGCTGCTCTCACCTCTAGCGGTACATCCGGTCACAACCCCCACTCCAGTATAGCTTCCTCATACAAATTAAACAACCTGTACCGCCAGATCGTATCTCATGGCCTTCAATTTCGTCCTTGGGCTGACCTTAAAGTTCCCGGTTTCTCTGAAGTTTCTGTCCAATATCTTCCACACCTGGAGTCTATATATCCATAGGGGTCCTGTCCCGTCGGCAAGGGTGATGAAGGCTGTGAGGTATTTAGCTCGATTACGCATTCCTTACGGGCGACGTTCCTGTCCTCCTCACAATCGCCGACTTTGGGCATGTTATTGTTATTGAGGTCAGATTCGAGTCTGGCCATTGCTTTGCTGATTTCTGATCTGTATTCCGCGACATGATCGCCGCATTCGGCGTATTTGAGAAGGTTTGACAGGCCTGACATAGATTTCATCGGGCTTTTCTTCCTTGACACAGGCTTCGTGGTTGCCGCTGATGTGGTTATCAGATTCATCAAAGGCAGTAGGGCTTTACGTCTTCGGAGCTTATACACACCAATTTGTGTCCAGGATAGTTAAAATTGACAATCACAACGAAACAAAGTCTCGTTAATTTGTGTATCGTAGCAAGTTCTCGAAAGTACGTGACCAAAGACATGAATAGGGGCAGACTGTCTGTTTCGGATACCCTCGTATCACAAGCTGACAATACCAAAAAGGACACACTCCACCCAACCGACCGTAACTCTCAGCGGCAAGAGCTACCAAACTATAACACAGCAATCCACAGGCATTCGCAAACGGACAAACCAGAGACAAGTCAAATTTTGACTTTCGACACCATGGCTCCTTCACCTTTGCCAACATGTCTACAAGATCGTCCCAACTGCGCCTCCATCGCTGGAGCAATACTCACTATCTGATTTGGACAAGCAGGACGGATTGGTTCATCTAAGCACGGCAAAACAGATATACCCCCTGCCCCCTTGTCTCTCTTACGTCCCCCTTTTCGTCTACTTTCCTTGCCCCTGAGTCTACTAGCCATCAAGCCGAGGTCCCCGAATCGGTAGGGCACCACCCAACTCCGCCCCATATGAAAGGCCCTTAGCTTACCAGCCGCCTTGCTCAAAGTCAATATTCCGCATTGAAGAACAGATCCATTGACCCATATCCCAGACCCCAACAACGTCCAACCTCGTCTTTAATGGTACCACCTCCCTCTGGGTCCTCAAGCTCCGCTTCACCTTCGCCGCCGTCGCCAAGTGGGGCGGCGAAGGGTGTGCGCACCTATACGGCAACTTCAGCGAGGCAGACGTGGAGAGCAGCAAGGAGTACCGACGAGGTAAAAATGAGACCTGGGATGAGGCTATGAAGAAGGAAAGCGGGTAGCTCGTGTAATTTGAGATGTCAGTGGCTGCAGAGAGACGGTTGTAGTGGGTGCGTGAGCTTAGTATGTAGTTCGCTTGATTCGACACAAATAGAGTCTGGGTTGTATACATAAGGTGATATGCAAGATATGTCATTGCCCCTTAGGATTATGATTTGTCTATCTGTTTTGCTTCCTCTGCTGTGTCAATGGTATTACAGAAACCCGTACATTTTTATCAATCATCCTCAACGCCGACCAATGCCCTTGCCACTCACTTGTCTACTTAATATTCACCTGTCTTGTATGTGCAATTAAGCCGGTGCCCTTACAAAATTACGCTATCCGCCTGCTCCAGCCACAAATCAGCCAAGTCTTTCGTCAGGCCAAGTCGGAGCTTCTTGAGCACCTCGCCGGAGCTGCTCGTAGCCAACACGTTCTTCCTCCAATCCCATGTCCTCCAGATGGGGCCCTTTAGCACGCCGCTCTCCCTGATGGACTTGTGCAGCTGTGACGCCATCATGGAGCTACCCGTCATCATGAAGCTGCCGCCAAGTGACGACGTCGATCTCTTCATGAGATCCGCGGGAGTTGAGCCCTTGCCATGTCCTGAGGACAGAACAATCTTGAAGAATGCATCTGCTGCCTCGTAAACTCTCGAGCCTACTGTCTGAATGTCCTCAATTGCTTTTAGCAGGATGTCGATCTGCTCCAAGGAGATGATAGTCGGAGACTGGTTGATGAAGACAGTTGCTTCACCGAGCAACGCGAGAATGAAGTCCTCGCTGACAACAGCGTCACAAGAGTCATCGTATAGACCACCTCTAATGTTCTCATCGGCACTCGCAATGACAAAGGTCAAAGCCGTCGCAGCTTGTTGACGGCGTGTGATCGACCGGGGGTTAATTTTGCAGTCTCCGTCGCGTAGTTCGTAGAACTTTCGCAGTGTAAAGTAGCCACTAAGCATCTTGCCGAGAAGTTCGGCTGCTTCGTAGTCTTGCTTTGCAAATTGCTCCAGGGTTGCACTTCGTTCGCGCAGTAACTTCTTGAGTTGGTCGTCCATCTCGCCTTCTGGTGGATATATGGTTGACTCGGCCAGAGAGAAAGACATGAGCCCGTTAAGCACATCTCGAACCTTTCCTGGGCGATGAGCCAAGGCGTAATACCACAACATTTCACCAAAGCGATACGTGTTTTCCTTCAAGATGTCGCCAAATTTCTATAATTGTCAGTTGCTGCTTCTGGCAGATCTAGGTAAGAACGTACCTCAGCTGTGTCCTCGGCTAAGTTGATCATCCCAAGATGATTCAACAAGGCCCAGATCTTGTCCACAGTTGCGTGGCTATCGGGTTGAATTTTGTCGAGAATGTGGAGCAACAACTCATTGACCATCTCCTCCGAGCGCTCGGGCGAATCCATTCGCCCAACAACCTGAACGGCCATCTCCCAGCCATCTCGGGTGATTCTAGCCACGACTCCGCCCTTCCTGGAAGCTGTGCCTGAAAGCTGCTCGATGTTGTTTAGAGCTCGCGCATACTGCATCAAAGTTGTGTCTTTGATGCCGTCTTTATCGTCAGATCCCTTGCTCTGATTCATGCCCAAGAGTTCCAAGTCCTCTACGTCGAGGCTTTCCATGGAAATAAGATTTGGGGGTTCAGGGGGAGGTAGCCATCGGCCAAGAGATGCAATCTCGGCAAAGGTCGACGCCACTGGGAGAGACCATGCTCTTAAGAACCCAATGACACTTTCGACATTGCTTTCGAATATGCATGCGATACACACCTCGACCGGGTCCATAGAGTTGAAGTGGAAGTCGGACTCCGTAGTCTCGTGGAAAGACAAGGCGAGCCGGTCGAGCCAGTCGTAATCTCCTGATGATTGATGGCCAACAGATTGTGACCGTGACAGACCAGGGTTGCGGCTATTGTGACCATCATCCCACCACCCCAATAATCCGATCGTTGCTTCACACCAGTCTTGTGCAGCGGCGGTAATGGCTTCAGCTTCGCCGATCAGGATCGAGTAAAGTGATTGAAGAGACTCGTATACGTCCCAGGGTAGCCGGCTTTCGGCCTTCCGTGCAAGCCCAGTGAGAGAGTGCTGAGAATTGCCAAGTTCCGAGTCGTTGAAGCGATTGGATGGCCGGTGAGGACGGTCCTTGCCCTCAGCGAAGTTGATGAGACCCTCCTTGGCCGCCTTTGCCTTCAGTCGAAACAGGGTCCAGTCACTGCTGCGAATATCCCAGTTGGTATCGTTGATGCCCGGGCAGTGATCCATGACTTGGCAAATATCCTCAACTACGCGATTGATATTGACCAAAGCGCTTCCACTGTACGCAAGCTCGCCACGGGGCCCTTTCTTCACCTTGTCCCACTCTGCTCTTCGTAGCAAGGCCACAGCGCTGTGAATGTTGCCGCGAATGACCGATGTGTATACACCTTGCCAGAACAATGAGTGGGCCGCAGGACACGGACGGTGATATCGAATGCCGGCGATCTGGGCACTACTGGGATCATGGTAGTCCTCTTGCCATTTGAAGAGGACTAGGGGCAACGGGACCGTTCGAGAGCCGCCAAACTGATCCTTTAGAGGTAGAGTGTGGTGTATCCGGAAAGCCAGAGTAGCTATCCACGAAGCCTTCTCAAACAAAGGAGCATTCGGACCAGGCCCAACCTTTGCCTCATGCTCTCTGTTACCCTTGGGTAGAGAATCCGAGTACGGCTTCCATACAGAGGTGACGAGGCGATCAGCGGCAATCGCTAGAGTATCGTCCAGTCTTTCCTCGTCATCTTCGGCACCAACACCATCATCGTAAAGACGATGGACAATTTCCTCTGTGGGGATGATGACGGTTTCGGGCTCGGAGATTTCTGCGTATCTCAGCTGACTGTAGAGATCCTTGGCGACAGATGCATATTTGTACTCCTTTCGCTGGCCAAACATAGAGCGCATCGACGACGCGCGAAAAATGTCATCGGCTTCCCTTCGCATTTGTTCAGTCACTCCTGGTGCTGACATCATCAGGTCCATATCGTCACTGCCCAGATTGTCACCATTCTGGTCAGCTTCGACGATCTCCCTCAATAGATCCTCCTCTATGTCATAATCGACATCGTCTTCGGCCATGTCTTCAACGTCTTCTTGCTCTTCTTGCTCTTCCTGCTCTTTCTCCTCGTCGGCCTCCTCCTCTGCCTCATCATCGTCATCACCATCGTCTAGCTGTCCATTCGCATCTGCATCGTCGCTTTCGTCCTCCTCATCCTCATCGCTGTCATCATCATAGTTGATACCGTAAGTCCCAGTACGTTTGGCCGGAGGCTCAAAGTCGTCCTCCTCATCGCTGTCGTCGAGACCATCCAAAACTGAATATGAATGTTTGCTTAATCCGGAGCGTTCGCGGGGCTGGATTGTGCCGCGAATCGAGCTACCCAAGGGCGCAGCGCTTGCCCTTCCAGCGCGAGGTTTCGGTCCCAAGCTTGGTCTTCCGAAGTTCGGACTTTTGATGTTGCCGCCCATGGCGCCGATGGAGCTCTGGAGAAAAGAGGGAGAGGGTTCTCCAGCGGGTGTGAAGGTACGCGCGGAGGAGGGCGGTGGACCGGCCGGGGTGGTAGAAGGGTGGTCTACATGGAATGAGTAGGCTGAGCCTGCCGATCTCTGGTTCCTATCCGGAGTGGCGGGCGAGCTCGTGTCGGGGAAGCGGAACGACATGACGGCGATTGCGAGAGTGCTGCTTACTGGTTTGCGAAGTTTTGTTGACCCGGTGCTTGTGGGTAGAGTGGGCGACGATACAGAATCCGTTGCTTACGTGTCACTTCCGAGCTGCCATGAACTTCGCAGAAAAGGGCCACCCGATTGACTCGCGAAGAGAGGCGTATGAGGTCTTTGGGAAGGCGGCGAAATATACACGGTGAAGTTTCGAAACGCGGTTTGGCGCATCGTGAAAGAAAGCTGGGGTTGCACGCACGGGCCTCCATCAGTCATCCTTGCGGTAACCCCTGCTGACTTCTCCCACGGGTGCAGCCGTATTTATTTACGGACTTCAAAGTTGCTTTCAGTATTATTTCCAGAATACTCGTTTCAGCCATATCTTGTGATAATCCATTTGAGTGTTATTTTGCGAGTTTGTTATCCATGATTGCTCGATATCACGCGTCCAACGTGCTGATTCGTCCCGCTGCTCGGGTACCTTTACCCTATATCTCTACCGGCTTGAAGCGGCCGGACTTAGAAATAGTGAGACCAAAGGGCTACGAAGACACGCTACCCGTGCCACGCCCCACCTTTTTTGATTTCGCCGAAGCTCACCAACTAAAGTTGGTGCTGGACACCAAGTTCGCCAGGACACCAAGTACGCCAGATTTCGCAAAAATAGCTGCTATTAACTAAAATCGACGTAGCTGCTTAACCACACCACCTGTAGTTACAATCTCTGCTGGCTTCAAATTGCCATCTTTTCGCCATTGCCTGGACTTTTTGGCTGCTTCTGAAAAGGCCTTCTTGGCGGTCTTTTTTATACGTTCGTTATGGCTATCCAAAATCCGTTGTGCCTTGACGACTTCACTTTCAACCTTTTTTTTGACCATTTCCCGGCCTTCTGAAACAGATAAAACTCCTCCGGATTGAAGTTGATAGTTCTTCATTGATCGGCGCTGTTTTGCAACTCGTTCGGCGTATTTGGTGCGGCCAAGATCCCGTTTAACTTGGACCAGCTCCGTAGCGTTGATCAGGGACCCTTTGATAAACCGATTTAGCTTGGTGGCGAATTCGGGGCTAAGACCAAGCTCAGGGTCCGAAAGGGAGTTCTCGATATGTACAGCTACTTTGTGAATTTGTCGTAGAGTAGTCGGAGTATTATCGATAGAGGAAGAATGAGGTGGTGGTGATGGTGTAGGTGTTTTGGCTTGCCGTTCATAGACCTCCTGCAAAACTAGGGTAGGATTGAATGGATAGATGCCAGTTTTTCGGAAGGCCGATTCGATAGTACTTCTCTTGAAAGTAGACTTGCGTACGTTTTCGATAATTGACAAAAACTCCAGTTTGGAGATGTTCTGAACGCCATCACGAACCAGCAGATCTAGCGCTTTTGCGTGGTAGTGTTTGTACGGTTGAAAAACCACTACGTCTAGCGGTTGCAAAAGATGGGTAAGGTGAGGTGGCAATCCAAAGGGGATAATATCGTGATCTTCGCAGAACTGGATGAATTGCTTCGTATGATGTGAACCGTGGCCATCTATAATTAATAAACGGCGACGGCCCTTTTGCGACTTTCTGGATTGGTATTCGAAATGCTTTAACCACTCTAAGCAGACCTCATCATTTGGATACCCAGTATCGACTGGGCATATCTTCGTTTCGGGGTGGAGGCTTTGTTGGTACCATTGAGCCATATGAACAGTTGCTTGAAGGATGATAAATGCCGGGATAGAAGCGCCGCCAGCAGAGATAGTTTCGATAATAGTAGCAGATTCCCTATTTTCTGGCAAGCCGAAGTAGTGAGCGCGTTTCCGCTTGGTTACGATTAGCTGATTCTTGCCTACTCCGATCCGGAACCCAGTTTCATCCATATTCCAGATATCATTAGGGCCAATCCCGTTTTCTAGAATAACCGTCCGAAGCCGTTCGTAATAGAGCGTTATAGACTCGACGTCCTCAGCAGATTGACGTTCAGCTTGAAGCTGTTTTTGCGTTCTATGGAAGTATCCATGACGCTTTAGAAAGCGCGTGGTCCATTTCGTACCGACTGTAGGGATTTCAATCGGCCGGCCTTCGCTATCCGTTGCCCGAAGCCGCTTCAAAAGGATCAGATTGGCAGCTTCTGTAACAAACTCCGGGCGAACAGCCAGATTGATTCGATCAAGCCGATCAATGTAGTTGCAAAGAGCCTTTTCTTCGGCTTTGGTAAAGGTCTTGTTGTTGCCGCCGTGCTGTTTGGTGTCTGTAGGGCGATTGACGCGATCGCGGAGGGTTTCGCGTTTGACTTTGAAAGCAGCTGCCACCCTCGTTTTTGGGGCTTCCGGATGTTCTAGGGCGTATTGAACGGCATCGTACAGACGTGAAGCCATCGCGAGCTCGAAAATTTCGTCGTTTTGGTGGTTAAATGGTAGTGTAATGATGGATGTTTGCGAAATCTGGCGTACTTGGTGTCCTGGCGAACTTGGTGTCCAGCACCAACTTTAGTTGGTGAGCTTCGGCGAAATCAAAAAAGGTGGGGCGTGGCACGGGTAAACCCCATCGATGACAGCTCGAGCCCAATATCTTGCCCCTCTATGCTGATGAATTTCTGACACGCAATGTTAGTGTACTGTTCTTGGGCAAGGTTTTGGCTTTTGCTGTGGCGAGCTTCGCTACTTTTCAGTAGTGACTTGAAAGTATGTAAAACAGCTGTCATAACGACCCAAAGCATTGGCCTTTTGAAGACACCGAAACTCCCCCAGAGCTATAAACAACTAGTTGTCGGACTGCAGAGAAAGTGACATCAGTGTCGCGACTGCCGTGCCAGCCCCACCACCATCATCGGTTTTATCTGCTGTAGGAATAAATATCCTTGGGTGGGGTATCATCCTGAAACTCCGCAATAGCTACAGCCAAGACCAAAGGTTCTTACAGTTGGTAATCAATCATACGCGACGGACAGCATCTCGTCCAGTTCATATAAAACCAGCCAACTCGGGAAAACTTGGCTTGGACAATTTTGCATCAACTCATCATTTCTCCTCTTTGAACTACTTGCAAATAAAACTCCAAGCATGGCTGATACCGTTGGCAAAGTGCGTTGTTCTCACCTCACCATTACCCCGCCATGGCTTCTTCAGTTTGCAAAATCCAATAGCTAACCACGACCTTCATAATAGACCATTACGTGCAAGGCCGCCGTGGCCTGGGAGGCAGGCAAGGAGCTGAGCATTGAGGACATCGAGGTCGCACCGCCCCAGGCTCATGAGGTTCGAATTCAGATCTACTATACCGGAGTATGCCACACAGGTTCGTCTCCCCCGCAAAACGCCGTGAACACCGAGCCAAGTCCGAGCAGTGACTGAAGAAGAGTTTTGCAGACGCATACACACTTTCTGGCAAGGATCCTGAGGGTGCTTTCCCCATTGTTCTTGGGCACGAGGGAGCTGGTATTGTTGAGTCAGTCGGCGAGGGTGTTACCAATGTGAAGGTCGGCGACCACGTCGTCGCTCTATAGTAAGTCCACCCGTACGAGATGACAGCACCATAGCCGTTGTCGGGTCCCAATCACCCTGTTTCCCCGCAGGCTAATATGTATACCACTCGCCTAGCACGCCTGAATGCAAGGAATGCAAGTTCTGCAAGTCGGGCAAGACCAATCTCTGCGGCAAGATTCGAGCAACCCAGGGTAAGGGTGTCATGCCCGATGGCACATCCCGATTCAAGTGCAAGGGTAAGGACCTCCTTCACTTCATGGGAACCTCAACCTTTTCGCAGTACACCGTCGTCGCAGATATCTCCGTCGTCGCCATTCAGCAAGATGCTCCCATGGACCGAACATGCCTGCTCGGCTGCGGTATCACCACTGGATACGGTGCGGCGAGAATTACTGCTGCAGCAGAGGAGGGTTCCAATATTGCTGTGTTCGGTGCCGGCTGTGTCGGTCTGTCTGTTGTCCAAGGTGCCGTTGCACAAAAGGCGGCCAAAATCATCGTCGTCGATGTAAACCCGAGCAAGGAGGAGTGGGCCAAGAAGTTTGGTGCTACTGATTTCGTGAACCCGACCCAGCTCAAGGACCAGACCGTTGTTGAGAAGCTCATTGAGATGACCGACGGTGGATGTGATTACACCTTCGATTGCACTGGTAATGTCGGTGTCATGCGCGCCGCTCTCGAGGCTTGTCACAAGGGTTGGGGTCAAAGCATCGTCATTGGTGTCGCTGCCGCGGGTCAAGAAATCGCTACCCGCCGTAAGTTGATCATCCGCACAAACGTAGTCCCGGTTTATTTGTTAACAGTCTGAATAGCATTCCAATTAGTGACCGGTCGTGTCTGGAAGGGTTGCGCATTCGGTGGTGTCAAGGGCCGATCCCAGCTGCCCGGTCTCGTCAGCGATTACTTGGATGGTAAGCTAAAAGTGGATGAGTTCATCACTCACCGACAAGACCTGGCGCAGATAAACACTGCCTTTGAGCAGATGAAGGCGGGAGACTGTATCCGTTGCGTCGTGGACATGAAATAGTAAAAGAAGGCAAAATCTTGAAACTGATTGGGCTGGGACGAAGACATCCGGAAGTGGTAGTACGGTTATGTAAAAAAGTACGAAGTACCCTGATGGCCAATTTGATCATGCGAGCTCATTCTATTGCACCCACCTTGGCCCAAGCACGTCATGCATCGCTGCGAATATTGCTACAATTGAGAAAGAAAGAGTACACCGTTTGTATGGCAATGGTTTGAACAATGCATGGCTAAAGTTGTCGCAAAGTTGACGCTAATCATTCGAGTTCTCACAAAGGAAATGAGGAAATGAAGTATTGACCTGAACCGTAAAGTTGGCAGATTATGATGCGTCGACCGGCCACGAATACCATTCGCATTCAACAACCGGGATTCAATGCCCCATGTATTACACTTGAGACAGAATATACATTGAACGTACGAAATGTGACTGGTCCGGAGCTTTCGCCATGATCTGTTTCTTGGTTCATATTCCTGATGTGGGTCTCCCCTGTTGTGTACGTCGTCTCTGAGGAAGTATAGTCGATGTGCAGTTTGAATGAATTTCTGTATCCCGTTATCTAGCCCGTTGTCTAGGTAGACCGATTTCATGTGCCACATGTGTCGCCAGTATGTTTCGTGCTGAATAGTTGGAAGCTTTTAATCCTTACTCACTCAACAGTCGTTCGCAAAGGTATCCCAAGCAAGAATAGCAGCGGTCAAGCGTCATGAGAGCGTCCTCTAGATGTGGCGCGAAGGCAGACCACGCATGTACCTACTCGTACCACACATGTAGTCTAACCCTGGCTGCATGTATGCTCCCAACCGTTCGCCGCTCGTCGCTCCTTTGGTCGAACAGACAGGGTACCGCATGATCTCGACCGTCCACCCGATTGCGGGTGCGGCTTACAAGTGGCACTCAGCGACGATTGCCGGCCGGGCGGCAAGTAGGTATAGCACCAGCTAATGCTACTGGAGCACTCGAACTGACTGCCCGATTAACGATGCACAAGAGCAGCCAACGTCGAAAATTGTAGAGGTTGGTCCCCTATTTGTCAAGTGAGCGCATTTAGTTTCGGCCTCTCGGTCTTAGGGTGGAACGGTTCATATGGCTCCCAGGTTCAGCCACTGGCATAGATGGCGCTACATAGGAGCCTATCACCAGCATATTCAGGTTACACGCTTTTGAGTCAGGGTGAAGCATAAGAGGCAGAACGTCAAGCCCGATCCGGAAAGCCGCCGCCCTCTATTTAACACACCGGGCTTGGCTTAGCAGATAACGGCAGATTGTACCCTATAAACTTCCAAGCAGCAATTGCAACAGGGGTTGCTGGCTGGATGGCGTGGTTGAAAAACTTCGGACGCCGATTAGGTATGAATGGATCAACCGGGAGGAACATCTCGACCGTTTAGTTGAGCCACGATTTGAAGCGACTCAACTACCTTGCAACGCCTTGCTTCCAATAGTTGGCCTCGTTCCATGCAGCAAGGGCGTCGTCTGATGCAGACGAGTGGCTCCTTTCGGCGACCGCCACCAAATGCCTGATCCTGCGGACTGAATTTCTGTCGAGTGACACGGCATTTGATAATTACACAGAACACCTGGAGGCGGCTCTACTTTAGCGAGGAGATTGTGGAAATGACAGGCAAGCAAGTAAACCAAAACGCCCAAATGCGAGACTACGAGCAAATGGGAGTATCACCTTAAACGATTAGGGTGGTTGGGGGACAAAGGGCACGTATCCGGAAATATGGAACTAACACGGGTCTAGGAGTCAGGGCCGGAATTTGTGCATCTGATTGCCATTGAATCGCATATGACGAGTAGTAAGAGTAGTATAAAGACAGCTCACAAAAGAAAGATAGAATGACGCCCAACGCCAACGGGCCTGGGCCCCTTGCCATCTTTGCAAGCAGACCCGGCACATTACAATAGCCACGCCCGCGTGCCGCGCAAAGCTGCCAAATGCAACTGGGATCATGGTCTGGTAACTTGTTATTTTAGGACGAGTCATTCCACTCTCGTTTGCTCATCCCGTCTTTCCCTGAGTTTTTGCTCATCCTTCCGGCCTAGATTACGACATACCGGGCGAGCCGCTTACCTGTTACAAGTCCTGCTTGCGAGCTGATCAATCCACTGCCGACTGAATACTTTTCTTCATTGAATGCACTGGTTCGTGTCAAGTTGTCGAACGCAGAGGAAATTGTCCGGAATAGTGTCGTTGGCCTGTTGACATTTTCCCCATTTACATTGACTTCTCTTACCCCAACCCCGGGAAGATCATTCCATAGTTGCCGGCTCACAGGCCCTCGACAATCCGCGCTACCGTATTTCCAATTGCAGATTGCAGTTGGGGCCGGATCCAGCTTCTCAAATCATCTATCCCGCTTTCGGAGCCTTGTCGAGCAGATCCCCGTCACTGGTCAGTCGTCATCGGATTGTTGACTGACTGGCTTTCAACAAGGGTGCTTGTCTATCTTAAAAGGTACCTACTCAAGGCCCCTCTGCCAGCCTACCTCCTAAAAGCATCGCCTCGTCTACTGCATCATCTTGACTAGGCTTCGCGTGTTTCTGTCGTCGAGGATTCCTCTATTCCTCCAACCGGTTCCCCATTTGCCTTTTCCTCCTCGAAATTTCGTGACATAATCACCGAAGTTGATTGGCACACTTTTTTAATTTGCACCTCGGTCATTGTGCGACTTCCTCACTTTGTATGTGTTCCTGAGATCCCGGTCCAAGGCATTCTCCACCGCGTTGCAGCCAGCCAGTATACCGACTTATGGGGACATCACTAGGCCGAGCGTCTATTCATTTTAAATAGGGTGATCTGCTAACAGCAAACACAGTCATCTTCCTGGCACTTCTTCGTCCTCCAAGTTCACTCCCTCGACATCCACCATCGTCTCGGAACATTGCTTCATCACCTGTCACATCGACGATAAACGACAGCCCCAAAATAGAGCAACCCCTACGGACCGTCGAGCAACCTTCCTCACTACTACCACACCACGCCCATCACCGTCATCATGGCCCCCAAGAAGATGAGATGCACGCACAAGGAATGCAAGGAAGCTGTCCAGCGTATAGTAGGTGACTGCGGCTTCTGCGACGGCCACTTCTGCGCCAAGCACCGCCTGCTCGAGGACCATAAGTGCACCGGCCTAGAGGACGTAAGTAGTAGTAGCCCTGATTTCAGTACCACACAGTGGTGGATGGTTGGCCTGGCCGAGTTTCTCACGGGCGAGAGCGACGACAACAACAGTCCTGAATCACTCGCTAACTCTTCCCAACCAATAGTGCAAGAAGGAATCACACGAGCGCAACGCTGCGCAGCTCGAGTCGGAGCGGACCCAGGTCATTAGAGGTGTATAGACGTGCTCGCATTCGAGCCTTGTCAGACTTGACGAATTCGCTATGCTCCACCTCCTATGCTTGAGCCAGAAACTATTACGACACCCACGCACCACCCACCATTCCTCTTCATCACCGATACAACCCCGAAACGAACATAATCACGAACAAACACCACAACAACCCAACCTATATTTCATGATTGCCCCTTCTCTTTTGCAGCTCGGACCCCGGTGAGGAGACATGGGTTCTTCGGGCAGCAACTCTTCCACTGTGTGCATGGCGTCTCGGACCTGGATTTGGGGATTTTCGTCAGGCACAGACTTTTGATTGATTGTTAAAGCAGAGGCGTAGGCGATAATGAGCGGTGGGCACGCCTGCATCTTCTTCGGGGGGAACATCATCTGCGATTTAGTTTAGGGGTAGGGGAAGAGAAGAGAAGTCGGGCAGAGTCCTCTTCGTTCTCTTCGCCGCTAGAACACTGTATATAGGACCGAAATTCGAGATATCCCCCAAGCCTTTGCTGGGATTTGTTCCCACATTTGTCATTATACTATTCGTGCGGCACATCCTTCCTACTTGCGTAGGTTTGTTATTCTTGTACACAGTATCCTCTTCATCCTCGCTATGTACAACTTCCACAACTTGCCTGGGCATGGTGACAACTCATATCCTATTCCTGGCCAGTTTGCGGGCTGGTTCCAAAGGCGCTTGATCTACCTCTTCTTTCTTTATCCTCTGCTGGTCGTGTATATTCATCTCCTCATTCACAACCTCATCCCTAGCCACCGCCTCCACCGTTTCGACCTCCTCGTTCTTCACCGTCCCATCCCCCTTAATCTCCACCCTACTTTCCCTCACCTTCCTCCCCTGCAACACTTTCCCCCTCTCCGCAGCCTTACACAATCCCCGCAACCCCAACTCGCAATCCCCACACTTCCTACCCACGGGCAAACAAACCGTCTGCCCAAACCCGACGAGCAACCAGTTGATCTCCCGCCACCGCTCCCGCGGCAGCCAGCTTTGCAGCGCCATCCGCGTCTCCTCGGGATTTTTCGTTTTGTGCCAACCCCACAGATTCGTGATCCGGTGCACGTGCACATCGACGCCGATGCCCTCGGTTCTTCCCCACGCCGCGCTGAGACACAAATGCGCCATCTTGGGCCCGACGCCGGGAAGGGACGTCAACCCCTCGATGGAGTCGGGTATATCGCCTCCCCACTTATCCCGCAGAATCACTGCCGCTTGCTTGAGGTATTTTGTCTTGTTGTTGTGGAATCCCACCACCCAGATCAGCCTGTTTAGCTTCTCCGGGTCGACGGCTAGCATGTTCTCGAGGTTGAGCCCGGGCGGCGCTTCGGGTTTGTAGGAAGGGAGCTCGGTTTGTAGATGGCGCATGGCTACTGCGTTCGTCGTATCTTTGGTTTGGCTGGAGAGCATGAGGGCGACGAGCGTGTGGAAGCGCTGATCGCGTGGCGAGGCGGTGGATAGGGCGAGCCGCTCGCAGCCCATTGTGTCGACTGCGGCGTTGGCGGCTGGGCCGTCGCCTAGCCGCATCGCTTTGACGATGTCGTACATTTCTTCCCAGTCGGAAGGAGGGGTGACGGAGTGTTCGCCGGTTGTGGGGTCGGTGGCTTTGCGGGCCGGTTTGCGTGCGCGACGGGGTGTCGTGGTCAGGGTTACGGTCGAATTGACTTCTTCGGCTTTGACTGCCGCCGCTGGGGAGGAGGCGCGATTACGTTTCCGCTTCTTCGACATTGTAGTCAAGGCTGCGTCTTCGATGTCGGGGATTGTCGGTGTTGGGTTTTCCTTTGAGGAGCTCCCATCATTGTATGCGAAGCGTGCCAGTGAGCCCCGAGTTATACGTCGTACAGGCGACGTTGGGGACGGCATAATGCCGGGTAGTTTAGAAGTTTCTTGAGAAAGCCGCGATACCCTCATGACATCTATGGCGATCGAATGGATTTACATTTTTAAAAACAAAATCACGTGTGCAAATTGAAGAACTAGGACTTGTTGGAGAACGGGATTTTTAGATGCTGGTGGACCTCAAGGTCGTCGAAACTGCAGGGACCCTGCATTAAGTTTGCGGAATACCCCCTTTAATCCTGGATGTTGAAATCCACGATACTTGATTGGTCCCGAGCAGGCGGTTGTTTGAATGAAATCATGCAGCCAATGAATAACCAGTTGGTACCCTGTGCGTGATGAACTGGCAGAATCTATGCAGTGTTTGTATTTAATATTCGATTTACAAACAGTAAGAAAGGTACATTGTCTACGACGACCGAGCTTTAGAGCCTCTAAATTCATATCTTATACTGCAAGAAGAAACGACGCACTACAATATTCAAATCCCAGTACTTCAACGCCTTCGCAATGCTTCTATAAGCAGCCCCTCAACCCCTCAACCCCTCCATCACTCTAACAAGACCATTCAGATCACAAACTCCTCGTTCAGCCAGTGCTGCATGACAACATGGCCCTCGGCGAAACTCGGCTTGTCTATGCGCCTAATGATCGCAGCGTGTGTGTGAAGATGATTGTGAATCCACACAGGGTATTTTCTCCATCCCAGATTGTCCAGGTTTCGAATCATGTCGAACTGACCAGGTGTGAGAGCTAGAGTCGGAAACTGTGGGTGCGACTGCTTCCGTTCCAGATTCAAAGTCTCTCTTTCTATCTCATTCATTGCATCTTCGCCTTCGTCCTCTGAAGACCCCAAATACTCTGGTTGCTGCGAGTTATTCATCTCTTCAAAGGTCTCCTCGATCCGGTTTCGCACGTCTTTGACCATAATATTGACAAGCTGTTCGTGGGGCTCGACGCCCAATAGCCCAAGCTCATGCAACCGAATGCGCCTCGAACTCCGGACAGTCTGGAATCCAGCATTGAGCAGGAATACGACAATGCCAATAGGGATGAAAACGCCAAGGAAAAGGAGAAACGGGATTTTCTTAATAAGTTTGAAAGTGTCTGTAGTCACTGAAGACAATGTTACCGGTCGCTGTTTTGGTGCCCTAGGAGATATTGGGTTGAGAGGATTTAGAATGATGTCTTCGTAGCCTTCCACGTAATTGGCCTTGATTCTACTGATGTCCACCCAAGGATCAGTCTTGGTTATGCCGGTGGTGAAATATGGTGCAGTTCTGTCATTGACCACATTGCAGTATAATGTTCTGCGCTTGAACAATGCGAGTCCGGACATGAATATAGTCCCAGGAGTAGCGAGAACTTCAAGGAGAGGCTTCTGGGTGTCCCGGAATTTGTCGGCCGTGAAGAGCTGTTTGCCAGACAAGGACAGCGTCCGCGCCCCAAGGACGTTCCAGAGATGGTTGTGCCATCCACGTAAGGGAGTCCGTACCCCGAGGTGGGGTGATGCAAACGTCGTGAAGTTCTGATTTGATCGTTAGCGGTATTGCTTCAATCAACAGCATCAGCAGACCATGGGGACACACCATAGGTTCGACTTCGTTGAAAACGCCCTTCGAGTAAAGGAGTCCGACAGCGTATCGGGCAACAAGACCACCCAGAGAGTATCCCACGATACTCAGCTTGGTGACTTTGCCACCACGGTTCTTTATTGCCAGTAACTCTTCTTGAATCTCCAAACAGACTCGCTCGCCGCCTTTTTCAATGCCATCATAAGTAAAACTGCCACTATTACGCTTGGCGACAAGTAGATACAATCTATCGTCGGAATGTGCGGCTCGCAACGCTCTCGCGACCTGTCTCATATGGTTTGGGTTGCCCCACAGCTAGTAGACGTCAGTTGTTGGTCTTTGGGGCGAGGATCCGATCCGCACCCTCTATGCGACTTACCCCATGAACTAGAATACACAAATGGTCCGCATCGAGACTTCCGCCCGTCAAATCCATGACGCGTCTTCTGATAAAAAATCAGGGAACATGGAACCACGATGTGGGCTGGATGAGAGAAGCAATTGACAACTTAAGAATTTGCGACAAGTCCGGAATTTATGGTGAGAGTTAATGACAAGGCGCATGTCGTTTGGACATACATGCGATCAGACAATGACCCAACACCCCTGGGTCGCATGTTACTGGCGCGCCAAGGAAAAGCTAATGAGGTCTTTGTACCGGATCTACGGCCGGAGTTAAAGACAGCCCATCGCCGACTTTTCAGAGTCTATGGCTGACGACACTAAATTGGGCGAATGCGAGTGCGCAGCAAGCAGGCTGCAGGGGTTTCCGGACTCGAGTGATGACGACACGTAGCCAGATCCGCCGGTCGTCAGGTCCATGTGATACTCGAACTCGAGGTAGGATTACAGGATTGTTGGGTAACGCCCCTGCCAATGCCCAACGAGTTATGATTCCCCTGTTTATAGTACGAGACAACATCGACATATCGTAATCGTCAGCTATGCTTACCAATATTACTTGAAGCGATCTACAAGTTCATAAAGGTGCTGAAGGATAGGCAGACTTTGATGCAATGGGCTTTGTCAAATGAGTCGAGAAAGGGCCCATTGCTTGTATGTAGGGACCTGGTTAAATTCGGAGATGACAATGCACAACAAACAAGGTTGTCATTTCGCTCTTCTGAGCTCGGCATTGTCCGGAAACAGATGGCCTTGTGGGGCCTGCCTCCAGACACTACAATCTCCTTTGCAGATGCCGAAGTTCTATACTCCCAAGCAACAACAGGATCGATAAATGGAAGGTATTCACTATTCCCCATATTGATTGCTGCACGTCAGATTGTTGATCTTGAGGCTCGCCAAGCCATATACCCGGATTGTACATGTGAGACAGTGAATTAGGCCGTGCGAGATCTTTGGAAGGTGCATTGGCCCCCAAGTTCCTGCCCCAAGCTCACTGTGTACGAAGCAGTTGCGTGCAGGAGGACGCCAACGACTTGGAGTGCCTGTCTCAAATGACAGCAAGGCATATGCCATCTTTTTACCAAGTGCAATGTTTGAACAGAAACACATCAAGAGCTCAAAGGAGGTAAACCGCAATCAGAGCCCACTCAAGATACGAATTGCCTCGACATGAGACTCTACACGTTGGATGCCATCATCTGATCCCTCATCGCAAACCACATAACAGTCACCACTATCACATCTGGGTTATACACTGGCATTTTGTTCTGTCCTCGCTAGGATTCAGGTTTTTGCAGCTTTATGATAGGGTCGTATCATCTTCTTTTTTTGATTTTGGCTGTCATCATTATGGCGAGCGGACTGGGCATGCTGAAGCACCTGCCTTGCCCTGCCGGGAAAAGCTGCACCGCATTCAAGTGTCTCTTCCATCATGGGGGCGAAGATAAACCGACCGAACCATCAGACCAAAATGCCCGGGAAAGACAAACAGCAGCTTCTGAAAGCCAAGACACCCCCAGAAAACGAATGAAACTCACCGCCGACTCGTCCTCACTTTTTGCCACAGGTTCGTCAAAGCAGGCAGAACCAGGGGCTACTGAACCGCAAGCGATTACTGGCATGGGAACCCTAGAAGCCAAGGCGCCTTCTACCCTCAAGATGGCTATTTCTTCGTCGACTCTGAAGCACAAAGCGCCTACTGCTAGATCAGCAGTCACGAATAAAGGGCCTTCAGTTGCATCCCCGAAGCCCGCCAATGCTGGCCTTGGGGAGACTTCATCTAAAGCAAGTCCAGCTACTAAACCTCTTGCAAAGGCAACTCCAAAAAAGCCGGAGACACTCAATCCGCGTCATCTTCAAAAAGCTCCTGCCACACATGAAGTTCGCACAAAACTTGTTAAAGCTTTGCATGAACAATACGCGAGACTCAACAATGAACTAAAGAAAGATGTCAAGGATGAGGATGCAAGGCTGGTTATGTCAGACCAGGAACTTATCGTCAAAGCTTTGGATGATGAGCAAGATACCGCCATGAAAAAGCCTACGCTGTACGGGAACTCATGTAAGAACCGTATACTGAATTACAAACGCATGTCGGTTGCCAAATGGAAAGAGGAGAGAGCCGCATCCCTCAAGGCGGAAGATGGCGAGATCCTGGAACCAGAGGAGATACACAAAGTGATTGAAACGGGTTTAACTCCTCAGCAAGAGGTCGACTTCCTCCCCAGACTGGTGTGGTCTTTGCAAGGTCTGGAGCGTTATGGCTACGTGTCAAGTATACCGAAGGGTGAAGGCGTCAAGAAGGCGAAGCAAGCTGTCGAGGCTTCGGGCAATGTCGAGGTTTGCGATCGTTGCAACAGGAGATTCTCAGTCTTCCCTGGACGGAGAGAAGAAGATGGCGCATTGACATCTAACGGACCATGCGTTCATCATCCCGGCAAGACTTATTATCTTGACCGACGACCTGGTGACCGTGGCAAGTCGGAAAGAAGGCATCGATGTTGTGAACAATCTGTTGGAGATTCGGACGGTTGCACCACCAGTAGCTCACACGTGTTCAAGACCACAGACGCGAACCGTCTGGCAAGTGTGTTGAACTTCGCAGAGACGCCCCCTAATCCCAGTGTTCCCAAGGATAGGGCAGTCTGTTTTGACTGTGAGATGGGCTACACGGTCTACGGAATGGAGCTTATCCGCTTAACTGCAGTATCTTGGCCGTCAGGCGATGAACTCCTTGACATACTCGTCTTTCCCGTAGGCGAGTACATTGACCTCAACACCAGATACTCTGGCGTGCGGCCAGAAGACATGGTCCAGGCCGAGCGCTGGAAACCTGGCGATGACGCTAGTCCGACTATTATCCCCTCTGGCGATCCTTCCAAACCGCCGCAGCGAAAACTCAAGATTGTCTCTTCGCCCAAGGAGGCGCGAGATCTTCTCTTCAACCTCATATCCCCGGATACTCCTCTCATTGGCCACGGAATTGAAAACGATCTCAACGCCGTCCGCATTATCCATCCATCAGTCGTTGACACGGTGCTGCTCTACCCACATAAGCGCGGACTTCCCATACGCAACGGACTGAAGTATCTAATGGAGAGAGAGTTGGATCGAAAGATCCAGATCGACAACTCGAAGGATCAGGACAAGGTGCAAGGACACGACAGTGCCGAGGATGCCAGAGCAGCCGGCGAGCTCGTTAGGCTGAAGATACGGAATGAGTGGAAGAGTTTGCAGCTGAAGGGTTGGAAACTGGAGGACGGGGTCATCAAGGCGCCTGACAACTAGTTGGTTGCGAACGGGAGTGCCAAGACAACGGAACGAGGCTTTCGATGAACGATGCTCAGCTAGTTGAGGTTGAGGTTGAGGTTTGTGTTTTACTTCGTGATCAGAATCAGCAGCGTACATTTTCGATTGTCGAGCGGATATGATCACCATGTACTTTTTGGAAGAAAGCTGCACACTTAGAGTCGCAGACACTAGATAGCCTGGTTTGAGGCCTAGCCACACATAGTTCGTCAAGTAGAGGGCGATGAATAGTGGCACATATTATTCATATCGTATCCCGAAGTGGAGAGCCGGGTTTCCCTCTCTGCATATTATACACACCGCATTTGGGCTTTTCCTTTCACCCACCCTAGTCTATCATGGCCCCCTATGCCTTCCCCACCGAAAGTAAGAATTGACCACCCTGCTTGCCATTACCACCCGGCAGGTATGCCACATTCGGATTCGAAGCCAGCGTCTGCGCAATCTCGCGACTGGCCTCAATCTTCCTGATCATGATGAGACCGTCGCCGTACCTGGAGATGGCCTTGCTAATGGTCTCGGCACTCTCGGCTTCGCCTTCGGCGCGGATGACGTTGGCCTGACGCTCCTGCTCGGCTTTCTCGACGATGAAGCGCGCGCGCTCAGCATCCTGCTGCGCGATCTGCTTCTGCTCAACCGCCTTGGTGAACTCCTTGCCGAACGTCATGTGCGTGATGGAGACGTCCTCGAGCGCGATGTTGAACTCGGACGCCCGCTTCATCAGGTCGCTGCGGATGCGGTTCGAGACAGCCTCGCGCTGCGTGATGAGCTCCGCCGCATCGAATTGGGCTACGATGGATTTGAGAACTTCGTTGCCGATGGAGGGGAGGACCCTCTCGTCGTAGTCGGTGCCGAGATTCTGGGTGGTGTTCCATGTTTAGTTTCTTCCACCTGGAATTATACCAGCAAAAGCTTGCATACCTGGTAAATCTTGGGCAAAGATTTCACTTCCGGTCGGTGCAATACTCGCAGCGTCAAGCTGACCATCTGCAAATCCTTGCTTCCCGTCGTCGTGGCAATCATTCTCGGCTTCGTCCGCACATCGAAAGTAATAGCCTTCTGCAACCACGGTACCAGGAAATGTGTGCCTTCGCTAATGACGTCCTCCTTCACTCCCACAAATCTATCGAAGATGACGGCTCGGGATCCGCCGCGTACATCGTATATGGAGGACTGAAACAGGGCGACAGCGCCGGCTGCCGGTATGGCCAATCTGCTCAGGTTTCGTAGGCCGTTTGCCGCCATTGTGTCTGGGGAAAACGCCCAGTTCTCGGACGAGTGTATGTATTTGTGTGCTGGGAGAAACAGGGAAGACGGAGGTGACAGAGAAGCTGTGGAGGTCGATTGGAGCTGTGCAAATCGTGAACCTATCGTTGTCTGACTTCAATCCCTCCCATTAATCAATGATCGCTACTACGGTGCGGATCTAGTCACTGCAAGTCTGAGCTCGGGCCTTTCTAGCTTGCGTCTTAGCACTGCCCCCCAGTTAAAATGTGGGCGGGTTAACTGTCGTACCGGCGCCAAACCCAGCTGAGGGCCGAACCCAAGCTTCGGCAACTCAGAGCGCTCCAATTACTGTATTACGAACCTCAAGTTTTGCCGACTTCGCGATTTCGGTAGCAACCATACAACTCTTCACCCTGCAATTGACACACCCTCTCAGTCGATTGAACCCTTCTACACGATGCGACCTACTCAGATGCTCAGGGCCGGTGGCGAGGGCCCGCTCGGCAAGTATAACAAGTGAGTCTTGCCTGTCTTTGGATTTGGGAGAAGGGCGCTGCGGCTTTTGTTCGGGGATGCAATGTCTACGAACCACGACTTCATTGCGCCTTTGACTTGATGGTCATGAGTTGACTTTGTTTCTCTAGGTACCTCGGTGGCTGGGGCAACTTCGGTGAGTGACGCTTCGGTATTCATTGCTTGAACGGTGGAATCGCAAAAGCGGACGAGCTGGATGGGGACGCTGTATCGACGGGAGAAAGGGCTGGGTTTCTTGGATGGGTGGCATGCAATATCTACGGGCTGCATTCGACGACTCGAATACGTGCATCGAACCGTCGGAAGCTACCGAATGCTTGATATACCGGTACTAACAGCATGGTTTCAGGTGGCATGAAGCAGCGCGGCATCATCACATACGGTCTCTCCGCCAACCGACAGAACCCACTTGCCGGCACTGCACACGATGCTGTCTTCAACACGTGGCGCAGATTCAGCAGGCAAGTCCTATACGTCGCACCACCTCTGGTTTTCTTCTACTACACCATGGAATGGGCGATTGAGAGGTAGGTGGAATCAACATTTGGATGATACAGGGAGTCAGATATAGCTAACACAATACAGAAACCACTATTTGAACTCCAAGCAGGGACGTGCCGAGTTCGGTGACGAGGAATAGATGGTGCAAGGGTAACGAGGAAAGTATTGGTGCCACTTTACAATTACGTGTAGTCTACAAAGACGTGTATATCAATAGACTGGGATCCATGACGAACGCCGAGTTTGGAGTCCCGAGAGGCATTGCACGTTACGCTGGAGTTTGTGACTATGCGAGTGCCAAAACATTGTTCATTGTATGAAAACGCACAGCGCCGTATGTTTTGGCTTGCTCATGAATCCTTGCAGAAATTATATAATCAAACGAAGTGGCCGTTATATCCTAGACGTTTTGTTATACATGCATTTTTGCGAGTGTGCAATTGCTTCCAATCTCAAGTACTCAGATCGTAACTGAGGGAGGACTGGCAGGCTTGTTCGAGTCAAACCCTCAAGCTGGGTTCAATTTTTAAAATGTCCAAGAAAATAGTATTTGGAGAGTAGGAGACGAAATCTTGTTTGAAATATTGTTCCATGTGCCTGTTGAAATAAGAGAGTGTGTGCCTGTTCCTGGCCTCAGGTGTAATAGAAGCGAGTTCATTGGCAACTGAAAGGAAGCACGGACCATATGGCCCAACCCCGAGCATCGACAACGAAGCTCGACTTCACGACATCATCTTCAACAACCTAAGCATTGTCTCGTCAGATCCGCCACCATGGCCTCAAAAGCAGTAGCGAAAGCGGCGGGATCCGCGATGGCCATCAGCCATGTATAACACCATCTCCTTGCCCGCCCCTGACTTCCTAAATCACTATTTTTACAAAGGCAGTCGCCCTCGCGTTGCTCAGCCAAACTAACAACTTACTACAGAAACACACCGTTCAATCGACGGGAATCTGGGAACGCATCCGCCGTGTCCTCGCTGTTGACCCAGAGCGCAGCAACGGTATTCCCCTCAATCCAACCTTCCGTTGGCCCACGCCAGGCGGCAACGACCCGCTCTCCTACGACGACCCCGTCACGGCGCCCGCGGGCGACATCGCCGACAACCCCTACTGGAAGCGCGACGCGCGGCGATCATACCCAAAGCTATCCTTCGTCAACCAGGGCGATGTCGTGGCCCTGCTGAGCGTCGGCAGCGCTACCGCACCCAAGGCGGAGCTCGTCGGCGAGGCGGGCGAGAAAGCGCTGGTCGCGGCGAAGGAAGAGGGCGCTGCTGAGGGAGGACTGGCGGCTTATTTTGAGAAGACGGGGGGTATAATAGCCGCGAAGGACGTGCTTATTGATGGGCTGCCGCCGTTGCCAAGTGGGCAGAGTCTGAAGAAGGATGGGAGTGGGAAGTGGGGGGTCACGGAGTACACGTTGAATGAGGAGCAGACATATCCTTCTGAGGCGTGAGTTGTCCCTCTTATCATGGAATGACGATGATGATGGCGATGGTTATGGAAGTGAAGTATGCTAACTTATTTACAGGTACCCATGTCGAACTTTCAGATAGAGAGGGTGTGACCCGGTAGTGGTGGATGTGCCAGGAAAGCAGCAAAGACTTGTACATGTGAGGCAAGGGTATAGATTTCATTGCGTTGTCAAGATTCTCCACGAATGCCCGGGGGCTGTCTTCATTGTTAGAGCTCCTATTCTGAACTGTTCTCGCCCAATTTGTCATCTGTACAGTGCCCATCTAGCACCCCGGTATCCATGCTCCTACTGAACATGGTCCACAATCGTCCTGTTGTGTGTTCCCCGCCTGGGCTTTTGTTCAGGATGTATGGATTAGCATCTTCCAGCAGAATCCTTCGCTGGCTGTGGGCGGAATGTACCTCCTCGGCGCGGGGTCACCTCACGAGATATCGACGTTCTTGTGCAGATGCAACCCGCATCCATACTAGGACACTGGGCCTCTCCGTTAGGCTGCTTCTGAGAATATGTCTGGAGTTCTTCGTTTTCTTGGCGTAACAAGCTTTCGTGGCTGTCCTGAAGTCCATCCAGAATCTCTAAATCTCATTCCGCGCCGGCCGAGGACTATTACCTGGAGCATCGTTGGACCCTTCCTTTTCAAATCCTTCCCGTACTATCCTCTCAACAATTTTGAGCTTCCCCTGGGCCCTCTTGAACCGGTCGTCAAAGTCATTGACTGACTCGTCATTGTTCTCGGTTGACAGGGTACCCGGCTCTACCAATGCATACAGCGACGTGACATTCTTTTCCAGCCTTTGATTGCAGCTAAGCGGCGGCAGCTGAGACTCTCTAACATCACCCCCCTTTTGGTCTTGGGTGCTGGACTTGTTGGGGGATGTTTGCGCCGCTTCTGCTACCTGAGTCTTGCTCCGGGGCAACCGGTTCGCCCACACCACCGCTTTTCCTTGCAGCCTGCCTGCTTCCAAGAACTTCTCAAAACCTTTTTTCAATCCGACGGAGCGGCCTTCAATTTTGCCAGCCTGGGTGCCATCTTCGTATCCTTGCTTATATCCCTGGTCGTAGAATTGATCCTCGAGGTTCAGGACATCGTCGAAAGGGTCTTCCGCCATGTTGAGTTTCATATGGTCGGCTGATGAATTATTAATTTGGCAAATATGTGAGGATTATATTCTCATCTCATGTTCTGCTCCGTATACGCAATGCGACTGAAATAATTCGTTAGGGTGCTGAGGTGGTGGTACAGGGCAACTAGCCTGACCGAATTATGTGGCTCACCCATGGAGGGGTCAAATTGCCCCTCGTTACTCTGCTCCAACGGGGCACAAACGCAAGAGTCAAAAAGAGAATCCGAATCACATCTGAACTTTGTGACCCTTCTGCCTGGTGCCTCAGATACAGTCGCACATTGATTCTTTGGAGTTACCTGATCTCTGATTCGTTCTGTGATTCCATTTCGTTTTCGTACCTTCCCCCATTCGATCGATATACCCTCATCCCCATCGAGATTGGACCCAATGGCCACAGCCAAGGTCATCTTGCCCGAAAAGGGCAAAGAGAACATCCTCATCACCAGCGCCTTGCCATATGTCAACAATGTTCCTCACCTCGGGAACATTGTGGGTAGCGTGCTTAGTGGCGACGTCTTCTCGCGGTATAGCAAACTCCGCAACCGGCCGACGCTTTACATATGCGGCACCGACGAGTACGGCACTGCGACTGAGACCAAGGCGCTCGAGACGAAGCAAACGCCCCAGCAGTTATGCGATGAATTCCACAAGAAGCACAAGGACGTCTATGACTGGTTCGAGATAAGCTTCGACTATTTCGGACGGACTACAACCCAGAAGCAGACCGAGATCGCCCAAGATATATTCCTGAAGCTGTACAAGAATGGCTATCTCGAAGAGCGCACCACCACCCAACCCTACTGCGAACACGCAGACCACAAGGCGTTCCTGGCTGATCGGTTTGTCGAGGGAACATGTCCTAAGTGCCAATACGACGATGCACGAGGAGACCAATGCGACAAGTGCGGAAACTTGCTAGACCCATTGGAGTTGATCAACCCCAAATGCAAAGTCGATGGAACTACGCCTGTCCCGAAAGAAACCACACATGTATTCATTCTGCTCGAAAAGCTAACACCCGAGATCTCCAAGTGGATGGAGAAGTCAAGCAAGGAGGGAAATTGGACCTCGAATGGTATCAGCATCGCGAAATCTTGGCTGGATAGAGGCCTTGAGGGTCGAAGTATCACACGAGACCTCAAGTGGGGCACGCCTGTGCCACTGGAAGGCTACGAGAACAAGGTCATGTATGTATGGTTTGATGCTTGCATTGGATACCCGTCCATCACGGCCAACTACACAGACCAGTGGGAGCAATGGTGGCGCAACCCCGACGACGTTAAACTCTACCAGTTCATGGGCAAAGACAATGTCCCCTTTCACACGATCATCTTCCCCGGTTCGCAAATAGGCACTGGCGACAAATGGACGCAGCTCAACACAATCTCCACAACTGAATACTTGAACTACGAGACCGGTAAGTTCTCCAAGTCGCGCGGAGTCGGGGTGTTTGGAGACACTGCAAAGGACACCGGCATTCCTCCGTCCGTGTGGCGATACTACCTTCTTGCGAGTAGACCCGAGACTGGTGACACACAGTTTGTGTGGAACGACTTCGTCGCAGCCAACAACAGTGAACTTCTGGCGAATTTCGGCAACTTCTGCAATCGCGTCATCAAGTTTGTGAACTCGAAGTTCGACGGCGTGATTCCCGAGTACCCAGCATCGTACACAGATGAGACCTTTGACTTCGCTGCTTGGATCGCCGAGGTCGATGCTGGACTCAAGGAATACAACGAGCTGCTCGAGGGAGTCCACCTACGAGCCGGACTTAAGAAGTTGATGGAAATCAGCTCCAAGGGAAACAACTTGCTACAGTACCGTCTGGACAATGCGGCTCTGAATGAACACCCCGAGAGAACCAAGAAGGTCATTGGCTTAGCGCTGAACCTCTGTAATCTCCTCGCTTCCCTCTCTTCGCCATTCATGCCTTCGACAGCTATATCCATCACGGAGCAGCTGAACACCTCTCTGGCTTCCATTCCAGACAAACTTGACACCGAAGCCCTGAAGCCCGGCCACAAGATCGGCAAGGCCGCCTACCTGTTCTCGCGGATAGACGAGAAGAAGGTGGCGGAATGGAAGCAGAAGTACGGCGGAACGCAGGCTTCCCGCGCCGCCGAGGAAGAGGCGAAGAGGAAGAAGGCGGAGGACAAGGAACGAAAGAAGGCTAGAAAGGCAGAGAAGAAGGTGGCCGAGAAAGCGGCACCTGGGGGGGACAAACCCGATAAGATTGACGGCACCGTCAAGAGTCTCCCGATTCGGGAGAAGGCGCCGGCGAAGGATCCGGTTGACAGCGATAAGCTGCTCGATAAGGAGGGGCCGCTGACGGGTCATGCGAGTACGGTCGCCGAGTCGACGGCCCCGAAGACGGAATGACAGAAAGTCTGGGGAGTGGCGATGGTGACTGGCTATGGAGGATTAGGACACTCGAGATAGAGTAATAAAAGGTCTCTATTCTAGCTGTCGGATCAAGGTGGGGCGAGTCGTCAATTGTGGCAATACAAGTGCCGATGTCTGAGCGGAATGCAGTGTAGTAAATCGATATTACAGTAGATGGTGTATTATAACCTTGACATTCCATCTGGTGTATGCTCCTTGATATTGCCCACTGCTCAGCCGCCTTGTCGGGCGCATGCATTTTACCAAGAACTACTTTCTACGTCTAAGTGCTAGGTACGTAGACTGCAAATACTCAGGTGGGATTTGTTTTCATGTTTTGAATTGCGACAACTGAACTAGAGCAAGAAGGTGATGCTGCTCATGAAGCTCTGCTGGGCTCTCCGCATCTGCGTCTTTCGGAGGTTTTCTATATTGCTTGTAGATATATTATATTGCAGATTAATGTTGTTCGTTGGCTGATTACGAAGATGTTAAAGACAAGCAGTTGCAACAGACGGCGTATCGTCTTGTATCAGAGTCTTGACGTTTCCCACGGTATCTTCTTGCTGCTTTCATGAGAATAAATCAACTCGACAAGCAGATACCCGAAAAAATGACTATATATGCCAGCGGGACTAGCCGTCTTGCCTTATTCATTATATGGAACTTGTAGTCATGGTGGATTATAAGCTCATGTCTACAGGGCGAGAAACACTCCTGTGCGCCTTACAAAACACATGGGTTTCGTAGAACGTGCCAGCAGGCAGATTTTTTTTTGTTTTCAATATTCTATGCGCAAGTTGACGGATGGTTAATGTGACACAGCTCCCATGTGCATCGAGGCAAGTTGGGTAATTCGTAGCACTGAGCGTCGCGGCGTAATATTTACGACCTGACAACAACCAGGACAGGCCGTTTGTCATGAAGGCAGAGACATAATTAGGGGAGAATTATTGTATTCATTTTCTCAGAATAATTTCGATATGTTTAGCAGTGTTGATGAGTTTTATCATTATTTGCATATATGCAGCGTATCTCGGCGTAGTCATTTGTGTTCGTGGAAGATTTTGTGCGTTAGAATTGAAGATTCAGGGGTTGTTAACGGGTAGCATCGGCCAGGCTACTGCACTAGGGATTTGTTTCCTTTTCTCCTTCACATCACATTATTACATCTTATCGAGGGCACCAGAGTTGTCCAAGAAATTACAGACGAGTTAATAACTGAATGAGTGACTACCTAGAATTACCATTATAAAGACACAAGTATAAGTTATGTCCTGATTTTCAAGCACCAATTGCACACACCATTGCACCCAACATCCAACTCTTTCTTGTTCTTGAGAACCACATCTTCGGTTCATGGCGCACTTTGCAGGAGTGGCGGAGGATCGGGAATGATCTAAGCGATCTCGTCGGTGTGGTCGACTTGGAGGGCGAACTCCTTGAGTTCCTCGTGGTGGTGCTTCTTGGTGAAATACTCCTTGAAGTAGGAAGTGTAGTTCCAGTGGATGTGGCCGTGGTGCCAGGGCTGGTAGTAGGTGTAGCTGATGGCGAAGAAGGCCTCCTTCTTGTGGTGGTGGTGGCGGTCGCCGTCGGTGACCTGGAAACCGTTCTCTTGGTCCTCCTGGTCGTTGGCCTCGCTATCGTCCTCGACGTCGCGGCGGTGGTGATGGTGGTGGAGAATGCGGGAGTAGACGCTCTGCCTCTCTTCATTGCCGACCTTCAGCTTGCACTGCTCCCATTCCGAGCTGGGCCTACCGACGGCGTGGCCATCGCAGCAGGCCACGAAATCGGGAATGTTGTAGTTGCAGTCCTCGTAATCGGGACCGGTGACGTCAAACTCTGTTATTTGGTTGGTTTTCAGTCGAAGGTGGGAAATAGGGGAAGGAAGAGGCCCGGGAGGAGGCGCTCATTTGACGTACCGTACTTGTACTTGATGATTCGGTTTTCGCTGGGATAGATGTCATCCTCGACGTCATCCTCGAGGTTTTCCTCAAGGTTTTCCTCGCGGTCATCGTCGCCCTTATGGTGCTTCTTCTTCTTGTAGATTGCCAAGAACTGCTCGACGCTGCAGATTGTCATCAGCATCCGAAGTCTTGCGTCGCTGGTCAAGATTGTCTAATTTTTCACTTACTGCCAGAAGTAGTGGTGGTTATCAGGGGGTCCCAGGGCACGGATATCCTCGACCTGGGCGCAGTCGGCGATGTTGTCGGACGGGGTGACAGTCACTTCGGTGTTGATGAGGTCGCGGACGACGCCGGCGGAGACGGCCGAGGCCATGAGGCCGAGGGTAGCGATGGAGACAGACTTCATGTTGTCGAAATGAAGTGGTGTTTGGTGGGCGGAGGAGTTGGTAGCGAGTGAATAGAGAGAGGGTAGGAGACTGGAAGAGATGATTGTGATGATGAGATGGTTCAAGTTTGTCCCAAGGAGCAGAAACCCTTCCTTATGTATTCTATGGTGGACGACATCTTCTCCTCCCAGTCACTCAACAAAAGGCCTTGGGTTCTGTTGATGCGCAATAGGGTTGCGTTGGTTGCAGGTGGCAATGCACTTTGTGTCAACTGAGCACATTGCTTCCTGTTCATCAGGGTTGCCAGACGCTCTACAAACTTTGGAACTAGCTTCACGAGCAGTTTTTTTGACCCCCAACATGGAGACATACAGACAGCGAGATATTATAGACGTGTACGAATTTTTGTCTACCGTGTCAAGATTTCATGTGCATATTGTGAAGTTCGTCAGAGTCACTGTCCGGGCTGGGACAGACAAGTGACGTTTTCGCTATGTTATACGGCCCTTAATGCTTGAACAGGATAGAATAATTGTTCCAAATTGAAGGCATAATGATCATTTCCACTGCATATGAACTGTACGAAAGCTATGTAATATTTCACTATCCCCAAGAATGGTATAATACCTGCGTGGTTACTTTGCATTTTACCTGGAAAAGCGAAAGCCAATGTGAGACCATCAATCGGTCCCAAGCCATGAAGAATGGTACGCTTCCCAACCATAAATGTCATTCTAGATCCGAATTGGTTCAATCTATTCACCTTGCCCTCATCGGTCTGATCTTGCCGAGGCGAAAACAGCTCTTAAGAGCTGTCAACAAAGCATGGTGTCCACACCTCAACCATCCAACTTCCACAGTTGGTGGATGAAGTATAAAAAATGCATGAGGCAGTGTTTTATTACGAAAAATATGGCGTGCAAAGAATCCCAGACCTTGACTTCGGTCTCAACGGCCGTCTTTCGGTTACAGAAGTGGCAGACATTCCGAATGTAACCTTACCCAGCCCTCCTTCCTGATATAAACGGCTCTATACAACTGGTTGAGCTAGTGTAAACCCGCTCGTCATATTGTTTGATATATCCAAAATAGCATATCATAAACAAAATAGCACGTAGATGGGCACACCGGTGCTTCTCTCCGGGTGGGCCAGTATCATGGGGCTTGGACTTGCATCTCTTTTCGAATATTACCTTGTCGCTGGTTAGTGCAAAATCATGTGAGACGAGGATGAGCTCCGCCATCTAAAGTGGCTGATATTCGAGAGAGGGATGGGAAACTTCATGCTGCGTAAGATGTACGCACTCTTCCATGGTGTTGGCTCATCGTTGCAGTCAAAATCCACTTGAAGAACACGACAACTCATGCGCGGTATTGAATGGCCTCAACCCCCATGCTCAAATCACTTGAATCAAAATATGAATTATTATAAGAGAAATGTTTTAGCGTGCTGTGTAGTCCATAACGAGCTGACCACTGACGAGAAAATATTAGAAAAAAACTCTGCCTGTGTCTCATGCCGGCGGGCCACTGAAAGCATTTGCTATATTCATTAAATTTCTTCTTACAGCGACTTGGTATAAGATAAATTTTGTGCAGTCATATATAGTAGTTGAGCAGGCAGCGTATTTTTGGTTGTATGTTACGATAAGTTAAAACTCGACGTATATATAGCCGAATTCATAATTTGTGATGAGACGGATGAGTAGTTCCTCATATCTGAACATTGACCCTTCTCCAGCCTAGGTATGTCTGTCGAAATCTGAGCAACACGCCATATTTCTGACATTGTACTTTGTTTATTCAGAGTTATAGCTCGCGAGCATTGTCTGGTTGACTAGATTCCATCACATTCAACTCAAAAATGAGGACCCTAACCCTAAACCCTGACCCCTATTCCTGTTCAATGCAACATTAACATCCCTCCGTTCGCACAAACAACCTGTCCCGTACACCAAGCTGAGTCATTCCCACACAGCATGGCCACAATACCCGCAATCTCGTCGCAATACGCTGGCCTCCCCCCGCTCGTCTCAGCATCCTTCACTATCTCGTCACTATCCACCCCTCTCCTCGCCCTCATCAGCGGCGCATGATCAATCCAGCCTTTAATCTCCCTCTTGAAATCATCCGAATTCCTGTCATACATGGGCGTCAGCACGGGACCAGGGTTGATAGCATTAACGGTGCAGCGCTCGCTGAGCTCGCGGGACCAGGTACGCGTCATGGCCTCAAGGGCGGCTTTGGTCCCGCCGTATACGGACTGCTCGATGAATCCCGTGCTGCTCGAAACCGAGGACAGGTTGACGATGCGGCCGGAACGGTCGTGTGGAAGATAAGGCTCGGCGGCTTGGGTCAGCAAAAGGGGGCCCAGGACGTTAATCCGGTAGGATTTCTCGAAGTCGTCGATGGTAACGTTCGGGAGGAGGTTGTTGTGCGCTACGCCGGCGTTGTTGATGAGGATGTCGAGTTGGAATTTGCCGTCTGCGGAGGAGAACGCGGCTTTGGTAGCATCGAGGAGCTGTTTCGGTCCTTCGGGCGTGCCCAGGTCGGCTTGGGCTACGAGGGTCTTGACGTTGTGTGTGGAGGATAGCGCTTCCGAGAGAGACTCGGCGAGAGTCTTGGAGGAGGGTGAAGTGTATGCGATGACAACATTGGCGCCGTACGAGGCGAGTTTGGTTGCTATTGCTACGCCGATATCTAGTGACTTGTCAATCTTCGTTCTCAGTAGTATTTACAGCATCTCTGGCTGTACTTACTTCGTGATGCGCCTGTTACGATGGCAAGCTTGCCTTCCAGAGGTCGACTCATTTTCAGAGACAATTCAAGTAAACTTGCTTATTTCCGTGTAAGTGAGCGACTACAGGGGAGACTAGGAAATGGGACAGATTCGCAACTGAACAGGGTAAGACAGAATATAATGTGTAGCATGGTCAGAACGGAAACCGACGAGACCCAAGAAAGCTTTATATGTCCCCCCATCCACAAGCTCCTCCGACTTCCGCAATACCACAACATCCAATATGCTGCGACACAAATACGTGCCCCGCATCGTGAGTTGCGCAAGTCAAGTAACGGGGCAAGCTTCCAAGCTGCCCCGCGTTTGCCCCACCATCACTCAGTCAAGTGGGGGGCTTTCCAGGACCTCGGTGGAATACATCCCGCTATCCGACAGTGAATTAAACCCTTGCAACTGCAAATAGAACCACTTTGCAGGCATCACAAATCTCTAAAGCTTCATTCGAAATCTTTATAACCGCACCTCTCACACGACAGCTGCACCACCTGCAATTCCCAAGGTTACCACAGCTAAGTAACTACCTCACCACCACCATCTACCTGTAATCAGCCCTTAGCCTCGTCAACTATACCCAATCTATCCATCCAATTGCCCCCCTCGAAACCGTCAAAATGGATATCCGCCTCCTCCGGCCGTCGGACATCCCATTAATCCAGCACGCCAACCTCGAGAACCTGCCCGAGAACTACTTTATGAAATACTACCTTTACCACGCGCTATCATGGCCACAGCTATCCTTCGTCGCCGTCGACGTCTCGCGCCCTAAGAAGACCCCCTATGACTACCCCAAGATCGTAGGTTACGTCCTGGCTAAGATGGAGGAGGAGCCTGCCGACGGCGTCCAGCACGGCCACATCACCAGTCTTTCCGTCATGCGGACGCATCGTCGGTTGGGCATTGCTGAGAAGCTGATGCGACAGAGTCGTACGTTTCCCCTTACCCCCTCCCCCTCTTTCCCTTGACTCCGTTAGACTTTCGTTAGAACCGAAGTTGACTGAGGTGGGAAAAACCAGAACTGGCAATGGTAGAAACCTTCGGCGCGCAATACGTCTCCCTCCACGTCCGCGTCTCCAACAAAGCCGCCATCCACCTGTACTCCAAGACGCTGGGCTTCGATCGCGAGAAGACGGAAGCCAAGTATTACGCTGACGGGGAGGACGCGTTCGGCATGAAGCTGGACCTGTCTACAATCCGGCAGCAAATCCAGGAAGCCGCGCTCGAGGAGTCGTCCTCCGAAGCCGAAGACGAGGGTGAGCCCGTGGGCGACGTGGGAAAAGCGGGCGATGAGGGCAAGAAGGGAGGAGAGAAAGATTTGGCTGTCCGCAGTAAGGGCACCAAACGCAAGGTCAAGGTGGGCCGGCCCCTGGGCGTTCAGGCTTTGGTGGAGAAGGACGAGAGTAAGCATTCTTAGAGGAAGTGCTTGCACGAGGAAACCCGTCGGGCTTTGGAAGAGGCGAGGGCGTCGCGGGAAAGGGGAAGGGGAAGGGAGAATAGAAGGGCGTGGTTGATTGATTGATTGATTGGTTGAGGGAATACCCATATGAGGTGTACTACTACTGGACATTGGTAGGTTGGTAAAGGCATTGTGCCGTTTTTATCCTGGACTCGATCGAGTGCGAAAATACACTGGGGTTTCTGAAGATCAGGAAACCAGAACGATAGTCGGTATTCATGAGAAGCTCAAATGGAGACCACGCCGTCTTGACCAAGCATGAAACCCCGAAACCAAAGACCTCAATTAGAAACCACGTTGGCATTATTCAACACGGAAAATTATGGTACATCAAATTTGGACTCAAGTTCCGCCAGGAAAGCAACATCATATTCATGACATTAGAAGCCCGTCCATCTCATACCTTACACTGCGGAAGCACCCCCTAACCCCTTTACGCCGCCCCCCTTCTTTCCTCCTTTTCCAGCTCCCTAGCAAACTCTTCATCAGCCTCCATCATCAACCTCTCCAGACTGTTCCCCAGCCCCTCAATCTCCCCGGCCAGCGCCTCCATCTGCCTCTCCTTCTGTCTCAAGCTTTCGCTTCCTTCCTCTTTACTAGCCGACCCCGTCCAACTACCCTGCGCCGGCTTTGACTGCTCCGCCTCCATTTCGCGCCGCAACCCCTGAATCATCTCCGTTTTGGCCAACATGGAGTGCTGCAGCCGATCCGCCTCGGCGTACTTGGCCGCTGAGCACGCATGCGTACCTGGTTGCTGCTGCGCGGCCGACTCCCGAGCGGTTCTGGCTTGCGCGTCCGCAGTTCCCATTGACTGAAACGTCGCTCGTTGGGTTTCTGCGGAGTGCTGCGAGGCCTGTGCCTGTGCTTGGGCGACTTGCTGCATCGTCGCTCGTTGAGACCCTGAATATTGATGCGGCGCGGCTGCGTATCGCATCATCATCGTGTGCTGAACATCTACAGATTGCTGCCTGGCGGCCTCGGCCTCGGCCTGAGACTGTAGACGTACGAATGAAGCATGTTGTGCTGCGCGTAGAGCTTCTCCCAAAGCTTGGTCCTCGCATCCGCGGGGCTGGTCGGGCGTGCACGGCCAAGAGCCGGGAAGGTTGTTCCAAGGTCCGGGACTGCCGCGCCGTTGTCCCGCGCCGTCATGACCTTCGGGTCTACTATCGTGCCCACCGAATGGCCCTCGTCCGCTAAAGAAGCCGGGTCCAACGGCGCGTCCCGGGTCGAAGAACATGTTATGCCCTTGTTGAGGTATATGGGCGCCGGGAACACCTGGAACGCCGGGGTTATGCATGCCGGGGACACCAGGAGGAAATCTCATGCCCATGAAACCCGGCCCGCAGGCCCCACCCCTTCTGTATTCCCTCCTCTCATGTCGACCCTCTTTCCTGGCATTCTTGCGAGCTTTCCTCAGTGCCTTTTTCTGAGCCCTTGTTTCCTTTTTCGCTGCCTTGCGTGCTGCCTTCTGCGTCTTTTTCAACGTGTTCCATTGGGCGAGTATCTGCTTGACCTCCTGACGCTGATTCACCGATACCGATGGCGGCACTGGCGCCGACTTGGCGGCTTTAATCTGTGCCTTGGCTCGCTTGAACGCAGCCTTGGAAACGGGCTGTTCCGGGTTTGACAGCCAGTCGGTGATGGACGTCTTGACTACCGTGAGTTGGGCATCGCGCAGATCGTCCCAGTCGGGCAGGGAGCCGATGGAGCTTACAGTGGAAACAGAGTATGAAGTTGAGTTGCTAGAGTCCGAGCTGGTAGAAGATGAGCGATAACGACGGCCATCTCTGGCACCTCTACCGCCGTATTGGTGCTCACGGCTCTGGTGCCGCCCACTGTCTCTAAATTTTCGTTCCTGACGGTGGACGGGGGTCCCAGCATCACCTCCGTCGATGCCAGCACCGAAGAAGGGTCCACCAGGAGTAGCTGCGCCGATTTGACGACCATTCCAGCGTACCCCACGTCCGTCAGCTTCGAAAGAGTTGCCGATTGCAACGCGGTCGCCGTCGATTGTGAGAGGCCCAATTCTCAAGTTGTGGCCGAGTCTATCCATCGAAAAACGGGGATTGTTCAAGAAGTTCCGGAAGCCGCGGCGTGCTTGGCTTGCTGGTTCCGGAGCTGCCGCCGTATTGGCATCGAAACCATCATCCCAAGCACCCGGCATGCGCCGAGAGCCACTTGGTAAGGTCTTGATACTGAGCCTGATGGACACACCTCGAGGTGCGAAGAAACCCGCATTCCACTCGTTGACCGTATCTTCTAAACTCTGCTTTTGTTGCGAGGCATCGTTCGAACCCTTGATCTGGTCCAGCTGTGCCTCTGCATGACCTTTCACCGACGAAGGGACATAGTCTTCAGCCTCAGCACGAAGCTTGCGATCAATGATGCGTGAGTTGGCTCGTGCGGCATAATCCGGCATCAGGTAGTTTATGAAAGTCTGCCAATCTTGTTCCATAATTTGCCGTGCAGCAGCCCATGAAGGATATGGGAAATCGGTAGGCGCGGAATTGTCGGAAATCGTGATTTGATGCACCACAGTGGGAACCAAGACTCGTCCTGTAGTTGGGCGAGAGTCAAAGTATGCCTGCGCTGAGGCAGTGCTGGTGTGGTAGTCATCATGCCCCGCAAAGCTGTGCTGTGTATCACGAGGAGTTCCTGGAGGAGTATAGATGATGTTGCTATGTGACGACGATGCGGCGATAGAGGCATCGTCAGCATTATTGTTGGAGCTGGGCCGGCGAGTGACGGGTGAATGACCTGCATGAGAGTAGATATCCGTCTCCGAATATGGCGGAGGTGGAATGTCGTGGGGCTCCATGTTAGTAGAAACTTTGACGTTTCTCCAACCTCAACTTAGTATTCAGATCGATGGTATGTTTGCAATCGATGACTTGAGGTAGAAGCTGTTGCAGAGAATGATACAGGAGAAGGGTGGTGCAAGGAAGGGATTGGAATAAGCAAAGTTCCCGAAGATCAGCATCACCTGTGCTCGTATGGTCACAAAATCAGAGACGGCTGCCTAACGGTTGTGCAATTCATTTTCATTGGCACTTCAGTATCGCTCTTGCCTATTGAGTGTATCCATGAAATTACAGACGATTGCGTTTCACCAGCCCATTATCCTGCAGTTGCGACAGTGTCCTGCAGGGCAAGGATGTGGCAAGGTATAAGGCAGCGTTCTCAATGTGGGATGGCCGAATAAAGAGCTCACAGGCTCAGCGCCGGCGCGTTACCTTCGCCTTCTCCAAGTACGGCTTGGCCACAACGCTTGCTAATTTCCATGCAGGGTCTGTCCTTGATGACGCGGCCACCGAAGCCAGGCGAAGCATCGATGGCTCACAGCCTCTGCACCAATAGTGCTGGATTTCGATGCTTTGCTCCCAGATGATGTTGGGTTGTCGGAGGCCTGACCAGGCTCTAGTGAATGTTCTTGACATCGTGCTGGCCAAATTCGCGTTCAGGTTGCCATATTTGCATTGAGGTCGACTTCAGAAAAAGTGGCCCATAATCACAGCACAAGGCAGGGTGAAGTCGATTATCTCTGTCCCTTTTCATATTGTCTCCCGACAAGCTCACACTGGAACGGACTGGTATATCTGTTTTTCCGGAGATTTTCTGTAGGATAGTGTATAGAGCGCATTCCGAAAGACTCTGTTTACTTCCGTATTGTGCCGTACAGGTCCAGCCCAATATCTTCCTCCTTGTAGTGGTCTTCGATGATGACATGCAGGTATTCTTTTGAATTGGCCCCCAGGTTCGTGAGATAGGTGTCGGCCTCGGGAACAGACTCAGAGACGGCGTTCTTGACTTTAACATGCCCGACCATTTGTCCGTCCGAAAAGTTGACATACTTTGAGGGATCACCCCATTCAATGGTCTGGTTTGCTTGACTGTCGGGACTCAACTTGTACACACCACCGACGACAATGACTGTCCGGCCCTGTTGTCGAGCAGCACGTGCAATTGATGCGGCGCCAGAGTCTACTACAACCTCGCCCGTGGCCGTAATAGCTCGGGCCTCAAGAATGACCTTGTTGACTCTCGGCATGTAAGCCATGAGACCAGTGTTCATGACTTTGACTACGGTAGACCCTCCTGCTACTAATGACTTCCGGAAAGAGGCGTACAAGTCTTCCGTCGACGTTGCCGTAGACGGATCCACAACGAGCAACACATTAAACTTTCGCTTGCAACGTGTGAGGAATTTTTGTACCGTGCGGGAGGGTTGGTAGACTAGTATGTAGTTGCCGGGGTGGATGATGATGTCGGCATATGTTTGGACCTGGTCGTCGACTTGCTTGATTTCATCCATAATCTCCTCTATACCATCGATGACCTCGGACCGCAAAGCAGAAATGTTGGTAGCTTGGCTGAGAGCAGTACGAGATAGGGGCGTTGAGGTGCCCGAAGCCGCTGCTGGTGTGGTGCCGTTTGACCACAACGGCGGGGCGACGTCGGGGTCTGCCAGGAGACTGAACATGGACTGGGTCCTGGCAAAGGAACCCAGGCTGTTCAGCGTTGGTGGACGAAAAGGCTTCACATCCGGGATGCTCTCGACTATTGGTGTCGGTAGCATGCTTGCTGGAGAAGCTGGCGAAGAGTCGCCACCTGCTTCATTCCTGTCCTCCATGGCTTCATCGCGAATCAGGCGCAAGACTCTCTTGACCACATTTCCTATTACCAGCTCACGGGGCTGGGCTGCCACCAGTCTCGTTCCCACAACCCGTATGCGTTCGATCAGCTGGTCAACATCTGTCCATTTTTCTTTTGCTACCACCTGGAGGAGAATGCGGGCTGTCGCAACGGCACAAGGCTCGGAGCCCTTTATTTGCCTTCTTTTGAGGAGGGCAATGAGGAACTCGACAGAGGTGTCGACAGGCCCCTTGAGCGAGTCGAGAAATTTGTCAAGATTTGGCGCGTAGCCTCCCTTTGGAGGGGCCATATCGTCTGCAGCCGTTTATGTTTTGTGTTGTGCAGTGTGAATTTTGACGTCGTGGTGGGAAGAGTGGGAAGTCGGGTCTAATAAGCAAGTTGAGCGTTTTTGAATCGTGACTCAAAGTTGCGCCCGCAGCAAACGCAGATCCCAATGCCGACGTGAGGGGAGTCCAATGGCAAACCTGCACTGAGAAAAATACTCCCGAAAGCTCTAGGAGTTAATTCTATAACTAAGATGAGAAAATCGACCGGTTGGTGTGAATGGGTAGATGACAGTGTAAAACTGGACAAAACAAATATTGAAGCCGTCACATCAACATGTCATTGCAATTCTTTGAGAAGTGGATTGCAGAGGCCGAAATGCGCTACAGTCTTCATTGGGTGGTTGCAGGCACGGGCCAGCGGGCTTGGCCGAATTGTTACAGGGCTCCTTCAGCGCGATGATACTAGGGAGGGACACGGCCACCACCGAGATCAGTGCACCTTTGGTGTGTCCCAAAAGGTGCTTGAGGGAAGCCATGTAGGGTCCAACTGCGCTTGCAAAACCTCGGCCTTTGTGGTGCCCCTTCGAACCTGAGCAACCATGCGATTGGATGCTGTTGGTATTTTTGGCCCGGACTAGACTCGTTGAGCCACCAAAAAGGTCCCATCACATCTGCTATCAGGGGGATCACTCCATATCATTGATACGAATCTCATGAGTACGTTGTTCTTGATGCGTCGCTGATCAGCAGCCATTCTTCTTGACCCAACTGTGCATTTGTTGCACCCAACTGAGGCTGGACAGCAACCCCAACCTTTTGCCTCGCTTTCAAGTGGCACACTACGCGGAATACTTTGTCAGCTTCCATCTTGCCCACTACTCGACTCGTGACGCGCAGGGCAGGAGAAAGAACAAGCCAAACTTCGAGGTACTTTCGAGTGGATCCACCGCATAATTTAATCGAGATACGGCCACTTCATCCGCAAATCGACGAGCATCACGAGTTTGGCGACAGCAACCCTTCATGGCCTGGACCACGAGGTCGGCCGGAAGATGAACTCTCTCAATATTCTCTCGGCTCGAGTCTCCCCGCCGTCGACGCCCGTCGCCTCACGATCAAATTCCCTGAGCCACGTTGGCTTAGTATCCTCGGCCGACGAGGAGAATGACCAACCCGGAGGAGGCGTCTACGATGGGGATAAAGCGACGACCATCACGGCCGAGCCAGACGAGTACCACAATAGCCGCGACCCCGAAATTGCCGACGAGAACACGCCTTTGGTAGAGAAAAGCGAAACGAAAGACGCCAATGTGCGATCTTCTCTCTGGCATGTTCTGCCGCGGCGCATAGCAAACAGCTTCGTTAATTCCCTGCGCTGGGTTCTGTCTACCATCGCTGCACCTGGTGTCTATCTGATTGCATGCTTCTACGATGAACGAGGGAACTTTGCACCCTTGCGACAACTGCGGAATCTCTTTGGGACATATGGCGCCGACACACGCAAGTTTGCTACCGAGTATCATGAAAACGTGTCGCACCACGACGAGAAGTATGGCTCTACCCGGCGCGCCGGCCAAGGCTCCAGGGGCAAGCATGGTTTCACAGCCATGCGGCCTGCTGTTTCGTCCGGATCCTCATCGTCGGGCATGTCTTCTGAGTCAGAGTCCGATATGACGAGCAGGAGCGATGCCAACAGCCAGCGCTCCGGAGCTGCCGGTCGTCATACCCGTTCCAAGTCACTGCAGCCCGCCGAGGAGATCGCGCCAGCGAGGAGGTCAATAAGAATCAAACTCCACAGCGACGATGCCCTGCGCCAGCGGAAGCATAGGAAGTCCCAGTCTGCCAACGTCAGTGCCAAGGGCGAGCTTTCAACTCCGGAATTGTCGGCCCAACTCAAGTCGCCCACATCGCCTGCGGGTGCCTTGACCCGATATCCGAAAACCCCTGCTCCTCCGCGACCACTCATACCGCGGCGGCAGCCATCATACATTCCATATGAAAGCGGAGATCCGAAACACCTCAAGACCTTGATACTAGACCTTGACGAGACTCTAATACACAGCATGTCCAAGGGAGGGAGAATGGGCTCCGGACACATGGTCGAGGTGCGGCTGAACACGACGTACGTAGGTGCGGGAGGCCAACAGAGCCTGGGGCCTCAGCATCCTATTTTGTACTATGTTCATAAGCGGCCGCACTGCGACGAATTTCTGCGCAAGGTAGGAAGCTTCCAGCCCTGAAAGAGCCTCTGACTGCTCGTACTAACCGGAGGCTCAAGATTTCCAAATGGTACAACCTCGTCATCTTCACAGCTTCCGTACAAGAGTACGCTGATCCCGTCATCGACTGGTTGGAGTCGGAGAGGAAGTTCTTCACCGGAAGATACTACCGACAACATTGCACCTTTAGACATGGGGCATTTATCAAGGACCTGAGCTCAGTAGAACCAGATCTCAGCAAGGTCATGATTCTGGACAATAGTCCCTTGAGCTACATGTTCCACCAAGGTACGCATTAAATGCTTGTTCCCAGCTCTCCGGTACAAACCAGGGACCAATAACTAACGGGGGACTAATATAGACAATGCCATTCCAATCCAAGGCTGGATCAGTGACCCCACCGACAACGATCTTTTGCATCTTGTCCCTCTGCTAGAGGGCCTTCAGTATGTTTCGGATGTCAGGGCCTTATTGGCACTACGGGGAGGGGAAGACGGGACATAAGAAGCATGGGGAAACTGGTGTTACCGGGTTACATGCGACTCACGGGTCAGAATTGGGATTTATATTAGTACAGTGACCAAAAGGACTTAGCATCCAAACGTGACTTTTCGACTTGAAGGGGATACCCGAGGGACACACCTCGCTTGTAGCGGTGTACAAGTGTACAAGTACTGAATTTAATAAGAGTATATCTTTTTCTTTTCTTCTTCTCCATCCAGGCCATTCTGGAGTGATAATGAAATAATGAGAGCAGTAAAGGTGGGTTTGAGAAAGTGACCAGGGCCACGGAACACAAGCTACGAAACCAACTTGCTCGATCTACCTTGCTCGTTCTACTTACCTGGTGGTGCCGTCATTGTTGTTACCTGACAACTATTTGACGTAAGTGCATGCTGGATGAGACCGATGAGACCCGAAAATGGCTAGAGCCCACTTCCCCGCAAATACTACTTAAATGATCTTCCTGGTCAGAGAATTGGCAAGATGATTTTCAAGTGACAGGCGTACCGACTTCAATATGTCTCATTTCTAGCCCGTTCGAACAATATGCGTTGAGTTCCAAGCGAGATACTGGCTCAATGTTATGCCATTGCATTTTTCTGTTTCGAATTAGATGCGCGACACCTCGTTAATGCTCCGTTACCTGAAAGGCTCCCAACAATTGAACAGGGCTAGAAGCTGTTATTACCCAGAACGGATAGATCTGGAGAGGCAGCTCCTAGCGAGAATGACGATGGCCCGACTAGGCCTATTAAAGTCTAGTGGCTACCGCCAAAACGTGCCTTCCTTGTGACGTAATTGACGACAAAGCTCCGGGGCAGGTGAGCAGGGGGAGCTCTGACGGCAGCAGTAACAGAAGGATCTCAATGTAATTGGCACCATCTAAGCTACAAACTGGTGGCACCCTTGGCACTGGCAAGCACTTGCAGCTTTTAGAGAAGCTGGCTGGACTGTTCCTGCTGTAAATGTTTCGTCATTGGGGCGAGTTGCTCGTATAAAGCTTGCCGGTCCTCAGCTTTGGTTTGCTGAGTTTCGCCATTCGACATTCCCGTGAACTGAACGAAAGCCATTATCACCCAACAAACGACAACATATACACACCCACACCACTTTCACACAAATCAGCAATTAAGCCATCATGTCTCTGCATTGTGAGTTGGTCCTAAGCTGCTGGCTGAATGATGATGGCGATTGAATCGAGGCATTTGGATGACACTTCTGTCTCGTACGATGGACGTCTCGACATCAGTCTTGTCATCACCATCGCTGCTTCTCAACCTGTGAAATGCCTCTAACCCATCTCTTCAGACCTCCCTCCCGTCAAGCCTTCGGCCATTGCCCTAGGCACCATCTTCAACCACGGCATTGAGCTGGCCGGTATGTTGCTTCCTGTCCACCTACTAGCAACTACTCAAAGCTAATATCTCTAGTCTTGACCCCTCTCCTCGGCCAAACCTACAAGCGCGCGAAGGCCGCCAACACCAAGGAGGAGTTCATCCAATCCAAGGAAGCGAGCTCCGCAGCCGTCGCCTGGGGCACTTCGCTCGTCGGCTCCGCCCTGCAAGCCTATGGCGTAGGAGCCCTCATCAATGCCACCGGCACGCTGAGCTACAAGGGCGCCACCTACCTCGGTTCGCTCATCTTCATGGCCACCTCTGCCCCGACCTTCATCACCCAGATTTTCGCCGAGAAGCGTCCCGCCGACACCGTGGCCGTGGGCGCACTCGCCAAGGCGTTCGAGACGGTCGGTTTGAGTGTATTCTTGAGCTGGTGGGGAACCAGAACCAACCCTTTTGAATAGAGAATGATAGACGACAAGTTTGGGTCTTGTGAATACGTAGAAGATTCGGAGGATATCTGTGGCATTAGTCTCTTCTACGTGATGTAAACAGAGTTCCGGAAAAGGTTGGCAATGGTGTAGGTTAGGAAGGCTTGATTCTAATGGTAGTTTATAAACTCACCATATCCACAACGACATAATTGCTTGTGATCACAACGCACCATCGATTTCTCATATGAAGCTAAGCATCCACTGATTAAAAATGCATTTTTGTTCCCTGTCACTCGCAACGGCCCCTAAAACTCCTGAAGCCAGACCTTGGGTTCTAACCCGGTATAGTAATGTGAATGATATGTGGACATCGGTCAGGATGACTGATGTACATCCATATCTTATGAAGATGCGTCGCCCTTGCCGACAACAAGCCTCCATTGATTGATAGAGTCTCCATCACAAAAGATGGATGTATTCGCCGTCGACAGTTGGAAGTGAAAGAGTACCCAGTTGTTGCTCAAGAGTGGGAATTGCCCAACTCCTCAGCTGGTTACTGCAAGAAGCCTCAGCGCCATAACTCAGCAACCATCCCCTTAAGCGAACTTGAGCTGATGCTTCTCCTCCTTCTGCACCAGCTTAACCAGATCCTTGTAAACCTCAGCGAACTCCTCGGCCTCGCCCTCGGCCACGGCCTCCTCGCCCTTCTTGCCGCCCGTCCGCTTCTCCGTCACCATGACGACACTCGTCGGGCGCTTGGTGCTGCCGGCGGCTCCCAGCTCCGCACGCGAGGTCACGAAGATATAAGGCACGTTGTGTTCTTCGCACAGCACGGGGATGTGGCTGATGACGTCCATGGGGCTGATGTCGCCGGCGAGGATCACGACGCCTGGGAAGGCCTGGTTGGTCGGGCCAGATGCGGGGGCCTTCCGCAGGGACTTGACGACTTCCTTGACGCCGCGCTTGAGGGTCTTGTGTTTTGCCGCTGTGGGTGGGAAATTATAGTTAGCAATGGTTCTCGGATTGTTCCGGTGGATTGGATCAGGTAGCGAAATGGGTGAAGTGAAGCAAGCGCCTTACCTTTCCGCACACTCTTCAACACCTTCTTGGTCGCCTTCTCATCGGCAAGCGGCTTCGCAAACGGCACCAGCGCACCGACGACGGGCTTGAGTGTCTTTTCGCCATCCTCGTCGCTCATCTCGACCTCGGTCACTGCGGGTGCGGTCTCGACTGAGGCAGCGGCGTCGGCCTGCAGCTTGTCGTCGAGGGCGGCATTGAGAACGGCACTCTTGATCTTGTCCTTCTTGTCCTTCTTTTCCTTCTTGTCTTTCTTCTCCTTCTTAACTACACCGTCCGACTCGGCGCGCTTTTTGTCCTTCTTCTCTTTCTTCTCCGCCTTCTCGGGTTTAGTGGAACCCATTTTGAAGACAATTGTGCGACTGGCCGGCCGTGGAATTCGGCTGCGAGAGAAAGGATTGGTTTGGTGGGAGGAAAGGGTTGAGTTATGGCGTCGTTCTGGTCGAGTCTGGCGCGGTGGGCTAGATGTGGTATCTTGATATCGATTCTGAAATTCTAAAGTTTTTCGAAGCTCGACCTGGATTTTTTTGCAGCCTGATCGGCCAATCAGCTGTTACTGAGTTGTGGGTGCTCCACTTGATTGGGGACCTTCAATTGATGCATGTGCTCGAGCTTCGTGGGTTGCCTTAGTCTTGATAAATGCAATCCCAAACCCGCGAAACCAAACATCTGACAGACTTCGTCTCATCTAGACTTGGGACAAACATTTCACTACGATTTTTCTACAATGTATTTTACATTTCTGTCATTGTCACATTAGTATATTCGGCAAACATGTGTGGAGGTGGTGTACGTACTGTCCAACTTGCCGAATTCCTCACATTGCAGGCAAATCTTCCCAGGTCGTTATACTTCTTGTCAAGTACGATGCTCCTCTAGATGGCTTCATCACCCGATTTCTGCTTCGTACAGCAGCGCCTGACCGACCACTTGGGAAGCCGAATCGCCAACAGTCTTGCATCTACCGACTCATTAATTTGACCTTGCGTTAAACACGTAGTACAGTCCACTCCTCCTCTGCTAGCATTTCTCAACGGCGACGATGATTCGACCTCCCGGGCTCGTCTCCTATAATGACGGTCTAGGAGGGTGTCTGGAATGGCGACTAGTCCGGAAACTATCGTCAGGCTGCTTAGAACCCCCTGCCTTTCCCTGCTTTCCAAGTGGCTTCTCCGCATCCAACACACTGGATCCCCACAATCGTGCATTCACGTTGTATCAACGACTATCCAAGTCTGCAGCAATCTGACGTTGAGCGACTCGGCACTGGCTCCAGGCCAATCCATATCGTGAGTCGTGCCGTGTGGCTTGCTGAACGACACACAGCATGCCAGACGTAGGTCACACTCTTTTCTTCGCAACTGTGGGTGCTTTCGAACCAGGTTCTTTCTACATCTGTACGTAACCGAGCTTATATACAGGATATGCAAGTGCTCCCCGAAATGCAGGTGATGCCATTTATGGGCGTCTTTCCATATGAACATAATGGCGAGACCAAGTTTTGTAGCTTGTGATCCACAGTTCTCTCCCTGTATATGTTATCGTGACCCCTTATCACTCTTCGTGAGTAAACTATTATTTCTACTTGGCTGGAGTAATTGCTCTGAATCTTCAGTTTTGCATTCGCTCTCGTTAGATATCCATCATTTATTCTAACTACAACATGCATGCTCGCTGGATACGAAGTGGTCTTACGGCCGCAGCTCTTACCCAATGCTCTCGCTGTCAAAGTACGGGGGGCAGCTCGAGTAGTGGTTACGAGTTTGTGGACCCCTTGATAGGAACTCTCAATGGAGGTTTGAGGATAAATGACATTGCCCATTAACGAACACACGCTTACATGATTAGGACATGTCTTCGCTGGTGCTACACTGCCTTTTGGTAAGATTCCCATGGTTCGAGCCCTGACTACTCGGCTGACATCTGTGAAGGTATGGCAAAGGCTGTGTCAGACGTAACGGAAGATAACCAAGGGGGTTATGCTTCAAATGGCAGCCCAGTCACTGGATTCTCCCATATGCATGACAGTGGCACTGGGGGAGCTTCTTCACTGTACGCTTGCCTCGATTCAACGCTTCGTACTGCGCTGATATGGTAGTGCCAATTTTCCCCTATTTCCATACCCAGGATGTGCAGATGACGCAGTCAACGGATGTGTGTTTCCGAAAGCCACCCGCTCGGTCGGAGTTGTGAATGGAAGCATATCAGCGCGGCCGGGGTATTTCACCATAGGCCTCCAGTCTGGGATCAGAGCAGAGATCACAACGGCGAACCGAACAGCCCTCTACAAATTCACTTTCTTTGGAAACGCAACTGGAAATTCGGCGGTCGATGCACCTCTCAGCCCCATGTTCATAGTCGACCTCACTGATCTGCCAAATACCCGCAGTAGTGGCACTGCGTCTGTCGATCCAGACACCGGCCGAATTACAGGTTCGGGCACTTTCAACCCAAGCTTCGGTCTGGGCTCTTACGTTGCATACTTCTGTGCCGACTTTCAAGGATATGCTATTCGAGAAACCGGCGTGTTTGTCAACAATCGGGCTGGTAGTAACGTTAAGAAAATCACCGTCGCCAAGGATAATAATTCCCCCCCTTTACCTGCTGGGGCTTTTACACGATTTGCCATTTCTGACAGTGGAAATGCCACCATAACAGCACGCGTTGGTGTGTCATTCATCAGCTCTGACCAGGCATGCGGCAATGCAGAGAATGAGATACCCGAGTTCGACTTCGACGCCACCCTAGCCCAGGCCGAGGAAATTTGGAAAAGCAAGCTTTCAGTGATTGACCTCGATGCTACTGGGGTTAATGATTCTTACCAGACAATCTTTTGGAGCGGCGTTTACAGGGCAATGCTAAGTCCTCAAGATTACACGGGCGAGAACCCGCTCTGGGCCAGTGATGAGCCGTATTACGATTCTTACTATTGTATATGGGACTCCTTCCGCAGCATACATCCCTTCATCACACTCGTGGACCCCTACAGCCAAACGCAAATGATTCGCTCGCTTATAGACATTTACCGCCATGAAGGTTATCTTCCGGATTGTAGGATGTCGCTTTGCAAAGGCTTCACACAGGGCGGGTCCAACGCGGATATTGTTCTGGCGGATGCGTACCTCAAGAACATCACCCAAGGTGTCGATTGGGCAATAGGTTATGAGGCCATAGTGAAGGATGCTGAAGTCGAGCCACCTGTTTGGGACGTCGAAGGCCGCGGGGGATTAAAGAGTTGGAAAGAGTTAGGTTACATCCCGGCAGACGACTTTGATACGGATGGGAATGGCGTGTTCACCCGAAGCATCTCACGAACGGTGGAGTATGCGTATGATGACTTCTGTATTGCGCAGCTGGCTAAGGCCATGGGTAAGTATCACGACTACGAGAAATACCTCGGCCGGTCAGAGAACTGGATCAACTTATATAAGCCTGATCAACGGTCCAAATTGAATGGCACGGACGAGGATACGGGATTTCTCGGATTCATGCAGCCCAAGTACCTAAACGGGACGTTCGGCTTTCAAGACCCTATATTTTGCTCGCCACTTCAGAATTTCACCTCCTGCTACCTCAACCCCCATGGCCACGAGACATACGAAGGTAGCAGCTGGCTCTACACCTTTTTCGCACCCCATGACATGGCCAAATTAATCACGATGTTCGGCGGGCCGGACTCGTTCATCGCGCGTCTAGACTACCTCCACGAGTCGGGGCTCCTCTACATAGGCGATGAGCAAGCCTTTCTCCCCGTTTACCAATACCACTACGCCGGGCGCCCTGGGAAATCCGCTGAGAGGATTCACTCCTATATCCCCAGCCAGTTCAACGCGACCACGGCGGGTATTCCCGGGAACGACGATAGCGGCGCGATGGGGTCATTCGTGGCGCTGTCCATGATGGGGATTTTCCCCAACCCAGGACAGGACGTTTATTTTATCACGCCACCGTTTTTCCCGTCTGTGTCGATTACAAATAGGGTGACCGCGAAGACAGCGACGATCCGGAATTTGAACTTTGATGCGGGGTATAGGAACATATATGTGCAGAGTGCCACGTTGAATGGGAGGAGGTATACCAATAATTACTTGACGCATAGTTTCTTCCTGGAAGGTGGTACGCTGGAACTTACGCTGGGGCCGAATGAGAGTACGACTTGGGGGAGGGGGAAGGATGATGTGCCGCCGAGTGTGAGTAAGAATTATGCAAGCACGTGAGGAATAAAGGGGAGAGGGTGTAGAAGGCAGTAGTTGATATTGTTATTGGGCTGTAGCTTGGAGCAACATTAATACTTATAGCTAAATTATAATACGTGCTGGTTCGGAAGGATGCACTGCCCGCCTGGTCAATATTATTATTATTAAATACGCCGTAGGCTCGAAGCCCCCGGTACCTCTACTAGTACTCCCGTATGTCAAACCGTGCCCTAATGGCTGGACTAAATACATACGCTGCGTCGTCGGTTCGCCCTATTGGCGACTGCGTTGCGTTCACTACCATACTACGTTGGTTCTCAACCTACCAACAAAGTCCCCCCTGAGAAGATCGATGCTATCTGGGCCTTGAAGCTGTCCGACCCGTCCCTAGCAGCCACCTTACAATAGTCCCACTAACTACTGGTTCTCCTGTTGCCGTTGCGAGGTCTCTGCGAGAGTATAGTGGCCGTGGTGCGATAGCGGCCCGTAATCGTTCCCTCAGTCCTTCCAACAGCCCGCAAAAGAGGATTACGTGCTCTGCCGTCTCAGGGGCGTCGCCACAGCGGCATAGCGGCGAGTACACGCCAAAAGCCCCTGTCTTGAATAAGAAGGCTGCTAGTCCTATTTTTTCCGTCCTGATCTGGCACAGCGTAGACGCTTCCAGTCGGTTCAGGCCGAAATAAGGTCAATATTAAATGGTAACGAGGATATATGCTGCATTACTCGGTAAAAAGCTAAGAAGGTAGAGACGATATGCATTCATGAAATACTGGACGCCCCTCTTACGTAGCCAGCTCACATGAGCCAGTAGAATAAGAAGCAGGCTGCGGTTAGTATAGGATGCCTAGCCTCGGTTATAAGCCCAACCTCACATTCCCTGGGGCAAGACCCTATATATTTATGCTTTGAGCTCTTCACTAACGATATCTCAGAATCGGCCAAATACCTTCCTCAAAACAGCCCGGCCCCAAAGATCAGGGCGGTTCAAATAATTAAGACGATTGTGACCAGGCCTATGCCGAACAGTACCACCGCACGAGCAAGAGTACGATGACGAGGCATATCCAGAAGGCAGTGATGGCATCAGAATAGTCGAGGTAGCGAGGGACAAGCCCGCCCCAAGGCCTACGTCTGTAAACAGCCCAAAGCGATGGAGAAAGCAAAAGTTAACTGTGAGCAATATGCTCAACTGAAAATATTCAAACTGGCATGATCAAGGAGCCTCGTAAGTCCTAATTGTCACTGCAGAGCTGCAGCAACAAGACTTTTCTACGAACTCCTCCAATTCGACTTCAGAGGTTGTGGCCCTTTCCCGAGATTTTGGCTTCGTAGAACGAGGTCTATGGTTATGATAGGGTTTTGGCGTATATCAGGGGAGTCAGATGTAGAGTTGTCTCAGATAAATAACAAAGCTGAGTTGCATCCTACACCAACACTTCAAATTGACACTACATGACTTCGTTTATAAGGATGCTTCAATATTCACGAGGATATGACCGTTGTTCAAACGGCACAATTCAACATGTCGGATAGTTGAGACCTTGTTATGCTGTGCCGAACTAGGCAGCTTCACCAGCCTCCGGTTAGATGTACCAAACCTCGCATATCACTTTTCCACTTTTCACAGCAATTTTAACCCACCCAGAGGTATGGGGACTCGGAGGAGGGGAGCCTTATTCTTGATTTCATAGGAAAGCCTTTCGCATGTTGCGAACTAATCATGATGCCGATAGATACAAATAAAATATAAATCATGCATGGTATCGTTGACTTGACGTCATCCTTCAAAGCAGCCATACATTGCGCATGAGAAGTGTTGCTCCTTGTAGCTGAATCCACACCAGTGGTTGCTCATTGTGTACTATTTCATGTACTGGTATCATAATTTCTTCCTCACCATGACAATGCTCACAGCTGTATCTCATTGTTGAGCAGTCTGACCTCCTCTCCTGGCTTGAATGCAGGCATTCCCAAGTACGGACATCCATCACATCTGAAAGCATCACCTAGCGAGCAGTTTCCACACGACCCAACCTTGCCTTGGACCGTAAAGTCCATCTCGTTCAAATCGTCCATACCGAGCTTCAGCGTTTGAAGCTTGGCGTCTGCGTCCGCCCTCATCTCAGCATCTTCGGCGGCCAATTTTTCTGCGAGACCACAAGTGCAATCCTTGCATGCACGCCGCCGTTTGCCGACCTTGGGTACGCATTCAGCCGCTATATATAAATTAGTTGAGCGTGAAATTGCCAGGGGTGTTTGTGATATACTCACGGATAGCTATGGGCCGATTCAGGTCCTCCTCTGTCAACAGGGTATCTTCGTCGATCAGTTCGTCGTCGTCATCCTCCATTCCAAAGTCGTCACTGAAATCCACAAAGCCAACGCCGGCTGGCTTTGCGACTGGTGGTGCCAAGCTCAATTTGGTAGTTGCACTGTTGACTTGGTTGCTTGTAACACTCGGCGCCGCTAGACCGACTGCGCTTTTCTTCTTGCCCTTGCCGAAGCTGAGCTTCAGTGGCACAGCCTCCTCCGCATCGTCCATCTTCGTGAACCCATCCGGCCTAGGTAGGAGACCGGCAAGTACTGCCTCGCGCACATCCGCACCGTTGTTATCTTGTTTGAGAGAACCGTCCTGTGCTTTCAATTTTCCTCCGACCTTGAGCGCTGGAACAAGCTTAGCAAACACATTGCGATTCAAAAGAGGTCTCGATTGCGTTCGTGTGCCATCTGCGTCTGTGAGAACAAGGATCAAGTCGTATGTGGCATCGGGGAGCGAGACTAGGTTCGCAGAGAGTCGATCGAGCATCTGAATGTCGGTGACGAGTCGATCGTGAGCAGCCAGCACATCGCGTAATCTTTCTTCGTGGCTCGCGATTGATGCCGGGGCTAGAAGCAGTGTACGTGCGGCTGAGGAGCCATTATGAGCAAACTTTGCAGAAGGTGACGTAAAATCCGAGGAGGTATCGAGCATAACCACAGAAGGCGCCATAACGAGTAAATCGGTGGGCGCTTGCAGCGCTGATATTGTTGTCGTTTGCGTTACTCTTTTCTTGTCGACTCGGTTTCGCGGCGGTGATTTGGCGTGGCGCAACTTTTGGTTGATGACGATGTGACGGTGGAGGGGTACTGACGGGGGTTTTGCAGTCTGAAATAAGAGTATTCTTTGGGAGAGTTCCGATAGAAAAGGGGAATTTTGATGGCTCGCAGCGAATGAGATGGATTGCAAATAATGTGACGACGCCTATTTCAGCGGAGACGTGTGTATTAGTCAATTTTTCTTTGCAAGGAGAAAATAAACGGCGCTTGATCTGGCCAAAATCAACTCGAAGGGCACTTCTCCAGTTTGACCTGCAAAGTCCCTATTAGATCCGATAGCGGCGGTCCAGCGGTATCGCTTTGGCGGATGATGAAGAAGTCTGCTGAAGGCAACCGAGTGACGTCTGTCGGTCTCGCTTCGCTGCTCAGAAGGGATCGAAATTGGGACACTTTTGACTTGAGACAGTGTTGGAATGCTCGCCAGCTTTCAATTAACACGGAGTCACCAAATCCCAAGAAGTTCCAACACACGCACTGCATGTGGGTCTAGCTGGACCTCTAGTCATTAAGTGAAAGCCTGAACTCAGCGGCTGTCAGAGCCTTGGCAGACTGCAGATAGGGTCTGGTATTTTGGGGGTGACTTCGCTGCCCCCAAAGTTTAGATGAGGTAAGTAGGGACACACTGAAACCCGTAAGATGTACAACTTTACTATAGTTCCGCTGCTAGGACAGCTTTCTATTCTATAAAAATGGAAATTCTACCCGCACGACACTTAAAAAACTCGAGCACGACGGCCGCGGCCTTTCGCTGCTACATAATATGTAAAGCACAATTGCAACGAGTCAGTGGTTGTGATCACGAATTGCTCAGCGAATGTGCCAAAGTGGGGTTTCCCCGCATTGCTAGTCGGCATGATCGGAGGGAGGGAAGGTACGGTGTACCTGGCAAGTGGGCCTTGTGACATAACCCTGCATGCATTTTTGCTGGGGGAGCTATTTGTATTCCAGCCGTTAGAGGAGATGTTGTATGTATATCTCGATGTAAAGCTCTTGAAGGACTTATGTACGGGTTAGGGCAATGAAAAAAAACAAGTCAAATGTTATGAGGCAATTGGCTGCTTGGAGACAGGCAATGGCAGGCCAGCCGGCTACAAGACCGGCGATGGGGCTGGATGGATAAATAGCTCCATTGGTGGCATGGCATGTAACAGACAGATCCTTGGGAGGTTACGGACTTCTGGCACGATAGAGTATCCCACCATGATTTCTCCATGCATCGCGCAGCTCGACGAGTTATTGCTCAAGCGCCAAGTGGAGTACTCACGTAGATACTACGATGCTCAGACGAGGGTCACGCGACTTGATCGATAAGACCGCAACTTTCGATGCCATTGCGAACAGGCAATACGTTGGCTTCTAGCTGCTCTGGACGGCGCTGATTGGAGAATGCAGTGGCTGCAGCCGACTTGCGTTCAATTCACGTCTGATGCTTTAAAAAGGGAGCTTTTCCCGAGCTCATCTAATTGAGTTGTTGCATCTCGCATCTTCTACACACCCATTTAATACACCCAACCCATCGACGTTGACCTGACCTGACCACATCACCCCACCTTCGTTCCCCATATCAGCCATTACGTCGAACGAGCTTCTACCTGCCCACCTCTACCCATCTACATCCCATTCCATCCAAACATCATCACGATCGCATCGACATTGACTCCCCAAGACCAGCATAACTCTTTCCATCGCACCATCGCACCATCGCACCATCGCCAAGTCTTCAACAGTAGGTTCTAGCTCGTTATCTTCACTTCTCCCATCTCATTACCCTCGACCCCGCATGACCTCCTGGAGACCTCCTAGCTACCATTACGTTTGCTTCCAAGCTTCATCGTCATTGCTGGCGGGATATTCCCTTCTCTCGTCACTGTCATCTCAATTCTACAATCCAGAATACGATGTAGAACATCGGGCTAACGTGAGTTGCATCGTCTGCAGTGACTCGCTCTCACAAGTACAACGACAAGGACCACGCCGGTATTGCCGAGGGCACCGTTCTCCCTCAGGAGAACGTCCCCAAGTTCTTCGCTAAGAACGGCTTCGAGGGCGTCGACCCCAAGAAGACCAAGAAGAATGGCGGAGGCAAGGGCAATTGGTAAGTCATCTCTGCATCCAGTCTTTGTCCACCTTCACGTCGAGACTCCTTCCAATGCTTTGGTCCCGCACCCAATCTCAGCCTTACAGCAGATCTAGCCCAAACTAAATACTGACCCTTTTCCTCACAGGGGTGGACCTGGCGAGGAGATCGTCGACGAGCAATTCAAGTTCACCAATGCCCGTCGCCGTTCTAACAGCAGCGGCTACTCCAACCACCTCCATGACTTCAAGACCAAGTTTGAGGTCAATGAGCCCGAGCCCGTCTTCGAGGAGAGCATCCACGGCCCCGAGGCCGAGGACGATGATGCTCTGACCAAGACGGAGAGTTCGTCCAGTGTTGGCAGCACCATGGACGAGAAGGACCACAAGAACTTGTAAACCCAACAAACAACAAACAACACGTCCGAGAACGGATTTTGCAACCCCCCTCCCCACCCCGCGCACCCATTTGTGATATAGGACCATCAATGGCGCTCTTGCTTGGAAGCCGACATGGAAGTATGGATGCTGGCGGCTAGGAAAGGAAACGATTATGAGATATGATGAGTCAAACTGGCGTTGAGCTTCACGGGTAGCATCTGCTCGGCTTTGTATGGTGATCAGGGGGGTCACCGATGTAACACCAATACACTATGGTCTGCCCCTGATCTGGCATAGAACCAATTGAGATTTTCACCAATACTTTTATGTCTTCTTGTGATGTCGCGATAAGTTTCTGTCCAGCCTGATGTAGAATGGCGTGGTAATTGCATATCTATAATACCCACATCCCTCTACTGTCTTTGGTGGCTTAGCAGTGAATGAGCAAAATTCATTCAGCGGAAGTCTGCAACTGAACCTTTCGGTGGCAGATATAGCCCCCTACACCTCTACGATGTTGTTTCGGAACATACTTACAATCTCTCTCTCTTGGATAATATAGCCTCCCAGTCACTCATAAGCTTCTCTTCCTCGCTTGCCATGTGGTTGCGATGCCAGAGTAGCCTCTCCTGCTCGAGGGTCACTCCTTCCGAGGGTCACTCCTTCCGAGGTCTCTGGCTTTCGGGCACTTCAAGCAGGGTATGTCTTTGTGGCAAGGCTCGTGCAGGTTTTCCTGCTCATCGAAATGTTTGTAGAACCAGCGGCATTGATATGGGGCAGCCTGTTTCTTCGATAAAGATGCTCCCTTTCAATGTTAGGATATTACAATTATAGAATGCAAACGTCTTGTGAAAGACATACTTGAGTCGATGGACCTTGCGCCAGCCCCCGTCCAGAGCAAGTTTGTGTTTCCCAGTCCTTCCTTGGGTTGCGCTTGAAGTAATGGCACACAAATCTCTTGCCAGTCTCGGCATCGGCGTCTTGGTCATATCTTCGACCACCATCTTCGTCGTCGTCATCCCGGAGTCGTGTTGATTTTCGGCATTTCTTTCCGTCCGGCGCCGTGTACGGTGTTGACCCTGTTGCTGTTTCGAGAAGCCCCATTGGATCGCTGCCCAGCAGCTTCCCCAGGCCAGTAAGTGGCACTCACGCTAGAACTAATTCGTATTGGAAGTTCGTGACACAGTCTCTTCGTATTCTGGGCGTTGATGGAACGATCATCATGTCTGGACCCGAGCCAGACCTGTCAAGTCCAGTTACACTTTCCCTTCTAGTCGCTTTTGACCTGCTAGTAGTATCCGCAATTATATGAAGGGAATCGACATTGCTGTGTCGCGGACCCGGCCTCTCAATTGTGTTATCATGATTCTCGTGCGTTCCTTTACCACCATGTCCGTTTTCTGTGACACGTAAATTAGGCTGATAATCAAACGTTCCTGCCAATACTCTAAGCTCTGGTCGGTCTCTGGGCTTTTAGCTTCTCGAACTCGATGCTACGGCTATGGATCCGTCCAGGTGAAGTGCTTCATCTTGAGCCGTCGGAAACACGACAACCACGTCCACGCCATCTTTATCACTTTCATGCTCCGCAATGGATTCTTTTCCGTTAGTTTCCAATCGTTAGTCTGTTGGCTTCATGGCAAATATAATGGACCAGTTGCTTGTCCACAGTTGTTTTATCAGCTCCATCATTCTTCATATTTGCCTCCGATAAAGCAGTGTCAGAGATGTGTGGCACAACTCCATATTTCTCAGGCAGGTTCCCTTCAAATAGGCATTTAACAGGGGGCCAAGGGTGGTGTAGACGTCTTTGAATGTACGAACACAAGAGACTCCCGGATATCAGAGCGATGGACACATGCAGCTTTCTTTTGGCGCTTTCAGCTAGAAAATGATGACCCGCAAGGAACCCAAACTCTTGATTGATGTACAGCGCTTCGGTTTAGAGCGACGAAAATGGAATTCGGGGTGTGGCTGGGTTTTCACATGATCTCGAAGGCTTTCATTCCCGACCCTTCAGTACACTTGCAAAACGTGACGAGACCGTAGTCTTGAAGGATGCATCATCGCGACCTGGCACTATCTTCCTGGTGCTTAATACCCTAAGACTGTTTTCCTGGCGGAAACCCGTTCAGGGCTGAAGGGAGAAAAGTGATCTTGACTCCCACGAATCTGACAGGCCTGTTTTGCTGTACACAGCGTCTCGCATGATGTTTTGCGTGGACCACTGAAACGGCAGCATGGCTTCGTTTTAGCCCTTTGCAATCTTTCATCAATGAGGATTCACCACTGGTAAATACAATACTGAGTTTGAGGTGAGAGATGTTGAGGTCAAAGAAGTGTGTCTTGGGTCTGATGTTGGCGCACCAGCCAACGTCGTCGTTTGCGCAGCTGCGCAACATAGGTGCACAAAAGGCACCGCGTCCCACGATCGTGTGCTCGCAGGGCCAAAAGATCAGAAGAGTTGAAATCAGAGACATCCAGTTCTAGCAATCGCCTAGTCGAATGAGACGATCAAGACAACAATCCTTGGGGGGAGAAAACAAGGCGGCGCTTGGCTATCTTAGGCGCTACTATGGTATGAATAGCCAGTAAGTCAGAAAACACCTTATTTGGATCAGGTTTAACTACGTACCAAAAAATGGGAGCATTCTTCTCAAGTCTGTGTTGGGAAAACCAGTCAGCGTTCAAGCTGCCGGTTGTGGCCGGAGTAGGTCTACGGTCGGAGAGCGGACGGGAAGTGACTAAATATCGGTGTTTCGGGAAGCCTTAGTGTATTTATATTCTACGACGTTTTACTTCAGAAACTACTGCGTCTATAGCTTCTTATAGCTATAAACATAAATAGATATACTACGGCCTAAATAGTAGCTAATACCTTAAGGAATACAGAATAGGTTACTGCATCTAACTTAGCTCCGCGTTTTCTATATAGAGTAGAGCTTCTAATGATAGTGCCCGAAGTATCGTTTTCCCGTCACATTCAGTCTTCTCGTAGCATTAGTTCTTGGTCATTGAGGCTTAACTAGGTCGTACATATGCAGTATGCATATCCCAATACCGCTTAGTCCGGTAATGACCTACTCACTTTATCCAGATCAGTCTCTCCGAGTGACAACTGCGTGTTTGATGAGGCACGTCCACTAGGATGTACTTCATTACTGCTTGATTACTTGAGATCCATCGAACATGTTTTACACTTCGGTTTTTTTTTCAGTTACTCACATTCTTTGAGAATCGCAGCATCTGTTTGTGCGAGTGGCGAGGCTAGCGCCAACATCCAAGTCGCTGGCTCGCTGGCGGCTGGCGTCAGCATCGTATCAACGAGCACATATAAGTGTGCTCCGAAGTATTTCACGAAATGAAAGCCATACTTTTTCGACATTTCCTGCAACGGCATCACTCTATTACTTGGAATAACAGCATCGTCATGTCTTCAACGAAACCAATCATCCTCCTTGTCCACGGTGCATGGCATCTGCCTCTCTGCTACGACCTCCTCAAGGAGCAGCTCAACCACCTGGGTTATGAGTTCATCTGCCCCGCGCTGGCGACCTTGGGCGATGACAAGCAGGGCGCGACTGTAAGTAATCTCAGTCGTGTTCAGGCATTTCAAAGTTTACATCGACATGAGCTAACCCCGAACACTACAGTGGCAGAGCGATGTGAAGCTCATTCGCGAGGTCGTGATACCCCTCTTTGACGAAGGCAAGGAAGTCGTCATAGTCGCGCATTCGTACGGTGGTATCCCGGCATCCGCTGCGACTCAGGGCCTCGGGATCAAGGAGCGTGCTGCCGAGGGCAAGACAGGTGGCTTCAGACGCTTAGTCTACATGGCTAGCGGAGGCATCATGGTCCGAGGTCAAGACTTCTTGCAAGGGATTGGCGGCTCATGGTTGCCTTTTCATGTGAGTATCTGGAGTCCCCCACATCATTTTCTATCCTGTCCAAAATTATATTAGGACCCTGCTTGAAAACTTTCACACATCTCCGACAGTCGAACTCATACTGACTCTCAATCGTGACACAGAACGCAGCTGTACCGTACACCAAGGTAAGACCTCTTTAATTCTTCCCGGATTGTATCATGCCGATACTGACATATCTCCAGAACCAACTAATCACCGTGAACGAGAAAGCCAAACCCGTCCTGTACAATGACCTGTCCGAAGCGGAGGCAGAAACGTGGTTCAAGACGCTGGTACCGCACTCGCAGGACGCCTTCGAGACGGGATGCGACTTCATCATGACGGACATCACCATCCCCAAGAGTTACCTAATCACCGAGCTGGACCAGGGCATCCCGGTGAGTATCCAAGAATTGATTACCACCATCATCCCTGGCTTCAAAGTCGAGAGGATTCAAACGGGACACAGTCCTTTCTTGAGCAAGCCGGAGGAGTGCGCACGCTTGCTTGCGAAGATTGCGGAGGAAGTTGACGAATGAGTCGCGGGTGCGACTATACAGGAACGATATGTTGTGGATGCACCATTTGAAGACCATCTCCTGTCAATAAATCTCAGATCAAGCCGAGTCGTCTGTGGATCAATATGAAAATACTACTGTTAGATCCATTTTTACAGAGCTAGCACTGGCGTGCCAATTAATGTCGCATGAGGATGAAGTGTTCCATGTGGAGTTTAAGCGACCAAGGGAACCGCTACATGCAGACCAGGCCTTTCAAAAGAACGATGATAGATGCTCGCAAGCTCACCAGGATTAGCGACCCCTGAAACCCGCTTCAGGGCAAGTTCCCACGAAATGGAAGCCGGTGTCCCTCTTTGCAGAGTCCACAGACTACGTGAATGCCAATTATCTTTGAGAATACAGCTGAATTTTAATTGAAATCATCTCATCCTGCTTTGGCGAGGATCAATGAACTATATATAATAATGTGTCCTATAAGCCTGGCGCCTCCAGACGAGATAAATTCTACGATCTAGTTTGACAACTGTGAGACGAAGATCCATTAACTATAACATCAAAGTCATCATTTTAGTCTTATAAATCCCCCGAAATCCCAGGTGGTCTCCTCAATTAGAGCTACTCTATAAAATGATTTTTCTCAGCCTTTACCAGAAGAGATTCCCGCGCCAACTCACCTCTGTTCCCATTGGCCTTTTACACGTACGGATTTCTGTGCTATATGGGTTTTGGAGGTAAATTCCCAGACCCCTGACCCGAATTGTAGACCCCAACCCCATCGTTTGTCTGGGTAGCGAGGTTTTCATTGCCGTCGGGTCCATTTCCCATTACTTGCGTAAGGAGCAGGGTTTGTTCGTCCGGCAACCGTGTATGTCTCATACGACCTCGTAGCCTCTTATCATGTCTGGCATAATTCGCTGCTTTCAGAACTAGGACTCTGATCTTGTAATCACAAATCAATGGATGCAGGTGAAGGCAGTCATGTCGAGACAGGGCTGGATTCGGACAGAAGAAAGAGACTGCGCAGATGCGCGGGATCTCTAATTGACATGTCCAAACATACCCAACAACCAATGCTTTCTGGTGACGCCTCCTGACTGCATCTCGTTCCTACAGGATGGCCAGACTTGTCGTTCTGGATTCCTCACCGAAGGGTCGTCAAATCAGCGAAAGTCACTTCATCTCCACGTGTATGGCAGGATTGCAAATAGAGGGATGGACGATAAAGATTCTGTATTGTTTACAAGGGGGACATATTGACTATAAATAGAAGCAGACAAGGCTGTCTGCGAGGCTACAATCTGAATTTCAAAATGCTGAGGGCCGAAGTCTGGCTGAAGGCAGCGTGAGGTGAACGTTATGAAGATCCCTGCAAGTGGCGTGCTTTTTCAGATATGCATGATCGGGTTAGTTACATATCCTAATATCTCAATATGCCAAGTTCTGCAGCTTTCCCATTATCTCGAAAGTTCCCAAAAGCTGAACGAAGAAGCAACTTGGACTTCGAATCGAGCATCTTATTTGCACATGGCATAAAATCGTTCAACGGTTAAACCTGTGGTTACTCGCCAGACTGGACCGACTGGATTGAACTCTTTTTTTTCTAGTGTATTGAGTCCGACTCTGCGACGCATATGGACAAGCTGTCGCGTCTTAAGCCATTTCAAATTCAAGACGTCTGACAAGTTGATGGTTGCACCAGGGTTACGAATAGCGACCAAGAGTCCGAGATGGACGGCTTTGGGAAGGTACTTGGTCTAAGTTATTTCAATGAGTTTTAAGGAGCTAGGCATATTTGATGTCCACTGCACCCGAGCAAAATGATCCGACCAGTCTTCTCATGCCTTTCGCTAAGGCCGCGGCACTATTCACGTCTGAGGGCATCATTGCTTCCACCCTTCCAGCCTTCTTTGGCGGACAGAAGACAAACCCAAGACAGGGTGGCAAAGAAATGCGACCCTCTGCGTATTCTGTTCTGCGGCTCAGATGAATTCAGCTGCGCCGCGCTCGAGGCGCTCGACACGGAACGCATGCGCAACCCGTTTTTGATTCAATCCATCGACGTCGTGGTCAGGCCGGGCAAAGGCACAGGCCGAGGGTACAAAGTCATTCAGCATCGTGAGTGGCTCTCCCACTGATCTCAACCAATATGGCTAACAGATCACCCAGCCCCCATCAGAGACCTGGCCAAACGTCTCTTACTACCAATCCATGAGCGTGATACCTTCACGGGCTGGAATGCAAGTCAAAGGCTCCATGTCTGCGATGGACGAGCTGCAGCTAACACACACAGATGCCTGAGTCCATCAATCTCATCATAGCCGTCTCCTTCGGCCTCTTCGTGCCCCCACGGCTACTCAGAGCCGCCAAGTACGGCGGTCTCAACGTCCACCCATCATTGCTGCCCGACTTCCGCGGACCGGCTCCGTTGCACCACACAATTCTGCACCAGTGGAACTCCACCGGGGTAACTCTCCAAACGCTGGACGACAAGGCATTCGACCACGGCATCGTGCTGGAGCAGACGCCTCTTGAAAGTCCTGTGCCTCGCGGCATTACCGTGAAGGGGCTCCAAGACCTTCTAACGCCCTTGGCAGTGAACATGCTCGTGCAGGGCCTCCGCGACGGGCTCCACGTCCCGCCGCTGCAGGACCGTGGTCGGGTGGGGGAGCCTGCGGCGCCCCTCGCGTCGCCACATGCGCCCAAGATCACGCCCCGGGATCGCCAGTTCCTTCTGAGACCGGCGTCGTCTACATATCCTCTGGAGCCGACGGTGAACCATTCTGAGGTCCTATTGCGACAACAGATCATTGGGCCGCTATGGTTCAAGGCAAAAGACAAAAAGGGAGACCTAAAGCGCATCATCGTCGTGAGTGCTAGCGGGCGTCGACCCCCAAAGTTAGATCATTCCACCCCGCGTCCTGAGCAGATTGTAATCCATGGAGAAGACCAACAAGGACATTCGTTCATACAGCGAGTAGACGTATACTCGGAAACGGGGGACGGGTCTATATGGATTCCCGGCTGGAGCGGGATGGGGGTAGCATTGGAGACTCTGAAGATCGAAGGCCAGAGGGCCAAGCCTGCAAAGCAAGTCTTGGCCCAGCTCAAATTGTATGAGACACCGAGAGAGTTATAAGAAAACGAAGAGAAACAGAACTGAGAATCCATGTGTGCATGATAAAAGTGCAGGGGTGGTTTGAGAGATGAGCAGAGCTCTACCTAACGAGGCATTCACCCAAGTGAGACTGAAATTCAAATTGCAATGGTTTTGAAGAACGTATCTCACCAAGTTTGCTCCTAGCAAGGCCTGGGAGTTCCTTGATTCCAAAAAGCGACGTTCGGACCAGCAACACTTTTTGAAAAGTCGGGAGAATGTTGGCAATTATAGTCTTCATCATCTCCGGTGTGTGATCAAATAATCTGATAGCGTTACGTATCGAGCCTCATTCGAATAAAATATTTCGAAATTAACCGAACGGGTACATACTCTCTTATCCTAGATCAAACAAGTTGAATGGTATTTTCTCGTTGCTCGAGTTCCATGAACCGTTTCCGCACCAACAGACGCCATTAAACTCGAGTCTAAACTACTAGTAACTGAGTTGCTTTGGAAATCCATGCAATGAACATAAATAACCAGAGGCGGGACACGACATTCCACGGCGTCGAAGAAGCCTTCTTGGGCACCAGCGGCTGGAACCCAGAGGCCTTCCTCTGGACGAAGGAGACCTTCGGGCTTTCATTAACATCACAACACCGGCAAAAGTTTCTCTAGTTACCGGCAGATCCAAGAAGATGGACGGGGACTTTCCACTTTGTACCAAATCGAGGAAGGTATGAAGCATGGTAAAAACTGAGAATGGAAGTAACGACGATGATGCTTGACCACTTCCGTAAATGCCGTGCTACCGTGCAAGAAGACGGGTATCCATGAAACTTCTGTCTGCAAAGTGTGGATTTATTACTAGTAACTGAAGGGTGTTCACTTTTTGTAATTAGGAATTACGAGGACGATGGTGCTCTATTAAAAAGCATGACTGAGCGATAAGTAAGGCTATAATCGATAGGCGATAAGATAGTCAAGCGATGACATCGTTTCCGACGCGTGGGGTGCGAGGCTCAGCTACTTTTGCGACGGGTCGGCTCGCCAATGCTCCCATACTTGAGATGATCACCACCAATGGTATGTAGCCAAGAGCACATCAGCCCGGATCGCTTGGATCGCCTGCGACTCACCTAGCAAGCTTTGCTATTTTTCTCTATGCTCGCAAACATGTTCTCGTCGTGGACCGAGACTTCTGCACTTAAAACTAAGATCCAACCGAGTTGGTGAAGGTTCATAGTCAAATCGTTGCCGCAACCAACACCATTTCTCTAGCGCAGACTGAACGACACTTGGTCCCGGCGAAACAGCAGGGTCTATATGATATTTCCGATCTCAGAATACTCGTCTGCTTCACCATAAAGAAATCAACGGCATAGCACCGGGATCGTCGCAAACCATCGTGCACTGTTCCCTTGATAATTTCTTGGAACACGTTCCAACACGATGTCGATACGAATAGCCCTCGATAACCCGCCCGAATTCTATACGAATCTCGACTTCATACAAGGCCGCATAATCCTTGGTCTAAACCGTTCGGAGAATGTTGGCAATATTATTGTCAAACTGGAAGGCGAAAGCCGGACTGCGCTGGCCCTGCCCAGGGGAGGCATGTGGTATCAACCCGCTTGTGGATGTTGAACTACATGCTGATACGCACTAGATTTTGAAAACCAGCCCGTCTCATCGGTGACTAGCGGGGATGTTGTCACGGAGAACCACAAACTGCTGTACCTTGTTCAACAGGTCTATCCCGGCGGTGAGTCGGGGTTTGCGTCGGCAGCCATTGGCTCTATGCCTGGCGTATTACATCCAGGGCAACACGAGTTTCGCTTTCGTTTCAAGTATGCGTCCCTACATATCTGTTTTCTCTGGATTTGCAAACGGAGTTCCACAACAGCTTGCCCGGAAGCGAATGCTGCTACAACACGTTTCAGAGCCCCTTAGTAGTAACAACACCTGAAGTTATAGTCGCTGATTCTCGTGCACAGAGTCCCCTTGAATAATATATGCTCCAACCCCAAGGCAATGGCGGCATTAAGCGGGGTCGGAGGCCTTGGTGCAATGAGCCCTGGGAACGGCGGGCTGTTCGGCGGGTACCGAATAATGGATGGAAGCAAGCAGTTGATGCTGCGGCATGTCAAGACTACACTGCCGCCGTCACTTACGGGATTCCCACGTCAAGCTGAAATCCGCTATTATATCAAGGTGACAATACAACGGCCGGGTTTCTTCAAGGAGAACTGGAGATACCAAACTGGGTTCAAGTTCTTACCAATCGAGCCGCCCCGGCCACCCAAAACCAGCCAAGAGGCCTTTGCCAGACGCCCATTTATCTTTAAGCCACGCACGCCCTTGCCACAACGGAAGAAGAAAAATAATCCTTGTGAGTCGCTCTAGAGTTCTTTGTATATTGGTTGTTGTCTCCGGGGCAAGAATTACCCGGTGATCCCACCTCGAGATTTCATTCCCCAGACACATTATGAATTTCGATCCTCTTGGTTATCCCGTTGTCGACGCTGAATTATTCTCTAGTCTTTAGCAGCAAGTCATCTCAAGCCGAGGAGGACGTCGAGACAGTGCCCCCGTCCATAGAGATATCAGCACGCCTCCCACATCCCACTATTTTGACTTGCAACGAGCCGATACCACTTCGTCTTATAGCCAAGAAGATTGCCAACTCGCAAGAGCAGGTCTACTTGTCCTCGCTTGAGATTGCCCTCGTTGGCTTTACCAATATTCGCGTGCATGATCTCCAGAACACCGAAGTCAGTCGCTGGCTTGTCTGCACCACAGCCAACCTCTCCATAGCCTTAGGCTCTCCCCAAGATGCAGTTGACTCTGAGTTCGTTGTGCCCGATGCTTTGTGGGCCAATATCCGAATGCCCAACACTGTTGCCCCTTCTTTTACAGGATGCAACATCTCCCGCCGTTACGAGCTCGAAATGAAGGTTGGGCTAAGCTGGGGGCTCCCTTCCACTAGTGGGAAAGCAACAGCGCCGTATCCACAGCTTATTTATCTACCCCTAAAGCTGTCGAAAGTCGAGATATATTCCGGTATCACCCCACCGAGAGAGTTATTACGCTCGTCGACATATAGACCACAACAGTCGCCTCCGACTTTGCCTCCCAGGACTTCCGTGGCGCCATCCCGGCCTCAAGCACAGCCACAGGTACAGCCGAGCGACCCCCTATATCCACCTCAGCTGGGTCCGAATAGCACACCATATGAAGATGCACCTCCTAGTTACGATGAGGCCATAGCGCAGGATCTCACAGGACCCTCTGAGAGACCTGCATACAGTGGTGTTACTGCAGAGAATGATCCTAGTACCATGCCGCCCGAGAAATCGGGCTTGCATTAGCCCCGATGGGATGGAAAGAGACACGAGATTCAACGGTATTCAGGGGTAATCACCGACATGACTAAGGATGACTACAGCACATCATACTTGGTATTGCTAGTAGCAGTTGCATTAGTCACGTGCCGATGGACTACCTAGTCGTACTGCTGGTGGATATATAGAGAATTTCAAGCATTTCATACAAGCCAATCCAAGCCTTCTCTTGGTGCTCTATCGCCCAGTGAAACTCGTCTCCATCCTTGGGATGCTTCATCTGTGGAAGAATACCATGTATCCAAGTCTCGCTGGCTGCATTTTCCCTCCCATTGACTCCATCACAACCCGAGGTGGCCAGGGGAAAGCATGCCTGGCCTCCACAGATCAGCGGGCTTATTCGGCATTCCTCTCGCAGTGATTCCAATGAGTCGTTTCAAGGTACGAGTAATCTCTTGTTCGCAAACTCAAAGGCGCCAGTTGACACGAAACAACAGCAACATCGCGGTTTAAATGCATGAATTTTGCACACATTCTTGACTTTCGATAGTCATCAAACGGATCTAGGAGTTGCTGGTCAGGCATTGCCTGTCTAGAAGTTATTCGGGATAATAGTTTTGTGATGGAGCATCGACTTATTACTTGAATTAGACATGCCTGAACACCTCATTGCCCTCGTCTCTGTCCACCTCTACCCACCTCTACGACCGGAAGCCTCACGTCGTAGAACTGCCAGGTAGAATAGTTTAACTCGACGCGACGCATTCCGCAGTCGCTTCCTAGAAGAGCTGATATGTTGAATCGTGCTGACCTCGAAATGAAATATCAGAACGGGAGTACGAGGTTAGTTCTGCCAGTCTGGATATGGGTAGTGCCGAAGCTTCGCAAACCGTGTCCCGGAAATGCGAAGCTCATTTTTGTTTAGTTACGTTGATTATGGATGAGAGATTCAAAATTTCCATTTTCTTTCCGACACAGTTCGACAGATCATCCAATTGGATGCCAACTCCCGTAATGGAAAGTGCAAGGCCTTGTATACCAGCAACCTCCAAATGACATGCTCTAATTTGCTTCTATGGGCGTGTGTTTACGTCCACTGCTTCAATAACGTCTATCGTCTCTGCTTAGTTTACATTCAGCACTTCATGTACATCTCTTGGTCCCCTTAGTCCTAATCTCTCATTTATCATAATACTCAAGCCCCAAACGCAAAGCGCATTGAGTGGGAGGGTGAACCGTTAGGACCGAAGTAACTCACATGCTGCGTGATTGTTTCTCTCAAAACACGTATCCTCAATTCAAGAGAATACTACCTTAGCGAAAACCAAGAACTACGATTGGCCCTCGAATCACCATAATGGAACATTCCAAAATGCAGATCAGATGCATTATCATTATAATCATCTCTGCTCATTATGTATTCCAGGCTAGCAATCCCTGGTCCAGCTCGAGGCCACAAGACCCCACGTGAAATGTGAGCTGCAAATCGTGAACAAGCCCTTAGTGAGTGTAGCCTCGGCGACTATGGCCAATACCAACATGCGGCCATTCCTCGCTCATTCGTTAATATGTCCACGAGAAAGGCGCTGGTATCGAAGATGCCCTACATGTCATGTACCAAACTCCATTCCCATTTCCATTCCTAGAGCATCCGCCGAGGACCAATCCGAGAAGATGCCCCCATGTAACTCCGTACCTGTTTGGGCAAAGCATCAATGACTTCGGGGGGTATATCGCGGTCTTTTAAAATGACAGTTTGTCGTTTCCACAGAGTCCACTACTGGAATCCCTGGACGTAAGGGGGTGGAAAAGTGAAGAACTCATCTCGGCAAAAGAGGACTATGTGAGGTGGGTCGTGGGTAAGTAATCACAAAGAAAATAAGGGGCTGAGACTCGAGTCATCAGTCGTCAAGTGTAATCACCTCAACGGGCGCCTTAGACTGCGCAGGCTGGGTACAAGATTGTGAAGCCGTGGCCGGAGTGTTATCGCTGTCGCTATCAGTGCCACTGTCATCGTCTCCCAGCTCTACCTTGGCTTTCCAAGAACCATCTGCGGAAACCATTATTTGCTTTGTCTTGAGTTTACCCTCAGCAGCCAACTTCGCCCTGACTTCAGTGAGGAAGCCATCAATCTGAAGACTGCAGGGACGCGCGTCGCCAGCACATAGAGGACATTTCCACTTGTCAACAAACGTTGGCTCTTTAGGGCAGAACTTGCAACTGGATTCCTTGGTTCCACAAGTGCATGCCTTCTTGGTTGGCCGAGTGTTCAGCCAGGTTTCAAGATCGAAGCATTCCAGGTGAAGACAATTCTTGCCTCGGACAGGAATGTCGAACATGATGAAGCTGAATGGATCAGCGAGGTTTATAGTCAAGTCGCTGACGACCATGGCAATATCATTGTCATCATTACTGCTAGAGCCACCGAGACGCTTTGCAATGATTTGTCGCGTCCACTCCGCGGACAGCCCGGCATCAGCTCGAAGGTTTGCCAGGCCAAGGATTGCGGTATGACTAAGGGTTTCCACAACCTCGACGGCGACGAAAGGCACCATCCTGATTGGTTTTCTCACAGGCACGTGGATCTGGAGTATGTTTGCCCCAGGCTTGATAAAACATCCCAACTCCACCGGTTGGTCTTTCGCATGGTGCTGCTTGCGCCTGACTGTCAAGCTGTGCTGATTGAGCTTCGCATAGAAGTGCTCCGGCCAACCCGTCTCGTTCGTCACCCATGAATCCTCCGATATTGACACGGTGTCGGTCTTTTGTGGGCAGCATCGCAAACGAACACGTAGCGACCCGTTCGAGAAGATATTGACTGGCAGCATTTCGTGCTGAAGCACCGCGTTGGGAGAAATCCTTCCAAACTCCTCGTCACTAATGTTGAACCGGAAGGTGTACAGGTACGGATGAGGACGAATCGGGACAGGCTGCAGTGCCAGATACTTAACAAACTGGTAGTGTCTCTCTGTATTCTGGGGGTATCCCGAATCACGAAGCATTCGTTTCGGACTTCTGACGTGTACTTGGTGCAAAGACATTTCGATCGACTTCCGCTCGTAAGGGTCATGTGGATATTCGTTCAAATTTATTGTACGGTGTATGGGTGCGCGGGCGACAGCAGCAAGATCGCCACCCACCTGCTGCAGTTGTCGGTTGGCCATTGAATGTGGATATACGTTACTCTGACGCACTAAGTCCGTAACGTTTGTGCCAGTATTCCACAGGGTTGGCGAGGAAGGGAACACACCGTTGGCAGCTCCTGCCGGTGAGAGAGCCGGCGTTGCTCCAGCTGAGGTGGTTGAAACACGACGCAGAGGAGGCTGTGCGTTCCCATGGGATATGGACGCATTATGTGAGCGCGGTGACGAATGTCCGCCAAATTGCATCTGCTGGTATTGGTTCATTGTGTTTTGAATTTGAGGTGCAGGGCGATGCTGACTTGACATGCTGGGCAGTGCTGCACCGTTCGGCATCAGAGATATGTCCACGTTCTGAATCTGTGGTGACCTTGAGCTAAGACGCTGGTGGACTTGGGAAGCTTGCGTGAGATGCTGGGATGCACGTCTAAGCCGAAATTGTTGCGGGAATTGCTGCGGATCAGAGGAGTTTGGAGGAAGTTGATTCCCGCTGGCTCCAAGGTATTGTTGAATGGAAGAACCGAACTGCCCTTGGTTGATAACGGGCGATTGGTTTGGTGGAGTGCAAGACAGGTGCACGTTGTTCGGTGAGTTGGTCTGTACGCCAGGTGTTTGTTTCGAGGTCAGTTGATACTGCGCCGGTATAGGGACTGGCGCAAAGAAATCCTCGCCGGCAGCACTCGTGACGGGGAACGGGGAGTTTACTGGAGAGGTCTGCGCAATCTGGCCTTCAGCATTCGTAACTACTGACGCTTGCCTACCTGCCGCCCTGAAGCCGTTCGGGACCTGGGGAATCTGCGGGCTCATTTGCGGTGTCGCCATTGTCAAGGATTGCTGGGCTGGAGAAGGAGATGTTGAAGTAGATGGGTATGCAACCTGTTGGGACATTCCATTCCAGATTGACTGGGCCAGCATCTGATATTTCTGTATCAAGTTATTGTTGTACGGCTCTTTCTGGAAATCTTTTGTGGTTGTCATGAAAAATGTTCCGTTTTCCTGACTGTGATTTCGTTGATCTTGCCTGAACAACTCGTCCATCTGAGCCCCTATCAGTCCATCAATAACCCCGAGTGTCCTTCTCGATGCTCTGAAGACAATGGTTTGCAAGATGGGTGAATAAAGTGCAAAGGTAGCAATCAGCTCATCCATGAGCAGCGGGTAGCCTAACCGCTTGTGATCGTGATTCACCACCATCCAATTCGTAGAGATGCGGACCAAGAAATCTAGCACTGCGATGATGGCATTGGCGTAGATCGGAAAGTCGCTATGCATGACGCGCAGTTGGGCTGGAAAGCGCACAAACCACTCCAGATGTTCGAGTCTCAGCTTCGAGTTACTCTTAAGAATCGTCCCCATAATCCCGAAGCCATTGTCCACTAGGGATGGATCGTGGACTCCCTGAACGCAGAATTGGTGAGCCAACGAGGTATTGGTGGACCATGCACAGAACAGTTGGTGCAATGCTACAAAGAAAATGTCATTCTGCGTGCATGCCTCTCTGAGAAGCTGGTATCTGGGTCGTTCAACCAGAGCCTCTAGTGCATGTTCTCCACCCTGAGTGCGAATCTGATTCTCAATCGCCGTTGCTGCCTGGAGACTCTGAAGCAAGCCTTGCAGCGGTTCCCTTTGAAGCGGTTCCCTTTGAAGCGGTTCCCTTTGACCATGGGTTAGTAAGTACTCAAAACAGGACAGTCGCAGTGAAGTTCCATCATCCAGATCAAAGTGACCGCAACATGATACGTCTCAATTTGAAGGAATTTAGTGAATGCCAGTTCCAGAAAAAGAAAGTCCCCAAGAAAAGCAAGGACATTTGGCGGATCAGCAAGGCTCAAGAACCTGACAGCTCAACGAATAGAGTCCTCGATAGTTCACCGTCACAAGATCACAAGACTTAGTTCATTATGGCTAAGGAAGATAGTTCACTCACTCAATGCGTCTCCGTTTTGCTGGCGGATCCTGGTTTTGCCCTTGAATTGGGGTTGCTGGGGCCATCATCGGACTGAACAAAGGCAAATTGGGCGTTGTTGGTGTTTGGAGAGTCATGACTGCCGAGCTACGCGTCCTCACCGCACTACCAGTTTCTTTTCCCTCAGTTGAACTTTGTTCATTTGCTGCAGCAGATGCGGGTGCCCGAGTCGTGCGGTCAACTGACGCTGAATCGGCAACGATCTCAAAATGCGCTTCAATAACAGGGGCGTAACTTGGTGTTTCCGGTGGGAGTGAGTGATTTCTGTAAGGGCTCGTGGCTTCGTACGATGCAGACACGGCTGGGCTAGGTTCATTACTGGGTGCTGGTGACGGAAGAACTGCAGGCGCAACGGGAAGCCTATAGATATTGATAGGTCAGCTTATGTCTTGCTTCGAATGAATAAAGCGTGCATAGAGATTGCGCGCAGCTCACAAGGCAGTCACGCCGGAACAAGCTGGGCAAGAGCCTGGGGAAGACATTACTTTGCAGATGTTTGCATTAATGCGACTTGTGGTTGTTTAAGAGGTTCTGGTGGCCGCGGAGGCAGCTTATGAGATGGATTCTGGTGTGAAGGGTGCGGTGGTCTCGAAGGTAAGTGATGCGAAGAGCGTACTGCTTGTGTGGTGGTTTTGGCGGGCAGTGGGTTCGTGGGTTGTACTTGCCCGTCTTGGGGATTCTGATATTGTGAAGATTGCTGTCTCGAGGCAAGCGGCTGTGTCAGACGGGGCTTGGGCTTTACCGGTCCTGCTCCGGTCATCCATGAATGCTGTCGTCCGCCAAACAAGGTGGTGAGGGTGGAATTTGTCGCAGCAACCTGGTGGTCGGCATTCGCAGGCGACCCTGAAGTTGCCGTCGGCGACAAATGATTGCCTCCAACTGGCGCCATAGACTCAATGATTCATCGCAAAGCGTGAGTCCAACGTTCGTCTACAGTGCTGTCGAGGTTTGAGGTTTCAAGTGTGAAGTTTCGGGGGCAGGTGAGAGATGAGATTCACGCGCTGATTAGCCAAAGGCGGTTGTCGAGGCGAGACAAGCGTGACAGGCGTGAAAGCAATGCAGAGACATGGGAGAGCTTACCCTCTGCAATCAAAGGACGAAGGGGTGGAATTTGTTGAAAGTAACGCCGTTGTTGTTCGGTATATTTATGCGTTGCTGGTTGGCAGTCCTGTGTCGGATGTAGGCGATGAGCCCGTCCTATGCCCAGACTTGATTGACGATTGAAGCACAGCTAAGCAACTGCGATTGAGGCTCTCCGCGTTGGTGCTGTCTAGGCTGGGCCTGCCATGGGTTGGTCCACTTTACCAAGCTGCGAGCGACTTGGGAAGTCTTGGCGTTTTGCCCTCAGTATCTTGTTAAGCCATAACATACAACCCCACCTTTCCGGCCACCCGCCTTTCTGGCCACCTAATCTGCCAACTACAACAACCTTCGGCACAACAGATTATCGTCGGTATTGGCTATTATTATACAATGCCACGGTATTCAGAAAATTCGATTCAAGGCGCTCTTAACGATATCAATCAAGGGATATCCCAGCGCCAGGCTTCCCTCCGATGGGGCGTTCCACGCTCTACCCTCCAATTACGACTCGGTGATGGCCTCAGCCATTCTGACGCGTCAATCGCGTCGATGAAGCTATCTAGGGATAGGAAGACGCGCTGATTGGATGGATCCTCGAAATGGATCGCGAGGGTCGTAGCCCGTCGGCGCTATTCATCGCTAAGATGGCGTTGATTCTATTACCTCAGGATCGTCGATCAGAGGGCCTCGGTCGCCATTGGGTTCATCGCTTTATTCAACGCCATCCAGAGGTCGGAAGTATTCAATCTCGACGCCTCGACCGTCAGCGATTTGATGGCCTATCGACGCAGAATATCGACGATTTCTTCGAGACGTACGAAGCCTTATGTCAGCTCACGACTACTTTCCACATAACGTCTGGAATATGGACGAAACAGGCATCGCGATTGGCGAAGGGATCGAGGGTATAGTGTACGGATCATCAGAGAAACATACAACATTCGTTCGGAGTGACGAAAGCCGCGAATAGGTCACTATATTACATGCTATATCGGCGATGGGTAACTCGTTGACCCCAGCAGTAATATATACTGGCAAGAGCCTCCAAGCCCAATGGTTTAACGATTGCGACGATATACCTGATTGGTAATATGCTTATTCGTCTAACGGTTGGATCAGTACAGATATCGCCGTTCGATGGCTTCGTGATATCTTTATACCTCGTACACAACCAGTTGATCCCGGCGAGCAGTGGCTCTTGATATTAGATGGTCATATCGCTCACGACAACGTCGAGTTTATGTGGTTAGCCTATTGTAACAAGATCTCGTTACTATTTTTGCCAGCACACTGTTCTCACGGGCTCCAACCTCTCGACGTCGCCGTATTTGCTCCATTAAAGCGGTACTATCGCTCGTTAGCGACCTCTCTCTCGATCGAGTACTGTTCTATTCCATTTAAAAAGTCGACGTTCCTCTCGCTATACATCGAGGCATATACGAAGTCGTTCACGATCAGTAATATACAATCAGGCTTCTCTGCAACCGGAATATACCCATTAGATCCATCGCGACCTCAGCCGACGATAGCCCCCCTATCAGAACGACCAACTACACCACCAACAGCTGGTAATTGGCTTGATCCGACAATAATAGCGACGCCAGTGACTAGCTTAGTAGCTAGGGAGAGTCTGGCAGCGATTACGCCATTGCGATCGTCGCAACGGCTATTGTTTCGGAAGCTGACTCGTCGGCTAGATGTACAAAGCGTCTAGGTCGCTACTTTGACCCAACGTGTACACGCATTAGAAGCCGAGATAACTTCGTTACGCCACAAACCACGTAAGAAGGTACTATCAGGGCCTAATGAACGATTTGGTAATATTGTACAGATTAAGGAAGCGATGGATCGAGCCCTTGAAGTAGAACGGCAACGAGACCAGGTACAACGTCGGAATCAGGTAATCCTGGACCCAGCTAAGGCGTCAGAATCTATCAGATCTATACCTCAGGAAGCCCTAGAGCACAGTTTTCTATTAGAGCTGGTTGTACCTGAATATCTATAATAGTACGTTGAATACACTGTTTCGAATACCTTCAATTGGATTGCAATATATGGCCGGAAAGGTGGGGTTGTACGTTAGAACCTCAGGTTGAAATGCAAACCAATTTATCCTATCCTAGGGTTCTTCCTTCCTCACAAGCCGTATCCGGTACAAGAAGGAGGACTCGGAAGAGCGCAATCAAAGCCCAAACAAATCCTAGAGAAGTTTCGTTTATGGGGAAACTGCCCAAAAAAGCATCACCTGAGCATGAATGCAACTAAACAATGAATAACTGCTCAACACCAACAAAACATCACAAAACGAAGCAACTGCATAGCATCATGACACTTGTGCAGAGGGTCATGCTTGAACCCTGCATCGACTGTATGAAGTACTCCGTTCGCCGATTTAAACAAACTAGAATACAAATTACCGCCAACGGCCCTCATTCCTCTTGGCTGTAACAGTGTCACAACGCTGCTAGTTGTCAGCAGCCACAATCATCTGTTTCAAACGGGAAAGGCAACAAGTTGCGGACAGGTTTATGGCCACTTTCGTATGCACGCTCGCGGCTCGTCTCAAGCTTTCTCCATGACTCCTCCCCTCCAACCTCCAATGTCACGGACTACACAACCTTGGGAGACGCAAGTCTTTACCAAGTTAGCCGGGAACCTTCCACTCCTTCACATGTAATCCAGCCAACCTGTGGAGAGGTTTGAATGTATTTGAGGCCTTTAGTATTAGTCACACACCCGACGCCGAGCAGTCACGACCTCGCTGAATCGTACGAAGATTTGCACCCGGTTATCAACAACACTGGAGGCTGTTGTATTTAGATAGATCACGCTGCCGGCCTATGATTGAACTTGAAGTTCTTCTCCAGGCATATATGACAACCTAAGGAGGCGACGGGACAAATGGCGCTTCAAAGTAGAATAATATGGGGATGGCTCGATAGGTATAACTTGATGATCCCACTTGAGTGCGCCGTTAGTTTTGTCGTCTAGTTGAACGATACCATGGCTGTGCTGCACGTAAAGATGGACTCAAAGTCTAAAGTCGCCAACAACTTCGCCGGTTCGGAACATGACGGCAATGGCGGCAATCTATCATGGGCGCTACATGTAGACGCAGTTTACCCTGGACAATATATAGCTAAGTTGCAGGCATTAGAAGACCTAACCTGCCTCTGGGATCTTTTGGAAACATTTTGAATAATTTACAAGCAGCTTTCCAAGAGAGCCACAATTCGGACTACTCCGTACCAGAGGACCTAGTGGATCTCTTGGCATGGGATCTGATGATGCGTACCGTCTGAATGCAGCCCTGCCAATGAGCCCTTCAGGGCTGATCCAGAGCCGGAATACGTTATGTCCAGATTGACAATCCGACAAACTAGGATCGTATTGCTGTACGAGCGCTCGGTGACAATCGTATGTTGTATTGGCCCTGACTCGCACTTGAGTCCTACCCTATCCAAAGCTCTACTGCTTTGACTTCGCACGAGACGGCCCCCTCCATCGACTACAGCCTACAAGGCCTTTAATCTCAAAGCGAAGTCTTGATATTCCTGAAGTCTAGTAGCCTTGAAAGCATAACTTTAGCGTACATTCCCAAATTCAGCGGTCGAATCCGGACATTGTATTTCATCAAGGGTTTATGCGGGTGGTTGATGACTAGAAGAATCTTCAGTTTTCAATGTCAGTTGATGTACCTCCGTACATTACAACCCAGTAAGCGCCGGACGGACTCAAATCAGAAAAGCTTAGAGAAGCCTTGGACGTGATTCCGGATATAGCCCAAATCGGGGTCGTGCTCCACGCTCAGGTGGGCACTGGATCATAGTGGTGCAGTACGAGGGTACTTTATTACCCTGGGCCAAGGCCTGGCAAGACCCAATAACGCCTGTCCACGCCGGCTGGGGCATACTGTGATTGATTGGCCTCTCCTGTCCCCAGTTGCTTCCGAGACGGTAACACATGTGCGGCCTGGTCTCCCTCAGGAAAAGGGCAAAAAAAAAACCCGTCTCGAGCTCCCAAGAGGCCCAATCTAGCCATCGAAAGCAGCCCCTCCCGGCCCGTGTCTGCTGTTCAGAGGTAGTCCACCACTCAAACAACTGAGCCGTACTTGCCACAATCGCCGTTGCCAGCCCACTTCTAATTGTGCAGTTTGCGCGCACTTGCAGCACTTGCAGCACTTACAGGAGAAGCAGCAGCAGGCACGAGCAAGCCCCTTGGACGACCTTGCACGACGACGTAGGTGTGCACTGGGAAAAAGTGGCCTGTGTGACAGAACAGCAAAAAGGAGGACCGAGAACGAGTTGGGGATAGGTTCAACGCCAACACCAACGACGACGTCTCGTCTGGTCGCTTAAACCACCCATCCATACCGCGCAGCTGAACATTTTTGCCTGCCGAAAGGGAAGACGGAAACATACGAAACATTTAGAAAATCCTGTCGACGTTCGACCTTTCGACGAGCGACACAGTGACCGACATCATACTTACAACACCGGACTGTTTTATATATAGGCCTGCTGCATCCAACGCAATTCCGAGCCTATCGTCCGTGGTTGCCGCTGGCTCCGACTCAATGCCTTCAGGTCTTCCCTGAACCTGGAAAGATCGCTCGAACTAGGTATCGAATAACCTCCCGGTTGCTCGCAAAGTCAGTTGCTTGATAATTTGGGTCGAATCCAACGAGAACCCATATTTTTGTTGCGCGCAAACCCCGGTCTTCATCTTGATGCGATTCCGAGCTGCGATACACTTGTATTTTGCCGCGAACCCCACGTAAATCTTCGAACCCTCCGCTTCTACTCGAACTTGGACTTGGGATTTGGACATGAACCATGGCGGCGAGAACAGGAGCAGATTTCCAGCCGCGGCCGGAGGTCGGTGACATGTTGGTTGTGATCCGTAAGTAGAGCCCAACTGTTCCCCCGTGTCTCGGTAGTTGCTTTTGCATGTTTGCACCTTTGGCGGCAATACCTGACGGGACTTCCGGGTTTGGGCACGCTGCACTCAAGGAGGTGTTTTTTGCGGAGGACTTGCGGAGTGAACGGTTGAATTGACATTGTGAATTTGCGCAGATGACTTCATAGCGAGGAGTTCAGATGAGTTGAGTCTCGCAAAAGGCGACCGAGTTGAATTGATTGAGCGGGATGACGAATTCGGCGATGGCTGGTTCTTAGGTCGGCACATGGCAAACGGCAACAGCGGCCTGTTTCCGGAAGGTAAGAGACAACAAATGCACTGTTGCTCCCCAAGGCTCTTGTCCTCGGATGGGAGGGTGACACGGAATTGACGTGATATTTTGAATGTAGTCTATACGCGACCATCTCCGAAAGGTGTTCCTCCGGTGATGACAACAGCGATAGCCCAGAAGCCGCTACCAAGCCTGCAACCACCCAGCACCAATGGAACGACAACTGAAACGAGTAAGGCACCTTCGATAACAGCATCCTCGACCGACGGTCGACCGTCAACCTCGAACACAACGACTTCGTCCAAAACCGAGCCTACGCTAGTCACTCTGCCCTTGAACTCGACCAAGCCAGAAAGCAAACCTAGTACGCCTGCCGACCCTGCGAGTTCGAATCCAAGTCCCGCGCCACTGGCAAGCAAGAACTTCTCAAGTAATCTAGGCTTCGGAGGCGTAGGTCTGGGTCGCGTCAACACGGGAAACCAGGACCACCCAGTATTGCATGAAACACTGACTGTCATCGATGAACACATCACCGACCTGAAGTCTACGCCAAGCAACGGGGCGCTGCACAATGCGACTGACTCGAGCAGTGAATACAGCGCGCAGCTGGGGGACCGCATGTCGTACATCCAAGGGGAGGAAACCGACGAGGAGGAAGAAGCACCGCACACACGAACCGACGTGGGAGGTTGGACCGCCGATGACGTGGCCGAATACCTGTTTACTACAGGAGTCGAGAAGAAGCATTGCGAGGTGTTCCGCGATCAGGAAATATCGGGCGAGGTACTCTTAGGCATGGATCAGTCTTCGCTTTTCCTCAAGGCATTCGACTTAGGCTCCGTCGGTCGCAGGTTGAAGACTTGGCAGAAAATCAAATCTCTACAAGATGAAGTTAATGGCAAGGGGCCGGGACAACTTGGGCGCAAGACAACACAGGCCAGTGACGCGGGAAGCGAGAGCTCGAGGAGGATGCGAAGTCGAAACAATACCTTGACCAACTCGCAGAAAATACTGTCACTCGACGACCGGCCCGGCTCGGTTGCTGCGAGGAGGCTGTCGCAAACACCAAAGTTGGATCCCGTCAGCCCCATGACGCCTGTGTCCTCTCGAGGTTTGATGGACAGCCCAACTCGTCCCTCGCACCAAAAGAGACCATCAGCTGCTTCGGTGCGCGAGCTGCACCATTCACGCCGTCATTCATCCACCGACTTCCGGCTCACCGGCACCACTGTAGTGAACAATACGCCCAAGCTCCAATCAGCATCTTTTTCCCTGGGCGACGGGGCGACCCATAAGAAGCAACCCTCTTTTGACCGCAATTGGACTATGGGCAACGCCTCGGCGACGAATGCTTCTTCATTTTCCCAACGACCCCTCTCTTCTGCTGGATTCGACGATACCCCGAACGACTCACAGGAAAACGTCACGAGTGATTCACCGATGGACGTCGACCGGGGCTACTTCTCTGGAACCGACATTGATGGTCGCAAGCGCAACGTGCTTAAGAAACGCGACACCCTCTCCGCCCATTCGCGAACGTCCAGCTACGCCGACGAGCAGCGCGCTAGGAGCGGCACCGCCATGGCTAGGCATTCGAGATTCGGCAGCATGGACTCGGTTAGAAACAAGATGCCTCCATCTGCCGCCCAGCAGTACTACGGCCTTGATCTCAGCTCCACGTCTGGTAACCCTCATCGCAGGTCGGCTTCGACCATGACCACCGAGTCAATGCGACCAGCGCCACCGTCCAAAGACACTCCGCCACCCATTGTCACCAAATTGGACAATGACAATGATGTGTCGCCTACGTCTACCAATAGACAAGCGATGCACTCCGACTTCCTGGCCAAGCCAGCTAAGATGGGCGGCTTCGGCGGGCTCAGGGCAATCTCGGATGCCGTTACTGGAAACGAACGCGCAAAGCTTTCGACGCCGACGAATTCATCTATCAAAGACATGATAATGGATACGCCTTCCAGGACTGGATCCAGCACTCCGTCAGCAGGACTGAGCTTCGAGCTGGATTCCCCCGACACTGCCAAAAGCCCCCTTTCAACGACCACATCCGGCAGCCAAGCCCGCAGGCCGGCAAAGAACAAGAAAGAGACAAGTGCCTATCAACGCGGCTTGGCCAAGGTTGGACCAAGGGAAGCTATCAAGGATGCCGAGTACAGCGGTTGGATGAAGAAGAAGAGCTCGCATTTGATGACAACGTGGAAACCAAGACTCTTTGTCTTGAAAGGACGACGTCTGGCCTACTACTACTCTGAGGATGACACGGAAGAAAAGGGACTCATCGACATATCCTTCCATCGTGTCCTGCCAGCGGACAACGACCGTCTGACTGGACTTCACGCAACCATTACGGGTGCTAGTAATACCCCGATGATGCCTGCGGACAGCAACCTGCAAACGGGTGCCGATGCATCAGCCGCATCCCTCGAAAAGGGCGACGACGCCATGTTCATTTTCAAGTTGGTGCCGCCCCGGGCTGGCTTGTCTCGTGCTGTCAACTTTACCAAGCCGACCGTGCACTATTTCGCGGTCCCCAATCTTAAGCAGGGCCGTATGTGGATGGCGGCGCTCATGAAGGCGACTATTGATCGTGACGAAACCAAGCCCATGACATCCACATATCAGCAAAAAACCATCTCGCTTACAAAAGCCCGCCAGATGCGTCACCGCCCGCCTGCGCTCATGAACCTAGAAGAGAAGACCGAGGAGAGTGCAGCAAACGACGAAGCTGACGAAGAGAAGAAGAATGGTCTTGGTATCTCATTCGGCGAGGTGGATAGTGCCATCTCAGGCTTGGAGAAACTGGGCCTGCAAAAGGTTGAGAGCTCATCTGCCCGAAACCCGACATTCGTCGACAGCGAGAAGAATGGCGGGTTTGCGTACTTGGGATCTCCGCAGAGCGCCTAGTCAAAGCTCGCGGATAGAAAACCCAGTCGTTGGAGCCTTTTGTGAGCCCCGAATGCCCGCACCAAATTTACCTATTACTACGCGCCACCACACGCAACACGCCTTGAGGCTAACATATCTTCTCACACACATCTGATTTCTTGTGTCATATACCTGGAGGGAAATGGAGCGGGCATTAGTGGCGTCATTCGGCAAAGTATTGACAGTTCGACGTCTACTATAGTAGAACGCAGCGACGCAGCGAATTTCTCGACTGAGGAAGCAGTGGTTCAATCACTGCCGAGTTGCGAGTCTGGGTGGGGCGCGGGGGGCGGTGGTGGTGGTTTAACAAGGCACACCAACTCCGCGACCGCATTAAAACACAAACATTTTTCCTTGGTCTCATGTTTTCCTGGAACTCGACGTCTCATGAAGCTGAATGTCGGCATGGGAAGGGGTTTTATTTACTCCGAGGAGCCGGAGGGGAAGTCCCACATCGGTGGGGGATGCAGACAGTATTTGATTGATCGAGAATGGCTGAGGATGAAGGACGAACGTCAAGGCAAAGATAAATTTGAAAGATGGGAAAGACGGACAGACTATCTCTGGACGCTGCCAACATGGACGCTGCCAACACGGGATGTTGCCGGTGACGAGAGGTTGAGGCAAAGGAGGGCATACGGACGGACGGATAGGAGTGAGTTCCAAGTGAACTACTGAACTATGGAATGAAGGGGTGGATGCCAGACCTGTCAGATGGCTAGGCTAATACAATACGAACGAACGCATAACTACCCAATAGATAAGTCCTAATACATGTACTACTTTACATGTTTACAATGATTGACTGGGCCTGTGCTATGTGGGTTGTTTTGCTATATGTTCAGGCCACGAAAATTTAGTAGGGGATAAGCAATCTAGTTGGACAAGTGCGCACACTGACATGTCGCTATTTATCCGCTGTTCAATTGTAGGTTAGACTTTGTTGGACTGGATGCAGATACAAGCCGCATATGTTTTTGTAGCGATTTTTCTCTATTTATTGGGAGAGGCAAGACGTAAACAAGTTTGCCATATTTATTGGATCCTGCATTTTAATGCCACCATGTACTTAGGTTCTCTTTTCCCACATAGCCTACGAATCACTTTCTGCTTATATGATACGGAATGGGCATGCGAAATATCAATCCCTTGCATAGTAGCACTTGGACTCAAACTTCCAGATAGTAGAAGCCTGTCTTTCTACTCAGGCAGGAATTCCAGCCCAAACGTGTGCTCTTACCTGTATAATCAGCATTAATAAGGGTACGAGAGGAATTTTAGAACTAAACACGGAGAAAATGAAGAGCTGGGAAGGCTCGAGCAAAATACAATCTGGTCAGGTTCATCCATCAGGGGGTAGTTCAGCACGGAGAAACCGGGACGGCTGGTAGAATACAACACAGAGTTTCAGCTCACCTGATGCTCTTTTTGCCTTCCGAGAACGGTGAAAGTACGTTCTACTATCGGGGCTGAGCGGGTGTGAGTAGTTCAAAGTCATCAGACCTTAGCCCTGCTGATAATGGTCATTCATCACGAGGCTTGACTACGAACGAAAATATACCGGGACCGTGGAATAGAGAGGGAAATCCGAAATGATGTGATGAAGAAAAAGGCACCAGGGTATGAGTAGAAATGGAGTGGTAGGAAATATTCAAGCTGATACTTCCCTTGGTGAAATGCATACAGTAGTAACTCTCGATACTGGGGATTGCACAGGGAAAAATTTAGGGCATCTACATACTTAGGCGTCAAATCCTGGAGTCCCTGGTATCCTTCATTCGGTATGTCACTTTGAAGTTACTCATATATGGCCTGTAGACATGAGTGGAGCAAAGTAGCGTATATTTGACCACCCACCAAATCCCAAATTTTCGTAGAGAAGGTGAGACAAGTTGGTGAGTGACTTATCTCCGATGCGCGCCCTGAACGAGGCCACCTAAAGCTTGGTGTAGATATGTTCCGAAAGGTAAAGGACCGGTTTGGGGGATATGCGTGGTGAGTGTACTCAGCGATATCGATACTGAAGTTGCAGAAGATCATCCTACACTTGCTGCGTGAAACACGCCATTACGTTTTATGTAACCTACCAGACGATCAACTGTGACAAATAATAGTCAACAAGTACTGAATCCAAGGCCGAGTATCGGCTTGGAACAAGAGAGGTCGAGTAGATAGATATATCCCTTAGTATTCTTCGTTTTGCCATATTGGCATATCGCTGTGCATGTAGTTGATACTTCAGTATTCTTTTGCATTCGTACTACCCGCGCGGAAACAGCACACAAATTCATCCGAGGGACATTCCACTTAATGATCCCTGTTCTGACATACGAGAATCGCGTTTCGTTGCTGGCCCAAAGCTGTGAATGGAGCTAGATGGAGCAGGACGGTCTGGTCGTGTTAACACGGCCAAAGTTGGTGGGGGGTGGGGGTTGGCATCGAAGGGATGAAGGCTTTTGGATGAGACTATGTGGCCAAGAACCACGAACCTCCCCCTTTGGCAAGGCAATTACTAATGCGTATGATGGTGACTGTCTCGCGTTCGTCTGCGTATGGAAATGCCCAAAAGGAGATACGCGGAAGCCACCTGGGGTACTTAAACGTCGATGGACGGTTTTGGTCCGTACAATTTTGGGAGATGAAGCTTTCGGGATTTGCTTCTAGAAAGACCACCATCAGACGGGATTGGGCAAGCCTGATAGAATGCCGTAGAACCGGAATCCTCAGTCCACAAAAGGTTGGATGTACAGAAAGGACGACGAAAGATGTTTGTTCGATTCGTACGGTCTCTCCACAAGCCGATTCTCTGCTCACTTGGCAACTATATAATTCAATGGCCCTGCTCCAGAAGTCGAGTATATGCCGTCTTGAGGTGCCTATACCGATGGTTGGACCAAGATGCCAGGCGAGCTCATCTTAGCCTTTTTACCACGCACCATGAGTAGTTACGCCGTGTTCATTGTTATCTCAAGTGGAAAGAGTTTGTAGAAGTGATGCACAGAGACCAGGTGGCGGCTGCCCGGATCACCGTCAGCTCTGTCGCAATTGTGACTGGTCGTTTTGGCCGTGTGCCCCAGGCAGAAGTATAAGGTATGAATTACAGAACGCCAAGGGGCGACTAACCTGCAACTTGTCCAATTCGAGACAAATAACACATGTTTCCACTAGCGGAAATAGCATCTTTCTTGGTGGGTATTTCCAACATGGGCGCTTGGCCGTCTTATAAAATTCCTGTTGTTAAGAAGAAGAGCGAGTTACGGGGAGTGAGTTGAAAGTCCCATGATGGTATGTTTGAGTTGAAACGCATTGCAGTATGCGTGTTCTCAGCGGTTTGAGGGGTTGGGGACATCGCCCCGAGAGGGAGCGGCGCCGGGGTTTACTGGAGAGTTTGGTGCGATGGAATGGCGTGCAAATCCATAGTATGCGAAGTAATATATCGTTACAAATTTTCCCAAACCCGCGAGCTTCGGCGCATTTGAGCAAAGTGCTATCACACTTTGCAACTCAATACAGATCAACACAGATAAATAAGGTAATTTTCCATGTCTCTTTTCGGCATGCGGCTTTTCAGATCAGATAGAGGGAAGGCTAGGTGGTGTGTCGTTGTAAGCCCGAATCATCATTCTGCGGACTTGTCCAATCAAGGCACCCGCTTGTCAGCCTGGCTCGGAGTCATCACAGTCGTGCCAACAATCAAGTCATGATGGACACCGTTGCGACCCAGCTTAGAGATGTCCCTTCGAGATGTCCAAACTTGGAGAATGCCCACGGACGCTACTTAGTGATGTTATACCAACTCATCGCAGCATCGAAACTGAAGCATGAGCCGCAAACCATAGTCTCACAGTTGTTAGCTGTTAATTGGCCCTTCTTCTGAATGCCGTCGTGTACAATCCGTAATCTGCCGCAAGTTCCGGAGAAATGGTCGTCCAGTTCCTGGCTTGCATATACATACATACATACAATGCGCCACCGCAGCCAATACTTCGAGGCACAAGGGGTTGTTCCCTGTTGCTGACTGTTCTGGCGTAATTCGCGGCTTTTGTTCGCTGTCGAACGAATCTTGCAGGTTTTGCCACCCATCGCAGGGCTGATGTTGGACATTGCCCTCATCTTGCATCTTGCGAAGACGGAGGCTTTGGAAAGCAATACGAAGGCCAAAGTTTGCCCGTAGGCCTAGACGGGCAGCTTAGAACTATGGTCATATGCCGCCGGTCATATACTTCATAATCCGCGAGGTGCTGCCGCCGAGGTCCATGGTCTAGAACGGTCTATTATGGCTTGGTTACATGGGTCGGCAGCCATGTCATGCAAGCAGCTACAACAAGCGACCACCGTTAGCCCCTGTTTCTGTCGTGATCGGAAAAACCCTCTTGGGCTCTCCTGTGTTCCTTTGGTGGTCTTCAGTGTGAAGAGTTTGTGCAGGGCAAACTTCAGGGTGCCGCATGGGGTCGTCTACCACTGTGGAGCGCCGTGCTAGTAAGATGTAGATCCATGCATATGTCTTCTGACTTATAGACTGGTCGCCCGTTCTTGCATCGGGAATTATGAGTGGTATGATTCTTAGGGGTTGTGCTGCGGTTTCGGGTGGTAATATGCAGACGGAACAGCTAGCTATGCTGGCTGAAGTCTCTGTGGTTGTTGATGATTGACGTCTAAGTGCGCCGCCCAGCACGCACACTCTTCCTACTCCCCAATACTTCCAAATCTCCCGCAACGAAACACGTACAAGGGCAGAAGGTCGCCACATTGATCCCCGAATCAAGCACTAGGTCGGTTCCTCTTCTCGAGCAATCTCACCATCATAGAAAGCTGACTTGAGAACTGCGAGACGATAGGCCGGCTACCAAGCACCTCTGATAGCCTTAAGGGGATTCCGGGCCATTCGCACATGGTTGCTGTGCTTCAGGCATAATATCTTTCCCCGAATCTATGGGTCAGATGGCTACCAGATCCGCGTCGAGAGGAAGTTCGGGGATCGCAGGCGTCAGCCAAGAAAACCAACAGCATGTCAATGCAGACGGCGATGCTTCCCAGTCCGGAGAAGAGCACCACACGCAGGATCTGCACATCTTAATCTTTAAAGGACAGCCGCGAGACATCCAGAGCACAAGAGTCACCAACCTGCAGATCAAGGCAAACGATGCAAACCAAACGAGGATGACTTTCCAGTTGGATGGCTCACCAGGCAACTATTGGGTCGACGAACAACGGGACCAGCCGTCTGCCATGTCAAGACCCAATTTGGTTCGGAAGCTACACATCGCAACAGTGCAGACAACGACCCCCCTCGACATGAATATACGAGATGTCATCATGAGTGTGCCGATGAGGAACGATGAGCCGGATTGGAACTGTCAGAACTGGGTGGGCGATGTCATCGACGGACTTCGAGACGCCGGCCTGATAACCAGTGATGAAGCGCATGCGAGCGTCGATGCCATGGTTAATATTATCTTTCGAGCCCCTCCCCCCCCGGCATTGACGAGTTGATACGAAGTAATGTTTAATGGGCGGTCCGCTGCTTTTCGCTGCATTGAGTTCGGGGTTTGACTGAGTACTCGAATGGCGTCTTGAATGGAAATCGGGTAGTTAGGGTAGCCAAGATGTCGGTCAAGCCTCTGTTCGTCTGCCTCTCCAGTTTGCTAATGGCGTACCTGAACTGGAATGTTGCGTTGGAGGCTAGGTTAGAAGTTACCATTAGCATACAGTTTAGATGCTCATTCACATGAACTTTTGCCATCACTTCTTGAGCAGCTTGTTGATTGACTACTCCGCATAGTAAGACTTGTTAGAAACTATGGAACGCTAGTTACGCCGTCAAGCTGTGAGCTCCGAATGTCAAGGCTCGAGGATTGATCAGTTCAGCGCTATAATCGGACTGCCCATGGGCCACCACAGCACCACAACATACCCCCAAACGATCGCAAGGTCCGTCTCACGTGTCGTAGCATCCAATTGCAGTCCTGTTGACGGTCAAAGGCGTGTGGCCACTTGATCAGAGATAACCTGGATACATCAATAAGTTGGATCTAGTACTAGGATCCCCGTCTCCGCGATGACTTTCGGGGAACGTGCAAAGCCGTCGGACGCCAGAGCCAGACAACAAGCCGTCAAATTGCGGTTGCGTCGTCGATAAGCTCAAACCAGCCACCACTGCTGGGACAATTCGGACCTCGGACGGTAGCGTCCGTTTTGGGACCCGAGCATAGCCATGCTATTTTTCTAAAGAACAATAACATGGGTCCATCGCGATTGATTCATCATGGCTCTGATCGAGACCCAACTTGAGTCCACTACGTTCCAGTTGTCGTGAAATGTACGATCCAAGAATGGCGTTATCGTGACGAACGCAATAAGGTGTTTGTCGAGACGCGAACGAACGGTTTTCGCTTTTTCAAGAAAAACCTGGTAGCGGGGACCGTCAGGCTGCTATGCTCCTATATCATCATTTTCGCCTTCCTTGGTAGCGATCCTTCCCTATTCCTTCCTCTCTTCTTGCTGGAACGCGTAATACTACCCATCCTTACGGTGGGTCCTTGTCCGAGTTTATTTCGTCTGTTCATTCGAAACAGTAACAACTGAGATCTAGAAACACCATGAGAAGCTTGAAACCCTAGTGCTGCCGACTTGCAAAACTCCACAAGCACGCGACCTACGATGAGAAGCAAACTAGGACTGTAATTACAGAGCAACTAGACCTAGACTGATATACAGGCAAGCCGCAATCTGCATGTGCCACACCGTGTATCGTGTTGCGGGCCCTGACATTTGTTGGATCTGGCAATAACGGCCAAAGTTGAGCGACGAGCGACAGTACTTGCGTTTGTCGCCTGACAAGTAGATGCCAAGCTGGTCCGATCTACAATTCCGTCAGGCAGTCTATTCGCATTCAAGTGCATCATCCTCGTCCTCATACTAAGTACATTCAACTATGGTTCTCTATGAAGCTAGGCCCGTTACCAGACGAAAGGTGCGTAATCCTAGCACAGGCCCACAGGTCCCGATTTAGCGACCAACCAGAGCCGCTGTCGGTCTGTGAGTCTCACTACCGAGAGGCCACTTCGCCCTCTAGGGGCCATCTTCCTTGACTCCAACTTAGAATGTCCGCGACGCTTGTTTCTACACCTAGATTCTACATTCCTCCTTTACACGAGGACTCCAACCCGTCCCCCTAAGACACCCACCCATTTGACCGACGCAAGTGCACAAGTGCGCAACGTCGTCTTCTTTACTTCGCGCATTCGAGTTCCCAGCTCGGATTGACCTGGGCGTCGCAACCGTCTCGCCATGGCTCCTCCGTGGAGCCCGGGGCGCCTCGCCGCCAGCGGGTTGCTGATGCTCACGCCGTGGATGTCTACAGTTACTGCTGAGCCGACAGCGGCGGATTATTTTGTCCATTCACTACCGGGAGCGCCGGAGCCGCTGGTCAAGATGCATGCTGGGTTCGTCTCTTTGCTTACACCGTTTCAGACGTCGATGGAGGCTGACACGCAGCGACTTCTATCAGACACGTCGAAATCACCCCGGAACACAACGGAAACCTCTTCTTCTGGCACTTCGAAAACCAGCACATTGCCAACAAGCAACGGACTGTCATTTGGCTCAATGGCGGCCCTGGATGTAGCTCCGAGGACGGTGTCATGATGGAGATTGGCCCCTACCGAATGAAGGACGCCGACACGCTCCAGTACAACAATGGGTCTTGGAACGAATATGCCAACCTACTTTTCGTTGACAATCCGGTCGGAACTGGGTACAGTTACGTCGATACGAATAGCTACATCCACGAGCTTGATGAGATGGCCGACCAGTTCGTTCTTTTCCTGGAGAAGTGGTACACGCTTTTCCCTCAGTACGAGAACGATGACGTGGGTACCCACGTCCCTGCGGTGGTGAATTCCCATGCTAATATCGTCTAGATTTACATTGCTGGCGAGTCGTATGCCGGACAGCACATTCCCTACATTGCCAAGGCCATGCTCGCCCGCAACAAGAAACCTGGCACCAAGCACGTTTGGAACCTGAAGGGCGTCTTGATTGGGAACGGATGGATCTCTCCAGTTGAACAATACGATTCCTACTTGGCTTTTGGTTACGAAAAAGGCATCATCAAAAAGGGGTCCGATGTTTCCAAGCAGCTTGAATCGCAGTACCGTACGTGCCAGAAGGAGATGGCATCGTTCGGGTCCAAAGAGGTCGACAACGCTGCATGCGAATCCGTGCTTCAGGAGATGCTCCGGTTAACCCAAACCATGGGTCCGGACGGAAAAAAACAGTGTATCAACATGTACGATGTCCGGCTCACGGATGAATACCCGAGCTGTGGAATGAATTGGCCGCCAGATTTGAAATACGTCACGCCTTATTTGCGGAAAGCCGAGGTGACCGAGGCCTTGCACATCAGCTCCAACAAGAACACCGGCTGGACTGAATGTAATGGCGCAGTTGGTGCAGCATTCCGAGCCTCGAACTCGGCCCCTTCCATCGACTTTCTACCCGATCTGCTGAGCGAGATTGACGTTCTTCTCTTCTCTGGAGCCGAAGACCTCATCTGTAACCATCTCGGCACAGAAGCGCTCATCAGCAACATGAACTGGAATGGCGGCAAGGGGTTTGAGGTTTCCCCTGGCAACTGGGCGCCTCGTCGCGACTGGACTTTCGAGGGAGAGGCAGCCGGTTTCTGGCAGGAGGCTCGCAACTTGACTTACGTCTTGTTCTACAATTCGTCTCACATGGTTCCTTTCGACTATGCCCGCCGAACACGTGATATGCTGGACCGGTTCGTAAAGGTTGATATTAGTAGCATCGGGGGTGTTGCCTCGGAGAGTATGTTGGATGGCGAGAAACTGCCAGATACCACTGTCAGCGGGGCCACCAATAACACTGCAACGGACCAGGCAGTCAAGGACAAGGAGCTCGAGGAAGCAAAGTGGTTTGCTTATCGGAAATCTGGTGAAATGGTTCTGGCCATTGTGATTATTGCGGCGGCCGTCTGGGGCTTCTTCGTCTGGAGAGGTCGCAGGCGCGTACAGGGATACGAGGGCCTCGCCACTCTCGCCGAAAGGGCCCCTGGGCCGCAAGTGCGAATGGGAAGGTTCCGCAACACGAGGTCCAACCGTGATGTTGAGGCGGGCGATTTCGATGAAAGCGAGCGGGAGGAACTACACGTGACAACACCGACTGTGGACAACGAGAGATACAGCGTTGGCGGTGACAGCGACGATGAAGTCGTCACCGAGAAACCAAAAGCCGGACAGTCAAGCAGTAGTTAGACGGATCGGGTCATCGGAGGGACGGGTATTTGCATAGAGGAGCATGGCGTGGCGGGTACGGCACTCGGCTCTGTACCATACGCAACGTCTCTGTATGGAGTTTTTGAATAATCGCATCAACCACTGTCTTCGCCCTCAAGGTAAAGGACAAGTTACCGTGGATTTATCAATTAGCCATCAGCCATGCTATCACAGACCACGTCACACGAACAAACCTTAACACATTCCCCGCGAAACATAATCTGCATCATATATTGTTTGGGAAACGACAACACTTTGTCGCCCACATAGTACGGTGCTCGTCGGTTCCTGCCCTTATTCTCTGGATTCATTGGACAATAGGAAATGTCATTGGTCATAACCGGTGGTCTGGTCAACTGTTCCAACACGAGAACTGACGGATTAAGTAGTATGGAAGTGGTAACGCGTAGTCCGGGTCAGGGGGAGGCTCCGTAGTAGTATGGACAAATATGCCCCATGTATTCAATCCGAGGGCAGCCTATTCGCCCATCGTATAATCATGCGAGCGGCCCTAGATTTACATGGTCGCTGAACCCAAATAGAAGGTGCCATTTCCCCAACGCCAATCCCCCTGGTTCTACATTAGTGGCCGTGCAAGTCTGACACCCAGGTCTAAGTCTCGAAGTTAAGTCCTAATTAGCGTGCTCTCGTGGCGTCGTATGAGCTCACAACTAACTCATCTTGCCGGCATGAGATCTGTTTCTTGCACCACAACTTTCTCTATCAATCACACCAACCAACCTACCCAAATCAACTCATAATAAAGTGTCCACTCTTATCATAACTCATACCATGCCAGACCGCAAGCTCAAAATCGCCATCGCCGGCGGCGGCATAGCCGGCCTCGCCCTCGCCGCAGGTCTAATTAAGAAACAGCACCTCGAGGTCCGCGTGTACGAGAGTGTCGCGGCATACAAGGATATCGGGGCCGGACTGGCGCTGCACATGAACGCTATCAAGGCGATGATGCTCCTCGGGCCTGAAGTCAGGCAGGCGTATTTGGACAAAGCCCTTACCATGGTCGAGGACGAAGAAAAGGAGATGGTGACGGAGGTGGTTCTGGCGCAGGGCCCGCACAAGGGGCAGTTGGTGGCGGAGCTGGGGAGGGCGAAGGGGCGGAAGACGGTAAGTAGGGCGGATTTGTTAGAGGGGGTCTTGGGGTTGCTTCCTGAGGGGACGGTGGAGTTTGGGAAGAAGGTCAAAGAGATTGAAGAGCGGAGTGATGGTAATGATGATGGGGGCTACGCTGTCCATGTCACCTTTGTAGATTGCACCGAAGTCGAGGCAGACGTCCTCATCGGCGCAGACGGCATACACTCTCCTACAAGATCCTACCTACTCGGCGCCGACCACCCAGCCACAGAACCGAAAAACCACGACGGGTGGCAGATTTATCGGACGATGGTCCCCGTCAAGGAGGCGGTGAAACACATCAACCCCAAATGGACAACGACCGTGCCCATTCTTTTGGGGCCCAGGGGACATGTAAACTGCATCCCGCTCAACAAGAACACCCGTCTCTCAGCCGGCGTCGCCGTGCGCGGGAAGCAGTTCCTCACAGACGGCAAGCTGGACCCAGAGTGGTACAGCGATTACTCCGAGGACGCGCAGCAGATTGTCCGGCTCGTAGCGAAAGATACGAGCGCTTCGTGGAAAGCGGCAGACCACGACCATGCGCCCTTCTACTCTAAAGGCCAAGTTTGCATCATGGGCGACGCGGCGCACGCCAGTCTTCCATTCGCGGGGAATGGGGCGGCGCAGGCGCTTGAGGATGCTGCTGTGCTGGACGCGCTGTTTGCCCATGTCACCAAGCCCGGACAGATCGAGATGGCGCTAAAGGCGTATGATGAGGTGAGAAGACCGAGGTCGCAGATGGTGGTGGAGATTGCGAGACGGTTTGGGAGGGTGTATGCGTATGCTGAGGAGGAGGGCAGGATGCATGAGGATCCTGAGAAGATGAGGAAGTTCTTTGGGGAAATGGGCAAGGTAACAAATGAGTTTGATGTGAAGGGGCAGAATGCCAGGGCGGTGCGGATGTTTGTGGAGTTATCGAGGAAAGGGGAAGGTATTGATGAATAGGCCTTGCATGAAAAGGGGAAGACTGCGATATCAATACGTTGTTTGGACTTTATTTTAGCTAGACGATCTGGGTTCGTCGTTGGAAGTCTTTCTATTCGGATACGGCGTCTTGTTGCGCTTTGTAGGACCACTTGCCAATGAAACTTGTCTAGTATGTGCTCCTTATCACTCTTAGATACGGTCTTGGTCGTCCGAGTTGATTAGATGGTGCTCGTCTTATGACACCGAGGCGAGGATTCATGAAGTTTGGTCATCCACCTCCGGAGTTTTCCAGATTCCCCTTGCTCGTACTTAGTAGTTGGACAGAGTCGAGGCGTTCGAAGCGACTCTGTTGATTTCTATCTATGGGGAATGCAGCTCACTCTACACTGCTGCACGCTGAGTCTGATCTAGGCAGCCAGTTACCCACCGAGTCTCTTGGCAGGATCGTGCCTCGCCGCAGGCTTCACCCCCTTCGTCTTCAAGCTCTTCTTGCGCCATTCATCCACGAAATCTCTGGTTGTCAAGACAAAGATGTCAATCTTGGCCAGATCAAGCGCATCCCCATACAACTTTTGAATAGCAGGCAACACTGGCCTATCACACCCGTGACAGTTTCCGCCGCGCATCACCTCCGCAAAGTGGTCCCTTGTTTGCAGGCAGCTCTGTTCAAACCATTCGTCCACATCGCCGCATAGGGTACCGCCGAATGCTAGCACGTGCAGTAATTGCCGCCACAATCTCATGATATAGACCGCGCCGAGCTCAAACGGTCTTTCCGCGATGTCTTGTATCACATCCTTCACCACGATCTTGGAATGGGGGGCACCCGGGTCATCGGGAGACTTATCGACAAGGCTTTCGCATACCGTTCCCAGAATGATCTTCGAGCCAAATATCCATTCCTCCAGGTCCGAAAGTCGGACGGCGACGTATCTCCGATGTTTGCAGTATACTGACTTGAAATTAAATCCGGATGGGGACGGAACTAGATACTTGCGGGTCTGGAAGTGCGGATACATGATGCAGTACTTGCCGGTTCGGAGGTCGAAGAAGGGATTCGGCAAGTCGGGCATCTCGTGGTCGTACTGCCAGCAAGCGGGAAATGCGGTCCTGCGGCGTTTGTTGCTCATAGCCCGCAAAGTTTGCTGCAGAGCGTCGAAGGGCACTTGCAACGAGGCGCGAAGCCTGGGCAAACCGTCGTGAACTTTCATGAAGTACGAGGCCAAGTCTAGGTTGACGATGTCGTTTCGTGAGATGAGGCAGCCGGTGAAGTTGCTTTTCCGGCCCCGCGGGAGGTCATGCACCGCGAATGTGTGGTGAAGGGCTACCTGCCTGCTGAGGTGGCAGATGCAGAGAGCGACGGGGTAATCTTCTGGGTCTGATACTTGAGTGATGGCGGGGACTTCTCCGTAGCAATGTCCAGGGTTTGGTGGTTTTGGCATCGTGATAACTGGCCAGAGTGTCGACTTGCCATCGTCGGCAATAGTTCGAATGATGGAAGTGTCAGGCAGGGTCATCTTCCAGATTTCCATTTGCAGTTCACTGGGGAGCAGGGGGAACACGATAAAGACCCGGTAGTCTCGCTGGACCTCAAACGTAGCATCTTTGGGTTTTTCCATTTCTATCAAGTCGAGGTCGTTGACGTGGTCTCTTGCTGACCGATGGCCAGAACCAGCGGGTGGTTCTCAGGTCATACAAATCACTGCAGCAGGATGGTGTATCCGCGTCAACGAGACATTGAACACAGTAACTTAGCAGAACGAGTCTGTAGGTTTTCAGCATTGAGTTTTTTTTCTTCGCAATTTTCGCAGAACACGCCGTCAATTCTGTGTGCGTGTGTCTCGTTACAGAGCTGCATCGTTGGCGAGGCCAAGTCAATCTGACGCGGGAGGCTTGGACTTTCATGAAGCCTTTTGAACTCAAAGTCCCAAGTCCGGGTCCGCCGCCCCAGCCGAGGTCACGAGCGCACCATCGTCCAGCCAGCCAGTTCAAGTCCAATCCGGATGAATTCGGCTTGTTTCCGACGTTGACATCGCCTTCAAAGGCCTTCCTTTGCGAGCATATCTGCTATGTCAAGGTAGAAGGCGATTGCATTGAAGCTATAGCAAGGACATTAGCAGATTTACTGCAAAGGAAGCCGAAGTAACGTACGTGGGATCTTTACCGACCATTCTTCGGAACGTCCACCTCAAGCGATTTGTCCAATTGATTAGGTCCATGTGACTGACCTGAACCAAAGTTCCTTTGTAATCGCCCCATTTGCTGGATTTCACACTCACGAGCCCGTCGTTCGGCCCCTCTAGGTCATTGAGAACGGTATGGGACAGGCGGAAGGGACTCAGTATTGGAGGGCGACCCATCATCGCGCCGTAAGAGAAGTACCGCACGTCTGGGTCGTTCGGTGTCTTCGGGTTGAAGTCGTTGCTCATGTACTTTTGTGTCAACTGAGAAAAGGCACCTGTTTCCATGCCGAGTCCGTGAACGAACTTGAACAGACTGGGCAGGCGATCAGGGCCAATCTCTTCTATCAGGTAATCCGCAAAAGCGCTACCGTGATGGGGAGAGGCAACAGTGACAAGGGATACCACGTTGACATCCTTCGGTCGAAGATGTGATATCATATGACGGGCATCTAAGCCGCCCATGCTGTGAGCAACGATGTTGACGCTTTTGCCTTGGGCCACTCTGGCAATCTCCTCGCCTAGCTTCTCAGCCCGTTGCTCAATGCTCCCTGAGGGCGGAACAGTGGTCGTGATTACTTCCACTCCATTGGCCGCCAGAGCATCCGAGATACCGCGCCAGTATTGGACAGCGGGAAGCCAACGGCCCGCCACACGGAGTTCTGCGAAGCCGAGAAGCCCATGGGCCAGAACTATGGGGTGTTTGGGGGTCGCTGTGATGCTATAAGACGGAGAACCAACTTGCAGATGGAGCGATAAGACGAACCATAATACTCTCTGATCTGAGCATACTCATCCTGGATCTGCCGGCCCAGGTCTGCCAATCTAGGATCGCTATGATGCTGGTGCTCTGAGTAACATCTCCGTGCCAGCACGGAGCGGGACAAATTGAAGTAAGCGAGACGAGGGGAGTTGTAGCGGTGGGCAAAGGCAGAGGCAAGGCGCGGGCACTGGTAAAACCTCGAGGCAAGGCTCATCGCTGTTGCGCTTATTATGCAGTTGGTTGTCGTCGATCAACTCCTTCCGGCCGACTCATGTGGTCTCGGAAAATTACGCTGGATGTGAGCGCATTTCAACGTGTCGCGACCGACTTCGTTGGCCCATAGCTTGACGTCATTCAGATGATTTGCTGCAAACCAAACGTAAACGCGTTTGGGCAGCTAACTAGGCTAGTAGTGGCGCTCTGCTTCGGCTGCAAGGGGGCTGCGAGGTGGTTCAAGCGACCGTGAACCGAAGGATGGCCCGAGCGTCTTCGGGACCTTGCCGGTTTCCTTCTTGACAAAGAGCACCAGTCTGGCTGGCTCCCTGTCTTGAGCACCACCCAACTCGCATCGTAGCAGCTCGCTTGACCCTTCATCCCTCCAACGGACAGAAGCAATGTACCGTGATTGCATTCCCTCCGCATCAATTTACATCCAACACGCTTGGGACCCAGGTAGTTTTTGATTAGCACATCTCACTTTCTTCCAAGATGAACTCCATCTCACGGAGCCATCATCTACGGTTGAAGCTTGTTTGTGGAGGCCAGGGTCTGCCCCTACTAGGCATACTCTCAAGTTTGTGCCGCACCAATCAACCCTGTTATATTGGTTGGCAGAAATGGCGAGCGAATGGGAGTCGAGAAGCCGAGAAGTTGTTCCTACAACGGCTTGCAAATCAAGTGGAGAGGAGCCATGGGAGCTCCCGTTGTCTCTGCTCGTTCGCTGGCTCATGCTTGTACTCCATCCCCAGCCACCCACTCACAATGCTGGTTGGCAATCCGATGTACTAGCCTGGATTCGTGGAGGGTCGCATTGTGGTCGGCCATTGCTTGTTACTTGCTAGACCCGACCGTCGAATCCTGCGCGATACACTTCTCGCCAACGAGCGCCGCCATTCCGCTTGCGCAAATCCTGCTCAACTAACAGCTCACGTCGCAGTCGCTGCAACGCTTCGCGCCTGCACGCCACCAACGTTAGTCAGACTGTTGCTGGTACCATGCTTTCCGGCCGCCTTCGACTAACAACGCAACTAGGCACCCTCAACTCCCAGCCGGTTGTATTGCTGCTCTAACCCACCTCATCTTACGCGCAGTACTAATGCATAGCTATGCATATTGTGTGAAATGCGGGTCTGTTCGAGCAAACATCGGCACCTTGTGTCGTCCATCAGCCTTGGGAAACAGCTGCCGATCCGCCCCCCAAATGGTACGTTCTCGTCGAGGGCACGAGGGGCTTGTCGGCTTGAGAGGTGCACGCGATCCAACCATGTTGAGGTGCGGGAGGCGTTGATTTCGCTGCTCGTCATCCGCGACACGGCAATACGACGCTGTATTGCGGCGCATTGACTAGTGAGGTATAGAAACGACAGCTTCCCCAATTGGAGCAGGTTCCGGCCCCCATCTGCTCGCTGGCTGGATTGTCAAGGTGAGTCGCGTTTGTACATCGAATAAACAGGGTCACTCAACAACTGACCATTCAGACGAAGCTGCTAGGCGCGTAATTTATCGCTGCCACTCCTATTGGAGGGCTACGGGCCAACCCCACTGCTCAACCCGAGTACTTGGGACAGCTCCGCCCTGGCTCAATGGCATGGCCCTCCATCCGCCCCCAAATCCACCACTAGCAGCCGGCCGCTGTCATATCTGATGGACGATGCATATCCGTCCGTCAAGCCCCTCTGGCTCACCCGAAAAGTGTAAAAAGAGTGCCATTCTTTGTGGGGTCAAGGCAGCCGTGACAGCTTCACAAAGCTCGCTAGCAGCAACCTTTGGCCCTCGAGATGGTGGCGCTAGGTCCGTTGGCCGTGGTTAGTTGTGCACAGGGGAGGCGATCTTTTCTCATACAGGGCAGAGTGTTGAGCAGGCAAACTTCCAACATGGTAACACCGCATATGCATGGTGCAGGATGCCAAAGGGGCACCCACATAGACAGACTGGTCTACTCCGCTCCCTCTCGGTATTGTCTGTCGGGTTCTCCTGGATAAATCCACTCGGTCCGGTAAACACGACGTTTGCCTTCTCCCAAGCGCCCCCGTGTTGCATTTCCATGCTGTCGGGCCTTGACGAACTCGTCGAGAGGCAGGATATAACTGTGTGAGCAAGTCCCGCTCCGCCGCTTGCTTCTTGTCGCTTCCCCTAAGGGTCATGCCCTTGATTTTCCCTACTCTGTGAAATGAGTCAGCGCCATGGCTATCACGGCTGGATGCGCGTCGGGCAACTGCCCAAGGGATATCGTACACTACGTGGCTCAGTCTGACTTTTCTCTGGCGGGCAATGTCGCCTTGCTGGCCCTCTTCGGGGTTCTCATCCCCATTGTCTTCATCCTCGGCATCACCTATCGCAGTTCCGTCTTCGCCACCACAATCATCACCGGCTTGGCTTTGGAGGTGATGGGATACATTGGCCGAGTACTACTAGCACTCAATAACCGGGACAAGAACGACTTCATCTTGTCCTACGTGGGTACTATCATCGGACCTGTCTTCTTTTGTCTCGCCATCTTCCGACTGATGCCGCGAATCGTGGCCGTCTACGGAGATTTATTCGCGGCCTGGAGGCCAGCTTGGCATAACGTCGTCTTTTATGCATTCACCACCGTCTGTCTTGTTCTGCAGGCTGTCGGCGCCATTCTGTCTACTACTCCGCACGACGAGAAGCTGGTGAGTCGCAATGACACTGCTCTAGTGAAGCTTCGGTTGACGATGTATTAGGTCGACATTGGAGTTCGCGTATTGGTCGCTGGGTTAGCAATTCAGGTGTCAAGCCTGCTCATATTTGCTGCTCTTGGCTTCCGTTTCGCCATTGCTGTTCGCAGTCGACATAGGGGTCTCGATTCAAATCCCGCGGCCGCATACAACACCCCACGGTTCAAGGCATTCCTATTGGGTACGTGTTCTGCGTCGGTTACTTTGGCATCTCATACTAACTATGGGGACAGGAATCAGTCTGGCGACCGTATTTCTGACGGTTAGAACACTCTACCGCATCGTCCCCGTCTCTGAGGGCTTCACGAGTCCGGCCGCGGAGAACGAGGTTTTGTTCCTCGTCCTCGACGGCGTCTTCGTGTTCATTGCAGCGGCTCTTCTGCTGGCCTCGTTCCCTGGTCGCATGCTTAGCCAGCCCGAGTGGCCCAAGACCTCGTCGTACTCCAACAGAATCTCTGTGAAACCTGACCGTCCCTACCGGCCGGCGCCGGTCCACTTGACGCCTACATCTGGTAGCTCCAACTGGAACCGCATGAGCACAAAGTCAAATGGGCAACAACCATCGCCTCACAAATACTCTCCCCGGACCCCCAAGCACTCACCCAGGACACCGCCTGTCCCGCCAAGGAATACAAATATGGTGGATAGCGATGCTCTGTGGTGACCTGGCTGTACTCCAAAACGACGGACTCCCGTTCTCACGGGCTCACGACCCGGGCCCACTCGGCCAAATCCTATCGGTTTCTACGCGGCGTTAAGGTTGGGCTTCTTCGATTCACATTGATATATCTTACTTTGGTTCGAGATATACTTTTTCGCATACCCCTTTTAGGCGAGGCGTGGTTATAGGCGTAGTTAGGGGCGCTTCACTCTCATTCATTGGTGGTAGAGTACGCTAGCCAGCGGCAACGAGCTCGGTCAAGAATGATCTACTTGAGATTAGTTTTAACACACTTTATAAAACCTGATGGCAATCACTTGTTCCAATCGGACTTGTCTAGTGCTTTGATTGTAGAAAAGTATGTTTTCGTCGACGTGGTTGAATGAACAAACAATAAAAGCCCAGCGGCTGGTTTCCTCCTCATGTGATATAGTATCTATCCCGAAGTCGACTGACCCCGCAAAATGCACTCTTCTACTCTGTAGGTGACGACATTATGCCACGGGAACCTACCACCATTCCCTCAATGATCCAGTTGCTACATTCCAGTCGCAGTCGACAGGACGACTCAGTAGCGAGTCAACACCTTACCCCTCACAACCTCAACATTTTCCTCACCACAAAAGCCAGGACTCCGAAACAAGACCCCCCAATGTGCGCCGCGTGCCCAACGCGCGAATTCGGATCATCCGCCCGATACCAGTCATACGCGAAATACCCGGGCGTCAGAATCCACAGCGGGATGCCAAAGGGAAAGGGAAGGATCATAAACCGCAAGTTTGGCGCGATGCACGTCACGAAGGCGCCCAACCCTGTGACGATCCCCGAAGCCCCCAAACCGCCCCGATCCTGCTCCTTGCGCCGGTTGTCCGCCAACCCGGTTAGCCCCGCCACGAGCGCGGATCCTAGCATCACGCCGCAGAGCAAGCCCGGGCCTAGCCCGATCATGAAAAAGGATGATGCGAAGGCGTGGAAGGAGACCATGTTGAAGACGAGGTGGGGGAGTTCTTGGTGGCTGATGGAGTGCGTTAGGAGAGTCCACCAGCGGCCCGAGTCGAGGTTGTGCTGGCTGAGGATGAAGTTGGCGTTCATGTCGTGGAAGAGGCTGGCTCCTGTGGGGGTGGCGGTGGTCTGGGTATGAGAGGAGGAGGGGCCGAAGTTCCATTCGTAACAGATGAATGCGTTGAGGCCGATGAAGCCGAAGATGACGCCTTTCTGGACGGGCAGGGAGGTGTGGTGATAGTTGGGGTTGTAGTTGTAGTAGGAGCGGCGTAGGCCCTGGATGAGAGGCAAGGGGAGTCTTGGGGATGGGGAGGGTCTGTGAGAGGGTGTGAAAAAGGACTTGGAGCGTTGGGCGCCATCGGAGAGTGGTGAAGTGGAGGTGGTGGGCTTGCTGGCCCGGAGGGATCGCGTTGCCAGGCGGTGGAGGGCGTTGGTCAACATCTTGAATTGTGAACACTGGGTAGCCGTTGTCAAGATGAGAGACGTGTGGTGAGGTCGAGCTGTGGTCTGATAATGATGACCGTGTTGGCGACGAACAGGGATGCCCAACAGAGGACTAAACCTGGACAGCGAATTGAGGCCTATAAACAGTGACGAGTTTGACCAGCTTAACAAGCTTTCCTGGGAACTCGGCCTGGCTGGTTTAGTCCCAGTGATGCTCTATTCATTGCTCATGGACTTAGAGGTCTTGAGCCTCAGCTTTCAACATGACAGCTTCGGAACCAAATTGGCCCGAACGTCTGCCCGGGGTTGCAGATGGTGCCAACACGTCCAATGTTCTGAACAAGAAAATCATTTGAAAAGTGCATATGCACCAGAGGTCATTTCGAATGCCGTTGTACTGGCGTTTCTAATCGCTTTAGTGGAGAAAAGTTTGCCGCGACGACGGTGGGGTCTGCATTTCTCAATTCTTGAAACCGTTACAGGGTAGCTCCGTCGGTCAACACAAGCCCCTACTACCATACCCATGTACTTTTCGATCCTTGCGATGATCTTCTAACCGTGCTAAACAACGCCCCCGCCGTAGCAACACTAAATCGCGTTCAATCTAGGAATCAAACATCACTTCGATTACTATTTTAAATAGTAGCATATAGTCATATTTAAGCAGTCTGAATTGTAAATACTTCTTATCTCTTCCTCGGCGGCGCTACGTTCGAGCAAACTCTTTTTAACGCTTAGTTATCAGACATCTTATTAACTGAAATTCATCTGTCATCCAAGAGCGTGCTTGGGTAATTATGGACATATTTAGAGCAACTGTGGCGGTCGCGAGCTAACCGAGAATGCACAGAACATGAGGGAGTTCGTTGTCAATTCAAGCGGATGGCTCGGAGCCTTCAAATTCACATGGCGGACAGGAAGGAAGTCCGCTACAGCCCAGAAATATTGAGCATCGGAACTAGGCGACCATCTTCGATGCGCCTTGCTGTTCATTTGATTAATACCGCCTATATTGTGCTAATTACTTGAAATTTTGGACTTCAACCGCGTCGTTGACAAGTACGGGCGCTGTATCAGCGGAAATGCGCATGGCACAGAATGTGGAACGAGATGAGCAGATTGAAATGCGGGAACAGAGGATTGAAGAGCTGGAAGAACGGCTTGGAATTAAAGTAAAAGTGGTACCGAGCGTACAGAATCACTTCGCGGCGAACTCGCAGATGAGCTCGAGAAGGCGGATTCGGCAGAGGTTGCGGCCTTGCAGGAAAATCTTGAGCAAATCCAAGGCGAGAACGGCAGGCTGAAGCGGGTAAAAGACCGAGCGGAGCGCAACTTGGAAGATGTGCTTGCCATCAAGCAAGAAATACATAGCAGAGTCGAGAAATTGGAGGAAGATCTGAAGCAGTCACGGGCTTGGGAGAACTCGGTCAAGAGCGATGCGCGTCAGTCATCTGCCGACGTCAGAAACCTCGAAGCCACCGTTCGAGTCCTTCAGGCTAAGCCTCGACAGGAGCGAGAAAAGAAGTCCGAGGTTGAAGACTCAGTATACGTAGGTGCTCTTGAGGCACCGACAAGAAGAAAGATGAAGGCCACGCAAGGCCGGGTGGGAACGAAAGCGAGGGGGCGCAAGACGACATACCAGCCCATAGAGAGGAGATAGGAATCCTGAAGTCCAAGTATGAGGACAGGCGGGACCGCAGAGACATACTGACTGCAAGTGGAACAGTACCAAGATCGTGATCGCCTGGTCAATCTCGAAACCCGTAAGAACCACAACCAACGCTTGATCCAGAATCTCAGCAGCGCTTTGACGAGCTAGAATTAGCATCAGCGCCAGCGCCAGTGCCGGTGACACCGTTCCGCGGTCATCAAGTTAATGCTCCTAACGCGCCAAGACGCGACGAGTGAGGGAACAATCTAGGTGAGCCACTGGAAATCTAACGCCTGGAGATCATGGGGCCCGAGCCAACGAGGCAGATAACTACCCGCACTGCAGGCTGGCCTGGGGGATCCCTGGTGGGGGAGCGTATAAGGTCGGTTAGGCACAGTATCGCTGCAAGGAGTGCCCGTAAGTCTGAGGCCACTCGGATGCTGAATGAGCAGCCTGTGCGGATTCAGCACCGATGAAATGTTGGTCTAGGGATAGATGGGTCTCAGGCTCAGGTATTGATATTTGCAGACTGATATTCATACACAGTATGTTTCCTAGTGCAGAATTCTTGGAGGATACTGGTCCTATTCCTCTACTGTGATTATGACTGTGCATGGAGGGGACTGGTTGTAATTGCAATTGTTATGTTATCTGGCTAAGACCAGAACTTGCTTACTTCGAACTGTCGAGTCCGTATTGCCGGAAAAGCACCCATCTGAATGGCCAGAAACTTCGTCGTGAGGTTTTCTGGGAAACCGGCATTGGCTGGAGACTAATACCAGCTTGAGGAAGCTAGATACTCGGTTGGTCAATCGTGTCTAGGGGTGGGGAGTGGTCCTAGGGTTTTCTTTCTCTTGCCTGTACTCGTGCTTTAAAGCTAATGTAGCTTCGGCCTTTTTCGCGGTTGTTGATGAAATTCGTTCCTGTTCGAGCATGAGCAGGTGCTCCAAAGGAGGCCTCCCTGCATTCGTGAATGCCGTTAGTAAACGAACTGCCATCGTCAGGTGGTATCACATATCGTGTATCTGATGAGACGCGGGGCCCATATGTCGAACGAGGTCGTTTAGAGTAATCTATTCCACAGCGATAAGTGAGCTGAGATGTCCGGGGTAGCAAGGTAAATAAGCGATCTCAAGGTTTTGCTGTAAGGAATTTATGCCCAATGCCGCGGGTGACTTACATACTAATTACTTGTAATTACGTCCAGCGTGAGCACTAACTTTACATGCATTGAATATGTCAGTCAATATATTTCGCCACCGTTGTTGCACATGTCAGCTCGGGATATTAGAAGACAAAACCGGCAGCTCCCGGTGCGACCACCCTTCGCATATGCCGCTGGGCAATGATATGGAGTATATTAGTCACATCCTGTGTTTCCCATGATCGATCCGAACCACGTACGAAGCTAAGCGGTGCTGCCAGATAGGCATGATGACAGATAGCGCCAGTATCATGATGGGGCGGACGCCGAGACAATAGCAGGAGGTTCAGCCGCGGCGACGTCGTTCACCGTGTAAAGTACCAATCATGTGTTTGTACGTACAAGGAGTCCCAGCACGCAATTCAGAAGTGGCTGAGTGGATGAGTTTCGCACGATTCGGCTTATGTGGCCACACGAAATCCTCCCACATTAGATATGCCGCAAAATGACACATGTGTATCTTGATGTTGCTTGGTTCGACCGAGAGGGTCCTATAAAGCCGTTCAGCCAATCTTCGCGGTGGAGTAAAGCGAAATCCATGGTAGGGACCAGCTGCCTCTACCGGCTCTGGATGTCCAATCAAGGTGGCCAAGACCAGTCAGCGAACAGGTGTTGGGATGGGAGGAAGTGGGCATGGCTGTAGCGTAATGAGCTGCACAAGATAGTATATTGGAACCCTGTGGTAACAAGAGTACATGAGTACCTCGTTTGCGCATCTGGCATGCGTTTGCACTGCCGTCCATGATCTCCAGGCCTGACGAGCAATCCCCGTATTACTATGTTGATATATGCCTTGCCCATATTCGACCCAGGTGCCGGTATTAGCAGGACCAACCAGATCACCAGGTCTTTTGTGGAGGATAAAATCGATGGACGTCTCCCCAGTGGCAAGATACGTTTTCAACGGGTGCTTGCGAAGTGAATATCCATCCGGCCGGTAGAGCAGGCGCTAGACATAGAAATTCAATCCGGGCCGCAAAGTCGCTGTGATGCAGCTTGCCGCAAGAAATTGGGTTGGATTTGACCTGTCTCGTGATATCGGAATTGCACCCGAAACAAGAGAGTGGTAGAGTTTTATCTTCGTCGGTTGGTTATCACTGACTCAACCCGATGTCTGGTATCTTCCGAGGCAGCAGCTCTGACATCTGTGAACGCTCCCTGATAGCGCTTCTACACGGAAACATGCGCGTGTGGGCATTTTGATCCCATCTTTGTCGGTGGTGGAATTTGATAGCTGGAAGTGACCGATTTGGGCTTGCAGAGGGCGTGGGTTGTGGGTGGAACTTGGCTCTGCGAGATGTAGAAGCGGACCCCTGCTGCTGCTGGGGGCCCGTCTGCTTCCTTCTGTCTGTCATAGACTCACACAAGTCCTTCCACGTGCATTCCAACTGCTGTCCGAAAACCTGGAGTGCAGTCGCTTCGATGCAAACAATTAAATCACCCCATTGTGACCAGCCAGAATGAATCTGGGATATCCCCGCATTGCATTTGCAAACCTGGCGGTCGCTGTCCGTATTGGGGAGAAGATGCCATGGTCAGGCGACATGCCGGGGGGACGGGGGCTTGAATGGGTAATTTCTCTTCTTTTTATCCATATTAGATCTTTCCCATCTTAGCCACCGTTGACTGGACGGACCGTCGATGTGACAGTCCCGGATCAAACATTTTTGCGGTTGACAACACTCACCTCGATACTATAGAACCGCAAACTTAACCGTTCGAAGACCTGCGTTATCTATACTAATCTGGCTTGCTTTGTCAGTCTGACCAAGATGTCTGAGAGAAATGCCTGGCTCGCTGGCCAGGATCATGGAAACAGCTAATGGTCGGATCGGTTTCGGTATCCAAGATTGGCTAAAGTCGGAAGCACCGATATCATGCTTAATTCTATCACCACTTTCTCGAGTGTTGCTACTAGAGTTGGATTGACGAAACCGGTGCTGATGCCTCTGGATCTTCCAGCTATACCAACCCGGCAAGAGACAGCTTACTTCAGTGCCACATCTTGTGGACAGGTCAAGCTGTTTCGCATATGCCGCCGTGGTTTTCGGGAAAGGCATAGCCACTTGCATGCTTGTCTGGCGTTATTTCAAGTTGTGAGCAGAAATGCCGGCGGCGTGTCGAAGATCAAATCGGGTAAGGGCACTTCATCTAAGTCTCGTAACAGTGAGCCTCTCTACCAAAGCCAGCATCACCGGCATGCATGATTCTCGCTTGCTTGCCTCCGAGTGCTTGCAGGTACAGCGGTGTATTCAGCTCCATTGTGGTCCATATCCCGGGCGACTACTTGGGTCTGGCGCCTGATGGAATGGCACCCGCGTGTTGAACTAACGGCAGGGTTTCTCAATTCCCCTTGGCTGGCATATAATGGTGGCATTCTTGATCACAATGTCTCTCGACCTGTCGTAAGACTTTCCTCTTTCTTTAAATTGAATCCTATCGCGATAGAGTTGCTACCACACCCTTGGCCTTCTCAGGACCGAGCTACGATCTATATGGATATCTTGCTGTTGCCATCCGACCTAGGCAAGCAGTACGGTTCTGGCACAATTTGTCCTCATTAAGCAAAACGGTGAGCACGCAAGAAGACCAACATGGACCATCACTCGTCAACGCATTCGGCCTCCTCATCAGGGCCTACGAGCAAGCCAGATGGTCATAACGCAGCCTCGAATACGCAAAGGCAGCGTATCAGCGAATCAACCATGAAGTACTACGCCGCGGCCCTCTGTGGGATCATCTTACTGTTCGTCATAGTCCACTGGACGAGGTCACTGGCCACAAGATACCGAGTGTCGACAAAATCAACAGTATTGTCACCATTTGTTGCCGCATCAAGGTGAGTATGAAGACTACCTCAATCTCTGAACCTAATTGACACACGTGCGAAGGTTGGTTCGTCGTGTTTTCATACGCAAGATACCTGGCTTCGCATCCGCTGGACATGCGACGCTGGTCACAGTCTATGTTGGCATCAATATTGCGCTCTCCTTCACCAGGCTAGAGTGGTACAAGACAAGCAACCTGGCTGCAAGGCTTGGATGGTATGATCCTAAAGTATCGTTCGTAATATAATGGATCGAAATTCTGACCTCTCAAACAGGATGGCAACAGCCAATCTCGCCCTGGTCGTCTTTCTGTCGCTGAAGAACACACCCCTGGCCATTTTGACATCGTACTCATATGAGCGGCTCAACGTCCTGCATCAAATTTCTGGCTATGCTACTGCAGTGTACATGGTTCTGCACGCCGCAATCTTCACCAGCTACTTCATAGAAAAGGGAAACTGGGGGCTTCTCCACGAGAATATCGTCACAGCCGGCATCGTCCTAGGATTCCTCATGTTTACCTCGGTCGTGGAGGCCCTTGTCTTGCGAAGACTGCAGTACGAATTGTTCTACATCATTCATGTTATTCTCTTCATCGCCATCATAGTCACCTTGATCCTACACCAACCCAGCTTCGACGAAGACAAAGTGGCTATTGCGGCCTGCATGACAGCGGGGCTATGGGTAGCAGATCGCCTCATCCGAATATGCCGTTTGTTCTACAACGGTGTCAATAACGAGGCGACCATTTCTCCGCTCCCCAACGGAGGGACGCAACTTCTCCTCCAGAAGCCACTTTTTGGTGCTGTGCCTGGCACTCATTGTTTCGTTTGGCTGCCCAAAATCCGCCTCTTCGAGTCCCACCCTTTCACCATTGTCGCCATCTCCCCCACTGAGCTGGTCGTCAACTCGTACAGTGGCTTTACCAAAGACCTTCGCAAGTACGCCGCAACTCACCCAGGAGCTCGCCTGAAGGTCTCTCTGGAAGGACCTTACGGCAAGTTTTCCGACCCTTTGCTTTACGACAAGGTGGTTTTGGTGGCTGGCGGCTCAGGCGCGAGCTTCACCTTTGGAATAGCCTCCAATGTGCTCCAGAGGATGACGGAAAAATCCACCACACAGCTCGAATTCATTTGGGCTGTCAAGACACGCGGTGCGTCTACTGAACGTTGGCAGTAACTTTGCTCCCGCTAACAATAGACCAGATCATCTGTCCTGGTTCAAAGACCACCTGAATGCCATTCGTACCCACACGCATGCTCGGAACATAGCGCTCAAGCTTCACACGACCAGAGTCTGTTCTCCAAGTCAAGACATGCTAGGTCTTTCCGGTCTGCGTCCCCTGAAGCGGGCCGGCACTGTGAACTCGGATAGTTCTGGGGATATGTCCTCGCCCATCACCCCCATCACGCCCGTTTCGGACAAGGAAATGATGCCGACGCAAAAGCCGGCCCCTATCCTTGCCCCGCCAGAGGGTCCGGAGAAGCAGGACGATGTGAGAGCCATTGTGCTGCACATGGATCGACGTACGGCGGTCACGGGGGCTGTCGACCTGCCGATTGAGCAAGGACGTCCAGATGTTGCGGCACTGATCAAGGAGGCTGTCGCTTCGGTTGACAAGGATAAAAGAGTACTCATCGCGGCGTGTGGGCCAGACGAGCTGATGACCATGGTGAGAAATACTGCAGCAAGCTGCATCACAAGAGATGGACCGTCAGTGGAACTTCATATTGAGCAGTTTGGTTGGTGAGGATGGTTTTGGTGAAGGCGATGTATATATGTTGTAAAAGAAGACAACCACAGAGCGAGCGCGGGCAATCAAGGCAACGAGAGACATCCATCCGTCTTGTTAGAATAATCAGGTGTTCTTTTCTTAACAGGGAACCAACATGAACGGCTACTACTGCGCGTTACTCCCCAAGACTACGGTGCTGTACTGCGATCCATCCCGTTGCCAGCCCTCGAGGGCCAGTATGTAGCGCTAGATGTACAGCTTGCCGTACTGGTTGCCCCAAGACGCACCAGAGAAGGACTGTTAATGGGTGCCAATGACTATAACCGGTACTGGGGCTCGAGATTTGCCGGTTTTACGGCAAAGTGGATGTAATAGACGTCAGTCCTGCCGAGCATTCCTGACTATGTTCGCTCGTACCCAATCCAGACCTAATGTAAGCATCATATTGAAGATGCTCGGCAATTTTGATCATTATTCTTGGTCATCTGATTCCATGTGACATATCATTTCGTCAGTCGACGTATCTCTCTTGTGGTAGAGACGAGGGTAGAGGCGCCGGTTTTCTCTCCACGGCAAGAGAAGTCTTGAACCGCCTTGACCTCGCCTCGCATTAGAGACCCATTCCATTGTCGCAGATGCGATTGCCGGAAAGATTGTGGATAAACAGTCATTATCCAAAGTACGATTGGAAATATCCCAGTCGATGAGGGCGATATGACCGTGCCGTTCTATTATGTGGTGTTACTTACTTCGTACAAGAGTGGTAGATTGGGAGCTGAAGTGGACACTGCCCTACAAGAACACCAACAGTCCTACAAGCCGTCATCCTTACTCAGATGACTAATACGTCAAGTGATTGTGGCCTGTTGGTCTAGAGGTATGATTCGCGCTTCGGATAATCAATCCATTCACCTGCATGTGAATATGCATGTGCGAGGTCCCGGGTTCGATCCCCGGATAGGCCCTGAGTTTCACTGTTTCTACAGTTTTTGCATTTTTACTCTTGGTGTTGTTCCAACATGGTTGGTATTTCTCGATGAGATGTATTTCGTATTTCTATATCGTCTTTGGGGGAAGACTTATACTAGCTATATCGACTAGTCGCCAGGGGACACAAGTACTCTCGCAGGTAATCTAATCCAAGGAACACTCAAAACCATACTGGCGCGATAAACAGATTTCGACGTTCCTATGACAGAGACATGTGCTTTGGGCATTGATCTGAAGCGCAAAAGACTGGTTTATTCTCTCAGAGGTTGTGCCGGCAAGACCCAGTTTGGGAACAAGGGGGATGCGCACGGACCACCACTATTTGTTCAATGAAGGTGGGACACAAGATAGACCCCACACCGAATCCGACGCTACGCGACTCCCCTTGTGACCGTGTCAAGCCCGAATGCCACAAACTTTGATCTTTTCTTGGTTGCTTGGCTACTAAGACTTTGAATAACCTCGTACCAAGAGCCACTTGAAGCTTGCCTAAAGCTTTTGGAAGCAGAAAACCACGCAATTGCAGAAACACCTGACCTCTACATGTAGCATATGGCAACAAACATGCGCTTTCGGCCACGCCAATAGCTGCAACCGAGCCTAGCATTACTCGACCACGACGGCGACGTATACGACGTAGACGTCAACCACCCTCAACAACGCACCATGTCCCTTCTCCTTGATGGGACAACTCCAAGATGTTCAACCTAACCAATCTGCTAGGCTCCGCAAACGGTCGGAGTAGCTCAAAGTCCAACCGATCGTCGAAAGGAACGCCTGACGTATCGCCCACACGATCGCGAAGTCCCGATCCGTCTACCTCGCACTCGGAATATGTCACCGACGAATCCCAACTGCGCCCTTTGCCACCGCTGCCCCCGGAAGTGCTCGGCCTGAACAACAGCCTCGAGACCCTGGTGACGCTGTTCCCTGATGTGCAGGTTGAGGTCTTCCGGGAGATGCTCGCGAGCTTCTCCGAGGAATCGCGACTAGCTGTGGTGGCCGACGCCATGCTCAAGAACCCGGCTGCGTGGGTGAAGGGGCGCAGAAAAGCTCGGGATGCACAAAAGGCTCATGGAGCAACGGAGGGGGGGCCCGTGGTTCCCACGACGGAGGCGTTCAGGGGCAACGACTACAGACGAGCAGTCAGACGCCTTGCGCTGCACGAGTTCAAGGGGCTGTCGAGGTCTTCGATCGATGCCGTGTTGTCTGAGTCCAATTACTCGTACTTGGATGCGCGGCCAACGCTGGTCGAGCTCTCGTCCAAGTCATGGAAGTTTGCCATCTCGTCCTTCTTCAATCGTCGCAAACCTGTCACGTCGGGCGAGGTTGAACCCCATCCATTGGTGATTTGGAGATCGTCAGGCCATGGCTCCATCGTCCCGGCGTTGAAATCCACCGGGAATGCAGAGCTAGACAGGGAGCTGTTCGAAGAGCTGATCGTGCCGTTGAAAAAGCGCGAGACTGCTTCGAGAGAAGCCGGTGATCGCACATTGGCCCTGACTCTCCACACCGAAGAGGCGCAAGCCTGCGAGGCTACGTACGAATGCGCTTGTTGCTTCACCGATGCGACGTTCGAGGAGTTTACCACGTGCAACACCGAGGGCCACATGGTCTGCTTCCGTTGCGTGCAACATTCCATCAAGGAGGCAGTGTTCGGACAAGGCTGGCAACGAAACATCAACAAGGACTCGGGCACACTCCGTTGTCCTGCCGTGGCAGCTAGAGAATGCCAAGGTTGCGTTTCGTCCGAGCACATCCACCGCGCCCTGATGGAGGAGACGAAAGGCACCGAAATCCTCCATAAGCTGGACCAGCGACTAGCGGAACACGGTCTCATATCAAGCGGCCTGCCTCTCGTTCGGTGCCCGTTCTGCAATTATGCCGAAGTCGATGACCTTTACGTGCCGACGCACAAGACGAAGCTGAGGCTGCGGGCAAGCAACATACCCAAACTCTTCTTCGCAGTCATCTTCGTCTGTTTGCTGCCCCTATCCCTACCCATCATCGTGCTTGCTCTCTCCTGTCTGGTACTGTGCTGGAATCGCATGTTTAGGTACTATGCTTCCCTGCAGTTCCGCGCCGCCGTCAGCCGGTACCAGCGTCGGCGCATGGGACTCAAATTCAGCTGCCAAAACCCATCTTGCCTCGAGGCAAGTTGCATGTCGTGTTCCAAGGCTTGGGTCGACATCCACATCTGCCATGAATCGTCGCTCGTCGCCCTACGGACCCAAGTGGAGCAGGCTATGTCCATGGCCATCAAGCGCGTGTGTCCACGGTGTAGCACGTCTTTCGTCAAAACGGCTGGCTGCAACAAGTTGACCTGCCCCTGCGGCTACAAAATGTGCTATGTGTGCCGCAAAGACATCGGCGCCCATACGGAAGGGTACCAACACTTCTGCCAGCACTTCCGACCCGAAGGAGACGGGCGGCAGTGTAAAGAATGCCGCAAGTGCAACCTGTGGGAGACAGAGAACACGGAGGCGATCTTGCGCGAGGCGAAGCAAGAGGCCGAGCGGAAGTGGCGCGCTACGGAGCAGCGAGAGCTGTCGGACGCGGAAAAGGCATACTTGGAGACAGGCGTCGCTAGTAACAAGGATGATAACGTGGTCAATCGGATGCTGAAGGGTGGCAAGCTCCCTAGCATGGAGGAGCTGTGCGATTTTATTGTCGAGTCGCTGTTCGTGGTAATCTCTTAGGGTGAGCCCCTTGGCTGGGGGTTGGCGCGATCTCGACAACGGCTGGCATAGGCTAGAATGCATTGTTTGAGGAGAGGGATTCATGAGGATAGGAGAACAAAAGGTACATATGGACCGGATAGACGCATGGGAAACGGACATTACATAATTGGGTGGACTGGTGCATACGCTCAATAACGGATAGGGAAAGGATAAGCAGGGGCGATGATGGTATACCCTCATGTCATGTACATCAAACAGGCAAGCAAGCCATCGTGGGCTATAAAGCCAGCAATAATACAACATTAACAACTTTTTCCCATTGCAAAGTACAAGCCCTATTTATTCCAAAGTCAAAGTATTAGCAAGACCGGGCAACCAGAGACATCGTACCGAGGCTACATGTTCCACCTCTTCATTTCGTACACATCCCATGCTATGCGGCATGCCATGCCATCCATTCCTTAAATTTTCGCCTTCTTCCCCGCCGCATCGACCAACTCCGCAGCCGCCCCCGTGATAGCGAACTTCCCCGTCTCCTTTACCTTCGACTGGAATATGACCTTGCCGCCCTCCTTCCACATCTCCGTGACCAGCGTCTCCCCGGGCATCACCGTCCCCGCAAACCGTACCTTGATATTCTTGTACGGCCCGAACCTTTCGAAGACAGCCTTGCCAGCAATGCCCATGAAGCACAGTCCATGCAAAATGGGCCTCTTGAACCCGCCCATCTTGGCGAAATTCGGGTCTACGTGCAAGGGGTTGTAGTCGCCGCTTAGACGGTACACGCACGCCTGCTCTTCGGTGGTGGTGCTCTCCACAACCACATCCGGCAGTCGCTTGGGCGGGGCATTGGCCGCCGTCGCGGCGCCGCGATCCTGGGGTTTACGCTGCCCACCGAAACCGCCGCACCCGCGAAGGAAAACGGTGCTCTCATTGTAGAAAAGCGGCTCGCCCGTCTCGGCGTGGAGGGTGGTTACGCCTCCCTTCAAGACGGCAGCGGAGCCCTTATCGACGACCTCAAGCAGCTTAGCGTAGTTCTTGGTCTTGGCGGCCGTCGGGATGGGCCACTTCTTGATCTCGAGGTACTGCTCGCCGTGTAGGAGCATCATGGGGTTGAAATTGGGCACCACCTCGTCCATGGAGTACGGCGCATTGACGTCGAAGGCCGGAATAACGCCGAAGGTGGGGAGGACCTGGAAGTCCTCGTGACCTTCGAAGACGTAGGGGAGTTCGGTGCGTGTGGCGCCGACGCCGAGGTTGTAGAGTATGCTGTCGCGGTCCGTGTAGCTGAAGATGGTCTCGGGTGACTCCGCGGCTTGGGCTTTAGCTATGGCTTCGAGATACTGGTTGCTTTGACTTGACGGCGCGGAACTCGACTGGCAAAGCACAAGTTAACATTGTTCTAAATTAGACTACTCGTGGCACAGATATATACAAAATTGGAGGACACGTTGAAGAAGTGTGGTTGGAGGCAACTCATACCTTAGACGCTCCGCTCTTGTTCTCCATATTCGCCATGACCTTCTGCACCGCCTCTTGCGTCGATTCTGGGTTGTCTGCGCGACCATCTTCGAACTTGACCACGTTCTCCCATTGCTTGACAACGGCCTCTGGAGTGAGAGGAACATCCACAGGGAAGGCAGCACCACCCGTTCGTTGCCACCTCGTCTGGCCACACCAGCCACTGCCGACCTCATACAAACCGCCTGTTGGCTTCTTCGGCACCTTGTCACTGCATAGGGCCAGCACGAGAGGCGCTATGTAGTCGGGCTTGAAGGCCTGAACCAGCTCCTCGGGCAGAATGGTGGCCGTCATAGCCGTGCCGGCGTTGGGTGCAATAGTGTTAGTGTAGATATTGTATTTGGCACCCTCAAGAGCGATCGCTCGCGAAAACCCGAGGATACCACATTTCTAGAGCATGAATTAGCATACGACGCCTAATTTCGGTGCGTCAGATGTGACTTGCCGCAGCAGCATAGTTTGCTTGCCCAAAGTTACCGTAGATGCCGCTGGTCGAGGTAGTATTCACAATACGACCATACTTCTGTTTCAGCATAATCGGCCATGCTGCCTTGGTCATCTTGTAGGTACCCCGCAAGTGGACGTTCATCACAGGATCCCACAGGTTGTCGTCCATATTGGTGAAGGCTTTGTCCCGCAGTATACCCGCGTTGTTGATGAGGATATCAATGCGGCCAAAGGCATCCATGGCACCCTTGATGACGAAATCGCCGTCTTCCGCAGATGCCTTGACACCAACGGCCTTGCCACCCATTTTCTTGATCTCTTCCACAACAGTATCGGGGTTCATCAAGTCATTGACAACAATGGACGCTCCGTGCTTCGCAAAGGCTAAACAGTAAGCTCGGCCAATGCCGGCACCACCACCTGTGACCACGGCAACTTTACCCTTAAAGTCCAAAGTCTCGCCTTTGTCGCTAGAACCCATCTTCATTGACTCCTCGAGGAGTGTCATGAAGTCGTTGGGGCCACTGGGGTATTGGGGTTCCGAGAAGTCGACAACCTTGTCCCATTTCTTCAGAATAGCGCCGGGGGTGTAGCTGTCGTCAGCTTTGAGCAGAAGCCCGCTCGATCGTTGCCATCTGAGTTTGGCAATGTGGCCGCCACCAACCTCAAGGATGCTGCCGTTCTCGTCCGTGTTATTCTTGTGCACCAGAACAGCGACAAGCGGAACAACCCATTCAGGCCGCAGGTTAGCGAGCATCTCAGGGGGCATCACCGTCTCGGTCATGCGACTCGCGGCAATGGGTGCAATGACATTGGAGATGATGTTGTACTTCGCACCCTCCTTGGCTAAGGTCTCAGTGAAGCCAACCTGGGCGAGCTTCGCCGCCGAGTAGTTGGCCTGACCGAAGCTGCCAAACAGACCGGCTGCGGACGCCGTGTTGATGACACGCCCGTACTTTTGCTTGCGGAAGTATGGCCATGCGGCACGCGCACACTTGTATGCTCCCTTGATGTGGACCTTGGTGATCAAATCCCAATCGTCATCCTTCATGTTCTTGAAGCTAACATCGCGGAGGATGCCGGCGTTGTTGATCAAAACATCGATGCGGCCAAAGTTCTTAATGGCCGTCTCGATGATCTTCTCTCCATTCTCGACGCTGTCGTAGTTGGCAACCGCTTGACCGCCGGCCTTCTTAATTTCGTCGACGACAACATCGGCAGCCTATGGGAACAGGCATGTAAGTAAAGTTGGCCGGCAGAATACCGAGGTGCAAGCATGTAAGCTCTGAACTTACCTTTGTCGAGTTGCCCTCGCCCTTGAAAGAACTGCCGAGGTCGTTGACAACGACCTTCGCACCTCTCGATCCGAAGAAGGTAGCATACGCCTTCCCGAGACCACCGCCGGCGCCGGTGACGACGATAACCTGACCGTCATAGCGCAGTTGATCCGCCGCCATCGTGTGTAGAAGCTCTGAGTTCAAATATGGGGAAAAATAGAGAGAGTGGCTGTTGCGATGGATGAGCTACGATGCGTATGCAATGGGAATAAAGGTCAGAACAACAGATCTGAGATCAAGCTGATTGCGGAGGAGAATGACTTCTAGTAGATAAAACGACGGTCGCGGTACATTCCATCCCCAGAGCTACTTGCCGCCATTTGGGACCTCGGGGACCGAGGCACAGGGTGGCAGGTGGCCGGCCAGCGTTACCGCCCAATGCCGAGGGATCCACTAAACCGCATCAAGCCTGGGCGGACTTCACATGCCAGAATGAACATGAGGTCATGCGCTGCCGCCAAAGTGAGATAGATGTTCACCTAAGCAAAGTTATGCTACCGTGTCACATGGCTTCTCTGTAGCCTTCGGGCAAGTTTGAATCAGAAGTTATTGCGCATGTTGAAGCAGTAGAGTTGCAAGAAGCAGCGTTCCAAACTTCATGTGGAGTATTCATGCCAGGAGCTATTGTTTTACCCACACTGCACCTGCCGGGGCGATGGTAATGAAGTTCCGGGGCGACAGCAACCCGCAATCACCCCACATTATTACTAACATGAGGTCCGGCTACGTAACTTCGAATTTACTGATCTAGAACCAACCCGAAGGTACAACCACTTCGCATACCCCACGCGCCCCAAATGGCATCCTTAACTGAGCAATCTGTCGATGACAAATCGCCAATATGCATCCCCTTCATTCTCGAGCGGCTGCAGGCATACAAGGCGCGCAACCCCACCAAGCCCCTCATCATTGGCCTGAATGGAGTGCAAGGCGTGGGCAAGACAACTCTCGTGAAGAACCTCGCATCGACTTTACGAGAAAAGCAGAGACTTGAGGCGCTTATCGTCAGCATTGATGATTTCTACCTCAAGCACGATGATCAGATTGCACTCTCCAGGTCTCAACCGGACAATGTGCTGGTTTCTTGTAGAGGCGAGCCTGGTAATCATTTCGAAATTTGTGGCCAGCCGTGCCGGCTTTCACTTCTATTCAGCGAGGATGAAGTACTAACAGTCATGCCCCAGGCACGCATGATATGGAACTGGCACAGCAGTTCTTCAATGCCATATGTGAGGGGAAGCCCACCAAGATCCCATCTTATGACAAGTCGGCCTTTTCTGGTCAAGGCGATAGAGTTCCTGAGTCGCAATGGCAATCTGTCAATGAACCTGGTCAACCAAGCATTCAAGTCGTCATCTTTGAAGGCTGGTGCGTTGGTTTCAAGCCCTTGGGTCCTGCTGAAGTTGCCAGCAAATGGACAGCGCCTAGTCGAACCCTGCAACGTCACGAGCTTGCGCATCTCCAGTTTGTCAATGAACGTCTTCGTGGATACGATGCCATTAACCGGCTTTTCGACCTATTCGTTCACATCGATGCCGAAGACACCTTGTATGTGTATGACTGGCGACTAGAGCAAGAGGTCAAACTGAGGCAAGAAAAGGGAGCGGGCATGACGGATGCGCAGGTAGTCAAATTCGTTGACGCGTATTACCCCGCATACGAGCTATTCTCTGATCAGCTGAGGGAAGGCTTGTTTGAAGGAAGGTTGGGCCGCCAACTGAGACTGGTAGTGGGAAAAGATAGGAAAGTGAAGCAGAAAATCGTCATATAAGGGGGAGCAATTGGGTGTCTTACCAGCTAAACCCCATAGACCGTCCTATACCCCAACAATGATAAAACTTGGTGCTACAGGGCCATCCTAACTCCAGCCGGGTGTCAGATTGCGGACAGCTACCTGAACCAAAAACACCCAGAACCAGTATATCCGCCCCCGGACGCGATGTCTGTGTAAGATTCGTACGGATGATGATGGAGAGAAATGGTGTGAGGAACGAGAAGTTGAGCGATTTCCGTCGTAGTCCTTTCAATCTATATCTTTTCCTCTCATAAGACCCTCGCCCTCGCTCTTCAAATCCGTAAGAGTCCGACCAATGACGTGGACCTTATTCCGCACAGCTGACTCCCGTTCGGCGATCTCGTCTTCGAACGCCTCCACCGTTTGTCGCTTGGCAAGACGCGCCTCTTTGAGACGGTTCACAATGTCGCCAAATCTTTCCAGAAACCAATCACCCGACTCATCCCAGTCTTTGAGGGACATCTTGCTGAAGAAGACAGCTTGTGTTTCTTGACCCTTGTCTTGGAAATACCTTAGCTTCTCCGGCAGAGTGCCTTGAGGTGGTAGATCGACCGATTGAGCTTCCACCTGGGCAGGGTCGTAGTCGAACTCCTGCTGTTTTAGATCCTCGTATCTCATCGCAGCCAGCTCGCCATCGTTGTAATCCAACTTTGCGTCCATGTTCGCGGCGTTTTGCTCAACCATTGGATCCGGCTCCAGTTGTCGCTTCTTAGGCACGGAATGACGGTTTTCGGGCTTTGAACGGGGCATCGCACTTTCATGAAGACTGTGAACACCCTTGCCGCCTCTACCGAAAAGTAAGCGATTAACCTCCTGCGGTTTCCTGGTAGCTTGCTTCGGTGTGAGCTGCGGATCTTCATCGTTTTCAGCCTCAGATTCCGCAGCTTCGGATTCTGGATGGCTGGCGATGGGAGTATCGATATTCTCAAACATTGTTGATCGATGAGGGTCGTGATCGGTGGCTCGCAAGTGTTCAACGTCGTCCGATAGTATCTCTGTCAGCCCGGCTCCGGGGGTCTGATAGGCATGATCTGGAGGAGAAGACATTTCGTTCTGTGCAGTCGGATACGAGGTCCGGTCTGGAAAAGATGTTCGTTGAGTAGTCCGAAGAGGCATCTGCGCGCGATGATGGTTGAGGGTTCTCGGCGGCGACTTTTCAAGACCGGCCTGAGACGGAGTATCTTCCACGTACAACTCAAGGCCTTGGGACGCTCCCTTGGAGCTACCTCGGAGTCTGGGTTCGGGCGTGGAAGAGCTCCTATGGAGCGGGGTTTTCACCACATCGATCATGCCGTTGTCGCCAATAGTGAAAGGCATCGCCTGCTCCAGCTCGTCCGCAGCTCTTCTCGTAGAGCGATGACGTGGCTTATCTCGTGGTTTGGGGTCCTTGTCTTGAAACGTTGGCAAGCCCAACTGAGCGCCTGCTCTGCTTTCAATGTTGCTGGCTGTATCGCTAAACAGAGAGCCATCCACAGTTGACTCTTCCCAAAATGGTCGTTGCTTATGGGACACATGCACTGGATTGGGGTCCGCAGAGTTGGTTCTGCTTCTTTCCATGTTAAGAGAGGCCTCTCGCAGATGTCCCAGACGGCCAGCTCCAGAACGAGTAGGGAGTCGAGCTGCTGCTGCGGCAATGTGTCGTGTGTTGTTTGAATTGACGATAGGTGCACGCGACTGATACTTGGGTTGGTGGGGGGATGACCGTTGAGACGGAGGGGATTGGCTCTGGCGGCCTTGTTCCCTTGTAGGACTGGTTACAGCACCACCGTAAGCAGCAGGAGCATGAGCGATGGGTTGGCTGCTATGGCCCCCGTTGCTAGTGACCCATGCATGCATCTTGTTTCTTGACTGCTTCAAGAACTGACTGTGCGGCATTTGGGTGACGTTTTCTTGTTGACGTTGGGAAGTTATGCGCAGAGGACATGTGATTGATGACTGGGTGTTTTGGGACTTGATGCCTGGACGCGGTTCTGGCTGAGATACAACGTGTTTGACCGCGAATGCCCCTCGAAACGGGTGGATCAAAGGCAAAGCCAGGTTATTGTATTATGCCGCCATCCTGCCCAATTCGATGATGAGGTTGGGTTGCAACGGTCCTTCGAACAGATCTGACAACGTCTGGATGGGCGCAAATCGTGACGGTCCAATGAGTGAGTGTTGGGTTGAACGAATGGTGGGAAGTCCATTGACGAAAAGGAACGTTGAAGCCTCGCGATTTCTGCGCGGGGTCATGTGCCTCCACCTGACCTTGCAGGGGTCGGGCTGGACCTTCTTCACTGCCGACCACTGGCAACTGTCGATTCCTTCATCTCCAATTCGATCGCAATCTTTCAGAGGTCGCCTCGAATTCGCACTCGAGATGCATGCTGGATGAGCTGGCCTCCTTAGGTGCATATCACATACCAATTGATTCCGCGGGAGTGCAGCGATGATTGGAAGTTGAACGCCAATTTCTCATATTCAACCCCATAGGCCCGCGTCTAGCAACCGTTGGCCCTGAAGCTGTAAACTCGACTAGCACGTGTGGGTTGCGATGCAATGGTCTAGACATCCACGGTCCTATCGAGGAAGAATGTTCCGGCGTATTCTGTTCTTGAGCCTGTCTAAACTAGTACCGGCCACGGCGTTTGAAAGTCTGCAGGGAACAAATCACCTGGGTACTTGCAAGCAATAAATATGCCAGAAGTATCTTATTGGGTCCTCCACCGAAGCAACCTTCAACAAGTTCACAATGAACTCTGCTCATGGCTGCCCAACGCATCTGCTCATTGTGTAAGTTGATATCCTCGTTATGTTTTCAGTAAACTCGAGGTATGCTCGTCGATAGGATGGGAAGCCCTGAGAAGTATGAGGCGAGATCGAAGCCTGACATCGGATCGCTCGAAATTCCTTGTAGTAAGTGTGTATGCGAGGATATTCTTCCACTTGTTGCCACTGTACTCCTTGGGGTCCCGGACCTTGAAACAAAAAAATTACTCGTGTATTCCCTCTTTCCTCTCTAAATTAAATCCATGCAACTCTTTTCTTGTACGCTCGGCAGTGTTTACAGGAGCAAAACCTCGCCGGATGAGATTGCTTAGCAGAAGTGTATGAGCAGTGGAGTATGCGCTCAACAACTTGAGAGTGCATCTCATTCAGTGGGAAAGATTGTTCAATTGGGGGCCCAGGATTATTTCACCCTAATGCCTCACGCATAGAACTCGCGGTCAATATAATTGAGAGCTGGTAGATCCGAGTACAGTCAACATCCCAAAGTCTGACCAGGATACACATCGACCAAAAGCATCCATAGAGTTAAGTCGGTTCTAATTCGTCGGAACCTCGAGATGAACATGAGTAAGTGCGTAGCCTAGTATAGGTGCTTATTCCGCTAGAAATCTTAAAAAGTTGAGATTAGTCCGAATGATGAAGATTAGGTTGTTGGCTTTAACGTCGATGCCACGTATGCAAAGCTTCTTTCGACGTTAGAAGCTGGAGTTCGGACTTCTGAACCCTGTCTATGAAACCGAAATTTCGTCCTGCTGGTTGTCCACGTCTTTCAGCACCAGCGAATAAAATAAATTGGTCTTTTCTGACTCAGGAAATTGACGGGCACTCCACTACACCGGGGGCTTACACATGCACATCATTCAAAACAGTTCATCTTGCGGGTCTACTTAGTAACTACAAGTGCTCTGCCTCTATTTCCTTGAATTCCAAATAGTCTTCGCTCACAGCTTGCCGCGGCATCATATGCTTATTCTTATATACTTACACATCCCGGAGAAAGCAGATCAAGCTACCGCTATGGCAGCAACTAGTGCATCCAGCGCCGAACTCTGCGTCCCCGCAGTCGCGGTCTCATAGGGGCCCGACCAGGTCACCCCAAGTCCACTCGTCGAGCTGTCCCGATCATTCGCCCATATCGAGTCGGCAGTGTCTAATATGAAAGTTTGAAATTTGTCCTGGGGCGCGACTTTCTGCAGATAATGCAGGTTACGCATGAAAATGCCCTTAAACTGGGCACCGTCAGCACCACAGTCAGGTTCACAGCCCTCGTAGAGAACGCCGTTCTTGGACTTGGCGTCGATGGCGGCATAGGCAATAGATGTGGCCGTATCGAGCAGGGACGAGTCACCGGTTGCTTTGTACAGTTCCACTAGTCCGCCCAGGATAACGCCTTGGTTGTAAGTCCAGGTGTTGCCGCCGTTGTTCTCGCAGGTGTCAGGATCACTAGGCTGGTGTTAGTCGTAAAGAGTTAAAACGGGGTTGGTAAGCACGAGAGCATACAGGCCGTCGTTGATGAGATTGTCAGAGTTGATCAATCCGCTATTCTTAAACCAGTCCCACTGAGCCAATGCAATGTATAGATAGTATTGCTTGTTATCCATTCGGTTAGCTAAAGACGCAGCTACACTGAGGTAAAGCTCATTCGCAATCTGAAGTTAAGAGTCAGTATTAATGATGTAATTAGTACGTTCCTTTCAAGTAACTCAGGGGCAGGTTGATGATCGCCCACTCTCACAATACAAAGTGAGATAACCAAACACAAAATTGCCTCTGTAGAATAGCAAGCATAGAGTAGAACATGGGAAGAACGCATGTACTAACCGAAGCGGTGTAGTTTGTCACTTTACTCCAGTAGATGCCTCCACAGGGCGAGGCTCCGTCTTTCATATCCTCAAAAATAGTACTTGCAGCGCCCAAGTAGTCTTGATCCCCGAGACCCTGAACATCGAGATCAGCACTGTGAATGAGTGCCAGAGCCCACCACCCTTCATCATCGTAGTAGTCATTGAGGAAATTGTCGAATCCACGTTCAGAGATGGTATTTGACCTCTTGGAAATCGTGTAGGTCGACATAGGTATTCCCCCCGCTGTAAACTGCTTGCTAGCAGTGACTGTTGTCTTCTGTGCTTGCTCGAACGTGTTTTGTATGATAACTGGGATATTCACTTCGGTGGCAGCGTCTGGCTGGATGGCAACAAAATCAGCCAGGACAGTCAGACAATTTGCGCTGTTCCACCAGCCTGTAGTGTCCCATAATCCGGAGGATTCGTTATACCAGCCTTGGAGAGTGGTGAGAGCGGATAGAGTATTCGCGGTGTAGGTCTCTTGGTCAGCCTGTCTTCCCGATATTGAGTAAAGAGCCCGCGCGGCCAGGCCACCAACGAACGACTTCGACACCATGTCGGAAGTGTGCAAGGTAATGAAACAGAAAAAAAGTATATCTGCACAAAATGCAAACTGTTTCGTAGTAGCTTAGGTGTCTTGGGTGTTTTATATCAAGCAGTCAAACACATTATGAACAGCAAAATTCTCGTCAGGGGCAGAAAGCATATTGATCAGATAGAGGTAAGGATGACGATCCTGTTGATATTAAGCCCCTCTAATAAGAATGGACTTCGCCATGAATCCTGTCAGCACTTGGGATTCTCAGGCAGTAGAGCATTACCATAACGGGCTAAGTTAGCAGCTGATTCCCTGGAGAAGCGCCAGAATCATGGTGACAGCGCACCCAGGGCCAGCTCAGCAGGCTCCAGAACAAGGGAGCGACATGACGGTGCGCTGAAGTGATTGGTGCAACAGTGGGAGGTCGCACGCTCCTTTTTTTCTTTCGCCATGACAGTAGCCAGCAAAAGGAGTTGATCCGGCATACCATTCGAGCTTGCTAACATGACCTTCTGTTTCAGGCGCCGATATGACAGGACGAGCGTCATGCTGCGATAGTGCTTGGCCAGGTGATCATTTAAGTGCATAAACAGGTGGAGATTGCACAACATGCAGAGCAAGTGTGGTGAACTAGCCAACGGGCCAATACATGATCCACTGGCGCCTTTCAATAGGTAACGTTTCCTGCCGAAGTCAGACACCAGGGGTAGTGAGGCAGCCCCACTTTCGAATCCCCACCAAAATAATCACACCTTTAAATCGTACCCTACGCTACGCTAGCGAATTAAATTCGTTACTTTTTAAGCACTTCGTATTCGACTTTTCGTATAGTATATCGCTACAGAGAAGACTATCTTTAGGAGTCAAAGGAAGTAATTAAATTAGGTAATCATTTACAGAAAACGGCTAAATTATACGGCGTTCTCCTTCTACCCTATAAACCCGCCTCTATAATACATAAGGACGCTATTAAACCTATTAACTATTCCTGAGGGATTCACTCCTCTGTTGATGACTCTGTGTGGATGTCGTATCGATTGCTGTGTCTGCTCTACGCACACGTTGTGCTATGCTTGCTAGAAGCGCTCTTGCTGTCTATGTACAAGGAAGGAAGGTGTCACGGGCCTAGGCCCGTGACAGAAGGGTCGGACCCAATAGCTACACTTCATTGTACTGCCTTCGGCCTAGGGAATAGCTGTGACGCTCGATCCCACATTCTAAGCTGAAAGAAATTTCTAGTAAGTTAGACACTGAATAAAGAATGTGTTAGCTAGGCTCCTTCTCGACATATCATTACTTCCTTCGTTAACTAAATCTACTAAAAGTACGTTATGCTTCTAATCTTTAATAAGATTAGGAAAGTACTAGACTTCTATTTTTTTCCTCAAGTATGATTATTATGGTAAGTTGATAACCTTCCAAATTTAAACGTTATATTTTATTACCTATTGCCGCGTATTTACGTAAGACACGTATACATGGCGTATTACTTATATATACTAAGGACCTGTATATCTTAGGACGAGTCAATGGAAAGACTATATTTATGATAGTCGTAGAACTGTTGGGGTTTCTCTCTTGTTATGAATTTAGCTTTATTAGCTTCTAATAATTTACCTTTATCTTGTCACAGTACTGGCGATTACATAGTCACATAGTACTGTATATAGCAGTTAGTCGGACTAAATGTCAGTGAGCCACCGAAATTCAAGATCTTTTGGTCTATTGGCCCAGAGGCTTGATCCTCCCTTGTGACATTATATCAATATTAGGGTAATAATACCATAGCTGGTTTCAATAGTGCTGGTATTTAGTCAATTAATCTATCGACGATAATCAACTCCATTCATATTATCATTAAGGTACTAGGGTGAATAATGGTACCTAAAAGCCGGTATACACATATAAAATGTACCGCGATTATAACATATTTACCATAATTATTTGTATAAATGGTGAAACTTCGACAGGAAACATTTCAGGACTTCGTATGGAGGAGGCCTAAATATCCGTGACCTGCATTAGACTTGCAGCGGGAGTAGAAGGATCCGCCAGCAAAGCTTCAACTCTGAAATGCTTCAATTTAGAAATTAGCACTTGAACTAGTGCCATCGGTGTGGTTTCACGGCTATGGTTTGTTATGAAGTTGACTCCACAATGTCAAGCAATTCCAAGTTAAACAAAACTGCATATATTTAAAGTTGCTTGAGACAGTACGACAATGGGAAGTACAAATTTCAATTGTACAACTACCCAGGTATATATATTAGCTTACCAAGCCATATATATTGTCTTCCTCAGCCCAATTGGCATTGGCGTCCGCCACCCACGTCATCAAGCTGATTTGACAATCATTACTTCACAATAACCCCCACGGAAGTTGTCCACCATACCCGAATTTGACGGTCTTTGAGGCGCAGAACTTGCGAAGGATTCTCATATTGGCTGCCTTGGTAACACGATCCAGTACTCGTAAAGCCTGAAGATGGCGGTCAACCCACTCACGCAGTGAATCAAGTCCGTACGTCTCTTGTCCTTCTTCAGCTATTTTATTACTTTTGTAGATAAGCCCAACACAGCACATGAGATCAAGAGTCCCAGAGTCTGATGCTTTAGACTTACCGTAAGACCGAACTTTTGGTGTGTTAGCGAATTGGGTTCCGTGCATTTATTGTTCTATATCATGTACAGATCTATTGGGGAGCTACTAATAGTTTGGTGCAGGTTACTAGCATTCGGAAGTACCGGCAAAATGACATATAGCTTGAAAAAAAAGTGCATCCGATGTGATGACTGCGGCATCGTCCATGGCCTGATTGCTCGCATTGTGGGTGGTTACATCGCTGCGGCCGAAGAGCGAAGTACAGCAAGTCAACTAATCGAGCTATGCCGCAGATTCTGCAACATGGCATCCATTGGAAATCCTTGAACTTACAGAACAAGCGCCTTCATTAGATCTCTGGCTTGAATGATTATTCCTGTTCTTTATTTCTATATTGTATCATCACAGTCGTGAAGGGCATGACACGACGTGACAAGGGACAGGACTCCCAGGCATTTCATAGATAGACAGTCTCTACTTCAGTGATCAATCTAAGCATCAATCTAACCCATTGGTGAGGCAAACTGCCTTAACGACTCTATTCCCGATTACCCTACTTGAATACTTCAGTTACCCAAAGCACTCTATTCCATACGTCAAACCCCGATATTATTGCTTGAGGACTCCGCAGCAGGACTTACTTACTAGCACAAACCCTTACAGACTCTTTAGTGGTTTACGCAGCTAGACTATTAGAGGTTTCGTTACATCCTTAGGTATAGATTAATACGATTTCAATGATGAATATAATCGATAGTAATAGAAGGGACCGTAGCCGGCGATATGGATATATATACCGGCTAAACTGTAACGAAACCTCTACTAGCCTAGCTGCGTAAACTACTAAAATATATGTAAAGGCTTATACTAATAAGAAACTCCTTATGTTATGCTCTTAATTAAAAACAAAGACACGTATGTATAATATATTTAGTAAATAGGGCTCTTCGAAAAGGAGTAGTTAAAATACTACTATACCTTACTAATAAGTTAAACTAATATAAAACATATAGTGTCCTTGTCCCTTAAAAAGGGCTGTCCCAGCTAGTAAGCTGCAGTAGGGGGGTTTCGCCCCAGATCCGGTATTCCTTAAGAATCAGTCTTGCAATACACGCACCCGTCTCATTAGCTGATGCGTGCACCTAGGGGGGAGGATGTGTAACGAAACCTCTAATAGTCTAGCTGCGTAAACCACTAAAGAGTCTGTAAGGGTTTGTGCTAGTAAGTAAGTCCTGCTGCGGAGTCCTTTAGCAATAATATCGGGGTCTGACGTATGGAGTAGAGTGCTTTGGGCAACTGAAGTATTCAAGTAGGGTAATCGGGAATAGAGTCGTTAAGGCAGTTTGCCTCACCAATGGGTTAGATTGATGCTTAGATTGATCACTGAAGTAGAGACTGTTTATCTATGAAATGCCTGGGAGTCCTGTCCCTTATATATCCATTCCCTCCTTCACTGATAACTGGGGCTATTAGATCCTTCATGGATACTATTGGTCCTAATTGGATATGTTGGATCATTTCATATCCAAATGATCCACCCCTGTAAGTCACGTGACTTGTGATCCTTGCACTAGCTGGCTCCTCCTGCAGCTAGCCACTCCTGTGTGACTTTCCCCTCCTTCTTTGTCCTGTATCCACTGGGCCTGCCATCGGGCCTGTTGCATTGGTTAGAATCGTAGATTCGTAACAGAATGCTATAATGCAGTAGTGCGCAACGTTATAGTATCTAATTGAATGGGATTCACCTAACCAGTGGGTCCCCCTACCTTTTCGTATCATTAGCACATCATCAGTGGCTCTTTGCACTATCTGACTATTACTATCAAGACGCAGTATCTCCATTACAAATACGGTTACATGTAGCTTTTAAATAGCTAATCTAAAGTTTCTCTACCAAGGTTATACCCGGGAGTAGGGCGGGTGGGTCGCTCTATGACAAGGTGATACGAAAAGGTAGGGGGACCTACGAAAAGGTAGGGGGACCCACTGGTTAGGTGAATCCCATTCAATTAGATACTATAACGTTGCGCACTACTGCATTATAGCATCCTCCCCCCTAGGTGCACGCATCAAGTGCCGGGGTCTGGTCAATCGAAACCATTGTCCTCAATGGGCTTATCGCTCACAGGTCTTATTGCCAGAGTAGGTCCGTAATCCTCCCCAAGTGGTTTGGTGCTTCCGCCGGGAATTGAACCCGGTACTACCCCTATAGTGGTCTGTTCGTCAGGGCGCGACAGCCATTCGCCGGATGCGGTGCGGACTTGGTGGCCATGAGTCCTAAACCCTACCAAATCGACCATGCGACCGTTTGACCAAACAACGGAAGAGATGCTACCATTTTATACGAAAAGGTAGGGGAACCCACTGGTTAAGTGAATCCCATTCAATTAGATACTATAACGTTGCACACTACTGCATTATAGCATCCTCCCCCCTAGGTGAACGCATCACAAGGTGTGTATACACGAGGATTTCAACTTATATTCGATCTCTGTAGCCCCTACGCCAATATCGTGTTGGAAACATGGGCCTGTTTCGCACACTCATGACCAGAAGCTTCGTCCTACGGCCGATCGATCTCTCAACCACATGGGATGTTCACAAGTTGTTCTCCTTCTTGAACTCCTCGCTGAAGGGGTAATCTGTATACCCCTCTTTTTTACCAGCAGTGTAAAAGGTGTCACGGTCGTACTCGTTCAACGGCAGTCCCTTCTCGATCCTGTACGGAAGGTCCGGTGTAGAGATGAAGTATCGGCCGAACACTATCGCTACCTCGCGATCTTTGAACTCCCCATCGACGGCCTTCTTCGCGCTGTCGCCCTGGAAACCACCGGCTATGAACACGGGGGACGTGTTGTTCCACGCGTCAACGACGAATGAGACCTTCTCATCAGTCTCAGTATCCTTGTTGCCATCAAGACGGGCTTCCACGACGTGGAGGTAGGCCAGCTTGTGCTGCTTGAGGTTCTCGACGAGGTGCGTAAACTGCGGCACGGGGTTTTTCATCTTCATGCCCTGGAACGACGACCAGGGAGACAAGCGGATGGCGACCTTATCGGCGCCTATGGCCTTAACGATGGCACCGATCACTTCGAGGGCGAAGCGCGACCGGTTTTCAATGCTGCCTCCCCACTTGTCCGAACGCTGGTTCGACACGTCCTGGGTAAATTGATCAACCAGGTACCCGTTGGCCCCGTGCACTTCAACACCATCGAAGCCGGCCTCGACGGCGTTGCGTGCCGCCTGGGCGTAGTCGCTGATGAAGGATTGGATGTCCTCCTCCGTCATCTGCTTGGGCACGGGCTTATCGGAGCTTTCGGGTATGGGGCTTGCGCTCTTGATCTCGAAGCCTTCCGCCTTGGCGTTGTCGGGGCTGGCGACGCGGCCGAGGGCCCAGAGCTGAACAAACACGAAACTTCCCTTGGAGTGAATCGTGTCTGTGATTTCCTTCCACGCGGCGATCTGCTCCTTGGACCAGATACCGGGCACGTTGGGGTACCCGCTGGCTTGTTGAGAGATGAACATGGCTTCTGTGATGATAAGAGTTCCCGGCACCGAGGCGCGTTGGGCGTAGTACTCCTTGACGAGCGGCAGAGGCACATAGTGGTCATCGGCCCTGAACCGTGTCAATGGTGCCATCACCATGCGGTGCTGCAAGTTTACATTGCCGACCTTTAGGGGCTGGAAGAGACGAGATTTGGACATGTTGAAGTTTGTAGAAGACGAATATGTTTAAAAAGAGTTGACTGACTAGCCGACACTGACAGACGATCAAAAAGACTCATCGGGGTTTTACATGAACTTACCTGTGGGGATTTTATCAACCATTTCGGCATCCTGATACTGCCCGACCTCTCAGGTGCATTTGTAAGAAACGGTCCCACTGATTAAGAAATAAGTGGCCTAGACAAAGAAGTATTGGTTGTATACCTACACATGATCCACATTCAAAACCATCGTTCACCTCTGGCATTTCAAATGTTAGCGTGTGCACTGTCTCATAACACTAAGCCTCTTCCTCCAAGTTCTACTGTTTTCGGCGTACAAAAACCTATGCAGACAGAAATTGTGTATGTTTAGTTACTTGATTTCTCGTGTAAACTTATATGTGTCGGTTGTTTCTCGACATGGGACATTTCGCAGGCTAACAATTGAGATACCGGAAGTGGTGTACTATAAGCTCGTGTTGGGTGGGTCATGAGTTTCTGCTGCTTGGTAATTGAGTATGTCATCCAAAGATTCCGAAATAACGCATTTCCCACTTTTACTAACCTAGGAATCTCGGCAGTCAGCCGCTTTCTAAGCGACTTTGGTGTTCTAGTGCTTGCTACAATAATGTGGGTCTGTGCCGTTTTGATATTTGCCTTCCTGTGCCGCTGTTGCATACATTCACAATGTGGCCTTCGGAAGAGGCTGAACTCCAGTGAAAAGGGGGTTTAGCCCTTCATAGAACACAATTCTGCTTTAAGCACGATTGACGTTGTCTGAAAACTTGGAATGACCAGCACGTTGTCGTAATGAGTTTGATATTGATGTAGGGTTATGGATTTTTCGGAGGATGCTTAACTCTACTAAATTTGCCCCCCATCACTTTCGTATTAGGTAGACGCGGTCTCTAACTGCCGCCGGATTCGAACCGACTGTGCTCGTCGCCGATCTAGAAAGTAGCCTGGGATACAGCGGCTTGCGCACCAGCTAAGCGGGAACCCTACGATATTACTCGTACGTACTTTAGTTAATGTCACGGTGAGCACAATTGAAGAGTCAAAACACTCTAATGCACTGTATTGACTTAACGATTCTCGACAAGGAAAGAAAGAGAAACTAAAACAGGCTGGCTCACACCTGAGGATCTTCAATCCCGCCTTCAGATGGCCAGTGCTCCTACGGGTCCACAGCTAGTGGGTTTCGTGGCATCGTGACACCGGCCGTCACAGTTAACTATACTTTTCTACCTTCCTACAAGTAGTAATAGGTAGTCTAATAGTCTATAATCCTTGTGTTTACCTTAATTCAGCGTAAATACTTCCAATAGTATAGGTTATATACCTTCAAGGCGGCTTTGATATTATTATAGTATAGGAAATAGCTTACTTTGTCTTCTACCGCTTTTCATGGGGCTACTTAGCTAATTATAGGATTATTCGTTACGATTCTAGTAATCTACCAAGCCTACCGCATAGTTAGCACAGTAGGGTAGCCTCTACAGTAATATAAGGCGAACAATCCGGTTTATTATCGGCGTTTAGTATTAGTACTCACTATTAAAGACGAGTATTTGAATCAGCTAGCTATACCTCTAATACTGTGAAGGTCAACCCTCGCAGACTCACTACAACCAGGTGACTTACAGCTGGAACACCTGCCGTGGCAGTGTCAGATGGGAAGCCAATCATAACCCTTGTAGGAGCCCCGCCAAGCGTGGATGACTTAGTCGCGCTCCCTCAAACCTAAGTTGTCATCTTCTTTCCTTCGCTCCTTAGAGTAGAATCTTCGTCGATAGCACCTAATCGAGGTCTATACCAATGCGATGCAACCCAGGTCGTGACAAATACTAACGGCGTTAGCATACTAGGCGGCTATAATAACGCGAGTAATTAGAGAACATTTTTAGCCTTGTTCGTGGCTTACGGTTAAAACGCGCCTAAGTGCTTTTCTAATGTGACCTCCGTGAAGAGTTGTTATAAATTGAAAATAAAGTGTAGATAGTCGAGGAATTCAGTTTGACGCAACGTGTTGATGAGTGGGGCCGTCTAGCGGGATCAAGACTTTTTTTTACTTGCCCCACCACTGAGCTTGGTACATTTGACCAGTCTAATTCCCCAATTCCAGATGCCCTGCAAAGGATTTTCAGCGTGGCTCTGAACCACTCCAGATATATCATAGCTTGTATGGGATGGCCGCTTATTCATTACAAATACACCAGAGCAGGGCTGTGGTCAGCTGTCAGGCATTTGTGATCATGACAACAGCTCGGTTCAGATGCAGTCACAATAAAGGCATCTGGATGCACTCGGCCGCCAACAACACAGAGTTTGGGAATGCAAACACGACGAAGATCAGGCAGCCGCCCGCGGGGCATGGCCACGGCTTGAACTGGGTAATCTGCCACCACCTGCCGTACCCGCGAATGCTCTTCCTCTCATGTTAACGTCCTTGAGCAAACACTTTCGAATGCCTCCGGGGTTGTTACTTGCTCAATTCTATTGATCAAATGGGTGTGTTCCGCTTTGCAATACATTAGGGCGTTAGTTGAAACCCACCACTTCCGAACCAGCTTGTCCATCTGCTCCTAAATCGTCTCATACTATTGCCATGCTCCACGACTTCCAACAAATTGCCATCTGATTCCCATCTTTCTCTCGCAACCTGCCCGCTCTGCTACTTATCGTGAGCTCTCAAGTTGTTGACCCCAGCGGTTGTCCATATTGTATCCTACTTCTATCCCATCGGGAACACGCCCGCTGTATCACTGATGCAGGCAATCTTCCCCAATGTCCCGACCGATATTCTGCTCCTTGGCTTTGGCAATGTACGAAACATCCTGCTTATCAGTCACATGCGGTGTGCAAATAAGATAGGCCAACAAAAGAGGAGAATGCGGACAGAACCATGAATCTATTCGTGTGGGTAGGGTTCCCGCTTGAGAAACTTGCCACGCTTGAGGGCTGCACTGTAGTTACAGGTTAAGTCAATACATTTTCCTACCGATGGTTTCAGTTTTGGTTTCAGTTTATTGGTTTTTTATCTTTTCCAGGTCGATTTGTGAAAGTGCCCGTCCCGTCCATCTCCTGTTATTACTGACGCAAAGGTGTACTCAAAACTCAAGCATTGTCTCTTTTACATTCTGGCAAGTTGTTCCTATCAAGACCCTCGGCCAAGGCACGGGGATGAGCTGTCATTACTTCTTCCAACTGATTTTCTTTGCCGCCTCGAGTGGTACTAAAAACAGCAATCGTTCAAGCCTTGTTGCGCTTTGTGATGTACACTGGCCAGCTATGGGGCACAACAGTAAACCACGCTGACCACTGCCAATGAGCCGAAGGGTCGACCTGTCTGATTTCATAGTCCCGAATAATGGTGGCACTAATTTTGGACAATTGAATCCTGGCAATATGTTGCCCAGGGCAGGAAGCGTAGCCCACTCCCCACTGTTCCCCAACAGTTAGCAACAAGATTTACCCACGGATTCGATGATTTAACGTACTGGGATAAAGTATTTCTCCTTGGAAGCCGCGTCTGTAGCTAGCCAACGGTCTGGATTGAACTCGCGTGCGTCGGGGCCCCATAGTTCCTTTGAGTGGTGTATGACTGAAGGATTTACGCTGAGAGTGATGCCTTCTGGGAAGAAAGCGTTGCCAATGCTCACGCCGCCTTTAGGTGCAACGCGGGGCAATCCCACTAAAATATCTAATTAGCGAAGAAGTATAGACAAAAGTTACGAAGAGCTGTTGAAAGGCCACTCAAAGCACATAGATGCGCATATTGTCTAGATCGGTTGCGGATGGGGTGGAAGTGCATGGACCTACTCGAGACAGGGGCGAACATGCGTAATCCCTCTTTGATACAAGCCTGCAAGTAAGGGAGTTGTGTGGCATCGTTGTAGGACACAACCTCGCCTTCGCAATGGCCATTTTTGCGTGCAGCATCCATCTCTGCCACACATCGTTTCCATCCTGTAGGGTGTCGTAGAAGGTAGTATCTGGAGCAAATCAGCATCTTGCGCAGAGCATGCATGATCTGCGTAATATGAATTACATAAAGCTCTGCAGTCCTGCTGATACTGTATCAGACCCAGCACCAACGTTGGCAGTCGCAAACGACTGGAGACATCGCAAATCAAAGATCTTTGATTTGTCTTTCTTTGCCTTGTCCAAACCACGGAACCAGTGGGCTACAAGATCTTCGTGGGCATCTGGATTCTTCTGGCGCTCATTGAGGGCCGACATTGTCGTGTCAAAGAGATGGCCCATGGGAAGGATCTTGAGCCAAGTAACAAATGGATTCGAAAAAACAGTATGCAATATTTGCATGTAGCCAAAAATTGCAATGTACATCTCCATGCCCATATTCATGAAAATGGAGTTGTTGACATCTTCGCCTGCGTCCATGAAGCCTGTATAAAGCAGAATTAGGGGTGTGTGATGAAAAAACCACGCCCACATATAAACATGCACGCCATGTGTAACGGGAATGACGTGTAGGAAACGACTTACCAAACGGCTTCGAGAACACGACTTCGCCAGTGATGTCAAAGGCGACATATGTAAAGAACTTGTCCAGGTCCATTGGTTTCTGGTCGTCGGCAAACTTGTCCATCCAGCCGAAGAACTTCTTCATGTTGATATCCATAGCAGGCTCTGACTTGATCACGTTGTGTAGAAGATAGCCGGTCGACAAATACTTTGAACACTCGCTCTTCTTATTCGGATCGAGAATGGAGAATGGTGTGGTGAAGCGATAGTCTGGAAAGCAGACTATTGCATACCATTGGCCCTAGACGCGTCTCCAATGTTATTCTTGAGTGTCAAACTATGGCTTTTCGTAAATTATGGGATACAATGATTACCTTCGGAAGTGTTCTCAATAGCAAGGCCGTGACAGCGTTCGGATGGCTGACACTGACCTCATTGTGCGCTATGCGAACAAAGTGACCTGCAACTCTGAAGTCAGCCAAACGTACCAGACCTGAAATCCTAAACATGGCTCGTAGTCGGTTGTCCGGAGAATGAAACTCCGTACCATGCTTATCATGCTGTTCAGTAAGCTTCAAATTTTGCTTCCCGCCGACGATTTGGCGAAGATGCCACAACCGGGAGAACGATGCAAGAAATGGCCCAGGGACATGACTGATGGGAGACAAGTAGCGACGACGTATAAAGATCAGACAGAGTGACGTGGTAACGAGTATTACAACTTGAGACGCAATGATTGACCAGCTTAATGTTGTAGTTGCAATCCGCTCTTCCAAGAATCCCAACTGAGATTTCAACTCAATCAGCATAGCGTCGAACTTCTTAGAGATATCCATCCTGGCGCACTAAGATTAGCCCAGTAACTTGAATTGACGGAATTTCAATGGGATCGAGTCGATAAAAGAGAAGGGTTTGGCAACGACAGTGAAATAACGGCGAGTGTCTGGAGAATCGAAGCCGGGCTAGAAAACTGGTCGTGGTCGCAAAATGCAGTACTACCTACCCCCTGCTGCCAAGTGCGACTCAACCATCCATGGTTATTGGTGTATGGCCGTTGAATCGGCTTCATTCATAATCTATTGATGATCCCCGGTAAAATCCATCTCCGGGCAAGATCTCCCATGACAAACATGAGGTGAGGCGGGAGGCGGGAGGCGGGAGGGTAGAACAGGGGCAGACGCCGGCACATCGGATGGACTCTGCGCAAAAGATCACCGTGCCAATGGCAGCCTGCTCTTTAAAATACCTGCAACGTGCGCGGAGTAGCAGGAACAACGCTGCAGATTTGCCGTTCTGAACTTGGCAGGTGCTTGGGTGCCAGACGACCTCTCGGTATCGCATGCAGCAAATGGTGTGAGTATATAAAGACCAGCATGTTCGTGTGCTAGGTCTATGCCAGGTTCCCAATGCCGCGGTCTGTATTGGAGGAACGTTATCTTGCGTGGGTTCTGGGCAGGGTTTTCAATATTACATAACCCACTAACGTACAACCCCACCTTTCCGGCCACCCACCTTTCTGGCCACATATTGCAATCCAATTGAAGGTATTCGAAACAGTGTATCCAACGTACTATTACAGCTATTCAGGTACAACCAGCTCTAATAGAAAATTGTGCCCTAGGGCTTCCTGAGGTATAGATCTGATAGATTCTGACGCCTTAGCTGGGTCCAGGATTACCTGATTCCGACGTTGTACCTGGTCTCGTTGCCGTTCTACTTCAAGGGCTCGATCCATCGCTTCCTTAATCTGTACAATATTACCAAATCGTTCATTAGGCCCTGATAGTACCTTCTTACGTGGTTTGTGGCGTAACGAAGTTATCTCGGCTTCTAATGCGTGTACACGTTGGGTCAAAGTAGCGACCTAGACGCTTTGTACATCTAGCCGACGAGTCAGCTTCCGAAACAATAGCCGTTGCGACGATCGCAATGGCGTAATCGCTGCCAGACTCTCCCTAGCTACTAAGCTAGTCACTAGCGTCGCTATTATTGTCGGATCAAGCCAATTACCAGCTGTTGGTGGTGTAGTTGGTCGTTCTGATAGGGGGGCTATCGTCGGCTGAGGTCGCGATGGATCCAATGGGTATATTCCAGTTGCAGAGAAGCCTGATTGTATATTACTGATCGTGAACGACTTCGTATATGCTTCGATGTATAGCGAGAGGAACGTCGACTTTTTAAATGGAATAGAACAGTACTCGATCGAGAAAGAGGTCGCTAACGAGCGATAGTACCGCTTTAATGGAGCAAATACGGCGACGTCGAGAGGTTGGAGCCCGTGAGAACAGTGTGCTGGCAAAAATAGTAACGAGATCTTGTTACAATAGGCTAACCACATAAACTCGACGTTGTCGTGAGCGATATGACCATCTAATATCAAGAGCCGCTGCTCGTCGGGATCAACTGGTTGTGTACGAGGTATAAAGATATCACGAAGCCATCGAACGGCGATATCTGTACTGATCCAACCGTTAGACGAATAAGTATATTGCCAATCAGGTATATCGTCGCAATCGTTAAACCATTTCCCTAGATAGCTTCATCGACGCGATTGACGCGTCAGAATGGCTGAGGCCATCGCCGAGTCGTAATTGGAGGGTAGAGCGTGGAACGCCCCATCGGAGGGAAGCCTGGCGCTGGGATATCCCTTGATTGATATCGTTGAGAGCGCCTTGAATCGAATTTTCTGAATATCGAGGCATTGTATAATAATAGCCAATACCGACGATAATCTGTTGTGCCGAAGGTTGTTGTAGTTGGCAGATTAGGTGGCCGGAAAGGTGGGGTTGTACGTTAACCACTGGTTTGAAGACCCGACAGTTTGGGACTGCCACACCGTACGAAAGCCCATCCCATAGTGTCATTCATGCCGCTTCGGCCGGCTTCAACAAGGATTTCCACACTTGGTCCAGGTTGTTGCCCAATAGTTCGGAATGATCCCCGTCTTATAGCCTGGCAATTAGAACAACTTCGCCACCCAGCTCCGCAAAGACAGGCTCAGTCAACACTTGGGCGAAGCGCAATTTTGAACGATAATTCGGCGAAGGGGTTCATCTGAGACTTGCCCCGAAATCTCTACTTCTACGATTACTGAGCCTAGTCTAGTTGTGGCACGGCCAGCATTCTCTAAGAACAACACCTGTACCGGGCATTTGGACTTTTCAATTAATGCGATAAACAAGAACAAGAGCCTATTAAATCCTCTAATACTAATTTCATCCATGTTGATCCCTGCATTTTTGAAGGCAATGTGAACTACCTGACGACCGGGTCTGTGGATATTCGGCTGTGGTTTGCACACAATGCGGTCTCGAGTGCAGGGTTTATACTTGGGTCTGAATCTGGTTACACAGCCGAGGGTATTATTCCCGATTCCAGACGAACCAACGATATACAAGTCTTTTTTGGTTACCGGTAATGAAATTTTGAAGTGTGTACCTTGAGGTAACAATAGAGAACAATTTGAGATGTAGACCTACAAGTTATGAGGTGAAGTATTTTGTATTCTTGCTGCTGGGTTATTACTGCTTATAACAAACCGGAATATGGCTGTATTGGCCGATGCAGACGTCGTCCTAACGAGCACTGCGCTCTACGGTCAACAACCGAGGTTGGCCTTTAACCCCAGTTCAGTTCGCTCCGAGAGCATTATAGGATTAGTTGCGGAATATACCAAGGAATCTCCTCGCACTGGATTTGGTAAACTATCTTGACAGATCGGGGTAGAGGACCTTTGATCCTAGTCCTATGCTTGCCATGGTTCCCGCATTGCATTCAAGAACACTAAGGCCCAAATAGAAAAACACTCTGTGCTCAGCTATTCTAGGCCAACCAAGTCCCGCTATAATGGATCAGTCAAAATTTGATTGAGTTGTACTATGCCGCTGGATTTTCCCAGTGCGCTCTCTGTTCACAAGGAGCTGATCAATCATGTAAACAAACTTGCTGGACTGAAATATCTCTCATAGTTGTTGAGAGATCCCATGTTTTTTAATGATCCCTGGTTTATGACAGAGAAAGTACGGGCAATGTAACTATATTCCTGGAGATCTGTTTCATCCAACAAAGATCGCTGGGGAGCTTCAGGCAGTAAGCTAAGATGATGCCTATTATAAAGGACCCGTGGTGCAAAAAATAACAAAGTCCCACGAGTTGGTTCCGATACCCTCGGCATGGTCTTCGGAAGATTCCATATCTCGAATTTATCGGAGCGTTAAGCACCTGTTTTTGACCTTTGATTCAATCAGTATGACTTTCATCTTTCCAATCGAGAAATCAGACCAGAGGTCCTTGGTAGGATGCGCCGTGGTTTTCAGCATAATTCCTACGGTAGCAGTGAGTTTGCGAATCCTTGCCCGTCGAATTTCAAACAGGAAGACGGACACAAGCGAGTTTTTGGTTATCACTGCTCTTGTGAGTAAAGGCATCCGAAGCAACCACTGGGCCATCTGACGCATCAGTTCAGATCAATGTTGTTGGCTACCATGGTCTTAATATTGCTTGTAAGTCAGCTATGCTGGTAGTTGGGGCAGTTCTGGCTATATATCAAGTTCAGCTGCTACAGTAACTAATCCATAGTAGGTGTGCTGGTAGGGGGTGCAGGATGGCATCTGAGAGAAATCTTGGAGAGATTCGAAGTTGAGTCTGGCTCAATGACCTTCCTTAAGGTATGCACCCAAAATTAAACAATGTGGACGAAAAAGCTTTTGTGTTCTGACTGGCGGATTGGATCTGCAGATGATGGTTGCTCAGCAATTCATCGGGCAACTAGTCTTGCGTTAACCAAACTTGCCATCCTCTCCCTCTACTGCAACATATTCACGGTTCGGAGATTCGTTGTGATAGCTTATACAACTGCTATTATCATCCTTCTGTGGTAAATAATCCTGGTCATCCCATCAGCGATTGTGTTCACCTTAAACGAGAACAATCCAAAACTGTGACCTTGCTAATTTGCTCTTATTATAGGATGATCGCAGTCATTGTCGGTGGTTTCCTGATCTGCCAGCCTGTCGCATTCAACTGGGACCCAGATACTCCAGGTGGGCATTGTGGTAATCCTATTACACTATGGCTCTGCACTGGAATTCCAATATTATTACCGATCTGGTTGTTCTGCTACTGCCAATGTCTTATCTATACGGATTGGAATTGACACTCTACAAAAAGCTGGTCCTAATGGCTACTTTCGGTCTTGGTCTTTTGTAAGTACTCTTTTCTAGGAGATACTGAACTTGAGGAACGCGACTCACAGCTTTCTTTGGTAGTGTCGTCATAATTAGCGCTTTCCGACTTTACTCTCTTCTCCACGTCGATATGACCGATGCCACTTTCACCGTCCCTCTAGCCATCCTATGGAGTGCTTTGGAGCCTAGCATTGGTATCACTCTGGCCTGCGTGCCTCTCTTGCGCCCTCTCTTCGGCGGACGATACTCCAAGACAGGCACCATACAATATGACTCCGGGAACGTCAAGAGTATCCAGACAATCGGTCAAAAGAAAAGCAGGAAGTTTGATAAACTTCGAGACGACTCTTCTATTACCCAATTGACAACAACATCCGAGTCCGGGTGCGAGTCACTCACATATCATACTCATGTCAAGTCCAAGGATGGCAGGTTGGCATCGAGCACCCGTAGTCGTGTCGAAGACACCACGGACACAGAGTTTGAGCCAGGGACAATCACGGCCAAAAAGGCTTGAAAGGTGGAAGGTGAACCTCGTCAATGGGATATCATGGACGTGTAGTTTCAATATTTGGCCCGGACTATGTCGCGGATATTTGGATTAGAATTATCGGTATACTATACGTGTCTTGCTCTAGAACATTAATCGCGAGCATTGGACTTCTTAAACATTACTATCGCATGCATTTATGCGAAGAGTATTGAAATTATGCATATGGGTGATATGTATAAGGCGTACACTATTGTTTCCGGGTGCAGACTCCAGGCCCGATGCTCCGCCAGTGGTTGATATTGCCGTAGGCTTGGACCACGACATAGCAGAGTTCCAGAAGATGTATATCCGGACCACCCGGGGGCGAGATAACTCCATCTGCTAAATATTTTCTGGACCTTAGTGACATGTCAACTGCCGGCAGAGACTCATACTCTGGGACCTCCCCGTGGTGCTCGCCGACATCAGGAACCTCGACGCCAATATCGAACGGATAGGATACGACGTTCACACTGAACAACCCATCAAGGGCGCTAGGGCATACTTCATGCACTCCATAATGCACACTGTCCGGATGACATCTACAGCAGCATCCTCGCATAGCAGAAGCCATGAATCAGGGCTATAGCAAACTACTAATCTTGACTACGTCATCCCTCGCACCGGCGTTTATTGGGAAAACACGGCCGGGGATATATTGATGATGATGCAACTCTCGGCGTTGGAGCGCACGCAGGATAACTGGTATGACTTGATCGAGGGCAACGGGCAACGGGCTTAAGCTGGTCAAGATTTGGAGGTGCAGTGACACGGATATGGAGAATCTCATTGAGTGTGAGCTGGCTTAGGTGAAGCAGTAATTACATAGTGCGGTTCCTTTTCGGAATTCAACTAGCAGCGAAGCTAACCCTTGATCTTGTCCCAATCGTACGCAACGGGGAGTTGTCTGCTGGAACGCTGTGGTTAGTCTGCGGTGACGAACGTCTCCAGCGCGTTCTGTGCAACTAGTTACAAATGTCAATTAGCAGCAGACCACTTCTTTCTACTGATAAATCCTCCACCAAGGGCTACAGAAACAACCTGTTCCGGTGGGAGGCTTGCACGAGCTTCGGCGTCTGAGAGGCCCAGAGCTAGGGTAAGACGTCCGAGACGCCGAGGTATTTATGCGAAACTCATGTTTTAATCTCGAGGGTGGTTCCAAGCGGCATATCGTAGCCCTGTTCTCGAATCACCAATTTCGAACCAGTGGGCTTGTTAATGTCCTTAATAGGACAATAGTAGTCGCCGGTCGCGGATAGAGACAAGGAACCCAAAATACTAGGTTAAGCTATCGTTATCTGTATCCAGCTCTTGCCGCCTAAAAGCTTTCCCGCACGGCCCACATCTATGTATCCGTCTACTTTATAACGAACGATAAAGCTTAGCCCGCCGAAGCGGTATAAGACGATCCAGTAGTGAGTGGCCTGTACTGCCGCTAGCAGCCTAAGTCGTATATACCTTCTCGAACTCGTGGCCAAAGCCCTTCCACTCGCGTGGTGCGATGAGCTCTTGAGTCTTAGTCTCAGTCCGGTAGAAGAACACGGTACTTCCTACGACCTCGACGTTAATAGTGAATACCTCGAGTCTATTCCGGCTCGACGACGGATCTACGAACAAGAGCAAATTGCGGAGATTACTCCGGTCGCTCACAAGATCGATGGCGCCGATGTCAAATACCGGGTCCACGATATACAGCGCACGGAACAGGGCTCCAGAGGACTCTCGGGATGACGGGCTGCATCCTGGGCGATATAAACCAGCCCAGAATCCTTGGGAAGCCGACGGGCAACCGGAGGAGGGAACCACTTCGGCGGAATATCCGGCACGGCAATTATGGGTGTGGAAGATTTGATCCAGCTGTAGGATATCAAGTGCTTGACGTCGGTAATATTTACTATTAGGCCATTGTCTTGCATATCACGTCGAGATATCGTCGCCATGGTGGTTAAAGCCATCATAGTGTGAGGCTGCTAAGTTAGTACCACCCGAGTTTCGGCAACGTGCTCTTACTGGGTAGAAAAAAGGAATACGGGGACGGGAGAGTAACTAGTGTACAAGGGCGACCCGGATTCTCATGATCATTTAAGTGCTGAACTTCTCAGCCTACGCAAATACGGCTGCACCCGACTGCACGTGGGTTTCCGCGCCATCGCGTACTTGCATATTACCAACGGCTTGGAAACACAGCGCATGGCCTGAAATGAATTAATACAGGACAATAGCGGCCTACCCGATTCCTCCCTGATCAGGTGATCCCGGAGACGACTACGAAGATCGTACAGGCCTGCCAGGCTGCTGTCCTCTCTTTGTGGCCATTTCCCTAGCAAAGACCTCTGTGTAATATGCTCGTTATGGTGTAGGTGCACCATGCAAGTGTACCTGAGCACAAATCGGACGCTTATATCGAACGATTCAAGCTCTGTAGTTTCGTCGAATGCCGCATTACGGTGCAAGCTCTCGAATCCCGACGGAAAGGCAGTGATGGTCTTCGTTTGAAATACCATTGCAAACGCCTATTGACTAAGTACAAAAAGAGGTTGCCAGAGAATCCTGCAGCGTGGCTCTCCCGTCCAGGGGCAGCAGCGTCATTATCGGCAAGATTCTATTCGTCGCCGCTTCACGGCCAATGATTTGACCGCCGCAAACGCGGCTACCGCGAGACGGATATCGTCCAGTACGCAAGTACGTAAAACCATCACTGGCAAGGCAATTTCAGATTCTGCCGCGTGCCGCGCGCCTCGACTGCATGTACGGGATGAGTGTTTCAACGAGTCATCTTCCATAGTAATGTGCCTGTAATCTGGCCACTATGCTGTACCACCCTGCAGATTTGACAAGTGCCTCTACCAGACGTTTGCTCAAGTTGGCCGAAATGTAGAATTCATGGATGAGGTCTCCCATGTGTGGATCAGCCGGCAGGAGATACCTTCTAACGCATAAGCAGCATCTCTTCGATCTCCCCTTTGTTAATGAAGCCGAAAAGTGCGGAAGGAACCTCAGGAACGTGTCTGTCCCCGCATTGCCCCGCATTCCCCCGCAGTCATTACGGAATAATACCTCAAATTAATCCATCCAGAAATACCCCAGACTGGCGACTTGGTGAGTGACATGCCAATGTGGTGGGCCCTGTAAGTCGCTGGGCGGTCTTAGGCACTCGTCATGTTTTCATATATTATGACCGCAATGCGCTTTTGTGGTGGCAGGCGAAGGGGTTGTTGCTGTTGTTTAGTCGTTTGTAGACATCACCATGTTCTCTCTCGTGCCCTTAGTCTTGGCTGCTGGGTCGACATTCGTCCTCGCCAAGTTGAACGCGACCGAAGATGCGTCTCAACTGTCGTTATCCAATGACCGACTCTATGCGAGCGTTGTCAAGTCTGGAGGCTACATCCAGACACTCACTCTGGATGGCCAAAATCTGCTAGGAACGAAGTCAGGGTCGACGGGCATCGGGCCGTACCGTGAGCAATGGGAAAATTCGGATTGGAAGACTTGAGAATGAGTGCTAATATTCATGCAGTGGACTGCTATTGTATACCATCTGGTTTTTGGACACCCGGATCTAGTCAACCCACGTATGAGCTATTCTCCGGCACAGACTCCACAGGCGTCGATTACGGTGGCATCAAAATGTCCGACACCTATGCCGCGACTGGCCAGATTTTAGAAACATACTGGTTTCTAAGAGATACCGAGACGGGCTTGCACATTTTTACCCGCCTTGCGTACTACAACGAGACTACGCCATTCCTGCGAAACCTGCAAGAGTTCCGGACGCTGTTCCGCCCCAACAGCGATATCTGGACCCATCTCTTGACCAACGAGGAGCACTATGCGCCTCTTCCCGGGAAAGAGGCAAAAGAAAATGAGATAGTTGTCCAGGATGCCACCTGGTATCTGGGAAACACGCCGGATGATGCCTATGTTCAGCAAGAAGCGGATTATTTCACCAAGTACACTTTTGCGGATACTTGGAGGAACCATGATGCCCATGGAATGTGAGTTCAGTTGAGTCAAATTGGAGACTATGGTAACTCATCGTAACCACAGGTTTGCCGATGGATCTCAGACATCGGACAATTCGACCTTCGGGGCGTGGCTAGTGATGAACACCAGGGAGACTTACTTCGGTGGACCGCTTCACTCCGACTTGACGGTCGATGGTATTGTTTACGATTACATTGGTATGCATATGTATGAGACGGCTGGACTTCACCAGCTAACACGGACCAAGTGTCAAATCATCACGGTGATCAAACGCCGAACATCACCAACGGCTTCGACCGAACTTTTGGCCCTGTGAGTCGAAACGTCCTAGAGAGTATGTTGAAAGTGACTAACGAAGGCAGCAATTCTACTATTTCAACCACCTCCCTGCAGAAACCGGCATCCTCGCCTCCAAAGCCGACGCCACCCAATACGCCTCCCCAGAATTCGACATCGACTTCTACGACTCTATCGCCAAGCACGTCCCTAACTACGTTCCCAGCTCGGAGCGCGGCGTCTTCCAGTTGCAAGCCTCTCTTCCCTCCACCGCCAAGAACCCCGTTGCCGTGCTGGCCCAAAACGGCGTCGACTTCCAGGACAACGTCTTCGACACCAAAGCGTATCAATATTGGGTGGAGCTAAACAACGACGGCACCGCCACTATCCCGCGCGTCAAGAACGGCACGTACCGCCTCACCATCTACGCCGACGGCATTTTCGGGCAGTACATTCAAGACGATGTTGTAGTCGAGGCAGGCGAGACGGCGACCACGACGGCAAATTGGAGCGAGGAAAGCGCGGGCGCCGAGATCTTCCGTATTGGTACTCCCGATAAGAGCAGTGGCGAGTACAAGCACGGCTACCAGAAAGATCCCACGCATCCGCTTCATCCGGAAGAGTACCGCATTTACTGGGCGGCCTACGATTTCGTCGATGATTTCCCCGAGGGGGTGCATTTCACGGTCGGTGATAGTGATGTTGTAGAAGACTTCAATTACGTCCACTGGAGCGTCTTTGGGGGATATGCGAACTATGTGCGGCCAGAGCCGTACTATGGAGATGGGAATGTGAATAATTGGACCATCAGCTTCAATGTGGAGGCGCTACAGCTGGCGAATCGGACACAGGCTACTTTCACCGTTCAGTTGGCGGCGGCTAAGACTGCTGCTGGTGAGTATCTATCCAGAGAACCAACTGGGAGCCTTCTCAACTTGATATTTGCTATGCGGAGGAAGCATGACTGACTTTCATGACAAATTCTTAGGAAACACGGATGTCTACAACGCCTCAGAGCCGTATGCGAATCTGCCGTACACGGTGAACGTCAACGGCCAGGATCTCGAACCATGGGTCATCCCGTAAGAAGACGTCATTTACTCAGCTCCACTCCTGGGGTAAGAATTGGCATTTACTGATGAATAATGCGCAGTTATTACCACAGCAGCTCCTGTGCCGTTCGATCAGAAGTCGTCTGCTACAACATCGCCAACAAATTCACCTTCGACGCTAAACTGCTCAGGTCTGGAGACAACGATATCGTGCTTAGCCTCCCTTACAAGGCGACCGACTACGAGAGCGCTGTGCTGCCGCAGTCGGTTTATGTACAGTACGATGCGTTGAGGCTCGAGGTTAAATAATCTACTGTGGTGCCGCCGGCGAAGGGCGAATTACCTCTGAATATGTCTGGATAAAATCTGCTTATGTATTTAGATAATATATTGATATGTACTTTAGGACCTTGTAATTACTGCAATTGCCTCTGTGAACGGTGTCTGAAGTGTTCTAGACCCGTAAATCTCGTCATGTAGTTTCCTTCTCCTGCGCCCCCAAATTCACGCCTTCTGCTGCCCTGCCTATCGATTTCTCCGACTCGGCCATGTTCTCCTTTGGAGTATTCACCTGAATGCCAAGCTTGAAGAAGGAGAAGACTAGCAACCCGGCGCCAGCCAGCCGTATGCAAGCCTAGAAGGTTCTTACATACTCCAGCATTGGGTCCGTTACCCCTCCGGTGTCATCTCCGCAGAACTGAAAGCCGTCATTTTTATATCCATAGTAACTGAGGTGGCCAAACAAACGACTATGGACCTTTTTTTTTTTTTCGGGGTGTATGCCAACTCAGAAACTCATGGCATCAATGGCGTCAATACGATTTCCCGTAACACATAAGCGATCATCAAAACAATCTCACCAACAAGCAGCGCGATGACAATTGGGCACCCCCATCCATCATCAGGCCTGTGTTAGCGCCGCAGTAAACATTCCCACCCCGGAAATAGTAAGTACGGTTCCAACAAAGTCGAACTGCTTCAAAGCACCATCATGCTTCCAAAACGGGCCCCTATCAAACATCTCGACGCTGGGGACCGCTGGGGACAGCCCACAGCGCATGAACGACGAATATGGCCCATAGGATAGACAGGAATATGTAAACGACCGGTCATCTGAACATGGAGGGAAAAATGCCGCATGCGATAAGTCCGAAGACTAGGCTGGGGGTTTCCCGACGCTGAAGGCCTTAAAGGCGGCGTTCTACCGCTTGGAGGGGGTTTTGCCCGGCGCCGAGGGTAACGCCATGGCGGAGAAGAGACCGAGAACGCCCTGAGATAACGGTCAGTATCGACATTTTCAGAAGCCAAAATTATTTTTCCCGACTCGCAGCTTTCCTTCGAAGGCAAGTTCGGGAGGCAAGGCGGGTGGAAGGGGTTAACATACACATAGTATATCCATCCAAAACGGATTTATGCCAAACGCGAACAACAGCACAAATAATTATGCGCCTTAGTTTGTTCCTTATCACAGTTTACGGACCGGTATAGCCTCTGCGACGCCTTTGGCTAAGAGCCCCATAGAAGATTCCCGACGATATTCGGACCTACTACAGATCTTTAAATAGCCTCACTTCTCGAATATTCTCCAGGAAGCGAGACTATAGGACAAGAATATAAAAGGAAGGAGGATTCTAATACATATAAGGTTCTAGTTCTTCTGTCTTTATAGATAGATCGTACTCGTAGAGTAGACTAGGCCAATTGCGACGATATTGCCCTTAACCTCTACACTCTTTACGTCTAGAAGGTACACTATGAACCAAAATCTATTTAGTAATACGACTACTGTGCGAGGAAGTGGCAATCTGCAAATGCTAGACGAGTCAGAGGTTCCCACACCCGTCTGACCCCTGCCACCCATGATGGGTCGGATGCAACAAGTTGGCTTCGTTGCACGGTATGAGCACGTTACGAGAGTTCACAATCCTTAAAATAATTAAGATGATATACAACACGCAACACGAGCTCAATGAATTCGACCTTTAGAATTCCCTCTACAGCAAACTGTAATTAATACACGCCGGGATTACAGTTAAGTCCTGGGGCTTCTGATGAAGCCAACCACACCGCCGCAGTAACCCACAAGGTTGTCTAACCTATCACACTCCTTAATCTGGTGTTTCTTCCAATCTCTCAACGCAGCCATCAGGGTATCGCTCTCTATAATCATGTCAAAATGCAGTCGCAGGAAAACCGTCATCCACGCCTGAGTAAGCTCGTAGTCGCGACGGGCCACTAAGCGGCTCGTCATGGCCCGGATGAAGTGAAGCAATTCATTTGAGACCTCATCGCCTTCGCCAACATTTAGCGAGCGCAGTTCTAGATCAGCGCCGGATGGCGACAGTGATTTGAGGTTCTCGATGAAGGAGTCGTCTGAGAAGTTGTGGTTAGTACAGCAACGTTATGAGTTGGACTGCAAAGCTTACAGTTTCCGGTCATGGCAGCATCGCGTAATTTGCTTGAGAATTCCTCTTGCATGTTCTTCAGGTCGAGTTTCGTGATCCTCGAAAGACCCAGACTCACTTCTGCTGCCGCCTTGTTGCTTTCATCTGGGTGGAGCGAAGGTGTCCCGTTGGTTGACGGGAGAAAGAACGGTGCCTTTTCTGGCGCTTTCGGGGCTTCCTTCGGCTTGTTTCTTTGCTTGATGAGTTCGAGATGCAACAGTGTTTGCCACTTGCTGCGCGGAACCAAACTCAAGGTCATCATGTCGGTGCTTAGCTGATCCAGGATAGGCGCAGCCACATAATCTTCGATATCAGATGTAGCATCGTCTTCAAAGGCGGCTTCGATGAGACCTTGACCACCTTCACCAGAACTTGTTGGTCCAGATAACTCTCCAATCTCCTTTGCAGATATTTGCCTCGTCGGCACGTGAGTGAAGAGGGTCTTGTTTGTCCAGATGTTGACACCCAGCTGGCCCTCACTTGCAGCCGCGAGGTACTCCCCCGTCACCGAGAAGGTCAAAGCAGTGCAAGGCTGCTCCAGGCGGATTGCATCTATCAGATGGCTCGTCGGAAGATCCCAAACACGTATTATTCCGTCTTGGGCTGCTGCTACAATCCACCGCCCATCGTTGGAAAACGTGAAATCGTTAATCTTGCCTTCGCAGCCCCAGAACTCTCGAATCGTTTGTTTTGTCTCAATATCGACTACGCGTATTGAACCGTCATCGCAGGAAAACGCAACCAGATCACTGGCAGCGTGGTATCGGCAGCCTGTTATTGTCGTCATGGGAGCCCAGTTAATCTCTTCTAACAAACGACCGGTGAGAAATTCCCAGAATTTGATTTTGCCGTCCGAGGAACAGCTAATAATGTACTTGTTCATAGAATCGACCACTATCCCAGTGACAGCTTTGGTGTGTTTTCCTACTCCTGGGCCGAAATTAGTTGTGGAGCGAGCCTCCAGTTGGATGATGCTGTCCGCCTGCCTCAATTGCTGCAACTTGGCTTGCCGTGCTTGAGCTGGAGTGACTTTCGATGGAAACCGTTGTCGGTGAATTCCAGATTGGAGGTTGAACATATCAATGCTACCGTCAACAGAGCCGACAACAGCAAACGTGCCGCACGAACTCATTGCAACAGTAGACACATTGGCACCATCACCGGTCTGGAATGCCCACCTGCCAGCTCTCTTTCGGCCCCAAAACCATGTACGAGCAAACGAATCATCCTTATGCCCGGTGACAACACTTTCCCAGCCGGTAATGCCACTGACTTCCGCATCGTTTGACTTCTTTCGGTCCTGCGACTTCTGCCACTGTGCCTGTTTACCAGGCATCGCACCCATGCCGCCATCTCGGTTAAGTGAACACGCTATGCATGTGATTTCAGGTGCTTTTAAGTCATCCAGCGTCGTGGTCGGCCCGCGCCGCAGTGTGTCATTGGCGAGCATACCAAACTTCTTGGCCTTCTTCCGTATGCTGCCCTGGCTAAGCTCAGTACTTTGTCCATCACGACGAAGACTCCAGCCCCATAGGCTTCGATCCCGGCCACCACTCAGGAGCCACTTGTTCCCGGAATCTGCACCATCAAAATCTGACGGGAGGAAGTGCAGAGAGGTAACTGGAGCAGCGTGTCCACTTCGCGTATGTAGAGAACGGGGGATTGCGGAGAACGGAGTCTCGTCGAAAACCCAAGTTTTCAGCGAGTTGTCTCGTCCACTTGTGACAATAACGGATTGTCCAGCCAGAAACTCGATTTTGCTCACGCCCCCACGAACTGAAGCACCGTCACCCATCGGCGGATTATGTGCACTTCTGAGGATGCCCGTGATCCTCCCTCCATCATTAAGATCCCAGAATGTGACATCACCGCTCGCAACTGTTGCCGTGGCCATTACACCGTCTTTTCGCCCATCCTGACCGGCTCCCTGTCCATCTTTACGAAAGGTAATTGACGTCACGGGCGCATCTTCGGTACTGGCGGTAACTTGCAAAACGGTCCTGTCTGTTAGTACGTTTTGAATAACCAGGGGACCCTTCGAGTATGATATTGCCAGTAGCGAAAGAGCGGGTGCCGGCTGGAGACACGTAACGGCGCCAGCGTTCGGGGTCGGAGGCAAGATGGTGTAAATAAGCTTCGCCGTAGATACGTTCCAGATCTCAACCCATCCATCGCGACGGCCAGCGAAAACCTTGTTGAGGTAAGTTGGCATGGTGCAAATGCCCCCCGTGAGCTCGTTGTCGCCCTTCTTCGTCGCCATCGTGAGTAGCGTCGTATAGTGCTCGAGCGTTTCGCTCCTCCATACTTCTATCCTAGTCGAGCAGCAACCTATGATCCATGAACCGAATACCAGAATTTGCTTTATTGGCTCCTGAAGATCAAGAGGCAGTTCCATTTCGGCAACCTTCTTTCCGCGCTCAAAGGCCCATAAACCTTGAGATTCCCCATTGCAGCTGTCGCCCCAAGCCGCGAAGACTTGCTTTTTCCACGCACAAGTTGCGGTAATATCGAACGGGGTTTGCGGTCGTGTCATGAAGACAAGGTTAAGTCCCCGCTTCAGATCGTAGGTCTGCAAGGACCGGCCCAAAGACGTGGTTACCTGGAATGACGTCTTTCCAAGAGGAATCGAGGTAAATGGTACATTTGTGGGAGACACAAGTCCTATAGTCTGGTTGATTCCGTCAGCATTAGCATTAGACTCAATGATGCTCAGGCAGTAGCTGTGCGCCGCAGCTCATGGTGACATACCCGATAGGGAGCAAATATGTTCGACTTCTGGCTCGACAATTTTGGCCGGGCGGCGGCGTCGACCTTTTGGCGCTTGACCAGAGGGCCATCTTGCTCAGAATTTGGCATTGTTATTTGTCAGTCCGACGCGAAATGGGAAATCGAGGCCGCATTCATAAAGCTGGTCTCAAGTGCTTGAAGGTCACGCCGGCGAGCTTCAACTCCAACTAGACACATATCGGCCCTCGCAAATATTTTTTTGTTATCGCTTTCCTTATCTTTCATTATCTTATCGGGGAACCTCGACACCTCTAGAAAGTCGATAATGCGATGTCGGCCAGAACAAAGCGATATGCGACATCAGTGTTTGCCCTAGTCATCTGCCAGTTCTTCTGGGTTGCCAATAGTTATATACTATGTTGTTCCGCCTTTGTAAATCGTGATCTGGGCTTGTGTGCAACTCTTTCCTTCCCCGGAGACAGCGAAGGCTCTGGAAGTTTGCCCCACCTCAGTCGACACGACGGAAGCTACCCCTCGGTGACCCAACCTCCCAGAGGATCGTCTATGTGATCCTCAAAATCTTTCTTTGACGATCTGTACTACACGTCAAGTCGTTGTGAAATCTGGGCTCTCATCCAGTCCTAGTATTTTACTAGAGGTTTGAAAAGGCAAGAATATCGATTGAAGTTGCCTCGTGAGGTCTCGTCCAAGACTGACTTTGCCTAAGCGTCCGTAGCGGGTCCTGCCGCCATGCAAAGTCTAGGTTCCCCCGAGATAGAGAACAACTCTAGACGCGGGAGTGGTCAGAGAAGGCTTTCGACCCGTTCTGCCTCACATCCTCATACGCTCTCCAATTCCTCCGTTTCTAGTAGTGTAGCGAGTAGCATAGCCAGTCGGAAAAGTCGGCAAGCTGAGCCTGTGGGAACTTCTGACATCTCGATTGAGCCTGCAAGTCTGTCGATGCCACCTCCCACGAACCTGCTGAAGAGTCCCCGTTCGTCGTTCCTCCACAGCAGGCGCGAGTCGACCAATTCGGTTTCCTGGAGTGCTATTAGCGACTATCAACGCAGCGCGGCCGATGATCTTGCCATTGACGATTCCGAAAGCACACCAAAGCTCCTCCCTGGCTCTGCGAACCTCCACGATACTGCTGACCGGCAGCTACCGGAACCCGCCTTGGCAGTCTCACAATACTCCCAATCCTCATTCTTAGACGAGGGAAGGCGCACCATGGATCATGAGGGGAAGCGCATGTCTGTCTCCTCGCTATACTCGTTGTCCTCAGCTCGCGGTGTTCCCAGCTCTGCCGCGTCTATCTCAGCTGTCTCTGTGAACGGTTCAGACAGCGGTAACCGATCGGCCTCAGGAGTCATGGCGTCAAGCAAAGGCCTAGGGCCTCCCTCTGGCCAGCAATCTGAGGCTGAGCTGACCACGGTTACGGTGACTACGTCGTCAAGTGCCCAAAACAATCAATTGACCCCACGGGATCCGAACCACTCCAGCAACCTTGATCTCGTCAAGCGCAATCCTCCCAAGTCCGATGCCAACTCCCGACCCCAACCGACTAGATCTCGCAGTATGGCCAAGCGCAGGTTCAGCGGTAGTACGGCAACTAGCAGCCACAGTCCCAGCAGTGAAAGGGGTCCTTACAAGGAAAAGGAAGAAGTCAAGCCTGCACCTTACGGCATCATTGGCGTCTGTGCCTTAGACTCCAAGGCAAGAAGCAAGCCCAGTAGAAACATCCTGAACAAGATGGTGGGCAAAGGAGACTTCGATGTAGTTGTGTTTGGTGACAAGGTCATCCTTGACGAAGGCGAGTCGACCCCCAAAGTCCCGTGACATAGCAAATACTAACCAGCCAACAGAGGTGGAGAACTGGCCAATGTGTGACTATCTCATTTCGTTCTACTCAGATGGATTTCCTTTGGAGAAGGCCATTGCCTACGTCAAGGCTCGCAAGCCGTTTTGCGTCAATGATGTACCAATGCAGAAAATCCTCTGGGACAGACGTTTGTGCCTGCGAATTCTGGAAAAGATCAACGTGCCTACCCCCCAGCGACTTGAGGTCAACCGAGACGGTGGCTCAACTCTTCTGACTCCGGACATTGCCAAGCATATAAAAGATGTTTCGGGCATTTCTCTTGAGCCAACGGATCCCAACCGCACTATATATCCTCGGAAGGTGGAACTACTTGACGATGACGATATACTGAGTGTGGATGGTGCCTTGTTGAAGAAGCCTTTTGTCGAGAAGCCTACAAGTGGCGAGGACCACAACATCATTATATACTTCCCCAAGTCTTCTGGTGGTGGTGCTCGCAAGCTGTTTCGCAAGATTGGCAACAAGAGCTCTGAGTACATTGAGGACCTCACGGTTCCTCGGGCAATTACCGAGCCAGAAAGCAGCTACATATATGAGAAGTTCATGCGAGTGGAAAATGCGGAGGACGTCAAGGCTTACACCGTCGGTCCCGACTACTGCCATGCAGAGACGAGAAAGTCTCCTGTGGTGGATGGCATTGTCCGACGCAACACTCACGGTAAGGAGATCCGTTATGTTACTGCACTGAACGCAGAAGAGAAGGAGATTGCCAAGAGAATTTCCAATACGTTTGGACAGAGGGTCTGTGGCTTCGACTTCCTTCGCGCTGAAGGGAAGAGCTATGTGATCGACGTCAATGGTTGGAGTTTTGTCAAAGATAACGATGACTACTATAATCACTGCGCCGGGATCTTGAAAAACATGTTTATCAAAGAGAAAACTCGTCGAGGCGGGGTCACTCCGCCTATGCCATCTCCTACCATCTCTGACAGCGTTGACCCGCTCGGTAAAGCCGCAACAGTTGCCAAAGAAAAGGAGAGTCAGGCCAGTACTTTGCATCCAAATCAAGCCAAGTCTCCGAGTAGCGTCGGATCGGCGCTGTCCAAGAGCAATTCCGCTCAAGATACTAAGCAGAGGGAGGACAAATCTCCAGGCACTGCGTCGCCATCGAAGTCTGACGCTGGCACACAGAGCATCGTTTCGAGGCTACAGAGTGGCCTCATGAGCCCCCTCGCCAACCTTACCGGAGATGCTGCGGCCAAGATCTTGCCCGAAACAACGCCTCCCACGTTGCCGGTGACACCACTGGCTGAGGACCAACTAACTCTAAACTCTCAGCAAGACGAATCAACTCCTCCTCCTCCTCCACCCAAGCATTCCTGGAAGCTCAAAGGCTTGGTCTCTGTTATCAGGCATGCCGATCGTACTCCAAAACAAAAGTACAAGTACACATTCCACACACAGCCATTCATTGACCTCCTCAAAGGCCACCAGGAAGAAGTGCTGCTTATCGGAGAAGCTGCTCTTGCTAGTGTCCTCGCAGCTGTCGAGATGGCATTGAAAGAAGACGAGGAAGACCGAGCAAAGCTCAAGTCTCTCCGCAATGTGCTTGTGAAGAAGGGGGGCTGGGCTGGTACAAAAGTCCAGATCAAGCCAATGTTTCGTAAGAAGAACACAGATGGGACGACATCTACCGCCACACCCAAAGTTACAGAGGGCGTCAAACTGGACACAGACGGTGCAAAGCCGTCTGTAGAAACCTCCGAGCCGAAGGCGGCTACCGATGAGCCACCAGTAAAGACGGAAGAGATGAATGTAGAAGACACAGCATCCGGTGGCGAGGAAAAAACCCGACGTGGACCAAAGCGAAGCGATTCCATGTCTGGAGTAACCATGTCGAAATTCACTGCGGCGGAGAATCAACTTGTGCTCGACAAGCTACAACTTATTGTGAAGTGGGGAGGCGAGTCGACTCACTCCGCGCGCCATCAGGCTATCGAGCTGGCACAGAATATGAGAAACGATTATTTGCTGCTCAATAAAGAAGTGCTAGACCAGGCCTGTGTGTACAGCAGTTCAGAGAGGCGAGTCACCGCCACAGCTCAAATATGGACATCAACCTTTCTCGATATGCAGGGAGAACCCCCTCCCGACTTCATTAAAGTTCGAAAGGATCTCCTGGATGATTCAAATGCAGCCAAGGATGAGATGGATAAGGTGAAGAAGAAGCTGAAGGGACTGCTACGGAAGGGCAACGAACGACCGTCGCAATTTGCTTGGCCGGAAAATATGGCAGAGCCGTCCGAGGTCCAAAACAATGTTGTGACTCTAATGAAGTTCCATCGACAGGTTATGCAACACAACTATAACAAGCTTTACAGCGGCGCTGTCAACTCACTCAATGCCATCAGCAACCCTAGTGTGGAAAAGTTGAACGGTGAGGGATCGACCACGTCTATGAGCTCGGTCATCTCACAAGCCAACGCAGTCAATAGCATTCAAACCAGATGGTGTTGCGGCGAGGATGCAGAGCTGTTCCGCGAGCGTTGGGAGAAACTCTTCGGCGAGTTTTGTGACCACGACAAGGTAGATCCAAGCAAGATCTCAGAGCTCTACGACACGATGAAGTTCGACGCTCTGCACAATCGGGCTTTCTTGGAATGGGTCTTCACCCCGCCTAAGCACATGCTCGAAGAAGAATATGGTATTGTCATTGGACGTGATAACAAGATAACGCCCAAAGACCCCGAGGTCGACGATAACAAATCGGATCAGAGCCAAGTCGTGAGCTCGCCGCCTAATGAGAGGTCTGACAAGTCGGACAAGTCGGACAAGGGTGAACGACCTGAAGGGCACAAGACGGTCAAGCGGCTGTTTAAGAGGCGATCGTGGATGAAAGACCGACACTCCCGGGAGCTGGCACCGCCTGAGCAATACTTCCATCTGCACAAGGGTAGCGGACCAACGAAGGCGAAGACGGATGCCCGATTTGAGCCATTGCGAGAGTTGTATAAGTTAGCAAAGGTGCTGTTCGATTTTATTTGTCCACAGGAGTATGGCATATCAGACAGTGAGAAGGTAAGCTTGATTGAGACTTTCGGTACTCTTGCACAATTCCCCATATTGACCTGCAATGTTTAGCTGGAAATCGGTCTCTTAACTTCGCTCCCCTTGCTCAAGGAGATAGTGCAGGCCCTCGAGGACATGCAAGCCTCAGACGAGGCCAAGTCATTCTTCTACTTCACCAAAGAATCGCACATATACACGTTATTGAATTGCATTCTGGAAGGCGGCATTGAGACCAAGATCAGCCGAGCTACCATCCCAGAACTCGACTACCTTTCACAGATATGTTTTGAGCTGTACGAATCAGAGGTCAAGGCCCCCGAGGCCTGCCCCGACCAACCCCCGACATTTGCCTACAGCATTCGCATTACGATCAGTCCCGGGTGCCACATCTACGACCCGCTCGACATCCAGCTTGACAGCAGGCACTGCATAGGATGTGCCCCGCGACGAAGCCTAACGCCACACGGGGACTGGAAACAGGTCATTGAAACACTGCGGGCCAAGTTTCACCAGTGAGTTATTCACCGATTTACACAGGTCCTTCCCTGCCCTTCCCTGCCCTTCCCTGCCCTATATTACCAAGCCGTCCAATGTTGGAGGTTTGGAATGTAGGGTCTAGACCGTCGCAGACCGTGTTCCCTTGTCAAGTATATCCTTGATTGGCCTTGCTAACGACGCCATTTTCCAGGGTCAAACTGCCAAAGACGTTCCTCGCTGTTAACTTGTCAGAAGCTTTTTCGTTCCAGGAGAAGGAACGTCACAATTCCGAAGTAGATGCCTTGGAGATGAAGAAGATTGAGCGGACGCCAGTAACGGAGAAATTAGTTGGTGAAGTGAGGAATAATGATGGCAGTGCGGTGGCATCGGCACCGGCAGTTACGGACACGGCAATCAATGGAGAAGGGGGACAACGGGCAGTGGCTGAGGCTGTGACTGAGCAACAAGCTGCAGACAAGTCTGCGCAACAGATTTAGAGCTGGGTGGGCACAATCACGGCAGAATACATGGTAGAGGCGTTGAAAGAGCCATCAGAGGGAGAGGGGGAAACGGGAACAACATTGCCAACGGCGAATATTGCTTGACGACAATGGGACATGAAGATAACAGAGTTTAACTCATCCTTTTACTAGACGGTAATGAACCGGGTGTCATGGTAAACACTCTAATTAAGCCCACATAATAAAAATGAAAACTTTTCATCCTTACTCTCACATCGTTCCCAGAGTGTTTCTTTCGAGGAGTAACGAGAAACTCCATCCGCATCCAGATATTGTAGTTACTTTGACAATCGTCAATCATGCGTTATCTACAGCATCGCAACTGGGTTGATACCAACCCAAGTCCATTGTAATTTGGTCATGAAAATCCTACTCTAGACTCACCACGCGACGTATTACAAGGCATATTATGATTTCTTCACCCTGACCCTATACCGACAGACAAGTGATCGACCGCCCACCGGTCAACGTTTCCAGACATGGAACGAGCCTGGCCGGCAACAAGAGCACATTGAGAAAATTCTTTCACGGCTCAGAGGACGCGCAATCTTGATCCGAAGCCCTCGGAGGCGACAATGCAAGTGAGGTTATTCCGAAGTCCGACGGAACGAGGTGCCGGGTGCGTCGGCTTACCAAATCAGCATCTACAGCCATAAAGCTTAAGTTGCTTTGACTAAGAGTCGGGGTGTTGCTGATCATCCCGATGCACCCCTGTGAGACAGAGCCGCCGGCGGTGAGTTCATACAACAGCAGCCCTCTACGTTGAGGAGGGTAGATTGAGGAACAGGGGGGGGGAATGCTGCTAAAGAGGAATGAATGTCACCTTACGTGATGTTCCTGAAGCATTGATTGGACAGAGGGCTCCGCAAAGCCTTAACTCAATGCTGGAAGAATGGCTGTGAACCGAGAAGCATCGTGTCAGGGTATTCATCACAGGCTTCCTCTGTAGTCAACAAAAGGGCCAGCATTTTCTACCCGAGGAGGCGAATACTCCTGGCAAGTTGATACCGTCGTCCCCATTCCCCTTCATGGCGATTCCGATGCGGCGCGGTGTTTCGGGTTCATGGAAAGGACAATAGGAGACGGCACGTTGGCAATTGGACGGTCTGATTTGAGACAAGTCAACTTACAAAGTGCAACAGTAGTGGGCGACCTTCTGTCATGTCATGGCCTCGCTACTGAGATCCCTGTGAACACTTGTGAGCTGTCACATTTGACACTATTTGTTGCTTGCTGTCATCTCTTTGAACCCTGTGAGATGTGGGTGGTAATGGATGGGCGGGATCTTGTCCCAGGGCCTTTCCTGTGCGCTCGTGCCAAAATGGACAAATATCATCAAATTTTGATAGTCCATCGACCGATTTCTCTCGATCGTCGGCTATAGGATAATTCGACGAGGGAGTATGTGCCCAGGATGTTTATTTTGTTTATACTTTCTAGCGACGAGGGGCCTGTCGTGGCTATAGTTTGGTGCTCCTGAGCCGATACCGTACAGCCGGCAGATCTGATAAAACCCCAAGCTTCCCCCTCTGACGTTATCATTGCGTATTAGCATTTCCGAATCCTCGGGCTTCGCAACGGTCCAATAGGCTGGCTGCACGACGTCGAGGGTGCAGGGCTGAATCTGCCATGGGCCTATCGCAATTGCTCGCGGGGTTTCGGGTCCGGCTGGCAACCTGAGACCTAGCAATTTCCTTCAGGGGCCGGCAACTTGCCCGGAGACGTACCGGCTGCGGCGGTTGCGTCTCTATTGTCGGCATCTCCGTAGATTATCTGGCCTCACCTGATGGCATGCGGACCGACTGTGCTCTTTATCCAGTCCAAACAATCTTTGGGAAAAGTGTGTACCTGAAGGACCGTGAGGGTGGTTAGATACATGCCTCATACGCGTTTGTGACGTTGCCCCCAAGAAGTGGAGGTTCGGGTATAACATTGGGGTGAGGAAAGTCCGCGAGTGGCTGCGCCATCCAGTTCCACATCTTGGAGTTCGAGGATCACCTGGCATAGCGTTGGTTCACAGACAATCGACAGACCAGGGTACCAGAATAGCACAAGTGTGCCCTGGAGTGGCAGAAGAGCGGTAAAGAGTCAAGACGGCCATCAAATTGTAGCCATGTTAGACTAGGAACCCCAGCGTGCAATGGCACTGTACGTGTTGTCCACGAAATTGAATAGGCGAACTGAGCAACAAACCCTCGCAGATTTTGTGGAGAGTGTGTTCCAGAAGGAACAATTCAAGACTGCTGCGTCCATGTTCAACGAGCAGCGCTTTGGCTCGCCTCCGCTCATACGTTCGATCTCGATACTCTGACAAGGACATAATAACGGGGATTGGTCTCGGCCGGCTTTCACATTGCCTGGCAATGGGGATCTGACCACAGGCTTGGTCCATGTCAAACAAAAAAAGGAATTCTGCGCACTCGACTCTTCAAGCATCTCGCGCATTGCAAACCCCTGTCCTGCCATGTGGGCGCTTGGACCTGAGTGGGTAAGTGGAATGATTAAACCCTCAAGGACTTTATCCCTGCTTGCCATATTTAGCACTCGGCATCTTGGCGGCTATAGCAATGACTTGGAACCGCTTGGCTCTATCCCACCTAGGCATGCAAAGCCGGGGCTCCGACATTTGATAAAGTAATATTCGCACAATGGTTCTGGACAAGCTCGTGATGAGAATATCCCGGGCTCAACAGGGGGTTACAAGCAGGGAATATGAATTCTAAACGACGGGCAAGAGAGGGTGAGTTTGAAAGGCAGTGACAACACCACGAGAAACCAACTTCATTAGTGGACCATGATTCTCGAACCTCACCCAGCAGGTGCAGGTGCAACCATAAAGGAGAATACGGGCACCTAGAGTACTCTAGCGCACTTCGGCTGCCATCGCATCTGTTTGGTCTGCCGCGGATCTCGTCTTCGAGAGCACCAGCCCTGTCCGCAGGCAATGGGACTGGTCAATAGTAGCCTTGTTGAACGTCGAGCCATACGCGGCATATTGTTGTTGGTCGATGCACTAGGCTGAGTTCGGATTTGTGTGTGGCCACATCCGGTTAATTGGAAATCAGAACACTCTCATCTTGATTCTGGTAGTGTGACCTCGGCTCGTCGCCTGTAACCCAGGGATAAGAGGTGATGCAACAGAACCGCAGGAGTCAATTTCTGGTGCATAAACCGAGGCCCATCTCCTAACAGAAATGTAGCGAGTGTGGTGATCAGCAGGGACCAAATTGGTTTTCCTGCTCCGCCAGCACTTACTTTCGTTCGTAAGGACCGAATAAATGAGTTGGGGCTCGCCGCACCAACGTTGCCCTAGGTTGGTTCGTTGTTCCCTTGGAGGATTCCCTTTTTGGGCCGACTGCAGGCCGCGCCAACCAACCAGAGAAGGAGGTTCTGGTGCCGCTCAACTGACGGACGAGGGTCATTGCAACCAGCCCATTGCCTGGATGCATTTTGACACGGGTGACGCATGATGGATGGCCTAGGCCTGAGCAAGACAACGAATCGCGCTTCCTACTTCTCATCGGTAACCTAACTACCAAAGACTAACTTCTCACCGGTCCAAGGCATCATGCCACTGCCATTCTCTTACTCATCTACGGCTATAGATCGTTCGTGCATGCCAGGGATGCGTCTCGGGGGAGAAAGATGCAGCGCGGGTACGGGACGGAATACAACGCAGTCCGACATATGATGGCTTCTTTTAGCAACAGATGTTTCTTTGTACCATTTAAGCCACACAATCTTCATGCTCGAACACGACGTTTGAGGAATACTCACAATGATTCGATGGTTTCCAATCTGTGAGGAGGCTGTGCGGTACCTGGTCGCATATGGGCCGCATACGGGTAGCATCAGCCGATGAGAACTTCAGAGCCTCCTTGCACATTGTAGACCGATTGAAACGTTTCGATGCGAACCTCCTGTTAATTTCTCGTGGACTCCAGGTGATTCTGCCTGAAAACTGTTTGCCACTTGGCTGTTCAACGGATTCCGTTTATCGCAACTGAAGTGAGAGGGGCCCCCATCGCACTTCGACACAAATAGCACGCTGTGATACTGTGGATGCAGCAGCGAGGCAATCAGAAATCTTGGGGGCGGGACTCTCTGCATTAGCCCACGTGGCATGTCAACTCTAGCGTCGAGCTGTCAAACTGTTGCGGGCCCGTTGTCGCTTCCAAGGATCTCTCGTGGGAGTAATATGTAAAAGTTCTCGAAGTAGCGGAGTCTCGATAGAGTCTGTCCCCAGTAGGCTGCCAGTTGCAAAAAGGCGGGGACAGGGAGTTGGCGTTGAAACAACAAGGATTCTCGCCGTTCCTTTCGGCTGGGACGCTTCTCATTAGTTGAAGAAGTCTCTAGTTGTATGGAAGTGGATATTTGATTCCCAGAGCTGGGGTTCATGACCTGTAACCCATTTTCTGGGTCCAGTGGCCTCAACGGCATGGGAATTGTACGATGTAGAGAGTAACGACGACAAGTCCGAAACCTGCAAGTGATATTTTCGTAATCGGATGTAATACGAACCCGCAGATCTGGACCTGAAATTTCTGCCCGACGGCTTGGGCCGTGTTCTCATGTTCGCTAGGCCTGCCAGCCATTCGGAGTGGTGCGTGCCATATTATAGGTCGCGTTTGCTCGCTCTGATTGGCGCTTGCTGTGCCCATTTGCTGCTTGGATGCCACTGAGTGCCAGGAGTAAACTCGCGCAAGAACCACGGCTCGTAGTAGATTATCCAGAAGGAGATTGGAACTGGAACCGGAACTAAGCTCTCCAGGGCTGTCTGACGTAGTGAAGGGGTCTGCATTGTCGTCAGGTAGAGTAAAGGAGCATCGATTACATAACTGCGTTTCATCAACCCGCAAATCGGGCAGGTCGGACTAATTGGGGACAACATTTCTTCCTAAAATGCGAGTGGACTGTTTTCACGCGACGAAGCTTGCTAGCTTTCGCATACTTTATTGGCGGTGAGTTTTGACCAAGTGAGAAGGTTTGCTGCCGTCTCATCGTCCCGGGCAAAACTCTGACGAGGGGTTCTCCTGGCAATTGCCAATCGCTCAATCCACCCCAGGTCAAATGATGCTTTCCTGCTCTGGGAAGACTCGTTGGATACCTCAAAGCTTGATGCACCCGACCGTGCCTGCCTGGACATATTTGGCTGGGCGGTGCTCGGTCAATCAAAGTACCGAAAGAACCTTGGGGAAAAGCGCCCTTCAATTTCAAGACCAAGGCGGCTCCGTCAAGCGAACCTGTTGGAAACTGTTCAGCTCGTTCTTCCAAACAAAGCACCACCAACATCCTGTTTGCCGACCCTGACCTTTGCAAAGCGCAAAGCGCAAACGAGCCACTCTGGATTGGCTTGACGCCCAATGCCCAGCTCATCTTCGACCATCGTTACTTGCATGCAAATTTAGCCAACGGAAATTGCTTGCGATGTGGCACACTGCAACGAGATCTTATTCGCAGGACAATGTGCGATGATTCTACTTTGCGGTTCCTCTATTGCTTTCACATGACAGCCTGATCACGTCCCTTCTGAGGCCGGATTGCAGAATCTCGGAACGTTTTGGAAGGGCGCCACTGTTTCTCGACAGATCAATGTGACGTGTTTAAGCGATACTTCACAACGAGCATCAAAATCTCACACCGGGTCGTTTGTTGTCCTTCGGCCGGACCCTTCGGCTATTTTGTGTTTTTTTTTCGAGACTCAACCTCTACTTCTTGTCACCCATCACACCTACTTTCTTGCCATGATTTCCCCGTCAAGTTCTCCAAGTACTGGCAAGAACCGCCCTCTCTGCCGCCCATGCCATCCATTGATTCCCAAGCATCATTGGAATTTTGACACTGCCGTGGCCCAGCTACGGCCATGCGGATAGCGCCAAAGTTAACTTTGGCTTGGAACAATACCAGCTCTCCCAGTTTCAAATGGAGTCCGCACTATCAAACTCTACCACATAATTGACGGCCTTATATCATCTGAAAACTGGAGCGCGCTGGACCCCAGCAACTTGGATGTACATTGCTGCTGTATATCACGTTAGAAGTATATGTGCAGCAGGGATAGATGCTGGTCCGGCAATTTGATCATGGTAGGGACTCGGCGACCGGTAAAGGGACGGGACCACACCACCTGATCCATGTCCGGTTCTGGAAGCTTTGGAAGTCAATATACATACACGCTCCAAGCTGCAAGTTAACAAGACTAAACACGTTCCTCCGCCGGCTCCTCTCTGTGCTGCCAATACCCAAAGCAGCTCTTGGTAGACTCTTTTCCGTGTCTCCCGTCTACCTTGTCTTGTACTTATTTGTCAGCGACTTACGTCCAATCACTGGTATGGGGCCGCAGTCAAGAGATATTTGACAATCCAACCTGACTTACATAGAGTTGCAGCCTACCTTTCCTCAACTCGGACAGTCCCACAACAATATCCCGTCATATCCATCGCCTTAACTGAGGCCGCTACTGGTGTCAACACTTAGTTAGGGATATCCCATGCACAGATTATGGAGTTCTTTTCGGGAGCCATCCGCCTACCGTCATAGGGTCTGGGGTAGTAATCAGACTAGATTGTGCTACTCCGGTACAAGTCGTGAGCTTCCCGCTTGCCGTTGTTTCAACAAAAAAGTATCCATACAAAGTTAGGTGTTGGGTACACCTCACAGTCGTCATCCTCATCTGCTGTCTAGTCACAAAACCGAACACGCCCTGTTCGCCGTTGGCAGCCCTACAAACACGACATCCGTCTCAAAGATCTACGTTTCCGCTGCAGATCCGAGCCTCACGGCAAACAAAGAAAGTAGAGTGGATCTCTGTCGTCTGGTATAGGCATTCCGAATTCAACGACTCTGCCTGTGGACCATAAAAGCCCTGTGCTCTCGTTACATGTTACCGACTATTCCTTCCACTCGACAGAACATACTCTTCACTCGCACACTCACATCACACCGCGGCTAATCATTCAAACTTCAAACTTCAAACTTCGGACTTGAGATATCACCTTCACCTCACATCAAGTAATGTCACCCACCTCTCAAGTCTCTGCGGTATATCTGACTGAGCACACAGGAAACGGAATCACCATCCTCACCCACTCAAGGACATCATCATGGCCGTCGCCACCAACTGCGCGCACTCCTTCAAGATGATCAAGTCAGACAACACACTTATCCAATGGACATGTCACCTATGCCACTCGGGACCGCATTGGTGGATCTTCGAGTGCCAATACTGCAAGCTGAAGACATGCCGGGCCTGCGCCCACAATGTCTAAGAATGGACATCAATGGGAAAGCAAGGTGTGTTCGGGCCGTGGTAAGTGAGTGCAGCTAACCGCCCTGTTCCATATCTTGGTGCCTGAGCTACTACTACCCATAGCCGTGGCCATACACATGCACATACCAATCTTGCATGTTAATGTATCAGATCTTTGAGGGCTGATTGTCTACAGCATGCCGTCTCGCCATCTTGAACGCCCATGGCAAAGGGAAAGCTGGTCATTGGGACCCTCTCCCCCCTCCCCCACTGGACGAAATCTACAAGGAAGACGATGAGCAGGAGGCCTGTACCGCAAAATCCACACCAACCATTCTACGTCGTCCAGAATGAGGTACTAGGGACATTCTCTAATGACGGAATACACCTAAGTGGACGCGTTTTGCCAAGCGTCACGGAAGTACCCCTGTGGCCTTCCCCTGCCGGCAGTGTTCAACATCTCATTTTGGCCGCTATATCCCGAAGCAACGTCTCTTTCCATGGGCACAACTGTCATCTGAATTTCGTTTTCATTTTTATCCACCATCTGCAAACCTATTGTTGCTTGGTGAACCGGTCACCTTGCATCTTTCTTATTCTTTCCCTAGACTTCGGCTAAGATATCATTTGTTTTCTGGCGCACGTCAACGCATGCGAATGCAACTATCACCATCGCTTGTGGTCGTGTAAGGTGTTTGTCATTCGTTTCCTACCAAGACCGTTTTTTCCAGGAGTTCAAGGGGCTGGGGGTGGCGGAAAAGAGCGATACACCCCGGGATGGACCTTCGCACCAATGGGAATCATGTCATAGATCGTTTTCAGGCAAGGAGCAAACAGATTCGGCAAATCAGGACAAAAAAGGGGGGGGGAAAAGGAAAAAAAACATTGTGGACCATGCGGTATTGGTCGGGCTTGGACTTGTTAGGCGCATGTTCTCTCTCTTTCTTTATCTTTTGATGCTGGGTCTCTTTTGGCTCTCGTTTACTTCTACTGCGTTTGGTGTTCAGGTTGGTGGTTTGTTCGGGGATAGTTTTCTACCAAACGGGAAAGATACCCTGTCCCTGGGTACCCCTTATGATACCTCGCATTTGGCCTCTACGCAGGGCACATGCACAGAGCACGGGGGCAGAAAATACTTGTACGCAAGTACCAGAAAATGAACACAGGTTATTGTCATGATGAGGACTGGACTTCATTCAGAAAGGAAAGGAAAATGAAACTTTCTTCGAGTCCTAATTCGAACTATTGCGTGCCACGTTGCCATTGTCCAAATGTTTGGCCTATTTTCTTTTGAGGAGGTTCAGGTTACCTTGACGTCGGATTGAGGCTGGCTGTACGACAAGCTGAGAGCCTAATTCCCAATTCATTGTTCACGTTCTTTCTACATGGGTTTGGGTTGGGCGGCAGTGGCGGCGGCAGCGGTGCGGAGTACAGGAAATCAGGGGCTGCAAACGCCGTTTAACATGCCATGCTCTTATTAGCCTTGATACATTTTTACTCATGCCAGGGCCCAGCGGCATGTGCCTGCCCAAGATGTGACATGCAAAACAATGCAACCACTACGGGCAGCCGCAGCAACCTTGATAGGCAACAGGGAAAAAAGACATACAACAAAACCAAGGATGACCTGGCATTCATTCTCGATAGACGGATTGAGTGATGGTCGTGCTTAACTCCCACGTCACATCCTCATCTACATGTACATCTACAAAGGGCTTAGCGACGGCAGACGGATATCGACATATGCATTGACATGGCGCCAACCAGGTTGTTTGGGCCATGTGGCGTGCAAACCGACAAGTTGGGGCGTGGTGACACAACAGCCTTGCGGTGGGCAGCCTATAGCCTAGCGAAACGCTTTTATCTCACCTTAGACCTGCATGTTCACCTAACGTTGCGTCGCTTCGTCGCTTCATCTCAAGCCATGTCACATTCGTTCGTTACCCGACCGGCCCCCATGTTCCGCCTTCCGCGCTGCCGCGTGTATTTTCTTTTCGTCCCAAGACCCGACACACATGGTTGGGATAAGTCCATGCTCGGACGCCCCGATGGTGGCGGTAAGTGGGAGAAGGGGGGAGTGTTCCGGGGCACGCAACCGGACGGGAAGCAGCAGAGACATGGGACGAATGAATAAATGATATGATGGAAACCCTTTCAGTCGCCCAACGATCTCACAGCCGAAACGGCTTCGCTGGCTCCACTCTATTCACATGACTTGACATCTGACTTCTGACTTTCCTGCCCTACGACTAGCTTAGGATTGCTTAGGCCAGCTCCAAACGGACCTCTCGTCGCTCCGCCTTGTCACGGTTACCTCGTCCCCCACGGCAACGTTAGCAACAAGAGTTGTAGTAGTAGCATTGCCATCTTCAGCATCGCCTGCCACCAGGAACGCATACCGGCCAAAGACCGGCGACCACTTGTTTCCCGCGTCGACCCTGCGGTCGGCCATGAGTTTCTTCAAGACATTGCCCGCCTCACCGTCCGCCGTTCGGCCCTTGTCGTAGTCGATGTTGATGGACATACACCGTCCACAGTTTTCTGTTACTTGGAGCTTGCGCTTGTTGTCCCCGATGTGCAGCTCCGACCACCAGTCCTCGTCCCACTTGTCTATGCCGTCCACCACGACGTTTGGCCGAAATCGCATCATGTCCATCGATTCGCCCTCGGGCAGCCGCGAGCTGACGTCGTCGAGTGAGGCTTCGGTCGTGATGAGGAAAGGCGCGCACTCATTGAAGTGAAGCCAGTCATCTGCTGGCTCTTGTTCTCCTTGAGACCCCGTGACGTATGATGCCATCGATGATAGCCATCCCTTATTCATTTCCCTGTTCTGTCCCGTGGTCTTAGTCGTAGACCTAGGCGAAAACAACACCTTGCGCTTCCCGTCCCCAATGTACACCAACGCCGTCTCGTATCCCAGACACGAAGTGAACCACCCGTCATGGGGCTGCCCCATTCTGTAAGCTCGGGTCGTACTCCCGTACAGTTTGATTACCACTGGTTCCAGACCCTCCACCGCCGGCTTCAGGGGAACCCTCAACGTTGTGCTCTGCTCCAGTGTCGGCGCTATCAGCGGCGGCTCCGGCTTGTGATACGTGACCAGGATTTCGTCACCGATAATTTCTTGATGGCATAGTGTGCACTCGGGAAAGTACACCGTCTGCATACTCTTCAGACTGCCGTCCTCTTGCACCTTGCATAGCATGAAACGCCGGTCATTTTCGAGACCTCGTTGCTGAAGTTGAGCACTCTGCACCGACATGGGCCGCAGCGCTTTAATGGGGTAAACGTAGAGCTGGGGTCTCGCGTCAATGCTAATTACTCTAGCTGTTTGGGAGGGTAAACGTCTCGCTTACCCGTGTGATCTTCATATTCGGCGATTTGGACTATGCTGTTGGTGGAATGGCGGTCTGCTCTATAGAATAAATATTGTAGATGGGTCGTTTGTGTAAGGTTATGATAAAAAGTACACTTTCCACGACTCAAGAACCGATAACCTCCCTGCTGTTAGTTCTGCAACTCAGACTAAGGCAAGTCAAATCACATTATCGGGCATATCATCAGACTAACTAGTCACCTACTCCACAATCTGGCAATCCTTGCCTCTTTAGCACAACTTTGCCTTCGCGATAAAACAGGCGGCGCATGTTGTCTGTATTGGATTCCAACCGATCAAGGAACTTGGTGATGTTCTATAATCGCGGCACAACGTCCAGTACGCATGTGTTTCGATTCCGGAGGGGTGGAGAAACACCTTTGCATCCTCCACTACTTGAACTTGCCACAACTAGTTCGAATCTACAAGACGACAACTGGGATCTTACTAAAGCAAATGAACATTGACTTAGCATTGATCATCCTGTATTTCGCACTTAGTCAGCCACTTGAAGGGAGAGATTTGCTTAACGGATATGCATGATACCGGTCTTGGTCAGTTGTGGTTGCTACATCTCTCACCCCTTCACTCTATGACTGCGATGTGCAGACTGAAAGATGATGTTTTAGATCGTATAGCAAACGGCGATTATCAGAAGGCATTCCACTTATTATTACAGGCTCTTCTTAAAAGAGACCACTCAAGTTTTGCAACTCTTGTATGAGCTCATAAACAATCCCAAGTTGGCCCCGAGGGATCCCTAAATACTGCAACGCGTGCCTGACTGGCTCGTACCCCTCCACACATGAGGCCACAACTTCCCACACTTTTCCTTTTTCCCGTTCCACTCCAAAATTCTGCCGAGTTCAGGTGGAGGTGTGGAAGTGAGCCTTTTAACTTTATGTCGATAAGGCTGGTCCCTTTTCATCAGACTCGTGTTTCTCCAATGGAATGTAGTCTTCAGGGCTTGTGCTTCGTCTTGACCAGCGCGCTATATGGTCTCTCCTCAGTGTTCAATGCTTGATTTTTTTGGTTTAAAAAAGACCCAATCCTCCTTTGGCGCAGGTGATGCGTTCAGTTGTATGGCCTTCCGCACAACCACAACACGGGGTGTTTCGATACGGCAATACCTAGCGTCCATGCATTACACTGTTAGTAGCTGAAGGAAGACTAGAAAGGACGAAATGACATCAGCTTACCTTAAGTAATGGTAGCTAATAGTCTTGATCTGAACATGGCTTTTCATACCGTACCATATTAAGATCTTTGGCGAAAACTGTAAGCGATGACCAGAGAAGTAAAGAAGCGGTAATATCAACTTACCTTAGTGACTATTACGAATGATTCTGACCTGAACATGCCCGTTCATGTTGCTTGTGCCCTTTTCTTTCTTTTTGTAGCCTCTGGGATAATCAATTATTTTCTTGTGTCACTTCTTTTGTGTGGTAGCTTCACCCGTCGTGCTTACTCAAGAGGTAGAGGTAGAGTTGCATCGAGCTCTTTTACATACATAGTCATGTCCACTTCGGCAACTGAAGTCTGGATATCTTCCCAAGGCTTCTATGGGGGCCAAGAAAATCCACGTAAGCGGCTGGTACTACTGAACCAGGCATCTTAACGTCAATTCCATCTACAACCTGGGCATGAATGGTGTAGCCAACTTAACCACCGATGTTCTTGTACTGTAAGAAATCTAAGATGGGGCTACAGTTCGATAGTGTTCTCACGTGAATTATCAAGAAGTCCTGCCTTGCTCAAAATAAAAGTGCTTAGTGTTGCTCTTGATTTGTGTTAGTATTGACACAGGTGCACAAGGTACTGCAGGCAAAGGAAGCCATACCGAAGATGTATTCTCAGTGAAGAAACTTTCTATTAGCATACGCGGCCAAATAGAAACCTCGCGTGGTATCGGAGCTGTAGTCGCTCTTTATTCCACGGCAGGGCTCAATAGTCTTAAGTGTGTCACACCCTTAAAAAGGCTTAACCTTAGTAGACAGCCTAGAAAACTCTACGAACGTAGTATACCATCTTATCACTGGTGAAGTACCCTTGATCTGAAATTACTACCCTCTTATCATGTTAGTCATTTTAACACATTGAACAGGCGTCTAAAGATTGGAAATGGTGAGCTGCTCTTGCCCCGTGATAGTCTGGCAATGCTCAGTCTATGCCGATGAGAGTTTACTGGTAGGTGCTTTCCAATTGTGTGTCCCTCGTTTCGGCTTTTGCTTTGCGCTTCTTCCATAGCTTGTAGCTATCCTTCTTGATGACGAAGGGTTTGCTTTGGATGTTTTTTGGCAGTTATTCGGGTCTCAGCATAAATCGAAGCTTAAATTGATCTTTTATGCAATGGGTAGCTACACAGGGCCGATGCATACCCAAGGGGATACGGACTCAATTTTGCTTACTCTTTATATTATCGGACTGTTGTCAGTCGACAGAGACAAGATAGCAAGATAAAGCTGAAATGGTTCTGGTGGGGGGCAGAGGCGGCAAGTTGCCTGGGACACCTGGCGTACTGTATGTAGTAAGACGAAAATGAGTAGAGAGGACCAGGAGGGGGTGGAGGTTGGTCTCCCTGGCTCCGAAGAGTTCATAATAAAAAATACATCCAGTCACTTAACTGAATCCTGAATTTTGATGTTGGGGTTGAGTCTTCTGCCCAGTCGTTGCTTAGGTACCAATACATGGCAAAGTAGTTTCTATTGCAATTTTAATCCAATTTATTTTCTTTTTTTCCTTGAGCGCTAAATGTGGCTCTATGATGCCGACCTATACGGTAAGCCCATTAAATGATTGCATTGGGTAGCCTCTCGAGCTTGGATGAGTGAAGTGCCAGTCCAGCCAGTCTCAATCAATCCGCTTGCTCAAATAAGCAAGATCAAGGTTAGTGGTGTGACCGTCCTCATGTATGTGTACAGCAGCCTTCTCCTCAACATGAAATCGCTTATAACCGCGTCGTGTATACCAGTCCTCATTCGAGACCTAGCGCGGGAATAATCAGCGTACTTGTAATCCACAAGCTTTGGATCGATCGGCTACCTTTCGTTCTGGAAGACCCCTATCCGCATATAGAGCCTTGAGGACATCATCGGGGATCTTAGCATCTTTAGAAAGAGTATCTAGGACTATATATTTGGCGTTAATCGGTTCCTTTGCTGCAAGGGCCTCGAGGCTGTCCATGGTGGCTGCGCCGAATCCGCCGTTGTGGAGTTGGTATGAAATATAGAGCGAATGTACCCACACCACTTCCCGCGGCGGTAGGCCGAATTTCGCATCTTCCTCGGGTGAGTGGACATCAAGGGCCACATGCCCAATGGGAATGAATCGCTTGTTGCTTGGCTTCCGCTGGACCAGGCGGATCTCTGGGGCCGTATCACGGAGCGGAGATGATTCCTAAACCGACGTACGTCAACATACTCAAGTACACTCAAAGCATGAGAGGGCCCGTCGTGCCTTTGGGTACTTTCCAGTATGGGTTTCTATAAGCTTGTCGCGATCCGGGACCTCGGCTGTGAGGTTCTAGGCCAATCAGCGTATGTGCGACTCCCTAAATCATTGCTAACTTACAACTCAGTATAACATTCTTCCCCCTTTCTTGGCAGACTCAGCCCATGATGGAACCTCGACGGCTCTCCAACCATAAGCCACGCGCTGGTCGTACATGCGGGTGACATGCTCCTCGGAGGTATAATCCCACGGTATCAACTCGACTTTCCAGGCATGCTTGGAAGACATTATGAAGTGTCAATGCAGTGGAGGAAGCAAAGCGACTGACCCGGGTATGCTACCTGGAGGTATATCTTGCCCCCGTGATGGTGTTTATTGGAGGTACTCTCGAGAAATAAGGAAGGAGTTCGTGTGATTCAATATGACTCATTGCAAGTATTTGCACCAAGTAGAGCACTGCGCTAACCGATAACGGGCTGCAGTGGGAGAGATGCTCCATTGTGTACAAACGAATGGTCAGATTTCAAATCGATCTTGCTATAATTGGAAACCGTACAGCGGAATCCACCAGGGTAAGCAATCCTCCTACCGGCCGGTAGAAAGAGCTCCATGCCTAGGTATGCTCATAGCCGATTACGATATCAGTTGCTTCACGGAATTGACACATTTTGGCGCCTTGGGTCGTCATGAGGTTCTGCGCCCTGGCATTGTATGATCAATGGTATGGAAGTTGCATGTTACCAATAGAGTTCTGAAGATTTCAAGGAGCCCTGTAAACACAGAACCAAACCGGCGACTAGCGTTACGCAGTTAGGCGAATTTCGGAAACCCCGATTACAATGCCAGGATGGGTGCGAAGACGTCTACCAAACGAAAACACATGGCGAATGGCCAGCGCTAGAAGTACTTGCGAGTATGTAACACAGCTTAATTTGACGTCTCCGGTTAAAGATAAGCTCGTCGAGAAATTAGCCAAATCGGTGTCCCGGCCAAATCGGTGTCTAGCACTAACTTAGGTTAGTAAGCTCAAGCAAATCCGAAATAAGTAGGGTGTGGCACGGGTATAGCGTCTCATGAAAACGGCTGCCTGATTTTTGGCGGGCCTACCAAGCCTCTGGTCCTCAGATCAAGCCAGCAAAGGAACACCAAATATCTGCTTCTCAGCGCAACTTTGTCCTGTCGTGCAGCCAACAACGCCAACATGGACGCCTCAGGTCAGGATCGGGACGTGCTGGTTCAACAAGCCTCTGCAGACCTCATTGCTGACTTCAGCCGCTGTTTGGGTCCTTTTCTGAGGAGACATGACGGACAGCTGCGAAGCCGGGTTCGAGTACGAGATACTTCAAGACTCATTGACCAGGTATGAAACCCCCTGTTCGCACGCCTGCACCGGCACCGCACCGCTCATACAATATTTTCAAGGACCTGGAATCCTTTCAGGAACTGCCTCAACTGCTTGACCCGCATCTCCCAAAGTTCCTTCCTGCCTTGGCTGAGGCGTATATCGAGCATCTCCAGGACCGCCGGAGATCTAGCTTACTATCCACCCGTTCTCAGCTCCTAGAACCAATTTCACATGCAATCTGCAGGATCATCTACGCTTTTTGCAAAATCCGTGGAGAGAAGGTCATTGTCAGGTTCCTCAATGTCGAAACCAAGTATCTCGAACTTCTATTGCATGCCATTGAACGTTCGGAACGGCCAAGTGATGCGACGAAAGAGACTGTCTCTGCCATTTCGTGGAGCTGGCATGAGAGATATGTTGTCTTGCTATGGCTCTCGCAGCTGTTCTTCGCCCCCTTTGACTTGTCCACTATTTCGTCGGGCGACGTTGACGACGCAAATCGCACGATGATCCCAGGTCTTACATGGCCATCTCAAATCCCTGGGATCGCTCTGAGAGTTATACCACTGGGAATCAGGTACCTTGCATCGCCAGGGAAGGAGAGAGATGGCGCAAAAGCGCTACTGGTACGTTTAGCTATGCGAAAGGACATGCAGGAGATTGGCATCTTGCAAGCACTTGTCCAATGGGCCATCTCTACTCTCAGCCCAAACAAAGGAGGCCCCGTCGAGTCTCCTTATTACTATATCGGCAGCATAGCCTTCCTGGCTGGGGTTCTGAGAGCAGCGGCCGACACGTCAATCATGGACCCGTACTTGTCCTCCATCTATTACGCTACTCAAGCCATCGCTTCGCAGGACAATCCTGTGTTCAAGGTCATTTACGGCTCAGCATTGGCGCGGAAGACTATGATCAAGGTCACACGGTCTGTGATCACTCTGGTACTTCGAAAACCGCGGCAAACCGTGGAGGATACCGAGATGGTCGAGAACACTATAGGCTGTCTTCTAGAGAGCCTAGCCGACAACGACACCCCGGTCAGATTCGCTGCTAGCAAAGCCCTCAGCGTCATCACGCTGAAGCTGGATCCCGAAATGGCCTCTCAAGTGGTCGAGGCTGTCCTGGAATCGCTGAATCGAAACGTGCTAGTGATAAAGTCTCAATCAGGTGCAAAGGGCCCATCAAGACGTGATCTGACCGCCGTTGACCCTCTGGAATGGCATGGCCTGATGTTGACACTAGCCCACCTTCTGTATCGGCGATCACCTCCACCCGAGAACCTCACCGACATAATCCACGCCTTGCTCATGGGGTTGGCTTTCGAGAAGCGAGGAACATCAGGTGGATCTATCGGTACGAATGTGAGGGATGCTGCTTGCTTTGGCATATGGGCAGTAGCAAGGCGATATACCACCGCTGAGCTGGTTCGAGTGCCGACGAAGGCCGTTCCCATTGCCTACGCCCATGCGTCTCCTACCTCCATTTTGCAAGTCATTGCCGCGGAATTGGTCGTTGCAGGATCCCTCGATCCAGCAGGCAACATTCGCCGAGGATCTTCAGCTGCGCTTCAGGAGCTGGTAGGGAGGCATCCGGACACGATTGAGCAAGGCATTGCGCTCGTACAGGTTGTCGACTACCACAGCGTGGCTCTTCGGTCAAGAGCAATCCACGAGGTAGCTCTGCAGGCTACCCAACTCTCACCTCAGTACGGTCATGCGTTGCTAGAGGCACTGCTCGGTTGGAGAGGTATGGCAGACACAGATGCAGCAGCACGCAGGGTTGCCGCTGCTGCGTTCGGTACTTTGACAGCAGAGAACGCGCAGTTGCCATTGTCGGAATCGTCACTCCGCTTCACTGAATTAGTGGACCTACTTCTTGAGCGCATTCGGTCTCTTCAAGTACGACAGGTCGAGGAACGGCACGGCCTCCTCCTCAGTCTGGCTGCCATCGTCAACTTTCTTCCGATACTCCTCAGAGGCACGAAAGGTGAACCGGCCAGCCAATTCGTGGATAGCTTGCCGATCCCGAAGCTTGTAGACGGCCTGGTGGAGATCCTGAATGACTGTAGGACAACTTCTTATCGGAAACCTGAACTGATTGCAGAAGCTGCCAGTGTACTGGTAATCTCGTTTCATCCAGTTCTTTTGCTGTATATTGCATCACGGATGCCCACTGCTGCAGAGGGATTCCAAGCGGGAAACATCGTCATTGTGGAAAGGCAGACAGAGGCGCTGCTCAACTCGTTACGTATCATAGATGGTTCAGAACATGATCGGCCATCGAAACTGGATGCGATGGTGGATGCGATGGAGCACACAGTGAACAGCTGGCTGGAAATAAACGAGTCGGAGGTCATGGAGGTTGCAGCACATGCTGCGCTGGTGTCATTGCTGTATAGCAGGTCAACAGAACGTGCCCGCATCATTCGAAGCTGGGCGGACAAAATCCGGTTCGCCACGAAATCTCGAAACAGGCACGGGAATGGGTATTTCCATGCTCTGACCGAAGCATACCATATCGTCTCTACATCTCTTGATAACTCGATAGGTCCGAAGGACATCACAAAGGCCCTCGCAGATCGCTGGGCATCGGACGATGATGTTGAGACGCGAGTAGCGATTCTACAGTGTCTTGCTGACCAAGCCATCCTCCGGGAAAGAGTGTCGGATTTCCTGCCGATGATATTGGATGGGTTGAACGACTACACCACGAATGCTCGAGGAGATGTTGGCTCACATGCTCGACTCGAGGCAATTAGGGCGACGAGAACATTGTGGGAGGTCCTAAAGAAAGGAGGTGAACCCCACCACACGATCCATGAGATCACGCCGGTTTTGTTACCTCGGATACTTCGCCTGGCGGCGGAAAAGCTCGATCGCGTTCGTGCGGAAGCCCAGCCAGCGCTGGCTTTGCTCTTACTCCCCAGGTTCGGCTCGAATCTACGCATCTGAAATCCAAGTTACCTTGCTAATGTTTCTAGCCATGCCGAAATATTCACTACCTCATCCTTCTCCTCCAAGGGCTACTTTGCATGCCTATTCGGTCTATGTAGACCAGACCGGTTTCTCGAATCAATAGCAGAGAGCTGGAAACTCAGCGAGACGGACTGCACGTCAAGCTTACTAGCCGGCCTTTCAACTGCAGCAGACACGGGAAACGAAGATCTAGTGATAGCTAGCCGTGCAGCCGTGGCCGAATTCTGCGAGCAATCCACCGACCACATCTCGCAGATCTGCATGGCTCTAATTAATAACCTCAAGCTGCACCAGGGTCAGGACCGGGTCATCGTCCCTACTTTGGAACTGCTAGCGTATCTGTTTCAAATCGGTATTATGCAGAGGTTCAAGGGCCTCAATCTGCGCCAGCTGTGTCTTCTGACACAGAAGGCTGGCTACAAGTCAGGCAATGTGCGCAAAATCGAGGCCTGCATCAAAGTCTACGGGGGCGTCGGGTCGATGACCGAAGAGGAGGACACTGCCAATGCTGAAATGACGTCCGAACTTGGCCTGATGAGGCAGGAGGGCATCGCCGAAGCGAGAAAGAGGCTAGGGGCCTTGCTGATGCACCCTTGGCCTCGGGTCCGCACGCTGGTCGTAGACGAGCTGTGGGGTTCCACGTTGTTGTCGGAAAAGACGGACGTTTCAGGAAATAGAGTCGCGAAGCTGATGAGTGTCGACTGGGGCAAGGCTGACAAAGCTCAGATCAAGAACATGGTGGGGGAACTGGGGCTTGTCTAAAAGAGGCCTCATTACAACTGGCATTACGGCGGTTAGAGTTGACGGACGGTATCGCATCTCAAGTGGAGTTAAATGTAGAGTAGATCTCGGCAACTTGGTAACCGTCACGACTCCACAGCCCGAGTAGCTATGTCGAAGGCGGTAAGGAAAGGAAATCGTGAGGTAAACGAAAGATATGGGAATGTCACCATAGGGTATGATACGAGGGGAAATGGAGGATGTCGATCTTCTCCCGGGCATGCGAGCAGTCAAGCTTCTGAATCCTGGCTGAGGATCCGCCAATCACAGTCTCATGCACTGTCGCCAGGAAAGCGCACACGCAGCATTTGATACTGCTGCAGTCCATCGCCGCCGAAGCCTCGCTGTCAGTTTATGGCACTCGAGAACACACACAGAGGCCAAGACTGCCACTTTTGGAAGCAGCACCTGTTGATGAGTTGAGCCCGGGGTTGGAAGGGCCAAAATCGGAAGAATGCGTCCAATCATAAGGCTCAAAGGTGGTTCTTTAGTGAGAGATAAGGTCACATTGCCCCTTGCTGCTACTATACAAGAACAACGAACGAAACGCAAGGTAGCAGTTGCACCAAGTCAGCTGTCATGTAGACCGCAACGAACCCTTTGCAGCATGCCTTCCGCAGAGCAGCATCATGAGCCCCGCTCCGAAAGTCAATCTTGGCCTCATGTTGCCTGAATGGCATTGCAGCGGAACGATCCATGTCTGTCCATGGACGAAGGGTGGTGCATTTGTCTTGGTGTCATAGTAGAAGATGCAGCTTGAGCCACACGTATCACATGCAATTGCCAGTGGCGGGCAGGATGGATGGGGTAAAAGTACGAAACACTCCGCGCCATTATCATTGATGCGTCGGGTGTACGGATTACGGCAAGAAAGGCCCGAGATAGGTTAGCGGGCGCATTTGTGTAATTGAAAATCTGGGCGCCTGCGAGATGTCTGATTTGCGATAAGAATACGATCACTTCGAGAGAAATGATCTGCTCGTGCCCCGGAGTGCTCGGAGAGCCGGCACAAATTGCGGAGCTCATTCCGGTCGTCATGTCCGCAAGGGAATGGCGTAAAGCATGAATGATACCCTACGTGTTCGCCTTATCATAGGGAACGAGAAGTCAGCCTGCAAAATGGCAATCTCACCACCTTGAATCACCCACTCGCCGAAGGTGGAGATGGGAAGGAGGGGCATCATCCTGTCTGACTTTGGGACGTCCCAATCCACCGGACCTATCACGCCGCGACGCTTACGCTCCAGCCCCAACCCAAGCTGTCTCTGTCAGGAAGCTGTCAACAGATTAGCACAAGTGACCCCCAACTTGCCAACCTCCATCTTGGAACTCGCGATACCACGCTGCAGGCCGTATCGCGATTGCATCGAGCCGCGGGATGGCGGGCGCTGTCGCAAGTCGGACACACGCAACCCTGCGTCGCGTCTTCGACCTCGACATTCCATTCATGGGTCTTGACTTTCTGAGAATGAGGACGACACATTTTGGCGTCTGAAGAAGAGAGATGTTGTCATAGCCGCGTGACAGACCCACGACTTCGGCGCCAACCGTGCAGGAGCTCATCGGTGGGTGGTGCATTCCGTTCCATCAGACGCCCCGGAGCACGCAGAGGGCCTAGACTGCCGTAGTCAGGAAGTGGCTTGTCACCATCCCGCGTTCGGTTGGTTTACTCAAAATTGTCTCGCTTCCCCTTGTATTTACACAGTTCGTACTTCGTGAAGTCCCCTTATTTGCCGAGTCTCGGCTATTTTGACCACAGGCTCCGGTCTTGGAAGGAACGCAACTGCTGCCGTCATTAGTATGGTAACAGACTTCATAACGACGTCACCTGGAAGTCGGCCCTAATTTCACTATACCGGCTGCGGAAAAGGACCAAGAGCCTGTCTAGCTGGCAATTGGAGTGTGCCCGACACTTCGGTTCCCCTCCCTCCACCCACTTTGTGGTAAATTCAAATCATTATCAGCCAGCCTAGGGATGCCCGCGTGACACGACATAGCGCAGCGCAGCACAGAGTACTTTGTACTTTGTACAGCCCGAGAATTAGAACCTTGAAACCCGGCCGACTCGACCATGAAAACGGCCGCAATTGCTGACATCAAATGCGAGAAGGATTGCATCAAGCCAATGGACATCAAGCGCATTGTTCCAGTGCAGCTGATCCAATCAACCTGAGGTCTTATCTGCTCCTTCCCGTCAACTTTCGACGGTGGTTTGTCGTTCGGCCTCCGGAAGCCTGATTGTCTGACGAGAGGGATCCGAGTCGTCTCGAGAATTCGTGTACTATGTATACTTATCGCCAGTCTCTTGTCGACCGGGCCGGGGCGTTTTGGCGACACAGCTTGAAAACCCGATGCGAGACCCGTAAGTCATTTGCTTGGTTGCTATGTACCAGCGCCATCCAATTCCAGACAGCCAAGCGACGGGGGCAAGTCAATTCGGCCAATGTCCCTCGCCGTGACATGCTGGCCTCTGCCTGTCCTCTGGTAAAATCGAAATGCCACTTCTCCGGTCTGGGCGTCTTTACGGCTTGGCAAAACGGTTGTCGCTCCACTTGACGGCGACCAGCAGCCCCAGCAGTTTGCGCAAGCCCAGCTGATAGGGGAAAAGGCAAAACGCATCATTGGAACCTCCCGGTCCCCTGTCGTTATGTCTATCGTATCAGTGGGTGGGAATTGGGGATCAGCCGTCGCCCACGCTAACTCGATGAGCCCGTCTGGGCCGTCTGGGGTCTGCTGGGATCTGCTGGGGTCTGCCTGTGCTGTGAGATTGGTGCGTTGTGCCAGCTCTTGATTTCTCGGAGCCCAGCTGCATGTGTGCACAGAGTGAAGTTCCTAACTCCTACCCACTTTCCTGTACATTACACCAGCATTACCATATTCCTCTTCCATCCCATCTGCTCTTCCCACCGGCGCCCACTCTCCCTGTTCGTCCTCCGAATCACCGCGACCTTGGCCTTGATGTCACTCCGCTGCCATCTCTAGACGACGATCTTGGCAAGTTTTTATCATGCGTAGTTCAACCCCCCCCCAAGTCGCACAGTTCATCTCTTCATCATCATCGTCAATAACACAATCGCATTATTGATGCAACAAGCACACTCGAGAGACCCGTCGCTGGGACACCACAGCCCACCTTACGGACGTCATAAGACCCTTCGACGCCAGGAACCACATCATCCGAGCACCAAGTCTCGTGGGACGACGGGTTTACCTACAACTGTCTTCGTCGTCAAACCACATGCTCGGCCGGCTGATGGATCCATTACCTTCTACGAACCTGTGACATACATACCTGCCTGTCTGGACTTAGCTGGTGGTGCCCTCTCCCTCCCCGCTCGTCCCCTCTACGGAGGTTGACGGGCGTGGTCAAACACGAGCCTGGAAGCATGGCGCTTTATTCTCCGCCGCCGCCGTTGCATGCCTTTGAACGGGACAAACCGACTCTCTTGGTGTGTTGGTGGATAACGCTGTTCTGCACCACCATCATCCTGTTGCGTGTTGCGGGCCGCTTCGTCCGGTCAGAGAAGCTCTTCGCAGAGGATCGGACGGCCGCGCTCGCCATCATTCCGCTCTACCTGCGCATGGGATGTGTCCACGTAATTCTGGTCTACGGCACCAATAATGCACAGATACCGAACGACCTGACCGAGGAGGAACTTCGCATGAAATCTATCGCCAGTGGCTTGGTCCTGGCTAGCCGCATCTTCTATGCGACAACGTACGTCTGATCGTCTGGTCTCTTGTTGTTGTATCTTCTGCAAACCTTATCCCAGCTAGACTTTGCTGCTAACATCAATGGTCCCAAGGCTTTGGATTCTCAAAAGCGCCATCCTGGAATTCTTCAAGCGACTGACCAAAACAACCTGGAAGCGATCTCACGAAATCACTCTCCTCTGGATCCGATGTACGTTGATCGCGACCTTCATTGCTGTCTTGATATCAGATCTCACCGAATGCCGACCCTTTCAACACTACTACCAAGTCTTACCCGATCCCGGTGGCCAATGTCGTCAAGGATATGCTCAACTCCTGACCATGGCGACGTGTAACGTCATCACCGACTTGCTACTGGTCTTCTTCCCGGTATCCATCATATGGCGGAGCCACATGACGGTCAAGAGGAAGGTGCAGCTTGTCCTCCTGTTTTCGCTGAGCTTGGCAGTGGTTGGAACGACACTGTACCGGGTTCCTCATACCATTTGGCAAAATGGCAGCCAGCAGATACGCTCCCTGCTTGCCTCAATTGAGCTTCTTTTTGCCACGGCCGCGGCGAACGCCTTGGTTCTTGGCTCCTTTGTCCGAGATCGCGGGGTGAAGAAGGCTAGGTATAGACATGGCTCCATTGCGGCGGATTCAGTCAACGGATTCTCAAGATCACGAAGACCTACGCTTCAGAGGCATTGGGGCAGCGATGAGGAACTGGTCAGGGGCTTGGGGCTTGGAGTCGACCGCGAGTTGCGCGACTCACCCGAACTTGGAGGACCTATTCCCCAGCGCCAGTACACCCCGGCGGGTCCTATAGGCAAATTTCCCGAGGACATGAGCAGTTGGCAGTTTCCCACGCGTAAAGGAAGCAACGCAGAACGGAGCGACGACTCTTTGTTACCCCACAACCTGACGAGTAGCTCCCGTAGCAATTCTGGGACCACTCCTCGGAAAGTGTCATTCTTCGACGTGGGAGGCTTGCTGCCGGACGAGCAAAACCAAAGCTTGCGGGACAGCTATAACTCTAGTCTCGACCCTTTGTCACCGACCACCTTACACGGAGTGCCCTCTCCTTCTTTTCCTGCGGGGACTACCGGCTTCAGACGCGGATCTCAAGCATTGCTACAGGATTTAGGTGGTTTCCTAAGCCCTTTTGGCGCAAAGTCCAGATCAAACTCCAAGACGAGCGCAACTGGGACCGAACTACAAATGATGCAACAGCATCCGGAAGAGTCCCCCAAACGGCAGGATAATTACCGTAACGCGCCGATGCCCATGGATGCGGGTGGATTACTTGCGCCCCTTACAGCATGACCGACAACTCAACATCTCACACAACACCAAAGTTAAATCATGACGTCGATTTTCTTAATACACCAGAACTTATCATGATATGTACGATATTACAGTTATGACGGATACGATACAACAACCGGGTGGCTGGGCACCTCCTACTGCGGCAGCCACGGCGTCTAATGGGCGGTTCCAGACGGCAAATGGGATCAAGAAGCTAGACGACACGGCGTTCTTTGGATGGCATTACGGAATACCGCGAGGCTTTACGAATTGATTGATTTTGAAACGGTATGAAGAACCCCGAAAAAACGGATGGATTGGTCCCTGGGTGGATCGCATAACACATGCCGACTTTTGGACCAGACTTGGGGCGTTCCCTCCGTGGCCTCATGTGGATTTTGTTGATATTCTCTTATTTGGCTCGGAGCGGTTGTTCTGTCATATACCCCATGCGTGCGATTTGGACGCCCAATCTATACTGACTAGTTCAGATACTCTATATTTTTGAAATATAATCATACACGTAAAGCTATTTGATACGTGTCGTTTCTGAACGGCCCTCCTGACTACGTGTGAAAACGAAATCCGCAATGCTGTTGGCCTATGTGACAACAATAATAAGCTCGGGAGAACATGGGGCCACCAGGTAGTAACATCATCCCGTTTTATGTACGCGATCTGAACGGATAATCCAGGCTCTACACCAAAGAAAGCATTTCAAGGCTGACCCCAGTGTCTGAATGTTCGGCTCACTGGCGTATGCAATCACAAACGGTGGCAGAACTCAAATTGCAGATGACACCTAGCTAGTCGCTAACTAAACTCTATTATGTAGACGCCCCACTACCAGCTTGTCAACGAACTACTAGTTACAAACAGACATGTCGGTAGGCGGGTTTCTCACGGCAGATGCATATTCCCTGTCCCTAGCAGCTATGGATTGAGATAGTCAGGGGTGAAAAGGTACTTGGTGTAGTTGCACTGTAGGCTAAGTTGGATCATGATTCACGACAATATACTCGGTAGTTCGATGCTAAGCTCACACCCGCTAAAGGTAGATAGCCTCGGGGTCGGAAACAGACATAACATTTTCTAGATTTGAGGTTTCCGGGAAATGAAACGGTGTGATCTTCGCATCTTGCTGAGTTACCCGGTTCTGCGGCTTGCCATGCTCGTGCATGTCCAAGCATCATTCCCTGCTCAGATCTTGACATGGGAAGTGTTCCAGGAACAGACGACAAGTATCCATTGCGGTGCGGAACAAACCCCTGCTCTGCCCTTTGCATGAGTTGGCCAAGCATCTCCCGAGCATGCCTTGATATCTCTTCCGACCGCACCGATGACATTTCTGAATCCTCGGATGTCTACGCAATCTGCTCATGTGCTTCCTCATAACTGACAAAGTCTGTTATTGGCGTATGTGCGTGTGCGAAATGCAATTATTAGGTATCCTACTTAGGAAGGCCCTATATCAAGCAGCGGAAAGTCCGTCGAACCGAAAACGCCAGCCAGCCAACCAAACAGCAATGCTCATAGACGCCGCGTCAGACCTTTTCTTTTGTTGTCACAATCAAGTTATGCCGCTCATACACACAACCGGTAACTGGCGTACCGCCCAGCTGTCTCACTCCTACGGATGATCTTGACCACTTGCCCCCGCTTCATGCCAAAGTATTTCGCAACAGGGTCCCGTACCAGGATACGTGGCAGCTGCGTCTCCTTCAATCGATATCGCTTCAGCAGCGCCACCTTCTCATCCCTGCTGAGGATAACATGGCGAGGCACAAGCTCGTGGTGGGTGATGTTGATGAGCAGGTCATCCTCGAGGAACCACTCGATTGTGGTCCATTGGGAGAACTTAGAGATCTCCTTCTTGGCCGACGAGGAGACGGCGACGTTGGACAACAGGATGCCGCTTTTGTAATGATTATCGGCGCAGAAGCGACCAAACTTGCGCATCTGCTCCGCGCCGAGCGCCGAATCGTCAAGGAACTCGACCCAGACGGTGCCGCAGTCGGAAACGGGTTCGGTGTTCTGTGGTGTCGCGGGAGGCATAAATTTGCGTTGCATTTCATCGCTGGGTTTCGCCGAGAACTTGAGCAGCGTGCGGCTGGGAGGACAGAAGAGCAGGTTAACCTTAGTATCCAAGGTGGGAGAAAGAATCCAAACTCACCTCAAGCTACCATCTGCGTTGGTGTATTTGTGACGGAACTCTTCTAGCGGAATCTTGACTTCTTCTTCGCCAAGCTCGTAGCCCTGGACTCCTGTTAGAGCAATGCGCATACACTGAAAGTACCAGAGGTGAGAGTGATGTCGTTCCATCGGGGCAGAACGAACACCTCAAAGGGACATAGCATACACGATCGTGGACCATCTCATGGACTGTTCTCCACGCTCGCCAGGTACGAACAATATTGCGCTCGTTGGCCTCATACTGCGCTTCGTCTTGGTCTGCCATATTGAGTGAATTGCCAGGGGAAAAAAACGCGACTTGGGGAGGTCTTCGGGGGTTGGATGCGCAAGTTTTGAAAGTCAACAGTTGGCTAGCAGAGGTTCAGCCTTGCAGGAAAAATTCCAGAGCGTCTGGGGTGAGGCTCACAGAGCAAGTCGCAAAGTTGAGATGTGGCGCGCCACGGACAAAGAATGTCCCGTTGGCCGATTTTTTACTGTGCACAAGCAGCAAATTAACTTTTAGTAACCATTTGCATGGATGTTGAAAAACAGTTGATGCGCTAGACAAGCGACACCGACCTAGCAATTTTCTGGCATAAGGGATCTTGCGTGCATAGACCCTTGAATCTGGCCTTCCACCACCTCGGTTTGGCCGATTAAAACTCCTGAGACCTTTCCCAGAAGTCGACTTATAAATACCCTCTCAAGGGAGTTCTATGGGGTCATTCAATTGATACTCGTCTCTCTTCCTCCCGTTCCTGACAACAGTTGAGCTTGTCTATTCTTTCTGCGTCGAATTTTCCTCCGGTACCTCCCACCCTATATATTAACACGATGGCTGAAGTCGCTTCCACTTCTGCTGCCGCTGCGCCTGCAGTTGCAGACAAGGCAGAGAAGAAGAGACCTGAGAAGCCCGATGAAAACCTTTACAAGGAGAACCTGGCTCTGGCCGAGAAGGAGCACAAGGCCGTCATGGACAAATACGTAAGCTGCGCCAACCACCAGAACAAATGGTAGTAAGCTCATATTGACGGCATCTAGAACGCCATCAAGGCCAAGGTCGACCTCGCTACGCCCAACAAGAACAAGGACACTCAGAACCCGACCCAGAAGCGCCGCCAGGAGCTGATTGCTCAGGCCAATGAGATTCGCAACAAGCAGGGCGCTGGCAAGACGGCTCGCAACACCAAGATGGACCAACTGAAGCGCCTCGACGAGCAGATGCGCTCCCGCATTGCCGAGCAGAAGACCGCCCGTGGCAAGGTCGCTTTCAAGAGCGTTGAAGACCTCGACCGCGAGATCGAGCGCCTTGACAAGCAAGTCAACAGCGGCATGATGAAGCTAGTCGACGAGAAGAAGGCGCTGGCTGAGATTTCCAACTTGCGCAAGCAGCGTAAGAACTTTGCTCAGTTTGACTCCTCCCAGAAGGGTATCGACGAGCTCAAGCAGAAGATCAAGGAGCTCAAGGACAGCATGGAAGACCCCGAGGCCCGCGCTCTCAGCGAGCAGTACAGCAAGATCCAGGCCGAGATCGACGAGATCAAAGCCGAACAGGATGAGGCATTCAAGAACCTCAATGCTCTGCGTGACGAGCGTAGCAAGCTGCAGGCCGAGCAGCAGGAAAAGTACATGGCTATCCGCAAGATCAAGGACGATTTCTTTGGCGCCAAGAGGGCGTACAACGAGTACGACCGTGAGGCCCGCAACCGCATCAAGGAACGTCAAAAGGCGGAACGCGAGCGAATCGACAAGGAGCGCAAGCTGGAGCGTGCACAGAAGATGCTCCAGGAGGCCAGCGACCCTGCGTACATCGAGGAGATCCGCCGAGCTAACAGCCTGCTGCACTTCTTTGATCCCTCCTCTGTCTCCTCCGAAAAGAAGGCCCCCCTGCTTGCCAGCAAAGGTTTGACTGCCGAAGCTTCGCGAAAGGTTGATGACTCAGGTCTGAAGGGCATGAAAGTAGTGTCCAAGAAGGATGACGTGGACTACATGCCAGCTGTTAAGAAGGGAAAGAAGAGCAAGAAGGCCGCCACGCCGGCTGAGAAGCCTGAGAAATCCGGAGCCTTCAACTGCCCTCCCTCTGTCATCGATGATTGCGCCTTCCTGAAATTCGACCCGCCAATGAGCGCCGCCGGCGTCCCCGCCTTTATCGAGACAGTTAAGGAGAGGATTGACTTCTGGAAGTCGAACCAGAAAGCCGAGACTCAGAAGGTTAGTTACGACTTAGTCACAATACCCTACCAAGTTAATTTTGCTAACCCCTATTCAGAACGTCGACAAGGCTAAGAAGGAGATCGAGAAGCTGGAAGCCGAAGAGGCGGCCGAAAACTCTGGCGCCGCAACCCCGAACGGTGTCAACGGTGACAAGAAGGTCGAGGCCGTCACGTCAGATCTCAAGGAGGCTTCGTTGGAGGAAAAGAACGAGTAGCATTCTGACCTTACCTCTGATGAAAGCTCTCATACTATGAGTGACGAGGACTCGAGCTCTGAACACGGCCGCACTGCCAACTCTTTTGAGGGAGACTACCCCCCTCTCCCAGGAACAGACTCGGGCATCTCCCATCAACGCCATTCCTCAATTTAATCTAACTCGTACTGAAAAATAAAAATATGCATATTACTCGGACGGGGGAAATTTTCGAGACGTGGGGCTTTTCATGCCTCTCTTCTTGTCATCAAAAGTCATCGTCTCCTTTCCACCTGCGGGTCCGCGTCGAGCAAGCATGATTGCGGGCGCCGTTGCACTTGCGTTTTAGGTACCCCGTTAGCCAGCCAAGGCACCGCTTTCTTGTCATAATTATACTAGCATGGAATACATAAAATTTCGGCAACATGCGTATTTGTTCGGCATTTGAAGCTGTTGCACCTGTGTTACGACGTACCCCATTAGCCAGCCACAACACCGCTTTCTTGTCATGATACAAATAGCATGGAATACATAGATTTCGGCAGTATGCATATTTTTTCGGCACTTGAAGCTCTGTCCACCTTCCCAGGTAGGGTGACATGGTTCAACTGACTGGTTGCATGTGCGCGATGCAGTTGTGATGTGGCCGTCGAAACTATCGTGGGTAGTTCTTCCCACTAGTTAAGAACTGTGCAGTGAACGTTGCGTCGAGTTGGAATCGTATGACATGCATGTCGATCGGTCACGTATCTCCAACTGCAGAACCGGCGGACGTGTTCGGCTTACATCGTGCCATGACACAGTGACCCTCAATCAGTCTGCGTACGGCCTGTACTTGCGCGACTAAACCACAACTACTGGTAAGGGCACACTAAGTTAAGTAAAATCGTAGTAAGGTTTACGGCGTATTGATGCAGTTAGCATTAGATGCTTTCTTGTAACTCAGCTACATATTGCTCCTACAAACTACTATTTTTATCTTATTAAGAAGTTGGTTTAATTTATCCTTCTTATCTACATCTTCCTTGGAACTTCCAAGCTTATGGTTCTAGAATTATAAGATAAGATATATAATAGTATAATCCAGGATCATGACTTAACTAATACTCAATTATAGCATACAATTCTTACTATTCTAGTATTTTGATCAATTTTACACTCGATTCTCAAATAAAAGCAGATTTGGCAAGTTTTGGTGGGGAAACGGGAACTGTCCGCAGCTTCTTGAAGGACACTGTACCCAGCTGGAGTTCCAGCTTGACGCACCTCGGCATGCACACCTTTGAGCCTCGCGACTGCTCATGTGGAAGATCCTCAATCAAGCTATGCACAAGGAGTTCAGAGAGAGACTTGGGAGGAGCTACCTATTGTTTCTTAGACCTGTGAAATGTGGTTTCTCACCTGGGCTCTCTGTTGCTGGGTCTCTCTAGCGTTGCAGTCAGCTATTCTCGTTTCAGAACTATGAACCAACTGTCCTCCTCCAGCGTTAGGTCCATAGGCCCTGTAATTTTATCACGACCAGTGATGCTCTCGACGCTCCCAAACTCCAGAACGACCCATTGGATGGTAAGTAATCCTGCCAAAAATGCCGGCCTAAACTCGGTCTGGGTTGGAGACAAACAAGCTCGTAGAAGCAAAGTCGTCTAAACGCGTCCCGCTATATATTGTTCAAAGAAACAAGTAAATCAAAAGAACATTGCCGACTCGCGCCAATATGCAAAACACAATGGTGTTGATCCCGAGCCCGATTTTCCATGCATTTGTGGTTTCGTGGTCTCGTCAAGAAAAGGAAGTAGGTCGTTGGTTCGTTCAAAGCATTAAGCAGTCATGCAATTTGTCATAGCGTCGTTCTGTGATCCAATTTTACAGTCGTCGCAATGAATAGTGGATGTCTTTAGCTCCTTTGCGAGGTGCCGTGGTAAAGTCGTGGAATCCAGCGGTGCTGCTCTCAATACTCAACAGACACATTCAATTGGACTTCCCACAGCGGTTCGAGTTGTCAGTAGTTCTGATTGCTGTAAAAGCTCGGCGCGGGAGGCCGGTACATTCGCCTACCCGAGCTGGGCGGCGGTAGCGGCGGCGGCGGACCCAGCCCAGCCAGCCCAGCCATAGGCGGCGGTCCAGGTGTTCTCCTGTCTATCATCGGTGGCGGTGTCCTTCGGGGTAGTGGCGTATTCCTACTATCGTGAAAACTCTCGCCCGCGAGGGTACCAGTCGTGCTGCGTCGGCCGGCTTTGCGCGATCCGTTCAGAGCACTCAGGGGCGGGTCTTTCACGGCGGACTCGTCATCGCCGGGGAGTGTGAGCTCTACGAGACTGTAGAAGTACTCTAGCACCTCAGGATACCGTTGCACACTCGCTTGCCAGTCTTCATCGATGCCGCGCTTGAGAGCTGCTTGGGCTTGGGCTATCTCGTTGGGGTGTGGCGGCGCATGGTAGTAGTGATATGCGTGTGCTGTTAGACGTTCCAGGTGGGACGAGTGCGCGGTTTTCCGGCGCTCGGTCAGCAGACGGAAGTATTCGAGGATATAGTCTTGAGCATGTCCCCGTACCCATGACCTATAGCCGGGTTAGAGACTGGCATGTATAAAACATCAGGACCGGTAATGGGATGGGGAAGGCCAACCGTATATCAGTGTATATCGACTGCATCATGCGGGACTCGGCTTGTCGGATCGCAACCTCGAGACCCTTGGCCTCGCAGTCACAGGCAAGGGTTGCCGGAGCATGGCAGATGGCACAGTCTGGATCCATCCTAATAACCGATTTGCGGGGCTTGGAATAGTCCCTCGAGTATTCCCTGGTATACATCTTAGCGGTGGAAGGCCGGCTTCGAAGGATGGCGCCTAAGAGGAAAGAAGATGTACATGAGAGAATAAAGGATACAGGTGCAATGTAGCTATTGTACAAGTGGCTTTCTGCTATTGACCCTCGAGGGTCTCATATTGCAAGTAAAACAAAGGCCGAAGGGGCCAAGAAAAAGGAGTAAGGGCAGACTTACTTGGTTTATGAAGAGGAGTATTGCGATCGAGTGGTACCGAGCGAACAACGCAAGCAGCAACACGCAGCAGCAACAATGGAGAGATGCAGCAGAGCAGCGTGGGAGCACGAGAGGAATTCGGTGGAAAAGTAAACCGACAAATAGGCTAGGCCCAGCTCATAGCTTGCCTGCAGCACGAGAGCCAGCAGACCGCCTGTCGAACGTGAGCAGCACAGCAAATGAGGGCAGACGTGGACGCTCTAGGGTCCGACACGGCTTGTTATCTTGGGAGTCGAGCGACTTGGTGGTGCTCAGTTTTGCCTGGTCTGTACGGAATGTGGGGTCGGAGGGTGAACCAGAGATCGAGTAGACAGAGAGAAAAGAGAGAGAGAGAGAGAAATGAGCAATGAGAGAAGACGGTGGATCGGCGGTGACGGAGGTCTGAGAGGCTGGAAAGGGCTTGACATGCAGCTCGAGCTGCACCGTGTGCGCCGTTTGCAACGAGTGCCCACACACGATTCAATTGATAATCCGGAGATGAACGGAAGCGCCTCTGCCCAGCGTTGTTGCCCGATGTCTTCGAGTCATGAATGTGAGAGGTCGGTGCCAGGACAAAGCTGCAGTGTCGAAACAACCACGCTCATGCTTGGCTACAGAGAGGGCTCGCTAACAGAACGAGACAGCTGTCGTGGCTCGAATGGGCGCTGCGATTCCCAGTAGGGATGCAAGTCTGTGGATAACCCAATCCAGAGTTCGCATGACCCGCCCCACGAGCCAGTGAGACGGTCGTTGGATGGACTATTGAAAGTAAAAGATTTGGTCTTGCCAGCTTGGCCCAAAAAGAGGAGTAGGGGAGAGAAACGGTTGGAGAAGTTCGGTCTGAGGACTCGAGAACTCCGAGACAAAGCAAGCGATTGGAAACACGCACGATCGACAAGCAAGTGAGGGGTAATATTGTGCGGCTCTCACTAGAATATTGGGGTTGATGGTGTTTGTTTGACGACCGATTTTAATGGTCTGGAACAATTGTGGGCCATTTTGCGCTGTAAATGCACGCATCGCATCTAGCACACCCATTATGTGCCGGCCGCTAAAAGGTACTTTACTTGGCTCAGTCAAGGACAAGGTGAGCAGCACAATTATCATTGTTCGCTGCTTGAAGTTGCCTTATTGCATTGAGCCAGTCAGCCAATTTCGCAAATCTCCATTCTCAATCATAGAGGCTGTCTACTACTGTCATGGTCTTCTAGCTGCCTGGATCTAGCACCTTGATTTGCTGTGACCTTGACTGCAATCCTCTCCAAACCGAGTACCCTTCTATTACGTTACGCTGACAAGTGCAAGCAGCTTCTTCTGAAATATGCACTGTTGTGCTCAAGGAGCATGGCTCGCATGCGCGGCAAGCCTTTACCAACAAGTATGCTCTACTGCAGCTCGACTGTCGCTGGCGGCTTCGAAGTCGTGTTGTACATGATACAGCTCACCCCGTTGGCTGTGTTGGCAATGCGAAATTTCCATCAGGAAGTCTATGTCGAATTTGTATGCATGGGCTACGATGGAGTCTGTCGTAACGGCAGCACTGTTCAACTCTCGGCGTTAGTACTCGCAATAAGCTTTCGCCATAACGCCCACGACTTTGCTAATATCACTGCAAATATTAAATGTCAGTAATACTCCCCATACACTGGTTTGAAGGGTGTAGGTGTAGTCACATGGCGGCGTATGCCTGGCTTATCTGGTTGTACAAACCAGCCTCTTTAATCATGCTAATGAAGATCTGTGTTTCGGTCTGTTCTTCTTCATCCGAGCAGGAGCTAGAAGTGATGCTTCAGACTCGCGTGGTCTGCCTGCCTGGTAATCTCGACTCGTCCAAGTTGGCGGGCTTCATCTCGGTTTGGTATCAAATGTCAGTAATGCCTTTCTTAAGACGATCTCGGTGAGATTTCTGCATATCTAAGCGTCTGAGAGCTGCTGAATCAGGAAAACCACAGCTTCAGACTCGACATACTGGACATGCTGGAATAGTTTCCTCAGAGGCTCAATGAGCTTTGGTGCTTGGCCTTCCAGCATGCGTTGAGGCAGTCCGCCCGCATTATGATGGGTTACAACTAGATTGGCGAAAGAAGGGAGTATTCTCGGAAAGTATGGCCGCTGTTTCAAATTCCAGGCGGACATGGCAACGAGCGAGGGCCAGCAGCACTTCTCGGCAACGCATGTAGACCCGTCACTCGAACCATGACCGACCGAGGACAGTCTAAATAACAGCGTTATTTCCGAAAAGATACATTGGTTGGGGGGAGTTCATCCTTTGGATAGTTGCTGAAGAGCCTTTGTATGAGATGGCCTCGATAAAGCCGGCTATAAGACGCCGCTGTCTTTTCGTGCTATAGTAGACCAACTGTCCAACTTGAAAAGGGGGAGGGAAGGGGCGCGTTCTTTCAGTCTCTTGAGTCCGTGGTCCACGAGCACAGCTTGGCTTCGATGCCAAAAGTCAGTAAACACGCTCCTAAGAGAGCCTGAGAGGAGGTAATTAGCGCACGCGGAGATACTCACAACCTGTCGCCAATCGCCTCCTTCGTCAGTTTAGCCGTCAAGATGTAGTAATATCTTTGGGAAACGCCTGAACAGGCGGGAAGTAGACGACGAATCCGTATGAATTCTTATGAACCAAATCGAGTCCCTGGGATAGAAACACAATAGAAGCACCAAGGAAGGAGGAAAAGAATGTAGGAAAAGGAAAAGGAAAAGAAGAATAGGAGTGGGGATTACGTACAACAGCCCCCCAAACTTGGCCGTTGTCTCCAAACAAGTTTCGAATCCGAGTAATCTCCTGATCAACGAAGTTGGACATAGTCCAGCTCGCTTTGGCACCGCAGATGACTCCTGCCAGATTGTGGACGAATTTCTTTCCAAATGATGTGTCACCTCCGTGTGGAAGTGCATACCGAAATTCGGGTCCTTCTCGTGCGCAACACGAGCATAGGGCGAGTTCCGTGTTGAGGCGACAGTGAAGAACCCGGCAGGGAGTTGACTCAGTTTGTCACTGTGGGACATAAAAAACCATGAAGTCTCTCTCTAGACAGGATTATTCCCTTAAAACACAGTTATACCTATTTACTACACAATAGTAAGTATATTAAAGGTTTTATATTTCCCTTATGAAATGGTAAGGAACTAGAGTCCTTATACTTCTAAGTAGTTAAGTTTGTGAATCCCTATTTAATAATTAAATACCAATAAATCTATGTACTATTTATATTTATATGATCATTGAGGGTAGGCCCTCTGTGTATAACTCTAGGTGGGTGTCGTACTGACGCTATACCTGTTCTACGTAGCTAACTGAAGTAAGACTAATTTAACTGTTACCTCTGCAGTAAGTAATTATCGCTACCAGTGTTAGTCAGTGATAGTACGGTTCTAACAGCATTGAATTCAGGCTTATAGGGTTATTCTAGGGACTTCAAAAAGCTCGGCTACTTTACGTGTAGTAGGGACTTCCTAGCGCGAATAAGCTTAGTAGCTTTCTCAATTTAGCCTTCCTAGTACAGCTACAGAAAGAACCACAGTCTACTGATAAAAATAAATATAAAATCCCATGATTTCGTTGTTAAGCTGAAAAGTTTCGACAGGCCGAAAATGTGTTGGTTACGTTACCAGACTACCCCGCTAGTCTATAGGAAATCAAATGGATGGAGGGGCAGACAGTCTTTTTGCAGCGGGAATGATAAGCTTTGAACTAAAGTCTGATAAGCCCTTCTGATGGACCCCGTGGGGAAGTAAGTGAGCATGGGTAAGGGGTACCTGAAGTTGCAGTTGATTAGCTAAACTGACACATATATGAATTAGTTACAAAAGCATTCTTGTTTGTTATTCAACTATGTCAGCCCATGTTAGCACATATTTTGAATCGCCTCGGCTTTTGTGGTATCGTATCTCCAACCAACTATCTCGCTCTCGTTTCCGTTGAGATGACGGGAAATAATGAGGGCAGTGTGTCTCTACAATTAAGGAAAAGAAGGCCAAGACAAATTTAGCAGCTCCGACTTTTCAGTTCTCCATGATTGCTTTAAACGCCGGCTCATTGGAGAATTTGGTGCAGGAGACTCACGACATCTTTTCCGTCTGCTGAGAATTAGAAGGCTGAAGCGAGTATCAATGCCAAGCGTCACAGTATAGCCTTGAGCCGCATAAACACAAATCTTGAAGTCATATCACCCATATTAGTTACATGAGGTCGGATCTGTATTGACGACGATCTCTTACTGGGGTTCAAGGCACGCTAACAAAACCCCAGGTCGTGAATTGAGCCTTATCTTATCAAGCAAATTTACCGGGCGGCGAACGGAAGCAGCTCAACTTAGTAGCTCCTGCTAACTAAAGTCGAGACGTCGCATAATAGAATGCCGGAGAGCTAAGAGCTCAAGGAGAACAGGAGCAATCGATCCTCACAATGTCTCCCCGATGCCATCCATCCTCGGGCCTGCTCCTCCCCTTCCTCTACCCCTCCCTTCTCCGCCATACGACGCGGCTCGCCCGAGCAGGCATCACGACCCTCCATTCCAGCTCCGACACCAAGACAGCGGCGAGTATTGAAGGTAGCACCAGCACGGAAACCTCGGCCTCGAGCGAGTCCCTTCCCCATTCTCGCCTCAACCCTCCACCTGATGACTACTCCGTGTCGACCTTCGCGGATAAAGCCCGCATCTGGGCGCACGCCGGTTCAGGCGGCGCTGGCTGCATCGCCTTCCTCCGCGAGATCTTCATCGACAACGGGCCGGCCAATGGCGGTGATGGCGGCCACGGTGGGAACGTATACATCCAGGCGGTGCACTCAGAGACGTCGCTGCATAAGCTGTCGCGCCGGCGCATCATCCGTGCCGGCCGCGGCAAGACGGGCCAGGGCAGCAGTCGAGCCGGCCAGCGGGGAGACGATGTCGTTATTCAGGTACCTGTCGGGACTGTGGTCAGGGAGATACAGCGGACGGATCCCATGGCTGAGGAACACATGCGCTGGAAGCAGGCACGGGAGAAGGACAGGGAGTTTCAGAGGCTGTTCAGGGAGGCGGAGTTGAAGGCGGAGCAGTCGGGCGAGGACGTGGAGGCGGCGACGGCAGGCATGGAGGCGCCTGATCATCCGAATTTGGACAAGTTCATTCTATACCCGGGCATCTCCAACTCGGAGCGTAGGTCCCTCACCCTCCCACCGTTACCGAGGAGGGAGAGGCTATACCACCAGCCTGCTGGGCCAATACATCTCGACCTTTCGATGCCCACCCCTCGACCGATCCTTTTAGCAGCCGGCGGCGTGGGCGGGCTTGGTAACCCGCATTTCGTGTCCAAGGAACGCCCACGGCCACTCTTCGCCACCAAAGGCGAACGTGCGGTTAGCATGCAGCTCGAACTTGAGCTCAAGCTCCTTGCAGACGTGGGACTAGTTGGTCTTCCAAATGCCGGCAAATCCACGCTCCTTCGAGCTTTGACACGGAGTCGAGCGCGCGTGGGCAATTGGGCTTTCACTACTTTGCAACCCAACATTGGAACCGTCGTCCTCGACAACCACAAGGGCCGGCGACTATACACGCCTCCCAAGACGGCTAGACCCCAGCCTCACGCTATCATCAACGACGCCAAGTACGGAAACGTAGTCATCGCCCAACCAGAGCAAATCGGAGCTGGGCCGGAACCGAGGACGCGGTTCACCGTAGCCGATATCCCTGGTTTGATCGAAGGCGCGCATCTGGATCGGGGTTTAGGCATGGAGTTTCTGCGTCATGTAGAGCGCGCCGGTGTGTTGGCGTTTGTGGTCGATCTAGCTAAGGGAGACTCTGTAGAGGCCTTGAAAAGCCTCTGGACCGAAGTCGGCATGTATGCCCTCATGCGCGAAGAGGAAAACAAGGAGAGGGAGGTTGGTGGCCGGATTGATTGGCAGGGTGACGGCGGCATGGACTTTGGCAACGCGGCTACTGGTCACATGATGATTGCCGAGTTCTCTGAGGCGCCTGACGACGAGAGCGGGTTGCATATCGCGGCCAAGCCGTGGTATGTCGTCGCCACCAAGGGCGATCTGCCAGACACGCAAGACAATTTCGCCAAGCTGAAGGGGTACCTCGAGAGAGTAACAAATGGTGAGGAGCCGCACCCGAGTGGTGTCGAGGGCGCGTGGACCGAGGACTGCGCTGCTATACCGGTGAGTGCTATCAATGGGCACGGTGTTGACAGGATTGTACATTGGACTGTAGGATTATTAGATGAATGAGGTCAGGTCAGAAGCAGCAAGAGTTTTAAAATATAGACTATATACTGGAGAAACGCCAGCTAGAGCCAAAGCTAGACCGTAGGAAGTGTCGTTTTGGGGCAGATATTCCACATATACCTCCCTTGTATATCTTCATGTTCGTTTTAGGACGCTGCAAGTACAACCACTTGCACCATGGGAAGTCATGGTCCTAAATCTCGTACCACGCGAAGATAGTCTTCCGTGAGGTCTCACAATTCTGCTTGATATGCAAGCGTGGGATCCATATGTCCGATCTGCGGCTCGTCTGGAACGGAGATTGATGACAACTCTTCCTAGGTAGCCGTCGTCTTATTCTCAGCGTCGTCCTCCTCGAGTTTCATTGCGTCTCCATTAGGTATCTCGCTGTCAACCTCGACTTTAGCTGAGGATGACTCTGTCTTACCATCCTCGGAAGATGTGTTCCCACCATTGTGAATCTCCGTCTTTTCGTCTTTCACCTCAGGCTTGGCTTCTTCTGCGTTAGCCTCCATCTTCGCCTTTTCTTTCAACGTCTGGTTGATGACTGGCGTGGTGTCGTTGTATAACCGCAGCAACATCGCCGACCGATCCTCTTTAGGTAGCATCAGGTTCAGCGACTGAAAGCTCTTCCACAATGGTAGGACTATGCGCTCAGAGAAATCAGGGTCCGTGCCGTCCGGCTCGACTCTGAGGACACAGCAGCCCATACCAATGTCTCGAGCTTGCTCGCCTATCTCGTTGAGCTTCACCCAGTCACCGTCTACGAACTTGGGAAACATCTCCTTGAGCAGCTTATGGAACGTCTCCTTGTTCGTCAGACGAATTGTGCGTTCAGGCCCAACGTATCCGTCAATTATTGGCATGCCCTCGGATTGGATGCGCCAGCGGCATACCTCTGCAGACGGCGCATCCTGTTTCATGAACATTTTCACACCACCGTGTACAAACTTCATGCCGCGGCCCTCATTCTCCACCAGGATATCTCTAACAAGCGAGCTTGTGTAGTAGATTGCTTTGGCAGGCTCCCCCATCGCATTCCGTACCATGTAACGGTCCGAAGGGAAGCGAGGGGAAATGTTGTAGAAGCTTTGAATAGACTTAACGACTTCATGGTCAGCAGGAATGTATTTGAACGGCTCCTCGAAGGCACCACCGGGACCCTTGCGTCGCTCTGGCAGTTGTGTCTGCGGTTTGGGGGTGTTGCTCGTAGAACTCTTGATGTCGATATCAGATTCTGCCTTGGCCGGATCCACTTCAGGGACGGGCAATGTTGCTAAAATGACTTGAGTGCTATCCTCAGGGGTTGTTTCGGTCTTTGTCTTCTTCACATCTGGCTGTTCTTTGGTTGCGTCAGACTCTCTAGGCCTCTTAGTGCCGCTTGTTGGAAGGACATCAGTCGGCTTCCCTTCGGCAGCCTTCGACTCTTCTATTGACAGCTTCGCTGCCACTTCCTCCTTCGCCTCTTCGCCGGTGCTATTAGTAGCCTTCACTTCCGGTTTGGTCTGTGTTGCCTCGGGCTTCGCTTTGATCTCACTCTTCTTCTCCAAGACAGTGATAAAGAATCCTCCAGTATCTTGTTGATGCGCGTAGACTCGCATACAGCGGTCTAGAGGAAGACCCGAGCAGTCACTCTCATCAGATCGTGGGAACATGGTTTCAGACACCTTTCCAGGCAGGAGCCCGTCGTCCTTGGTCAGTGCGAACTGTTGGACTTCCTGAAAGTTGTTCCAAATGCGGCCTGTCTTGTCCATTACCGACCACTGGTGCATACCGGGGACACGCTTGAGGCCAGTTAACCGGTCACTGCAGTCGATGATATCAACTTTGGTAGGTCCACCGCATCGCTCAATGGCAGAAACGACAACAGCTTCGTTCTCGACTGGATTCATGCTGCAAGTCGAATACACGACCCTTCCACCAACCTTCAACATCTGAAGCGCCCGGACTAAGATTCTGACCTGAGTAATATGAAGACCGAGAGCATTTCCAGGTTGCCAGTCTTTCCACAGGTTCATGTTTTTTCTCAGCGTACCGTCTCCGGAACAGGGCACATCGGCAAGAATCCGATCGAACTTCATGTATACACCCTGATGAGAGTTGGCGGGGTCTCGTGGGAGCCTGATAGAGGGGTAAAGGGTGGCATCGTGGTTGGTAACGAGTAAATTGGGTGAAGAAAGTCGCTTGAGCTGGTGAACAAGCATATGGCTGCGCTTGTAGTCGGCATCGTTAGCAACCAAAAGTCCTGTTGCTCTTCCGTCGTCGCCAGAGTCTATGCTGAGATCGGCTGGTTCATCGTTCGCGGGCTCGACCTTCGTTTCGCCAAATGACCCCATGACTTTGCGCACTCTAGCTTCCTCTCCCACGTGGATCATCTCTAAAAGCTGTGCGGCTTTGCTTCCGGGAGCAGCGCACAGATCCAAGACGGTCATGCCGGGCGCAATGTCCATCAGCAAGGGCGGTATCATGCTGACAATCTCCTGCCTACTGATGTTTCCCACGCTGGTCTCGGAGACGAGGAACTTCTGGAAGGCGGCGAAGGGAGGGAACTTGCGAATAACTTGCTTGGGGGTGTTCATAGAGTAGGCGAGCTGGTCGGGATACCATGAGATGGGCTGCGGGGCCTGGACAGTCTGTCCATCGTAGCGCTCGATCTTAACGATCTCGGGCGCATATCTGGTTTCGAGCAATCTCTTGACGGCCAACGCGTGTCCTTTGGAACCGCAGAAGCGGAACGAGTTGGGCAATTCTCTCTTCAGAGCGTCCCAGAACTTGACTCTCTCATCATCGTCAAGTGGGATGATGGTGTTGTAGTACCGCTCGAGCTTTTCGTGCTCCTTGACAACGTCAGGATACGATCGGTATGAAGCAGCGCGGTCGCCGCCTGCTCCTCCTCCACCGCGGGGTGCGCGACTGGGACCGCCGCCTTTGCGACCTCCCTGTCATCGCATTTTAGTGAGTATTCCTAGTAGAAGATAACTGCGAGTACTGACTCTGGAATTTTTGCGACCCATTGTCTGGACTGGGTGTCGGAAGTTACTGTTGTTGACTTCAGGAACGACGGTAGATACTTCAGCGTCACGTCTCGATTGGAAGGAGCTTCACAAAATTTCGAGCTCCAATGCCCCGCAGACGTCAAAATTCGGTTAGTGATATGGATCTGCAGTGCAGTGGTGCAGGAACAATGGGTCCCCCATTCCCCACCACGTTATTCAACTCAACCCACTTGTACCAAGTACCGTCAATCAATACATCCAGGGAACGAATCCAGTCACAAGGTACCAAAGGTACTGAACCACTTGCATATGCTGAAGGAGAATTCTAATCAAAACCCTGATGAAACTCGCCATTGTGTCTGACACTCCCGAGTATGGCACGATCAACCTTACCTTCCAAATTCAAACTGAATCAGATGATTGACATACATGTCGAATTCAGGCAATCCATAAAGGAGGCAGCAAATCAGTGAACATCGCGAAGCAGCTGGTTCTATTGGTTGCGGTCAACGTCTAGAAAATTTGCACCGGTCTGTATCTACCCTCATGTCGCAGCCCCCTTGACACCCGGCCAGACCACTCGCCTGGCGTATGGATGGCCATTCTGGAGGCGAATCATACAAGACAACGCCGGGAATCGCAATGTTGATTGGCCTGGCAGCCTTCAACTTCAACGATGAAGCTACGAACCATTCGCATCTTAATCCTTCAAATATGGATACTCCTCTCCTCTTTAGTGGAGTCAACTTTTTTCTGTTCACTTCATCGTGTAAACCTGAGACTAGCTTGAGCTTCTCTACTTCAGTGGTATCATGATGCGGGCTCCTCTGCTTACAAGAATAACCTGCCATCAAGACTGGGAAACATTGCATGATCACATCAAGCAACTCTGGTCGGATAAGGACTTGCCTCTCAAGGAGGTTATCACTGCCATGAAAAGGGAGCTTGGCTTCGTGGCTAGGTATGTCAAGCCTTTCTCTATTTGCTGATATCCAAGGAATAGGTACTGATGACATTCTAGGGAGAAGCAATGCAAAACAATACTGGACCGATGGAGCCTTGGGAAGAATGCGAAAACACGTGAGATGAATGTTATTTCCAAGATTCTACATCGAAGATCAAAAGCAACCAGGCTCAGAGTCAGAGACAGACTGGTCCCTCAGAACAGGGTTGGTTGGTTTCTCTGCAGAACCTACGGCACAGTTTCTTCACACCCATTCGCATTCAGCCCTTTCGGTGAGTTATACTACGGCATTTTCATGCTTACTGTAGTTTTATTCTCTTGATATTTTGAAGTCCGTACTCCACAACGGAAGACTCAAGACTCATTATACTCCCGTTGCTGCGTATTACAACTATACAACTCCTGTAGGTCGGGATAGTACGACTTGTTCAGAACCAACAGTTTCGTCACTCAATTCACTTGCTTCCATACTTCATCGACTATCCTCGTACCCCCCACGAAGGTGATGAGTTCGATAAATTTGTCAACATGGGATTCAAAGTATACCAATCAGCTGCGAGAGGCGATGGTGCAACATCGACGACTCAACACGTCAGTCCCATCTAGACGGTGCCCTCAATATCGCTACTCAGTGCCATGATCAACCATCGAGGCAAACACTTCCGGGTAAAGGAGCTGTTCCAAAGAGGGAGCCTGGTGATCATGGACTGAGTATAGAGAATAAACAAGCCAGTGTTTGTGGCATATTCCATATCGTGGAACAAAGGATTCACCGAAACTAGCTCAGGGCTAACACGTCTGCATGTCGCTCTGATGTATCGGAACAGCATGATCCACAAGATGAAGACTAACGGGATAGCAGCTGTGGTAAGGCTTTCAGTGATTTGTGCTGCACCAAGCATGTCCCATGTTACTATGAATTCCCATCCCGACCCCCCTTTTCAGCCAGAAATACCGACAACGTCAAATTCGCTGAATCTTCTGGCAATCCATAACTATGAAGAATAATATCCTTGTTTTAAAACATTGTAATGATGTCACAAAATCTGATAATATCACCCGGCATCTGCTAAGACAAGTACTGCAATATAAAGATGCCGCCGCGTTCCTTCGTTGTTTGCATATCTACGAAGGTGGCAGCCTGCTCCTCGAAGCAGTCCAACAGGCCACATCTAAAAAGATGAGAGGACAGCGATTTTTAAAGTCGGAGCTGCTCCTGTTCTGCAACCAATGTCCTGTGCATCGGGTACACCGGACGCTCATTTTATTTTACATTGGCCAGTGGCTGTTAATTTCACCTGAGAGCCCTTTTGGAGACGGAGACGAAGGAAATTGAGCATGGCGGAACACTGCTTTATTATGCTCTACCGATGAAATGTCAGCCAAGCATTTAAATCCTCATGCAATTTCGAACTGTAACACAATCATGAGTTCTTGCTAGAGCATAGCGCTAACGACAAGTGCTCATGCGATCGGATGGACCAAACTCAGCTTGACATGGCATGGATATCAATCGACAAATCTCTCACCTCACTTCTCGGATTACTATATCAAACTACGTCACATTCCGAAGAACGATAAATTGATGTAGTAGACGATGGAGCTGAGATCTCTTGGCTAGTTCGTCTTGATACTTGGGATGAAGGAGATCTGTTCATTCATATCTAACGGGGATGGACTTCCCAACAGTTATGGGGAATTTGTTCACTGGCAGTGATGCAAATTTGAATGTCTGGTAGTTTTGGATTGGCACGTCAGCTATCTATCATCCCGATTTCTTCTAAGAGGTACTCAGTTTCGATAATTATTACCCTCGGGTTATATTTCTAGTATGGACAAGTGTGGCCTCTGGTATAGAGGGGTATAAGGCACTTACACATGAACTGGTGTATTCATGGATCCTCCGGAGGCGGATTGGGAAGTTCTTCCCCACGCACCTTCGTAGTACCAATACAGCCCCTCCCCCCCAATGCTTGAAATCCGACACCGGGTCAGATGTTGCAGGTATTGTAACCGCCTACATTATATGCCAGGAAACCATTTTTCCGCTACCCAATGGCTATTGATCCATGGTGTTTAGCTGCTTTCCTCCGCTGTTCTTTTCTGTCTCTCTCCCTTTTTCTTTTCTCGCGATCGAAAGCAAACAGAGTCTGTCGCAGAGATGTTTCCACGAGATACTCGAGCGCACATTAGCGATTCCTAACTTACAAGCTGTCTACCTGCGAGCGGCGCCTCTACATTATGCCAATCTGCCACATCTAGCCATTCGACAAACATACAAAGTCCCTGAACTAGCACCAGAGCGCAAAGTCCCCTCACATCTTATAGTCAACCCCCTCATGCGCCATCATATCAAAAGCAGGCTTAGCCGAGAACCATCCCGCATACTCGGTCCCTACGGTCTCATACGTGAACTCAGCTTCCTTCTTACTTATCTTGACCGTCGTTCCCCCTCTACCCGCCGCGGCCGCATCCGCCATTAACTGGGCCCTACAGCACTTCTCGAGGCTCATGAACCAGAACACACAGCTCTCCACCGACTTCCCACACGTCATCAGTCCATGGCTAGCCAGGATGGCCGCCTTTTTCTGTCCCAGCGCCTTGGCGATATTGACGCCTTCCTCCGGTCCCAGCACGACGCCACCGAAGGTGTCGTAGTGGGCAATGTCATTGTAGAAGGCGCAGCTGTCTTGCGTGATGATATCCAGGTTGCGGCCGAGCGTTGAGAAGGCGCGCCCGTGGATGCTGTGCGAGTGTGCTACGCAGTTTATTTCGGGGCGGGCTGTGTGTATGGCATGGTGGATCATGTAGGCTGTGAAGCGTTAGTAATTGAAGTTCTGGGGGAGGAGGGGGGCAATGAGATAAGAGGTTGCGGTACCTGCGGTATTGAGAATACGGACAACACCGCCGTCTATAATCTCACCCGAGTTATCAACGCGGATTAGGTCGGATGCCCTGAGGAGCGGCCAGGCTACGCCGAAGGGGTTGACCCAGAAAGTGGTAGGCTCTACAGGATCCTGGAGATTTGAGAAAATTTGCTGGGAGGCTGGCCAGCCTATGGTATAGGAGGTATACATACGCGGACAGTGATATGGCCAGCGACGCTGTGAACATGTTGGTATAGGGTTCTACTTCAGGGAATCCTTGTGCAGGAGACAACTTACCCTTCGTCATATCCCAGCTTGGCGAAGATACGAAATGCCAATGCAAGTCGTTCCTTGAGATATTGCCGTTCATCGAGTGGGTCGTCGAACTTGGGAGGCATGGGTCTAGCCGACTTGTATTGTGTAAGCACTTGCCAGGCGGCCGGGTGTTTGATGCCATACATCGCCCCTAGCAGCATCTTCCATTCCTGATGCTCCTTTGGTAGAATGTGGAGACATCTTGGCGAATTCTTCTGGTTTCTAGAATGAGGACGGGCGGAGGCTATAGAAACAAGCCGAATACGTGTGGCATGTGGGACTTGGAAGGTTCGGAGTCCTGATGAAATTGAAGAGAAAGCCTACTCTACATATATCATCTACGATTAAGTTTCACAAAGCTTAGCCTGCGGAGGAGTTGAAGTCTTGGTATGACCAAATAAGACCTCATTTCCCTAGCTACTGCAAAAGCTAAGTTAGTGGTGCGTCCCTGGGGTGGCGTCGGATTCGATCCGCCACCCTTATCTAGGAATATCCAATGAAGTCATGTCACTAGTCATTATGCAACCCAATTCCGATTGTGGCAAACCGAGCTATTTGGGTAGGACCCAGGTGCCACTGGTGCTTATCTTCGATCCCAGTAGTCGTCAATAGGCGGATTCTGGAAGTGGATGGCCGTGTTCTAAAAATATCAGTAGGGACCTAGTACAACGACGTCAGCCTTGGGTATGTCTATGGTCGTGTATTATCTTTACACTTGGTCTCTGGAATTTCGCGAAAGCAATTTAGCCACGCAGAGCAATTGTCAGTGAAGAGTACAAGTCACGGAAAAGACATGTATGCTTGACATTACGCTGGGGCTATCGTACTAGGAATAGTGCGCCGGAGAGCGATCACGTTCTCCAAGTGTTTCCTGATGCAAAAAAATCCGTTCAAGTCTAAGTACGTACCACGAGAAACCAAATCCGGAACAGAAACAAGTTTAGTTGTGCTGGCTGGTATCAGAGACCCTTCATGTATATATACGTGTATACTGTCTTTTGTGGTGATGCAATATGCAAATGTTATTACTCCAAACCGACTTTTGCCTACTAGTTAAGTGCCCGCGAAGACAGGATTTTACTTGACCAACTCCGTCTTAATGCTTTTTGGGGAAGTAGATGCATATGTCGAAAAACTGCTTCCTGAAGCCTCAAGGGCTGGGAGGGGCCCCTTTCTCTTGCGTCGACGCTAGCTCCTTCTCCGCCGCTGGTGTCGTCGTCCCCTTAGAATGTGACATAGAATACGGCGCCTTGTGAGGGAAAGGTCAGCAGTCGCTATTGTTATGGGGAAGCGGAGCGCTTACGAGAGCCTGTTTCGCGTTGCAGATCCTCCAGGCAAGATTCTTCACGTTGCCATCTGCCCGCACGACAGCAGGGGCGAAGTCAATACCGAACATTTCCTTGATACCGTAAACAACTCTCCTAGCGTATTTGCCGTCGCGCTCCACATGACCGCCAAAGGATTCCTCAGAAGTGTTTGGCGCAATGTCCGGGTCGCGGTCGAAGCAGTTCTTCACCAGAGGAAGAAGGGCCGACTCGACCGACTTTTGGTATAGTCCTTGCGAGTCAACCTCGATGTCCTCTTCGTCGAAGCGTCCAATATGTATCTCGAAGGGCTGAGATATTTTCATTACGCTGTGGCCACCATTGTGATGGTATCGGAACTCGAACACTCCTCGGGTCCACCACATCTTGTCGCCCTCGAAAAGTACCTCTCCTCGCACGAGGTTACCGTCTGACGAGTCCACTGTGGTGGAAGGTTTATCTGACAGCAGGATGCCCTTGTCGGCTACGAGGGAGTCATATTGACCTGGTGTCGTGGGTATCCATCTTCCGCGCGAAGATACTTCGGTTGCCTCTCGAGATCTGTTGTCAGCAACCATGTATAGTCCGATCCAATCTTTCTTGCCGTGGTCTGCTGGCGCAGTCCACATGACTTTGATCGGGGCTCCATATTCTAGAATCATGGTGTTAAGTTCATAAGGGAAGCGGGCAGTAGTTCCTTCTTTGCCAGTAGACTGCTCGGTTATGGCCGAGTGCGTTGCTGGTTCGCCGTGCACTGTCAATGAATAGTCCTTGGGATTGAAGCCTGCCAGATCTGGCGAAAGCCGCGTGAGCGTCAGACGAGCAGGAACATTGTTGAACAATGCGGTAGTGTCTCGGACGATCGTCGAAACACCTGCGGCAAGTTTGGGACCAGCCGTCTCCAAGAAGTCCTCGACGAAAAGTGAAGTGCCGTCCATGACTTTGTTGACACTCGAGCCCCATTCTTTGACTGGTGGGGGCAAGGAGCTCTTGATGAACTTGGTAAGCCCAGCCTCTTTCCGGATGTTCTTGTAGATCTTGGACATATGCGGCTTTTCCACCATCTCCAAGTACGTCAAAGTCAGGAGATGACCAGTGAGCGCCAGGATCATGATGGACTTGTTCCATGTGATCAAAGCTGCTCCCCAGAGCCCAGCAGTGCCGATTATGCGCTCCGGGTTGTTCAAGAACCGGTAGATAGACGTATAGGTCAGCTTGGCGCCACGGTCGAAGAAGAAGTCACCACAGAACCAGCCGAATTCCCCCAGCGAGTCGTAGATGCTCACGGAAGTCCAGATGTGGAGCGCGATGAGGCCGGATCCGACGATATGCTTCAGGGCCACAAAGCCATAGTCCCAATCATGTGGGAATGAGTATACCTTCCAGCATGCGGCGATGAAGGAAGTGTAAGTAAGAAGCTGGGATATGTGGTACATTGCTTTCCACTGATTCCAAGCCTCTCCAATACCGTCGCCAAACTTGAGGAAGTGACGAGTCCACATCTTGTTAGTTGACTGGAGGTGAAGAATAAAGCCCAGGCCGATGTAGTACCAGAGCCTCCAGGCGAAGGCATGCAGTACGAACAGAAACTGGACCTTCGGACTGTCTGGCGTGACAAGGGTCAATGCGACCTGGTAGAATATCAGGAGCGCAGTCGAGTAGTCGGTGGTGCGAAAAAGATCGAAGTTTCTCAGGCCCAGCAACTTATGGACTGGAACTGGAGACTCTTGCTGTAGCGGCATAAGAGGGTACTCAGTTGCCGCAGGTTGGGCTGCGCCAGTCGAGTGGACTGGCTGCGCTACGAGTGAGTTTTGGGCGTCTGCACGTTTACGGGGAGTAGGGGGGTTGTATATCTTCTCCTACAATAACATGTCAGCAGCTCACGTCGATCAGACAAAGACAAGGATCCCGCACAATGTGTGGCGATTCAAAGTAATAGAGAAACGCAAATTGCGCGGCATGCGCAACGATGGAGATGAAAAGGACCGAGTAGCTAGCAGCCAGCATGGAAATGCCGTAGTAACCCGCGTAGCCAATCGAGTACATCGGATGCGGTGCCATCTCAAACACGCCATCAAACGTCAACTCCTGGTCAATGAGATAGAAGAAGTCTCCCCAGTACCACGCATAGTCTTTCACAACCCGGTGGGCATCCAGCTTGACCCATAGGTTGAAGCCGATAAGACTCAAACCCAACAGCCAACGTGCTGCCGTTACTGCGAGTGTCTCTCCGTCTGGTTGGTGTGTGCAAGCAATGGCGAAGAGGCAGTAAGACACGAAGTCACACATGAGGATGAGATCCACAAGCCTTCGGAAGACGAGCCACGTGTTGTATTCGAGAGGTGATTTCTCGAAGACATAGTCCGCTGGAATCTTGGTTTCCAATTCCCGTTTGAGGAGGTTATAGAGCCAAGGTCTGGGGTTGCTGCCACTCAAAGGGTTCTCAAATAGTTTCCACTTCTTTGCCCAGATAACAAGCTTGTTGTCATTGGACTGAGCTCTAAGTAGCAGACCAATACCCAGGTTGTAGGAAGCGCGCCATAGAAGAAAGACCACAGCAAACACCTGCCGCTTGAGGTGCCATGGCAGAAGGTACAGCAAGGTAATATGGCTAGCAAGGATAGCGAGCACTACAGCATCCGAAAGATTCTTGGGTTGTCTCGGGTCCAGGAGCTGGGAGACCATGTCATGTGTTGTCGGTACAGTAAAGGCTATAATAATAGAAAGTATGTTAGCATTATGCTAACTCCCACGAATTGGCTCTCACTAACTAGTCCCATCCGGAGTTCGGCCAACCGTCTTTGTGGGTTTCGGGTCCGGGTCCGCATCTTTAGTCTCCACATTCTGGGGAGGGGGGTGACTTGGGGCACCAGCTTCCATTGCTGTGTGCCTTTGGCGTAGATCGCCAGCATCCATCGAGGCTTTGACGGCAGTACTCATGGTGAATGAAGGCTGGACCATTGAAGGAGAATGGAAATTGAACCTTCGCAGGTCTATTCTCTAGAGTTCAAGGACGTGGGCTGTAGACTCCCAAAGCCATGAAGGAGTGCCTAAACGGGAGTCGGCAGGCAGCCCACAAAAGACGGAGTTCTTGTCAAGATTCTTTAAGGAATAGAGTGGGACAACGCCAGCCACCATGATAAGCCTCAGGCTGGTGACTTTTAAGGAGGAAATGTTCTCAACAACAACGATGAAACATGACAACATGTGAAGACACGCAAATGGTGAAAGCCAAGTAAAGAATCACATGTGCGGTGATTGCCAGGCACTCGGCATGCCTAAAGTGGCTAAGAACTCAGAGCCTAAAACGCAGGGCGATCAGATCTCGAGAGACGCAAGAGGGGTTCATTGGGCAGTTGTCGGACAACCGAAAAATTGTGTCTGGCACTTTGATATGAGCCGTGGCAGGCGCGGTTCTCTTGCATGTTTCCAAAAGGGGTACTACCTCGTATATACCCCGTACATACCTTAGTTTCTCAAAGCTAAACACAACACCAGGCACGTCGAAATGGACTGGCGGGATCTCAAGTAATGACAGACACCTTCTCAATCCCACAAGAACATTTAACAGTTACATTGTAACATTGAATATTATAGGCTACCTAGGGACAATCCTTGAGAAATCGAACACCAACCGGGATGTTTGGCGAAAGTGCCCATTCGCTGGCGAATGTCGACGTGACACGAGTTTGATTGGATCTTTATGCTGTCCATGCCTCCCCGCGAAGCAACATTTTTGAATATTCCCGTTCCCTGTTCCTGAAGGACATCTACAAGGATCGTACTACAATCCGCATGAATTCTGGAATAACCAAGATAGCTCGAGTGGACCAAGTTGCAAGAACGGACCCTGAGCAAGGTAGGAGCTCATGGAAGAGTATCCACATCTACATCGCCTCGCATGAGCCGACTGGATAGTCTACATAACAGCCCTATTATCGCGACTTCCACATCTTGTTGGTTTTATTTTCCTTTTCCCATGTGGTTTTGCCTTTATCGCCACCGATCATATCCATTTGGACCTTCACGGCCTCACAAGTGGCAGTCTTGTTTATCACTAATACCCTAATTATTTCGAGCGGAAGGGTTCACCCTCGACCTCTTTCATCCCCACCTCTAGCTACACACACCGCCTTTCAAAATGGCCAAAGCAACACCAAGTGCCGATTCCAAGGGCAAGGGCAGGGGCAAGCCAGCGCCTCTCGAAGGTGTCGAGAAGGCCCTGCCCACGCGTCCCGGAACCTCAGGCACGGAGCACCTCCTCATCACGAACCGGCGACAAGCATCTGAGCAGTTCGTCAAGGCCCAGCGCGCCGAGAAGGCGTACCGGGCGAAGAAGCACGCCTCGCTCGCCAAGTACAATTACGCCGACACCAAGGGCCACTTCAAGGAGAGCTTCACGCACTGCGGGCTCGGCATGAAGGGGCTCGTGTCCGTCATTCGGGCTGTTCCTTACCTGATCCGCGACAAGCGCGAGAAACGTCGCCAAAAGGCGGAACTTGCGAAGCGTCAGCGGGATCTGGAGAGGAAGAAGAAGCTCGAGGAGGAGCTGGCTAGGCAAGAAGTGGACGATGATGCTGATGAAGAGCATCCGGAATAGGCTCGAGTTTCGGCTCAGCCGAAGACACCAGTACTGAAAGGGGAGGGGACCATCAATATACCCCGAGATTGACATCAATACTCGACACCAACACCGATACCAACAGGTTCAAGAACGTTCAAAGACAAAAACAACCACATTCACTATTTTCCTATGTTCAGCCAGGCGCTCGTACCCACATGGGACACCACTGTCGCTTACAGCCATCACCACTGGTCTACAACACGCAGCAAAATGCTGCACCTTAAAAGCCATCGAGTATGCTCGAAACTCTGCCGGTGCCCGCCATCAGTTGAAACAAACACAACCTTTTCCATTTTTAGATTTTACGTCATGACGAAACAATGTTAATGAGACTACATGATCACCATAATCCCTGTCGGATGGGAGTATATATTCGTCGGGCATGGGAGTTTGGTCATATTAAGTATGCTAATTTTCCTCATGTTTCCTGGTTTTTAGATACCTTGTTTTGTGGGAAACTTGGAATAGCTTAAGCTTTGGAGGGGGGAGAGGGGGTAGAGGCTATTCATATGAGAAGTCTATGAACTGCTTGCTATTGCAGTAAGCGAAACAGCCTTGACGTAATCAGAATACCAGTTGTTGCCGGCTGCAGATTGCAGCCGGCTTTTCATCACTGCTCATTTTCATGTAACCATGTCAACATTGCGATTGTGCAAATAAACACCAGGGCCCAATTTTCATCATAAACCATTAGCAGAGCATTCAGTCTATCTGCATTTTTCCGATGCCCACCATATCCCGTTCCTCTCCCGCTTACGCAGCCTTCTTTGCGAACTCGACACGTAAAATCAGATGCTTGAAACCGTAGCCGTCCATCTTGCTGCACGCCTTGACAGCATCGCCTCTGTCCGCAAAGCTGATGAATGCAAAGCCCTTTGCCATACCCGTCTCGCGGTCCTTGGCCAAGAACACGCGAGTAACGCGTCCAAAACGCTCAAACATGTCGCGAAGCTCGCTTTCCTCTGCCATTTCGGAGACCTGTTTTAGGGTCAGTCTCATGTGTGCTCGCAACAACCAAAGTAGATAATAGTAGGGTGAAACTCACGTTCGTGACACGTAGCGTAGCAAGGTCGTCCCTTTCGCCATACTTGCCGCCCATCTTCTCGCCCGCACCCGCACCGGACCCTCTCAGAGCCGGCGGGACGTAGCTGCCCTTCTTACCCGCACCAGCTCCTCCCGCAGCTGCAGGCTCGTCGCCCATGCCAGCAGCTGGGTCGCCCGCGGCACCCTCGGCACCCACGGGGGCCATGGTATCCTTGTAGGGACAGCGAGCAGTGAAATGCTCGCCATTACAGATACGACACTTGACCGTCTTGTCCTTCAGCTTCTCCTTCATGGCGGTGGCGCCGGCGTCCTTGCCCTCCTCCTTGGTGTCCTTGCGCCAGTTGGTCGACAGGCGGAAGATGATGTTCTCGCCCACCGACGTCGTGTCCATCTGGGGTCCCGCACCGTCCTTCTCCGATAGGCCGAACTTGGCCCACGTCTTGCGCTCGGCCACACGCGGGTCGACTACCTCGCGGTGCGTCACCAGCCGAATCCGCCGCGTCGTCTTGACCTTCTGGCCTTGGTCGTTGTAGCGCCAGGTCACCGTCGTTTTGGTTCCGTCCTTATTTTGCATCGTCTGCGGCGGCGGCAGCTCCGTCGTCGTAGTCTCGTCGAGATCATCGTCGTCGGCCCAATCTCTGTGTGTTGTGCGTGGCCACGGTCAGCAAACGGGGCAGTCCCACGAGCGAAGAGCCCATCATCAACTGTGCAGCCGTACCTTTGCTTGTTCGACATTATGAAGGTATTTCTGTGCTATCCGGCGTGTGGTTGATCGTTGATTTGTGCAGAAACTCGTTGCTGTCTTTGCGCAATGATGGTTTTTTGGAGGTCAAATGTGGGAAATATCTAAATTCGACGCAGGATGTGGGGCAAAAATATGCCCCTCGTCTGCAGTGGAAGTGAGATTGGCATGAGTTGCCCAAAGCTCAAGGCTCAGCTTAAGGCTCAGATCAAGTCACCTTGTCTCCGTCGACAACCATGGATCGCATAATTTGGTTTATTCTTGGGGATCTATTGCTCATGAGACAATTCAAGTCAGGATGCTCTCATTTTTGCCTGTTTTTAGAGCCTCAACAACACTTTGCAATGACACCTTCGTGGTTGACCATTTGGTCGTTGGCCAATATTACCAACAGTCACACTAGCTAACCGCAGAATTCATCGGCTGGCTAAAGTGGCCATTGACCAAATCCCAGACCTAAAAAATCACGCAGCTGGTTTCTCAAACACAGGTAGCTTGTCCCATGTGCGCACGAATCTCCTTTAGTTGCCTAGCGATGACGCAAGGAAAAACGATGTAGCTTCGTGGGTTGTTACTCCATTTTAGGCGTTACAACCGTCCACACCTGGAATTAAGCACATCTAAACCTGTCATACTCAACATACGAACTTTGATGAGGTCTGCAATCGTACTTTGCTAATTTCAATATTATCTTATTGTCTCAACTAAGTCCTTGTAGTCCACAAATGGATATGGATTATGGATAAGCTCGCCATCAATCAGGCTTTGTTAAAGTGCATCCTCCAATATTCGTTCACATCGTAAAGATTTGTAGACCCGCGGTCAAGCAGTGGTATCTTCTTTTCCCTGCCATCCCTATAATAACCATACTCATCCAAGACGCCGTGTCCACCTCTCAATATACTGCAGCGGCGGCGGTGGCAGCAGCATGATGTGGCTCGCCTCTATACAAGATCTCAATGTCACAGGCCGCTGATATAAATATAATACATGCACAGCTAAGAAGCCGGTTTTTCAATAGAAAGGGCTCCGTGAAAGTAGTCGGGACATTGCTGTGGTGGGACAAAAGAAACGCATTCATGCTTTGACGCTTCGAAGTGTGTTTGTTGCAGGACTATGCTTCTTTGGAATCGGCGGCAGAGCACAAGTCGGTGGTGGAAGAGGAGGCGGAGGCACGTCTCCAAGCTGAGGCATGCTTCGTCGATTCAACAAATGCTTTGTCGTTGGGTCATTGGTTAAGAATTGAGGCGAAGTGGCGGTACATGGGGATTTGGTCAGGCGCTTCGAGGATCTACGCGGCAGTGAGGGAAACTTCCCGTCCGTAGTACCAAGGTCACCAACGTTGGTGAATGAATGCCGGGCCGAGAGCGAAGGGAGGTTCTCTGCCAGAAAGCTTCCCCGCTTGTAGGAAGTGGTAGTGGGAAGTTGTCGTTCCGGGCCGGGAGAATCCACGGAACTCAGCGACCGAAGTGTTTCCTCCCGGACCTCCAACTTGGATAAAAACTTCGCTCTAGGAGGCGGAAGGGCCCCAGGGAGTATGAAGCTGGGAGCATTGGACCGCGACCTCTTCGGTGACATCTCCTTCAAGGCGCCCACACTACTCCTTCTTGGTGGGCTGGTTTGGATATTAAGTCTAAGAGTTGGTACTGACTGTCGTACCGCTGCCAGACTTGACCCTCGCGTGGGGAGCACTTCGCCTCTTGTCGCAGATATTGCAACATCCTTGACCCATGCCGAAAACATTGAAGGCGAAGCGGGACCCTCCTCTGCCGGAGGGCTTGGGGGTCGCAGTGTGGTAGGACCTCTCGTTTCCAGGGGCGAGCAGAGCGGCGAGGGTTGATCAACAACAACGGACAGGGGCCGCGACATTGCTAAAGCGGTCGGCGGCGGTTTGCGTGTTGTCTTGACGGTCAGCTCCTGTTCCGGCTCCTGAAATTGGTCAGAAACAGAATCGAGCGGCGTGGTCCGCACACCAGACATCCGTCTGCTCGTGTTATGAGGCACGCTGAAGTTCGGTATGCTTGAACGCCCAGGCGCGAATTGATATCCATCTTTCTGGACGGTCGAGCTGGGTGCGGTCGAGCGCGGGCGGATGGTAGGATCTATGCGTCCATCGAAAGCTGGCATCATAGTTTGCATCGACTGCCTACGATTCGCGATTGCCTGCGCGTTGGGACGGAGACGGACTTCTGGCACACTCGTTTGCGGCAAGGGGTCATCAGAATGGCGGGAGAAACTAGGACGAACAGGTGAGCATGCCGGAGAAGAGCCCGCAGAAGTCATGACTGTCCTCTGCCCAGATGATATAAACGACAGCCAATTACCGCTGTCTCGCAAACTGTCAAGGCGCTGTCCATCAGATGAGTAGTGACTCTCCGTAGTAGACGCGTCGTCCAGCACGAACTCTAGTGCAGGCTCTGTCGGCGTCAGCGCGGGAAGGGTTTCGGTAGGTTCCTTCAGGGCAGTTGGCGATGTCCAGGAAAAGTCTTCATGTTTTACGCTAGTGAAGCGTTCGGGATCTCGGACGACAAGTATCCTTTGACTGGGTCGCGCTCTGAGTGGCGATACGATGTCCTCCATGTTCGGTTTGCCAGTTTCCGTGAGCTTCTTCTTGCCACCCAGTGCCTCGATACCCCGTCGCAATATCGCAAGCCAGCTGTCCATGTCCTCGGCACTCTGAAATACCATCAGCATGTTGGACGCGTGCCTCTTTTCAGGACCTCGGAGTGCCAATTTGGCAAATAATGACTTCGAGTCTGAAGAAGTGGTGCCGTCAGAATCCATGTATGAAGAAACTTGCAAAACCCAGTGCCTTCCTGGGATGAGGTCGCTAGCGAATGCAGCAGAATCCTTGCTTAGTTGGAGTATCTTCTCGGGCAAGCGGTCGAAGGAACCTTCTGCAGCATATTGAAGTAAATAACCTGACGTGACAAACACGTAAATCTTGCTAGTCCAATCCAAGATATTCCTCGAACCCCCCCGTTGGTGTCTTCTCCTACTGCTCTTCTCCCCTTTTCTTTCGGCGTCATCTTCCTCGTCCATGTTTGACGCCGCAGGTGTCGTGTTGTCATGCATCAGCAAGCTGCCTCGATTGCCACTCATGCGAATGAGCACGTCAATAGATGCATTGCATGCTGATAAAGTACTGTGCTTGATCGCCTGAGGATACACTTGGAATAACGGGGGCGGATCCCAGGGCGCGTTTGCTGACCTCGCAGTGCGTGGTGTCTTTATGGTTGCTTCTGGTGGGGTTTTGGTTCTGGGGTGACTCGGATGTCCCAGCCGAGCAGAAGATGACTGGGCTTTGGGCGTTGCTGATGTAGACCTGGAGGAAGCGGTTGTGTGCGTTAGAGGCAGGAAAGCTGATTCGGATCGTGGAGGGTGCAGTGTGTGTGGCCAATTGCCGATCTCTGCCAACGAGGCGCGAATCCCCCCCGGTCTTGTAGACAACTCGCGCAAAGAAGACGGGTCGTCTGACTCTTTTGGATGATTTCCATCCTTGCCTGCCCTGGACCGGCCGAAAATGCTCCTCAAACCGACCCTCGACTCCCGCTTCACCAATGCCTCCGGCTGTGAATCTGTTCGCAGGGAAACTCGGTTCTCGTCCCCGGCTGTGTTGATATCTGGTGGCCGGGGGCGCCGCATGCTGTTGGAGTGAGATTGGAGGGACTCGAAAGCTCCGTAGGTGGAACTCATTGACTTCTGGTGTGACATGCTTTCCTCCTGCTAAATATGTCGTCGTGTTTCTCGTTGTCACGCCGTGGTGACGATAAAGTGATGAAGATGGTGTCCGCTACAGATATGGGTATGTTACCCTCAAGTTGTGGAAAGGCGCAATGCTGTTTGAAAAAGGCGGGCGTGACGGGGAGGATCAAATCCAGCAACAGCCGACTGAGACACTCGATGGAAGAATGAGGGCCGCCAAGGCATGTATAGCTCATCAACAGCTAGCAACCCGGGTATCACAGCGCCAGGATGTTAGGTGCTGCTAGGTGCAAGAAACCATTGTATGTCAAGGAGGTCAAGGCAACCCTGTGTAAGCTCCGAGCGCATGCTCTTGCGCAAGAAACCCGGAACGTTGTTCAGAGTCTTGACTCTCTTTCAGGTTGTCCAGGTTGATGAGCGCTCAGATCGTTCCCGGGAAGACCGTCGGATGGGACGAATCGGCCGATTGGCCAACTAGGCCCAAAGTTGCTCGAGTAGACTTTGGGGTGGTAGAGTTTGGGGCATCAAGCTACTTGAGTGAATACACAATAAAGGTACCTCGCTTTAAGAGGGTCCAAGGTTAGGCCAAAAGGGAGTGAACAGCGAGACGGCGCCATGGCGCATGAGACATGGGGACGAAAAGAAGTTAAAGTGCAGAATGGCGAATGCAGAGCAAATGCACAATGGAGGGGATTTACACATGCTCAAGTTTATTGACGTCGCACTATCGATGACGGCTGGGCCGCAAAATAGCGACCCCAACTGACTTACACGATTTGATGAACAGGGGCCCGGTGGAATACCCTGTCCGGAAACATCAGCCGTCGTGCTGGGCAGTCATGGGTTTGTTGTGATGTGGGCTGGGCTGCCCCAAGTCAGGGCTGGGCGGCTGTGCATCCATGCTGAGGCGCGGCGCCTGTTCACGACCCTGCGCACGACCCTGCGAGACGGGACGGATGCACCAAAATGGGCCAGAAACAATCCACGATAGAGATTTGTTTGGCCGGTACATTTACTCCCTCAGAGCATGCCAAGCTCCAAGGGGAAACGGCATCTACGACACCACAGACGCCACAGGGCCGTGTGCAGGGGCTATGAGGCCGACTGGATTACTAGCCAGGCATTCGGCGACAATCAGCGACCTCCATGATAAGTTCATTACTCATGTCTGCTACGGGGGACTCAGATGACGGAGTCTTTTGAGCCTCATGGTGGGATGTGCGGCCACACGAGCGGCCAGCTGGGTCAGAGCAGATCCATAGGAAACTTTGGAAACCTTTTCGACGAACTGGGATGTCCGCAATTTGAATTTGCCGTTGAACTTACTTGGTCAAAGTGGCAGGGCAGCAAGCAAGCAATGGGAGAATACACCTCTGGAACGTGACGTTGGTTTTTTTGCACAATCTGTGTCCAATTATGTCGAACGCCAATTTACCACGGACGTTTGTGTCTGGTTTCCAAGGTTGTTTTGAGTCTGTGAGAAGAAACGCGCCCGCGGCGTGCCCCCTGCCCCTGAGAGGGGCAGCTAATCAACGACGGAGCTGCTTCAGGGCTCCCTCGTCTTGTCAAGTGTCTGCAAGAAAAGATGACTGATTTTGTCCATGGGCAGAAATTTTTCATTCCAGAGCACGATTTGTAAGCAAGCAACCGATATCAACCGTCAAGCCGTTACCCAGCTACGTTGCGAACCTTGCATGTGAATAAATCGTGGGGCAGAAACGAGATCTAACAGGATCTAACAGGATCTAACAGCGGGCAGGAATTCAACGTCGGAATGAACGGGCAGCAGCACTGTGAGCACAGTTGATCAACGCGCCGATCAACCAACGAGAGACAGGACTGGCTGGGAAGCAGATCTTCCAGGAAACCAGGTACCGAATTCCTATTAAGGAAAGTGCAGATGTAATAGGCAGCAATCGTTTAATTAGAACGCATCCAATGCGCTTAGGCTGGTCATGTCGCTTAAAATAACGACATATCTTTGCCATTTTGCTGGATAATTTTGATGGCACAAGGTAAAAGTATCCGATAGGAATTGGGCAGGTAACAGATGAGGAGTATTGTCGTTGCCAACTGACCGAGTCGATGGAAACCTGCGGTGCGCGACTGCTCTATGCGTACATTTTGGCCTGCATTATAGCACCCAACCAACTCGAGCTGCACGTGCATGACATTCCCGAGGTTCGACAGCAAATACAAGTGAGGTTGCTCCGCGCATCAGAGAAACCTTTCCTGAACATCCCAAGATGAGGGTTTCCATGCGCCTGCAGTTACCATGAGACTGCCAGCTCTTCCGGCGCAAGGCGGTGCAGAACAGCAGATTGATGTCAATTGATGAATCGACGGATTTGGCATCTTAGGGGTTTCGGCAGCGTGCATGACCTCGTCATACCAATCGTTGCTCAGGTCAGCATTCCCAAGAAACTTTTGGTTTCTTCCTAGTTAGCTCCACGAATAACGCCTGCCGGGTTTCGCTTGCGACATGCATACTAATGGATGCTGAACAACATTGGCCTTTCGTGTCATCAAGTCCGTTCGTGAGCCTAGCAACTAAATATTCGGCAGACGCGCAAGCCCATACCCAACCGAATCAATTAACCATTGTTGCCTGTAACGCCAAATTCTCACCGTATCTCTGCCATCCTGGCAAACGCAAGAAGCAATATTGACTGCAGAAAGTGATGAATATTACATGCGCCAATGCAGAGGATAGATCCCGAAAAGTGGCATCGGAAATTACCCCTCATTCTACTTAAGTACAACGGGACGCTTGGGTCCTTCCCTGATCTCTCCTTGGAACCAGGTCCGCGGCTTATCGGGCTCTCAGGGCTGCAGGGAATATCGCAGCATCCTCGTTGGCTCCCTCTGCAGCGGTTCCTGTCAATTGTTGCAGGGGTCCATTTTGCTTGGACGGCGCACATTATCTGTGTTCTTGAATCTCAACGGCGAGCGTCGCACATGAATAGACAATGGGGTGGCTTTCAGTCATTTTTACACATCTACCAGCAGTGTGCCTTTAACCAGAACCTTGACGAATACAACACACCTATCTGCCCCAGAACTCTTCTTTGAGACCTGCAGCTCAGCTCACAGACGGTGTATTCCCACACGCGTGGCGAGAGTACGACTTCTATATTGCTGCGATGCTTTGTTGTAAGGTGTGACAAAAACCCCAAGTCAAAATTGAGTCTTACTCATTCTCAGCTGTCACGAGCTGGGCGCGTTCGGCTTGTCGAGGTGGGCCTAGGTTCCATTGCCATGGTCTGTCAAGCAGGGTTACCACCTTACCCCGGCCCCTCAGAACGACTGTCTGGCGCCATCGTCCATTGCTTCTGGCCAAAAGCAACGAATCAGTGGAGGCAAGTTATCTCGACTCGCATCGATATTCCCATTCTTCATCCATTCTTCATGAATTTCAAAGAACCATCCAGACTCTAGATGTGCATCCCGCAATCCCGTTGCGCTAGCCACATCGTGGGGTGCAAGTCTCGAGCTTGTCCAACTAGCACACCTCGACGTACTTGCCTAGAACTACTCCACCATGTCAACATTCTCAGGCATGGCTTTTAGCCTTTGGAATCCAAAACTCCGACTTTAGTTCGCTTCACTTAAGAAGTCTCACAGACAATTCGTGAGTCAAGTTCGCACTGATACTCGGACAGAACAAAACTTCTTGAACATTCTGGAGTGCCTGACCGTTAGGAGGCTTAGAGTCTTACTAACCAGATCTGCGGCGCGCCATTCTCCCAACCACCATTGGCGCTATCAAGGTTCGCGCGCGGCTTCAATTCGGTCATAACGGAGGACCAGCGGCTGTGCATCCTCGTGGCGAGATGTCCTAGTGAGCTCGTGTTGCTTCTCCGGTATCGAGGGAAGGAAGCGGTTTAATGATTTTGAGTCACCGTAGCTGAATCAAGCGTCGACGCTGAGGCATCCTGCGACGGTGAAACACTTCCAGACTTTCTTACTTTTGATACCACGCAATGGTCTGGTGTCAGCAACATGGAATTCCACGTGAACACGTTGATGTTTGAAGTTTCAAGTGCTGACGATGTTTTCAGACCATGACTGATCGTGTCTCTTTGGCCACTTCCACTTTTGACAGCTGCCATGCCATAGGAATTGGCGACATGAAGGATTCAGAGTCCAATTGTTTTTCGTTTCCTCTTCTCAGTGCATATCCGCAATCAAGCCGAGGTGACGAGGAACTCCAGATGGATGCCGGAGAGCTACTGCTGCGGCCTTTCCTGTTCAGCATTGCTCAATTTGCTTGCACTTTACGGCCCGTTTACTCAACCCAACTTCGGAAGTCCGGATGAGCCTTCTGTTCAAGACTTTGCCAACACTTCCTTGCGTCCTGTCTTGCCCGATATAACATGGCGAATACGAAGTTACGCACTCCGTGGCAAGTAAAGGCAGTAAGTACCAAGCTTTGGGTTGGCTATGCTGAGTCAAGTGCCGTTTCCCTGCCAGTGTCCATGACATGAGATGTAGCGATCGTCAGTATTATGCCTCCCAGAAGCACAGCAACTTTCGATAGAGTCTATTTCGATAAGGAGTCGGTATAAGACTGCTGCGCAACGCATAGCCCAATTCGATATGAGGAGTGTCTTCAGCAGCAGCCAGAGGACCACTATCTAGGCACTTCATGACCAGGCCTGGACTTGATCGTAAGTAGACTCGTCCATCTTGCAGTATTCTAGGTGCGTGCATGAAAGAGTTTCAAAACCTCACAAGCAATACAAGAAGATGACGAAACTACTCACCACAGGCCTACCTACCACTGTTGAACCATCATGTCACTATTTGCAAGGGACACTGAACCCTTCGTCAGGTTTCTTCAAGTCTATATCGAGTCTTAGAGGAGAAATGCCCCAAACAAAAAACACATGTTGCGTGCCCCAGGCACATCAGCATGCTGGGTAGGGCGCTTAGGCCAACTGCCCGTAGATAGTCCTTTCGTAGCTGCCGATACCTGGAAGTTAGTCCCTTCATCATCATCATCATCACCAATATAGCTCTCTTGCCTGTATTGCCCACAAAATAAATAGCTTGCACCTCCGAAACCCTTGGTGGGTTGGTGGGTGTTGCTGATTTATATTGACCTACGTTCTGTAGAACACTTACACGTAAAAGCGCTTCAAAGTAACCAAAATTTAATACCCAGCGCTTATTTAGGACCACGATGCTTGGGATATATGATGGTTTTGTACTAGCCTATTATAAGTCATATTATTTCATTCATTCTTTTGGTTCGCAAGGCTAGCAAAGTTTATCGAAATAGTCGACTTTCCAGAAACAGCCTGCTTCAAAGTAGAAAAAGATCAGAGCGAGGACAGTGTAAATGTGGTAGGTCAAGATCAGAGCCATACCGCTACAGTGCTGTATCCTTATCACGCCCATACTACATTTATTAGCCAATCTGATGATGTACTATTAGAGCTTAGATGGTGCGAGTGCATATGGGGAGGTAAAGCGTGTGTATTGGCTTAGGAAAGCTTGGTTGGCTAACTCGCTGGCTGGCAGCCTTGTAGTCCTACCCTTATCTTATCTATAGCTATAGGGTGAGCTTCCTCGGAGTCACGCGCCATTAGACTATTTCCTATTACCGCTGTTCTCTGTAGATGTTAGTAGCGCCCTGGATCTTCATGTAGGTTACAGTACTCCAGCGGATACTGTACGTGGACCAAAATCTAGCTCTAGCTCGTTATGCTCTCTTTTGCGTAGAACCAACAGGTATGGCCAAAAAGTCGATACTGGGACGGCCCATGTTTCATCTTGCGTGAAAAATGGTTTCCAGGAAGTCCACCATGCTGCATAAGCAGTGATTGAGGGTGGAATATTGAAGGAGTGACAACATTCATGCTTACTCAGCATCCAAGAAACTTGATGGACTTGACGTGCCCCTTGCTCCTCTCTGAACAAAGGCTGGTTGTGAGGATTCGCAAGAGGAGTTTAATATCTGACGAGTGCCTTTCCAGAAGGTAAAATTCTTAGTAGTCTGGTTGTGAGGATTCGCAAGAGGAGTTTAATATCTGACGAGTGCCTTTCCAGAAGGTAAAATTCTTAGTAGTCTGCGTGAGTTCATCATTTCGCATTCATGTCCCTTTCGGTACTGATATGATATGTAAGTAGTGTTGCCAACAAAAAGTTGGATAGGATACACCAAGTAGTTGCGCTCTCAAGGATCATGCCACCTTGATCAGCAATGCAAAGATACGATACAAAGCCATTGCCCCGTTGCCAGTTCCTGGACCCTCCTTACCGCCAAACGCCTTTATAGTTCCGGGTCCGATTTCCTCGCAATGCCGTCAGAAAATGCACATCACTCCTCTTTCGGAGTGTCCGCGACTGCTGTCGGTTGCACCGCTGTTGCGACCGATGCAGTGCCGTCTTCCTCGGATGCCGAAGTGGATTGCAAGAGATGAGAAGGATGCGCTGGTTCTCGCGTAACAGAAGCATTAGCGTGAGCCTCGCTCAATTGGCGCTCTGCGAATAGGTTAGCAAGGGCCAACTTCATGAAGATAGCATGAAGGACATGTGCATACCTAGTTCGCGAATGCGGTGGCGCAACATCTGATTCTCGCGAACCATAGACTGAGTTTCGGCTTGATAGAATGCACTTTCGTCCCGACCGCCGAGGATCCACTGCTCGCCGCTCTGGCTACTAATTGAGGTGGATCGCATCCTGGGAGACGAGGCCCCACGGCTAGGTGTTCGGGAGCGTCGATCGAAGGAACTGCGCGGGTGGGACAAGACAGGAGACCGCGGCATCGAAGTTGATAGTGATGAATGGTGAGAAGGTGGCGGAATTCCTCCGCTGCTCTGGTGTTGGATGGCCGAATTGGATCTCTCTGAGCTGGGCGGGGCATCCTCGGCGGCAACACTGCTTTGGGTCTGACCCTGGGCTGCTTGAAGCTGCTGGAGTTGCTGTTGTTGTTGACGTATCATCTGCAACAGACGGTTCACCTGTGCCTCTTGCTCGGCCTCGAGCTCTTGGTGAAGTTCGCCCAGACTGGGTGCCCGGTTGTGATGGGGGTCGCCTCCGCTTAAGAGGGGAGACGCAGTTATAGACCCTGGACTGGTTGCCCTATATCCACTGGCGTGCCCCTCGTTCACCATTTCACCAGGCCCAGGGCGGGCGGGGTCGTTGAGCTGGAGGTTCATGAGAACGGCAGATTGGCGACGACCGGCGTTGGGCGAATGTCGATGCCGTGATAATGAACTACTCGAAGAACCTGTGAGGAGGCATCGTGAGTAATATAATCAGGGACTTATACGGGTCACAAGTCTTACGTCGTGAGGGCTCATGTTGAAGACCAGCGTTTAATGTGGCAGCTGCCTGCAGAGAGATGGAGGCGGACCGAGAGGCGGGCGGCGGGGACTCGCCGGTAGTATGTGTCTCACCCGGGGAGCTGGAGGAATGCATGTTTCTAGAATATGAAGAAGGGGGAAGCGAGTTTAGGTCTGGAGCCATCGCAATCAAGGACGAGGCGGCTCCAAGTAGACTATGCGGTTCATATAGGGTTCCTAGGCAGCGGAGAACAGCGTTGGAGGAGTGGGCCTGCTGACTGTGAGCCGGTTCGGTGTCGAGGGCGTCGAAAGCGGCGTCGAATAAGGAGTTGGACAAGACGTGCCCATTGCCCGATCGAACCAAGGAAGGGGGCAGGCCGTTCAGTAACTCCGGGGCACGCAGGCAGTTCGTTCGCAGTGCTCAGGTGATGATGGAATGACTTTGTGGGACGGTGGATATAAAGGTCTGCGCAGGTGATGTATCGAGCTCGGCAACTACTCCAAGTCGGTTGCTGCTACCCCTGCTGTAGGTCTTCGCCTACTGGTGCAGTGGTGGCGGACCACATTGGCGGGGCAGTGGCACTAAACCTATTTCAGTTTTGACTCCTAATCAGTTCCTGATACTCGCACCTACCTATCCAAAGTCCCCTACTCTTCTCTACTACAAGGTGAGGACTTTGCGACTTAGAATATCTCGGTGAGTGTACATGGCAGATGGCCTATACAAAAACATATTGGAATATAAGCAGCGAGGCCTAAGTCTATTGCTTCTATGTGTAGCACCGTATGTACTATTACAAAAATCGTGAGTGGCACTTGTTTACACATTCCAAGCCTCCATCTGCATGTACTACCCGATCTCATGCTGCCGCGGCGAGGATTGTTTCTCGTTTTCCCCATACTGTTCCTCTCCATACTCATCGTCCATTTCTTCTAGTTCTTCTGTCATTCTTCTAGGCCCCTCAATCGACAGAATGTCTCGTTCCACGTCCGAGTGAACCAAGATCATAGAAGTTACGGCACGGTGTGTTTGCGGCGTTTCCTCCTCGATATGCTTGAGAATCTGATTGGCTTCCGGCGAGAAAGTGCTCATCTTGTCCAGCTCAATGTAGCCGCGAACCAGATAGTAGAACGTATGTGCCGTCGGTCGGAGGTGCCGAGGCTGCATTCCCCTTCGCCGTGCGTCAAGCGAAATCTTATTCTTCATGTTCGCCTTGGCCCGAGCCACATACCAACCTGTCCAGTTGGGCATGAGATATTTTTCGCAGACTTCAAATGCCTCTTTGTAGGCATTGAGCTTGACGAGCCCTTGCACATACATGTTCCAACTCCTACTGTTCAGTTTGAAACCCGCCGCGAGCACATCGGCAACAAGCTTCCGAAGTCCCGCCAGGTCGCCTTGAGATACCCGCAGTTCTTGCATGATCTTCAATCCATCCGAGAGAACGTATTGGTACTCCGGCGACACCCTGGAACCTTGGGAGGCTGGCAAGTAATCGCTCCAATCGGCCGAGAGCGCGCCTCGCTTGGCAATACCGAACATGACACCCCATGTCTCCTGGACGCGATCGTATTGCCCCTCGTGCCAGTCAGCCAGCATGATTGAACTCAACAAACGCACGGGCAGAACATCTCCCTTGCTCCGATTGATTCTGTAGACATTCTGATACAAGCCAACAAGCTTCTTGACAGTCATGAAATCCTTCATTTGCGTGAAGAGATAGATCATCCGACCGAACTGGAAAGTTTGCGGGTGCATATCTAGTAGTTGACCCGAGGTCTGCGGTACGGCAGAAGCCTCGTGGTATTTCGTGCCTTTGCCTTTCCGGTCGTCATAGAACGAACAGAACTCCTCCAGCGCCGCGCGAAGCAGACGATCCCCCGAGGCACCAAGCTGTCGGGAAGGAGGCAACCTTTGCCACTGGCCAAATGCTGTTGCCAATCCAACTATGCTTGTCGCCGATGATGCAAAGCCAACTTGTTGCATGAGCTTGTGTACTTTGAACGCTATGTCAGACTCTCCCGTCTTGATAAAGGCACCCAAAAGTGTGTGGAAATGGTCGGCCGTGACTAGGAATGCAGACTCTTTGATGGCAACAGCGAGCAACTGAAGCGCATGCTGACTCTGCCGAGAAAGCGAGAGTCCAAGCAGGAGTTCGTTGTAGGTATGGTGATCGTATGGAACCTCCATGTTAGTCATGACACTCAGGAGACGGTTTATCCTCGTGAGGTTGCGACGCAGCGCATAGGCGTGCAGGACTTTGTTCCATACCCGCGTGGGTTTAATTCCTCTCTTAGCTGCGCGCACACACACGTCCTCGGCTTCGTGAAAATGGTCGTTGTGGCAGTAAGCTTCGACGAGCGCGCCGAGCATCGCTGAGTTAGTATGGATCTCTTGCCGCCGTGCTCGACGGTAGAGATCGACAGTGAACCCCAGGTCTCCTCGCGAGGCAGCCATCTGCATCAATGTCCCGTAAGTGTATTGGTCTGCACCAACAGCTTGAGCGATTTCTTCGAAGGTTGCAATGCTACCATCATAGTCCCCCGTCTTGACCTTTGCATTAAGCAGGATGTTCCAGCAGTGTCTGTTAGGCTCAATGCCAAACTTCTCCTTGATATCGTTGAATATTTTCTGGACTTCGTGGATCTCTTCTCGAACAGCATGTACCTGAAGTAAATGGGCAAACGTGTCGTCACCATGTATAACATCGAGGTCAGCGTACAACTCCATGTAGTCTGTCCATAGCTTGTAAACCCGTTCTTTATCGCCCTCTGCGGCGTAGAAGCCAAGGAATTTTTGATAGGCACGCCGGGTTGGCTGGCCGTGAAATCTATGCCAGTCACCCCATAGCCTTTCCAGATTAGCAAGCTTGGCAGATGTCGAATGCATCGCAATGTAGGCTGTGAAAACCGTGTGTAAAACGGCATGGCTTGGTTGACAACCTTGCTGGCTTCGATAGCGCCGGTATATGTCGGGGACGTTCCTTCGACGGCCTCTGAATGAAAAATGGCGTAGAAATTCTTCAAAGGCGAGATGATCGTGAGTCATGGACAATAATTGGAGGACTTGGTCGTCGGAACAATTAGCAAGAGCCCGTCGGACGAGCAGCCTCCGAAGAACTTTGCCGCCGGCCCTTTTTCGCGTTTGTTCAAAGTAACTCTTGAGAGCAAGAATCTTCTCAGGAAGACCAGAGACCATAGCCACGCGGCTGAGTTGACTAGTTATACTCTCGAATTCCCATCGACCCGCCATCATGTTGTGAAGTTTCCAGAGGTCATTCAACAAGTCTGTAGTCGAAGATTTTATGGCAGAAGCAAGCAGTAGATCAAATGCCTCGATCAGGGATGGCACGTCAATATCAGTGCTTGAGAGACCTTTCGCAAAAATTTCCAAAGCCCGCTGCTCGTTTTGTAAATTCATTTCGGCCGTGAGGCCTGCCACAAACGTGTAGCTATCCCACCGAGTTGGGTCAATTTGTTGAAAGAGCTCCGATATTTTCCAGGAATCCGTCACACTGCCCGTCTTGGAAAGAAAGACAAGGGTCTGCCCAAGGTAAATAGCCTTGGACTGTTCGTCCAGCGACCGGTAGTGACGCCAGACTTGATCGGCATCGTCGGGGGTTCCGTTTGTTAGGAGAGCGACGAGAGCCTCCACATGATCAGCATCACGGTGACCATACATATTCTGAGAGTCATCCAATCTTATAGCAGCGTCCACGTCCTGGACGGCTGGTGTTTGATCGGCCGTGGCACCCTCGATATCTGCCCCGACAGCATTCTCTTGTCCTGACGCATCGACCTTGCCCGCTGCCGGAATTTCTGTTGACTTTTGTTCAAAGTGACTTTCGTCAACCTTGGTTTCCGCGCTCGGGGCCAGAGGTGTCGACGTCGCCGAAGAGCTGTAGAGTCGAGGCGAAACTTTTGCGAAGCTGTGTCCGGGAGCTGGGCCAAATCGGCGCATGAAGGCGACGGTGACATTGGGATAGAGGAAGTCGAGGAGAAAGGACGAGGCTCGGAGAGAAGTGTTCTTCGTCTCTGGTGAGTCGGTATTTAAGTTGAAAACACCGTGCATCAAGGCCTGCCATGCGTTGCTGAGCTCAACACCAGCAGCGCCATGCTGCCAGAAAGCCGTATGGAGCTGACGCCTGCTCCGAAAGGATTTGGTAGCTAGGGGCAGTAGAAGGCCGCATGGTTCGAGGCTCGCAGCTGTCTTCTCTAGCATTGGAGAAGTTGTGTAAGGTATTTTTGGCAGAGGCAATGACTTCTCATCTCATCCTCAGCACTTTCGCATCGGGCGTTAGTCGAGCTGGACACCGCAAATTTTGACAGGATTTGGTAACAAGCGATAGTACGCACAAGTCAACATGACGTAAGCCTCTTGTTAGTTTGGGATGAACAAATGGCTCATCCAAGCATAGGTGTTCCGGGGTTCGCCTGGTCCGCAAAATGCAATCAGACACTCTGATATCGCATTAGTCTTGGAGCGCCGGTTAAGAATTATTTTGTATCCGGGTCGCGCTTAGCAAGATGAAGAACTTCGGTTTAAGAGCCTAGAGCCGCAGGGAGTTTGGCGCGTAATATTCGACACGGTTATTACCCCACTTGCACCCACCCGAGCCACTTCGAACGCTGGGGTTAAGTTCCCCTGAGCAAGCTTACCTAGGAGCACTCAGACTATTGGTACCGCCCCACAACTATTCTTGGTACTGCTACCCCACCACCATCAAATGGACGGCAAGCCCAAACAATGCTTCAGCAACAAATTGTCGTGTTCAACGCAACTAACGCATCTCACGCCGACGGCAGGTAGTCTTGGCTCTTAGCGAGCCTCTTAACCGCCATGGACATCACCAACTTCGTTCTTGCCGCCAGGAACCAGGCCCTTCTGTACGGAGACTACTCGACCTACCACAGACTGTTGACCAAAAAGCTGCACAACTGTCGCAAGAAGCTCAAGCTCACGTCCAAGAACCGATCGAAATTCGTCAAGAAGGGACCGGTCGCGGCAGAGCAGATCGCAGAAGATCATGAATACCTTCGCCTTGTCCTCCTCACTGCAGAGCGGGCTTGGGCCCATGCTATGAGGCTTAAAGCCATCCACTCTACAGACAGCAAGGGAATCACTGGCCGAACGCGCAGCCACATTGTATCGCGACTAGACAAGGGAGCCCGAATTGCTGAGCAGTTGGTCGAGCGGCTGGTAGATGGCACCAGTGGTGCAAGCAACACCGACGCCCTGGAAGCTCGCGCTTATGCCTCCATGATTCGAGGTTCCGCCCAGTTCGAGAAGCAGAGCTGGGAGCCATGCTTGCGAAGCTACTCCACTGCACGCATTATATACAGTGCGCTGACTACGGCTCTGAAAACTGACACCATCAAGGACCTGCTCTTGGAGACTATTGATCCCTCGATACGATATGCAGCATACCAGATCAAGATACCCCGAACCTTGGCGATTCCGACTATTGCGAGAAAGGCATTCCCCTCTGATTCCTCATTAGTTGAGCATATCAACAGATTAGACCCTGACCTGCTGAAGCAGGGCGGGTCGGAAGCACAGAAAGGACACGTTGGTGCTCCCAATGCACCTCAAACCATCACCTGGAGATCCCGAGAGGTCAAAATTGAGGATGCTGCTATTGCCTTGGCGCTGGCCTCGACAGATACTGCCACTGCCCGGCTCGCGGAGAAGCTGGCCTCGTCCGAGGTGGTCCTTCCAAAAGAGATGGCTGCGGCTTACGATGATGTCCTCATTGCCAGCCAGGATGCTGCAGATGCCACGAAGCATTCCATTGATGAGTTGAGAGAAGAAGGTGTATCGCAAAATGATGCTCGCGTACAGAGTTTGCAAATGACTCGAACTGCCGTCAACTACCAGATGATTAGCTGGAGAATTGGCCGCAACCGAGTGCTAAGTGGTGAGCATGACGGCGCTCTGCTTGACTCAGCCCCTAATACAACAAGAAAGGCGAAGAAGGAGGCAGTGTCCAAGAAACCAAAGATAGAAGCGCCTGGTCGAAAGATCGCCAGACTCAAGGAGAAGGTGGTTCTTTACGACGCTACGCTTCAAAGTCTGGAGTCAATCAAGGACTTGCCTGGTGTTGCTTCGGATGAGGAGCTTTTGGAGCAACTGGATGCGACTTTCAAATATTTCCACGCCCTCAAGTTAGTTCAGCCGCATGTTTGCCTCTTTTCTCATATGTTACCTACTGACAGATTCTACAGATGCCTATCTATTGCACGTTCACACTCTCTGGCTGGTAATTCCGTCAACGCTCTGGCGCTCACGAAACATGCATTTGGCGAATGTGAAGAGTCGGCAATTTTCTTTGCCAAGCAAGAGCCTAGCTCGTCAAAGTCACCTCGCAACATCGAAATTCGTAGTAGTGATATCGAGTTCCTCCACAGTCTGCTTAAGGGTGAACTGCAGCGATGTCGCGCGCTGGTGGAGATCGACAACCTGCGTGCGAAAGCTTCAGGCACAAAATCCACGATTCCGCTAGTTGAGCGACTGTACGAATACCCAGCCGAGGGCGTGGATTTGGAGAACCTGGTGGCATATCCTCCCAAGGTTGAACCAATTCCTGTGAAGCCACTCTTCTTCGACGTTGCTTGGAACTACATCGACTATCCCGGGAAGGCACCTGTCGCGGCGGAGAAACCTAGCGATAGCACAGAACAGAAGAGCACTTCATCGGCTCAGAAGAGGGGTTGGTTCGGTTTTGGAAGAAGCTAGTTCCCACATACTTTGACCCAATGATAATTCAAGGCACCCCCGTTGTGCTGTGTTGCGCAACCTTACCAATTCTCATATCTGCAATCATCACCTGTCGATCAACAACCGTTTGTTGTTTTCTAAATGAGATTTATGTCTCAATTGTGCCGCCAAGTCGGTTTCTCCCGCTGCTGAATCAAATGAATGGAATGCCGCATCATACTATCTATTCATCCCTTCGGCCGAGACACCTAGTCAATACAGGTGACATCCGTGATATGTATCATATTGCCTTCTCACCGCCAACCCCCCACCCCCACAGTTGCGTGGTCATCGATTGTCCAGCAGCCAAACGAACTTGATTCTGGATGACATTGACGGTATCGACGAACCGCAGCGTTCCCCCCCCGGCTTTCAGCATGTGGATGAAGCATGGCGCGCAGACACGTCCCACTCGGGATATTCGACACCTCGGTCATCTGCTTCTTCGTTATCGCACCTACTCTTGGTCTCGGCCTCTTGGTCTCGGCCTCGGGTTCGGATGCGCACTGAAAATTCATATCGTATACGCGGCAGCGCCGTCCACCTGCAGCAGTTACCCGGAGCGTTTCGATTTCGCTCCCAACTCGACAGAGGATGTCTCGAAGAAGGCCACGGTTCGCGAATGTGTTTTTGGTATCACGCAGGCGCTTGCCGCGCTTGACGGCATCCAAAAACCCATACTGGTTATCAATGTACAGAGACCAGTGCCGCTGATCGAGGATAATGTAGGGGATACGATTAGGATCCAGGTGAACAGTTTGATGGGTAAGTAGAACACCACGGTACATTGGCATGGTATCGATCAGAATCGCTCGAATAGAGCCGGGTTTCACGTATGCGATTGAGATTCGGGGACAGAGGAGGATGTATTGGTATCATTCGCACCTGTGGGTACACTATACCGGTGGGATGTATGGCCCGATTATGGCGCACGATCCCGAGCAGATGGTGCCAAAGTCTGATGAAGAGAGAATCCTGTTTGTGGGTGATGGGTATCATACCTATGGATCTGTTGCATGCTCTCCTTTTTGACTCGCCCACTATGTAGCTTCCTGAAGTAGTGAGTATTCTGACAAATTTATAGCTCCTGACAAGCCGCCTGAATCTTTCATCGGAATGGGTGCCCTTAGAATCAGGCGTCGAGCCCCTAGTAGAGAACATGCTGCTAAACGAGCAACACAAATACAACTACTCTGACACTTCTCCCGCTTAGCCTCCCTCCCCAGACCAACGATGTGGGACCAGCTGCACAGGCGGGCAACTATACAGCATCAAAGTCTGCTCAGGCTAGAAACTGCGTCTACGCACCAAGCTTCTACTCCTACGACACCAGTCTCCATCCCAATTAGTAAACCCAACATGCACTACATCGAATACATATTCCGACAGGCGCAAGATGTGAACCTCATCTTCATCAACACGACGGCGTACTCCCCTTGACCGACAACGCGACGCTGTGGAAGGCTGTGGGGCAGAAATTCGGTGTGAAAGAAGTGAACCCGTGTAGTGGCTGGGATTCTAGGCTAACCAGCAGGTGTTGCTGGTGCCGGATGCGGGTTGGGGGGTGCAGGTTGTGATTAATCCGCGGGGTGCTCTGGAGCATATACAGTATGCCACCCAACCACCTTTTCTTTCTTTTTGTTTCTCTTATTACTTCTCTCCCCCTGACTCCTATGGAAGGATTTAAATTACTTTAGAAAACTAGATTAATGAAATCACAGCGGGCACGCCTTCCAAATCGTCGTAGCCTCTACAGCGCTTTCCCCAACAACACTAGTTGGAACCTCGACAATCCGGGGCCTGTCGGCCTTACACTGTCACGTGGCCTGGCACATGGAGAGCCGCATGTTCGTATCCCTGGCGGAAAGGCCCGTGGTCTGGTTGCTTTGATCAACGTGCCGGTGCACATTAAAGTTTAGCTTACATCGATCCATGGAAGTCTTTTTTCGACGTTCACCCACCTGCAGCCGATTACGAGCAGAATAATGAAGTGTAGGATGAAGAAGTGGGCGGATGGTTTGATCAGTCGTGTCGAGTTTTTCTTCAACTTCATGCGAGTAGACCATTGATATGCCACTCCATCTGGGAATGACTCCCATGTCGAACAATTGTGGAAAAGATCACTCAAATTTCATTGGGTTATGAGAGGGGATGTAATATTAGTTTGGATGTAACGTTTTATATACATAAGCTCATCCAGAGCCAACCTTCCAATGCTGCCATATCGTGTCATCAGAAACCGTGTGAAAAGCGCAAAATCTCTCAGATTGCGGTCAAAGCTTTTTTCATCATCTCAGAACGCCCCTGTCCGCCCGCAGTTTATCAAACATGAGTTCCGAAGTCCGGAAGAAGAGGCTGGGGGAAATGAGCAGAGCGAGCAAATATGAGTACAGGTGAAGTACAGGTCATGAGGAGATGGCGTCTATCGATTCCCGTCTCGCATGGTATGTAGTAGAACAATTAAAGAAAATGGTGTGAGTAGGATGTTTATTGCTTCTTCTCATCCTCGGGCTTGGCCTCCGACGAGCTAGCTTCGGAGCTGCTGGATTGCTCGCCACTGTCGGTGCGGGCCTTGTGCATCTTGTCAAAGAGGTTCAAGCTGGCCATTTGGAGCTCGTCCGTCTTCTCCTTGATCTCCGCTGCGGTCGCAGTGCCCTCGCCAGCTTGGCTCTTGGCAACGAACTCGCGGAGAGCACTGATCTTCTCACGAATGCCATCAGCCTCAGTCTTGTCGAGCTTGTCAGCGAACTCGTTCAAGGCCTTTTCGGTGTCATTCAGGACGCTGTCGGCGCGGTTGGCGGACTCAATGGAAGCCTTGCGCTCCTTGTCCTCCTCGGCGTACTTCTCGGAGTCCTCAACCATCTGCTCAATCTCAGAATCAGACAGACCAGAACCGGATGCAATGGTGATAGATTGGTCCTTGTTGGTGCTCTTGTCCTTGGCGTGGACGTGGACGATGGAGTCGGCGTCAATATCGAAGGTAACCTCAACCTGGGGTACACCACGGTGGGCAGGGGGAATGCCGACCAACTGGAAGTTGCCGAGAAGCTTGTTATCCTTGACGAGCTCACGCTCACCCTGGTAGACCTTGATCTCGACGGCAGTCTGGAAGTCAGCGGCAGTAGAAAAGACCTGGGACTTCTTGGTGGGGATGGTGGTGTTGCGGTTGATCAGACGAGTGAAGACGCCGCCGAGCGTCTCAATACCGAGGGAAAGAGGAGTGACATCCAGAAGCAACAGGTCCTTGACTTCACCAGAGAGAACGGCACCCTGGATAGCGGCGCCAATGGCGACAGCCTCATCCGGGTTGACAGACTTGGCGGGGTCGCGACCGAAGATGTTCTTGACAGACTCAGAGACCTTGGGCATGCGGGTCATACCACCGACAAGGATGACCTCCTGGATATCTTTGGCCTGAAGACCAGCGTCCTTGAGAGCCTTGCGAACCGGCTCAATGGTTCGGGTAATCAAAGGATCCATCATCTGCTCAAGCTGGGCACGGGTCATCTTAGAGTTGATGTGCTTGGGGCCCGAAGCATCAGCAGTGATGAACGGCAGGCTGATGTCAGTTTGCAGAGACGACGACAGCTCAATCTTGGCCTTCTCAGCAGCCTCACGAATACGCTGGATAGCCATGCGGTCGCCAGACAGATCAATGCCAGAATCCTTCTTAAACTGCTCAACCAGGTGGCGAACCAAGCGGATATCGAAATCTTCACCACCCAAGTGGGTGTCACCGTTGGTAGACTTGACCTCGAAGACACCGTTCTGAATCTCCAAAACGGAGATATCGAAAGTGCCACCACCAAGATCGTAAACAGCAACAACTCGGTCGGCCTCCTTCTCAAGACCATAGGCTAGAGCAGCAGCGGTAGGCTCGTTGACAACACGCAGAACGTTCAATCCAGAGATCTGACCGGCATCCTTGGTGGCTTGACGTTGAGAGTCGTTAAAGTAGGCGGGAACAGTGACAACAGCGTTCTTCACGGGCTTGCTCAGGTAGGCCTCAGCAGTCTCCTTCATCTTGTTCAGGACGAAGCCACCAATTTGCGAAGGAGAGTACTTCTGGCCGCGAGCCTCTACCCAAGCGTCTCCATTATTGTGTTGCACAATCTTGTAGGGCACTTCCTTGATATCTCTTTGAACCTCGGCGTCGGTGAACTTGCGTCCAATTAATCGCTTGGTGGCAAAAAGTGTGTTCTCAGGGTTGACCACAGCCTGGCGCTTTGCAGCAACGCCAACTAGACGCTCGCCATCTTGTGCAAAAGCAACGACTGACGGTGTGGTTCGGGCACCTTCAGAATTCTCAATGATTCTGGGCACCTTGCCTTCCATAATGGCAACGGCAGAGTTGGTGGTACCTGTAGTTACAATGTTAGCATGATGGGACCGAGGATGCCTTCAACGAAAAGACCCGAAGGACCCGTTGCACATTGACTTACCCAGATCAATACCGATCACGGAGCCTGTGACCTTTCCTTCTGTCGACTCATAGCGAGCAAAGCTGGAGCCCAATGGCTTGCGCATCGGTGCAGACCATCGCGCAGCTGCTGTGGATGCTCTAGGGAGCTGTTGTTGGGTGGATGATTAGTTTCTTTGGCTATGTGGAGGATAACGGCGATAGCTGCATGATGACAGCATAACGGGCAAGTTGACTTACAGCTCTAGAAAAGCGCGCCGCGGACATCATCTTGTCGGCTTCTGTGTATGAAATACAAGTGGAGAAGCAGTCGGGACGAGTAACGGATGCTTGGATGAAGGGGAAAGAGTTCGTAGTTTACAGGGCGGATGGCTGAATGGGTATGATGAACGAAGTCTGACCTGCCCGACTGAAGAAAGGGTATGGAGTTAAAATGGGAAGAAAATTTCGAGATACGGCGCTCGGGCCACACAGCTTGGGAACCTTCGTTGGCCTTCTATTGGGGAAGCTTGGATCCGCTATGCCGGGGTGCTTGCCGTCACAGCGGAGAAAGTCGGCAAGAACGTGGTGGTGACGCCGACATCCATAACTCCGTGTTGGAATGTCCCAATTGGTCAGCAACAGCTACAATGCTCTGGGTTAGAAGCAACAGTTTGACAGAATGGACCACTGACGTTGAGAAGACAGTTTGTATCCCTGGTATGTTCTGTTCTCATTCATGGACTTGCATATTGCATCCTTGCGATTTACCATACACAACTTCGATTCAGACAGAAACAGGATACCACTTGATTCCTCGCCACAAACCAATGGCCAATATCGGCCATGAGTATGAGACGTTTGTCGGAATTGTCGTCCTTCTGATTTGAACCTTTGGGGGCACAGTCAACCAAGACTTTGACATTGCATTCGACTTGAATCAAGTACTTCCACGTCCACTCACATGTTAAACGCCACATCAGGCCCTAGCCACAAGAACAATGGGCATGTCGTTGCAGCAATAGTTCTTAGGTGTCGAGGCTGGTCATTCAATTGTCTTGCAACTAGCTACTCACTTGGGTCTCAATTGGCAGACATATGTTTGTCTAACCTAAGTTAAACGGAAGTCGTTACTCAGGCATGGATGGAGTTCGATATTTCTCTTATCCTTCAAATGTACAGGGATCAAATCACATGTATCAACCCACTATTTGAGTGATCCACTGGGTGCCTTAGTATCAACCTCCGGTACATCTGGAGGAACACTTATTATTAGCCCGAAATCAAGCTGTGGCGTCTGGATGCATGCCTTGAGCAATTTACATCCGGGAGAAAGGTACACGAATAGAAGTGCTCATGCTATTAGATGCAAGTATTGTGACAACATGAATGTGCGTGAGTACTCCAAGCCTGCACCCTTCAAGGTACTCTCTCCATGTTCCCAGCCTGCAACTGCCGCCGGATCTACATTCGCGGATGCTTCCCATGGTGGGTGGAACACCAATCTGGTCCGCCCGAGCAGCATCCATTCTTCGGACGTCATAAGCTTCTGTTCCTTTGGAAACCATCTCAATCACACAACCTCATTATAAATCAAGCCACACCCACGGAAATCAGCAGGTGATCCCCATCACGATTTCGTCGCCCAATTCCAGAAACCCTAGTTCACAGTCTGTATACGTGCGACCGTTTCAAGTAACGAAGAGCTCACGCCACCTCGACATCCTTACCACATCGCAGGTGCCCGCATCGCAATCCCCTTTGTTCCAACGTCGAATCGCTCGCGACTTTGCAACCTTGATGGGCACGACTTGATGGTCCTCCCACACCAGATTGACTATCGCCAAAGGTCGGCATCATGGCCGTCGACCTTGAAGAAGCCAGGTGCGCACGGATTTCTACAGTAGCTGTCTTCCAGCATATCCTGACGAGGCTAACCACCGCGTCTGCAGCTACTGGCCAACCGAAAATCTGATTCTCAAGACTGGACGCAAGCGCTTCCGCGTTGCTATTGAACCACTGTAAGTTCTACTGCTTGCCACTTTCGTTTTCCCAGCAATTGGCTGACAGGAGCGCATAGGCATTGGCAGCTTCGGTCTCTTCTCAGTGCAGAAGGCAACGACACTATCTACTTCCCCGCCGGAGTCAACAACACGCACATTACGCGACTGGACACTCGGACGCGCGAAACCGAAACCATCAAGATATTGAGCTTCTACCCTAGGTGTTTGGTGGCCAAGGGTGGCTGGATATGTTGCGGTGGCGAGTTGGGCGAGTTTGCCGTCATTCGTGACGTGGGACAGATGGAAGGCCACGAAGAGGGCAACCCAAGTGGAAGCGCCGTCGACGATGCACTAAGTAACGATTTCCGATTTCATCTAAGCTCGCTATCATCGCCTCCAGGGTCGGATCCATCTTTCACGCAATTTAGTAGGGACATGTTCAATATGCTGGAACGACGATTGAATGGACCAGCCAAGACATGGACCGTCTCAAACCACAAATTCGGGACTGAGCGCGTCAACTGTATAACCATCTGGCAACCTCCTAAATCCTCCTCCCCCTTCCCCGCAGGTCCAGGGAATTATGCGACTCCAGTAGCTGTTCTTGCAAATAACGACAAGACTGTCACATTTGTCGGCCTGCAAGACTGCGAATGCTTAGATGAGCTTCAGTATCCCGATTGTGTGAACCGGGGCGTGCTCTCCCCAGATGGCACCATGTTGGCAAGCATCTGTGATGACCCTTTTCTTTACATACATGTGAGAAGAGTGGTGTCTCGAGGGAAAACAGGCGAGGTTTTTGAATGGAAGATGCTGCCCCCTATACGCCTAAAGAGCCAGAGAAAGGACGACAGCTCGGACTGCCGAGGAAGCTTTGCTGCTTCCTTCTCCCCTTCCGGCCGGTATCTGGCCGTGGGTACCCAGTATGGCACTATTTCGATATTTGATGTTGCCGCTCTCCGGGACCCCGACAATACAGATCCTATGGTGACCTTCTTCAACGCGGCACAATTTCCTCAGGATGAGGCCGCGGTTCGGGACATGGCATTTTGCCCTGGCCCATATGATCTCTTGGTGTGGACTGAACATCGGGGACGAGTAGGCATTGCCGACGCACGCACTCGTTTTACTCAACGGCAGATCATCTCCCTATCCAACCACGATGACTTGGAGCACCTGGCCGTGAACGACAGAAACACGATAGACCCGCGACTGCTCGAGCACCGAAGTGAGCGCAACATGACAACGGGACCAGGAAGCTCTTCTCATCTATCGAGTCTATTGAACCAGACCAGCTCTCCGCGGCCATTGCCCAACCCCGAGCCTTCTGATGCCACCGATAGGCTAAACCACCCCTTCACACCCGAAGAAACGGCCATTTTGGAAGCAGTGCAGAATGACCGTCGGCGGCGAGAGGCCCGAGAGGCACGCGAGCAACGCGACCATCAGGTTGCTAGAGGCAGCGCAGCGTGGAGATCTTCGGTCTGGGCCGAGCGTGTAAGTGTACCATCAAGTTCCATGACTTCGCTACGTTCGACCGTCGACCAAGAGGACCGTGAAGCCGATCTACGGGCCCTCGGAATATACAGAGACATTGCTCACACTCTACGACAACAGCGAGAGGCGCTAACTCGAGTACTCGATCGCGAGCGCAACCGCGACGCCCGTGACCTCCATCGCCAGGCGACGACAAACCAGTCAAACATTGATCAAGATCGCGAGAGACGTGCTCCAACCCCTCGGCGGAGAAGTTCCATTATGCAAGCTCTCACACAAAACGTGGACAACTTTGCTCAGGTATTGAACCGGACCCAAGCCCCAGGGGACAACGAGACTTCAGGCTCCCGCGACTCGTCCGGTCCGTGGGTGTCTTCACGGTTGACTGCCGGCTGGGCTGATCTGGCTGCACTGTACGACATCGGCACGGAAAGCAGCAATCCTAACGAGGGCACTCGTGCTGAATCGAGTCGGGCTCGGCGCGCTATTCCCGTCATCAGCGACGTGTGGAACGACGACCTCGGCGGCTTTGGGATCCGTCGTAACAATGCGAGGACCCACCGGGATCACAACCAACACGCAGACGACACGGCAGGCCTGACGTGGAGTGAAGACGGACAGATACTGTGAGGAGATTATCATTTGATACCTCATTAATTTCGCCGGAAATGCTGACAAAAGAAAACAGATACATTGGAGCCGAGGACGGCATTTACGAATTCCACATCAACCTCCAGGGGAGAAAGGTTTTCCCTGACATGACTCTGCGTTGATGTCCCGACTTGTAAAATGGAATGAATGTGGCAGATATGCGGCATTGCGGCTTATTCGCATTTTAGGGGGCTGAGCTGGAAACAAGCAATCCATAAAGAGTTGTTCAGGCAAAACGATGGAAGGGAGTGCAGCCATGCTGTGCAGGCGGTGGGTGGAGACTCTCTCAAATCCCATTAGTAGTTATCAGGATTCACGACAAAATCTTGGAAGCTTTGGAGGTTTGATGGCTATGACAGCGGAGTTAATTGCACAGGGTTTACGGATACCAGGCTGTGAATTGCATGGAAGGGTTAAGGTGGCCAAGGCACTTGCAAGTTGTACATATCGTGTACTATATAATCTACCAGTATATGCCGTGATCCCAGTTTGAAGATGACATGACTCTCAGCCGGGTTGCGGTGAAAATAAGCTGATTGGGCATTGCCCTATGATGGAGAGTCCAATGGATCTTATCTTTTCAGCTACCCAACATATCCTTGCATCGCAAGGGGCGATCTCCCGCAATTGAAAGCCACCAAACGCTCAGCTATGAGATCATGTCAACTTCCTATTCTCTAATTTTATATCCCTCGTTGAAATCACATATAACCATGTTTTCAAGGGCAGTGCGTCATCAATTGCTGCCTCTGTCTCACAGACTGGCAGCAGCTCGTTCTTTTTCAAGCACTGCATCGAGGATGGCGGATTTCACTCACGTCGCAAGTTTTTCATGTTTTTAATGCCCGCCCACCCCACAAGAGCTTGAGGCTTGTCCGGCCCTAGCCAAAGTGCCGCATACCAATGTTACCTATACATAGCTCCCTTTATCTTTCACACAACAGTCGACTAATACAAAAGGCAGGTAGTAGGCGGAGGCGTCATCGGCCTTGCTACAGCGCGGCACCTGGCCCTTACCCAGACCAACAGCTCCACTCTGCTCCTAGAGCGGCACTCCCAAATCGGCACCGAGTCATCATCCCGCAACTCGGAAGTCATCCACGCCGGCCTGTACTACGGCGCCGACTCGCTCAAGACCAAGTTGTGCATCCGGGGCAAAAACCTTATGTACGACTTTTGCGCCCGGTACCATGTCCCACACAGCAACTCGGGGAAATGGGTTGTGGCGCAGGATGAAGAGCAGCGCGCCGCGCTCGAGGAGCTGCATCGCGTGTGTAGGGACGAGTTGGGCGTCCCCACGCGCTGGTTGAGTAGCGAGGAGGCCAGGAGGCTCGAGCCGGATGTGAGGTGTGTGGAGGGCGTATTGGAGAGTACCACGACGGGGATTGTGGATTCGCATGCGCTCATGAGCGCTCTGCAGGGGGGATTTGAGGAGGCCGGTGGTGAGACGGCGCTTAATTCTACGGTGGTGGCTGTTGAGCCTACTGGGGTTAGTGGGTTGCCGGGGAGTGGTGGGTGGCGGATTACCGTCAAAGACAGCGAGACGGGTGAGCAGTCGATTATTGAGGCTGAGACGCTGGTTAATTGTGCTGGGCTGGGAGCCGTGGACGTACATAATATGATCGTGCCCCAGGAGAGGCGGATGAAGATGTACTACGCCAAGGGAAACTACTTCTCCTATGCTGCCTCGAAGCCCAAGGTCTCGAGGCTGATATACCCCGTTACTATGCCCGGCGCCGGCGGGCTCGGCACCCATCTGACGCTCGACATGGCCGGGCGGATGCGTTTCGGCCCCGACGTGGAGTGGGTCGACGACCCGACGGATCTGCGCGTAAATGGCGATCGGCTGCCGCCCGCGCTCGTCGAGATCAAAAAGTATCTCCCTGGCGTTGATGAAACCGCCCTAGCAGCGGATTACGCTGGAATCCGGGCCAAGCTGGGCAAGGCTGGTGCCGTGGCCAGCGGGAAGGGGTTTTTAGATTTTTACATCAAGAAGGAGGACGGGTTTGAAGGGTGGGTGAACCTTTTGGGGATGGAGAGTCCCGGGTTGACGAGTTCGTTGGCTATTGGGGAGATGGTGGGGGGGTTGATATATGGGGAGAGGAACAAGAAGGCGGAGGAGTTGTAGAGGGGTTAGATGGTATATATATATATATGTATGGCGCAAGAGTTTGATTTTGTCGGGGTATGATTTGCTAATTTACGAAGACGTGAGAAGTCTGTATATATCTGATGCGTGCACCTAGGGGGGAGGATGCTATAATGCAGTAGTGCGCAACGTTATAGTATCTAATTGAATGGGATTCACCTAACCAGTGGGTCCCCCTGCCTTTTCGTACCAATATCCTCTGGTTTCGCTGGATGTCTTGGGACAATTGCATTAAGCCGGTCAGCTCCACATTTAACCACTACCAGACTAGTATACCTGTATCCTCAGAGGTGTCATCCCGGATTAGACAAGGTTTACTAACCAACCCGCAATATATCTGGTTGTATCAACAGCAGTTCATGATGGGTTGATTTTGATTATGTGATCCACAAGGAGGTAGTGTATAAATTGTGAATTGCCTTGGATAGTAGGATGTTCATCAAGGTGGCCACGGCCAACATGCCCCAGTTATGCGTTCGGCTTGTCTACGTACATATAGAGCGTTCATTAGGTATATGCAAACAGATCTTCGAGATTAGTTGTGGTGTGAGTACTGATGTTAATAAGTAATTAAAATCGCATCCGTCTCTTTATGGTTTGAGTTAGAAAATACCTCTTTCCAAGGCCATTTTGCAGGCTGTAAAGTACGCGCCAAGCTACCCTGGATCTGCCCCTGGATCCGCTCGAATGGAGTTCATTACTAAGTACAAGGTGTTGAGAATCGATTTGCAACGTTATGAACTGTAAATTCACGAGCATCAATGACCATGTTCTCCATAAACAACAGATATACAAGTGTATTTTCAATACTGAAGTTACAATGGAAACTTTCGCACCTATGATTTGGTATATCAAATTGTACTGTGTCAAGTCTTCAGAGATCCGTCCACTGACAAGGCTTACTTACCCCTTCGGTGAAATTTCAGAGCGATATGTGCATCTCTCATTCATCACATTTCAAAAGCCATTTGAAATGGCTGGCTGCAAACAACCCTACAACAAGAGCGACACAGCTGACTTGTGAATATGCATGAGATTGAGGCCTGTGGGGTGCCCAACGGGACTCGTCAGAAGTCTGCCTTGTGCTCACAGCATACATTTCAAGATCACAAGTTGGAAAAGGTTGCGATTCTTTGTCTCGTTCATACTTTTCTACATGCATCACCGCCATCAGCATGAATTACCACGGCTGTAGTGGCGCAAAAACACCTCTGCCGTGCGTACTGACGAGCAGACGGTGATGAATGCGGACTTCATGGCTGCGGTGAAAGACCTCAAGGAGCCCAACAACTCCATGAAGAGTAAAGCTTCCCTAGCGACTGGTTTTCACAAGCTTTTAGGGCAGCATGACGCTGTAAGTATCACATTCCGTTCCACATGTCCCGCACGTTGTCATGGGAATATACGTGTGATCGTAGATAATGCAAAATCCAACTTCAAAACAGTGTAATCTACCTGAGTTGGATCTCTCTCCACTTGAATTTCACAGCAAATCTAGAATGTTTCAGCGGTTGTCTTGTAATATCACAAGGGCTGGTTTCTCCTCCAAAATGGTGTAATGCTGATTGCTTGTGCTACCATGCTCTTGCAGAGCTCTTGAATAACACTCGAATCATGCAAAGTCAAAACTCCGAAGCACCTATAGACTACGATCGGAAAAATGAGGCAGTCCAGAAGAACAGTCGTTGGCAGCCAGGCCACGTTTCGCACCATTGCCTCTGTCAGCGAAAATATGGATTATTACAGTGCAGAAAATAAGGAGCAGTCCCAAAATGACTACGCAGAAATTTCCGAGATCGTGTCTTTTAACCGGCAGAGTCCGTTGAGGCTATTGGAGGGGAGGTTTGAAGACTTATAATCTACCGTAGGATGAAAATAGTAGCCTGGGGCAGCGAGGAGGTGGCGATGTAATTTCAGCAATCGTCACCTTGAACAATGGAAGACGAGAACTCTCACAGAAAGGGGCGAGGACTCGAATAACGGCGATGATCAATTAACGTCGCACACGCATCAAAGCATGATGACACTGAGAGCCAGTAGCCAGAACAGTACCAAGCTGCTTCCAGTTCCGTTATCAGCTCGCCAGAAACATTCGAGTGGGATTTCCGAGCCCAGGATCAATAAAGCAACGCGTGGTCTAGTTCTCCCGAATGATTAACGAGCTCCGATCCATACTATTGGTTAAACGGAAAGGCTGCTTCGGGGAAATCGACATTGAAGAAGTACGTTTACCAGTACGGAGCGACTCGCAAGATGCTTCGACCTTATAACATGATTTACTCGAGTCTAACCGTTGGCTGATAGTTCAAGTAATGTCAGACCTGTGCTGAGAGGTCTCCAAGCGCAAAGACCGGGTTCCAGAGGAGCCTACGCTGCCTGGACTTCAGCGTTGGTTTTGACGACTGCTTCAGCACTCTAGTGATAATCTCGACTCTGCTTGTTTATCGACGGACTTGAAGAGTATCAATGACTATGGCGAGTTTGGGCTGATAAAGTCCACTTCAGGTCGCTTTGTCAAATATCTCGTTTCTGACCGGCCAATGACGTCGGTTGATTAACCGGTTATACAAGCTTTTCGGTGGTCAAAAATCGACTATAGAGTACCTCTGGGTAGCCTTTCGTCGGTTTATGTTTGAATCTAAACACGGCCCGGCTCACGCAACATGATGTTTATCCGCGCCTTGCCCTCTCGACCAGCCTTGGTCAAGTCGTACTCCAGCTCGTCGACCGTCTTGAACCCATACAGCTCATACACTGCTGTTGCATTTTCTAATGCCTCCAAGTACGTTGTGCAGCCCTCCGCATCCGCAATCGGTAAGACGGCCCCAATGAGAGCCTTAGCAGCACCACGGCGGTGGTAGGCCGGATCAGTGCACAGTACCGAGAGACCTACAGCCTGGTGTCAGCTAGTCCCTCAAGCAGACGGAAATTCCCCCGAGTCTGCAGCAATACTCGTTAGAAAGCCTACCCAATTTCTCGCTCGCCCTCCACTTGGCGCTCATCCGATGGATCCCGTCGAAGAACTCGTGGTGCAACCTTTCGTCCGCCCCCTCCGGTATCCCCAAATCTTCCTTTGTCTCTTCACCATAGGTCTGAAAACCAACCGCCATACCCTTCATATCTTTGGGTACATTCCACCTTGACCACGCGATCAGCTTTCCCGTCTCCGTGTCCACGACCTTGAAGTGGTGTGCCGACGGCTCCGCGAACTTGCCCACGAAGCGCCGCTCCGTCCACCGGCGCATGGCGTCGAGCGTTGGGGACCACCACCAGTTAAACTTGGTGTCGATGAATGCGGATAGGTAGACAGACACCATTTGCGGGACGTCGTTCGGGGTGCACCGGGCCAGGATGAAGCGGGGGGCTAGGGATGGGGGTCTGGGGAAGTGAAGAGCCATCTTGGTTAGAAGTGATGAGGCGGATCGAAGAGGATGAAAGTATGGCGGGCTAATAGGTAAATATGGTTCGTTATCGGGTTGATCGTCGAGAAGGAGTATGGCTACATGTGTTTTAGGATCCAACAACGCCTTTCCGGGCTTGGCATGTCGAATATGTGTAGGATCGATCGGCCTGAGTCACTAGTTTGCAGCGCTTCCGATGACGGATTGGCGAGCCGCTCCGAAGTCTGGAGCTAGCTCACTGGCTTATTTCCGCATCTACTCGAATATTGGAAATCGGGATGTATTGGACTGAATAGTGATTCACAGCAGTTGGCAGAAAACAAGACGTTCGTCAGGCAACGAGCACTTGAGTAATAGAATGGAATTCATAAATATCCACCATCAAATGTTGGGCAGTTGACTCGAATTTTTTAATTGGTCAAATAGGTTAGATTTGGTAGAGAAGTAATTTCTTGTTGCACCTCGCCAAAGCTGTTATAGTTATAGTATGATAATGACCCGAAAGAAGTATGTCTCTCCGGCCAAGACATGCTGCGTTGTATAACGATCTAAGTGGGCCCCGTGCCCGTAACCTGTAACCACTATCTCATCCATTTTCCAACGACTAGTCACTCCTTGTGCTCCATCAGAGGCACAGCCCAAACAAGAAGACCAGCTCCCTCGAACGAGAATTCCAGTCAGTTCTAGCAATCATATAGTTCACCCCAACCCCCTCAAAGCACTCATAAGCCCGCTCATACCTCCCCCCTTTCCATCCTCGCCATCACCATCATCATCATCCTGCATGCTAGCCAAATCCATAACTACTTGCTTCCCCCCGGGCTCACTTGCCACTAGCCCATCCGCCGGAGACTCCTCCTTCCCCGTCCTCTTCGACCCTTCAGGCATCATCATAGGTATATCCCCCATTCCCTCTCTCTCCGCATCCCCGCTCGCCAACCCCAACCCCGTCCGCTGCATGACAAACATAGCGGCCGCCGGCGCATCACTGCTGTAATTGAAATGCGGCGCCAACACCTGGCTGCCGCCGGCGCATATATCGTCCCCCATATGACAGAACGTCCTCGTTCTCTCTGCGGGAATGTTGGGGATCGCGGTGCCGTTGTTTGGGTCGCCGAAAAGAACGATGGAGTTTATCCCAACTGGATTGTCGTTGCTGCTGTTGCCCATCATCATGGCCAGGGCTTTCCGCACAACCTGCGCGCCTTGCGAGTATCCCGATAACACCATTTTGGTAGACGGACACTGCTCCAGAGTGGTGTTTGCCATTACCGCCATAGCCAAAGCGCCCATCTCGTCACCGCCCGCCCGGAACCCGCTGGGCGTCGCAGGGTAGTCGATCCCCTGCACGGCGACGCGAGAACCGTTACTATAATGCTGCAGAGCAGTAGTAAAAGGCGGACCCGCAAGGAATCCCATATTGCCCGGTTCTCTAGTACCGCGGGCAAAAAGGACGGCGACATCGGGGCAGTTGGCGATGTTGAACGCCGCAGTGGCCGAGGCATCCGTACCGTTGACATTAATATTCATGGTCCCGTTTCCCAGCAGGCCGTTCTGCGTCGTCTGGCCGCCCTGCAGCGCCTCGACGAGGTCGACAACTGTTGTGATGACCGTGTCGACTACTTGTTCAATGGTCGAGCTGATGGTGTTGCCGATGTCTTGGATTAGGTCGGGGGATGGTATAGGTACGGCTGTTGTGGTTGGAATGGCTAGGTAAAGTAGCAGCCAGCGGCTGCTTGCCGGTGAGGGGAGATGCATTTTCGGCTTGACAACTCGCAACTCCTGTGAGATTCGTATTGCTGATAGTAACACGAAAGAAAGGAGATAGACGGAACTGATGGCCAGTACTACCGAGTCATCAGATCATGTAGCTGGTCACGTATAATAGAGAGACAGGCGCTTGGCATCTGTAAAATACATGTCGATGACGGTTTTATCTTGCAATTTACCATGGTGCAACCAGTCTGAGGCCGGGGTCGGTCAGTTGAAGAGTCAGCCAAGCCCGGAGCAACAACCCAATCTTCAAACAACCTCGACCATGCGCCACGAAGCAGGCTGTCAATAGGACGCTATGTCAAATGATGCCACCACCCACGTTTCACCAACCGACTGCACAGCAATGAACCAGCCAATCATGTGAAACCATCTGATCATAAGAAACATCAGCAAGAGGCCAAGAACAAATCAAGTTCTGGCGGCGGTATAGAAGGGAGTACTTGTGTCATGGAGTGAGGTGCAGATTCATCTATTTTCATAGTCAATACCTAAGGTGCCACGACCTAGATCTAGGTGGTTGAAGTTTTCTGTAGCTTCAATACCCTAAGGCAGCAGGCTAAGATCCGGGATATCTCCTAAAAGCACAATATCAACAACCTGTTGCAACTAGTCACAGCGCCATGATATCCTGATAGCCCCAAGCCTATCAAAGCAACGCTGGAATGTGTTGACGAGCAAAAACAAACAAAAACAGTGATTAGACTTCGTGCATCTGGGAGTCCTGTTGCAGCCCAACCTTTACGCCAAGTGACTTGAGCCGCTGAGATAAGAGACCCTCAGTTGCACCGGGACTCCCGTTATTAATATCAGAAAAAGCATTCCCACCATATCCCACATCGCCCTTTCTAAGTTTGTCGTATTTGTCAATGTGCCCATCGCCACCGCCCAAACTGGAGATAGTGCTCGATTCCTGGGTTGAGTGGCTATTGTCAGATGAATCAGGCGAGCGAATATCAGATTCCGCAGCAATTTTACGGCTCGCCAGGTCACTACGTACTGATTTGTAGGGAATTCGTAGTGGGATAGGCTCAACTGGGTCATTGTTGCCGGCAAAGTTGAAAGAGAAATGGGATTGGGGCAGTGCCGGCTCGGAAACGAAGTCATCTGCGAGTACCTGTGGGGAAGCACCAAAGTAGTAGCCGGAACTGCGTCTCCTGGAGGCCTTCTCGGCTGCAAGACTGGCTCCGGGTCCGGAACCTGCCGAGGTTGGTGGATGTATCACTCGAATGGGCTTGTAGTTAGTAAACCTAGGCTCCGGCAGAGAAATCTCATTTCTCAGTCTTTCTTTGCCGTCAGGGACACGATTCGCAAACACAACACGGATGCTTTTGTACAAATAGTATCGTCCTCGGGAGGGACTGCATATGTGCAAGTGAACAAGATAGCGCAAAATCGGTCGGTCAGCTGTGCCAGCATCCTTCAGTTCGGGCAAGTTGTCGATGATGGGGCCAGCAGAGTAACTACGTTGTCGTATGAAGGTTTTGGTACCTGGCTCCATTCCTGCCAAATCGTACGGAACCAGAAAAAGCTTGACAGCCGTCTTGTTGGGGTTCTTGATGATAATCTGGATCTGCCCTCTTTCGGGAATCCGATAGCTTCCACCGGGAGGGGCTCTGGGCGACCCTGGTATCCTCTTGGGTCGTTGCGGTTTGCGTGCATCACGATCTGAGATCTCGGCAGGCCGGTCGCTCATATCCATCACATCGTCCTTTGCCATTCTGCGCTCCGAAGCACGGCTTTGCATCTTGCGTTTTGACCTTGCTTCTTCCTCCTGATTCGACAAACCGTTTTCCAAGTCAATTTGACCGACGTATGGACTTGGACCGTCTTCATCTTTGGATCGGCCATGGGATGAGCTCGCATATGAATAGAACACGGCGGGGAATGGTAATGTCACATGAGCTGGGCACCTCAAGCTCGACTTGCACTTGCCCAGACCCAATACGCCAATCTGTGCAACAAAGTCCAGTGGTTTCGAAGGTGTTGTGGACATGCGTCCACGTAGAATGCTCTCCTCGTACGAGCCTACCATAGACGCATGTTGAAGAGGTGACGTATCCAAGCTATACGATGGACGTCTGGACCGAAGGAATGCCGGTGTCTGCTGTGGTGATGGTGACGGCCCAGCCAAGGAGAAGTTTGGCGTTGTCCCGAGCGACCGGCGGGGCTGATGTGCTTGGTACGGAAACGACCTCTCCTGGCGGAATGTAGTAGGTTGTCTTGGTACTGGATTCGGCGAAGAGAAGCCAAAGAAGTCGGAGTAGGAGGGCACCAAAGTGTGTCGGCGCGTGTTCCTCGGTATGCTTGAGCTGATGTCAACACCCTCCATTGGAGACGCCAGACCAATATCGTCGTTGCTTTCTGACTGCACGAGAGGACTTGTTGGCGGTTTGTAGATGAAGCTTTGGGACAGTGATGAGGACAAAGACGATAGGCCCGACCGCCGGTCCTCGGATTCCTCAGACCCGGGATGCCTCCTCTCGAATTGGAAGGGTGTAAAATCCCTCGGGGGCGAAGTGGCCAGCCAGGAATGACCATTGGGCCTCCGCAGTTCGTCCCGACTCCCATCAAGGTTGCTTTCTTGTGCCGTGCCGTCCTCACCAGACGCATCATCCTGTGTAAAGTCTCCACTGTGAAGGGCCGACCGTGGTCGCTCTATGTTTAATCCTTCCTGTAATCGCTTTTCGTCGTCGGACTCAGCATCTGGCTTCTCGGGTGTGATGACGGGAGGTTCAAGGAGGGACGGTGAGTTGCTTGCGGGCTTGGGGGTTCGAGTGGGACTAGACGGGTGTTGATGCCATATCGACTCGTACTGCGCATCAATCAGTCTATTGCCCTACTTTTTAGCACTTTTACGGGAAAGAAAGAGACGCTGCTGACATGCCGGTTGGGAATCCACGTCGGACTCTCGCCCCTCTTCAACCTCTCAATTAACTCTGCTCGGTCGGTGCAGGTGCCGGGAGATTCATCATATGGTGTTTGTATCCTTGGAGTCTCTGGAAGTGGTCCCTCGCATAGTTCGGTCCTGATGCTCTCCTCTGACAACTTCCTCACCAGCGTCGGGTCGTCGTGTTGGATCGGCGTGGCTCGGGATGGTGACGCCATCATTAACTCTTCGGCGGACTCCCTCCGCTCCAGATCTTGCTGGAAAATGGGCATACTTGATTACATCAAAGTATAGTGATCAAGAAATTGGTTCTAGCTATAAGTAGTTCCTGAGCATCTCTGCCGTCATTCCTCGCGTGAGGGATCTCTGCGCTGTATTGAATCATGCAAGGACGCTCATCGGGGCCCAGTGATGTTACGGGGGACTGGTCACCTGTAATTTGGGTTGTGCTCACTCCTAAACACAGATGGTAATAAGGTTGTCTAACAACGGACAAAGCAAACAAGTTGCTCTCGGCTGCAACTCTCCAACGTGGACGAGGAAAGGCAAAGGGAATTCAGAATTTCTCACCAACAGACCAACACGGGACTACCGGGCGAGAGCAGCTTTGGTAAATAAGCACCTGATTGTCCTGCAAGTGTCAAACTGATGACTCTCATCCATTCACTATGCCGTAACAAAGTCGTAACAGATACACGGTGTGGACCAGTTGAGCATGGAAATGGCAAGTGGCACCAGAAACGCCTAACCCAAACAAGTTTCGCCAGCTCCTTAACCGCTGTCTTGCCATGGGGGGGTATTCAGGGATCTTCAGAGCCAACTGTACTGGAGAAGACCAAATCTCATGTCCCACGGATGCATCTTTTCCCAGAATAAGTGCCATTTTACTGCATTCACTTGCAGCTTGCAATTCACAAGCTGCTCTAGCCGCAAACCACCCACCACAATTGTTCTGGGGTGGCCGAGAATCGGCAAAGACCTGAGGAATCCTTGTTGAACTAGCCGATAGATGTTACAAGACTGGCCCCACCCACCCACTATCGATAACGACTTCAACATTTGGACATTGCCAAACTCATCAATAACAAATTTGAGATCAACAACCCTTAATACGTGAGACATAGCATTCGACATGGCACCAAAACGACCTCTAGAAGGCGAAACCAACCCAGGGTCGGCCCCTGTGGTCAAGAAGGCCCGCGGCTTCAAAGTTGGACCAGACAACCTGCCAGATGGCCCCTGGCGGCGGAAAGGCGAGTTTTTCCTTCATCGCACGACGTCGCAGTCACTAACAACTTTCGCAGTCGTCAAGGTCAAGAAGAACCTGATTGAAAAGGCCAAGCTGAAGAAATCATACGCCAAAATCAAGGCCTCGGAGCAGTCATCCGCTCCAAAAGAGCCATCAGCCGAGGAAGCAGGCGCGCCCGAGCCGGCCATTCACCCAGAACGCCAAGCTATGCTGGAAGAAGAGCCCGAGCCGGAGGCAGCTCCGTCTCAGAGAGGAGACAAGCCAGCCTCGGACCGCGAACGCCGCCCTCGCAGGCCAAGGCAGCCGCGCAAGCCAGGGTACTTCGACAAGGCACTCGAAGAAGGCGAGCGCGTCAAGGCCGAGGCCGAGGCGCGCGAGAACGAGTTTCAGAGGCGGCTTGCGGAGCGCAATTACAGGGCTGCGGATCGGGAAAGGTTCCAAAGGGAGCTGAAGAAAGCCAGGACGCCGGGGAGGGATGGGCAGCGGAAGCTGGGGCGCGAGGGCGGGTTAATGTTGGAGAAGATTAAGAGGATGCAGCAACAGGGAAAGTTAAGGTGAACGATGAAAAGTTGTTTTGATCGACGCAAAATTTGGAAAAGGCATTGTGCTATGGCACCCATGTGAACTCTGAGATGTGGGAATGAACTGCCCAACCTTCATTGATACCCAGCAAAATTCCGCTATGAACAGGTTTATCTTACCGCGACTCCGCCCGTGGAACGACTTCTTGTTCGAGTTCGATTATACTCTGAACAAAATCAGGAATGAAGTTGACCATAGTCCACGGGCACTTCGGGGTATGCCGCCTGTTTATTGTTTGTAATGGCGGTTGAGGACATCTGACGAGAGTTAGGTGCAGGGGATGGGGAGTGTTTGGAGGGCTTATCGCCACTGCAATGTTCGGGTTAGCTATGCCAGGAGCTGTCAAGAGAGATGCTTTATGATTATGCGACCGCGAGTTTACCACACTTTACGGACAGTGCGGTTTCCTTTCTCTAGTTCTTCACACTCCTTCAGATCATTATCAAACAATAGCCGACGTTATTTAATAACGTTGATTGCTATTATCAAACCTATCTTGTTGGATATCCCCTATGAAAAATCTACGACAACGATGAAAACCATTGAGATGGCTTTGACAAAATGTCAAGAAGGCTTATAGCTAAAGGCAGGTCCCTTAAAGTTACAATAAACTCCTTCCAAGCGTGGCCCTCAGCCACATGAAACTCCTGCTGGAGTAGTATCGCTGCTGTTCAATAAGTGAGCCGGTTGCCTTGGTTCAACACCATGGTCTTATGGTTAGCGGAGGACATACAAGTCAATGAACTACACATATGGACCAATAGCGCAAATAGTGCAGAACCAAGACTAGAAACATTGCATCCATGATCATATTTTTTTTGGGTGGTGTGATATAATACTATGAACTTACATAGTATGTATAGGTGTATTTGCGAAATTTGTGTTTTTGATGTTATGTTCACACTTATCGACTGACTTCGCGGGGAGTCATTAGGTACCCGCTTCAGAACAAAGTAAGTTAGTAACTTTTCATCGCCGATGATGCCAACACAACCGCAGACCTGGGCAAATCCACCTTGTGACGTTCCAAGAGACTGCCCAACAACTGGAAACAACACGGAAAGTCGCATGTCGGAGAATTGGTGACTAGTAGACGGATGGCTGCATAGGCGAAGTAGATTCGATAATTCACCCTTAAACCAACCACCAAACTAGGGAAACTTGACACACACCTCACGCGGCGAGCCCAAAGCCATGAGTAGTCAGTCTTGTGAGTGCGGTAGTACGACATACTCCTATGTGATGACGAACAAGTTTGGCTTCGGAAGCTGCCGGGTTCTGACACATGCATGTACATTTGTTGGAATATAATGACCCAGTTACAAGTTGTCGAGCCAAACCTGTGAGAGCATTAGACTGGTCGGATTGTTTTAAGAAGGACCAATATCGTACATTGGTGGATTCGAGAGCGTCCACGAGATGAAGTGTGTGTGATTGACAATGTTGGACAGCCCAAGTGTGGTAGGGGTGCTGGGGTCCTGATTACTTACAGATATCGATCTCAACCTCCGACGCCAAGATATCGGATGCACCGTGTGCTGTCACAATTTCCTTGCCTCATCGTGCCTCGTCTCGCCTCGTCTCTGCTCACGAGCTGTAGATCACTTGGTCTGACCAACAGAATAGCCTATGTACAATGCCTACTAGTCAGGCATATGAAGCAACGCGTTGGCCCCTGTAATATTCATCTACAGCCATGTCTGCTAGGCTGGAATTGTCCTTCAAGGGTAGATCCAGGATTCGACCTCGGGATGGCACAGATGGGATGTGTTTGAGATTCCATGGCCATGGATCGAGTTCAGCCTGTTGCAGATACATCATGTGTGGTCCGAGCATTGGCGTGCTGTTGTGCGCCAAGGGGCAGCCCACGCATCTGACAGGTGTAATGTAATGGAACGAACGGTAGGCTGTTTCCCATCCTCATGGAAACATAGCATGTGATGTATAGCTACATGCTGCAAAGAACCTCCTCAACACAAGGCCCTCGTCAAGCCCGAGGTCGGCTAAAGACGTATCATCTCTGGGCTTCTCGGCTTTGGCGTCAGCGACTTGCGGTCAAGGCCAAGCTTTTAACGTTCGCTTATTTGGAGAGACGAAACAAACTTCTTCCCGGGCACGCACGCCAGTTGAGCAGGGACTTAAATTAAAACTCCCGCGGCAATTTGTATGTGACGTAATGAAAAAAAAGGCCACCGGCGCTTGCACCACTGGCCCGGGTCCGGGAGTAGATGATGATTTGACTAAACGTGTTGGCCGACAGGATGCGACCTGGTGAGAGTACCAGTTGGAAGTTAAGCAATGCCATGCGCCACCTTGCAAGGCGGCCTCTGGGGTCTCCGACCAATGCATGCAAGCTGGCATTTTGATGTTCGTTAGCAAAGTGGTACAGGAAGGATCTGAAACGAGCAATTCGTTGCTGGTCCACTGGGCTGAGATGGAGTTGCCAACTGTGCTTTGTGCATACTTGTATAGATCGGCGTGTTTACCACGGCTCATCCAAGGGGAACTGCCACCGGGCCCAGCTATAAGAGGACGAGATATGTTTCGAGCATCGTGACATTACCCGCCATGTGGAAGGAAATAAACTTTTCTCGAGACCCAGGAATATACTTTAGATAGTCTATTCAAGGAACAGACGTTGATCTTGTTGTGGGAACCCTTGAACAATTTGATCGGGGCGGAGGATAGCCGCAGGGATCTGGGGTTCACGGCGGATAATAATGCAATGTTGTACACGAGGGCTTGCTTGTGATATATGCGGCTTAGAGGTACCTCTGAGTTAACCAGAAGACCACTGGTGCAGTTAGATAGTAGAATCTTGGTTCATATTGTTGAGAATTGTTACCGGCTGTTGCTGGTTATGTTGAATAGACTTGGGCGAACCAAGTACAAATGGATGAAACGCCTGGCTGGACTAGTGAAGGTTCGGTGTGTGTTTGAAGTCAGTAGCAAGCTGGCCAGACCGTAAGGGTGAGATATGAATGGTCCTTCAAATGTCGAAGATGCGTACTAGCCGTGTATGTCCCACTGATTGTATCTGGTGTACGGTTAAGCTTGGAAGTGATCAACATATGGAGATGGTTCTGCCAATACGAAATGGTACAAGAGAATATGCAATGAAGGACGAACAGTTCTTGGCTTCAACACACTGTACAGACTGTGGTTCATCTTTAGAAATGCCAAGTTATGGCTTGCGATGCCCTAGAAGTGTGGGCACACCCTCTAGCTGAAACAGCAGAGTCGTGGAGATTCCTCTCGCCGCGTGTGCGCAGCGATTCGCGAGATACAGGTGGCTCCCTGTTCAAGAATCCAAGTTGACGACAGGGCTGTGACGAGTGCGGGCTTGGCGGCGTGAGATTGACAAGAGACACGACTCGGGGAATTGCTACATCGTCATGTCAGGTACGCAAAAAAGAAAAAGAAATAAGTACCGATCGTGTTCTGCATGTGCCGATGACGATGATCTTCGAATAGGAGACAAAGGAATCAAAGCATCATTGCCTTTCCACAGCTGTTGGACGGTAACTAGAGAGCCCAAAGAGGAATAGGCGGCAGTCGACTTGAAATTTAATCCCCCCTTGCTTCGAAGCCACAAAAGCGCCTCCTGCTTGTTGAGCTTGGTGCTGCGTAGATCGGGCCAGAACCTCGACCCAAGAGCTGCAAGCCATTTTGGTGGTGGTAACACAGACTGTAGGAGAATATGAAATAGCTTCAGGAGCTGGCTGAAACCTGCAGGAGAATCATCATCAAGCGCAAATGGTCTGTTGTAAAGGGGTTGGCTCAATCCCTCTTTCACAGCCTCGCGGCCTGCGGTGCTGCTATTCTTGCTTGGATTCTCAGAGATATATGTGAACCATGAAGTGGAAGCTCTCACTCACTGCGGAGCGAGTAAACGACTGCGTACTGCCGTGACTGTTACAGACGGCCAGTTGTAGCGACAATGCGGTCAGTAGAAGGATGACCCCAGAGGACTGCCAGGCATGGCGGCGACGTCGAGCTTCTGTCATTTGTTAAACACCCTAAAACGAAACCCCCAACAACATAGCCGGCAGCCATACTTGGGATGGTGCGGCAACCAGACCTCCAGACCAATCATCAAGGTCATTCATACGGTGTTCAAGCATGAGGCCCAAAACAGAAACAGCGAGCAGCCCAGGCGAGGTGGTATGCAGAAAATAACACATTACCTGAACGATACTAGCAGACACAAAAAATTGATAATACAGGAGTGAGATGGATGGTTGTGGTTCGTGGAATGCCCCGAACAACTGAGGATTTCGAGTTTCTCATTCATTGCTACCTACCAATGCTCAGTGCTTACTGTCAGCTTTAGAGCCTCTACTCAGCTGGCGCAGGAACCCATGTCACATGCAAGCAATGGATGGCCACTTCCTACATGATTGTGAGTTGTGACACTTATCATCCCATCACAAAATCAACTATTTCTCAAGGAGATTGTCATGTCATGAATTGATACTTTGTCTCACCCCTCTTATTAGAGAAATCGATCAGTTCGTACCTGAGTGCCTGGCCTGCTTGCCGTTCCCTGACGTTTTCGCCAGGAGAGCCCCAGTCGCCAGTCGCGCTAGAGTGTGACATTTTTAGGAGACGTTAGCTTCCAACAACAGTGTTTTTTTGGCCTATTCCACACTGTAACACTGAACCTGACAATTGCATTGAACTGGATTCTCACAGCTGGCAGGGCTCAGTGCCGCAGCAGGTCGTCGTCCGTGTCAATTTTGACCTGTGCTGCGTGTCCACTCTCTCTGCCACTCCAGACTTTTAGACTTGGCTGTTCGGCCTGGATGGCTCAGAGTCCAGCAGAGCCCATTGATTTGAACAATCCTCGCCGATATGCCCCATCGGCCTCCCACCCCCTTTGCTTACGTTGACGAAAACGGCGGCCAAAGAATCAACCCCAATCTTCCTCGCTCGCGACTTCAACTTTTGTAACCTAGTGGCATTGCCAAAAGCTGTCTCGCCCCAGGGCCCGCGCGTTCAATCTTAGTTTCCTCGACGTCGTCGTTTTTTTGGCGTGGTTTTTCTTGCTAGCTGTCTATCTTTTGGGGCCTTTCCACGCTTTACTTTAGCCATCTTATTGTCCACAGCAAAGCTTGGGGCCTGCAGGATACGAATCGGCCGGTCGAGTCTGTTCACACGAGTACCACCTACTACCACCAGCACAACCAGAACCACGCGTTGGTCCCTGAACCGCTTCATGCGTATAACCCTGTCCATCCGACCACTGGGCAACCACCCGACATCAGACTACTACTACTCACTACGTAGACTCTGGGTCAATTCGCTGGCCTCGCCTCACCTACTCGACTCATCTCCTCCTTTCGCTAGGTAATCGACGCCGCGCCGGTCTTGCTTGAACGAACCGCCTGTCCATGTCTCCATAGTCGCCTCTCGTCTTGGGGCTTCGTGACATCTCGAATCCTCGGCCCACGATACCCGCTGCCGCTGCGCGCCAAGAGTCTCCCGTACCCGTCTCCGTGACCCTCGTCGCCTCGCCCGGAATCGAATTCAGTATTGAACAATTGTAACATCCTCTCTGGCTTGTGTTATCGGGGTCTAGCCCAATCGCAGCCATGGACGACTATCTGGATAGTCCCATGGAGAGCGAGGACAACTTCCCATGTAAAGGTTGTGGGGAGGTGAGTGCAGACGAAAGACGCCACTACTAATCTTCGCCCAATGTCACAGTCACTAACTGTGCTCTGAACTCAGATACTCGAGGAGGGCAAAGCGTTCGAACTTGGTAAGTCTGAATTTCTACTGTAGTTGGACGTATTGCTTTTGAGTCTTTGATTGCCCGTCCCTCATTGCGATTCTTGTCTATACCTCGTGTGTGTTCCTGATGGCGTCACCGTCGTCATCGTCGTCTCCGTTGCAGTCTCCCTTGTCTATCAGGTCCAAGTTCAACTCGTCTAACTCGGACTTAGCGGGGAATCGTTGGCATCTGAATTGCTTCCGTTGCAATACGTGCGGCACCCTCCTCGATTCCGATGCGAACCTACTCCTTCTCGGTGATGGCTCTCTCATCTGTAACAACTGTACATACAGCTGCAGCGCGTGTGGCAACAAGATCGAAGATTTGGCCATACTTACGGGAGACCAGGCCTTCTGTGCAACGTGTTTCCGATGCCGAAACTGTAAGAGAAAGATAGAGAACCTGCGATATGCGAGGACGTCGCAGGGGATTTTCTGCATGAGCTGCCACGAGTCTCTGATGGCAAGGCGGAGGAAAAAATCCAAAGCGGCAGCCCAGGCCAAAGCGCGAGAAAAAGAAGGATCACCCATGGTTGTAGACAAGAGTCTACCTGCGCTCCCACCGAATGCCATACCGAATGGCGCTTTCTCCAATGATCGTGTCGAGCCAGAGTCTGACACCCCTACCGAGCTGTCTCCCCGACCGCGTCCCACGTATCAACACCATGATTCTTCCTCAAGGAGCAGTTCGAGACCGGCCCGATCACCCGAACGACCGTCTATTGAACATGGCCTGAAGGAGAGCGGTTTGCCCCTGCCAGGAAGCTACCGCAACAATCGTAACTCGTCAATATTCTCGGGTGCCGATAACGTCAATAACACTGGAGGTGGTGGTGGGGACGACCAAGGCTTCTTCATCCCTGTGGCCCTGGACCCAAGTCCAGCCCCATCAGCCACCCCGAGGTCAACATCTGAGACATTTAACACAGACCCCAGCAGGAGGACGAAGGAGAAGGATTATTTCAGCATCTCCAAGAACGGACCCGCGCCGGACAGAAGAGCCGAGTCCCAGACGTCCACTCCTCATATCGCCTTTCAGGAAAAGGGGCGCCAACCATCATCTGATTATGAAACCTCGCCTGTAAAGGATCTAAGTAGGAAGTTGTCGAAATCGTCGCGCCAAGAAAAGGTTGCGCAGCCGAGGACTTCTGAGGATCGATCGCAGAAGGCGACCAACGGCAAATTCTCGGCAAATGAAGAATTCAAGTTGCAGGAAGCCCCAAAGAGTAAAAGGTTGAATAACAGAAGCGGTTCTCAGTCCAGCGGATTGCAAGATGTTGGTTCACGCAACAGCCAGGGCTCTGGGTGGAGGGACAAAGATGGTTCATCCAACGTCCCGCCGCCGAGTGCCGACTCAGCAAAGCAACAGCAAAGCAGTGATAAGTCGGGCACCCCTCGCAGTTCTCAAGACTCCCGTTTCCAGGACGATGATGAGGTCCGCTCCAACGACTCCTCACTTGCATCTTCTGCGAATCCAAAGTCCATCACAAGGAAAGAAGTACCACAGGGTGCTTCTCGCATGCAAAATCGTACGTATCTTACACTGCAACATTCACTCCTTCAGCTAACAATCGCACAACAGTGAACGGCAAACCTAACTCAGCAACCCATTCAAAGTCAAAGGGTTCGGAAGACCTTACTCCCCCAGGCCTCCCACCACGACCCAGCTTTGATCAGAAGCTCAGTGACACGTATATGGCACCACGGGCACCACCTGTGCCTCCCAGTCGTGCTGCTGCTGCTGCTGGAAAAGAATTGAACATGGGTGACACAACTGATTCTAAGGCTGATGCCAAGCTCCCCAGATGGAGTGCTGGCGGTGGTGAGTTGGGCTTGGAAGAGGATATGGCGCGTATCTTGGGAACAGACGAGGGGTCCTCGTCCATCATGAGGCGGGTCTCCACTGCGGTTCGCCACGGTAGGACCAACAGCGCTGAACAAAGCAACAACCCTGCTCGCGTTATTCACACCCGGAGTGTGAGCGAATCTACACGCACCACTTCGTCGCCTCGCTGGCCCAAGACGCCAATTGCTGAGGATCCCCTGAATGGACTTACACACGACCTCGCGAGCATCTCCCTAGCTCCTAGTGAGGATGCTGGTCTATTGAAGCGTCGTCTGAGAAATTCGGAGCAGAGAGTAGCCGAGCTTGAGCGCCAATTTACTGGCGAGAAAGACCTTAAGAATATTGACGAAAGGCTGGAAGAAAAACGAAAGACGGTTTCGGTACTGGACACCCAGGCGGAGCTCATGATTCGCCAGATCGAAGTGTTGGCTGGCTTCGTCGAGCGGGCCAAGGAATCGAAGCGACCGATTGATCCCAGGGAGCTTGAAGATTCGGCTATTAAGGAATTTGTCCAGAAGCTGGACCGACTGAAGGCCTCGATGGCGGCCAATCTCGAGCAGCTTCATTGCGAGCGAGATGAGCTGATGGACGAAAAGATGAGGGCAGTTGCAGAGCGCGACCGCGCTCTCTTGGAGTTCGAACAACTATCCTCGAAGAATGCGCAGCTTGCTGATATGAACAACGACCTGACGCACCAGATCCAGGAGAAGTTCAAGAGCAACACAGATCAGCAGCGATCCCCCATGAGTGGGTTGGGCATTTACAATCAGCACAAGGGTACTTCCAACCATTCGGTGAGCTTGGATAGCAACAGCATCCAAACGGGTACTACTTTGATCCCGGACCAGGAAGAGCCCATCGTCGAGACGGGACCTACCGTTGTCAACATCCGCAAAGGCAAGGTGCAAAAGTTCAGCTGGAAGAAGGGCGGCAAAACCATGGCTCAGAACATCGCCAAGGGTGTCAACCGAACCGTCATGGGATTGCAGGAGCCTCGCGATCGCCGAGAACACCAGGGCTTAACAGGCGAAAACATTGGGATGCCCTACAACATGACGCACACTGTGGTCGAGTCCCCAGCGGGCCCAAGCCCGATGAACAATATGAATGCCATGAATGCCATGAATGGTCAGAATCGACAACAGCAAGCGGAACGTGAGCGACAAGGCTTCTTCGGCTTCAAAAAGGCGCCGACAACAATGCCAAAGACGCTTGGCCCAATGAATGCCTCGACGCACACCATCGCCGAGGCGGCTTCCGTACTGTTTGGGTCCGAGCTGTCCGAGCGTGCTGACTATGAACGAAGACACATTCCCTGTGTCGTCACCCGCTGCATTGAGGAAGTGGAACTCCGCGGAATGGATATGGAAGGCATCTACCGCAAGACGGGCGGCAACTCTGCCGTTAAGATGATCCAGGAAGGGTTTGACAAGAACGAGAATTTTGATATATCGGACCCGGACATCGACATCACGGCAGTCACTAGTGTGCTGAAGCAATACTTCCGAAAGCTGCCCACGCCTCTCTTGACCTACGATGTCTACGATCGCATTCTCGAGACCAACAGTAAGTAGTCTTCCGCGACCCGAATGTCGGCTGGCACTAATATGATTATAGCCATCATGAACGACGGCGAGAAGGTTGCCCATCTTCGCAAAACCTTCAACGCGCTGCCTCAGAAGCATCGGGACTGTCTCGAGTTCCTCATGTTCCATCTTGCTCGCGTTGCTCAGCGCGAAGCAGAGAATTTGGTAAGTCATGATATGACGAAGCTTATCAAGATCACTTCATTGACTTTTTTCAGATGTCCCCGAAGAACATTGCTGTCGTCTTCGCCCCTACCGTCATGAGAGATACCAACATTGAGCGAGAAATGACCGACATGCACGCGAAGAACATTGCAGTCCAGTTCATTATCGAGAACAGCCACAGGATATTTTCCGAGGACTAGGTGTCCAGGAGAAAACCCGTGCCGGTCAGGATGTAAGGACTTGAACATCAACATCAGCCTTTATTCTCGTGCAATGCAGCAATGTTGCTCGATTTCTCCGGTGCGCCTTCACGAACTTGCAACAACTCTAACCCTCTTCCCCTCTCCCCCCCCCGCGGGGGCCCTCTTGCGGATGCTCCACCACTCTGCGGGATATCAAGATATGGCCGTGCTGACGCTCAGACGATAAATCAACAGCTCTAATGGCCTGTACTGTCCTGTCCTGTCCCCTGAGCTGGGCCACCACCCACCAACCTACTCCAGTTGGCATGAGTTATTCCCAGACATGGAACATTTGATGTCTTATATCATCATGATACCTGAATGTATATACCTTCTTCCCCTGATTGCATTGATGAGGAGTTTTCCAGTCTTTTCGGTACGAAGGCGTACAGGCCCGGGTTCAAGGGATCGGCATGTTTCACGAACAAACCCTGGACACCACTACCCACCACAACCCAAACTCAATAGGAAAAGGACACTTCCCACGCCCATCGTTGGATCCAAATTCGATTTCTTTTCAGGAAGGTGTTTGCGAGCCGTGCTCCGGTTATGTCTTTGACGGCACGTTAGGAAATTTAATGATATCCTTGAGAGCATGCGAAATCTGGTTTTGTTTGGAATGTTTTCATCCCAACGTTCGGACCAATCCTCAAAACCCAACTATGCACACGAGCAGACACACACTTGCTCGGCAGTTGGTATACACGTGAGAGAAAGACGGAGAGCTGAGAGAGTTTGCGGCCTCCCCTGCTTTAGACAAGTCAGACATTCCATGTATTCTTATGCTGATGAGGGTCAGCATTTGGGCCGGAACTCGGAACTGGGATGGCTTGCCGACACGCCGCTTCCATTGCCTTGGTTTCAGAGAACGAATGCAATTCTTTCAGTCGATAACACCAAATGATGTCCGATGTTTTACATATATAGCTGGACATGATTGTGAACCGTTTGTTGATCACTACTGTCCGGGGTTGCTTGCTCCGAAGCTGGAACAGCACAGGGGACAATGACCTTGGTGAAGATAGTCGTGACATCTGTACAGCTAGTGAGGATGGTATGTCGGTATTACGTCTGGCACAGATTCTAGAGGCTTCAGGCGCCGTTGGGTTTTCCAATGCCCCCAATCAGTTGCTAGAAAACCCCGGAGTCGCCCTGTAATTATACGGTCCATAGCACCCACCATCGGCATCTTAGAAGTTCATCCGAGATGTGTATCTTTCGTATGTCGCACCAGAAACGAACAACTCCTAGAGTGCAGTGTATAATTACAAATCCATATAACAAGCTTGTCTGTCCAGTGCCAAAAGAGACCATCCATCCGTTCCTCCCCACAAACCAGCACCTCCTTATCAGCCCCGCCTTGCCTTGTCCAGCAAGCCCAGCCAGCCAGCTTTTATATGCCACCAACTCCTTGTCCTGTGTCAAAACCCCATCTTTGAGTAAAACAGATGATGCCATGGAGATGCTGTTATACCGCAAACCCGTCTGACGCGTAACGCAGCTTAGATACGATGCCGCATAACTCAACTCAGACACCATCACCGGGACAGTAGACCACAGATTCGTCCTCGAAACGAGACTTTCCCTTCTGTCCCCGAGAAACAAAACGGACAACTAAATATACCACAACCGACAGACAAGCCCGCAGAATCTGGCCGCATGTACGCCAGCCCCTCAACTAAGCGGCCGCTTGACCCTCTCTCTGGCGTTTGACGACGTAGTACGTGATGAGGCTTTTCGGGTCATCCTTGACGCTCTTCATGGACTCCCAGAAGGTGTTCTCTCCGAGCCGGCTATGGAGCGCTACGCAGAGCTGCACGGCGTCCATGCGCACGCCGCTCTCCTTGCTCTCCAGACAGCGGCTCGCAAGGGCTGCGAGGTCGTGGATCTCGGCTTCGTTCGGGACGAAGGTAGTCCGTGTGTCGATTAGCTGCTTGAGCACGTGGAGTCCCATGGAGAGGCTGCGGCAGCCTTTGGCGTCGGTGTCCATGGAGCTTAGACGTCGCGTCATGGTGACGGTGATCTCGTCTGCGTCTCCGATTGTCACCAGCTCGTCGGCGAGTAGTTCGAGTCCGCTGACAATATGCGTCCGGGCATCATAGCCCGCTCTTGTGCCAAGTAGTGACTCTAAGCCCTTCGACACATGAGGCTGGAAACTGCCGCGCACCTTTCTTAGAAGCAGTTTGATGGTGGCCAGTATCTGGGCCTTCACGTCCTGTATCTTCTCTGGTGCCAAATTGGATAGGGGAGATTCGAGATACTCGAACAGTCCACTGATAAGCGCATCAAACTTTTCGTCGGTGAAAGGTACTTTGTTATCTCGAATCAGGGACTGCAACTTGCGAAAACCATGAACGTCGAGGTTTTGCGATTTGACTCGTGTCATGCCGCTCTCAAGCAGGCGAATGTTTTGGCGAGACTTGTCTGGGGTGTGACTGTTCGAGGTCGAATTTGCGTCAACGGACACAATTGATAGATTGGCCGCATCTTCATTAACTGGCTTGTCTTCGAGTACTGGGCGCTCTGGGCTCCCGTTGCTTGTTGAGCGTGGCTTTGCTTCTTGGTCTTCCGTGAAGGGGTCCTCGTAAACTTTCAGAGATGGTGCATCGACAGCTAGTTCATCTGTCGTCACGGGTTCGTCTAGCATTGGTGATGGCAAAAGTGGTGCTAGTGATATCTTTGGTGGAGATGACCTCGCGTTCTCCGTCAAGTTGGTCATATTGGGCACCAACAAAGTGAATTCCTCGTCAGCCTTGGAAGGACTACTAGAATTGAATCCATTTGTGGAAGATTTGGCTTTTGCCGGGCTGGCACGTGGCGAAGCAACGGCGGCAACTCGAGGTGAAGCAGCAGCAGCCCGGGGTGAAGCAAAAGCGGCAGCCCGGGGTGAGGCCACAGTCGCCGCCTTGGCTGCCGCTGCTTTCGATGGAGTGGGAAGACTGGATTCACTATGTGTTGGTTGGTGCCCTGGTCTCGTTCTCGTGACCGTCCTCTTAGGAGATCCCGATATAGTCTTCGGAGTGACGGCCTTGGACTTGGGATCGCCCGGACTTGACCGCTCCGACTCTAGGCCATCCCGGTTTCGACCAGAGTATGGTCCGGCAGTAGCGGGCCGAGGCATCTCCGGTCGTCGCCTTGCGGGTCGCATTGGAGCTACGGACATGCCGCCATGGGACATTGTAGATGGTTCGGCTCGTGGGCGAGTTGCTGGGGCAGCAGGAGCGGCAGGGGCTGTGTGAGAAGAAGAAGCTGTTGAGTGATTTGAACTCGACATATTAGATACAGACCGCGACGGGGTGATAGTTGCCATGGCGGATCCTGGGCGGGCTGGTAGGTTCCTTGTTTTCGATGCCAAGGCGGCTTTCTTCTGTGCCAGCATTGCTTCTCGTAGCGACGGTTTCGGAGGACCGCCGGTGGTACTCTTCGAAAAGCCCAAACCAGGTCGAGCAGCAGCCACTGGCTCGGCCCCCCGTTTAGGAGAGTTAGGGTTGTTTGGATCTTTCTGGAGTAGCTTCTGTGCAGTCGCGTCAAGTCCATCCATGATCCTGAATCTGGTCAGCTCTACATCCTTGAACGATGGAAATGGAATAGGGCCGTGTGGCTTACGCTTCTGCCCGCGCCGGCCAAATACCAGCATAGACCCAATACGCCGCTCGCATTCTTTCTCTGACGCCAGGATTGGCATCATTAAGACCTTTCTTGATGCACTTCTCTACCACTTCGAGTCCCCCGTTGTGTTCTAGATGGCTCTTGTGGTGTGCCTCCTTCTTTAGCAGTGTGATCAGCCACCCGCTGGCATAGGTCCGTGGTTGTACATTCTTATCCTGGCAGGCTATCCACACGTGTTGCATGATCCTAGCGTTGTACGTGGTTCTGCCCATAATTGTATCCACCGTCGTGTTGGCTAACTGCGAGGCTATCTTCTTGGTAGCGGCACACAACTTGACGCAAGCCTGCAGTAACAACTCGACCATCGGATCTATGCCGGGGCCAAAAGTGTTTGCAAGGTCTTGGACTAGACCACAGCCTTCCTTGGAGAGACTTGTCCGCAACGAACTGACCGCTTTGATGATGCCGTCGAGCAGGACCCTACAGCCGGTGATGAAGGCATCCGGGAAGTCTGCAGCATTTCCAGCGATGAGCCTCCGGAGTTTTATGACACTCTCTTCTCGTTTCAGCCAATTCTGCTCCGACTCTCTGCCTTCAAACCACGGGTGCATGTCCCTGAAGATATCATCGAGCTCGCGCTGCGTGTTCACATAGGAAGGCTCAACCGAATCCGCCTTCACTTCAGGCATTGGCGTTACCGGCCGCTCCGTGGAAAGCGAGGAAACGCTTGCAGCCAAGTTTGGTCGGGCGACTGGTGCGATATCTGGCCGGACTTCTTCGGCGGGTACCCTCGTTGCAGGTCCAGGCACGAGCTCCTTGACTATAGCCGACTCTATTGCGGGTCGTACTTTGAAGTTCTTCAACTGCTTCTTCAAATCTGACTTCGCACCATTCGGGGCATCTCTACACAGCCTCCGTTAGCTGATGATTGCCCGCAAGCAAATCGAAAAGTCGCGCCTCATAACCCACCTGAACAGCTCAATGACAGTCATCTTGGCGTTATCTCTCACCATGCCGTCGGCATCTTCTAGCAACTCCATCAATGTCGGGACGTAGGCCCGGAACGGTAAGCCGTGGTCCTTGTGCATCTACCCAGTCTATTAGCGCGCTGATTCTAGATGCCAGAATGGCCGTGTTGTTTTGCGCACCTGGACTAGCCATTGCATGCCCGTCTCTTTGGCCCTTGGGTTCTTGCCTGCCATGGCCGTGTTCCGCACGAACCGCTCGGCGTCTATTGGCGCCGCAGTATGTATAGTCACCATAGCCTGGATCGCCAAGCTTCGCAACTTGTCCTTTTGGTCGCCCATCTTGTCGACAACAAGCGGTAATGTGTATTTGGCCTCCTTGGAGATGTACTTGGGCTCCTGGCGAGACAGTCGCGTCAGGAGGTGGTTGAGCGACGTAAAGCCAGCGTTGACGAGGACGGCATGTTGCGAGCTCGACGCCAATCGCAGCGCCTCGAAGACGGGCGCGACACAGGGATCGGGGACATTGTGCTGTTTGATGGAGGATTTGACTGCCGTGACGTGCTGCACTTTCACGTCCACCGAGACATCCTTTCTGAGTATGGCTATCAAGTCTTCGACTTGCTGCTCGGATAGTTTTTCGGCCATGGTCGCCTCGGGTCGGGACTGAATTAATCGGCTGTAGTTACAATACGTGTGGGCGACAGATGATGCGTGAGATGCGCGTCACCACAGCATGCCGAGTCTCGTGTGGTCGTGGTTGTCGGCTGCAATAGGGGTGACTGCCGAATTGCGACGGACGGACTTGCCTGCGAATGGGGAAGGACCAAATGTTATTGATCTAAATTATTGAGAGTATCAAACCAGTCGCACATGGCAGCTCCGGACAGCGACCAAGAAACGATGATGCAATGTTATTTACCTTGGACGTGCGAAGTCAATAAAAGTCGCGCGTAATGAAGGTTTACTTCGGTTGGGACGGACCTGATTTCAAAAAGAATCCAAACGATAACGATGATGTTTCCTTGTTGACCATGACCCATGTCGATTCGGGCCATGTTACAAATACGTTCTGCTCAGCAACCGCCCTAAGCACGATCCCTGTCAGCACTGTTCTCGCGTCGTTCTGTGCGATCCCGTCCGGTCCCTGGATTTAGCTTGACCTTCCCCAGTTTTGGCCGGTCACTGGTCGACCCAGTCCAGGCACGATCAATAGGCGCGTTATTGACATATCGATGAGGGGTTGATCGGGGCCACTTGGGCATTTGCATCCACCAATGCTAGCTACATACGATGATGCCGCAGACGCAGTGGCGCACGTGTTTGCGATACAATTTGGTACTATCAAATGTCGTACGTTTTCGGGCCATTGGCTGCAGACTTAAACAGGGAGGGTACAGCTCAAGGCAGAACTGTATATTGTACTAGACATAGAGTGTGTTCTGCCAAAGGCAGATACGAAGGGTAGTGGGACAGACACGGCCGAAGTGTGACTGCATATATAAGTCTCTACAGTAAATATAACCATAGCTATAATAAGGCATTATACAACTAAATTTTATATGGTTCACCTATTGTAACGGGGTAAGGCCGGACATCAGGGAAATAGGTTACGGGGCTAGGAGAAAGGTTATTTTCTCTTCTTTAAGAGGCACAGAGGCAGAGTAGGACACGAGTCCCCCATCTTCACGCATCTTTTTCCATCATCTTTTTTTTCATCATCTTATTCAATCAACTTGACTTTTGTTTTCGATTCTAGTTAGCGAGATCTTCAATCATGCGGTTCTTTTCTATATGCATTTAGACACTACCGAAATCCTATTATTCTGCCCTCATCCTAGCCTTGATAATGACAGAGAATTGTATCTTGCTCTGATCAGAGAAATCTAGTGCCAGCGAGAGCTTTAATTCGACTTCCAGAGCCAGACGTCTTGTTCTGAGAATCATTCCGACGAGAGTCTCAGAGGCACATCCGACCAACTCGCGCACCAGACGTATAAGAGCGAAGCTTTTATAACCAGTACCACGATCTTCGTCTGATAAGACCAACAGATGGGATCTGTTGGTACTGGAGCCGTCTGTTCATTGTGTTAGGTGGTAGGTATATCCTACTGACCGCCTGACCCCGTTTCACTATCCGTTATTCCTAATTCTCTTCTAAGTAACTATTCCTTAATCCTCCTAAAAAGAACCTTGTATTCAATAAAGAGGTTTTTTTTCTCTTTTTTTTCTGGAATCTCGTATATTATTATATCCTGTGCAAGCCTACGGCTTATAATAATAAATAATATTAAATACGCCGTAGGTGTTAACCCTCGGTACCTCTACAAGTACTCCCTTAAGGGGCTATAGATGATATAGCGGGCCCTTAAGCCGCGTCGGGCGGTTATACAGGTAAACTTGTAGCCAAACGACTACTAAACCTCCTGTCCCTCCCTAAGTCTGTGCTACAACCCCTGCCTGAACTACCGATAAGCGTGGTAATGTGGCACTTAAATTCGTCCTCAGGGGTGGGATGCTGCTGATGTGCAGAAGATGCTCGACTATTTTTTGTCGCGACAAGTCGTAGTATCTGCTAATTGGGGTTCTCGTCGAGCGTATACATCTCAACCATACGCTCAAGTGGATAGACCGTAACGTGGTCTAGACGCTCGCAAGAATCGCGGCGAGAGGGCGTGCTGCGCGCCTTCTATCGTGAGGGGACGGGTTCGCCGACGAGCGTCATCGGATAGGCGAGGTCCGATAAGGGGTCGGATTAACGATTCGAATTCTGGACCGGCTGTCGAGTTATATTCCGCCGACGTAGTGCTTGACGGTCGACTGACTAGGATGCTCGTAATCCTAAACTGCACCAATCTCCCTATTATCGCTAGGTAGGCGAAGTCAACAAGGTGGGCAGCGCGCCGTAAGGGTTGACTAAACCCCCCTGTGTGTCAGCTGCGGGATTCGAACCCGCGACTCGTCACCGACCCAAGTGGGCGAGGCTCAAATCGGGACTTATCTACCAGCGAAGTGACCAACTACACCAGCCGACAACTTATAATAATAACAGGTCTATAGACCCGAAGTATAGCGGGTAACTTACCTAGTCCTACATGCAAGTGTAACCCTGTACTGCGAATTTGTATTCTCCGTGACTGTTGTTTTGCCCTTGCCCTATAAGGTTTCTGGATTTAACCCGGAGGTTCAATTTAATATCGGTGTAGGGCTGTGGATTATTTAGTAAGACGCCCAACTCTACTACATTCTTTCCCTGTTGCTTTCGTAGTGGGTATTGTCGAATATCACCTGTGTCCAATCGAGTAGTCGGAAGTGCGTAAGATTGTATATGAATGAGGTGTATCGTTCTCTGTCTTCTCTGTTCTCGCGAACTCCCGTTGCTCTGTCTTTTATAGATTCTTTAGAACATATCGGAGGTACATTGTTCAGGTATCTGACCCCTAAGTGGACAGTAACTTTGGTGTTACTTTTGGGAAAAGGGGTTCCTTTCGCCTTTTGAACTTTAAGTGACAATAGTCTTCTCTAGTGCCATATTATTTCTGAACCTAGGAACAAGGTGCCCTATCTGACAGGTATACGTGGTCCCTATAACCGCCGCCGGATTCGAGCCGCTGGGCTAGTTGCCGTTAATAAGCTTAGCAGCGGTTTTATAAGGTAGGAGTAACGTTATACGATTTAGCCTCTTTTAGTATAGAAATACACGGTTTTAATACTTCCTTCGCCAGGCGGTCTTCCCTATGGCGATTATTATGAAATGACCGAATACGAATAAAATTGAAAGTAATGAGTCCGATTCGTTAGCCGTAGCTAAGGGTGCGATTTAACAGTGCAATTATTGTAGTGTATTCGAAAGTGGGGCTATCCCACTATCCCTGGTGTCTGCATTCGGCAGGACACAGTCTAGTACGCCTCCAGTCGGACTTCAGCACTAACCCAGTGCTCACCTTGAAGCTATCATATAAGCTTGGATTTTGAAGAGGCATATCTTGTCAGTGGTCTTGAGCTAGGCTAATTAAGTGCCTATCTAGTACAGCATCTTTTGCACAGGCTGCCGTTTCTGAGTCGGCACTCTTCCGCAGCTAATATATAACCACGATATTGTTGCCCATATCCGACAGCGCCGAGCCTCTGCCGCAAGACTTGCAAAACGGGCAAGTTATCTCAGCCCATCCATGCCCCTCGCACCGTACACAACCCCGGTGCCGCAACCCGTCTTCATGCCGGGTATCAGCTACCAGACGGAAGCGCCGTCACCGACGACAGTCGCCACCTCGGCCCCGACCCCCCTCCCCGTCCGACCTGGGTACCTAGAAGATGACGGGGCATCGCAAGAGCCCCTTTCCCCATCCACAGCTGAGCACAAGGGCCAGCCCTCTCCGCCATCCTTCGAACTACCCCGTCTCCGCCTCCAAATCCACGACCTCTCCCACCCGGGCGCCTCCATTTTTTTGCAAGCCATCAACCCCAGCACCTGCTTCGAATCCAGCGTGCGCAACGTGCTCAAATGGCTCTACATCTCCCCAGGAGAAAAGCACACGCACGCCCCACCCACACGCTCCGTAACCCTTATATTACGGGACATGGGTGGTGTGGCCTACACCACGGGGTCGGACCTTGACGACGACCACAAGGAGATCCACTTCAGCCTGGGGTATATCGCGGGGATCACGCGCTCGCGACATGAGGCCGAAATAACGGGGGTCCTCACGCATGAGCTGGTGCACTGCTACCAGTGGAACGGGCGGGGTGCGTGCCCGGGAGGTCTGGTGGAGGGGATCGCCGACTGGGTGCGGCTGAATTGTGACTTGGCGCCGCCGCATTGGAAGAAGGAGGCGGGCGGGAAATGGGACGGCGGGTATCAGCATACAGCTTATTTCCTCCAGTATTTGGAGGGGCGGTTTGGCGAGGGGACGGTTAGAAGGCTGAATGAGAAGTTAAGGACGTGTGAGTATGAGGAAAAGCCGTTCTGGACTGAGTTGATTGGACGGCCGGTCGAGCAGCTGTGGGAGGATTATCGGGAGCATTTGAAAGCGGAAGGGGTGCCTTCGGAGGGAGGGTGTAACGCGGACAAGAAGTCCACAGATGAGGCGACGTAGAATTAGGCTATCGTGCCGAGAATATCTGCATGACTTGTTCTCCGCGGACAGACGCAAAAGCGAGCATTGGATCTTTTAGTTGTCAAATACTTTCAACGAATCATTTTCCAAATCATTACAAAAATATGTGTTATAAACGATAACATATACCACCAGGCCTGTTACTTGAATATGAAGGTGTTTGCTGCCTCGTGGAAATACCAAATTGATCCTCCGTCCTGACGCCGTGCCGTGTGTTCCCTAGGTACCGAAAAAGAAAAATGCTAACTGTCTAATGTTATGCGTGGACACGTTGAGCACCAGCATCGCTCTCGCTAATGACACTACCGACTTCTGACCAACTTGCCGGTGTCAGGATGCCCTCATCGTCGCTAATGACGTCGTAGTAGTGCCCCTGTTGTGATACCATGGAACGAGCCTCGCCAGCAATATCCTCGCCGGAACCGGCCAGAGACGCAGAGTCGGTTGGAGTCATTTCGCCGTCGCTTATCAGTTCGGGTTCTGAGAGAGGTGCAGCAGGAGTCTCGGGAAGGGGTGAGTAGAAGCTGGCGTTGGATGGGTGGGATGGAATTGAAGCCGTCTGCGCCCAAGCTTGAATGGAACTGAAGGTGTCGTCGTGTTTGTCCTCTTCACCAACTGCCATGGAGTCATCTGCAACGACTTCAGGCTCCGTAGTGGAGGATGGCGTTTGCTCCCTTGATTTGGCGGGCCTATCAACCTCTGCCAAGGCGGGGAGCGCCGAGAGAGTAGCGGACCTCGACTGTTCGTCACGATGTCTACCCGCATCAGAAATGCTGTAAAGGTCATCCCCGTCGAACTCGTCTTTGGGATCCATCAGGCTGTTCTCGAAAAGTGTGTGTTCGTCGATGCCGTGCTCGTCCGCAAAGGGGTTCGTGTAAACCGAGTGGCTCAATCCTCGGATTCCCTCCGCGCGATGACGGAGACCTTCGGAAGCTTCGTTGCGGTCAGTTCCGGAGTGGAAGACGTACGTCCCCTTCTCGGCGTCAGAGTCCTGCTTGAGAAAGTCATCAAAACTGGAGCCCCGGCTTGTGGTACGTGACCGGACCGCCGAGACATCAGCAGTCTTTTCCGGATCACCACGCTCCTTTGCTCTCTTCGCCTCGGCAATCGCATTCCAATACATCAGTTCCTCGCGTTGGCGCCGACGACTCTCCGCATCGGCGTCGACACCTAGTTCGCCGCCTTGTTGATCACCTTGCTCGCTACGAACGTCGATTCCCCGAGACAGTAGGAACCCTTCGGCATCCTCGGGTCGGTTGAGAAGATTCTCGCGCTCTTGCGGACTGATGCTATCTCCGAGCGAATGCAGCGCGACGGCGATTTTGCGTCTCAAATCTTCTAAGGTACGGCGGATTTCCGGGGATTCATAAATCGCCACGCCCGCGGCGACGACGAGGGACACGGCAATGATGCCCGCTGAAAGCACCACATGATTAACGGGAGGCATCTTGGACGGTATCCGCAACTTCAGCAGGAGAAAAGTAGGTAGATCAAATAGATTGTAGATGCAGTGCTACGACTTAAAGGGTTATAGGATATGCAGGCAAGTAAATGGCGAGTAGATTTGTTGTCATGGCATCAGGACTTCCAAAATAGCGCTAAAGTCGAGACACGCAATCGTCTTGGATCTGATGGGGAATTGCAGCTGCCTGGTGCAAGTGGCGACATCAGGAGAGGCGATGTGTGGGCGCTCAGACGATGCCGCGGGGAAACACAGCTTGCACAGCAGCTGGCAGGTGACAGTGGGCAGGGCAATTATCGACTTGATATCAAAAGTGTGGAAACTGACCTTTTATTGCGACCGCAGGCATTTCTTCGCTACACAACCGAGCTGCTTGTACAACCTAAAAGACGAATATGAAAAGGAGAGGTTCAGGGTGTGGAATTCCGGATGAATACTTGACAAGTGAAGTGCTTTGAATACCACCAACGTAACGTTAGAATGCCGCATTGATAAGCCCCATGGGAAGGAAGCCTCATCGCGTTGACGTAGGCCATGATTCGTCAATTTTACGTTCGTACGCGCTTCAGGGCAAGCTGGCGTCGGTGAATCAAGCTTTCTCGAAAAACTTGGTTCCCGTGAGCCTTGATGCAGCCAAACTCTATAGTTGGGCCACTTGACCAGCGTCAAGTTGTTATTGTCTCTGTTAGATAAATGTTCCCGGCGGAGGTTCTGTCCATTGATAAGACGATAACTCGAATTACAGATCTGCTGCTCTGAGAGGGGTAATACATATGCCATAACCCCACTATGTCTCCGGGGCTATCGGTTTTAGAGCCGATTATCGATAACAGGTGTAGGAGAGCATTATTAGACCTCTCGTGGGAAACCGGGATTCTGATATTGCCTCTACTCCGAAACTCGAAAGAGGAAGAAGTCAGCTACTCTGAGACCCTCTGCCAGCCTTTTATCCGCGTGGGGGTGGGGTAGCCCAACCATCAACTTTCTAGGCACGGTACCGACTCATACCCTAGGCCATATATCTCTCTACATGCCCTCTACAGCGTTGTAACCCAAGATAGCTTTAACTTGATCTTAGCAGACCAAAAGACTCGAGACTATTCACTGTCTTGACGCTGGACAGCGCGAAGTCGAGGGGACCAGAAGCAATTTCGAGTCTCTCCTGCCATCGGGAAGCCCGCCTCATCGAATCTAAATAGTACCGAGGGTCTCAGCAAGCCCACGCGAGGGACTTGTATGCCCTTTCAGACCCACGACTTGTCTCCTTTAGTCCAACTCTAGTCCAACTTCCAGAAAACTACCTCAGATATAGACTTGGCATGATCCGAAGCAGTCGTATACGCCACAGTAGCCTGCCGTGTACGTCCAGCACTTGGTTGACTAATAACGGCCTCCACTACTTGCCTTTAGCCTGAAAACATTTGAAAGCATTTCCAAAAAGAATGGGCGGTGACGATGAGGCGTAGCATCGCCTACACTTAACATTTTACTGTGATACTACGCCATACACATTAAGACCGTGGTTACCATCACCATCCGGCTGTGATTGTCGCTGTGACCACGATCAATATTCTCTGAATGTTTGAAATCTATTACTATTATACGCTGCCTTTCGCCAAGATGTATAGTGGGCGGGCCACTGGAAAGTGCTCTTCATTTGTGACCGTCCTGAAGCCTCTTTCGCAACTGGTGCCGTCATAATAACAATAGTATCTACTACGAGTCTTCGATGGATTTTCTTTGTTGTCAGCACGGTTGTATTCTTTCTGGCTGTAATTTCAACATTCAAATTCAAAGCTGTGGTATTCTAACTAGTGAAAATGGCCGCATGTATTTCCTCGAGGTTAACTTCTCGTTCTGTCATTATCCACCGTTCTACTTCTCATTGGATCCCTTCTCGACATCTGAGAGAGAGTTCTCATCCACATGGACTTGTTTACGATCTGCTCCCCACCTTGTGACAGTCCAGACTTTGCTCTTTGCAGCAATACGACTCATCCATTGCCGCGACCACCTCCAGCCACACACAAATCCCAATGCAAGGGCCCCAAGCATGGGCAAAACCACGACTAACGGCAGCGCCATATATCCAGTCGCTCCGCCAACACCCAGAGCATCGCGCTTATCACTCAAATCACCCCCTGAATCCTCACCTTCACCCACACCACCATATGATGACACACTCGCGGGACTCGGCGGCATCGGACCCGTAGCCCAGTCTACGGGCTCCGGACCAAGGATGTACTCCATGGTCCCACCATTAGCAAAAACATCCTCCCAGGTAACCCAAGCCTTATTCCAGTCCTCGCCATTGACCTTCAAACTCTGTACGTAATACGACTCCTCGGCCCCCCCAGTCGTAGTAATATGGAGTTCATTTCCACCCCCAAGGTGAATCGTCAAGTCACGAAACCAAGGGCTGCCGATCAAGAATGACGTCTGCCCCGTCATGGGGTACAGCCCAAGCATAACCCACAACACCCAACTCTCCATCGCCCCGGCGTCTGAATTACCGGGAAGTCCAGCCGGCGTGGGGTGGTAGTAGCTTTTGGCCACGAAGCGGCTGTACTTGACTGCCAGATCTTGGCGGCCAGCATAGTTGAACAGGAATGGTGTGGTGAAGCTGGGTTCGTTGCCGGGGTTGAATAGCGTGTAGTTGAAAGTAGCACTGCCAGTCGGGTTCATCCCGGGCGTAAACATGACTTCCAACCTTCGGACGAACTCGTCCTCGCCATCGCATAGGGAGATGAGGTGGTCAATGTCATGGTGTGCGTTGAATGAATACTCAATCGGCAGGCCCTGGTAGTAGTAATCTCCCCAGTAGCATCCGCCGCACGACAAGGGGTCCTGCGGGATGAAGCTGCCGCCAGGCGCGATGGGGCCCAGGAACCCGGTGAAGTTGTTCCAGCTCATATCGGTATTCCAGTGGTTCCGCCAGTTTTGCGACCGGGAAAGGTACCTCTGAGCGTCCGAGGTCTTGCCGAGTCCCTTGGCGACTTGGTATAGGCCGAAGTCATTGGCGGCGTATTCGACGGCGCGGCTGACGGATCGGCCGTACTCCGTCGTGATGTAGCCGTACTCTAACCAATCCGGCAGGGCGCCGCGACCCTCTTTGGTGGACGAGGAGAGGTCGCGGGCGTCGTTGTTATTGGGAGGTACCGTCTCGGCATCAGACACCATGGCTGAGAATGCGTCCCCCCAGTTTATGGCGCCGCGGACGCCTTTAACGTAGGCGTCGGCGAGGACGTTATCAGCGTTGGATCCGCCTTGCGTGGCGCCGTTGAAGAAAGAAGAGCGACCATCAGGCAGAAAATCATCATTTCGCCATATATCAACGAGTGAACGAATAAACTCTTCGTAGGCCACTGGCTGTAAAATGTGGAACAGTGGCATGGTGCATCGGAACTACATTTGATTAGTATTGCTACGCATATTGCAAAGGTGATTAAGAGACTGACTAGATCCCATAATGTAAAAATATCGTCGTAATATGGCTCAGAGGAGGTCCAAAGTGGATTCTCTCCCGTTTTGTTGGTTGGAATAATGCTCATGTGATACAATGAACTGTACAAAAGCTGCAAGTTGGTGGTATCAGTATCCGTCGTTGTGATTTTTGACAAGACATTGTCATTCCATGCCGTCTTCGCATCCGCTTCGAGTGAAGCAATGGTGTTGTCGGTAGTTATCTCGTCGTCAAGATTGCGGCAGGCCTGCTTCGCCGAGATGAACGAGACCCCCACTCTCGAGGTGACTTCCGTCGCCTCGAACGAGAAGACAGCCCCAAGCCGAGCCGTCGTCGAAGAAACATTGCTCGTGGTGTCATACGCAGCCAGCGTACTCCCAAGCTTGTCTGTTCCAACAAAGGTCTTGAACGTCGCCGGTTGGTCCAAAGACCCACAGAAGTAGACGGTCCATCGCGGTGAGCGGTTCCAGCCCTTTTCACCCGGTGTGAGTGGTATTCCCAGGATAATCGAGTTTGCATGAAACGGTTGTGAAGACTTACGTTGTCATACGAGCCGAGTCCGGTGTAACGGGTTGTACCAGGTTCAGATTCAATGACTGAGATGGCACCGTCCAAGTAATTCTGACCCAAGCCTTGACCACGATAACTTGGAAGGACATGGGAGACATCGACAATGATGTTATTGGACGAGGCGCTGTGATTGGTGCCCTTGGGGAATGTGTAGAGGTACAATCCCGCGCGGTTGGCCGCACTCATCTCGACCACCGTTCCGCTGCCGAGAGAGGCCTTATAATAACCGACCCTGGTCACGTCTGGAGCGGCTCTCGTGTCATTGTGATCCGCCAGGGGGTTCACGATGTTTCCTACCACGGGCATCTGCGAGACAACGCCATACTTGGGGGCTCCCCCAGTTCCACTCTCGTGGAGCAGACTGAACCCAGTGAAGTTTCCAGTAGGTTGGTAGCCCGAGTAGCTGTCAGACCCTGTGTACAAATCAGGGCCAAGCTTTACCACACCTAGTGGCAAGCTGACACCGGGGAAGGTATTCCCTCCATTTATAGAGCCTGTCTGGGCAGAAGTTAGATTCTCGTGGAAGCCAAATGTCAAGTTTGAGAACAAGGTCGACTTACATCAGGCAATACATACCCTGTAAGGTCTTGCGCGTGACTCTTAGACAAGAAGGCAAGGCCGCTGAGAAAAAATAGCACATGCATGGCAATATCGATAGCGAAAAGAGATAAAAGAGAGAATGTGGGTATACCACCGCATTACCCACCGAGTGCACATCTACCCACCTATATATATGCGTTCTGGAACCATAGGACGGCATACAAGCAAAATCTAGCCATGAAATATCGAAGTGACGGTATATGTGATCCGGTCAGTTGCAGCAAACATGGGTGGGTGGCAGCAACGATTCGGGTGGAAGTGGTAAGTAGGTAAGTGACAAGTACCAATCAGTCCTTCCACCTCATGTCATGGAGTGCCCAAACACTATACTCATGAGCTGCATCACGGTCATTAGTTCGACTGGGATATGAAAGTGGCCAGCCGGGGGGTTGCAGCACACTATTGAACCTGAGTTGCTCTCCAACGTGCAACGAGGCCGGCATGTGAATGGCCGGTTTTGGTGGGAATATGGTCCAACCCTCGCAGCACGTTGAGCAACACACAACAAAGAACCAAGAAACGTGCAATCGAGTAGAGGTGATAGATACATTATCGCAGATGTCAGATATGACAGGTTTGTGATAGCTGCATGTGCCTCTTTTTGGCTTGCCATTCGCTTGATTGTCTTAGACCACTCGGAGTTTGATGGCGGCGCAGGGCCAGGCTTTAGCAAACTGGCCCTATTGGTTCATCACACACAAGTAAAGTCGCATCTTGCACATGTCGGTCGATAGGGAGCGCGTATACCGATGTAATCATAACAAGGTTTTGGTCGTATTCAAATTTCGTGCACGGTCTAACCATGGGTTCCTGCATCTTCTTTTCTGGTGTTGCAGATATCTTGCAGGGCAGAATGCATAGAGGCACCTGATTAAGGAAAATGTCGAAGGGGGACTTGAGCAATGAGGTAAAAAAGGCCATGTGAGTGTGAGTACTCCGGACATCTGATGAAAGGTCAGCATGAACAGCTGACTCTGCACCCATTCTGGGAAAAAGAATTGGAAGGAACAGTGTTGCAGGTATTGAGCCAGAAACCGCCATTGTAGTATCTTGAGACAAGTCTGTCAACACTGCGGGCCTTCATCCTCGTGCCGCAGAAAGCCGTCTTGTGAAAGAGCCGATTCACATCCAGCGCTCCAGTTCTGGAGTTATTGCGAAGACCACGTTCTCAAGATTAAGGATTTAATGATCTGTGGCCCTAGTTGATACCCCGCACGGAATCGTGAATTGTCCCTCCCCAAGGCAGATCCCCTGCAATTGTCGTGTAAAAACTCTCGTGACATTACGCGTGATGATGTACCACAATCTTTACATGGCAAAAGATTTGTGAAATATAATTATTATAGATATTGTTAATGAGTGAGCGGCATGGCAACTTAGCACATCTGCCTCTTGCCTCTGACCCGTCAAGGGCACCAAGGTGGCCCAGGTGATAAATTGGAAATTGACTACCACGAGACGTTCAGGTAGATGTAGAGTATAAGAAACGATATCATGAAAGGCATTACACTACCAAGAATATAGATACAGAGAGTATTAGGTAAGGCTGGTGCCGAGTGTCTAGTTAAACAAATGGCGCCTTGTAATGGAACAGTATAGAATAACGACACATCGCTGCACCTAGGGACGCCTCTGTTTATTATGTCTGGCATAACTAGGATCAATTATGATTACCTGAATAGCTAGGCTGGATGGAATCGGAGTTCAGCTCCTGCGGCAAGTGCCATCTGATAAGGCAAATTTGTGGGTCCATGGCTCGGCCAATAGCCGACACCAAATATTGGTTCTTCACCGCAATTAATCTGCCGGCGGAAACAAAGTACACAGCAACTGACCGCTTTACGATAATTGCAGTATTGATCCATGGTAAGCTGTTGAGGCTGCTGTGACTCCAGTGTGCTGGGTTTCGCTGTTTGATCGGAATTCGTCCTGGGCGTCTTCTTGTCAATCGCGTTAAGTCCTTCACGACATCGAACCCGTGTCACTGCTAGATCGCTAAGACCTCTTGTCGACATCTTTGTATGCCTACTTCGATCTGCCCTTCCAGTCACCATGGGGCGCAAACCGAATCCTCTGATCGCACTCTACTTCGAGCGGGGCCCCAAGCTCAGCGACAACAGCAACAGATATCCCCACCGTTGCAAGGCCTGTGGCGAAGACTTTCCGAAGGGCCGTATTGACAGCCTGACCGGCCATCTTACCAGAAAATGCCCTGCCATTACCGAAGCCGAGAGAGTTGAAGCATGCCTCACTCTCAACGGCATTAGTGCTAGCGGATCGCATGCTCCCAAGGCACAGGCCCAGAACAATGGGGCAATTGCTGGGGGTGTTCCTCATGTCGAGGACAATTGGACTGCCCTCGAGACTCTTGCGGAGGTGTCGCGTCAGATCGAAGCCAGTGAGAAGCACGACGACCATGCCCCCAATGCTCAAAACCCCAACTTCGAATCTTCCCAGGTCATGTTTACGGATAGCCTCCCGGCGCACATCGATTCGAACCACTTCGAGCTCCAAGAGCTAGCTACCCTAGAAAACCCTCCCTCGAGCTACGAAAACCGGTCGCAACGAGAGACGCGAGGCTCTGAGCACGCTCACCGCGAGCTCACTACGGAGGAGAAGTTACATAGTCTTCTGGCGCAGGTTGACGGAGCTCCTACAGAGTCCAACCTGGGCTCTGTTGCTGCTGCTGCGACCGCTCGACTGAACCCATCGTTCCTCGATCCTCAACTGCAAGCTTTCACCGAAGAGCCAACATCGCAGTCCGTGGACGCCGCCACCACTACTTCCGAGATGATGGCCGACTACACATCACAGGTGACAGCCTCTCCTCCTGTCTTGGCCCCTCCCGCTATGGTTCCCCCTGTCTTGGCTCCTCCTGCCATGGCGCATCCTGTCACAGCTCCTCACACCGCAAGCCCCCATGAATCAAATTCTCATATTGCAGGCTCTTCTTTCGTTGGCCCGCCTGTCACAGAGGCTCCAGCTGCTGGTCCCAACCATATCTCGGCTTGGAGCGAGATGACGTACATTCCAGACGCAGTACAGGCGCCGGCCACTGTAAGCGATCAGAGCCAGAACATGGCGCTCACTTTGAACAAAGGCGGGTTTCGCATGGACACTAGCAGTCACACCGGAGCTCGCACTCGGCATACCCGAGCGCGCTTCGACGCAGCGAGACGACGGGAAGTCCAGGAGGTTCGTCGCATTGGAGCCTGCATTCGGTGTCGCATCTTGCGAAAAAATTGCTCCAAGGGAACCCCGTGCGACACGTGCCGTAAGGTTTTATCCCCTCGAGTCTGGCGCACAGGTTGCGTTCGTACCAAGTTGGCTGAGCAACTGGAACTCTACACGGCTGGCGTTCAAGTCGTCATTTCTCAAAAGCGGGTCAACAAGCTGAAGGCCTGCCATAAGCTCACCAACAATGGTGTCGTGGTTGAAGCTTCTTTCCATGAGACAGGACAGAAGATGGTTCTCCAAGTTGCACAGGGCCAGCCACTGGAAGTCACTCAAGATGTCAACGAGGATTCCTCCGCACCTCCCACCGATATCTTGATGATTGACAACGATAAGGAAGACGTCCCAGCCAAGGTCGAGAACTACATGCGACATGTAGTACCTGAGCTCATTCGCCGAGAGCCTTCTAACCATGTGCGTGTCATGCTTGAGTGCGCGTCCCATGTGGCGCAAGAGACCGATGACGAGTTGCTAAAGCGATCTCTTGACCTCTGGGGCCTTGTTGAGATGATGCATCGCGAACGTCACTGGTCTTTCTTGAAGAAGATGAGCGACAGAGATAGCGAAGGTGTTCTGATCAAGGAGGCACCCGGTGAACATGACAGTTTCACCAATCTCTCCACCCAGCTTACTGCGGCGGCTGAGCGTAAAGCAGCAGCGACTAGCAAGAGCCTGCTTAACGGTATTCAGCGACACCTTCAAGATGGCAAGACCAAACTCGGCTTTGCGATGTTCCTTACTACGTTGGTTTTGATGAATTCTGTCGAGAAAACAACTTGGACCTTCAAAGCTTGGGAAGGAGAAGGACTGCAAGCTTTGTGGCCTCTGGAGAAGCAGCCAAGCGACTACTACAACCAGGGCTATGCGCTCTGTGAACTGTTGCGAATGCTGCTGTCTATCCGTCATGTCCTACCCAGAGTGGTCGAGCCAGACCCCGACCATGCCATGGTGGCGGAAGAAGAGAATGAGATCATTCGTCAGTTCTACCAGAATCTCAATGTGTCCAGTAAGCTTCCAGCTGATTAACACGCCCTCTGAATACTTTACTGACCAGGTCTTTAGCGAACTTCCTGCGAAGTCGTCATGAGAATTACACTTTTGACCAAACCGACTCAAGATCACTGGAGTTTCTGTACTGTTCCCATCTTCTTATGCCTATGCAGTGATGCGGGAATGATGTGGATATCTCGATGACAGATTTCAATCACAAACACCGCTGTACAGCCTTTGCATGGAATAGAACAGAGGTGTTCGCGAGCTGCAATTGCACGTTGCAACGATGCTGTGTTCGATCAGCAATAATATCCTACATGTCATGTTGGAATTCTACAAATCTGGCAACGTGCCCAAAGCGTCACATTTTTTCTCTACCACATAAAAAACTGACCTCGACTCGATATACCATCACTGTATGCGAGCAACCTAATTCTCTCCACGATATACGACTATACGATGTTCCGAAGGTCAGGACGACTGGTGTCAGAACAAGATCCGGCAGGGATAGATAGGACAAATGGCGAAAACACAAAACAAGGGTGGTCACACGACACACTGGCTGGATAGCTACTTCAGTAGCCAGCCCAATGATGAACATGACACGGAAGGGAAAAGTAAGATTTGTGCCTAGAAAAATACCCCCAGCGAAGTCTAGGACAGGCGTTTTATGATATTCGGTACTCCCAGCGGGTGATTAGGCAGGCTGATAATAGAGTATAGACTTGTGCTTTTGATGAATTCTTCTGATAGACTGCAAAACTGCGTCATGCCTGTTGTTATGTGACCTGAAAACTTGGTGACCTAGGTGTCAGCGTCTTGCTCATCACGGAGTCGCGTAAATCTAACTCATTTGCAGTTCGTGTTAGAAATTGACAATATTTCCCTCAATATCTTGTCCTTTATACTTGTTCCTGTTTTTCAAATCACTTGAACTCTGTGTGCGTGAACCGTTCTCTTCAACATATACTAGTCGTGATGCGTATGTGTATGGTCCAGCTTGTTCCTGCCCCTACTGAACTCCACAAAGTCATTCCCTCCCCCATCGCCCTTTTGCCGCCAAAATGAAGCTTGTTGTACTCATGACGGTCGAATAACTACACCAACTCATTCAGTGGCTCAAATGTAATGCTATCTTCCACATTGAGCCAGTCATCCTGAATGGGCAAATGGAGCGGTGGTGACCTCATCCATCCAAACAAGCAAACTCCAATAGGTAATAACCCCAGCAGGGATCCTGTCTACCGCCTTCTAAGCCACTTCATCATCCCCCCGTTGTTCTTATCCTGTCCACCGCAAACACCAGCAACCATTCTCTAACCGGTCTGCTTGCGCTCTAGTTGGCTCTTGCGCGGCTTCTTAAAGCACGCGAACTCGTTCTTACTCAGCTCGCGTAGCTTCTTAAGTACGTCGCGCATGCCGGGGAGTTCGCCCTGGAGCCTTGCTCTGGCGGCGTCGTCGGTCCGGTTGTCCAACATGGTGTAGATCTCGCTCTGCAACTGCGAGGCCCGCTCCGTTGTGTACTGCGAGAGGGATTGGGCCACAAACTCGACGTCAAGCGTCGCTTGCATCAGTGCGCCGAGGTCATACTTGGGGCGCTGCTTGAAGGCCTCGAGCAGCTCGCGGGACGTCTGCTCGAGGAGGTAGGAGAGGACTTGCGAAGTGAGTGATGGTGCGGTAGTGGATACTTGAGTGTGGACGAGCACAAGTGAGAGGAGGGCTTCGTAGACGTAGGGTTTTACCTCAGTGGGCTTCGCGGGCGCCCAGTTGGGGTCAGAGAGGCCGGCGCGAATGATCTTGCGCAGGGCGTCAATAGAGGGACGAGTGTATGACTGAAAAAGGCGGGCGTCGATCTGGCCAAGGACGTCACGAATCGTCTTGGACTCGTCCGTCAGCTTCACTGAGAAAGCGTTCTCGAACTGCCCGTTCAGGTTAGGGACCACCTGCGAGCGGAGAGCTTGCAGATTGCTAAGAGTCAGAAGCATGCGGACGTTCTGATGAAATATTAGCACCCTATTCTACCAATGAGACGAGAGCAAAGACAACTTACGCGATCGCCTGCGTTGATAGTATTGACACCGACGCTGAGGGATGCTCGATCGTCGCCTGACTTGACGAGGGCGTCCAATTCGGTTGTCCACTCATCATCTGCCTTCTTGACCGCCCTCTCGGCATTCTCGACCATTCCGCTCAAGGCCTTGTAAAGGGTGGTAACATATTGACTGCGTACCATCTGCAGAAGTTTGGTTGGTGGAGGTAGGACGATTTCAGCAGCGCCAGGTTTAGCCATGGCTTCCGAAATGTACAGAATCTTCTGCATGCCACTGAGCAGGGCACCCTCAAAGGCGGCAAAACTCTCAGGCATCCGTGTCACATCGCCCATCTCCCTGGATCTCTGCCAATCTTCCACATACTTAATGTTCTCGGCATCCTTGTTCCACGCAGCACATATAGCCGTGACACATCTCTCCCTTGCCGCGCCAACCAATGTCCGTAATAGCTCCAATAACTTGCCATCATTTTGGCCGACCGCTGCTATGCTGGCCATCTCTGACGCACCAGAGCCCACCAGTGCCAACATCTTGGAAAGATAATGAACACCGCTGACAGAGTTGGAGTTTGGTGGCCAGAAAGCGAACTTCTCATAAGCCTCCCCGCGTTTTGGCGAAGGTGGAGGCATGTGGTTCTCGTCGAAATTAAATCGAGGGTCTCTCAGTGCCGACGGTGTCAGGGATGCTGACATGGGCGTGCCGGGGGATGGTGGTACAGGTGAGAAGAGCAGTGAGATGTCCTCAGGAGGAGCGCCGACGAAGAACTCCAACAGATGCTGTCGAATCATGTCGACGAGCTCAGATGTGCCTTTCCTCAAGTCGACGGTGCCCTGTTGAGACAGTCGATGATGGTCACGGGACTCCCCGTTGTAGCCCACGGGCAAAGATATTTGGGCCTTGCCATCGATGAAGCTTTCAACAGTCTGCCAGAACTCTACGACCTCGCCAAGTACTCCCTGAGCTCCCAGCAGCGTACTCATGAACGCCATCATCTTCTCCCAAAGCTCGATGATATCCGCGGAGTCGATGCCGGTGGGCTTGCTTTCGACTGATTGGCGGCCAAGTGCTCGGAGGTGTGAAGCCACGGCCTGAGCAGGTGGCTTCTCCGCGTGGGCGAGCCGCCTACGCAGTACTTCGATCTCAACTTTGGCACGATCTGCAGTCGAGGTTATTTTGCCCTTCAAGTAGTCGTATCTACTAAGAAGCCACACCCAGATGGGGTTGTCCTCGACTCCCAGTTCCAGTAGCAAGCCGATAAGCTCCATATGCTGCTCCTGCGGCCGCCCTGCTACAGTCTCCGATTTGACGTTGTGCAGCGATGTCAGCTTCTTCCATACGTCACGCTTGAAGGCATGAAGTTGCTCGTCAATATCGTACCACATCCTAGCTGCCAAAAGAACTTGGTACGTTTGTGTCTCACTCGGCGAAGTTGAGCCTAGATCCTGCAGCAGCTTCCTTGCCTCATCTGCGAACTTCCGGGCGCGAGCATATTCTTCCACCAGCGTTTCGTAGTCCTTGCGTTTGATGCTGTCGGCTATATTGGCGCTGGCCTCAATGTAATCCTTATACCTTTCCAACGAAGTCTGCACCGTCTTCAGGTTCTCTTCCTTTTCTCGTCCACCAAGTGCCGGCCCCCAGACATCCTCTGCCTTTGCCGAGACATCAAGCAACGGCGTCTTAATGCCCATGACGCCATAGTCGCTCTCCTTGACCAGTGCGTTCTTCTTCCTGCTATCAGCCCCTGGAGATAAGGGGCTTGGAGAAGCCAACGCATTTGCCCCAAGAGCAGCGCCGCCGCTGCTGTTTCTGAAACTGCTTCTGCTGGCATGCCTGGAGTGTGCTCGAGCTCGAGTTGGCGCCGGAGGCTCCGCGCCCCTGTACTTCATCTCCTTGTAGACATTATCAATGGTGGCCTTCGCGCGTACGAAGCGCTCGAAGTTGGACTCGACCAGTACTTTCAGAGATGCTGACTTCTGATCAATGGATTGCGATAGATTGTCAAGCCCAATCTCGAGAGATCGGGTGTCGTCGGTCGAGTGCAACTGGGACAAGAACAGGGCTGGCGAGAAGTTGGTCGAGGAGAGGAGGAACTTGGTGCGCAATCGCGGGTCTTCTTGTACCGGAACGCCTAGTTGCTTCAACGTCCTCACAACACTGTCCGTACTTCCTAGAGGATCCGGCTCATCCTTCTGAACTAGATTGCCCACTCCGTTGGTCGATTTCTCGGATCCGGGGACGACACTCGCCCTATTGCTGACGGCGCGCTCGAGAGCTTGGTATCGCGACTTCCTGCGCTGGATCTTGCGCTGTTTCTTCTGCTCTTCCTCGCTATCAGATGCATCACTGTTGTCCTTGTCGGTAGGCCACTCGGTCGGGTATGCGGTGGACAGTCCATAGAACTCGAGGACATTTCGGTTCAAATCGGCGGCAGCCATGGCTTATCTCCTGATTGTGTGCACTGCCTTCCAGAAGGCAAGCATCTTGGGGCCTTGACTTTGTACCTTGTCGTTGAGACTGTCGATATCGACTTGTGGGTGTTTGGCCAATGTTGTTTCACCTATCAGCTTGCGGCGCAACGCAAACGCAGTTTGAGGTGTGATCCTTGTCATCCGGAGCTAATGCAACTGTCCAGCTGTGGACGCTCGAGGCTGGGGTCGTTGAAAGTGGGTCTCAGGTCGGCTTCAAAGACATCCCGATTACCTTACAACTTAAATACCTCGGTAAGTACTTCGTGCACTCTCCCTCCTACATGACATAGACTACATAGACTATGCGGGATTAAAACACGTCTAATTGGTCTAAACCTCTCACAATGCTCTTTGAATATGTGTGATGATTCTAGGAGCCCACTGTCTACCAGACGTACCCGACTGCGACTTGGTGATGGCTGAGCAAGTTTATAGTCAAAGCAGCTGTATTCCTACGTAGTGTGAAAAGTTCCTCAAAACCAATCCCTTGCCACTGGTGACTTACAAACCCTCTTAATTCCCCGTGTCAGCTTCATGCTGGGTTGGAAGAGCAGCAAGACAATGCCTGTTGATTATTGCGATAATCTAAGTAGCCGGTGCTTAGCCGACATCAGCCTAGCGCGGGCCTGCTGCTGCTGCTATCACCTGCAAATGTTCTCGCCGTCCGGTTTATCATCTCAGCCAAGCTCTTGCCTGCGCGCATTCAGTATCCTTATACCGCCAGCCTCTCTTTTGCCCTTAAGTCCAGGAGCTTCCTTCAATTGACCACGCTCCTGATCAATTTACACAATGCTGGCCATTCGAGCAGTCTCCGCGCCGGTGCGACGCCAATGCGTGCGCTCGGCTCCTCGCGCCGCGGCGATTCTGTCCCTCCAGGTGAGCTAACAGTTCTGCTCAAAGCGCCCATTGCATGCTAACGACCTTGTGAAAATGGCAGAACAAGAGATCCTACTCTTCGAACAAGGTCGCCACATTCCACGGAAAGAAGGACGCCAGCGTACGTTTCCCATTGTTCCGCCCGAACTTCACGATTGCCGATGGTTGGCTGGCTTGGGTCCTGTTTTGCCGAGACGAAAATCACTCAACTGTGACGTGAATGGGGCTGCAACCGCGACCATAGCAACACAACCAAACATCATGGATTGCTGACTGCTCGGCTAGGGCAACTTTCCCGTCTCCCTGATTGAGGGTGATGGTATTGGTCCCGAAATATCGCAGGCCGTCAAGGACATCTTCGCTGCTGCCAAGGTTTGTGTTTCCTCCGACTATATAGTGGTTGCTATATTAATTTGCCTTAGACACCTATCTCTTGGGAGCCTGTGGATGTCACCCCCACCCTGAAGGACGGCAAGACCGTCATCCTGCCCGAGACCATTGAGAGTATTCAACGCAACAAGGTTGCGCTGAAGGGTCCCCTTGCTGTAAGTCACCATGTTAGCTCACACATGTCATAACGGCCTGCTGAACTGTTCAATAGACTCCAGTCGGCAAGGGCCACGTCTCCCTGAACCTGACTCTCCGCCGGACCTTCAACCTCTTCGCCAACCTGCGCCCCTGCCGCTCCGTTGCCGGCTACAAGACGCCCTGGGACGATGTTGACATTGTCCTGATCCGTGAGAACACCGAGGGCGAATACTCCGGCATTGAGCATGTCGTGGTGGATGGTGTCGTCCAGAGCATCAAGCTTATCACCCGCGAGGCCAGCGAGCGCGTTCTGCGATTCGCTTTCCAGCAGGCCGAGGAGATTGGCCGCAAGAAGGTCCGCGTTGTCCACAAGGCCACCATCATGAAGATGTCTGATGGCCTCTTCCTGAATGTCGCCCGCGAAGTTGCCAAGGACTTTCCCCACATCGAGTTCGATGCTGAGCTGCTTGACAACACCTGCTTGAAGATGGTCACGGACCCGTTGCCATACAATGATAAAGTTCTTGTCATGCCCAACTTGTACGGTGACATTTTGTCCGACATGTGCGCCGGTCTGATCGGTGGCTTGGGTCTGACTCCCTCGGGCAACATCGGTGACGAGTGCTCCATCTTTGAGGCTGTCCACGGTTCCGCTCCCGACATCGCTGGCCAGGGCAAGGCCAACCCTACGGCTCTGTTGCTCTCTTCCATCATGATGCTGCGACACATGGGCCTGAACCAGTACGCCGACAGGATCGAGAAGGCAACCTTTGATACCCTGGCTGAAGGCAAGGTTCTGACGGGTGATCTCGGAGGATCGTCCAAGACTCACGAGTATGCGGGCGCCATCATTTCCAAGTTGTAAAGGTGGATCGTCGAAACTCATGGGTATGCGGGGGACATCATTTTGAAGTTGTTAGATACCCCCTCATCGTTCATCCTCCATAATGCATCCACTAAAGGGCCGGGCAGTTCCGTAGACTGTACAACACGCGAAACGAATTCAGCATGATTTGAAACCAAAGGTTCAGAGGGTCACTTGCAACTTGAAACTTCAGTCACTCGGAACGTGTCAACTCGTCATTGATATCATGCTTTCTTGCGTAGAAACAGCCGCGGTCTCCGCAACCTGGCAACCGATTGTTTAGCTGTCCTACATTCGGTTGCGGGTACAAGACCAGCTCCTCGGACGTGGCACGCGATCGCCAACCGTTGAAAAACTCATGTCATCTACGTGCCGTTTACGCTTATCCTTAGCTGAGGAGGGGAAGGCGTCAGTCTCTGTTACTCAAGTTATAGAAATTGGACGAACAAAGATCATGCCGACGACTTCCGCCAAACGTCATGATCAATGCCGGCTGCCTGCACATTATTACGCGTGTTTGCCTTGTATCTCGTATCTGCATGCCGTACAACTCATCGTTATGTCTGCTCTTTCCGTGCTCTCGTGATCATGTGCCTCGCATCACCATACTGAATCAATCGTCAACTAGCGGTATCCCTCAATAAGCAACTTCATGCGACGTTTCCCCAATAGCTTGAAACATTTTTCGATAAAGGACGAGTCCTATGGAGCTGCTCGTCTCATATGCAGTTGCGATGAGCGTTTCCTTCAGATGGTGTGCTTCATCAATACCAGGATCTGGATGAGCTTAGGTCTGGATCATCTGGGCTTCTCCAGGGATCGATCGACCTGTCACTGACAAGTGAGGCAGAGTAAGCAGAATAAGCAATGCACCAAAATTGAATCGCCCAATCTGGCAGTGTAGCAGACTGATGCAGACGTACTTACTTCACCTCGCCTTTACGTTTGTCATCCACTACACAACGGTACCTGGCTGCATTGAGGTCCGACCCATCGCAAAACACTTCATAATACGTGGAGATGAAACCGCTGCCTTGTGACGCTAAGGACCATCCAAGCAAAATCCTCGAGTCCCACATTCCCACGCCCCAGGTTCTGCCAACTGTCGTGTCACTCCAACTTTTTGATTTTGATAGGCCGGCCACGATCTTCGGCCACATTTCCGGGTAGTAAGACACAGGGCAAAAAGTACGGCGTGTGCCCGGGTAGGACACGCATACTATGATAAATTAACCTATGGCGATGTGCACAGCAATGTCATACGAGCATGTAAAATCTGCTCGCGCTTCCGGGCAGCAGCAAGGCATGTGGGTATCCCTAGAAACCACAAATACGCAGCGGCCACCGGACAGCTACTCCAATACCCCTAGCAGATAGCCAACCAATCAAGGTTCTGCAATAAAACTATTTGGGGAAATAATGCAGGACAGGCGAGTCTGACATCTCTTCCGTGGCATCCAGATCGGTTGAACTCTAATAAATTACTTGGAAATTGTTACGGCTCGTTTGGCAGCTTGGCAAACAAGGAAGCCTTCTAGAATGCAGAGAACATTTCGAAACCATCTCGCACCCGCAGTCCCAAACAATTTCTCAACCTTCCGCGATAATAACGTAAACCATTCCTGCTAAGCCCTCCACAAGCTAGCATGGGCCCCCGAAAGTATCGGAAGTGAGACAGCAAATCGTGTTTGCGGATAGGGATCGATCGGGCTCCGGGGAAGTTATCAGTTTTTTTTTTTTCCTCCGTGGGGTAGCATTCTGGGTGCCATGGGTACTTTGCCAACGTGCTTCCCCTGCCGACATCAGTGAGCTGTCCCGGGCCTGGAGCTAGCCGTCAGTTTGTGCATTGCATGAGGTACGTTTTTCGCTGTACGCGTTTTCTGCTGCTGAATTACCTAGTCAGTACACACACTCTTGGCTGTTGCGGTCTCGGGTGTCGGATCTATTTCTGGCTACTCATGATTGGGACGACGTTTTCATGCAAGACTTGGGAATTGCTGACGCAGAAGGGAGAAGGGGGGGAAGGCTCTGTCGGTGTTTCTCTTCCTGGGTACTTGCTTGCATCATAGGTAACTCCACATACAACGTTTACACAGTAAATCACTCACCTTTTATTAGGTACCTAATGTTGGTGGGGGTATCGCGTTGCGTCGGTGGTGGTCGGTGTGCCACCGGGTGCGGATCGGCTTCGGGGTCTCACAACAGCTCTATTATATATAGGAATGCCCTCTCCCTGTGGAAACGGCTCGTTCACGATACTCCAACGCTACTGCAGACCACCTTCTATCCATCACTTGCTTTCAATTTAAAGTTCCACGATAGGTTCATCATACTCGCTCTTTCAGCTAAAACAACCACCACACCCCTCCAAAATGCCTTCCCAAGACATCAAGTCCGTCCTTTCGAACAAGCCTGTCTCCTTCACCCTCAAGACCGGCAACGGCAAGTGGAAGTGCACGCTGCACAGCGACAGATCTGCCTTGTCAGTTGCACTTTTCAAGTACCAAGCAACGATACTCAAAATACTAATACCCTCTTTAGGGAGAAAGCTCGCTCAGCCGCACCTGTACCTGGCATCTCCCGCTCTGACTCAGGCTTGTCCACCACCAGCAGCTCATCAGCTGGCTCTACCCACTCTCACTGAGCCCACCCATGCCCCCTAGGATACCCGTTCAGAATGGCAGCTGTCGTTGAAGCGTTATCTTCAGATGCCTGTTGATCACTGGCACTGCAGGTCTGACAGCTGCCTCAATGCGTGGCAATGGAAGGCGGCGCGAGTATCTAGACCGACCGGCTGGTAATTGTTGTGTTTTCGGTGGAGTTTTGATGTCATTTTGCTTTGTCAATGGAGAGATCCCCCTTGTCGGATACCTCGGGCGTTTCTCACTTACACAGTGACGGGACGGAAATATTGCGATCGCATGGGCTTCGCTATCCCAACTAGACTTGTCGCTTTTAGACGGTGTTACTTATTGTATATATGACGAATCAACGAACCTAAGTTTAATACTCCAAATCTTCCCTCGACCGTCTGGTCGGATGGTTGTGTTTTTTGCCAGCTAATTGCGATACTAAACGAGCTCGACTTAGGATTCTAGACTCACTAACAAGGCTCGGCATTCGCATCTTCGTCGGGTTTCCTAGATCAAGAGGAAGAAATCCCGCAACCACGAGCGTCTTCTATCGGCGCGCGCATCCAGTATTCGGGCCGTCTCCGCATTGGCCTTTCTGTCCGTCTCCATTTATGCGGTCTCGGCTCCGCTCGAGTTTACGAGCTGAACTCCAAACCACCCGGAGATATTGACTCGAGCTTACAATTATCATTATCGTAAGTTTATAGGGCCACAAATGGATCCGCCGCTTATCGGGACTAACAGCTCAACGACAACGATCCCCGGGCTCGATGGCACAACGCATAGGGTTTTTGATGTGTTATCAAATGTGTGAAGATGGTTTTCGGTCCCGGGACATGCTCATCAAAAGCAAATACAATCACTCATCGGGCGGCGATTATTGAGCACAACTTTCATGCCATTACTAAGGAATATCCTTGTTCGTGTGTGACGTTGTGGCTTTAGTAGGGAGCACGCTGTGCTGCTAGTATGAATCCGTTTCGTAGATGAAATACGGCACAGCAGTCTTGAGAAGACCGGGCCTAGTATCAAAGCAAAGCACTTCGTACGATCTCACAAAGTGTCCTTGGGCTGACACCACACATCTAAATCTTTCATGTACCAGCAATTGCGACCATAGAGACCGCTTTGCATCTGGTGGCTGGCACGTCTGGAGTCCGAATTATTTCATAGCGGTGGTGATATTCTTAGTATAAGCTATACCTCGAGACGACTACCATACTGCGTGAATGAGCATCGTCTGGAAGAGCTACGAAAACGGTGTAACTCTCAATGCCGAGTCGTCCAGCGTAAACCCTTGCATACGCGACGACCTTTGCGAAGCCACTACCTGGCTTCACAGTTACGATTGGGGAATACCAGATACAGAGCACTCGTTTGAGCTCATAATAATTCTTATCGCTTGTCAATATCCATCAAATTAGATCTATCATCGAACCTTCTCGTATAATACACAGCTCCAACCCAGCCTCCCTCATGTTCATTTTAACCATGAACTCGTGTAGCAGCACCGGCAAACTCCATGGCTGCAAGTAAAGTCCACCAAATCTTCGTAGTATGCATCGTTAGAGCTGCCCTTCACAGCAGCGCCTGGGCATCCACCCTGCCCTGTCTCCGTAGACGCTGCCACAACAGCCGACGCCGCTCTAGTGCAACCCTCTTGAATCTAGGTTGAAGATATATTTAAAAACTAATTTTTTCCACTATCAGAGTTAATATTATATAGTTAGCCTTTATTTCTATAACGTAGCGTATGATCGTAGATTCGATCGGTAATCGAGGATTAGGATACTTCGTATAGCTTAGCTACTTTTGGTTACCTTGGTTTTTTCGATAATCGGATAGCCACTATAGGTAGGATATTTCTAGCTCTTTAGGATTAAATCGATATAGTGTTATCATAGGGGAGACATATGTTCAAGTCTAAAGGTTAGAATATAGAAAAAGTAACCGACTCATATATGAAACACGCTATGCCTTTTACTTATAACATCTAAGCTTGACGACTTTGGAATTATTAATTTGTCACAGTGCTGGGTGATGATATAAATGTTGGACCTTCAAGACTACTACATCAAGACTGCCAGTCTTGGAAGGACATATGGCCACGCACCCCACGTTATGGGCCAATATGACCACCACCCATCGAATCACACAAGTCCTGCCTGTCTATATAAGGCCCTTAAGGCCGCCGTTGACTTCGTTCAGGACTCTCCAGAGATCATGACTCTTTCAATACAAGACCATTTGCCACAATCCAACAATAAACACAAAGTTATACAGTAGCTGGTAGCATCTGTACAGTCTTATTGAGGATCACTGTATCAAACACGCCAGCCACGACACAGAGAAGCCAAATATGGCCAAGAAGCAAACCTTTACAACTGGATGTGCAGACATTTATCAATAAGATCTTGACTACTTGAAACCACTTGGTCGTAGGGAGCTTGAAAACAAGTCAAGACTCCATTGCAACATACCAGTCAACCAACTTTGGATATGGCTTAATATACCATTCAACCATGGTCCCAAACCGCCACTATATCCCTTCTACGGTTTCTTCGCATGATTCCGAAGTTATGTCTTATGTAGTAAGGCCCTAGACGTACATAGTATATGCGACTTGATACCTGGAGGAGAAACCTACGAACTTTTGCTGACCATGCACCTCAAACGTTCGGGTTACCCGAAGATAATAAAGTAAAACAGGCAAGAACTTGGTCAAGTTGCAAACCAAACACCTTCGCTATGCTCGTATACTACTCACGGAAGATAGGTCTGAGTCGTATGCGGAAAACCCTGGGTATCTAATGTTTTTGCAAAAGAAGCAGAAGGTATTAATGTCCACTTCCCCAAGGGTTCGAGAAGTCTTCCTCATCAGGTGTCGCTAGTGGCGAGATTTTGACTCTCCCGACATCCTGTACCCCGTCATCCCATTGTCTCGACTCCTCCGCCCCGGGGCTATCTTCGTCGGGTGTGGGCTCTCCTACTTGGAAAGTGTCCTGCTCCTCTTCTTCAGCTTCCTCCAAGAGTAGCTGAGGATCTGAACTGTCGATCACAGGTGCACCCAAAGGTCCACGTGACTGCGACGATTTGGCCTGCTGCGCCGTAGGCTTCGGCGCTTTTGCTGGGGTCCCGGGCGAAGGTTGATTGGATAATGCTCTTTGCTGTTTCCCCTTGCCTTTCTTATGACTAAGCACATCCTCGGCGCTACCCACCGACCTTGTGTTAGGTCGGCCGCTATGTAACGAGTCGTAGGACCGTGCTGCGTTCCACGCTCCTGAGCTGGCCTGGTATACGGCTGCGTGTCCGATCCATCGCTCCCTCGCCGGTATATTGGCGGTAACTACAGGATACTGGAATCAGTTAGACCTGTCTTCGTATTACTGTCAGTATACCCAGAACTTACATGCCAGTCCCCAAATTCCAAAGCTCGAGCTTTGCCGAATAGCCTCTCATCCTCTTCATCAAGATTTGTTTCGTCGGTGGATCCGTGGCTGTACTTCGGATGTCTGGAATTACTTGGTCCCCTGTTTTCATTCAACAGTGGTGTGTTTGCAGACAGTTCTCCCCTGACCTCTTCGGGCTTCGGAACCCAATACTTCGCCTCTCCTCCACGCTTGTACCTCATGCCATCCTTCAACCTGGCAAATCGCGAACTGGAGTCTTCATGCGCAATGACCTTTCCCTTTGAATCGAACACACGGTAACTGTATTTGTTGCCGCTGAACGTCTCCTTGGAGTCTTCAATGAGATCAACACAACCGAAAGCATCGCGCAATGCGTATTTGACTGGCATCCTGGCAGCAGAAACCGAGTTATCTGCATAGTCATGCCATGAGAAGGCATACCAGTGCGCTACAGCGAATATCGGCATTTCGCAGCAAATCAGGGCATCCTGGATGGCAGCTGCCAAACTGTCTGAGCTGTAGTGTTCGACATTGTTGGGGATCGCTCCCAGCCAAACCAAGATAGACAGAAAGAAGCCTTGCCAGTAAGACGCAAATATGATAAGCTTTATGCACAGAAATTTGGGCACAGGCCGGAAGGGCAGCAGGTCCTGGTGCATGCAGACCCAAAACAGACCGAGCGAGTACAAACTGACAGTCATGCTGATGTTGTAGATGATACCACTCCAAAAGTACCCAGAGCTGACTTCGATTAACCCCTCTTTATAGGTGCCCGTCGCCTTCATGATGATTGCGGCAAGGCCCAAAATCGGTTTGAGCCACGCATACTGGAGGATGCCTCGCTTGATACCCAGGAAAATGTAGGGATCTGAAATGTCGACTTTGGGTAGGACGTGATTTAAGGGCCACAAATGGTTGACTGGGGCGCGTCCGTGGGTCATTATTATGAGTGCTCGTTCGCCTTGGAGATAGTTGATAAGCAGCTGGAAGAATGTGTAAATGGTGAAAGCCTCGTATATGTCTCGGATGGGGTCCAAGAATTGTGCTGCGGTTTGAGATATCATGCTGACCCACGACGATATCGAATATATAGGAACCATTAGGAGGATTCGTACGACGTATCGTTGAAGCAGAGGCTTCCTGTAGTTTTTGCTGCCAGGTCATTAGCGCCGCGTGAACTAATTATTTCTTCGGATGTACGTACAGTTGAAGCCATATGGACCTGGGACACAAGACGACAAAGGTTAGCTTGATTAACCACTCAACAGCAGGTGCATGGCAATGCCGGTGAAACTGGGCTGGCCATGCCTTACAGTATTGATAGTATAGTTGCAGCTAACGAGCCCACCCCAGCAACCACCGTTGTCGCATAAGCAAACTTCTCGCCCGTACCGCCAGCCATATTGCAAATGGGCAGAGGCTGGATATTCGCGTACTCAAGAAGCTGGAACGTCAGAACAATACATAATCGCAAGATCAGGCAGCCGAGGAAAAGGGTTTGTTGACGCGTGGAGGTGTACGCAGTAGCAGCAAGTCAAGTGGCGGTTGTTGAGAGGTCAGGAGCAAAACTCCGGTGAGTTTCCTCGATCTAATGCGGGTGACGACGTGTGACGTTTGGGGTCAACTGGGGTCGGGATCTGGATGATTCGAAGCTTGCCCAATTTCAGAAGTTCATGGGGGAATGCGAGAGCTGTCAGTGGACTGGACTCGTCCAATGTCATGTATGCGGATTAACGATTGACCCTTCGTGTAATTATGCACTTAACGATGCTGCTGGCCAGGTGAACCCAGATGTGGAAGCTACGCTAAGGAGCCGGCATATGTGCCTTCCCCACGCTAATCAAGCGCCGCAAGACACGCTTTTAGTGCGTCACGCGTGCCTCGAGCTGTCCGTAGAGGTCGTCTTTGAAGTCTGCGCATCTTATCCCCTAGGTTCGCTCATTGGCATGAGCAGATAATAGACAACTGCTTGTGCAACCAACTCCTGGGACCTAGCAGCTATTGGATCCCGACAACCTTATGCAAAGCTACCACCAGTCCTCTGACTAGCTATGGACTTCAGCTCGATGCGCCCCATAGCCACCGTCGTGGAACCGTAATCGCAAGGAGTTGGGAGAGCTCTAGAGAAAGCTACCGTGGGCTGTCATGGCTAACAACCCGGATGCGCCGTGGTCCAGCTTCAACCCGTATGGCCCCCCCTAAAGTATCTCGTCGTATTAACTGACTTCTGCAAGTGTTTTTTTGGGGTTACTGATTGTCTGTGGTGTGCTGTGAGTTATACCAGTCCCAACCCGGTCGAGTCGCATACTAATTTTACGTGCGAATAGCTCCATCTTCTTCCTACTGTACTTTAACAGAGTATTCGCGTCTGTGATTTCGTACATCATCCGAACCTACACCTGGCATCGATATCGAATCTACATAGACATTCAGGCGTTGCAAGTTTCGTTGCTTGGCGGACGAGTATTTTTCATCGGCTTTAGATACCATGGGAATAATGAGACGATCCTGATCCAGAATGGCCATATCACCTGGTCATACTGGCTATGGCGAGTCAAAGATGTCAATATTGTTGCCCCCAGAAAGGCTGCTGGAAAGAGCCCAGACGGCGACACCGAGAATCCCTCTAATGAAGGCGATAAGTTGGCAAAGCTGCCATGCCGTATCAATGTTGCCGTCTCGGGCTTAGAGTGGTTCGTGTATAATCGAAGTCCCGTATACGAATCCCTACTGGCTGGCATGATGGACCAGACGAAGGCCGACGACGAAAATGCAGAAAAGCCCCGAGACAGTACTAGCCAGCCACGACAGCGGCTACAGAAGACATCCCAGAAAGTTGAAGAACAGCTTAAAAAGCTGGACTCCAAGTTGTCAAGCAACGAGAAGGATCCTGGTGACTCTGATGGGCAGCGCTTTGCTTCTGATACCCGTCGACGCTCGACATCAGTATCTGACGATGGCCGCGGAACCAAGTCCTGCAATGATGAAGTTCCACTGATGCTGCAACTTCTGCCACTTCATTTTGAATGTGATAAGGCAGCTGTGGTTATGGGCAATGAAAACACGAAAGCCATACTCATCATCAAATCCAGATCGTTGTCTGGAGAGATTGATGCCTCATCATGCGAAACTCCCGACTCTTATAGACAGCTTTTCAAAATCCGCTTCAACAACCCTGTCGTGGAGATGAAAGAAAACGAGGACTACAAGGAGGACCAACCGACGCGGGCCAACATGGACAAAAACATAGCTGTGAAACGCGGCAATCTTCCACATCGGCCTTTTTTACAAAGGCAGCGCCGCAAGGCCTTGGGCCAGTTGCGAAACCTGGTGCCGTATTGGAGAAGCTCTGTGGAATCATTCTCCGTGAACTCGAGAAATGAGACTGTCACCGCTGAAACCCCATTGCCTGGCGCTGCGCACTGGCAGGGCCTCACTCGCTACCTTAAGGACGACGATACGGACGACAAGATCCGGTGGTCTTCCATTGAGTATGCTGCTATGCCGACGCTTGTGGATAGTTCAGAAGCAATATTAACCATTCTTTGGGACGTTCCCGGAAAGGTTACCCGCAGCCACCATTCCCTGGTCGGGGATTCTAAGCAGAGAAACAACATCAATGGCGCAGCCCCTCCTGCGTGGACCATCAATTTGCAAATTAAAGGGGGTGTAATCAACTACGGCCCCTGGGCAGATAGACATCGGGCTGAGTTGCAGAGAATATTCAATCCAACATTGAGCAAGGATGCTACTCCAGCTGAAAAGCTTCCAGTTGGCGCTGACAGAGTCCCCACGGAGTTCAAGTTCTACCTGGAAATCGACGAAGAAGTCACGTTAAGAATACCTACCCGGGAAGACTCCAAGAATTGGAGATGGAAGAAAGAGGTGGCCGAGTTGAGACAGCACCGAAAACAGGAGCGACGCAGGGACAAAGCACGTACTCGAGAAGAGCTCGCGTCGAATGCCGTCAAGCAGCGGCCGTACGGTTGGCTAGACATCAAGGTTTCCCCCAACGCTACTATCTCCTATTCCATGGATATGATAGCCGGAGCCACAGGGTACACTAATACTCTCACGGTTGATTTGCCTTCAACTGAGGTTTCTACCAGCGTCAACCATGGTCTTTTGTGGAAATCTGGCGCCCAGCGTATCTCATGCGACATGTCCAATCCCCTGAAATGGAACAGTCTCCGAAACTGGCTGTTTAATATTGAAGGCGACGATCTTGAATTATTCATTCTCAGAGATCATATTTTTCTCCTAATCGACCTCATTGATGACTGGGGCAGTGGTCCGCCGCAGGATTACCTGCTGTTTGTTCCGTTCAAATACTTCGTCAATCTACAGTTTCGGAACCTGAAGTTGTACCTGAATGTCAACGATGTCAACATCGTCAACAGTCCGACTAATTTCGAAGAGAACACTTATCTTGTCCTCTCCAGTCCATGTCTGAAAGCGGACACATGCATCAATCTCGACGTGTATCGGCCTCCAAAGAATGCAGTACCTTTTAATGTACAAGCAGATGCGCTGGCATTGGCACTTCACACACCTCCCTGGAACACGCAAGCAACTTTCCTCGCCTCCAAATTCATTGGACAGTTTGAGAGTCTAAAACTTGATGGCAACTATCACTATAACGCGACTACGTCGCCGGCTAATACGGATACGCTTGTACTCAATGCGAGTGGTCTCTCGCTAATGGCTCATGTCCATGGGTTTATCGTTCGTTATCTTTTGCAACTCAAAGACAACTATTTTGGTGATTACGTTCACTTCAAGACTCTTGAAGAATATCAAGAATCGCTCCGTGTCAAGGAAAGTGATCCAGATGCCGCAACTGCCAACCGACCACCGACCAAGAAGTCCAACGACTTGGACGTAATTCTGGGTATCAGAGTCGACGACCCGAAATTACTGTTACCAGCGAATTTGTACTCCGCGAGGCGCCATATCACAATTGAAGGGGCCTCGCTGTCCGTCGACCTCCGCTTCACAAACTACTACATGGACCTCGATATGTCACTCAGTCCCCTCAGCTTGTCTTTGGGGAGCGAAGACGATGGCGCTTCAAGTCCCATGAGCGCTACATCTAGCACGCAGATGTACATCGATGGACTTGGAGTATATGGTCATCGCTTATTTGGCCTACCGCCCACTGAACCTACCTACATGTGTAACTGGGACTTATCTGTGGGCACGGTTACGGGAGAGTGCACGGCTGACTTCTTGAACGCTATCATCAACGGCGGCAAAGCATTCGGGTTTTCACTCGATGACGACGAGAACGCGCTGATACCTTATTCGTCTATCGTCGTTTATGATGTCACATTCCTGCGGCTGTCGATACAGTCTATTCAGTTATGGTTGCATGTAGAAGAAGCTGCATTTCTGTTGTCCACCGGGGCTATTGACGTCAACTACAACGATTGGGCCAGAACACACTACTCAAAGCGTGCCAATATCAAGGTGCCGGATTTGCAGATCGCATGCGTCAACTCGGAATCTGCTGCACGACACCACAAGATGAGACTTCATAGCCATGTGGAAACTGATGCAATTCTTCGAACCAGTATCCACTTCGCGTTGATCGGGAGAAAGTACGATTTCTGCAATGAGAGGAGATTGCAACAGGAACTCGTACGCCACGAGGATCAACGGACGCGCCGAACGGATTTCCTGCTCCTGCCAGGCCTTCTCGACGACCACACGCCAAATGCAGTGGATGTGCCAGCCCAGAGTGTGCCATCGGTCCCTCAGCCTAAGAGATCCGCTTACGCTAGCGACGAGAGAAAGTCGATGTCTTCAACCGGATCTTCCCGACGTTCCCGATCATTAAGGCACAAAAACTCCTTCCTCTCATTCTCCAGTGAAAGTAATGGCAGTGTGTTGCGGCCAGGGTCTTTAAAGTCGTCAAAACGTCTCAGGAGTGGCGGCCGTCAAATCTCGGACTCGATACCACACGCAACCAATGAGTTGAAACTTCCTCTGAATCGAAGGGATTACTCGGCCTCCACAGGTCGTCACTCGGCCTTTTACAGTGCTTATGGTGACTACGTTGACAGGAGAGACCTTTCACATAACACCGTCGCGTTTTCGAGCCAATTCTTCCCGCCATATTTCCCCCTAGACAATTTACGCCCTGATACAAAGGAGGCAATCATGCAAAGCATTGAAATTCAAGACGATGAGCTTCCTGAGTCATCCCCATTTGGATTGGACGATGTCGATCCAGATGGTTTGAGCCAAGATTCAGCTTACCAGAGCTTCATTGTCGAGCTTCCAGCTGGCGTGTCAGCTTTTCTGAACGCAACCTCACTGCGATACATTGCCGCGTTGATGAACGCACTCCAACCGAGCGAGCCAGATGATATCCTCGACTCACTACAGACGAGTGCCATGTCGGAAATTTTTGACAAGCAGAAGCAGCAGAAGATTCGAGGGAGTATCAATGATTTTGTTGTCCGGATACCCCAAGCCAACGTACGCTTCCTCAACTGTTCTCAGCTTGATTCGCCAGAACCATTCCAAGAAGAGCAAGATCAATATGACTTGTCGATCACGAAGTTGGCCGTAAATGCTCGATCCGAGACCCTTGATACAAGCAGTGATGCCCACACTTCCCTTGAGCCTCGGCTATCGTTCCACTTCCGGCTTGACTCAGCGGAAATATCTGCTGCAGAGCGAGCTGCGGGCTTAGATGAGACTCAAGCCGCAGTCAAAGCTAGAATAGAGAGGATCATGATTTCCATGGGATCAAAAGAGCTTACCTACATCGATGCTGACGTGGGTGCTCTACGAGTGACCTCGTCTTCAAATAAAGTCGAGTACCTCGCCTCTCTTATTCACAGAACAAACATGCTTGCGACTGAAATGGGGGCGCTTTTCTCCTCTACGACTAGCAGAGGTGATCAACGTGTTAAGCATTTTACGTACCGATTGATGACTGATGGCCACGGAGCTGGTGACCCCTCCTTTATTGCCCGCCCATCCGCGGTGCTAAGGGCTGCTACGGAGCACTTGAGGACTTATGACTCATGGAAGCTGATGGCAAGGCTCCGTCAGATGTGGAACACTCTAAGTGAGAAGGAGAAAGAGCACCTGAGACTTGAGTGCCTTGGTAGTCACGCCGGCTACCCCATGGACGCCAGACAGCAGGTGACGAATGCTTTTCAGCATTGGCGAAGTTGGGATTTGGATAACATTATGGATTCCATATTGATGAATAATATATTCGGCAAGCTTTCCTCAGTTGGTCAACTTGCCAATGGTCCAACGCCATCGATGGCTGTGGTTCGGATACAAGAAACTGAGTTTGTCCTGGACCCTGGGCCCAAACAGAACCAGATCTTTGCTATGGACGTCACAGCCAGGTTGGAGACAAAGACGGCGCAGCCAACTGAAAGTGAGTCCCGCAGCGATACGGAAGTTCCACTCACAGTTCTCAATCTGTATTGTGCCGATGCTGGGTTTAACCTCAACTGGGAGTTGCTCGAGTTGGTCGAGGATGTTCTACGCCTCTATCAGCGGATGGAACCTCGTGAGACTGAAGAGGTAGCCAATCAACCACCAAGGACCTTGAAGCCTGAGCAACCGAGAATGTTCCATGTTGTCTTCGCTTTAGGCCGTGGGTCAATAGCCCTTGAGACTGTGAACTTGAGGTCTGACACACAAAGCAATGACTTGAAGATGTCAGCCGTGGTGGTCCAAAGACGCCAGAGGCTGACAGGGAACAACGTTATTTTGGTCTGCGATTCGGTTACAACGAAGCTTAGGAGTCACCAGCAAGCCTTGGCAACCTTCCGCTTGCGTGGTGCGAGTGTTTTCGTCTCCCATGAGCTGCAATTGGAGAGCCAGACATCGAAACATACCATCAAATCCACAGCCAGCAGTGAAGATCTCAGGCTGATTGTCAAACAAGACCCGATCGTGCTCGCAGAAGTCCTCGATATGTTGGTCAGAGACGAAGCTGCCCAGCTATACTCCCTGCAAAAGCAATTTCCCACATCGCCCGAACCTGGCACCCAGAAGCAGAAGATCACTGAGCGTTTGTCAACTTTTCGTGTCGATCTGGCAATGTTCCTCAACACCTATACAATATCCCTGCCTCTGCTTCGATCTCTCACATACACCATTTCTGGTGTGGTAGCTAGAGCTGCCATGGCCGCTAATTCGGGCACCGAGGTTATTTTCGACTTCGATATCAAGGAGAACTCCCACGACATCCAAATAAAAGTGGGCAACGCCCCTCGGAGCATATCTCTGTTACAGATACCACCCACGAATGGACGCGTTACCATGCAGATGGGACAAGGGGATCGATCCATATCCGTTTTTGCTTCAGTGGAGCTAATACAGCTTGACGCTTCTGCGGTCTACAGTCTATTGGCTGCACTCAATCGTCCGGAAATGTCAAATGCTATTAATGATTTGCAACATCAAGTCAAAGTTATCCAGGAACACCTCCGTGAAACTTTCGATGTTCAAGATAGCCCCAAGACTAAAGTCCCACCGCAAGGAACCCCGAGACTTGTCTACATTGTTCACACGACTCTTGCCGGCATCGAGATTTTTGGTCATGCACCTACCAAGTCAGGATCCGAGCGGCAAGCCCATCTATCATTTTGCTTAGATAGCATCCATCTAGAACTCGCAAACAGGCTTGACCAACAGGGGCCTGTGTTGGAGAACCCAGAGTTCCGCGTCAACCTCCGTCAAATCATGTTTGATGTAAAGAAGGGCTCTGTAGAGGCCATGAGGTCCTGTGGCAACCTCTCTTTTGGCGCTCTCATCACGGGAACTACTCGCGAGGCCGACGATGGCTCAGAGCAGAGGTTTTTTGATTTCCAAAGTGACGGATTCGAAATCAACCTCTCTGCGGACACGATATCTACGTTCGTGGATGTGCTCGGCTACATGGGTGACAAGATCAAGGATCTCGACACGACTAAAGAAATAGAGTATCTGCAAAAGAGGCTCAGACAAAATCGCCCGAGGATCGCTATTAACGATGAGGAGGAGGCAGAAGAAGTTGAAAGTGACATATTCGACTCTTTCCTTGCCTCCATTATGTACTCCGTTGAGATTCGCGATATTCAGGTTAGTTGGCTGGTCGCTCCCGGAGCAGCACGCGCAGCCAGTCAAGAAGATCTAGTCCTCTCTTTACAGAGGATAGAATTTGCGACAAGGCAGAAAAATACGGCCAAGCTCACCATTGAAAATTTCCAATTGCAAATGGTGCCTCTGGAGCAGGACAAGGCGCTGCGATCAGCCAACTCGGCACTGCTACCAGAAGTTATATTCAATATTGCTTTCGTATCAACTCAGGATACTCGCCGGCTTGCTTTCCAAGCTGTTGGCAAGTCCCTTGACCTCCGGCTTACCTCGGGTTTCATCGTTCCTGCATCCAATCTGGCCGATTCAATTGGATTGTCCGTGAAGAATATGCAGCAAGCTTCGGAGAAGTGGACGCCTATCATAGCAAAGGAGAAGTCAACTGAGAAACAAGTTGACACTCGTCAAAGATCCCTGTTTGGCAGTAAGAGAGTAGAATCTGTGCTGGTGGATGCGGACTTCGCCGGCGCCGTTGTGCGTCTCTCCAGCCGGAGAGCATCCACGGAGACCGATGGCATCCCTTCACCGCATGCGAATCGGCCTGCGCTGGCTGGAAAATATGGTCAATTCAGTGCCGACGATTCAGGAGCTAGCACGGTGCTCCGCAGTCCAGGTCTAGCTTGGAAAATCGAATACAGAGACGATGGCAAAGAAGACCCGGCCATCTACGGTGAGATCAAGGTCGATGCTTCGGAAAACACCATCTGTCCCACGGTCGTTCCCCTAATAATGGACATCTCTTCAAGTATTAAAGAAGTAGTGAGCAATGATGGGAAGCAGTCAGCTACGAGATCGGTCACACCTATGAACAAGAGCAGTGAATCTTCGAAGAGCAAGGCAAAGTCTGGAGAGGAAGAGAACATTCTCACCACCGATCCGAGTGCCGTCTTGGGCCGTACAAAATTGAACATTGGATTGCGCATCTGCAAACAAGAGTTCACTTTGAGTTGTCAGCCCATTGCCCGGGTTGCTGCTTCAGCTTGCTTTGAGGATATTTACATCACCGTCAACACGGTACACTCACTGGACCACGGCAACTTTTTCGCAATCTCTGGCACCTTCAGCGGGCTCCAGGCATCAATACAACATGTGTATTCGCGGGAATCCACGGGCAAATTTGAAGTCGACTCAATCGTACTGTCCCTGATGAATAGCAAACACGTTAGCGGTACCAGTGGTGTCTCTGCCATTCTAAAAGTCAGTCCTATGAAGGTTGACGTTAACGCCAAGCAGCTGCAAGATTTCCTACTGTTCCGCGAGATCTGGGTTCCACATGAAATACGACAGGGCTCGGCTGCACCAGTATCAAAAGCGCCGGCAGAGCTTACTGCTCAAGGTCATCTTGTCCAGCGATATCAACAGGTGGCAGCCACAGCCGCTTTCCCCTGGACGGCTACCATCTCGATCAGTTCTCTGGACGTCACCGTGGATCTTGGGCAATCACTTGGCAAATCCGTTTTTGCGATTACCGACTTTTGGGTCTCTTCAAAGAAAACGTCTGACTGGGAACAAAACTTGTGCCTCGGTTTCCAGAAGATTGGCATTCACTGCACTGGTCGTCTGGGTGGATTTGTCGAGTTGCAGAATTTCAAATTACGTACATCAATCGAATGGCCAGAACGACAGGCTGCCTTAAACGAGACGCCGCGAATCCAGGCTTCCATAGGATTCAGCCAGTTCCGACTCAAGGCTGCGTTTGATTACCAAGCGTTTTTGGTGGCAGACATCACTTCCATGGATTTCATCATGTACAACGTCCGTCGTCGCAGAGAAGGCACTGGTGACAGACTGGTCGCGAGCTTCGACGGAGATGCCGTCCAAGTCTTCGGCACCACCACCTCGGCATCGCAGGTCGTGTCTCTCTGGCAAGCAGTCCAAAGACTCATACAAGAGCGCAAATCCAGTTACGAATCTTCACTTCGCGACATTGAGAAGTTCATGAAGCGAAAGTCGGTTACCACCCAGGCGCCACTCCTCATGCCAGTCAGGCCTGACGACTCAGTTGGGGTAATCAAGTCACCTATTTCCCTCGACACTGACGTCGTGGTCACTCTGAAAGCCCTGAACCTTGGTGTGTTTCCGAGCACGTTCTCTGACCATCAGGTCTTCAAGCTCGAGGCGCTCAACGCGCAAGCCCGCTTTGCAGCGTCAATGGAGCAGGGCCGTATCCACAGCATCCTCGGACTGACACTTGGTCAATTGCGCATAGGTCTCGCGAGCGTAAGGCACGTCGAAGCGCCCAAGCACGTGGCCGAGATTTCGGTCGAAGACGTAATCGCCTCTGCGACAGGCTCGCGCGGCGGCACAATTCTGAAGGTGCCCAAAGTCGAGGCTATAATGCAGACGTGGCAGGCGCCCGAGTCGCGTAGCATCGACTATATTTTCAAGAGCGCCTTCGAGGGCAAGGTCGAGGTCGGGTGGAACTACTCGCGCATCAGCTACATCCGCGGCATGTGGGCTAATCACAGCAAGATGCTCGCCTCCACCTGGGGCCGCGAGTTACCTGGCATGACCGCCATCAAAGTCACGGGTGTGCCGGAGCCATCGACGTCGGCAGACATAGATAACGAGACGGACAAGAATAAGGATAAGGAGCAGCAAACCAAGATCACGGCCGAGGTCAACGTACCGCAGTCAAAGTACGAATACGTGGCGCTGGAGCCTCCGATCATCGAGACGCCCCAGCTCAGGGACATGGGTGAGGCGACCCCGCCGCTGGAGTGGATCGGCTTGCACAGGGACAGGCTGCCGAATCTGACGCATCAGATAGTGATTGTGAGTCTGTTAGAGTTGGCTGGCGAGGTCGAAGACGCGTATGCTAGCATCCTAGGATCTTCGTGACGGCTCGGTGGGCGGTGTCAATAAGGGGGCGTGGTGTAGTCAAGAATGGGGCAAAAGGGGTGACTAAGTCAGATGAGTCACTCGGTAATTGATGAGCATAGCGAGGCGTTCCTTATTGGCCACCACTTGTGTAGGCGAGGGCAGTCACAGTTGTATTTTGACATTGCAGGGCTATCCAAATGCATGCCCAGGTAATGAAGTTTTCGTCGCACATGTACAAGATATCCGTGGACAATGATGACTGGTAATATTTCCGAAAGATCAATTTCCAAGCATTAGCTCAGAACCCAAAGTCCAAAGCTAGAACCCCGCAGATGGAACCTAACCTTGGAGCTCGAGGCTTCAGCTCCTAAGGAAAGCTCTGACGTTAAGGCGCTGTTGGATACGTGCAACCCCTTGTGCAGATAGGAGCAATGCTTCAATAATACATGGCCCTATACTGTACACTACATCACACTCCGTTCACATTTGAAGTGATTAACAAACATTAGCGAGGGAACCGGCCCTCTGTTTATGAGTCTTCATGGATGTTGCATTGATCGCTATGCCTTCTCTACGCGTTATGCTGCTTACTTCGGTGTTGACAGAACTACAGGTGCTCTTGCTTTCTATGTAGAAGGAAGGAGAGAAGAAGGATCGGATCCACTATCTACACTAGCAACTATACCGCTTTCAGCCTAGGGCATAACTGTGGCGCTCAATCCCACAGTTAGCTTACTAAGTATTTATTGTTTAAGCTGTCCCATGGTATCGATAAAACTGTCTTGTGGAATGAACACGGACGTCAGTATACATAAGTATCCAACCTGACAATATTGGTATCTTGCTGCGAAGATAAATGGAATGACTTGCCTGGATGTTGATCAGAATTACTTCGACTTCACAAACACGTTAGTCGAGTAGACTGCTTATCTCCGTCTGCTAAAGCCGAAGTGAGAGTGAATCGAAAGGTCATCGGGTCATACGGACTAGAGATAGCCATCCCCAGCTCAAGTGTTCTGTATCCTTGCTTGAAGATATTTCACAGGCCGAGACTTGAATGCGTCAGGCCGAGTCGACAGAAAGAACATAGGCTGGTGTACTTTGGGGAGCTATTGGGTATTCCAAAGTCAGGTAGAAATCAGACTGCCGTGACTTCATATGGGTACGAAGTACTTGCAGGTATAAAGTGGTATACACCCCAATTATCAGGACCCTTTCCTAGTTCAGTCGCAAATGCGCATTTGTTCCATAAAAGCAGACTCTTTGCGTAAAGAGTGATCTATCATAGGTAAGTCAAATTCGTACTATCGCAAGTTTTCTACCGGGTCTCGAAGGACTGGAGCTCAGAGTCCACCCCTCCAGTTGGAAGGCAAGGGCTTTGCCCTGGCTTCAAGGAGGGGTAACAAGTTGCAGGCCCAAGCTATCAGCATTTTTTAGGGCCCCACCTTGATGCGAGAAAAAAATCATATCAGGCCAGAGGCAAAACGACCCCGCTTGCGCCCGCCCACCTCTTTCCCAAAGACCCGACAACTCTTTCTATCCTCCCCAACTATTGCTGGTGTGTGTGAGATAGTTGCTTGCGGCTACAAACAACTCACCTCGCGCATTCCCCCTTTTCGACTTTCGAGTTCGCCAATACTGATTCTTTTCTCCTCTACAAGGGAGATCGTTCAGTCCTTCCCTTACCCCGCAGCAGCTCTCTCCGGGCCGCTTCACCACAAAAAGACACTTAGGAGGTTTATCGCATCAATACCGCCAAGATGGTCAAGTAAGTTTCTATCAATGGCTACTCCTTCCCAAGCACAAGACGACGTCGTGGCAATGACATGGCGGTGTTCGTGATGCTGTCAAGCTGCGGTTGCGCTGTCTGAAATCCCCAATCGTCAACACCATCTATAATGACCACCACCGCAATCTAGCTTTACCACGAAGACCAGTATCATGCTAACATGCCTTTGATAGCTTCACCGTCGAGCAGGTGCGAGAACTCATGGTATGACTTCCAAACTAGTTACCCCGTGTAAACCATCTCGAGAAGAAGCAGCTGATTGATTTTGTTCCTTTTGTTTAGAATGAGCCGGAAAACGTGAGGAACAGTAAGTTTGCTTTGGTTGTTTCCAGATCCCTTTTGGGCAGCAATTCTGATTCGTGATGCTACAGTGTCCGTCATTGCCCACGTAGATCACGGTAAATCGACCCTGACCGACTCTCTGCTCGCCAAAGCCGGTATCATCTCAACCGCCAAGGCCGGAGACCAGCGGGCCACAGATACCCGTGCAGACGAACAGGAGCGTGGTATCACCATCAAGTCCACTGCCATCTCCCTGTACGGTACCCTGCCCTCCGATGACGATCTCAAGGACATCGTCAGCAAGAAGTACACCACGAACGGATTCTTGATCAACCTGATTGATTCGCCTGGTCACGTCGATTTCTCGTCCGAGGTCACTGCTGCTCTGCGTGTCACTGATGGTGCGCTCGTGGTCGTCGACACCATTGAGGGTGTCTGTGTCCAGACCGAGACCGTCTTGCGACAGGCTCTTGGTGAGCGCATCAAGCCCGTCATCATCATCAACAAGGTCGATCGTGCGCTTCTTGAGCTTCAGGTTTCCAAGGAGGACTTGTACCAGTCATTCTCCCGAACCATCGAGTCCGTCAACGTCATCATCTCAACTTACCTCGACAAAACCCTCGGTGACATTCAGGTCTACCCCGACAAGGGAACGGTCGCTTTCGGTTCTGGTCTCCACGGCTGGGCCTTTACCGTCCGCCAGTTCGCCGTTCGTTACGCCAAGAAGTTCGGTGTGGACCGAAACAAGATGATGGAGCGTCTCTGGGGCGACAACTACTTCAACCCCCACACCAAGAAGTGGACGACCAAGAGCACCCACGAGGGTAAGCCACTCGAGCGTGCCTTCAACCAGTTCATTTTGGACCCCATCTTCAAGATCTTCTCGTCCGTCATGAACTTCAAGAAGGATGAGGTCTTTGCCATTCTCGCCAAGTTGGACCTCAAGCTTGCCACCGATGACAAGGAGAAGGAGGGCAAGCAGCTCCTTAAGGCTGTTATGCGAACATTCCTGCCCGCTGCCGACTCTCTTCTGGAAATGATGATTCTTCACCTGCCGTCTCCCGTGACTGCCCAGAAGTACCGTGTCGGAAGCTTGTACGAGGGTCCCCCCGATGACGAGGCCGCCATTGGTATCCGTGACTGTGACCCCAACGGTCCCCTCATGCTTTACGTCTCCAAGATGGTGCCCACTTCCGATAAGGGTCGATTCTACGCTTTCGGTCGTGTTTTCTCTGGTACCGTCAAGTCCGGCATGAAGGTCCGCATCCAGGGTCCCAACTACGTCCCCGGCAAGAAGGAGGATCTGTTCATCAAGGCTATCCAGCGTACCGTCCTCATGATGGGTGGCAAGGTTGACCCCATCAACGATATGCCCGCTGGTAACATTGTCGGTTTGGTCGGTATTGATCAGTTCCTGCTGAAGTCTGGTACCCTCACCAACCTCGACACTGCCCACAACCTGAAGGTCATGAAGTTCTCTGTGTCGCCGGTCGTGCAGCGCTCCGTGCAGGTCAAGAACGCCCAAGATCTGCCCAAGCTGGTCGAAGGTCTGAAGCGTCTCTCTAAGTCTGACCCCTGCGTCTTGACCTCGACCTCCGAATCTGGTGAGCATGTTGTCGCCGGTGCTGGTGAGCTCCATCTCGAAATCTGCTTGAAGGATCTCGAGGAGGATCACGCTGGTGTTCCTCTCATCTTCTCCGACCCTGTCGTCCAGTACCGTGAGACCGTCATGGGCAAGTCAAGCATCCAAGCCCTGTCCAAGTCTCCCAACAAGCACAACCGTATCTACATGATTGCGGAGCCCATGGATGAGGAGCTTGCCAAGGCCATCGAAGAGGGCAAGATTTCGCCCCGTGATGATATCAAGACCCGTGCTCGTATCATGGCCGATGAGTTTGGCTGGGATGTTACCGATGCCCGAAAGATTTGGTGCTTCGGTCCCGACACCACCGGTGCCAACTTGCTGGTTGACCAGACAAAGGCCGTCCAGTACCTCAACGAAATCAAGGACTCAGTTGTCTCTGGTTTCCAATGGGCGTCCCGCGAGGGTCCCGTTGCCGAGGAGCCGATGCGCGCAACTCGATTCAACATCATGGATGTTACCCTGCACGCCGATGCTATTCACCGTGGAGGTGGCCAGATCATTCCCACCACTCGCCGTGTCCTGTATGCGGCTACCCTGCTTGCCGACCCCGCTCTCATGGAGCCTGTCTTCTTGGTCGAAATCCAGGTGCCTGAATCCGCCATGGGTGGTGTCTACGGTGTCCTGACCCGACGCAGAGGTCACGTCTTCGCTGAGGAGCAGCGTCCTGGTACACCCCTGTTCACCATCAAGGCTTACCTGCCCGTTATGGAGTCATTCGGCTTCAACAGTGATCTTCGACAAGGTACCTCTGGCCAAGCCTTCCCTCAAATGGTGTTCGACCACTGGCAGCATCTGCCCGGTGGCAGCGCCATCGACGGCACCACCAAGACTGGCCAGATCGTCCAGGCCATGCGTAAGCGCAAGGGTCTCAAGGTGGAGGTGCCGGATGTCAGCAACGTAAGTTTTCTTCCTGCCTGCCAGAGCTATGCGAAGCTAACACGACTTTCTAGTACTACGACAAGTTGTAAACAGCTTCCTTCTATGCTGATAGACTGCGGTCTCATACACCACCTCACGAACATTATGAGATTAATCCTCGCGATCATATAGGCCCGAGCCACGATGGTAGCCACGATGGTAATGCGAGGCCTTGGGCGCGACAAGGCAATGATGCGGCCGTGGATATACAAAAGCTATACGAAGGCACAGAGCGTGGAACCTGTTTTAGCTGTCCATTAGGTTTGCTTTGTAGTGATGAGAAATTGATTTATGGTTAGATAAGATGATGCATCAACTTGACAAATGTGACAGGCGTAATGATTTGGCCGACATTGCGCACAAGTTAGTCTCCTGGCTTTGCCACTTGGCTGCCCATGGGCCGCCTCGGAAACTTGCGGATAAGTCTGTCGGAAGCTCCCGGTCGGTTCGTAAAAAACTTCCACTTGCCGTATTTCAGGATGATGGACATGGCCACTTCGTATGTTGGCCGCACTATGGTTAAGGTACTTAAGTCATCAAGTAGAAGATGGAATGACCGTCGTCACCACCAATTGTCCCAGTCCGTGCTAGTGAATTTCCACTGGAACAACACTGGAGCAAACAGCTCATACGGTTTAGCCCAGAAGACCAACTGGGGTATTCTGATCTCAAGACTTTGGAAACGACAGACGGAGATAGCAGGTACTATAGTAATGACTACCTTCTTGGGTCCTGGAGTGCTCAAGGTTGAGTTCCTCGAACTCATCACCGCCGACTACGGCTGGACAGCCATTCTATCCGGCTTCGGCATCCTCGCTGACGACTTCCCGGAGCAGAAACTCAAGTTTTGGGATTTGAAGGGCGCGAAGGAGAGAGGCTATATCGTCTTCAAGGAAGGGATCCACGTTCCGTTCTCGCCGTTTCTGGGTGTTATCGGCGTTGCGCCCGCGGAGGACGGTGAGTTTGGGATGGTGCCGCCGCTCGAGACGGGTGGGAATATCGACACGCGACACATCACCGTTGGGTCGGTTTTATACCTACCCGTGAAGGTACCGGGTGCGCTGCTGAGTTGTGGGGATGGACATGCGGCGCAGGGAGATGGGGAGGTGTGTGGGACGGCCGTGGAGACGCCGATGAAGGCTAGGGTGAGGGTGTCGGTGGAGAAGGGGAAGGGGAAGCGGTGGGTGAAGAGTCCGTACATCATTACGGCGCCAAGTGCGGCAAGACCAGAGATGAATGTTGGGGATGGGAGGGAGTTTGTATATTTGGGGATTGATGAGGACATTAGGGAGGCGACGAGGAAGGCGGTAAGAGGGGCGGTGGGATGGTTGGTCGAGGAGAAGGGGTTGGAGAGGGAGGAGGCGTATATGCTCGCGAGTGTTGCGGGGAGTTTGAAGATGTGCGAGGTGGTGGATATGCCCAATTACGCTATTGGATTCGCGGTGCCTTTGGGTATATTCGTAGAGGAGGGAGGTGGGCTGTGTGAATGAGGGCAGCTGCGATGGGGGAAAGTAAGCAAAAACGAGTGGGTGAAAGATGCAATACCAGTAGTGAAGAGAGCGATAAAATGTGTAAGACTGTTAACTCATTAGAATATAAGATCCCACTGCATGTCGTTTGCTAAGGTATCGGTTGATAGACGTCGCTTTTAGCTGGCATTCCAGGCCAATATGTCATGGGCAACAACTTAGCCTTTAGTTGGGCCGCTTTCGGGATTTCTTCACCACAAGCGAGACGTGTGTGTGTTACCTGCGAGAGCAGACCGATGGCTATACATCAATTTGACCTGTCAAATTTGTCATGTTCCTCCAATCGAGGTGAGAGGTACTCAGCTTGAGGCATAATTTGGCCGATATCATTGCAAAATTACGCACAAATCAGTTTGGGACAAGGAAATTCCAGTGCCAGTGAGCACCATTGAATACGTCGATGTTACAATCATTAGAGGCCAGTATTCGTGCCATTTCCTTCAACCTGCTGTTGCTAACCCGCATCGAAACTCAGTCCTGACCGCAAACAGCTGCAGATATGCTCAAGCGGGAGTTCGCAGCCATGGACATCCTATGGACAGCAATGCCGACCGCAATACTCATTTCGTCGCCTACGAATTCCGCGTCATGATCCCCACCGTTACCGACATTACCAGCGTTACTACACGGGTTGCCGAGATACACAAGAATTGTATATCTCCCCGTAACCAGTTCGGTATCCCGTACCCAGCTTTCGACGGTTGCAAGCCGCAATGATTCCCTCTCAGCGACACTTGATCATTTACCTACATGCCTTCATAGATAATCTCAACGACTTTCAGAACATAACATGCATAATATCATAGACCACAATCAATAATTGCATAATAATATTGGCTTGATTACAAACAGGGATATCATTTTCCCAAATTACACAACTCAACTGATCCCCCAGGTTTGAAGCATGATCCAACACGTAGAAGGGCCGGAGAGCCTGAAAATCGTTGATATGAGAGCAATTACAGAAGCAGCAGTGATTCTGAAGATTCTGGGTCTGAAGAAGCTGTTGTTGAGGCCCAGGGGGGATTAGAGGCAATGGTTGAAGAGAGTTCGGATTCTAAACAGCATTGGAAGAGCTATCGTGATGCTCAACTCACACCAGGACCGGCGCATTAAAATACTTTATGTCAGCAAAAGTCTGTAGAACTTTGAAAAAGAACGCTTCAAAACAAAGTACTGCAAATATAGTTGTCAACTGTATCTACAGAGTTGTGTGTAATTAAAGTGATAGTGTTGTGGTGGGAAAAGTATCCAATTGAGGGGTGATACTCGTTACGACCGCAACCGACTTCATAGTCGGAATGCCGGAAGTCTTCAGTGATTCATCGCTCTGGAGGAAACCAGGATTCTCCATATTTAAAGCCTTGGTGACGCAAACATGCACAACCTCGAAGACGAACATCCTGATCCCTGGATGCATGAGGTACGTAGGCCAAGAATAGGCGGAAGAGAGCAAGCATCAAGGTATGGCATTTCCAATGTGGCTAGACTTCATTAAACAGCTGAATAAGCGTGAAGTTAGCGGTAACTCATATATTGAGCGCAAAATTTGGTGCAGAACTGAAACTTTCCGCGCTTTGTTAACTGTTGTAGCTGAGGGTCACATGAGCTTGTGAACTTTCTGTTTGTGGACAGTATCAACAAGATCGAAGAGATTCCAACTCTGGAGAGATTAATGAATGTCCTGTCCGGAGAAATAACCACTCAGAGTCGTTGGACAAGCTTTTAAGTGGCTTTGTAGCAGCCATGAGTATGTATATGGGTCGGAATCCCACCCCCTGAGCCAGAAGGCCAAAACGGCACGCCTACCAACAGCCGTTGGATACGAGATATAAGCATAGATAGATTCCTACGTCCTGAGGGTTTTTAATTGAGGGTTCCAAAGCTATAGAGTTCAAGGAGGCCGGATTGGCCGATGAAAAGACAGTGAATGCAAGTCTGCAAGAGGAACTGGACCGCTTGGAAAGGGGTAAAAAGCGCAAGGCTATTTCCAACCCCAACATTTTGTGGACAGTTCTGAAAAATCGGCGGCTATCTAGCCTATACCTGAAGTTATCATGCAAGTGCCAGTACGTTTTTAAGGCCAGGGTGAGCAGTAGTTGAAGCAAGGGGTAGTGAGACCAGCAGTGATGAAGAAGTGGAATTGGAGCCAGAACCACACCGAAAGACCATAAGACCGGGGCAGGTAATTAAGGTAGCAGGGCCTATGTTGAATTTCATGTTTATAAACTACAAAACGAGGTTTTATCCTGTTTCTAAGCCTGAAGGCTGTCAAGTTGTGTGTAATTGGAGTAATAAGTGTTTCCCATAACTGCATGACATCTTGGCTTAGCGAAAGGGTGGGGTCCCATGGTATTTCTCCTCTGTCAGCCGTCCCTACGACTCGCAACTAAATATGTCAACGTCATCGTATATGTTCTGTCGAAATATCCTGATAACAGCTGCTCTTCACTCCTGTCTACTCCTCTTATGCATGGGGCTGTTCCTCGCCCCGTCTCTGCCGGGTCGGGAGCTGCGTGCCTTCTACCCCCCCGATTGTCCCGTATGCGCATATTTTCGTCCCTCTGTTCCCACAAAAGATGTCGTCTTCTCTCGGAAGCCTCTTCACCTCCTCTGTGGCTGGTGAGCGTACCGCCAGGGTCCGTAGGAGCCAACGGGCGTACGGCCTCCTGCGTGCGGAGTCGAGAAACAAGACGTGCGGCACTTCAGCAATCCGAATAAAATGACTAGCTACACCCCTGTATATCAGTCCGTTCGTAATCTGGAAGTGTACCAGAGTACATTAACAAAGCGCCCATGGTGGTATTGATGAGGCCCGGCCCAAGCTTTATCTTCTCATACCATCAAGTCAGCTGCATCGAGGGATACTTTATCTGCAAAACCTTTACTGCATGGCTCGTGCTCTCTTATGGGTAGATTATACAGGTTAGCCTGGCTTCACCTTGACCTGGAAAGATGAAACGTCCTTCACAAAAGCGCATGAGACGACATCACGACGTGCCTCTGGACGTATTGAATATCCATGGCTATTCCTTCAACCTTTGGTTAGATAGCAGCAGCAGGAAGACATGGAAAAGGATACTATGGCAAGTCCACCCAGACGCTGGCCTACACGCATGTCGTCTCTAGAACGTTACGCTATCAGCCCCTGCAGCAATCACCATCGAGCTCTTCATCAGCGAGCAAGAGCTCCCGAAAGAGAAATTAAGCCAGAGACCCCGTATACATACATCAAATCCAGGGTATCTGTTACGGCGTTCGTGGGTTTGAAATATACATAGTGAATTGTAATATCAAGCGATGCGAGCCTCGGAAAATATACGGGTAACAATGTTTTGGTCCAGAATGTTATATACTTCTGTAAAAGATGGATTTAACAACGAGTCTGAAAGTCCACCTGCTCATATGAGGACGGCGATGAGCCGGGGTCGCCTTCGGAGATATATCGTTACTACGGCACATAGCAAGTACTTGGTCTCTGCACCATGGATATGCACTCGTTGTTCATCATGGCCAGGGGAAATAACCGCAATAACGCAATAGAAATTATCACAGTTGATGTGGAGCGTAAGTTGCTCGGAATGCGGAATGCTGCCTACTAAGTTCGTCAAGACGAAATCGAAACCTCAGCGAGCCCAGCCTCATGGACTGGCGCATGACGAGTTTGTACACGCGAAGGTTCTACCGCCGTCTCTACCGTCTCTTCTGGACCGGCTCTTCATCCATTTCAGGCGAATAATGATCCTCAACTTCATCGGGTGTGCCTTGTTAATGATTGACCGCGTTCTGGCATCATAGCAGTGGGGGGCGGGGAGACATTGAAGATACTTGAAGGAGGCGACGAGACTGACAGAATCAACTTAGAACAGATTGATTTATATATGGATAAGACTAAAATGGCTTGGAATCCGCCCAACCATCGAGTTTATCCCCTACACTTTTCTCGTTTCTAACCTGGTGTTTTCTTTGCAACTTTCTGTAACCAACGTGGGTACTTTGGATTTACTCTTCCGCGACTTCAACTCCTATTGCCACATGGCCGGGGTTTCTAATGAGAAGACCATGCTACGTCACTATCTGGGTGCATCATTGCTTCGCCGTTTTCGCGTTTTACATACGCGGCAGTCCAGCACTGGAGAGGAAATTACTAATAACATCTGACGATGACACCAAACCTCTATAAAAGTTAAGAGCGTCTTTGATAGAGAAGAAGCACGTGGGGACTTTCCTACAAGAGCAGGAATCGGTGTCGCCGCAATATTCATGGCAAGAGCGACGATAATGCAGAGCAACTGGACCGAACCATGACCGGTTGTAGAAACCTGGACGACCCGGCCGTCAACACCTTGAACGAATATGAGGCAACTGACAGAACGGATTTGATCAAGAGACCACGAGTGTTGATGGTGAGGACACTACGTCGACCAGAGGCCTTGGTTGACGTGCTTCCTTGGCCCTAAAACTATTCTGTACCCCGAACCTGGACCTTCCGTCGGATACTTTCATGTTAATTCGAACACCTGTGGGAACCAACCCGTCTTGGCATACCACGAGGGAGCTTTGTTTGATAGAGCTTCTCACGTCGCATCAATGCGCCCTCACTACTCTACCCGCGAGAGGTATCAGAGAACTCCAGCTGGCGATGAGAGATACATGCAAAATGACGATCGATTTCACCAAGTGGCTCAGTGACGCCATCAACATGGGGCATTAGGGCGGACAAGAGCACAAGCGATGGGGTTCTGGGTCCATGAGGCTTTCACTTATCTCAGAAGTGAAAAGCGTCAGGATGCTCCATCATCTTGCTAGCTGATATGCATTCGTGGCTCTTATAAGAGAGTACGCAATTGCTCATTCCATTAAGACGTACCAATTTCAACTCCCAGTGCGAGTTGAGTTGTGTTTGATGTATGAAGTAAGATTTGGCAAGAGTAGCACCTCTTCACATCCACAACGTCTCTCAACCGGCGCCCCAGCGAATTGACCATGGAATATGTGTGGGCAAGCCTGGCCCCAGGTGTAGAGGGTACAAGACACACAGACACGAATTAGGTATTTAGGGACCCGCTGGGGGCTATTGGGGCAATTCTCCCCCACTCACCTTATTAATACAAATACAGCCCCCAATACTCAAGATCCGACTGCATGTGGGTAAATTTGTCCCGTGAAGAACCCTATGCTTAAGACTGGCATGATTGCTAGGGTAGCTCTAGACTCTTTTGTCGGTGAGTGATGTTGCCGGCCTATAGACCGTGTATTCAACTGTAATGACTCTAAGCTGTGTATCAGGCCGTCATTCCGGCCTACATGCTCGGTTTTGATCTGCCCCTCTGATAAACATAGTAATGTGAATAGTAATTGACGTACCGAAAGCGCCTTGGTCCGAATTCGAAATTCGAATACGGTAGGAAGGTGTTATAGTGTTTTATTTTCTCTGCATGATACATGAGACAAGTGGCCTCTGTGTGACTCGAAATCAACACCCAAGGTAGGCAGGGTAGAGTGAAAGCTGTTTGAGAAAGAACATGTCCAATAACATCAGTTGATGCAAACTCTGAAATCCGCTGAAACGTGCAGCAGTTTATCCAAAGTGACTCGAAGCTGACAGCGATACCCCTGAATGCCACGAACACTACCCCTCAAATCGTGAGTTCATGTACTAAACCTTCCCCCGTCACGTTTAAGTGAAGTATAAAGGGCTAGCTGGATGTATATGAAGGTCGTCATGCTATCTTCTGTGGGTGTTGTCATGTCGCCCTCCTACTTTATGAATCACTGCCCATAGTTCCCAAGACGAAGCCCTTGTCAGTCCCATACTGAACTCTAGCACAGTCAATGCATCTTATGAATCACTTCTGAGACCACTCATACAAGCTAAAATTGCAACCTCCTACCCCAATAACACCCCTCCTCTGCAGTTATCAAATCCATTGCCGTCTCCGATATTGTTACCACACCACATCATCCCAAACCAGTCAAGCCTTCGACCATACGTCGCGTATGCCACCAATAAGCAATCTCATCTTCTGAACCACTCCCACTCTATACTATCAAAATCAACAACATCGCATCATCATGGGAGACATGATCTTTGCCCGCCTCCTGCACCCAATGCGGGTCACCCTTCCCCGCCTCGCGCTTCGGGGATCCGGTGATGACCTCTCGGACAGTCTCCCTGCCGGTGCACTCGCAGGCATTATCGTTGGCGTCATGGGTGCCATTCTTATCGTCTTGTTTCTAGTCTGGATCCTGCGACCCCGTGTGAAGCGACGCCGGCCGTTGAAAGCCGACACTGGATCCGTGGGCAGCGGAGCCGTCTCTACGGATATCGAGAACAGAGCTGAAGTGTAAATAATCAATGATATCAACCGGATAAATCTCCCTGGTATTTTGTTATATTGCAATGCGGGTAATACAATTTGATCGATAATGTACCATACTGAGGATTCCTTCGTTGAGAACTAGTACCATGGTGCGCTGCCTCTCCGCTAACCGGCCACAGCGAGGGGCTATGTGAAGTATATACAAGCCGGGTCTGCCGCTGTCCCTTCATGATCACCTCCCGTGACTGCACATACAACTCTCTCCCATAGGCCCACCAACTCCTCAATTCATCATTTCGTTCCGCCCACGTCCCGTTTTGCAAATGCTCGTCATTTGCCTTCCTATCGTTGCCACCCTGAAGATGCAGGGAGCATGCTATCTACTTCTTCTACCAGTATCTAATCCTCCCATACCATCGATCCTCCTGGTCGGAAGGCTCGTTCACAACCAGTCTGCTTGTAGCTGTACTAGCGGGTCACATACCAATGAGGTTTCAGCCTCGACGAGAAAGTTGCCACGTAGTTTCTGTGGCAACTAGCCAGCGAAACGGAAGCGGGCTGCTTCCAATTGTCCAAGCCCATCTCGGGGCGCCACGTACCGCCTACGATACGTGTTGGTGAAGTCTTGTAGTGTAGAGCGAATCTGTCGAACAGCGCCGCTGTCATTGGCGCCCAGTCGCTCCTTGATCTTCAACATCAACCTATCAGCTTCGGCGGGCGTGACGGTGCCCTGAGGTAGCATCCGGATGGTCTGGTCGACCCATGTGGTCGTCTGGGTGGGGAGAATCTCAAACAAGGTGAGTAAGGCCCCGCTGCCATCGGCGAAGCAGTCTCGTGGAAATGTGATCATCATTCCTGCGAGCACGCGTTGTACAAGAACGTCTCCTTGAGCGAGTAGCAACTGCTTCACGATACTCCTCAATTGATCGATGACGTCTGGAGTAAGATGCTCCGAGGATGATGGATTCCTGCCACCCCACGCCAGGAGATCTCGGATGTAATGAAGGGTTGCGGATAGGGGCTCACGTTGCTCCAAGCCAAGAACCGAAATGGCTGCCTCCAGGATGGGTCTGAAGAGGGGCGATGGAATGAGCTTGTGGGGGTAGTAAAGGAGAGCGTCGATTAGGAGGCGGAAAAAGTCTTCGGCGACATCTGGGAGCATCTGGGGTGACAGATTACTCAAAAACCGCAGCACGTTGGTGGCTTGTGCTTCAAAGAAGGCATATATGAATTCCGTAACGTTCTGGTCGACGTGATCTCGGTCGTCCGAGAATTCTCGGAGGATGGCACCAGTCACCCAAAGGAAGCAGCCTTGTCTAGAGGTCTCGAACCCGCTGGCCAGCTTGTTGGCCATGTCTTGCAAGATGGGGGTTACGGCAAGTCTGTGGCTAATGACCATAAAACGCCAGCATCTGCAGACTCTTTCGCAAATCGGGGAAAAGTCGATAAAGCTTTCCAAGATTTTCGTCAGAATGGGAAATGTCTCCTGCCAATACTTGACCGCAGGGTCTTCGTCGCCTCGATCGACGGGAGGAAGGATGACGACGATCTGGACAAAGATGGTGATCAGTTGGAGGTGATCCGCCACAGCGAGCTTTCCGTCCTTGTCCATTGCGTTATTGGCCTTCGTCATCAGTCTCTGTATCAGAGGGTCGCAGAAAATCTTCAGAAGTCGGTAAATCTCCGTCTTGGGTTGCACGGCGACGACATTAGCAACGCCCTCCGTCATCTCTTCCTGGCTGTCTCCTTGCAGACTATCGAGAATCTGGTCGTAGAACAATTGCAGCTGAAGGAGTTGTCCGCCGAGCAGGTGCTTGCAGTCGCTGCAGAAGAATTTGATTGCCATGGCTGCCGCCCGTGTGACTTCCTTGGACTCCGTTTGGAATGAGTTCACAATGAAGTTGAACTGGTTGGTGAGGAATTCCGGGTGAGCAGCCGTCCATTCTGTGTATCGTCCCAGAGCCATGATCGCAGCAAAAAGCAGCTTTTCATGAGCGGGAATATGCACCAGCAGAGGCATGATTTGGGGTAGAACAATATTCTCATCCTTATCCACCATGCGACCCATTGCGCGCATAGAAAACAACGGTGCTTCCAGTTCCTGCCAATGGGGCACTGAAGTTGCCGTTGCTTGACCGGCGTAGTTCTGCATCCATGACTTGATGGCATCCAGGACTTTCGTCAGGCATTCGGTAACACCCATGACTTCGCAGGAGTCCTTGAGCGTGTCTCCCATTTGGTGACGAAATTCGCGGAACTTCTCCTCAGCCTCGCGGTCTCCGTCGAAGAGGTCTCGCTCATTGCCAGTTTCGGATTGAGGATACTCGAGATGCTTCAGGAGGATGTCGACTAACTTGGAGTAGATGTCCAGGAGCTCCATCCGCGCCTGAATGTATCGCTCCAATACGAGGTATTGCTTCAGCTCGTACCAGAAATCGAACGTGTACTCTATAACGTCGCGATCCTTATCTCTCGCGGCACACTCGAGGATAGCATCCACGAGAGGCCTGAAATGAGTGGTTTCGCGGGCGATGGCTACGACCCAAGAAATACCAGCGTCGGAGAGCACCCGAGTAAGTGATTTGTAACCCTCGGTGTCTTCCTCTTCAACCAGCTTCTGGATCTTTGGCTGCAGTCCAATGACCCGAGGCAGGAGGACTTGAATCGTATCAACGTTATCATCCACCTCCCTAGTCTCCCTGATCATTGTTGACAGACACTCCGCCGCTTCCTGGAATGATCCGTCGTTTTCCAGGGCGTTGAAAATAACACCCAACAAGGGCGAGTTGACAACTTCACTGACTGGAACCTCACGCAACCATGAGGTTATGCACTCCAGCAGCTGTGGATTCATAGCAGCGGCGGCTGTAGCCGTACATCAGTCTAGTTCCATGCAATATTTGGGTGCGACTTACGTGAAGAATGTGCGTAGTTGATTAAGAGCTGTACGACCTGTGGCGCATTATCCGCCAGTAGCTCCGTGGTTCTTTGAGTGAGTTCGTCTTCCTGCCATAACCAATTAGACTGCGATCCAAGCTTTGCTGTGACACCACGGGACGCCGCCGAAGGATAAAATGGCAGAAGTCGTGCTGATATTTCGCGATCCACGTACTGTCAGGGTGATTTTGCGTCCCTCGGTCACCTCTTCAGGGAGAACCCGGAGGAAATCCAAGATGCAAGCATGGCTTTCGACTGAGTCGCCGAGGGAGGATGCCACGACAGGGAGTACATCCTTCCACTCTTTCATCTGGATAGCCAGAATGGCCAGACACACGCAAAGCTGAACTCGTATGGGCTTGGGTCCTGGCGCATAAAGCTTCAGCAGCTCCAAAATCTGCGTTCTTACGGCGATATGTTCTTCGGCGGATACTTGGGTTGAGAGGTCGAAGGTAATCTGAGACGTGGTTAGTCGCGTGAAGCCGATGAGCAGTATTGTTGCGGCGCATGGAGCTCACCTTGCCTCTGAGAGTCGTCGCCGCAAAAAGCTTGGCATCAGCTTCGGCATCCGACTGTAGTATCGATATGGTTGTAGTCCATGCGGTGCTCTGTCACTAACATCAGCTTCGGGGCCCCACCTTCACATGTACATGATCGCGACTAACCGATTTCTGAAAGCTCTCGAGGTATTCGTGGGCCTTCTTCTTCCTGTCTGAGTCACTGCTTCGCATAGTGAGCATTGCTTCCAGCACTTGGCTAGACGCAAATGCCGCCGTATCGGCCAGGCCGTTGGAAGCCATCGCGGATGGTAGATTCGGGTCAGGCTAGGGTAGGGTCTGGTGAGCCTCGTGAGAGATTGTTGGCATAAATTGCGTCGGAAGGATTCAGCTCTCGGTAGCTGCCTCGTCTGGGCTGGGTTGGTCGCGCCTCGGTGGAGGAAAAGTATCAATCAATACTGAGAGCAATGTTTGAAGGAAGACAGACGACTCTACGCCGGCGGGCCTTGGTGAATCGTCGAGGGTGGTTTGGAATGAGTGAATACAAGGCGGGGAGCTGGAATCAAGAGGAGAACGCTGGCCGCTCCATAAAGAAAATACGCGGGAGATACGTCAATCATCACTTGGGCATTGTCCTAGTGATGTGATGTAGTGTGAGCTGCTTTTTGGCTACACTGTGGATGGTTGCGTTCTGTTGGTTGCTGCTGCCAAAGAAAGATGGGTCAAGTGGCTCAACCGCGGGGCATTTTGTGGCTTGCCTCTTCGAAGTTTGACAATGGCTTGTGCAACTGTGAGCTTGGAGCCGCGCAGCCAAGGCTACAACACGGCCTCGTCGAAATTGTTACGGTCTGTCTCGAACACACCAAGCTTCTTGTCCCGCCAAACGCGACGTTTACAACATCTTCAACTGGTCACGACACCTGCTGAAAGCAGTCACTACGATTCCCATTCGTCCCGTCGCGAACTCGACTACGTCAAGATGACTGGCCGCGGAGGAGGTGGGCGCAAGGTGCTACTGCCGCCCATTAACTTCATCTTCAAGCTCCTCCAGTCGCACGCGACTGTCAAGATCTGGCTCTACGAGCAGTTGGCAATACGGATTGAGGGAAAGATCAGGGTATGTGGGAATTCCACCGTGATGGTGCGGTCATGGCTGACCGCTTGGCAGGGATTCGACGAGTACATGAACCTGGTTGTCGATGATGCGGTTGAAGTAAAGCAGATCACCAAGACGAACTCGGAGGAGAAGAGAAGACCATTGGGTACGGTGTGATCACACCTGAACTCCATGAAATGTACTGACACATTTGCAGGACAAATCTTGTTGAAGGGAGACAATGTATCACTGATCCAAGAGGCAATCTGAAAAGGGGGCCAGAACTGGCGTACGAGGTAGGCACCAGTGAAATCTGGCAGGGTTCTTCACGAATGATGCGATGTCATAAAAGCAAAGGAGAGCCCTGGAAGGGGTGTTGAAATCTAGTCGTTGGTCTACGTCGTCTCGGTCGACGATTCTATGATTTCACCATCGCCAAGTAAGACGCCATCTATGGGTTGATCATGAGGACCGACAGGGACCGACTCTCCAGATGTTGGTGAGAGGAACTGTTCTCTCAAGCCTAGCGCATAGAGCAATACAGTTGGACGGCCATTCGAGGCCTTGTCTGCCTCGGCCGCCGCCATAGCATATCGATGCAGGAAGTAATCATAAAACCCTTTCCCGTGACCAAGTCTCCGAACTGTTCCAGATATTGGATCTCTGTCGAATGCAACTCCAGGCATAAGGATGAGATCTAGCGCCGCATCTTCGGATTTGTCTCCGCCGAGCTCCCCCACGCTTCGTTTCCGTTGACTCACGGTGGCAGCGTCAACACTTGGAATGCCCCACTTGTCCCGTTGGAGTGACTCGTAGTCTGCTATACCCTTCAGACTCACCATGTCCATGAGTCTTGCGGGTCCGTCACTGGGTTGCAAGCCGGACTTGTGTAGATAGGGAATGAATACTTGCTTGCCTGAAGACAGAGCATGCCTGACAATGGAGTCAGTCTGCAACTCTCCACCAGGCATTGAGAGGTAAATCGCAACGCTCTTAGCATTGATATAGGGCCGGAACGTCAACAAGGCATCGAATACCTGGGAACCTGGACCCACATGTCAGCCTAGCAGTCCGGTCTCATTTATATTTCCACCGATAACTCACTCTGAGATGCTATAGCATCATTTGACAAGAGCTTGAGCCTAGTTTTCATTGACAAGCGAAGCTGGTCCTTCGCTACCCTAAGTGATGACGTGTTCATAGCTGTGGTTTCTTGCATTCTACGACTGTCCGATCCTGGGAATACCAAAAGCTACTCCACCGCAAGTGAGGAATACGACGCACGATCCGGGAAGGATGGCCGCAACTTTGCAAAGGGTTCGACGACAGATCCTTACTCCACCGCAGACGGCCCAGTCCGCGGGTGTTCGTGATTAAAAACCAAAATTAACGGCGATATATCCGCTATCGGTGGAATCGTGTTATGAAATTCGAACGCAACTGGGTCGATTGTGGGTTAACTTTACGATATCCTGGAACTGGCGCGACCTTTTAGTCTGTTGTCAGTAGATGACATGAGACAGACAGATAGAACATGCACACACACGAACTGTGCAGTCTGCTCTGTCGGCTCCGGAGACGATGGCAAGATGGGGCTTGGCGGCAAGCACCAGCAGCGGGGATGCAACTGGAGCTGCAGGCTGCAACGGACAATTGCTTTGCGCACGCGTTTGCCGCACAGCAAAGCCAAAGATAGAAAGTAGATTGATTAGATCTGAGTTTGATCGCTCACGAGGCTCGCAAGCTCTACCCGGTCGGCGGCAGCAAAGTTTTTCGACTTTATCTTATCCATCAATCCACAGCATCACTTTTCAGGGTAGGTTTCATTGGCCCCTGGGCGCTGTTGGGAGACCGTCGTCATGCTCAGTCGATGCGTCCCGCTTGCCCGCCAGCAATATCCACCACAGCTAGTGCTTGTCTAGCAGCTCTGGTCCATCATATGACCGCTGCTGCCGCTACTAGTCAGGCTTCTCTGGGCGCGGTGTGGGTGGGTCCCAGCCTTGTACATGCCCACTGACTTGGTAAAAGTTGTTGCTTCACAAGTCACCAGTTTGACGTCAATCTTAACTGGATGCTAAAATTTTGTGTGTTACAAAGCCCTTTCCAGTTGGCATCGGTGTAACTGTTCGAGTACATATTCTGAATCAGCTACACTCTATCTATGTGACACGTGGGGACAGTGAGCACACACTCGGCCTTGTGAGCGTGGTGCATGATCGATCTGGAGCTGATCTTGAAATTACTAGATGACATGCTAGCGCGCTATTCCGTGTCGCCTACCTCGCCTCGCCAGGCCAATACGATCGATTCGATAGTCATCCACGCACCCACGGAATAAAAGGGGGGGACTTGCTCCTTCCCACTGTTCCGGCGCCCCTGATGCCGAAGTCCCTTCCCAAGAATCATGACGATTCGCTTATCCCGTTTGACGCTCGCGCCGACAATACCTTCCCTTTACACCCCCTGGCTACAGACAGATCCACAGTAGCTGCCGCCCCCACGACTAGCGATGCAGCTGCCTGGCCTGTTTCCCGTATAAGACTTTCAGGCCCTGCCGCTCTGCTGGACCAGGATCTCGGTGGGCCAGTCGAAGCCCCTACGCCGTCCTCTTCTCAAGAAGTCAGCTTCAGTCGCCATGAGCTCGACCAAACCAACACCGAGTCAGAGGTGATTTCAGAGACAGACACACAAGGACAGCGCCCAATGTCTAAAGCACCGCTCCTCCTGCGCGCTTCTCCAGGTTTCGGTACCGGATCGTACGGCGCGGCCCCCATTAAATCCGAATCCGAGTCTACTGGCGACGCTGACGATGGATTTGCCGAGCTTCCCGGCCGGCGCACGCCGCAAGTGGAAGAGCACGACCATCACTATTCAAGACGGCGCAAGTCTGGTAGCACACAGCGTTCAGAGGGCCTCACACGAACGAGTACCTCGTCGCTGAGTCGTCAGAGAAGAAAGTCTGAAGAGATAGGAGGCTCGACCGTTGTGGGTGGTCTCGAAGGTCGTGTAGTGACCGAAACATTTGTGGGAAGCGAGACCATGTCCGACGCAAAGTCTGACAAGATGGCCGGCGACGAGGAGGCCTACGCTCATGATGACGACCTGTTGAGCGAAATCGACGACGACGACCCGCCTGACAACTCACCCTATGCTCAGGTTCGGGCTTCTGTGGCACCCACCGATAATATCACCCTATCTATAAATACCCCCCGCATGTGGATACTGTCTACTCTTTTCGCCGTGCTTGGATCTTCAACCAACTTGTTCTTTTCCTTGAGATACCCTAGCGTTGCAATTACACCCGTCATAGCGTTGCTCCTTGTACACCCTCTCGGTCTGCTGTGGGATTTTCTTCTGAAGCGACAAGACGACCCCGTGGAGGACTTTGTTGACGGCGTCCGAGTCTTACTTCGACATTCGATCTCCCGCGGCAGCCATGGCCAACTGCCTCTTCAGCAGAGAAGTTGGATCTCGCGGTTTCGGCTATGGCTTGCTCAGGGGAAATGGAACGAGAAAGAGCACAGCTGCGTTTATGTTAGCAGCAATGTGTCGTTCGGCTTCGCATTTGCAACCGATGTCATCGTTGAACAGACGCAGTTCTACAAGCAAGATGCCAGCATTGTATACCAACTGCTGCTCACTCTGTCGACGCAAATTCTTGGATATGCCTTCGCAGGAATTACGAGACGGTTCCTCGTGCGACCCAGTGGTATGATCTGGCCGGGAACATTGATGTCAGCAGCCATGTTCACTACTCTGCACAAAGAGGAGAACAAGCCAGCAAACGGGTGGAGAATGAGCAGATGGAAATTCTTCTACGTCGTGTGGTTCGCGTCATTCATCTTCTACTTTCTCCCCGGTCTGCTCATACCGGCCCTGAGTTATTTCAATGTCATCACCTGGTTTGCGCCAGACAATGTGGTGGTAGCCAATTTGTTCGGAGTTGTGTCCGGTCTAGGACTGTTCCCACTAACCTTCGACTGGGCTCAGGTGGCTTACATTGGTTCGCCGCTACTAACGCCGTTCTGGGCGGCTATGAACGTTGTTGGTGGCTTGGTAGTTGTGATGTGGATCATTGCGCCAATTGCATACTATACAAACTTGTTCTACTCGTCATACATGCCAATGCTTTCAGCGTCGGTCTTCGACAACACTGGCCATGTCTACGACGTCAGCCGAATCCTCACATCGGACTTCGTGTTCGACCGTGAAGCATACTCAAACTACAGTCAGGTCTTCCTTCCTATTGCGTATGTCCTCAGCTATGGGCTGCAATTTGCCGGTCTTGCCTCGCTTTTGACGCATACGGCTTGCTGGCACGGAAAGGACATTTGGACGCAATGGAGGAGATCTTTGAAGGAGGTTGAAGGCGAGACTAAGCCAGCGTATCAACCCTTGTCGACTGGGGGCAACGGATTATCACCCATATCTAGGAGTAATGGGAATGGGACGCCGCCAAGACTGAAGAGGTCGGACTCGAATGTTGACAATAATCTCCTTAGTCGAGAAGATGTCCACAACCGACTCATGAGGAGATACAAGGATGCGCCAGTTACGTGGTATCTGACGACAGGGGTGATAACGGCGGCGATCGGCATATTCGTTGTCGAGTAGTATGTTCAACCCCAAATTTCCTGTTTGCGACGTATAACTCACGAGATCCTAGTTACCCGATCCACTTGCCTTGGTATGGCTTACTCCTTGCTCTCGGAATATGTTCGATCTTGTTCATACCCATTGGCATTGTCATGGCAGTCACAAACCAGCATAGCAGCATCTATCTGATCTGCCAACTTATTGCTGGCGCCGTTTTCCCGGGCCGGCCCGTCGCCAACATGGTGTTCGTGACATATGGTTACATATCCTCGGCTCAGGGAATCAAGTTCGCAGCCGATTTGAAACTTGGACATTACATGAAGATCCCACCGAGGATTCTCTTCAAGGTGCAGATGGCGGCGACGATAGTATCGTCCATCACGCAAATCACGGTGCTGAATTGGATGTTCCGCAACGTCCCAGGCCTCTGCACGTCGGAAGCGATTAACGGATTCACCTGCCCAATTGCCCGGGTACACTTCAACGGCTCTATCCTCTGGGGAGTGGTCGGGCCGGCAGAATTCTTCGGCCCCAACGCGACATATCATCTACTGGTCTGGGGTTTTCTAGTAGGTGCGATTGCGCCAATCCCGCTTTGGTTGTATGGACGCAACAAGAAGAAGAGCATTATTCGGAAGATCAACCTACCGGTTTTGTTTGGATCACTCAGTTGGATTCCTCCTGCGACGGGTCTAAACTTCTCAGTCTGGGCACTCGTATGTTACGTCTTCAACTACCTCATCAGGAACCGTGCGTCGGCCTGGTGGGCCAAGTATACGATGACGCTGAGTGCAGCTCTTGATTCGGGGTTGGCATTCGGCATCGTCGTCGTCTTCTTTGGATTCATATATCCAGGTTGGATGGACGGGTTCAGTTGGTGGGGGACAGAAGTGTACAAACTAGGCTGCGACTGGCAGGCCTGTTCGTTCCGAACTGTTGCCAACGGGACGCATTTTGGACCGGATCAGTGGTAGCAACAACTTGGGATACGGAATTGGATTGAATTACGGATGCAGTGGAACAATTTCACAACGTAGTTAGGTGCGGCACTCTACACTGGAATGGCGTTACAAGGCTTGGATGCGGATTTTCATAGCTTAGGTGTGTGGCCCTTAGATTTTATAGATAGACAGACAAAGAAGACGGTTTGCGTCTGAATATGGAGATCCGAATGCCATGATCTGGGGATGAGATCCTTCCGTGATTCAGTAGACGGGCCGCCATACATGGTTCTCTACAGTCTTCCATGTCTTCCACCGGTTGAGGACATGCTGGACATGTCGTTGGCCAGGAATAGTATCTCTATCCCACGTCTAAGGATATCGAAGCAAATGACTCATCTCTTTACTGCATCGCCCTGCATACTGCATATGTTTCCTCCCATGGCTTACGAATCTACCTGCCGAAAAAGGCAGGGCCCGACCAACTAGTCTGGATGGAGCAAAGCCTCCCCGTCAAACCCTCCTCCCTCTCCCAAATCCTGCAGATACTGAGTGCTCCACCACGGCGTGGCACTGGTATACTTCGTGACTACAGCCTGCAGCATGGAAGATAGACACGATACCTGGAAAAATGACTCAGGGGTAAAGACGGTTCAATTCTCTGTCTAGTGTAAAGCGTGTTCCCCAGAAGGTTCCTGCATCCCTCACGCCAAAGCAAGATCACTATAAACTAGCGCCACGGTGGCTAATAATGGTTGTACACATGGCTGACTCACTGGGGTCTCACATACAGATAGAAGGTGTACTATCGGAATTTGTCATGTATAAAGACCAATTGTGTTCCTCTCACTGGGAGGCATATTTTATCAAACAGCGGGAATCTACTGGATGCCTCTATACATGAACAGTGCTTCTCGTCGATCTTCCAATTAGTCTCGTAGCGCCGACCAGGATAAAGGAAACCTCGATCATTATTTAACCTGCCAACAGTGGCATACTCCCACACCTCATATCCAACCACCGTAAACATGACCTCACCATCGCCAGAGAAGAGCGGTAACGCTCATCACCTCGCCTACTCCCACCTCCCCACTTACCTCACCTCCCCCACGCACCCGATCGCCCTCCGTACCATGGAGCTCTCCGACGCCAAACCCTGGTCATCCATCCTCGCCGATCCGCGCAACACCGAGTTCGAAGGCGACGAGGTACCCACGGAGATGGAACACTCCAAAGCGGTCGACATCCTGACCAGGCAACGCGAGAGTGCCGCCCAGCCCACCGTGGTCGACGCCCGCACAGGGAAAGTAATTCGCGGACCGAGCAGGGTAAATATGGTCATCTTGTTCTGTCCTACGGATAATGATGATGATGATGGCGGGCCAACTCAGCAGGTCATCGGCCTCGGTGGCTTTGGGAGTTTGAAGGACCTTGGCGTCGAAGAGAAGACGGCGGTCCCCAAAGAGGATAGGGAGGGGAAGAGTCGGGGACCGGGGACGTACCTGAGGGTGGGTGATGTTGGGGCCATGGTCAACTACGAGTATCGCCGACGCGGATTCGCCGTGGAGGCGATCCGGATGGCCATGGAGTGGGGATTCCGGAAGGCGAGCGAGGGGGGGTTGCAGTTGGACAAGATTACGAGCACGACGCTGTTGGATAATAGGCCCATGGTGGATTTGTTGGAGAAAAAGATGGGTTGGAAAGGGACGAAGAGAGTTGCGGAGGAATTGTGGGAGGGTAAGGACGAGATGTTTTACGAAATGACGGTTGAGGAGTGGGAGGCGAGGAAGTAGACTGGAGGGGGGCGGCGGCTGGTAAGTCGCGAAGTATAAATGGGGAATAGTTGACATATGAAGGGTAGAGCTTAGAGGCTCGAATGAAAATTATGTTTTGCAAAGCCAGCTTGTTCTCGCAAATTCTAGACCATTACGGTTCCCAAATCAAGACTATTATGGAGTCCACGTCTGATGGCTTTTCTTGCGTGTGCACTTTATCGTCCGGCAGCCGATCATCGTCGTCCCCGTACGAAATCGCCGGGCCTCTTCGTTTGACATATGCCTGCCACACTGCACCATTGGCGCCTATTCTTGCATCAATCAACCTCCAGGTCCTCTTAGCGCCCGTCCATGAAACGATATTCCTATCATTCCTACCCTCCACGTCATCGACTATAAGCCGTTTTGCCGTCTTGACCTCTCTCTCCTCGCGATTGTGCTGCGTCATTAGAAGAGAGCTCTTCTTCAGTGGAGTTACATCCACTCCTTCCGGATAATGTGAGATAGTGTGACCATTGACCAGAATCCACCCATCTTTGAACCAGAACCTCTGCAAGAAGCAGTCTTCACCGCACAAAGACGTCACCATATGCGCTTTCCACGGCTCGAATCGGTGACGGTGTTTGTAGTGATGCAGCGTCATTGGCTGTACCCCTCCCTCATAACCAGTTCGTAGGCCGTAATGGCCGTCTTTCGGCACATAGAAGCTTGGAATAACATCGAGATCCTCGTTGGTGTGCCGTGTAACGCAGCTATACAGTAGCTCGTCCCATTGCCCATTTCCTTGCGAGTAAGCTGCCTCATCTGACCCCTCATTTTTCAGACACGGCAATTTAGACAGTGTGGCCGCCATAGGTACTGAGAAGAACACTGCGCCTCCGCCGTATGTCATGGTAATGTTGTTCTCCGTAGTCCAGTCCGCCGCCTCGCTTGGCATGCCGAGATACAAATTTTTCCTGGCATCAAACTTGCCCACCTCTCCAAGCAGCCTTCCCAGTGACGGAAAGAAGACGTCGTCATCGACCAAGGCGAGTAAATTCTTCTCTTGGCCCTCCTTTGTCAATTCTTCATTGCGATGAGTCAGCATGCGCACCATTTCAACATAGCGTGCCGTAATGTCCAAATGGTTATCGTTAGATAAGACCACGGCGTCAATACCTACCTCCCTCATCTTGGTACTGACGTAACCCACTTCTACTTTGCTAGCATGGTGCAATGAAAGCACCAGACTGGCGCCATTCGAGCGTCCCTTTCCATCGGTGAGCCAGCGCGCCCAGTCGTTGATGAGTGAGACGTTTGAGTAGACGATGCGGTCGTACGAAGTGGATATCCCGAAGATGAGGGAGGATGCATCAATTTGATCGGGTGTAGGCGACTTGCTCACAGAAAGCTGAAGAGCCTTTTCGGCGCGCAGTTCGAGACCCTCGTCGTCTTCCGTTCGAACCCTACACAAACCGTGTGACAGAAATCTTGTCGACACCTTCGTCATACTACTCCTCGAACTTGACTTAAACGTTGGCCGTATCCTTTGTGCAAACCAAGGAATGTCTTTGGTAAGACCGTATTGGTGGACCAAATCCGTCAAATATCTGAACTCTTCTGATGCCTTGGGGTCAGTTGATGTGTCGTTGAGCCGTGTCTCGGCCGTATTCCCATCCGTGTAATCGTAGATGCTGGGGGGAGGATGGTTTCCATGGTACGACCGGTATGAAGTGAGAAGAATACAGAAGACAAGAAACAAGGCGAGTATCTGGAAGGACCTCAGACGCCCCGCGAGATACAGTGGGCGAATCATTACAATTGGTGCAAAGGGCAGGGTCAATTGCGCTGTTGATCAGGAACTTGATAGCGGCGATAAGAGGAACAAGTGGCAGCACATCAAGATAATCGAATGAGTGACTTCATGCAATGATGCGCAATGGCGGCGAGGAATCGGTAGTCACTCGAACAGGAAAAGAACAGGTGTAAGGCCACGCAAAAAACGCGATCAGTCAGGCTTCACTCTTGTGTGTTTCGTCGCATCATGTCTGAGATCTCATCGCGAAAGTTGAATGACAAGGTGTGGGAATTTTAAAGGAAGAAGTGGAAACCTGCGCAGAACGGCAAACTTGGGTTGACATGGTACATCATGTACACACCTGCCAACAACAGATCGAGAGATAACGATTCAGGTTCGACATCTCGAGGAGCCATCATGCATTCTGGCTGAAGTTGGAGCTGCCTCCATTATGGACAAAGTCGGTTGAATGAGGATCGGCGTGCGGCGTATGCAGGTTGCCTTGGTCGATATCCCTGGCTTCCATGCGTAAATGTTGACGATGTCTCGCCTTGATTCGCTCATATCATGGTGCGATGGTGAAGTGGTAAGGATACTCCGCATTCCCCCATGATCTAACCCCAGACTTCTCCCTGGATCTCAGTTACTGATTGTGCCCTTGCGGCACCCTGGCATTATGCCCAATGATTTAGGTAGCGAGCTTGCAGTACATGCCCACCTAAGCAGAGAATATAGGAAACTACGACCGCGTTTGGAGGGCCGCTACCGACAGCAATCGATGTCACAGCCCGAGTGTGCAATGTCCAATGAAAAGGTTATTGATAGAGTTCCTCTTCAGGAGCTACTACAGTGTAGCAACGAGACCCAGAGGTCCAGAGGGGCCAACGTGTCTTTCTTGCCCAGGTCGTACTTAGCAGGAAAACTTCGAGGTTGTCGGAAAAAAGAAATGGGTGAAGTTATAAATCTCATGCGAGTACTTCGGGTCAAACACTTGACTCGAACATTTGGCGGCGTCTACCCGAGTAGTTTGCTCTCAATTCGTGGTACTCTTATGAATTGTTGCCGTCATGTTCGACTTGGGCCCATCCATCAGAGGTACCTCAGACTTATACGACCCGTGGATGACGGACAGGATGACATAACAGAAGCTATGACAGAGACTCGAGGTGCTCACCGGCAAGAGAAATCTCTATGTGTCAGCTCAACCCATTGAGAAGTGGTTCACAGTCTGAGCGTAGCAAATAGATACTTGAGCAATCACCGTAGTGTTTCTTAATGTGAGCTTTCTTAGATCAACTGTTGTAATTAGCATCATCTTCGCTCTTATACCCTCTACTGACATGTCCTTGGTCAATTGAGTAAAATATTCACCGTTCATTGCCGACATTGCATCTTCTGGTATAACTGGCAAGCTTAGTGCAACATCCAAGTGCAAGGCAATCGCGCATGACCTAAATATACTTTTCTGCCTTCCACTTGGATAGAATCGTGCAACCGCGCCTTCCCCAACATTTCATACAACATAACGCCGTCTCAAACTCTAGGAAGCGACGTCCAACGATGCCTTTCTTCCTCAAAATGATGCTCAGCATGATGAAGCCCAACTCGTCTCCTATATGCCAACATCGGCCTCAACCACAGCCTCAATCTCCCCTCGTAATAGAGGTCTTCCCAAGTAAAGTTGATAGGGATGGCGACCACCATCTTCCCACATTCTGGACAAGCTCCAACGCTTCCCAACTTGGGCCTTAATGAGACAAGATCCGGATCCGGAATTCGACAATCCATGCCCACAACCGCGGCCCCCGCATACCAAAATCGAACGCATGACCAGCAACAGTTCCGTCTCCTATCTGAGGATGAATGGGTCCAGTTCTGCCGCGGAGTCGGCGTGTTCAAGGATAACGACGAAAGCCACACGGTGATCCGGCCCAAGGCCTGGTATTGGCCCGTCAAAGGCTTTCCAGACGGACTTTATCAGGACGTGTTGTGGGGAAAGGTCAAGTCTAATTACTGGTATCATATCCTGAGCACCATTCGGTACGTGGCAGCCCAAATGGTCAACCTGAAGAGTATCTGGTAGTCCGCCGGCATTAACCCACAGCTTGGTTAGCTGGACGCTCATGATCCTCCAAATCGCCATGAACGCCGTCTTAACGGCGCTAGGCTCCTTCGCCACGAACTCCGGTACGGCCATCACAGTGGTGGCGGCTGTCAATACGTGCATGTCCAGCATCCTAGCATTGATGCACAACAGCGGCCTGCCGGACCGGTACCGGTCAGACCGCAATGAATTCTACAAGCTAGAACAGCACATGAAGGAAATCATCGACGCGCGGCTCGTCACGCCCCCAGAAGTTACCGTTATGGACGTCATGGCCGACTGTTTTCACCGCTTTAACAACGCCCGCCAGACGGTTGAAAACAACATCCCCTCTTCGTACATCCCGGCTACATCGTCTGTGGCTGCGAATTCGAATACGCTTGGGGGTCCGGTCAAAGCCGGTACGTCTGCTGTTGCTGGGACGGGGAAGAACTTGGAGGGGGTGGCAGCGAGGGGATCCAAGAATACGGAGAAAGTGGGTGGGGAGACAAATGACTGGTTTTGAAGAAAAGACTGGGCAAGAGATGGATCGATGACTTCTAATTTTATTCAGTTGTGATTGTTGAGCTAATACTGGAAGAGGCATGGGATAGGATATGTCGCTACAACACGCTGGATTGTATCATCATACTTGGTTTCGACTTCTTGCCGTTCTAGCCCTTCTAAGGGACGTCATGTTGCATTAAATACTTGGGTACCCAAGTTCCGATAGCCAAGTTAACGCCAATGAGATTTTATGTAAATAATAATATTAAATACGCCGTAGGTGTTAACCCTCGGTACCTCTACAAGTACTCCCTTAAGGGGCTATAGATGATATAGCGGGCCCTTAAGCCGCGTCGGGCGGTTATACAGGTAAACTTGTAGCCAAACGACTACTAAACCTCCTGTCCCTCCCTAAGTCTGTGCTACAACCCCTGCCTGAACTACCGATAAGTGTGGTAACGTGGCACTTAAATTCGTCCTCAGGGGTGGGATGCTGCTGATGTGCAGAAGATGCTCGACTATTTTTTTTGTCGCGACAAGTCGTAGTATCTGCTAATTGGGGTTCTCGTCGAGCGTATACATCTCAACCATACGCTCAAGTGGATAGACCGTAACGTGGTCTAGACGCTCGCAAGAATCGCGGCGAGAGGGGGTCCGATAAGGGGTCGGATTAACGATTCGAATTCTGGACCGGCTGTCGAGTTATATTCCGCCGACGTAGTGCTTGACGGTCGACTGGCTAGGATGCTCGTAATCCTAAACTGCACCAATCTCCCTATTATCGCTAGGTAGGCGAAGTCAACAAGGTGGGCAGCGCGCCATAAGGGTTGACTAAACCCCCTTGTGTGTCAGCTGCGGGATTCGAACCCGCGACTCGTCACCGACCCAAGTGGGCGAGGCTCAAATCGGGACTTATCTACCAGCGAAGTGACCAACTACACCAGCCGACATATGTAAATAAATCATCTCTATAGCAGTCCTGTACTAATTGTGTTAACAACTCAAGGAATGAGATTCTGCGTATCAAGTCGTCCAGGAAATCAGATGGGTTTGAGAGACCGATCAACCAAAATCTGCAAATGTGATATCTCCTCGGTCTTCACCACCATAGATCCTCCTCGAGGAAGCTCAACAATGGCCCCGTCAATGCACACCTTCCTCCAGCGGGCGTCTTCTTCCAGAGTAGTAACCTTAACCTCCTGAATCTCGTCATAACCGACTTGCTCCTCCTTGCCATCATCCGTGGTCCACTGCATACCCACATGTTTCCCTCCGGCGTATGCCTGCATCATGATATCCATCGTCTTCTGTCCGCTCACGGCACCGAAATGCACCAGTCGCAGTTTGCCGTCAAGAGGCTTGCTAGCTGGCGAGATGGTGAAAGCCTTCTCGAGATTCGACACCATGGTCGCCAAGACGTAGGCATGTTGGTCCCTGTCGAGTTGCTGCGGTGTAGACCCATCGGTATAAGTGAGCTGAACCGTTGTGTTGTACGCATGGCTTTCCTTCAGAAGCTCAGCAGCCACCATGCCGAATCGCTTGTCGCCGTGCTTGCGGTACTCGGGTGTATCGCTCTCCCAGACCAGCTGGCTGTGGAAGCCGTAGCTCGCGACAATCGCCCCGTAGAGATGAGATATGGAATCAAAATGCTCCTCGACGCCTTCGGGGGAAGGTGCTGGGTCTGTGGCATCTGAATTGCTGTACGATACGGACCCCGAGCCTGGTGAAAAGGAGGCACTGAAGGATGGCAACGGTGCGCCATGACCCCGGAGTAATGTGCGCAGACCTAGGACCAGTGCCGAAACCTGAGAGGAGCCATGCGATGCATGTATGGGCTTGTGTAGGGAGTGGAAGAGCGCGTTGCCTGTACCTAGGGGTAGTATTGCAATCAAGGGCGGCAACTCCCTCGACTCATTCCCTCCATCGCCTCGCTCCTTGCCGTTGAGCATTTCAACCACGCCTCCATCGCCACTCAGGAGGATTACGGTGTGGCCTGGCTCCTGGCCGCGAACGCCCTGATTCAGTTCCTTCGCGAACTTTCGGATACTCTGCGCATCTTGAGTGATGGTCAGGTCATATGAATTCCCGTCCGTAGTGTTGGCCGGTAGTCCCAGCAAGTCTCGGTTTTTTTCGGCGGAAGAAAGCCCCAAAGATTGCAGAAGGGGATTGAGAACAGCGTTATAGAAATCCAAAGCGAGCCCCGTTCCCGATTGTGTCGATACAACTACATGCACTCTCCTGGCAGGGCTACTGCGCAAATATTCCGGAATCTCATCGATCAGGAACTCGTCAAGAAGCGACTGTGATAAGTCTGCGGCCTGATGGCTAGACAGCTGAAATGACTTGTGCTCCTCGGTGGAGGTCTCCTTAAGACTGAAGACATTGTAACCACTTGGTTTTGTCCGTGCCACGATGCAGACGATCTCTTCGGTCTTGGTTGAGCCAATCGGTGTCGCCATTTCCACTGTCCCAGGCTAGACTGTCGGGGTCGTTGACACGCACCTCATCTAGTTAAGTCGCGATCCAAGATGTTTTGCCGAGCGCCTAGTGCTCTCCAGCTTCATTGAAAGAGGTGCTAGTAGTATGTTGCAAGACGCAGAAGCACAGATGAAGTTGAAAAGAGGACGCAACAGGGATTAAATGGAAACTTGCATGAAATAATAGACAAGTTACCTAGTCTAATGGATTGAGTGGATATGTACGTAGTGAGCGCGGAAAACCAACCGCCGTTCGGAAGATACGGACATAAGGTCTCCATGTGGAAGAACAGTACAATCTCAACTCATAGCCTTTGCTAAGGCGTTTTAATCCAAGCAGGAATCATAACGTGCATCTGATCATACGCATATCAGTTCTGCTGTACCCAAAACCTCAACACCAAGGAGGCGGTGTAAAGGCTGTGAGGCTTTCGGTACCATTATCGGCAATCCGCGGGCGCCAATTTTGGTGTGCTCAGCTATAAGTACTGCCTCGAATTGAGCACCCAAGCTTGTAGCCTTGAGACGACATTTGACAGCCAACGTGCTTGGTAACGGGTATTAATTCCATACATCCCATCCATAGACAATTCCAGCTTTTCGCAGCGTTGTCCCGACTAGTGACCTTTCGCCTTGCTAAGAGGACCCCAGTTCTCCTTGGGGTTCATCTGGTATCTTACCAGACCCTTCTTAGACTTGTCCTGACCGAGTCCCTTGTTGAAAACAACCTCCAGCTTGTCAACTTCGCTGTCTACTTTGACTTTGCTTCTCTCCTCAGAAGCGCTCCTGTCGCCCAAACGCAGCAGTCTGAATGCTGCACTATTTTCCTTGAGCTTGTCCTCCCGAACCGGCGCCTTTTGGCGAATCCATTCTCTCATGACGTGCCAGATAACCGACCAAGGCGCATTCGTCTTGATACTTCCTGGCTTGCAGTGGCTCCGAGTGACTTCGTATCCCAAGCCACGAAGAGCACCTCGGAAGCTGTCTTCGTCTGGGCATTCACAATGGATTGCGCCCGCAAGGTACGACGGATGAAAATAGAAAGGGTACGGCTCAAGAGCTGCGAGCTCGTCGTCTTGGTGTTTCGGCGTATTGTCCGGTGGAGGTGGCAGGCACATCTCCTCGAGTGCAGTATTTAACATTCCTGCTATCCTGGTTGTGGTGCCATATACCTCTTTTGATGCATTTGGTAACTCGTCCAGTATGCTCTTAATAAAGTCGGCCGAATGAAGTGGCCCTGCGTACATGGGACCGGACAAGTGCATCTTGGAGCCGCAGTGCTGACAGAATTGGTCGGACGTTGGTCCCATTGACAAGCCATGCTTGTAGAACATGCCGCTGCCCTTGTTATTTGGCACTTTTCTGTTTCGAAGCAGCATTTGCGTTTCCCATGCACCACAACCTTGGTCGCAGCTGTACACAATCATGGTCTTGCCAGCCAAAAACTTGACACTGGCGGGGGATTTCTTGACCCTAACAAAAATGCGCACATAGTAGTCGATGGATAAGCTCAGGAGCGGCTCGATCGCCAGGCCATGCCTCGCGGCGCTTGTGGCAAGTGCATTTATAATTAAGCGCAATCCAGCTTCGTGGGAGTGGAAACCCTTGACGGGGATGCCACCGTAGAGGGCGAATGCCTTCTCGGAGTACCCATGAGAAGCCCATACGCCTGAGTCTGTGCAGGTCACGCACAGAAGGCCACCGTCATCACGTACCGCATGTACTGCGGCATCGAAGAAGGTCGCAGCGGTACCGTAGGGGTCGAGGTCGATTACATCGTATTTCTTGCTCGGCGGAGCTCGTCGGAAACGTTTAGGATTGGCTTCGTGCTCTCGCGCGACCTCCTCAGAAATGAGAGAGTACATATGTGCACGAGCATCACTCTGGGTGGCGTTGATTTTGGACTCCACACCATTGTGTTGAGCATTGCGCTTAATTGCCTCTACCGCTGAAGGAGTAAGATCATTTGCGGTTACCGACGTGACGAACGGCAATTCCTGGACGTAGCGCAAGGCTCGGAGACCAGTTGCGGAGAGAGCATCAAGAATCGTGAAAGGCGGAGGCAGTGGCTTTCGTTGATGCGTGCCATCTTGTGGCTGTTCCTCTGTATTCGTTGTGCCAGTTGCTTGTTCCGATGGCTCCTCAGCGGTGCCTGTTGAATGTGTCTCTGGCTTCTTCTTATCCTTAGCATCATCGCATACCGCATCCACGTTGTCCTCAGTTGTATCCATGGCAGTAGCATCCACCGGGTTTGCTGCTCCGTATACAGCTTCGGGAACTTCGCCCCCGCCGATCACGGGCTTTCCTTGCTTTTGCGGCCTCTCATCTCCCTCCGTCGTTCTCTTTCGCTTCTTGTTCATTTTGTTCTCGTTGAACTTCTTTCTCTTGGCAATGACATCTTCTCCGTATGCTTTGATCGCGAGCACCGTCAGATCGCGGTTGAATTGCTGGATAGGATTGTAGAAGACCTTCTGCACTTCCTCGTCGCCCTTCGAGTTCTTCTGCGCGTCGCTCTTTGCCGATACTGGATTCAGGATACGAGCTAAGCCTTCCCGGACTTCAGTGAATTCCTGTCCATCGCGAACGACTCTGTGCGTCTCGACTGGTGTCGGAGTTGCTTTGGCTTTGGATGTCATGGTGCGCATGATGGTGTGCAGTAGTTGCGTGTTGACTGGTCGGCTTACATGCCTTAAGGTAAGGTAACGGAGTGCATTCGAGATGCTGCACAGCATTCAGAGAACCAGAAATTGGGGTGGTGTCAAATTGATCGGTGTTATCGTGAACCCAGATGGACCTGGATATTTTTTTTTTCGGGTGCTGCCTTTTGGAGCTGGAGCTTGGTAAAAGTTGGACCTCAATTTTCCCAAGTAATGACTGGCCAATCATGGAATTTCCGGGGCTGTCTCCCACACAGACGTTTTGTACCCCCTGTTAGCCTTATATGCACCCCTTAGAGGTAGGTACCTTGTACCTGTGCCAAGGTACTTGCGCAGGTCACCGAGGCAAGACACTGCATTACAGAGTCCAGGGGAACCCGCCCGATCAATGGAGAAAACCATTTGCGAGGTTAACCGTACTACTAAATTCCAACACGGTAATCATAGACTGGCTAGATAGAGAGTGTAAAAGCTGTAAATCCCAGTGCTCATATTTAGGAGCAAGTCGATGTATCAAGGGTGTAGAACTTGGCAATACAAACCACCCAATAGTTACAAATACAGAAATTAGAAGCCTGATCAGACCTGTTCTCCGTCCTGCCAGGAAGTATTCGCTTTCCAGCTCCTCCTGATACAATTCGCTCTCCTTTCGGACGGGACTTCTTCGTCCTCACCGCAGTCCGCCTCTATTGGAAAATTGAGAGTCGTTTGGCATCCATTATGACTTGTTTATCAGTCCTCTCAGAATATATTTGTCCCAGAAACAACGACTTTGTGGCAGAAAATAGTATCATGGTTGATTCGCGTCTTGTGAATCTTCCCGATCTGTCCATTGCTCTTATCGGCATCCCTACTCGTCAGGAATTTACCAACTTACGCACCCTTTTCTCCATACTATCCTCAAACTCCTGGGCACCTCCTTGCAGCACAGTCATCTGCCCCTTACTTAGCTTATACACCATCCTCCGCCTCTCGACTTTATCCTCACAATTCGACATGTCACTGTATTCGTCTTCCACCAGGCCTGCAACCACGCCACGCATAAACCACCTATCGTGACTTACAACCACCACTGCGCCCTCCCAGGCATGCAAAGCCTCGCGCATTGCAAGGACGGTCTCGTAATCCAGATGCGTCGTGCTCTCATCAAGCACTAGACAATGCGGGCATTTCCACAACAGACGAGTCATCTCCAAACGGACCAGCTGCCCTCCCGACAGCTTGCGAATCGGGACGTCTGACGCAAGGCGACCAGGCAAGCCAAACGACGCCAAGAGTCCTCTCAATTCTCCCTCATTCAGCGCGCCAGCTACCTCTCTGGTCAGCAAAGTCAAGGACGTGAGATACGGCTCTGCAACGCCCATCTGCTGTAACGACTGGACGGCATTTTGGGAATAGTATCCCGATTTCAAGCGTGGGTGCGTCGTCAAGGTACCCGAAGTTGGTTTTGCTTCCCCTACAAGAAGCTTGATGAGCGTCGATTTCCCGCCGCCGTTGAGGCCCAAGATTCCTATCCTGTCGCCCATGTGAACCGACAGGTTGATATCCTGAAGCACCAACGGGTTTGGCGTTGTGGTCTTCTTCACTGCTGGATACCGAAACGACACCTTCTCAAGCGCAAGCAAAGCACCTGGGAACCGCAGTTCCGTCGTTCGGGGCAAGGCGAAACTGATTGCTTTCTCGTCCTGCGGAATCTCAATTTCGCCCCGGTTGGTGAAATGGTAACCGGGCAAGTCGCGGTTCAGCTTGAAGCGTCCGCCTTTGGCGCTAACCTCCATGCCCCAACGATCGTCGAGCTTCTTCTGCCGTGATTTTGCCTGGCGGATCTTATTTTGATCATCCTTGAACTTGCCATCCTTCATGTTTCGCGCGATGGTTTGTTGTATATGCTTCTCTTGCTCATCCTTGGCCTCCTTCATCTTGGTCAGATACACCTTCTTTTCCGCCCTCGATGACTCGTACATGGCAAGATCGCCGTGGAAGTATGTGAGATCCTTATCTTTGATTATGAGCAGGTCGGTGCACAGGGACATGAAGTCACGATCGTGGGAAACCAGAATCAGGGTAGGCGGGTTGGGACCCTCAGCCACGGACATGAGATGGCGTTGGAGCCACATGATGCCGAGAATGTCCAGAAAATTCGTGGGCTCGTCCAGGATGAGTATATCAGTCTTCTGTAGCAAAGCAGTAGATAACGCGGTTCGCATGCGCCAACCTCCTGATAAGCTTGAGATCGGCTTTTGCATGCATGTTTCGGAGAAGCCAAGGCCTGTGAGTATCCTTTTTCCCCGGGACTCAGTCTCAGCCAACTTGGAGGGTTCCACCTGGAGCTCGAGCTCTGCGAGCATATCCGCCGCTTCACTTGTCTCCTGGACAAGCTTGTCTGGCGAGATATCTTCGTCTTTCTCCTCATATCTACCAAATTATTAGCAATGACTCTTCGGGCAATGACGCTGCAATCTTGCGGCACATACGTGGCCTGGAAAGCTGCAACCTCCTTTTCCATGGCAATCAGCACCTTGCGAGCTTGCGTCCCGCGGGCTCCACTTCTGAGCCGGGCGTCTTTATCTTTGAGAAACAATTCTTTTTGCAGACGTTCATGTTTGACTCTCCGGGCGCCTCTGAGGGCGCCATACGTACTGGTACTGTTCATGGCGCTTGTAAGAACTGCAGTATGGTCAGAATGACTGGGACGGTAAGCCAAATCCAGGCCACCAACTCCGGATTTCTTCTTGCACTTTATGCCTCGAAGTAGCTCTCTCAATGACTTCTTCGAGCACAGTTGATCCCCGGCTTTCCTTTGGCTTTGGCGGTGGAAATTCAGCTCCGGTCTCATCGGTATTGGCATCAGCGATGTTTGTCTGCTGCAAGAGTACAACCCTCGTTTCCTCAGGGATTCCCGGAATCAACTTCTCGGATATTGCCTTTAGCAATGCTGCACCTGGAGTTCAATTTTCATCCGTTTCTCGTCATGGCCTGTGAATGCTCACTCGATTTGCCGGTCCCGTTGCGTCCCACCAGAGCATATTGTTGCCCTGCCTTGAGTCGTAGCTTGGCATTGTTGAGAATCTCAATGCTGGCGTTTTTTCCCTTTTCCTTGCCCTTCACTCCCGACTTGGCTCCTGCCGTGATGGAGATGTTGAGACCTTCGATGTCAAGCTATTGTCCGTGTCAAACAAAGATAGGCAACCGAGTGAAAGAGAGGACCATACTTCTCGGTAATTTGGTGTGCCGATGTTGAATCGTGTTTGCTTGCAAGTGCACAGAATCGTTATTGCCGACTCCGATGCCATGGACGTCATGTTTGCGGTTGATGAGTGGTGAATCTTTGATCGTGTTCCCAGACGAGACGCAAGCGAGCAACCAACTTCAAAGTCGGGGATTAAGTGGTGGCAAGATTGGGTTTGAAATCGACATCGCCCTTTCAGAATGTGTACCATATTTATCTCATCAATCAAATCCAGGCATAGCAGGAACATGTGGCGGCCGGTATGTAATTGCAAAAATTTCTTGTTGCTGAAAATGTCGTGGTCTAATCTTGATGGTTCATAATGATTGAAAATGAATCATCCTCAGCCCTAGCTGCTTTGCAAATTCCTCGGCAGGCGCGGCTACACGTCGCGTACCTTAAAAATCCCAAGGTCACCCAAACTGTTGGGGCTATGCCATGAAGTTCAGAGTATGTGGTATGTGTGGTTTTCCAGAAACCATGGCTGAATCAGTATTCTCCGGTGTGGAGGATCCATTTGTTGGTCAATGATGGTATTCAGAGCGACAGCAACAGCGAATTGCCTCTCCCAACCTACCAATGGGGGAGTGCCGATGTACCCAATTCGGCTTGTAGGGGCGCTGGGCCCGCCGTTTATAGTCGTCCTAACTAGCTTCGTGTCCAATCAAATTGTGTGGAGCTCAACTCGCTGTCAGGCTCTATAGACAACGCGATTGAAGTTACCTAAGCTCGCAAGTGAAATTCTTATTCTCCAATACTTGGGTAGTACTGACTTCGAAGCTGTAGGCGATCGTGCATTGGTCTCATTTGCGAGGCGATTGTAGTTGCAGGCATTCTCAATGCTGACTGGACCTCCTGTGAGGACTCCACTGACACTTGGATGTATGCACGATTCCGTTTTCGTCAGACTGTATGTACGGCAATTTTGTGCTCTTCCCTGGTTGCGAATGCCTCCCAGTGATTGAAGTGTTTCGGTGTCGCGTTTCAAGTTGTGGAGTTTTCGGACGCCTTTTGGGACTAGTTGAAACGGTCGCTAGCAGTCCCCCTGGGTCCTGGAATCTAAGCTTCAGTCCGATGTTTCTTCGGAACTTCGACCTCAGTGACTGTCGTCAACAAATGAAATTTCTAATCTAGGACGGCACTATATATTCTCATTGTGAACAACCAAAATGAAGCTGTTTACATTACACACAGGCGTCAGTATCGCTTTCTGGGTCCATGTTGGCCTGGCCAGCAGCATTGACAGTTCGGCATTATGCCCATCAACAAGTTTCCAAATACAATATTGCGGGAGAACGGTATGTGACTGTCCCATGTACCAATAATTGGCTCATATCTGACACCTCTACAAGTTGGAACATGGTGAAGCTGCCTTCCTCGATGGGGTTGGTAATGAACTCGGGCCGGCTTTAAAAGCTAACAATACTGCCCGAGGTGTGTCAAGTAAGCTCTTCATTGCAACTTCATCTTCGCAATACTAAAACTCCAAAGGTATATGGGAGGTCAGAGAGTCTCCGGGGAAGGGCCTGGGCGTGTTTGCCACAACTCTGATCACGGCAGGAAGCCGCGTCATGGTCGAACCACCGCTATTCGCAATCAAGCCTCCGGAGTTTATTCCTGGGAAGGGCTACGAGATCGAGGCAATGATCGCAGATGTGGACAAAGCAGTTGCAGCTCTGTCGTCCGAGGAGCAAGACGAATTCCGGTCGTGTCATGAGCACCGCTTGCCAAACGAGGCCGCCAGTGAACATAGAAGAAACATGTTCATCTTCAGGAGCAATGCCTACACCTTGACAGATGGCAAGATTGCCATGTTTCCCAAGATCGCCAAGATCAACCACTCGTGTCGCCCGAACGCGGCGAATGTTTGGAGCAGTGTATCGAGACTGAGGATTATTTGTAAGCAAACTCGAGGTTTACTATGTCTTTACCCCACAGCCTTCCACGACGCGCTGCGGTATTCAAGTCAGTGTTGGCTCTACTATCTGACGAAATTGTCTTCCATAAGGGGCAATGGAATAAACCTACCTTTAGCCGTCCATACCATTGGAGTACCATGGAAGCTGTGAAACGACAAATGTCGTTCCTAATGATCTTACATGTCTGCATGCGTCCTTTCTTCTATCAAGTCCAAGGCCCGTGGTTATTGAAAGAGCACTGGGAGCGAATTGATCGTCAAAGCTAACATAGAAAAATTATTAGGGGCGGCAAGAGACATCCTCCCCGGCGAAGAAGTGTCTGTGACATATGCACCTCTTCTGCAAACTCGCGAGGACCGGCAAAAACGGCTTGCGCAGTACGGCTTCCGCTGCAGCTGTGAGGCATGCCACGACCATGCGCACACCGACCCGCGGCGAAAGCAAATGGCACGGCTACTCAGTGAGCTGGAAGACAGGCTGGCACGGAAGACTTCGGCCTTTGCCAACAAGAAGCTTTTGCTAAAGGCTACGGCCTTGGTCGAGATGCTCGAAGAAGAACATATGATGGACTACCTCCCGAATGCGTATCGTATGGCGGCCGAGCTGTCTTTTCGCCTCGATAACATCACGGCTGCTGAAGACTGGGCTAGACAAGAGTTGAGGCTCCACGAGAATGCGGATGAGTTGTCGTCGGCGTCGCAGGATGCGGTTGCATTCTTGCTAAAGACTACTTCTGCACGTTGAATTTATGCTGTCTCATCAGGACCAATCCGAGTCAGGTTGCCGCGATCCGAATCACAACGGCATGGCGAGTTGTCCCGAAAACCTATCATGCCGTCTACAGAGCAGTGTCTTATCTGCAGCGTGCGAACACCTTTTTACCATTCCAATTCAGAGACGTTTCCCTGACTGTGGGAAATTAGACACTTTGTCGTCACAAGAGTGTGTATTCCAACAGAAAACTACATATCGAAGCAGGCGTCCGGGTGGTGTATGGAAACTTCGAAGCGAGCTCCGGATGACCCGACTTGGGCTTACGCTGAAGTAATGTGTTTGGATTCTGGCGATTCTCCCAGTTGGTCTCCACCAGACAGGTTCGACGCGTCGCTGGTCCAAGATTAACTATAGTCCAGATTCTGGGAAACACTATTGCCAAATGATTAATTGAGTGGATAGATGCCTTGTACCTTATGGTTCCGAGTATAGTTGGCCCAATGCTAGCTAATCTACGCCAAATTGCCGGACTAGGGTTTCAATTGGTTGACAAATAAACGGTGCAACAGGGCGATATAGCGTGGAATCGCTCAGTATTCCAGTTTAGTAGACGACCTTGCAGGTTTAATCAAATTGTTCCACCTGGATGCGCCGTATATTGTATAACCAGCTTGGTAGTCGTGTCATGCCAGGCAGGTCGATAGACAGGCCTTCGTGGAGATGTTGTCGGCATCGTGAAACTCTGGCCAGACGATCAGAGAGTAAGTGCACTCGGCTCCAGCGCGTCGATATCAGAAACGATGAATGTCGCCCTAATACCGCTCGCCGGGTCTCATGCTAGACGAGCGGTCAAGCGCGAGTCCATGGGATGAACGCCTCGTAAGTTGGCTGTGCTGACCGTCAGAAATGGGCGCCATCCCGGGGTCATGCTCGATTTTAGGCGCGCAAAGGCGATGCCAAAGTTGGAGTTGAGACATGGGGATGTGGAGCCACATGTGAATATGGTGGAGTATTGGTTGGTTTGATGGTTGTACATGCCCTACCACGTTACCAGCCGCTCATATCGCTTCCTCCGAACTCTCAATGCGTGGCCGAAGCCACCCGCGTTGGTGCCGAAGGGGGTGTCGCTGAAGATGGTGCTTGATACTACCTCTACCAACATGAAATATTGACGATTGTTCTCGTTTGATGGCACGCAGGCAGGGACGGAATTGTTGGCTTTCCCCGAGGCCCGTATCTTGGCCGAAGTGTCTCAATCGGCCCGACCTACTTTTGTTTCTCCACGATGGAGCAGAATGGGGTCTAGAATATCGTGGGGATTTGGGGACCCGTCAATCGCCCCATCGAATAAGGAAATGCCCTACTTATATCGACTAGGCGAAAGACTCTCAGCTAACTATATTTGTCCAAGAGCTAATTCGCGAACAGGAGTTCGTTCGGGGTTAAAACTAGCCGAACATACATACCATATACTGCAACGCGATTATTATGCAGGCATGTACATGACTGCTGAAAATGGACAGGGAATAACCTCCGAAAAGGATCATGTCAAACCCTGGCGCCTGCGGAGATTCGTTTCCCAAGGTTGTCGGGTGAAAGCACCGTGAGCCTGGTGAATACTGGGCCCTATGAAGATTTGTATCCCCGTGGGGTAATTCGATTGTTCTAGCTCTTAGGTTAGTTCCCAGCCTTAATCCTTGAGCTTTTGTGTTGTAATCTTCTGCGAGACACTCCAGACGCAGTTCGTGGCAAGCAAACTCGCTGCTGTGTGAGCCGAGAGACTAGCAAATATATGAAACACGGTTTTTTTTAGTCACCTGAAGGTTTGCTATCTCAAAATAGCTGAAGATTGAGGTCATCCCTCTGGTCATCCCTCTGGTCATCCGTTAACGGACCAATCGCCCAGTTCTGTCGTTCCCCGCCCGCCGGCCACATAATGTCGTCTCCAGTGCGGAGTAACCCTGAATCTAGAAGGATCGGTGCTCATGCCATAATGTGAGGGTTCGGCGAGGGCTGGACAAGTTCCAGGCATTTTCTAATGGTCGAAAAGTGTAACGTCGCGTTTCTCCCTTGGACGCTATGTCTTCAGATTGGTCTCATCGTCAGATCTCACAGCGTGGCCATCCATTTGGCTCATGAGCGGCGGGTGTGACTTCGAGAATTTTCATCGGACCGCAAGGGACGAACATGTCTTCAGGCCACGGGCTTGCAGATTTTGTGTAGCCGTTGCAACGATGTTGGGGAAGGATCGGTTTCCCATACCTGTCGCCGTGCTGTGGGATTGTGCATGTACGAAAATACATGGACCTGCAAGGACACGCGAGCCACACTCATCATGTCTTTGACAGCTAATCGATTCGTCGACCTTCATCAAAGCGCTCCCTGTCGTGTGAGGTATGTGTAAGTAACTGGCACAAATCCAATTTTCCCTAATTTCACAGGATAGATAACCTGCATGAAAACCTGCGGGCCGAACACAGTTACAGTATCTTCGTAGATAATAAACACTACACCGACGATTATTGTTGGTGAACATGCTTTAAAATGATGAATCATTGACACTGTATAAGTACGACCACGACAGATCCGACAGAATGGAAAGCACCCTTCCCCTTCGACCCAATGAATTACAGGCTTCTACAAAGATACTTCCTACGAATCTTGTAGAAGTACCTTGGCTTACTATGCCACTTTGGTATAGCTACTGCAGGCAGGTTTGGTCGCTTCGCCGGTTATTCTACAACCCCTACTGGAACAAATCCCGGTAAACTGGGATCATCAGGGATTACCCCACAGCCACCCCGAAGCACTATTAGTTATGAATCGAGGGTGATCCTGGGTTATTCAGATCACGTACTTGGGAAGTTCCCACCTTCGACTCCGCTTAAAGATTTCCTCCAGGCAACGATAGTCCACCTCGAGGTATCTCTACGAACAATACACCCCGAATCTCCAATCTCTAGCGTAAGTTCTGACAGCCTGGGTACGGGGTTACTGCAGATGGTCGGTCGGGAAAACTGCATGAAGACTGCATCTCGGCCAAACCATGCGCCCTCTACCTCGAGGTAATCCTTCCCCCAAGAGAGAAAAGACGGCCCTTTTACAACCCCCGGTCTACACGCTATAAGCCGCACCCTGGCTCTTCGCAGGTTGAGTGGGAAGTACTTTGCTGAGTTACTGTAGCATTAACGAATCACTGTTGTCGGATCAACCGTATCTAAAATCTAGCCAGCCAAAGAAGCCCCGTTGTAGATCCGCCCATAGATCATTGTGAACTGGCTGCTGTGGAAAGGGACCCTGGAAGGAGCAGCAGCAGCTGACAACCTGCTTGTCGAGTAAGTGCCACTTCCCAGCGGGACCTCCGGTCACTGGTTGTCTTCCCCCTCCTATTCAGTAGCGCTTCTACCCCGGATCTTTCGTTTGGCTTCCTCTACCTGGAAACGAACGCGGTATTCTAGTCGATATCACTTTATAACTTCACCTATCCCTCCTTTCCTCGTCACATCTACGTGTTCCTAATTTTTCCTTTGGTCCCCAAATCCTTTTTTTTTCTTGGGTCATTGGTTACATCAACATCCCATCTTCGCGATATCCAGAAACCCCCCTCCTGGCTACAACCCAACTTCGACTCCCTTCCTTCCAACCCACCCAAAGGAGGAACGAACATCACCAATGGCTGGCGGCGTCGTCATTCAGGGCACTACCGATGTCAATCGCGTGGAGGCTCCTGTCACTGTCAAGGCCTACCTCATCTGTGCCTTCGCCGCCTTTGGTGGCATCTTTTTCGGATATGATACTGGTTGGATGTCGGGCGTCCTCGCGTGAGTAAAACACCATGATCAGTCTTCTTCAATTAACAAACTAATTTGTTGTTTTTACTTAAAAAAGCATGCCCTTCTTTATTACCGAATATACTGGTTACAAGTACGACGTAAGTTGTGTTCTCTTTCTGTTGTTCTAGATCGACGGCTGACCCAATTTTGACCAGTATGCCACTGGTGCCCCCATTGATGTCGCCAAGGCGGACTTCAAGTTGAACCCGGCGACCCAATCCCTTTTCACGTCCATGCTCTCCTGCGGAACCTTCTTCGGTGCTCTTATCGGCGGCGACATCGCTGACTTCATCGGCCGGCGCCCCACTATCATTGGTGGCTGTCTTCTGTTCTCAATTGGTTGCATCATGCAGATTTCCAGCACTGATCAGGAGGTTCTGTTCGTCTTCGGCCGTTTGATTGCTGGTGGAGGTGTCGGTTTCATTTCCGCTGTCGTTATTCTTTATATGTCCGAGATCGCGCCCAAGAAGGTCCGTGGCGCTATGGTTTCTGGTTACCAGTTCTGCATTACCATCGGTATTCTTCTGGCATCTTGCGTCGTCTATGCGACGCAGAACCGCCCTGATACTGGCTCATACCGCATTCCCATCGGTGTCCAGGTATGTGGGAGTTCCCAAGTCTAACTCTGCCGTAACTAGCTAACCCAATATAACTAGTTCCTGTGGGCTCTCATTCTCGCCATCGGTCTCTTCATCCTCCCCGAGTCTCCTCGATATTTTGTCAAGAAGGGCAAGGTCGAGCAAGCGCGCAAGGCTCTTGCTTATGTTCGTGGCCAACCTGTTGATTCGGACTTCGTTACCGACGAACTGGCTGAAATTGTCGCCAACCACGAGTACGAGATGACCGTGATCCCTCAGAGTGGCTATGTTGCTTCCTGGACAGCCTGCTTTAAGGGTGGTCTCGCCAAGGGGAACAGCCCTCTCCGACGCACCATTCTCGGCACTGGACTGCAAATGATGCAACAGCTCACCGGTATCAACTTCGTCTTCTACTTCGGAACGCCCTTCTTTACCCAGCTTGGCACGATTAAGAACCCCTTTCTGATCTCGCTGGTTACCACCCTTGTTAACGTGCTGTCAACCCCGATCTCCTTCTGGGCCATCGAGAAGTTCGGTCGACGTGCGCTTCTGCTTGGTAAGTCTTTGTGACTTTGTATATGTAGCAGGATTATGGGTTCTTTACTAACGATCCACAGGTGGCGCCACTGGTATGATCATTATGCAGTTCATCGTTGCCATTATTGGTGTCACCGCTGGCCGTACCGATGCGAACAACCCGGACGCTGTAAAGGCGATGATTGCCTTTATTTGCCTCAACATCTTCTTCTTCGCAACCACGTAAGTCCCGAAGATATCTATCGCAATGCCTCGCAAGAAAAATTTGCTTACTCTTGTTTCTTACAGCTGGGGCCCTACTGCTTGGGTTATCGTCGGTGAGGCTTTCCCCCTGCCCATCCGATCGCGCGGAGTGGGTATATCGACTGCATCCAATTGGTTCTGGAACACCATCATCGCTGTCATCACCCCCTACCTCGTGGGAAGCGACGAGGCAGACCTGGGACCTAAGGTCTTCTTCTTGTGGGGATCCTTATGCTGCCTCAGCTTGGTGTTCGGTAAGTATCCTTGAAAGTCCCCTTTCCTACACAGAACTTGCACTAACACTGTTATAGCCTATTTCCTTGTCCCCGAGCTCAAGGGTCTCTCCCTCGAGCAGGCCGATATGTGTATGGCCGAGGTTGCGCCCCGCCACTCTGCTGGTTGGAAACCTAGCCACACCTTCGCCGCCGAGATGCAGCACACCCACGACAAGCCCATTGCCAGCTCCAACGAGGTTCCCGTTGACATCGAGAAGACCTAACGTGGTCTGCACACTATCTCATTTCTTGTTGTTCAGGTTACTACCATTTTGGCGAAGCCTGCTATGAAGAATCTCCGTAGGATCTACTAAAGTTTATCAATCGTGCCTCCATTTACGCATTGAGTCACCCATAATTTCCCGATACCAAGACCCTGAGTACATACCATACATAGAGTAGATCACCGAAGAGAATCGCATGTAGTTATTCTGATAATGTCAGCAAACCTCATCAAGTGCTTGATCTCCTTCATGCTATCCAGGTGACTATATATATATATATATATGTGAGTCGTCCACGCTCTAGTTCGTACATAAGCGTGGTATTTGTTCCTCATCCGAGCAAAGCTCAACAGGAAACATGCGGATCGACGCAAGCCGAAGCGAGTCTAGTGTGGGATGTTTGAACGCTGCGTCCGGGGAAAGGCCCCACGTTGAATACAACACTTGGGAAATCAAGCTAGCCAGAAACGAGGGTGATAGCTAAGGCATTGTTGCTGGCTGGACATGACAGGTTCGGTGTACGCTCTGCTTAGAGTCGAGTCGGAGCTAGCATGCGTTTGTGAAGAAGACGTGGTTCGCTGGATCTGGATACATGATGATGCGGTGGACGTGTTAGCAAACATTCGTCCGACTTGGGGATGTTGAGCGTGTTGCTAAAGGGTGGCAAAGACGTGATCATTCGACACACAATAGCCTGGAGGTTTCTTGTGATAAGTGCCTACTGTGTAAAGAATTGAAGAAACATAGGGGTGTTTCCAGGAGCCGGACTTGCTTTTATTCTTGAGCAGCGTAGTGTACGCATTTTACACAGCCATGTTCGTATACAGGCATTGTTGTGTTTTCAAATTCCGTCAAGGCTATCAAGAGCGATTGCGTATACCCAATCCTTCTTTCGGGTTGGAGTGCGAAGGATGTGTTTCATAGTTGATGCCAGGTTCGCATATAGCTATATGCGGACCTGACATAACCCATTCCTTAGCTTGAGGTTTCACGATAAACCGCACTAGAATAGTCCTTCGACTTCGTACGCCATCGCTATCGTTTATGACGCGGCAATCTTGTCAGATGAGGGAGAAATCGCTATGTTGCCCATCTAAGAATGTTGGTCTGCGGATACGTGCTTTCTGCCGTGCATGTAAACATATTGGCCAACCTGTACATCCGACGAGTAGCTTCTGAGATTGCCATCTCTTGACTGCACGAGGTTCACAGGCTTCATTGTCTTCAGGTTGCAAAATTTCCAGCCCTCAATATACTTGCCCCTTCGCTCTGTGCGGACGAAGCGGCGGCGGATCGTTGATCTAGGAGTTGTGATGGAAACCCAAGATATCACTGCAAGTCCTCGCCACACATCTCAAGATCCAAATCGGTGCAAACTCCCGGATTGTCGGGGCTAATCGTAAGCTTCCTCATATGAGAACATCGTGATGAAGACGGGTCGGAAGTTCGCGCTTTGGAGTTCCAGAAACCTTCTTGCTGGCGTCAACAACCTCAGCCTTGCATCGCATGCCCATTTGATAAGACTTGATTCGGCTTTGCGCCTCTCCCGACGCCGCGAGGCTGCTTATGATGTCGCTGCCACGCTGAAGCCGGGTGCTTTCCAACATTAGAAAGGTGATGACCAATTTTCATCTAGAAAAGAAAGCTGTTCTATTTTGGCGCGTGGACTTAGAGCCACGAGCTGGCCAGTAGCCACCGGGGCTACGCTTGTTTGACGGCTAAGCGCAGCCCGGAAGTTGATTGGCCGAGGCGCTCAACTAACGCTGTTTCTATATTCAAATTAGTTAGCGCTGACTGTATGTATTTTTGTCCTTGTGAACGTTGCTCACCAGCAGTGACCGTTGACAACGCATCAGGATCTCACGCCAGTATAACCACCATAGTTCGGAAGCTCGATACCCGACCTTTCACAGCCCGCGACCATGGATCAGGATCTCTGACTATGATAGAGGTGTCTTTGGTTGACCTTGGAAATGTCTCCGTGGGACCGACTGCGTGCGAGGGACTATACACACACAGCATATAAGACTCGAGTGAGTCCCGCAATAGAGGCATTTCCATCACCACCATCGTAAACAACTCATTCCACCGCTTAGATATTTCCTACCTTTTTCGTTTTCGCTTCTCCTTTTCCGTTTTCTCTATTTCCTTATTTCGAAGTATCTTTGTTTCTTTCGATTCGACCAGGCGCAATTGGATTCCTTAGACCGATTTACTCTAGAATCGACAAATTCACCAAATTCTCGACAAGATGCATTTCACTCTAGCCCATGCTGCGTCCGTCCTGGCCTTCTGCTCTGCTGCTTCGGCTGCTCCCGCCATTGAGTCCAACACATACGCTGCCGCAAGTGCAACTTCTACTGCCGCCGCTGCTCCTACCGCCAATCTCGCGGCGCTCGGTCTCAGCAAAACCGCCCAAATCTTCCTGTCGGACACGTATGTTTACTTCTCTGCAACTGATCCCAAGTCAACCGCCGCCGTACTAACTAAATTTGCAGCCGCGTGGACGCTATCAACAACGTCCTCACCAAGAACGAGGACTTCGTCTTCAAATTTCTCGACAAGGCAACAGGCGGCCCCGGTGAAGGCGGCGAGATCATTGCTGCCAACCGAAAGACGTTTCCCGCCCTGACCGGGACCGGGATCGGTGCGGCTTTGGGCAAGCTTGGCCCTTGTGGCTTCAACACTCCCCACGTTCACCCTCGAGCTACCGAATTGCTTTTCCAGATCGAAGGCAAAGTTGTCTCGTCCATGTTTCCCGAGAATGCGGTGAACAAGGCCGATGGCACGCCTCGCGAGATCCTGAACACCATCAACCCGTTCGAGTCCACTGTCTATTTCCAGGGCTCGGTGCACTCCCAGTTCAACCCGGATTGCACCAACTCCACCTTCTTTGCTGCCCAGTCGGCGGAGGACTTTGGCACCGGTCAGGTGGCCCAGGAGCTCTTTGGTACTTCTGACGCCGCTGTTGCTGCTGTCTTTGGCAATGTCATCGACGGTGCTGATGTTGACAAGCTCCGTGGCTCTATCTCTGTGAATGTCGCTCTCGGTGTCGAGGAGTGCCTCAAGAAGTGTGGTATTCCCAAGAGAAAGTGAGCGACTTCGTCGCTGAAGAATGGGAGGTTAGCTTGACATGTCAATCACGATGAAGCCAGGCATCCGGGGATGAACTTGCGGGGATGGTGAAAGCATCTTAGAAGGTTGTGGTGATTGGTTTGCGGCATAGCATCAATCTGGAGTTCACATTGTGTTTGCTTTTAATCATGCGTTTTATCTTTCACATCATACCGCCGCTGTAAGCATTGCGGCGGTCTGACATGGTCACGTTCGTTAACGATAATCCAATCAAGAATATTTATTCCTTGAGCTATTCGTCCGGTAGAGGAAACTGGGAAAATTGACAGTCAAGCATGGAGTTAGTCATGTGGCGGTAGACGACAGGGGCGACCACCTCTATTCAACCAGCAGCTACGAGATGTATACTGACGAGGGAAAGACTGTAGCCACCCTCCAGTTGCGAAGTATGACGAGGACCGGAGTTCATGTTAGATCAAGGTCTGCCACTGCTGATGCAAATAGGAGGTCGAAGTGTCCGCTGATGTGCATGCTCGCCATTTCCCAGGAGCGTTGCCTCTTCATGGATCTGTTTGAGGGCCCACTAGGTAAATTGGTATTTGAATTCTTGGTAAAAATGCGATTCAAAGTATATGCAACCGCTCAATCATGGCAAGACAACATTATCTTGTAGTGTGTTTGGGGTGTTTGTCTTGAGGATTATGCCCTCTGGCTCTGCTCTAGCAGAGGTACTCTCCATACTTAAGTATGGGTGTCCAGATATGTGCACAAAAAACATTGATGAACCTATGACTATAAGATAACGGGGCCTGACATGCTCATATGCCCCATGTCTCTAGCGAAAAGACATATGTTGGTCAATGGCGATACCGCGGTCTCTCTATAACTGGCGAAGCTTCACAATGTCGCGCTCTGGTTGCCTTTTTGTTGCCTTGACCGGATCGGTACTCCACAACGCGCCACCTTGTCAGTTGTCTTGCTCCGTGCCCGCTCTGAGTTGTCCTGTTTGAGAAGTGGAGGAATTTGCGAAGGTCCCTGCAGATTTTGTCGTCGCGATAAGAAACAATTTAATCTTCACCACGCGAACCAGTCACGATTCGACTCAAGTTGACATTGACAACGCTGATCACGTACGGCTCATTCTCACATATTGAAACGCATTCGGACATTTAGGTCGAAGATCTCATTTACAAATCCAGACCAATTGTTGTTCACTTTATTATTATTCCATGCTCGGCAGCCACCGAAATATACATTTTGGCGTCTCCGCATCCTATGCTACCCCAGCTCTGCGCTGTCGTGCCTCACCTCATGGGTACTGGCTTGGCACGGTCAATATCCCCTGGAACCTCTAGCATGATTCGGTCCCATTTCCAGCACTACTGAGGGAAATAGGTTCGCCGAGGACGAGACGATAAACCATGCTGGCCCTGTTGGGCTTTCGTCGGATGGGAGGCGGCGACGTGATTCGGAATGCATTTCGAACAGCTCATCGGAAGGTTGCAAACATCCATCCCATCATCTTCACATCGGAGCCAAGCTCCTGTGGATCAATGCCAATATTTGGTTGGTACCTGCATGAAGAATTTGATCTTTGGTGACAAGCGCTGCGTGCTAATGGCGCTATACCGCTTTCACGACGAACCCCGAAGCCAAGCAGTGAGCCTATTTTCAAGCTTTCCTGTATCGCGCAACTGCACGCAACCAAACGAGATGAAGCTCATTTGCGTGCCCGAGTCCCATTGGCTGACTTCACACCCTGCCAATTCCAGATGGCCAATGGTTGCAATGGCCCACAGGGCCAAGGCTGCTCAAACTGTTCAGAGATCGACTGTTGGGACGTCGTCGTCCCTGACTCCCTGGACCAGCCCTGAACTTCCCTTGCCGCCGGAAAAAGGCCCCAAGCATGCCTCGTCTTCAATTCCCACCTCTGTTTCTTTGCTAGCTAGCCAGCAGTGTCAGTTTTGGTCTTGAGGCGCTCGGTTTGCACGTCGTTCACTACCCCCCGTGCCTTGTCACGACCACGCTCTTTACGCATTCGTTCATTTACATTCTTTTCTGTTTGCCCCCAGTCACTCCTTACCCTTCGCTTGAACGCAAGTCAGTGCAATCCAGATTGTCTGCACACTCTCTACTGCTGTCGCGTTGACTCTGCGACTCCCGCCAAGTTGAAAACCAGTCGGATTAGTCTGGGAAAACAACTCTCGGGTGGATATCGGTTTCCAAATCGGCCTGATGAAGCTCACGACGTTAGGGGTGACTGCCACCTCGGCCGTCCTCCTTTTGGCGACTGGACCATGTCTGGCGACCGCAGGACACCGGAATCATCACAAGAGACATAACCGTGGCCATACCCTCACCACGCGAGAGACGGATGTCGTGAAGGATCGATCACTTGAAACGTGCGCGTTCCCATCAGGCAAAGGATTAGTGGCCATCACTCCTGGAAGCTTGAATGAAGGTTGGGCTCTGAGTCCGGATCAGAAGTGCTCATGCGGCAGCTACTGCCCATACGCCTGCCCACCGGGCCAAGTCATGGCGCAATGGAAGCCAGGATCTAACTACGACTCCACCGATCGCATGGTAAGCCGACATGAGAGCGCGCAAGAGCACCAAGTAATAATGGTTAACACTCGATAGGCTGGTGGCCTTTATTGTGACCTTGACGGCACCCTGTCCAAGCCATTCGATAACAAGCCATTTTGCGTCGATGGTACGGGTACGGTCAAAGCGAAGAACACGGCTGGAAGCGTTGTTTCCTTCTGCCAGACAGTCCTGCCCGGCAACGAGGATATCATTATTCCGACCGAAGTATACGATGAGGCTACTCTTGCCGTTCCCGACCCCAGTTACTGGGCCAGCACCGCAGCACAGTAAGTCGTGTTCTTCCACTTACATGACAGTGGTTCTAACAACTCTAGCTACTACATCAATGCTCCCGGAGTCAGCGCCGATAAGGGCTGCCACTGGGGTGACGATTCTACCCCCATTGGGAATTGGGCGCCCTATGTCGCTGGGGCCAATACCGATGACGCAGGAATGACCTTTGTCAAGCTAGGCTTGAACCCCATCTGGCAAAGCTCTTCGTTGTTCTCCACGAAGCCAACTTTCGCCATGAAGATTGAATGTCCGAGTGCAGACTGTGTTGGACTGCCTTGCAAGATCGACGGCAACGGAGTTACGAGCGACGAGAAGGCAACTGGCGCTGGTGGTTCCGACTTTTGCGTTGTGACAGTCCCAAGCGGTGGCTCTGCTAACATTGTCGTCTATAATCTGGATGGATCCTCTGGGGACGCGGAGTCGGACGAGCCAGAAACAACTTCGGCTGCTTTGAAGATACAGGAGGTCGAAACCACCACTTCCACCCCTGAGCCATCAACGACATCGACCACTTCGACGACGTCCTCGAGTACTTCAACATCTACCACACCAACGTCTACTTCAACATCGACTACTCCTACTTCGACTTCGACGTCAACGGTCGTCTCAACAACTTCTTCGTCGAAGAAACAGAGCACTACGACTACTAGCTCCTTCTCCAAGACCAGCTCCGCCCAGAGCTCTTCATTCAGTGTGTCACCGTACCATCACGGTGGCATCTTCCAAGAAAACGGGACAGAAACCGACTCTGTGTCTCAGATCGCTTCCACCACTTCGGCGCCGACTGCAGCCACAACTAGCACAGGGGAAGCCGCACCCTCCGAGTCAGAAAAGAACGACGGTGCTGCCCAGACTCAGGGTAACGGAGCCATAGCCGGTCTAATCATTGCTCTCGTAGCTGCTGCTTGCATCCTATAGACGGCAATGATGAGCTGCGATGCAATGCCGGCGGGCAAAGATAATCTTTATTGTTCAATTCCTTTCCCAAGTACCGGGCACATGATCGACTCTGCCCCTTCAGACCCAGCCTCCGAACAGCTGGGCTTTTCGATTCGACCTGAATCTAAACGACTTGCTTTTTTGCCGCCGCCGGCCGCCAGTCCCTTCTCTGTGCCCTGAGTCCGGCACCCCTGTTTTCTGCATACATATATATATACACGGCAGCCCTGCCTGAAGGGTTTACGAAGCCCTCCAACCGAGGCTGGTTTGCACATGACGAATTTTTGCCACCCAACATAGTACACCTTATTGTCTATTGTCTACTCCTAAATCGTTGGCGTCTGGACCTCCCGGTAAGACGCCACTGAATTCTTTTGGAATACCTTTCGTTCTCAGCCTGGAGTTTTTACTCATCTTGGGACTGTACACACCTCTTCTTTTTTGCTTCTACCAATATACCCCCAATCTTGTTCTATCGCAAGTTACGGCTTTGTAGCGGCTTGAAGTATCTATACCCTTTATTTTTTTTGTACTTCTGAGCGAGCGAATGTAGTTAGTGTGGCTTCGCTGTTGGTTGGTTGGCTGCTGATGTTTGTCAAGGAGGCGAAGTTTTTTTGCGAATTCTTCGAAGCGGACGCAAGAGAGTGGATTAACTTGCAAGTATGGGAGGAGGAGATGATGATAAATAAGGCTTGGTGATCGAAGAAAGATACAACGACATGATCAAGACGAGATGAGACGACTTATTACCACTTTTCGGGAGCAGTGACCCTGGGGTTTCTGCTCTTTTTACCTTGACGGACATATGGAAAAACCGGGGGGGCGGCAACGGGTAGAATCTGGTCTTGTTCGAGGAACACCATTTGGACACTCCGCTTGGCCGATTTGTCTTCTCTCCTATATTGCGAGCCTTTTGGCCCGATTCGAATCGAAGATTGATGTTTAGAGGTTGCATGGTTTGATTCTTATTCTGCTTGATGTGACGAGTGAGCGTGTGGTGTAGACCTTGGATAGTGTTTCATGTGTCGATCGGAAAATAAAACCAATGCTGTCGATGTGAACGCTTCTCGTGAAGTTCGTCGTTATGTGTCAACATGCTCTACGTTCAAACGCCAACTCGGCACGTCTTCAATATATGGTAGCATCCTCCTGGCACACCCTTATATCCTTTTGGCTTCTCGGGCGCTGACCCTCAGTCCTGGTATATACTATTGTAATCGCGAGTGAAAGCATGGCTTCTCTCATTGGGGTTCCCTTCAACGCTACCCCTTGACCCACCCCGGAACCTTGTCCTCTCCCCTCTCCATCACCTCGACGACGGAAGGCCACCCTGCCGCCACTGCGCTTCCTTTCTGCTTAGCCCCCATGATGGCAAATCGACCCTGCGAGTGTGCCAAAAATCCGTGCAACAGCCCCTGGGCGATTAGCGACGCGACAACGCTCTCGACGTGCTCAGTTGTGACAGGCATGTTTCCCCACACCAGACCCTCGTTCGGCCGTAAGAGTTTCGGCCCACCTGGCGGCGGCGCAAGCGTGCTGTCATCGGTCCCGGTCCCGGATCCGACACTGTTGGACACAGCCTTGAGAAACATGGAGTTGATGTGTGGCTGGCGAATCTTAAGCGCTGGCTGAGCCGGTACGTAACCCTCGAGCCGCTTTTGGATGTACTGCGCTGTCTTGACGAGGTGCGAGAGCTCAAGCGTTGCTGCTTTTCGAGAGTCGGCATCTGAGGGTGCCACATATGTGAGGAGGAAGGTACGCCGGGAGAAGGCGCGCCAGAGTAGGGGGCGAAGGCGAAATGTGAGAGTTAGAAGGAGGCCTTTGCGGAACAGCCATATTTCGTGACTTTCAAGGGCGTGTTGGAAGATCAGGTAGTTGCCGGTACGTATGGCCTGAGCGAATGGGGTGAAGATTTCTGCCATTGGTTGCGCTTCAGGACGCTGAAGGAGGGCTTGCGAGGGTAAGCGACCCAAAAGGAGGTTGCAAGGTATGAGATAGGTCAATATCTGCTTCCGGTGTTTTTGAAAGCTCGGGGGTGTCTGAATATATGCTTCTTGGAGGCATTGGGCCGCGCGGGTGAAGTGGTTGTTAATGAAATGAAAGCGGCCCAAGTAATAGAGGTAGGTGACTCGCTGCGCAGCCGGGTAGAGGGACAACGGGGGGGATTTGGCCGTAATATTTGTGAATAACTGTTTTGCGAGGTGGGTCCTGCGGCACTGTTAAGGGAATTCGTAAGTTACTCGAGTCTGCCCGGCTGGTATTGGGTGAAGGTACGTACGGCGAAGAGAAGCTTCAGCGTTACATTGGCAAAGATGTAGACGCCAACTTTCTTGCCCTCTGGTTTTGCGAACCTTTGGCTCGATCGATCCGTCAAACACGTGGTGAAGATCTTCTGTATTACTTCGGCCGTGTTCTCCACCACCGACTTCTGGTCTTCCTCGCCGGCGTCCAACGCCCTCAGCTTCTTCGTGAGATCGGGTCGCTTGTTAAGCGTCATGGATAGTTTCGACAGAGAAGCACATAGTGATATACTCGTTTGTAACATGATGGTTCCGTGTGTCGGGTGGTTCAATGCAGTCGTACACGAACTGCCGGCCCATCAGTCTCATGCCTGCAACGACGAAAGGGAGGGGCCTACTTGGTCAAGGCCGTGAGCCGTTGATGTGCACCCAGGAGGTCGTCGAAGTCGACATCTCTCCAGTACTCCAGAAAGTCTTTCATGAAAGTGACGAAGCCTGGCCACGCCGTGCCTTGATCTTCTGGCAAGTCATATTCCTCGGGTAGGTAGTGCTCGAGCAGCTTGTCGAGAGACGCGCTGTGGCAATGCTTCTGCTTCAGCTCCTGGGCCAAATTTTGGTATTGGTCTGGGACTGGCGGCTCGACAACCAGCCATGATCGGAGCTTGTCGCCATCGAGATTCTTGAGAAAATCTCGAATGCTCGTTACGAACTGGACCGTCAAACCCGATTGCGCCATTGTGGTTGATCCCTTGACCTCGGATTCGGTTGACCGTGTTTGAGGTTGTCGTTCGGTCGAGTGAAGACAGCTCAGCCAAGGACCTCGAAAGGTTAATGGTAGCTCTAGAGCGCGCTCTCATAACATCACAGGCTGCCTATTGTTCCGTCGAATTGTCGCAAGCTTTCGCGTGTTGGAAGTCGCATTGCACGGGGGATTTACGGTGACCTCGGGAGCTCTGACCCATTGTAGTGGGGTGTGGTGTGGAGCGGGCTTCACAGCAAGACAAGGGTCTAGCACGCTAAAGCAAGGTCCCTGTAAGTGTATTGAAGTCGTTGAGTTTAGGGTACCTCTTACACCAATACTCAAGTTCTGGACCGAAGTGCTTCAATATTAGACATATAGCTGCGTAACATAATATCGGAAAGTTGAACGAATATTATGCCCAGCGCAGCGCTACATCAAGAGTATTGACTCGGTTGCGCTGTAATATGGAAAAGCTGCCAGCAGGACCGAGTCACATGGTGTATAAGCTATTCACGTAGTATGTATCTCTGTAGGATAGGGGAGAAATCTGGTCTGCCTTTTGAATCGAGCATACGTTGACTTTGCTCGATGCAGCAACTACAAGAATATGTCCAGCTGTCGTGGCTGTTTTCCGCTGTCTTCTATTGGACCCTTGAATGTTCTCTGCTTTGCCATCGCCGAAATAATATACACTAATAAAAGTTAATTTGATGAATACTCACAGTCTGAAAGTATGGTCAATACAGAGGAATATGCGTACTACGTGGATGTAGCCCATAACTGCGCCTTGGGGCTAGGAAGCGTAAAAGTATCCGCCAGACCTACAATGGTGCTTAGAAAAGGAATTCTCAGATTAAAGCAGCCCACTGTACTAGACCAATTCCATATTTGATCACTTGAAGAAGACCGGGTTCACCGAATACTTTGTTAGTTTTCATATTCGCATCCGCATGGAAAGTAAAGCTAACATCAGTAACGACTAAGATGACAGAGGCACTATTAGATGGGGACTGCTTATGAGGTATAATGCTAAATTTCTTGGGGCAGAAGGCTCTTGCAAATTGACTTTGAAGTCGGCGTGGTAGAATTACCAAGCTATAACCATTCTCCGAAACATGTTCACCACTGTTCCCTCGCCAGGATAAACATAGCAAGCTGCCTTTCCACCATACCACCTTCACCACCGTCGTCCGACGACTCAACGACACCACGCCAACAAACAGCACAGTCCCAGACAGCGGCACCACCAACCATCCAGGCCTCGCTCCAACGCGAACCCCCTGCCCTAACGAAGCGATGACATCTTTCGACATCAGCCAAAGCTCCTTCCAATCCGACTGGCTCCCCGTCATCATCGCCCTGTTCATCTTCTTCTTCGTCTGCAGCATATTCTTCTCCGTCATTTTCCTCAACGGCAGCAAACTGCGCAACATCGGAGTCCCTAGGCAAGCCCTAACGTTTCAGAGCCACGTAGCCCTCTGTATCGCCGGCATACTGGTCTACTTCCTCGCCATGCCCATCATATTCGTGTGGACGATTGTGACCAAACTTGCGCAGATTTTGCGCGTACTTATGTACATGCAGAAGTGGCAGCCGAGCAAGGCGCTGGCTGATGATCCCCTTGCGTTCGAGGGCCCTGTTTGGAATCCTCTTTGGTTCTGGGACAAGGTATTTGGGGCGATTGTACTCTTTGCTTTTAATCATGGGACCGTTGCTATTAAGAATGAAGGAAGCCCACTTCCAGGCCCGGGCGGGCCGGCTTCCTGAGGTTCTGGACGTTTAAGGGAGACATCGGTCTCACTATGGAAAGGGGACAATACCGGTCGTGGTGAGGTTAGGTCAGCTTGTGTTTCCTAGATCAACTGATGCAAATATTCAAGCCTGCATTCCTCAAAAAGGTTGGCAAGTAGACGGCAAAATACACGGCGCACTGAGGGAAATTAACGCCTTATGCCGGGTATTCTACACTGGGATGTTGAACTAGCCCATGTTACACCCTGGTGCGCCGTTTATTCTGTCGCCGCTTCAATTCAAAATATGGGCGCCTCCGATTATTCGTGGCACTCCCATGTCACTTCTATTCGACTTAAAGGCACTATGGCAGGAACACATCCAAATATAAAGACTAAAGTCGACCGTTAGTAGAATCAATGAGCGTACAATTTATAGCGGAAACTGACCTTGATAAACCCGACAACTACCTATGACTTCTTGAACTTTCTGTGACGGATAGCCGTGCTTTCGTCCTGTCTGGAAACTGCGGTTGCCATTAATAATCGAGTGCCATCGTAGTCTGTACCTTTTTCAATAAAGCTATCCAAAACTGTTGCTCCCATTATCTTTACCAGCTTGTTCGACTAGGCCGCCAGGGCGTGCGAGGGTACAAGCGTACCAAGTGACACGTCCCTACGCTTCTGTTTTTGTATGCCCAATTTTGAGAATATTGGAAGTGTAAATTTTATTCAGTTGTAAGTTGTATTGCGGGGTAGTAGTTTTCCACTCATACAGACTCGATCCGTTGCACGACGATAGCCGTTGCCGCACCACCTCCATTGCAAATAGCAGCAACCCCGTACTCTCCAGGCTTGAGTTGATGGAGCAAGGTTGTGAGTATACGGGAGCCGGAACTTCCCAAGGCGTGCCCTAGTGAGATAGCACCTCCAAGCGGGTTGACCTTGGCGCTTTTGAGGCCCAGAATCTGCAACATGGTCAGCATCACCCGCTGTCTAGACCGTCTTTACAGTATACCTTTTCGTTAGCCTTGATGACGGCTGCAAAGGCTTCATTGAACTCCCAAATGGCGACCTGGTCTTTTGTAATACCAGCGCGTTTGAGAGCGATTGGAACGGCCTTAGCCGGCGTAACAGGGAAGTCGATGGGGTCCATCGCCGCATCTGCGGCGCCACATATCCGTGCCAACACTCTGGACCCACCACCGTACTGCTGAGCGATCGCTTTGCTACCCAGAACCAAAGCACTGGCACCGTCGTTCAGAGTGGACGAGTTGGCTGCAGTCACCGTACCAGTGCCGTCCCGGATGAACGCTGGCTTCAGGGTGGGGACCTTGTCGAACTTGACATCCAAGTACCCTTCATCAGTATCAATGACGGTCTCGCCCTTCCGTCCTTTCACTGTGACCGGGGCGATCTCCTCGGCAAAAGCCTTCGCTTTCCACGCAGCTTGTGCGCGCTCGTACGACTGGATTGCATACTGGTCCTGCATTTCTCTAGTAATTTCGTGCTTCTTGGCCGTCGTCTCGGCACAAATGCCCATGTGGATTTGGTCGTACACGTCCGTCAAGCCATCCTTGAGCAGTCCATCCTCCATTTTGACATGGCCAAATGGGGGCAGGCCACTCGCTCGTGGCACGTAATATGGCACCTGTGACATGCTCTCCATTCCACCAGCAATCTGGGCCTCACTCAATCCGAGCTGGATGTTCTGCGCCGCAAAAACGACTGCCTTCAAGCCGGAGGCGCACACCTTGTTGATCGTTATAGCTTCCACGGATGCGGGCAGACCCGCAAAGATGGCTGCTTGTCTGGCAGGAGCTTGTCCAATATTGCCCTGTAATACATTGCCCATATAGACGTCTGTGATCTTCTCGACAGGAACTTTGGACTTTTCGAGGGCCGACTTGATGGCGACTGCGCCTAGTCTCGGGGCAGAAACCGTGACGAAGGAGCCATTAAACTGGGTTAAGCATTAGTAGAGCCGCATTGAACACTAGAGACTGTGTGTAACCATACTTTCGCAGTTGGTGTCCTCGAGGCACTCAGAATGTAAGCATCTCGAACCTCCTGCCGAAGCGTAGCCTGTGCTGAGAACTGGCGGGTAGAGAGATGCCTGTACCTGCAAAGGGAGGCTCTAACAGTTGTCCTTGCGTATTGTAGAACCATTGTGACGAAATAAACGAGAGATATTGGAAACAGATATTCTTGTAATCACTGCAGCACTGGTTCAAGATAAGAAGTTAATGGGAATAAAGCTAGATAATTGTTCCAAGGCACTGATGTCGAGGCGAGAGTTCGGCTTAAGGTGGTCACAGGGGAATGTGACCCGACCCCAAGCTCGGCTCAAGCATGTGGGATTCAAGTCACATCTAGCGGTGCATCTAGGTGGAATAACTAGGTTATACCGGGTCCACTTCACTGGAATACCGAGCTACCCTATTCATTATTTGACGCTATTCCACCCTGCCGCACCGCTTATTTGTCACCTACTACGTACTTGCATGTGGAATCTGGGGTTACAGACTCGATGTTCCGTGCCGGTCCCGTCAGCATTCCGCAACCGCGACGTGTAATACATCAACCAGGCTACTGGTGGTGAGTAGCCTGCACAAAACTTGACAAAGTGAACACTATGTTTTCTTACCCAACTATTGACACTTCCTCGTACTTGCCAAATAGGCAAACAATGAATCTCAGGTCCAGACAACTTTTCACTGTCAAAGTGTGAATGGGTGGTTTGTAATGTGAAGTCCACGCCGCTTATATTGTGAAATAAATGGCTCAATTAATTATGATGCACGTGATAGCGGGTGAGCTACCTTACCTAGGACCGTCATTGCTTATCTTATCAAGGAGATGCTTTCGCCCGAACGTACCTTACTTCGTGCTTGCCTACCTCATGAATCAACGGCTCGGGAGCCCACGAGACGACAGATACCATCATCAAACCCTAGGCACGTCTTAGTACTAACCCAGCACCAAAACACGCGCCTCAAGAGAACCTCCTCTTATTGTCTCGCCAAATCATTTCATCATGTCCACCGCTGCCCGTCGTCGTTTGATGCGTGACTTCAAGGTAGGCTTGACTTCCCCGCCACCCCAAACAAGTCTAACAGGAAAATGCAGCGCATGCAAACTGATCCTCCTGCTGGTGTCTCTGCATCTCCAGTTCCCGATAACGTGATGACTTGGTACGTGCAAGACCTACAGGCGTCTCCGTGTTTGGAAGGATTAAGAATTGACTCCGGTGGTTCCGTAGGAACGCTGTCATTATAGGGCCAGCCGACACGCCCTTCGAGGATGGCACATTCAGATTGGTGATGCATTTTGAGGAACAATACCCCAACAAGCCACCAGCCGTCAAGTTCATTAGCCAGATGTTCCACCCCAATGTCTATGCCACCGGAGAGCTCTGCCTGGATATTCTACAGAACCGCTGGAGCCCGACGTATGATGTTGCTGCCATCTTGACGAGCATCCAGAGGTAACATTAGCCGCTCCATGGCTTCGAGCCACGACTGACCTGTACCGCATCGTAGCCTCCTTAACGATCCCAATACCGGCTCTCCCGCAAACGTCGAGGCATCTAATCTATACAAAGACAATCGGAAGGAGTACACCAAGAGGGTTCGGGAGACAGTTGAGAAGAGCTGGGATGACTAAGTGACTCTCCGCGGAGCATCGTGATCAACACAAATCACCGTACCATGGATCACCGTCCCGACGACTCACCGGCAAGGGCTGTATACGCACGACATAAATAGAAATTCTTGAGACTTGCTAATGGGGTTTGGTAGTAGGCGTTGGGTCTAGTGCTTCGGAATACCAGGACGATTTCCTCTCAATGTTTGGCAGTGCTGCCTAGCAGCTGAGACACCCTGCAGCCCCAAGAAGAACACCCCTCATCCCATAGAGGATGTGTAGTGTACTTCGTGGAGGTGGCAGGGTCTCTACGTTTCCGTTCAATGTGTTTGATGGCCTCGTTTGTTTTCAGTGGTTGGGGACTTGCATAGCTGATGGCGTTCTCAAACTGTAGTAGCACTTGTTTCGTAGATTGAGAGCGGGGTAAAATGATGATCATTAACAAGACGGCATGAGGCAGTTGCCTGACTCAAGTGTTGATGATACTCGAAGTTTCCCGTGAAAGTTTGCCTTGAATGGACTCGTCGTTGACTCTGATTGGACACAGCCTGTGGGCCACAGTCTTTCAACTGCATGATTCTGGGATTTCAGGGAAATAAACCATGAAGACTTCCTAATAACAAACTCTTATTCCCCATAGTGCGGCCCAGCTTCTTACAGATTTCTCACGAGGGTAATAAGTGGTTGTTGTCGAATTTTTGGCGGCATTGACATTCTAAATTACACGTTGGGTGCTTCTCAGCTCCCATTCGCTTCTGAAACCATAGCGCCATATCCTTGCCCCCTCATTCAGACCTGCATCTGCCAAACTCCCAAGGTTCCCCTTATCGGCCCAGGCACGAATTTCCCAGCTCGACCGACCACAACCTGACGCACGCACGCCTTCCCGCCATTTCACATATGCAAATGCAAGTGCGAGCACTTGACGCGACTCCAACAAACCCTTGAAATACCGTTGCGGCACAACACTCGATATATTTTTTTTTTCTTTACTGACCTTCTCGCCGGTTTGTCGGCCGAGTTGAGTCACCCGTTGACTATTCCGGTCCGGCGTTGGCCCGCTCCTATGTTTTGTTGCCAGTCCTGCTGCTTCTGCTGCTGCGCATAACCGTTTCAAGATTGCCGCAGCCGAAGGGCAAACGTCATCATGTCGGGCGCGAATAGCATCAAGGTCGTTGCCCGTTTCCGGCCACAGAACAAAGTCGAACTCGCATCGGGCGGTCAGCCCATCGTGAAATTCGATGGCGACGACACTTGTGCCATCACTGTACGCTTGGAATACCGCTACACCACGATGACCAACACAGACTAACCGTGCGTTCCTTCTAGTCTGCCGAGGCGCAAGGGAGCTTCACATTCGATCGTGTTTTTGACATGAAAACGGCACAATCCGACATTTTCGATTACTCTATCAAACCCACGGTAGACGATATCCTCAACGGATACAATGGAACGGTGTTCGCGTACGGTCAGACGGGTGCAGGAAAGTCGTACACCATGATGGGAACTAGTATAGAGGACGATGAAGGCAAGGGTGTTACCCCGCGAATCGTCGAACAAATTTTCAGCAGCATTATGTCCAGTCCCGGCACCATCGAATACACGGTACGAGTCAGCTACATGGAAATCTATATGGAACGTATCCGAGATCTGCTGCAGCCCCAGAACGACAACCTGCCCGTACACGAGGAGAAGAACAGGGGTGTATACGTCAAGGGTCTGCTGGAGATTTACGTCTCCAGTGTACAGGAAGTTTTCGAGGTCATGCGGAGGGGAGGAAACGCCAGGGCGGTCGCCGCAACTAACATGAACCAGGAATCCTCTCGCTCGCACTCCATTTTCGTTATTACCATCACGCAGAAGAATGTCGAGACGGGTTCGGCCAAAAGTGGCCAGCTCTTCCTGGTGGATCTGGCTGGCAGTGAAAAAGTTGGCAAGACCGGTGCGAGTGGGCAGACGTTGGAAGAGGCAAAGAAGATCAACAAGAGTTTGAGTGCTTTGGGCATGGTCATCAATGCTCTGACCGACGGCAGATCCTCTCACATCCCGTATCGAGACTCGAAACTGACAAGAATATTACAAGAGTCTCTGGGAGGTAACAGCAGAACGACACTCATCATTAACTGTTCACCCAGTAGTTACAACGATGCCGAGACGCTGAGCACTTTGCGCTTCGGTATGCGGGCCAAGTCGATCAAGAACAAGGCCAAGGTCAATGCCGAACTCAGCCCAGCAGAGCTCAAGGCCATGCTCAAGAAGGCACAGACCAGCATGTCTACTTTCGAAAACTATATCTCCAATTTGGAAGGCGAAATTCAGTTATGGCGTGCTGGCGAGGCTGTGCCTAAGGAGCGGTGGACACCAGCCATGTCGGAAGGCGTGGTGGCTACCAAGGCGGATGCGAGACCCGCGCGGCCGTCGACACCATCGCGACTGATAACGGACAGCCGGTCAGAAACCCCGGCTTTGACTGAGCGGGCTGGTACTCCTGGCATACCTCTGGATAAGGACGAGAGAGAGGAGTTCCTCCGAAGAGAGAACGAGCTACAGGACCAACTTTCCGAGAAGGAGTCGCAAGTTGTGGCTGCCGAGAAGTCTCTCGCCGAATCCAAGGACGAGCTTAGCTTCCTCAAGGAACATGACAGCAAACTCGGGAAGGAGAACGAGAAACTCACGACGGAGGTCAACGAGGCCAAGATGCAACTTGAGCGCATAGCCTTTGAGAGCAAGGAGGCTCAGATAACGATGGACGCCCTCAAAGAAGCTAATTCTGAACTCACCACCGAGTTGGATGAGGTCAAGCAGCAGCTCCTCGATGTAAAGATGAGTGCCAAAGAGACGAGTGCCGTTCTAGACGAGAAGGAGAAGAAGAAGGCAGAGAAGATGGCTAAGATGATGGCTGGCTTCGACTTGGGCGGTGACGTCTTCAGTGAAAACGAGCGGACCATCGCACAAGCGATCCAACACGTCGAGGCGTTGTATGAGCAAAGCTCCGCCGGCGATCCTATCCCGCCGGATGACATCTCGGACCTCAAGGCCAGGCTGGTCGAAACCCAAGGGATCATTAGACAAGCCGAACTGTCTCTCTACAGTGGCATTTCGAGCGATTCGGACGCTCGACGAAGACAGGAACTAGAAACGCGCCTGGAAGTCATGCAACGTGACTACGAGGAGCTGTTGACACGAAATTTGAGCGATGCTGATGTGGAAGAGGTTAAAGAGCGCCTCAAGGAGGCGTATGCCAACAAGCAAACGACGCAGATGGAGCTGGTCGACGAGTTGAAGGCGGACATCGCCCAGAAGGCAGCCGAGAATGCACGCATGAAGACCCTCATCGACGATCTCCAGATCCGCATTAAGTCTGGCGCAGTTGCAGCTCCTGGTCTCGCTAACGGCAAGACGATCCAACAGCAGATCGCTGAGTTTGACGTTATGAAGAAGAGCTTGATGCGTGATTTGCAGAACCGATGTGAACGCGTGGTTGAGCTTGAGATCAGCCTCGACGAGACGCGTGAGCAGTACAACAACGTGCTACGTTCCTCCAACAACCGTGCTCAGCAGAAGAAGATGGCCTTCCTCGAGCGCAACCTCGAGCAGCTTACTCAGGTACAGCGTCAACTCGTTGAGCAGAACGGCGCGTTGAAGAAGGAGGTCGCCATCGCGGAGCGTAAATTAATTGCGCGCAATGAGCGCATCCAGAGCTTGGAGAGCTTGTTGCAGGACAGCCAGGAGAAGCTCACAGCTGCCAACCATAGGTTTGTGCCCCTTTTATTTGATACGAACGCTCAAAACTGGTTGGCTAACGGGAACAACAGATTCGAGTCCCAACTCACAGCCGTCAAGGAGCGCCTCGAAGCCGCCAAGGCAGGTTCGACTCGTGGTCTCAACTCGCCGACCGGCAATGGAGGCTTTAGCTTCGGCAGCCGCATTGCCAAGCCGCTGCGTGGCGGAGGCGAGGCTGCCCCAGCTCAAGTTCCCACCATCACGAACCTCCAGAACGAGAGTGGGGCTGGTAATAAGAGAAGCAGCTGGTTCTTCCAGAAGTCGTAGGTCGACGGAGCTTCTGACGAGAAAATATCGTTTACTAGACCAAAAGACCGAGAGGTACCGCCGCCGTGGCATCGATAGAAGAGGATCTTGTGCTGTTGCCTCTAGTGAATTATCCTTTCGTGGCTTCAGTCTGAATATACTTTCACCACGAATATCGGGAGACTTTGTGGAGGGAAGATGGGGAACCCAGGATTATACCCTACGAACTTCCGTTTTTTTCTTGCTCTCTCTTTTGTTTGTCGACTTGTAACGTCGGGAACCGCGGAGGTGGGAAGCATGCGGTGAAGCAAGCTGGAAAGAACACTTGCAGTCTCTAAGCTAGAGCGCTATTGGATTTCTCTGCGCGGGCTTGGCATTGACAGGCTGTGGACAAGCAAGCCACTCATTCACTGATCAACTGACTGAACCTGGTCCAGCCGATTGATGGATGAGGATGAAGAATGAGGAATTTGACTGGGCCAACAGATGAATATGGGACATGCGATATGCCTTTTCTCTCTTTGTTCTTCACGCTTTGAATGGCTGCATAACACATTGGGGGAAGGGCGTTTGCGTTTCTGCAGCGTAGACGCGAGTCGTAACTCACGCGCTCACATGGTGATGGTAGCGGGCCCGACTGGCTGCCGGTATCGTCGTTATTCGTAGATGGTCATAGACAGAGAGGCAGACAAATAACAGACAGCTTGGCTCCGAGAGGCCTTTGGACCTACAGTCCTTCTATCAAGTGATAAAGTCTCTTAAACTTACTTATTCTCGGTGAACCACCTTGCCGGAGTATCGACTTTGCGCAGATGAGGGACGGTGGCATAACGATGTCTACTGTAGCTGTCTACGAAATCCTCTTGACTTTAAAATAGGACCGAGAACGTGACAAGTGCACACACAACATGAAACTTGATGTTGCAATTCGAGTAGCAGGGAGTCTTGATAATGCAATATCTGATACGAAAATATCTCAATGCTTCAAACTAATACATGTCCCTAGAAACGCGAGGTTTCCTTTTTGGGTACCATCATGTCGTGATTCGTATAAACATATGCCATCGCCATCCACCAACTTCCCCAGCCCATGTAATGTTGGTAAAACCTCAAGAGTAGCCGAGTTTCCGCCTTCGCTCGTAGTGACACTGGTCTTCCAAGGTCTGGGTGGCCAGCTGCTCTCGTTGTTCTCGCCGTTCCACGCAAGCATGATAACATCTTCATTCGCACCCTGAAAGTAAACATCTCCTCGCTGTCTCAAGATTCGGGGTGATTTTCGAGTTACCGTCTTCGTCATCTTCTGAACGGTGGCTGGCGACAGACGTTTGGGTGGTCTCTGTCGGATTGCTTAGGTTTCATAGGTGAGCAAAGTACATATAAGTGCGGCGGCCTGTGATCATTTGCTTCGTGGGCGAATTGTCGTTCTTGTAAAACTGACATCCGACCATGCCATTCGCAGTATGTTGGCTGAATTGCTGTGGAGCTGTGCTGAGCATGCCGTATTGTCCTTCGCCCTCTACTGCGGTTGGATCAATTTGTTGTTTTTTGAGGGGTTATTGCTAGTCGCAGAACGCAGGCACGCCAGAGTAGACAGCAAGCAATACGCCACAGTGTGAAGATGTAAAGGCCCAATACCTTCAGATCGTCCAGAGGGTTCCAAGCGCGAGAAATGCAGAACCAGCCAAGACACCCCACAGTGCAGCTGCAATGGAAGGCAACTTCTTGATCGTACAATTGGCCTTCGTTCCTCATGCGAATCATCCATCCATCCGAAGACTCGTAGTTGTGTAGGCCCTTTGCCAGGACTCCGCCTGGAACAGCGTCCGCCTAGAACAGCTTCAAGTTGGTGCGTTGCTGCAGCCTCGATCCGTTGAGCATGGCTCTCGATTTCTTGGGCCTCGCCTGTAGGCGCCGGAAACCCTCCTGGATGTGTCTCGACTCCACCGGCGTCTTGCCCTCACTAGGCGGGTCGAACAGCCCGGCAAGCTGGGCCAGCTTGCGCTTTTTGTTGCCCGAGGCCTCGCCTCCCGTGCGTTCCCTCTCCAAATCCTCATGCTCCTTGATCTTGAGCGCCTCCTCGGTGAGCGTCTGTACCATTTCGAAGGTCAAGAAACCCAAGATATCCACAATATCGTCCGACGGCTTGCTGTCCGTCACAATGCCGAAGCCGGCCCATTCCCTGAATCGCTTCCCCTTCCGGTAGGTGAAGGAAGCCTGTCGGTACTCGGACCAGGTGACGTACTCCTCACGCGTCATGGCCTTGGTGCGCTCGTCGGCCTTGCGCAGGCGCTGTAGGGTGATGAAGTTCATCTCCTCCTCTTCCTCGTCCTCCTCATCGTCGCGCTCGGGTACCTCCTGGCTGTAGAAGGAAGAAGGCTCCCAGGGCAACTTGACCTTGGCCTTCTTGTTCTTCTTGGCCGCCTCCTCAACGGGGCCACCGCCTGGCATCACGCCCCCTGCGTCGTCGCCCACGCCTACTTCCGCCTCGCCGCCCTTCTCGTCCGAGTCGCGTGCGCTCTTACGCACGTCCTTCCACGACAGGAAGGTGCGCAGGCGAGACACCTTGGGAGCGTCGTCGCGGATCTGGAAGATGAGGTCGTTGATGGTGATGGAACGGGCGCCCCGCCGTGCTGCCAGCTCGGTGCAGTTGCGTAGCATTTCAATAACTTGACCCCGAACGATCTCCTCAATCATGGACGTCGTTTCGACGGATGGCTCTCCGGTTTCACCAGAGACGTACATCATCTGCTGGATCTCCTGCCGGTACTTGTGCTGTTTGCTGTCCGCCATCTTGGATACACGTCTTAATATCTCCCTCGGCGAATTTGGCAAACGAAATAATAACCAATGTTTGCTATGTTTGGGCACAGTTGAAAGAAATAATAGAGCAAACAAGGAGCGAAACGAGGCAACTTCGACAAGTGTCGAGCGAACTCCGAGGCTCCTGAACGTCGCTGTCGCCCACGATCTGAACGTGATTGATTCCCGTGATGGGTCTGCCCCACTAAACCTTGGGAAATGAAGCTTCGACAGCCAATGCGCTATGGGCCAGCCCCGGTATGTGGAATCCCCCGTTTTGACGGAATCATATGCACAGATCAAACGACAGATCCGTACTGCGATTTCCCCATTGCTTATGGATGTTTATCCGCTCTGGCATCGAAACATGGTCACGAAACATTTGCATAGTTTTCTAAGGCTTGGAAAGTGGCTCTGCATACGTAGTAATAGGAAATGAGTCCGGTATAGTGCTCCATCCGATCTGTTGGACTTGGACTTGGCTCCAGGCAAGGCACGTATTCTGTTTATCCGGGCAATCGCATTCTCATCACGATGTTTCCTTGATTCCTTGTTGAGTTATTGATGCCCAAAGGCGCATTAGGATATGGATATTAAGCCTCGTCACCTGTACCAGTTACAGGCCTTCGAGACCATCTAAGCCCGGGCCTCTCCAACCCCAAGAAACGAGATAGTGACCAGCTAGGAGACCCCACTCCTCGACTTCGTCCAGCCCTTCCAAGTCGTTTACTCGCTCCTTTTCCTCGGGCAAGACCCACGACCTCCATGCCTCGGCGATCGTCAGGTTCCTCACGACATCAAAGCCTGCCTCCACAAGGCGCGCCTTCTGGTGACTCTGATCTTTGTAGACCTGCAATGTGGGCATGCGTATCCGACGTGCAGCCAGGTTGGACACCATCTGCTTACCGAATGAATCATCCGGCTTGATGGGCTCGTATATGACGATGCACAAGCTCGCGATCTTGGTTGTGAAGTGCTCAATGACTTGCTTCGCGTCCGCCGCCTCCAAGTAGCAGAGACAACATTCGGAAATTAGCAATGTTGGCACATCGAACCGCATTCCCTTCAGGCCAGGTGTGTTGGGGTGTAACAGATCTCTCAGGTCCAGCCCATGGCAATAATACTCACAACCGTTTGGAAGATTTTGATTACCCCAAGTGTTGTCCACGGCTTCTCGATTTGTGATGACTTTGCTTAAAGCTGGGTTTGCCCCCACAATTCGCAGCTTCTTGGCTGATATCGTGGGGAAATCCACCTCGTGGTAGATGAGTCCCGACATCTCAGGCTGCGACAAGAGCCGGAAACATCTCGTGTCTGTGCCAGCACCCAGAGAGACGATTTGTCGCTTCTGGCCGCCCGTCGAGGACAGGAAGGAAGTGATCAGCCGGTCCAGCGACGTGGTCCGCGTGTAAGTCCCTACCTTGCAGCTTAGCACGCGCCGCGACGACGACTCGACTTGCAAAAATATCGCTTCTCACCTCGGTTGATGATGGGCAGTCTCCGCGTCGGCGGGCCGACCGTCGGGGTCTGGACAAAGTACTTCGCGAATGGGTCATCCAGGTAGCCAAGGTCGACAGCGCTCAACCGCGAGACGGATGCATCTATGTCCGTGCCTTGGACGGTGGCATCGTGGGTTGGGCCCGGTGCATCAGGGAAGCCACCTCGTTCGCGACCACGACCTCGAAGGCCTCCTCTGGAACCTCGAAGCGAGAGGAGGTTGGGTATCGTCGGAGCCGACATGGAAAGATGCTCCAGGTCATCGACGAGGTTCAACGAATAATTCACTGTGGACGGCCGGGTGTTTCCACAGAGGCATGGGTCGATGATATACAATGGTAAGGGCTAGACGGCTTGAACCATGGTGGGGTCGGGTTGGCGGGAAAGTTTGTCAATGTAACGGGGTTGGTGGGCGAAGCTTGGCGTCTTGAAATAGAACATTGATGAACCTCGGACGCCTCGACACCTGAAAGCTAAGTCCATCTTCGCAATTTATGGTTTAGGATCATTAGAATTCAGTGCTGATGTTTTGCATCCTCCCTTCCGACATGATTTGGGAAGGAACAGTTCGAATGGTGTGTTGCGAAGCTGACCACATAATGTCTCCGAGGACACCAGTGACGCCACAGCGCCAATGGGCACGTAGACGCGTACAAAACCGCGTGGGGCCAATATATTGGGCACTTTACGAACATCGTCATACACGTTGCCAGATTACCAGCAACACACCATGCATTTCTCAGCACTGTAGTGCGTCTTCCCTGTGTCGACCATTCATGGCGTCTTCAGCCAAAGTTTGCTGGACATGATCCGTATTCCTCCGATAAGCCCAAGCCATCTGTTTACCTTCTGCCTGCTTCAAGTCAGTCCAGCCTGGCGGGGCGAGTTTGTCTGGCGACTGCAGGGATCAATCAGTATTGATATTCTGCCTCAGGCTGCAGACAGGGCAGATTGAAAACCCCGTGAGAACGGCTTATTGGTAATGTGGTTGCAGATGTGAAGCTCAGCGAGGCAGTGTAGTGTGTTGCCTATTGATGCTTGACGCTTGGCCCCAGTAAGACGGCTGACAGGGGATCCGATTCACCAAACATCTACCAAGAGTCAGTCCAAGACGATCCTTCGCCTCAGGTCTCGTTTAAAACACCACTTCAGCCGCTCCTTTCCTCCAACTTCCTTAATTCCCTTTCTTGATTTGCTCCGCCCATTCCATCATTCACCCTCGGAATTATTTTGGAAGCCTTCACCATTCATTTTTTCTCCAACCTGTCGACATCTTCTCTTGTCAATACGACAAACTAACCATTCGAATCCGAATCGACGCAACATGTATCGCGACATCGCCACCGCGGTTTACAAGCGGGGAGTAGACAATGTCAGCGCCCGTGAACTCCCTAGCTGGGCCTTCTTCGTATTTTTCCTCGACCTTCTCGTCTTCCTCCCTATGTTCGTTGTGCTCGGTTACACCCTCAACAATGTCTATCCTGTGCTCGCCATGATCGAAGACCCGTCGCCTCCGGCTTACGAGCCCGTCTCCCTAAACGGCGACGACGATAACGAATCCCTTGCCGAAGATGCTGCGCCCCTCGCCGACGAGGCAGCCCGCGGCGGTTCAGAACGATATGGCCAGACCCGCGCCGTCACCTCGAGCTTCCGCTCCATTCACCGTACGCTCTGGAATATTGCCGGCTTGAAGTCCTATTTTCGTGGTCTTGCTTGCTGGATCGCCCTCACTGTTAGCACCCTGTTCGTCTTCGCCATCGTCAGCACGATCCCCTTTGTGCCTTCCATCTTCGCCGCCATGATCTCTGCGATGGCCCTGGTTCAGCTCTACACAGCCTGGTTGCACATCGTCATCTCAGCTCCGTCGACCAAGCACTTCTGGCAACGCCTGCCAACTTTTAAGAAGGCATTCCAGGCCACCGCCCTCCCGACCGTCCTCTACTTCGTCGCCTTGGAGATCCAACAGACCGTCCCAAGGTTCATTGCGCGCGCCATGGGCATGAGCGTCTGGGACTCGACGACGCCTGACGTCATCCCGAAACCCCAGGCCAGCGACAGCTGGAAGGCTCTTCTTGTTTTCATCATCTCCATCTCCCTAACCATATTCTTGGCTATCCCCGCCCACGTCGTCCTCACTCGCGTCCAGGCCTCTCTGCTGCCCGAGGAAGACGAGACTATCGTGCCTTTCGACCGCTCATTCCAGGGAAAGATGGAGCCGGCTATCGTTGGTGGACGTGGCTTTGTGACTGTCATGGACGCATGGAAGACCTTCTCTCGCGCATCATGGATCAGACTCGTCAAGCTGTATCTCAAGATCTTCCTGGCCGGTCTGGCTGTGTCGGCCGTCTGCGTGCTCGTCCTGGCACCTGAGATGTTCATCATTATGAGGCACAGCCAGAAGTCCGAATAAGGGTACAATGCTGGAGCGTCTGTTAAATATTGTATCTATACCGTCCTGATGTGTAGGAGGCTGTGGGCTGGCTTCTGGCTGGATTGGAGATGGACTGGTGTCTGGGCGTCACAAATCTTCTGAATTCAACGCAGATCAAAAGAGGCCACAATCCCGCGGTGATTCACGAAAGCAGGGTTGGTTGTAGTGCTCGATGCTGGACCAACCGCTGCACACTTGAATTATATAACAAACTACAACAAACTGAATTTCATTTATATCGTTACCGATGATCAAATAGAAAACATAGTTCACTACGCCTTGCTACAGACCAACTCTGTCAAGAATAAGTAATATTTTGAAATCTGCAAGGTCTCGGTGGTACGGTTGCTGACCATGTAATCCCAATTTCCAAGATCCACCCCTTTACTTGCGTAGGTCAACTGATTTATCCAACATTCAAGCCTTGCAATTGATGTTCATATGCTGAAAATCCGGATAGCAGACTATGCTCACCTTTTGGATTGAGGTTGCTTGTCTAACTTACAAAGTCACTCATATAGAGCTACTCACACATTTTCTGAAAAATCGTCTTTCATTCATCATGCATCGTAATCTATGGACTTCGCTATTAATTTTATTTGATGCAGTCGATAAGACTGAGAAGCGGAAATGTTCGCCCCATTTACACATTCCAAGTCTGCGCATTCCGCAGCACGGCTTTCCCCTTGACATTGGCCGTGTTAGCCCTCCTCAACCTTTCGAAATCCTCTTCCATTCTCTTCGTCCTAACTCGTTGTAGACTCATAGGCAAATCATCCATCAACATCGCACTCTCATCCGAATCCGAATCCACCGCCGCATCACCGCCCCCAGTCCTGAACCCAAAACTATTGCGCCGCGGCCTGACTGCCGCACCGTGCGAGTTAGCCTTCCGAAGCGAAAACCCCCTCCTCTTGCGCATACTGCCCCAGCCTTTTCTCTCCATCTTCTCCGCCGTGGCCCCTTGCTGCTGTTCTGCCTCCGCAGTGCTGGCTGCTTCCTGCTCTCGGGCCCTGATCTTCTTGACGTACTCGTCGAGCTTGGGTCTCTCGAGCATGCCGCTACGGAACGCGTTGACGCCGACGAGCAGTTTAGCTAGGTCAACGAGCTCCTCGAGGTACTCGATGATTTCCATCATGCCCGCGGCGCCCGCATTCCACGAGAGGAGATTTTGTTTGGTGAAAGATTTGAGCATGTGTGCCTGGATAGGTACGGAGCCCCGCCGCAGGTCTTTGGTAGACATGAAGCTCGCGGCACGGCTGCCAGGAGCGGACTCCGCCTTGGCCAGCATGAGTTCTCTGACTCTGGCAATATATCGAAGCTGGGCTACTCGACTCGAGGGAAGGAACTGCGGAAGTGGCAGCCTGGTTGTGAGTGCTTCATGGACCGCGAATAGTGTAAGCGTTATGCTGGCGGCTACATTCCGGCGATAGGGGAGAACCTCTTCGTGGAGTTCCTCTAATACACTGCTCCCATACGTCTTACGCATATGCATTATGTTATCCATTCGATCGATAATCTGAAAAAGAACGTAGATGATTTCGTTATATATCAAGGCTTGCCCCTTAAAACTGCCTTTGAGCCGTGGCTCAGTCAACGTAAACGGTGCAAAGGTCCTCGCTGCTCCGAGGGCCGCCTCCGCTTTCTCCTTTGCGTGAATGAAACTTGTGTGGACAATATATGAGTTGATGTCGAAAGTTTTGGGGCTGTCAATGCCGACAGCAACCGATGCTTCCATGTTTGATATTTGCTGGATCCCAGATGCGAGGGATTCAACAAGCCGGTCTCGTGCCCGGACGGGAAATAGGGTCATTTCAACCAGAAGAGCAACAGTGCCCCCTATAAGGAAGCAAACAAGCCGCTTCACAAAAACTTCCCAAGGGTAGGTATCTGGCTGGAGTATACTAGCTGTAATTGATATCAGCGAGGTATCAAACTATGAGCACCATATTATTGAGCTTACCTAGAGCAACAACAGACATGCTAACAATGGAAATAATGCCAGTCTTAACATATTTTGTCCCCAAGTGTACGTATGAAGAGGGAATGATTCCGAGGAAAAGTATGACCACGGCAACAATGCGATTACCTCCTCCGATCAAATATGCCAGAAACCCCCAGACGCAGCCAGTGATCACCCCAAAGGCTCGGAGGAAGAAGCCTTGGAAAGACGTCCCTACGGAGACTTCAAAGACGATAATGAGTTGCAGGGAAGCCCACTACAGCAACGTGAGGAGTCAGCTTACTACTTTCGAAGATGTAAACAACGGATTTGCGATCATTGTCATATATCTCCAGGGCACAGCCTCCTATCTCAGCTTGATCGGATAGTTTCTGCCCAGAAGACAGACCAAAAGGGGAACGAGTGACACGGAACATCACTTACAGAACCTCGAGCCGACCCGTACCAGGCGTTTAACGAAGGGACGAAAGCCGGCCATGTGACTAGGAACCCGGCGATAGTCATCTTTAACGCGAAGGCGAGATCATCGGAGTCGGCGAAAAATTCAACTGCGTCGGCCGCCAGACCGCGAAGCCACAGTATTGTACCCCCATCAGATTTCGGTGGCCCTTTCCTTCGCGGAATTCGGCCTTTCTCGGGTAATGATTTGCCACACTCTTCATATGTGTACTGCCGTACAAGTCGCTCTTCGCTTGCATCATCATCATCATCTGCGCGGGTTCGCTCTTCCCTTAGCCCGTGGCCAGCTCTGGCCTCTTTTCTTGCGTCTTCGGGTAAAGTATGCCCGTCCTGCTCGCCTCCAGTGGTTAACCATTTTCGCCAGCTAATCCTTGGCAGATATATTCTTCGACGTTCGTGACGAGCCTGCCTCGTCTCAACAAGGACGCGGCAACATTTTAGCATGTCGGAAATCTGGGATGCCGCTTGTCGAAGAGTAATCAAAAATGAACTGATGAGAAATGTCTCCATTCTGGGCATAATATCGGCCTGCACTAATCAGTATGCCTCTTTCCCCGTACTTGAAAATCCTCCTCGGGCCAGGATGATACATACCTGTGAGTCGTCGCCATAGGCCATGGCAGCAGATTGCTCTAAAGCTTTAGCTGAGTTATTGTCAAATGCAGACAGTGCAGCAAGAAAAGCTTCAACTCGAATATCGATCTCTTCCAAAGGGATGCCATCTGGTGTCAGAACTCCCGAGGGCAGTTTTGGAACATCGTAACAGTATGCTAGCGCACATGTTATGACCTGCAAAGCTTTGCGCACCTCATCCTGCAGTGCCTTAGCTGGTATTCGAACCTGTGACAGAATATGTTCAAGTAACTTGATGTCTCCAGATTCGATTTCTCGGACCGGCTTGACGAGCTCTAGATTACGAGCGTGCTTAGACTTTCGACGAATCTTTTTCGGCTTGCCTTGCAGAGAAGAATCAGAGTCCGAATCAGAGGAGTCACTACTCGAACTTGAACTTGAGTTACTGCTCGAGTCGCTCGAATCGCTTGAATCACTATCGTTCTTCTCAGTCGGAGTAGTCTGCAGCTGGTTATCCTCGTCTTCACCAACTAGTCCTGCCAGTGCATACTTGCTTTCGCATGCGTTTATGATGGAGATGGTATTCTGGACGAGGCGTGCCATAGAACCCATACTGATGGGCTTCAGTGCCCTAGGAGGGAGAACCGAGTAGAACAGTTCAAAGTTGCACTCGGCCTGGGCCTTCTTGGAACTGGCAAGCTTGGCTCGTAGCTTGGGTTTTCTGTCAGTTAGAGATACAAGTTTCATTCGCAGGCTTGCCACGGGAGGCTTTTCAGTGTCCGTATTAGTTGTGGTAACATTGGAATCAGACATAAACCATGACCCTGCATCTTCCAGACAACGAACCGTATCGCAGAGAGTTTCGATGGTAGAGTTTCCCAAAAACCCGCCCGAGAACTCGGGAAATATCGTGACATTGACAAATACCACAAGCCCAACGGCCGCCAGAATTGGATATGCTATTTGAGAAGCCAAGGTAGCTGTGACCGACTTTGCCGTTGTTGTCAAAACCGTGAGGGATATTAATAGGAGGAAGAAAACAAACATAAACAGTCTTGGTGTTGAAGAACGGAGAACACCATGGAGGATGAGAGACAACGTGAAGAAGACTGCTCGAATACCATATGCTGCGCTGGGGTTACTATCCATGACCAGACTAGACAGGTATAGTCCAAGAAAGGACCAGCCCATGCCCGCCGATGTTCCAAGCAGGATGAGTATAAGGATCTCAGTCATCTCGCCGAAACGCCCTTTTGAGTTGTCAGTGGCCAATCCACATGCATAGAGGTACGAACCTACGCCCCGGATGACCGAAAACTGTCACCATAGCCCCCAGATATGTCGACTTCCCAAACACGTCAATAACGGCTGGGACGAGGCCAATAATAAGGGCAACAGTGGTGCAAATAGTGGTTTTCAGCATCCTCTGCCAAAGGTGATTTCGCTGGAGGTTCTCCCGAGCGCCTGCCAGCCATTGCTGGCAACTGCTAAGATTCCCCTTCCATCGGTAATAAGTTTTGATTACAGCCATGTTTGCCTTACGATGGGCCAGGTCGACATCGAGTGCTCGAGGTGGCTCAACCGATTCATGACCGCTGACAGAGTTGAAAATGAGAGAACAAGGCTGCTTCTGTTCAAAGTTGACAGCCAGTTGGATCTTACGCGGTAAGTTGAAAGGGAAAGAGACAATACGGGAATTTCATACTGACGACCGAATAAAGACCCACACCTCATCCAGGAAGTGTCACGAAGTGGGTAAAGTCTGCGGTGCCACGGCCATTTGGCATCGAGGCTAAGAAGCAGTTGCGATTTGCGGGAGCGTCATTTCTTATCTTCGATGCGGATTCAATTGTCAGATGAAATGGGCGGTCCCCGAAGTCGCTGCACCAGTCGTTATGTAATTAGGTGCACATCCCTGCTATATTCAGATTGATAGGCTCAAGTTATCAGGATATTGTATTTGTTTTGGGTTTTGGTCCTGTCTACTCAGTTAGTCATATGCACAGCCACAGTGCAGCCACAGTCACTCGGGGATCTCGTTTTAAACTGGGGAGACTGCCCGGACCTTGGAGAGTACAGAGTCTTATAGTCTTATTAGAGAACTTTGAGACACAACAAAACTCCGACTCGTTCGTTTGGTTGTAGGGCCTGGTTTTTGGCGCCCGGCGGTACCTTCCTAGCTCGTGGTAACGGCGCGCGGCACTAGCAAGTCTCCACTTGGGTAGAGCTGCCTTGATTGCCCCGCTATGGTTAGTCCGCGGGGCCGGGTTTGACGACAGTTGCCTAGCGGGGCAGTTCCAGCCACGATGATGGCGATTCTCAATCTAAACTCCAACAGCACTTGTTGGATCAATCGCAGAGGAGGGTGCAGCGCACTTCTTAGTCGACAAGATGCCTCCGTCGGCGACTCTAGCTGTATGTCCTCGAGTGCAGCCCTCTGCGTCAACGCTGACTCTCAGTAGACCAAAATCAAGGTTCAGCTCAAGCTGTCGATCGCGAGACTGCGCATGGTTCAGCAACGAGATGAAGCGCTCTCCAAAACACAAAGACGAGCTATGGCTCAGCTGTTGGAGGTCGGCAAGATAGATTCGGCACGAATACGAGTAGAGAACATCATCCGTTCCGATATCACGATCGAGCTATACGAAATCCTCGAGCTGTATTGCGAGCTTTTATTGGCTCGCGCAGGACTCCTGGAAGCTCCCACTTGTGACCCGGGCCTGGAGGAAGCGGTTAAGAGCATTATCTATGCTGCGCCCAAGACCGAGATCAAAGAGCTCCAGCAGGTTCGTATTCTTCTTTGCGAGAAATTTGGCAAGGATTTTGCCTTAACCGCAGCCGACAACTCGGACGGTAAGGTATCGGAGAAGGTTGTCAAGAAGCTGAGCGTCACGCCGCCTCGAGAAGAACTTGTCATTGGATACTTGGAGGAGATTGCAAGGGCGTACGGTGTCAATTGGCCAAATAAGCCAAAGGACTTGGGAGATGCCCCTGATTATTTGGATATCGACGATGACAATCCGAGTGGAGGCCAAGCACAGAAGATTATCGAACCAAGTCTTCCGGCAGACAGCAAAGAGGCGCAGGAAAGAGAAGACCTGAGCAGGGCAACGCCACCAAGATCACTTGGTCCGGAAAGTCCTCTTCATGTGAATTTGCCGAGCCCGTCGACGGACAATCCCCGTCCTCGGGTCACTCTGAATTCAGTGGAGTTGAAGCCTAGCAAGAAGATGGCCGATGCTGGCATTGCGAAGAAGAAGGATGAACAGAAAGGGGGGACAGGTGGTGGTATACCTGATCTCGACGAATTGTCAGCGCGGTTCGCAGCTCTCAAACGATTATGATTTCCCCACTGTCTTTAGTAAGCCTCGTCTAGCCACTCGCGTTCAGGGGAATTTGGAATGATAACTCAATCTTATTTTCTAGGTTGGTGTCCTGGTATTTGGTAATTGCTGGCAGTCACTACCTGCTTTTGGTGCCCACTATCCTGTGTTCTCCGTATAGATTGTCATGGGTTGGCAACGACAACAGTATGTGATATGTGAATGTGGGCCAAATTACACTATCTGCATCCAAAACGAAACCTTTGGTAAAATTAATTTAGCATCAAAAGCTCCATTGATAGCGCTTGTGATCCTGTATTTATAAGCATCGCCTGGTTATTCTCCCTGCGGCTTTCTGACTGAAGATGAGGAGGTATATCTGGAATTGTGTCATCACTCTGCAATCTCAAATATTTCCAGGTTGCATACTTGGAAATGTTTTGCTTCAGATTTTCTCTCCTTGCCTGTAGGAACCAGGCCGTCTGTAGGTAAGTTAAGGTACTTAAGGTAGGCGGGTGTCGCTGAGAGTCCTGTTCAAGCTCGCGTTTTCCCAGCCTGACGTGAACACAAGGCGATATCGCAGGCTTCACAGGGAAGTCGCATCTCTCTTTAAGCACCTTACCTTCGGCAGCTTGCGAAATACTGGGCCACTTGAATTAAAAAGCGATGCCTACCCAACTTAACAACGCCTGAAATTTGACCTCCATAAAGAAAAGCAGATGCTATTTGGTGGTAACCATTTCATGATGACTGCTTTGGATTCCCGTCCGATTTAGTCACACGAAGTCAACAACAGCACAATAAAACCCGGTGAGTAGAATTACTCTCCACGGCTACTGTTACTAGAGAATCGTCTGTTCGGAATTGCGGCCAGTTTTTATTTTCTCGTTTCTTGCATCCTTTCCTGCTACAACCCGAAAGACTGCAAACCGACGCATAATATAGCGTGCAAACGGAGATTGATGACGCTGCTCCGTTTATATATCACAACACGGTCAGGACTCACTACCGTCACTCAGAACCCCCTGTGCCTCATATTTCCTGCCTTCGTCGGTGTTTACTTGGTTCACCAGTCGCATGTCACCCTGTCAACGAGCATGATTGTTTGACAAGTCTCGAGTACGACACTATGGATCTGAGCCGCAACCTTGAGGTGCTCAGCATCGCCAGCTTGGAGGAAGTTTCCCTCGATGAACTCGAGAAGAAAGTCGATAGCACGATCGGAGCCAACATATCCAAGCAACAAGTACTTAACACGTACATGGGATGGCTACATAACCAGCTCGCTGTGGACATCTCAGGCAAGGACGTATCTATCTTCAGCTGGACCGACTCACTCGTGAACCGCGGCTTCGAGAAAGACCATATTTTTCGGGCTTTTAAATACTGGCAGGGGCATGAATTACAGAAGAATCCAGCAAGTATCCGTCGTTATTCTATGATTGAGCAAGACCTGGAAAATGCTCTTCGCATTACCGTTCATGATGATGGGGCTCGACGCCATACTCGATCGCACAGAGCCAAGCCTCCGGTGTCCAAGGAAGGCAAAGCTCCACCTCAACAGAAGAAGGGGAAGAAGCGACACTTCTCTGGCAACAATGGCAAGCAATTTGGAAAGGACTTCAATGATTTCCCAGTTGGCCCGGAGAGAAGTGGTGCCAACGAGATCCCGCTGGTCAAGCGAAGAAAAGGGCGGGGAGATAAATTATCCCATCACGATACTTCACAGCGAGTTGAAGGCCTCGAAGTTATTGAAATCAAGGATGATGACCTTGTTGATGGAGGCACCGATGTGAAGCCCAACAATCCTGCATCAATGGTCCATACACCGACGGAGCGGCACGTAACTTCTGGTAAATCTGATGCGGATGATTGTGCCTTCATCTGTGAGAGGATTTTGCTGGATCCTTATTCTCCTCTTAACTCAGAGAATCTTGCCTTGAAAGGCCAGAACGTCTGGCCTACCCAAACAGCTCCCCCGCGTGACAGAGCACAACCATCTGGTATGAGCGGAGGAAGCCTAATGGAGGTCCCAGGACCAGGTTACATCTGTAAACGATGCAATCAAGGAGGCAAGACTCACGATTCGGGAACATTGACATAGCTAACAACCTTGTTCTAGGCCATTATATCTGGCACTGTCCCACGAATATGGATCCTTCCTATGATAGACTGCCTGATCACGATTATGTGTGTGGCTTCTGCGGGCAGATGGGCCATCATTTGGCGACCTTGTGCCCTAGGAACGACCAGCCGTGGTCTTTGACTCATCAGCGAAAGGACGTTGGTATCCAGATGAAGTCCATGTCAGATCAGTGGAAAGCTTCGCCCCAGCGAGCCGGCCGTCTTCCTGCCAACTACGACACGTATCGTCCGGATGACTTTAGCTCTCCTCGACATCGATCTGACATGGCAGACGGGCAACTCCGGGACCGCCGAGATAGTCAAACTACGTTCACGCTGCCGCTGCGCGATAGGACGAACTCACCACTTCGCGCCAAACGGGCAAGGGAGAACTCCCCGAAACCTCCCTATCGATCATTGCCTCTTCGAACCAGACTGGGTTACACCCCAGAGGCTGTTCGACAGCATACTGACCGTTACCGCCCTAACCTGTCTCGAAACAAACCATTCAAGGCAGGAGGCTCTGGGCCTACAATCTTCAAGGAAAACAAGACGGAAGGCAGATTGTCTTATCATGATGAGGATGTATTCATGAGCACAGGCTCGCCGTTGGCCACCCCCAGCAATGCCACCTCGAACCCACGTTCTTCTGACAGAAGCAACCATGCTGAGAGCCTCAAGGGGACGCCTACGCGTTTGAATGAGAAGTCGGGAATCAAGATGTCCTCAACTACGGGTTTGAATGAGGCATTTGGGTCCAAGATCAACGAGCCCATTGGGGCTGTGGCCGACGAATTTCTCTCTTTGCTTGGCATCCAGTTTCAGAATGACGAGAACAATGACGAAGTTGCCTCCACGCCAGAGTCGGACGTGTTGATACAGGATGTGGCCAGCGAGCCACATACAGAAAATGATGCCGATGGCGTATCAATTTCTGAATCAACTTTGCAACACGGCCCCGATGGCAAGCCTTGCCGGTTAGTCACCAAGCCTAATTTTCGTGATGAAGTGGTCCGGCTCTTCCAACGCCACCCGAACCCTATCGTTACAGAACTCAAGAGACCCCGTGCTGTCGATGTTTGGGAGGAAGCTGAGAAGAGTGTTTGGTCCTCAACCTCGGGACCGACGGGCAGATCTATGCCCAGGAGCCCTACTGTCCTGCAAACCAATTGGCGAGGTTCTTCATTTGTTTCTTCAGACTAGATGGGCAAGCCTGATGTATCAAGTTGCACTCCATCTGTTTGGCACGGGTTTCAATTTGCTCGCGTCCCAAGTTAAGGGACTGGATTAGAAATTCTCTGATCATTCACGTTCGTCCAGTTCGCCATCCGTATACCTCATACACATTTCCAGCTGGTGTTTTCGCTTATCCGTTGCGGCATCGACTCCTACTTACACCATGTCCTTTTTCCCGCCGTAAACCCACCACTTGTTTCAAGCATGGAGTTGAAAGACGCTGACGATAGGTGAAGCCGTAACTGAGGTTGGGCGGACTTATGGACATCTTTTGGGGGGTACAGACTGTCAGTGGCTTTCGTGAAGCAGGGCAGGACTGCGAGGCATTTCTTTCTGTAGCTTAAACGCTCAACGGTACTATGGCTAGATTCTCATCGTTGCCATTTCATAGAGCTTTCCGTATCCGAATGCGTTTTCCTTGAACATCTGCAATGCTGTCTTGTCTTCCAGTTGCGTAGCGGCCTCCACGGCCAGCAAACTAACTCCAAACGCCATGCCAATGTCCATACGTCCGCTATTTTCGGATTCCACATGCTCATGGCGTAATCCACTGTAGAACTCTACACGTATTGTTCGTCCCCTCCACACTGCGACGCCCTTAACCCTGATCCTCGCCGCCAACTAGACTGCGCTCCAATCATCGCACTTGATTCCATCGTAGTTTTTCATTCCAGCTTATCGAGGTGCTCTAAACGGGTAAGGACAACCTGCTTGCTGGTCTCCTCGATCTCGCCGGCCAGAAACACCTCGTCGAGAATGGCGTAGACCTTGTAAAAGTTGAAGACGAGGTCGAGCTCACAGACGTTGCCGAAGAAGGAGTCGAGGACCTCGACGAAGAAGTGGATGGCCTCGAGGTACGCGAGCTCGTTGTCGTTGGTGTCGACGCAGGCGCAGAAGAAGAGTCCCGCGTACCGCCGGTACACGATCTTGTGGTTCCGGAACTCGACGAAGTTGGATTGGTATTTTTGGTCGCGGGGCGCTACGAGGCGGTGGACCTGGCAGGTGGAACGTCGGATTTAGCACTCGAGTAGAATTTGAAGAGTACAAGTTTGGGGGGCAGGGAAGTAGGGGAGAAGGAAGAGAGACTTACCTCGCCCTTGAGCTTGATCTTCTCATCGTCGCTATATGGGACGTACCATTTCGCAAGCCGCGTCTTGCCTCTGCGCCGTTGTTAGTAACCCACTGACCATTGGATTTTCGGTTTGGTACTCACTGGCGATTCTGGATTAATATGAATGACAACATCGTGGCTGCGGGCTGGGCGACGTAGGAATGTCCAATCGTGCCGTTGCGACGGGGAAGTAAGGAATTGAGGTTAGGTTGGCGATCTGAGTGGCGCTCCGTGCGTATTTCGGGCCAAGTGCACTGTGCCTCCTATCCCCTATAAGTCGCATGTTGTCCAAAATCAGTATTTGGTTAGCCGCAAATCAGAGATATTGCAATTGATTTTGCGGTCGATCGTAGAGTACTTATGGGAGAGCTCGTTTTCAGATTAGGTAACATGTTACGCTTCAAGTCCTCGCTCTCGATGGATGACAATCTTGACAAAAGGCGTTTCTACCCAAAGGTTTATCGTACAAATTAACTAGTTGGGTTCGAAAGCAGAACTTCTCACCGGCAACCTCCTCACTCGTCCGACGGCACATCTCTGTCAACTCCGGATCCGTAGCCGCCTTGACTTGCTTGGTATCCGTAGTTAAGTTCACATCATACAAAGAAACGCCCTCCTCTTTCATCAAGTCTTGATCAAGAGCCGCACGTATCGCAGTAGCGCACCCTTGCTGCAGTGACCCATGAAGTCTCCTCGAGTCCGCAAGAGACATGCCGTTGACCCTCCAGGCGGCTTCTTCCAACACCTCTGCGGCCTGAGGTCCCAGCGCTTTGACTTAGTCTCGCAGTCCCGTGCTGATGCTGCCAGGATGTACCGAGTAAGGGTGGATGCCGTGAGATGCAAGACGCTTGTTCAGGGCGACTGCGTATAATATCACAGCAGACTTGGACGAGCCGTACGCAGCAATCGAGCTGTAGGAATCTTCCTCGGTGAAGTTTGGATCGTTTAAGCGAAAGGAGTATATCAGTGAGCCGAACTAGTGGCTAGGACAAGTCGAGCCCCCGCGCCAGCGACTAGGGTTTTGGGCATGATCTTGTTGGTTAGGACGAAATGTCCGAGATGGCTAGTTGAAACTCAAGACGGTCCTCGGTGGTTTGGAACGGGCAGGCCATGACTCCAGCATTGTTGATGAGAACGTCGATCTTGGTGATTTCCTGTTCTTCAGGTATAGTTTGAGCTGCGTTTCTTGCGCTCTTGAGGGATGCCAGGTCGGCCGCGATGAATTTCACTTGGATTTGGGGGTTACTTTCCCTGATTTCATCGATGGGAGGTTGCACCTGCTTGGTAGATTGCCCGACAAGGATAATCATCGCTGGAGACTCGTGGGATAATGAAATAACTGTCTCGGCATCTGTAGAGCCCGTACTGGGTCTAGTCAAGAGAACTGCACTGGCTTGACTTGCAAGTTCTTCCCATGACTTGGTCAGCGAAGCGATGAAAAAAGGTCAGCCCTCTGTTTCCTTGCCATATACATTCATTGTGAAAGTACTGAGACAAAGTACGTATCGGTATTCAGGCTCCCAGCTTGTTAGATCATGTCTGCCTAATCAGAAAGTACAAGTGCATTTAGACTTCCTTCTATACTCCCTCAATGGCGACAGTATACCACTAGCGTAGTCCACTATCTGTTCATGTTCAAGTCCACTCTAGGTAAGGCTGATATCAAACCTGATCACAACAAATAGCGCTGATCCATGTTTTTATGGTATTATTAATCAGTAATCATACTCAAATAAAGAATAAACCTGCGAGACAAGAATTCGCAGTAAGTTTCTTCCGCCCGAAATTGGCCTGTTTCGTGACCTCAACAAGCCGTTGGCCCGGATGACTAGATTCTGGCTATTATGGACATCGAAAGTCTGCGCGAAAATATGAATTTGTGTCTGAGAAAATTAAGTATCGCTTTTCAGCTTGGTTGATCGGAGTTGTGATTTTCATTCGTCCTGCATTTTATTGCCGCTGGTTGCATTCTGTTCGTGCTTTGAGATGACCGATGCTGATGAGGGTGAAGGTCAAAGTTTCCCGTGAGCTGCAAGGTACTAAGTTTAAAACGATGGCAGGTTTGATAAATGGTGTCCGAAACTTGGCTAAAACTGTATACAGAACTAACGTAGGGTGCCTGCCTAATGCTAATAGCAATGATTTGTGAGAACGAGCCCGTCGTCTGCAAGGGAAGAATGGGTTTCCGGCTTGCTAGGTGCTTATATTGCTGAAGTGTAATAAGGTGCTTATAGGCATCAATGTAGCCCCCGACAGTCTCACCAACCCGCCCCAACGTTCTTAAAGCCCACTTGTCAACAACTGAGAAATAATGCAACCGTTTCAAGATGCTCAGATCCACGACGTTTGCCACTCGCTTGGTTCCTCTAATGTCAGCTGCATTCTTTTAAGAATGGTTCTTGACACGCAAGAATATTGGAGCCTACAGGGTTGGGAGATCACTTTGTAAGGTCGGCAATCGGTGTTTTGGAAGCCACGATGTCATCGATATTTCGGTCTGTGCACAGTCCCAAAAAGTTACCAGGTAATAAAGCATTGTCAGAACGTTAAACTTACCCTTAGTGTCGCCTTCCTTCTCAACTCCAAACCCGGCCCGATATTCTTTGTTTTCGCCTAAAGCTCTAATAACACCCGAGTATAGCATGAGGATAGGAACCTCATCGCCTTGAGTTATCATAGGGAAGAGAGCACACTGTTAGAAGAAGACTTGTCGGCTTTGCTGTATCCCTGTGTTGAAGAAATTCACCAACTGGCGACAGACTCGAAAGTAGAGTGGGCATATTCATGGTCGTTCTGAGTACAAAGTCACAGAGAAAACTAGAGTCACAAATGCTTACTTAGACTCGACTTTCTGACCCTTGAGTTACCGGTCACATATTCTTCAAAGTTGGACACCTTTCATCCCGTCTTGTAGAGGTTTGTGGCCCCTCAAGTTTCTACCACGCAGAACACGCAACACGCACTATCGCGAAGACACCACTCACTGCAAATTCCCTGTACTTCTTCTCGAAACCCGGTTCAAATCGCGATTCTTGACCAATTAGTCTCGCGGTGGACGGCATCGACCCGCTAAGACGAGGAGCATCATGACGGAAAAACTGTACCCGTTCGCGCTAGCGGACGGCTCCAGTGACGGGAAGCAGTGGAATGATGCGCAGTTCAATTCCTTGCATTCCAAGCTTGATGAAAATGACAAGAGATATGCGGACTGGAAGTTCAAGTTGGGTGGAATGCTTCGAGAACAACTTCTTCCTGGGCCCGAGTATCGAGGTTTGTCGTTGACCTGCTTCTCTACTGCAAGTCCTATCTGTACTAATTCTTTCAAGATCGAACCTACTATCTGAGGAGTCTTCCCGAGCACTACCATATCCGTGTCAAAACGAACCGTACGTGGTGCATTACAGCTCTGGCAGTTGAGTTCTACTAACGTCTTGCCATAGCTAAGAATGGTCGGTCAGATTACTATCTGTACGGATATCCCGAGGGCAAGAAACCAAAGCCATTCAGATCTCCCAACGATTTCTTCCCCCATCTGCTATGGCTTGCTGGAGGTAGCGGGGACAAGTCCCTCTGTTCGTGTGTTCTGTGCAACCCAGACCAGGCCAGACCTGATTGGTGGCCGGAACAGACAGCATTCGCCCATTCAGTTTCTGATGCACCACCTGATGCTCCTTCTGCTGTCACAATTGCATCTCCTGTACCGTCCTCGCTGGGAAATAATACTGGGATGAAGAGATCTGCTTCGGCGCCCGGATCTGCCGCCTCGAAGCCCTTTACTGGAAGTAAACAAACACCCCAGTCTCCAGCACCACCACCAATCACGCCTGTTTCGGGGCCGACAAGTTCTGGTCAACCCCAATCTTCGGAGACACCTCTACAGCGAGTACCGCATACTCAGTTGATCTTCAGAGAGGGCGAGGTGGTCTGGTTTAAGAACAACAACGCTTGGCGAATTGGCATGGCCCTGCAGACTTTGCCGGCCGAACCTGGCAACTCAAGCGCATCCAGATGTATCATCAAACCGCTTGCGCACGCCTATTTCCATAATGAGAATGCCATCAAGAACGAGACCGACATGAGACCGTTCCTCGCGTTCAGCGTGCCCCCCGTCAACCCAAACGTGACAAGGGGTCAATTAATGAAGGATATCCCTTGGGGGCAGCTCCAAACACAGCTGGCAGGAGAGGACAAAGCAAAACAAGAGCTAGTCGGCCTTGAGGCGTCGAAATTGGCTGCCATTGAGATAGACCACTCGTATTCAACCTTCAACCCCATGCAGACATCTCAGCAGAGCCCTGATATACAGCATGTTGGTGGAGTGTTTCTTGGTGCTGAAAGAATTACTATGGGGGAAGCGGTTCGCGTCCGTCTCAGCCAAAACGAGATCGACCCGACCTGGACGAAGGGCCTGCCAATCGTCATGGTAGTGCGCGATATCTTCATTGCGGCGGGAAGCGGACTTTTTTTTCGTGGAGACGTGTACCGTCTGGAGGAGACGGCGAACCAGCAACAAGCGCCTCATCAAGCGCAACTCCCGGCCGAGCTGATCAGGGAGAAGTCGTTCCGTGACCAGGTCAAGCAACGACTGGGAACTCGTTTCGACTGGATCATGGTGCAGCAAGATGTCACCAAACCTGAGAACTCCATGAGGGGCAGGTTCTACGAAACATCGAGGCTTATGCCCATCATTGACGCGGCAAAGTTCCAGGCAGCTTTGAGTAAGGCCGTGGTAGAGGATGTGCAGGCGTACTTGAACGACCGCATGAATTCGGACGGACCGTATCTTGGTCGCAGGCGAAATCGATCCGCCACGCTGGTGGGAGCCGTCCCGGATGGCTTTTACTTGCCGCTGGGACCCGGAGTTTTGGAAGACCCTTAGGTTGGGCTTATTTTACTCTTTACATGCTTCTTCCAATCGTCGATCGAACTCGTGTTGTTCCAGGAGAGCGTCCTTGACTTGCTTATCGGTCATCGCTTCAATACGTGGAAAGTCGCAATAGAACGGTCGGTTGTCATGGACCAAGCTTCAACAAGCAGAAGGAAACGCTTTAGTATGCGGAGAGTAGGATGGAATCGTTGGTTGCTATGAGCTTAGTCTCAACTAATGGAAGGAAACGCTTTAGTTTTCTATGTAACTCAATTTAAGGATTTCGGAATTGGAATATGAATATCCCACGAGACATTGTCAGAGAGCTTGCAACCTGGAAACGAGAGATACGGCGTATGGAACCAGACGCGCCAACCCGCCACGTCCACAGCCACCAGCCGTGCTAAGCGGCTATATCCGAACCGGAGCATCAGTCGTCGCGGACGCTTCATCGCTCGCATAGCATCGCCGCTTGGAACAAAATGGTTGAACACCGAAAGTAGAAAAGCAGTGGTTACGGTTGACACGTATCACGACACCTCCTGCACGAATTTGCGGCAGTTTCTTCCATTTCCCCCGTTGCTTTTTTCATTCGGGAGTTTTCGGCATTATTTGTCTCACATCGTCATGTCCATGACAATGGTTCATTTATATAAAGAATTCATACATGATATGCGTTCGCTGATGCGTCAACCCGACCTGGTGAAGAAATCCCAACGAGCTGGTTCTGCTATGGAGTACAGAACCGGCGTGACAGTCTGGCGGTACGGGCGGTACGCGAGGAATAAAATAGCCCCTATGTCGTGGAACGTCTCACTTTCCTGCTGCATGTGTCAGCTGATGGATATTGAACAAACAAAACCACCTGCATAGTCGGAACCGATGGTTTCCGCCAGCCAATCGCAGAAAGTTCAAGGCTGGTGGGTGGCATTGTCGTTATTTAGCCTCGTTATTTGATTTAGTCTTCCCGTCACCACATCCCTGTAAGGGTCCTCGTCTCTAATTTCCAGCCGAGAAGCGAATTTGGATACCGTCAGAGCCTATGAACCAGGAGCCGCTCACAACTGTCCCTGATTGATCGGTCGCCCTGCTGCGGCTCTCAGGAAAAAAGTTCGTGTCGAGTACCTACTGAGGGCAGCTGGCGATGAGCGTGTCAGACAGCTCAGGCACCCGACACGCAAGAAGACGGCGACGACCGTGATCGTGATTCGAGCGGTGAAGCCATGCCAACAATAAATGTGATTCCCCGAAACCCTTAGCAGACAGCGTTGCAGGCGTCTAAAGAGGCAAAAAGAAAATTGATCAAATGCACACAAGCTCGAAGAGTTCATCACTTCGCATGCAGCAGGGATCAGAATACAGCACCCCGGGGAAGAGCGAAGCATTCGCCGTTGTGGCTTGCCGTGGTCCGGTCGGTCGGGTATCTGAATCGGTATCCTTGCGTGATTATAACGATGGTACAAGCCCGTAGATAATGGAAATCGGAAATGCGATATTGCCAGAATTGGGTGCACCTACCGACAATCTAGTAATAAGATTGACTGACGTGCACGATCCACCTAAGGTATAATGGCCCACTGACTTGTTCTGGGTTTGTAAGACTCATAATCGGAATCCGAACATCGTAGTAGGTGAGCCTCGTAGCAAGTGAAGAAAGTGGTTAGTGAACAAACAACTCTTACGTTTGCAATAGCTCCTGGCATCTGGATGGATCTGACCACTGGCCCCTCCACAAGCCGGAATAAACATTTTATTTTATATCCGGCGCTTGTGAGTGCCAATGTAACTATGTCTGTGGGGGTGTCGTGACAAGCCGTCGGATCCCCTGCCAAGTACGTACCAAAACCACCACCAACTTTCTCTCACCCAAGTTGCTGGTTGGATGCGGAAACACACACGGTCAACGTCTTGCAAGACTGGGCTTTGCGGGCAGCATGGTGAATCGAATGGCCCGCACGAAGCATCGCGTATACCTCTACAGGCATGCAGATCGTGAGCGGATGAGATACCCTTGTAAGCGACTGATCAACGCATAACAATCGTCGTGTGAGAGGTCCAATGCCTGTTTACTTCGACAAGTGCATCATTGCCCTTTACAGCACTGAAAACGAGTGGAAGACCAGGTATTCCGGAGGATATACTACGCTAAGCATCTGGCTGCCTGGAGAGGTGTAGAAAACCGCCGGGGCCCAGGTATCGCTCGGGCTGGCAAACCCCACAGTGGCCATGGCGTAGATTGTTGTTCACGCAACTCAGGAAACACTTTGATGCCCACCGAAGTGACTTTGCAGTAATAGTTAGACCGGATGGATGCCCCTCCACTATTGCCAAGGCCTGGGACTTACCCTGACCAACAAACAAACATTCAGTGGAGTTCAACTACCATGTCCAGCTCGAGGCGTGTATTCTGAGTTAAACCGACTTCTGGAGCGGATTTGAGCATGTACGCATACGACTAATGGGAAAGACTGTCAGCTGCATTAGAGATCCGCCCGGAGCCAACCCTTCTTCCCACTCTTGCGCTGAGCTGAGCTGGTTGGCTGGTAATTATGGGCAGCGTTAGCCGAAAGCCACCCGCTCGGTAGGCTTCTATAATTGAAAAGTAATTAGCAGGTGCCGCCGCTATGGAGTTGACCAAGTCAACCACAATTGCGACGAGAAAACCCAACAAAACAAAACCCCCAGCCCCCCGATGAGGTGCCACCATGCCGCTATGTTGGAAAAAGCGTAACGACCGCCATTGAGCTGCCGCAAACGCCGTCTGTCGTTTCAGCATGCAAGGTAGTAGTACATGGCTGTCAACATAACGCGATGCTTGCTTGACTCGTTCCCCGGCACGGCAACAGCCATTGGATCCGCTTTCCGACGGACAATTTGATCTTTGGCCCCCGGCCGTTCGGTCTCAACCTGGATCTCGGAGGCTCGGTCGACAGCTCCCCATTGGACGGCCGGAGTCAACAGAGGATACCTGCGCAAGCTATAGAAGCCTATCTTGGAAAAGGTCCGCCCTCTCTGCTCTGGGCTCTGGTTCAATGCGCGGAATCGCGAGGCCAATGGAGAGTGCTGTCGTTGTCGTGAATTACACTTCGCTCCGGCGTGCCTAGGCGTCGTGTTTGCGTCGTGCCCATCATGCAGGTCTGGTGGGAAAAAGGAGTGGGAACGAATCATGCTCTAGCTTGCTCAGTGCTGCCCAGGCGAACGGCCTTGTGCCACATTCCAGCAGATGTGACAGTCCCAGCAACGGCAATTGACATCCATCGTCCCGTCTGCTCGGAACGATCTCAGTGTCACTTCGATGCCCAAATCCAAGTGTCTTTTAATGCTTCCCAAGGTCGCCGCGCCACAGACAGAGCCAACGGTGAGGGCATTGCATCTTTCGTGCCGCGCATCTCATTCTCGTCACCAGGTCCCCAATTCGCAGGGACGACAAAGCATAGACACCAGAGGCAAGGTACATAGGTGGTACTCGAGAAGGCCTATCGTGCCATCCTTGTTCGACATCTAACCAGGCTTGAGAGACCCCACCAGCGCCCACCTTGCTAACCCAAATGTCTGGCGTTCGGGTTCGGGTACATACGTTGTCCATGGCGGTTGTTATGGACTTATTTCCCACCCCCCCCCAAGCACTCAAATGACTTGGGAGAGTTGGTTTCTTTCAGCGACGGGACAGTACACACACAGCATCCCATTCGCGCATACAACTAGCGTGATGTTTCCCTGGTCTCCCCGTGCCATTTTTACCCTTCTCCCTTCCTCTCATCTTTCCCACATCAACTTTGTCGGTTTTCTGTTTCTTCATTGTAGCGACGGCTATACACACATATCACACTGATCGTCGCGCCAACCACAAGCAAGCATTGACCCAATTCAGAGACTGGGAAACCCCGCGTCGGGGAGTCAGAACATCGGGAAACGTATCAGCTGCGCCTTGACCGGACTTGCCAGAGGAACTTGTAACACATTGGTTTCCCACGCACTTCGCTATACCGCGGCCGTATTCAAAGCTACCCGTGACCACTTTGTACACAATTGCGCAGAGGAAACAAAGCCTGGCTTGCCTGCGGTTCTCTGGGGCTCCAGATTATCACCGAGACCATCTTTTCGGCGCTTCAACCGTCTCGTTTTTGGCCCGCTGGTGCAATATCCGGGCTTGTTTGTATAGCTTGTTTCAGTTTCGGTGTTGCACCCATCTGAACTTGAAGACATGGGTGTGCCGTCGGCAACGTCATCCTCGGGGGGGGCTGATGGTCGAGTTGGCAAAGAATTGAAGGGCTTCGGCCGGGTTATATTAAGAATGCGGACTGTTCTCAGGCACTCTGGCCAACCTTTCTCCAAACGAACGTCTAAAGTTCCACCAGTTCAACCGTCTCAGGCGCCTTCCAATATGCCTGTGCTCTCAAGGTATATACAACGCGCAACTGACCCGACGGATGCCTATCGTTCGAATACTAAACGTCTACACAGCAAGGCTTCTTCGGAGGCTGGCACCTCCCAGAAGTCCCAGTGTGAGAATGCGACAAGAGTGCCCAGGGCGCAAATCCACGAAGAACGGGCCAAAAAACTCGAAGCCAGGTTCGGTTTGGAGATCAAGCCCAGCGAGTGGCACTCCCTCGAGGGCGACGTCCTCCGGGTAGAGACGCCAGTTCGAGTTCGCGTGCATCGGGAATGCCATCGCTGCCACAAGGCGTTCGGCGTGAGCAACGAATGCGTCGCCTGCGGCCACAAATGCTGCAAGCAGTGCATCCGGTACCCTCCCAAGCGAACCGAGTCTGAGAAGGCCGCCGACCGGGAAAAGATCACGGCCATGGCCCAGAGAGAGATGGAACTAGCGCCTATCATTCCGCACTACGGCCTCGCCCCACCCGTCCAGGTAACCCGCCCAGGACCGAATGGTGGACAGGACCGGGTTTACAAGCCGGCGCGGATGCGGCCCCGGAGATACTGTCATGAGTGCGGCACCATCTTTCATCTTTCTTCGGTGTGCCAGAAGTGTAACCACAAGCGTTGTGGGGACTGCCCACGAGATCCGTAAGTTTTCGCTATTTTGCGTTCGTTCTCCGGTTCTGCACCGTAATTAACTCTCACGCAGTGCGAGTAAGGATAAGTACCCCTACGGATATCCCGGTGATGATCCGGGTGCAAATACCCCTACACTGCACTCCTGTCACGAGTGCCGCAGGAAATTTCCATTGAACGCGAAGGATGGAGCCGACTGTTCCAAGTGCGGACACAAGAAGTGTGCGGAATGCCCGAGACTTACTCCCAAGAGGTCCATAACTCGACATGATCCGGCGGAGCTAAAAGGTTTACAGGAACAGTTGCGAGGCATTTCGTTAGGCGAAACCATGGAATAACACCGGCGTTCGTGGAAACGTCGCGAGGTTTCCATCCTAACAGGGAGGCAAGGTGACGAACCACCGGGGTTGCTTTGGCATCACCCATGTATCATTCATTAGTGTCGCTGAGCAACAGAACTTGTGCGCGGCGCATTGGTATTCTTTGACAGAACATTTTCGGCGCCATCAAGGGTTTACGATCATGAAAAAGACGAATCTACCATCACAACGACGACATGTACCAACCTGCCAGCACCCGATCTCCGTGCCTTTTACATATTTGACATGGTATATGGCGAAGAACATGCCGGATGGCTATATTCGATGTATATATTGAGAGTTTCAACATGCTAGATAGCGTCTTTACAGCGTACAGAACAAACTGGGAAACGGAATTGAATGTTTAATATTGCGAGTGGACTACGGGATACTGAGAAACGACTGCTGTTTGGCATGACAATTTCGCACGAAATTTATCTCGTCACATCCGTTACTGGAAAATCATGATGCAGATACCCAGTCGACCGCCAGGCCTGCAGGGAAGCGCAGCAGAAAGTGCACTTTTGTGGATCCCGAGAGAGAGAGACTGTCGGCGTTTTACGCACCTGCATTGAACCGACCAGCTGGGTCTGGGGCATCTGGATCTCGGGAATTCTTGGCCCCCTTACCAGACTGTCGGTTTTCAGGGGCCAGTTTTGTCAATTCCACAGCTTGGCGAACAAAAACATCTGGAGCAACCACAAGGGTATTGATCATATGGGAAGTCATATGTGTATACTTATCACTATTCGGTCTGGGTATGAAAAACGGAATACATTAAAGCAGGAGAAGATGTTTTCTTTCTGATGCGCTGATGTACCTCGACGGCCACACAGAATTACATAGCATGTGTAACTAGCTTGCATCTTAGATTAACTTCATCAGGTTTTTTAATAGAGATCCCGTCAACTGCTAATACATGAACGTAGCTGTCAAGCGCTTTCGGTCCTTGAGATATTCTGGGCCCCTCTTGCTTGACCATCAGGTAACACGTACAAACTACTTTACCATGCGGGAACGTGGCGCATCGCATGTCAATCCCAAATAGTATAAACTTAGGAAGCGTCGCTGTTGGTTCATGAACGCACTTACGAACGAGCTTATTAGTCCATTACGTCCTCGCAAGTCCCTTGGACATCGTCGCCCGCCTGTCATTCCTTGATCTCATCGGCCCCAACGGGCTTCTTCGCTCGGATGTTTTCGAGAACAACGCTAGCGCCCCCGTTTCGTATTTCAACGAATCCGGGAACTCGGGGGCTGCCTCCATGTGCATGAAACGGCCGAAGCCGTTCAGACGAGAAGATCCAGGATCTATGCGACTGCCGGCGCCGAGAGTAAGTGAGATGCCGCCGCGGGGGCGTTTGCATTCCAATCGGACGAGTTTGAGCTGTATGTGAAGTAAGCACGTACTTCGTGAAGGCGCGACGTAGCCGGTTAGTCGGATCGTTAGAGGGGAACAGGCTTTCTCGTTATTTCTATTGGTGACATGATTAAAGTCGGTCTTATCACAAGCTAAAACGTAAAACCCCAAGATGAGGCAGGCTTATTACATCCGAAGGAATACGGCAAGGGCACCAATAGGAATCCTGAAACTATATAACCGCTTGCAACAACAGATTTGGGCTATCTGATTTGACATGCCCTTTTGAAACCCAACAACTTTACCACCTTGAATAATTGTTCATTTGAAGTAGTCGTCGGCGGGCTTATCGTATGGATATGAAATTTTATTTCGCAGAGCCTACGTGCTTTCAAGGAGCTCACTCGAAGCAGACAGGATGGATCCGAGCCTCTTACACATGACGGTGAGCGCGATGAGATAAGCCCAAACATCCTAGCTGTCAACCCCATTCGGGCGTCTGATAGGGTCCTTCAAGTTTGCGTCTTTTTACATCGTAGCTCGCCATCTCCGACGTAACAAGTATTCTTAGTAGGAAACAAACGCAAGGAACACCGCCACGCCCTATTCATTCCAGTCGTTACGAGACTTGAAGCAATCGTTCTATATAGATTAGGGAACTAGAGACTAACTGGTGACAGCGCAGGGAAAATAGCAGAAATAACTTTGAAGATGTTTGGATGTGCTAACTCACCTCACTTGCGGTACACATCCTAATCATCACATTTTCAAGTCATTCTGAAAGAGCACCAGGGGTGCTTTCGGGTCTACCACAATGATCGTCAATATGGCCCATGCATACATGAACTTAGGTCAGCACAGGTTTGCAACACGCCTACCCTTCCGCCCGTATAGGTTCAAGGCAGCTGATGGTCATCTAGGATTATTTCACGGTGACGTGTGAGGTCCAATCTGGCTATACTACCGACTTGGCGTATTTGCAACTGATTGGCCTTCTACCGTATCCATAATTTATTTGCTGTCGGCTGGTGTAGTTGGTCACTTCGCTGGTAGATAAGTCCCGATTTGAGCCTCGCCCACTTAGGTCGGTGACGAGTCGCGGGTTCGAATCCCGCAGCTGACACACAAGGGGGTTTAGTCAACCCTTACGGCGCGCTGCCCACCTTGTTGACTTCGCCTACCTAGCGATAATAGGGAGATTAGTTCAGTTTAGGATTACGAGCATCCTAGCCAGTCGACCGTCAAGCACTACGTCGGCGGAATATAACTCGACAGCCGGTCCAGAATTCGAATCGTTAATCCGACCCCTTATCGGACCTCGCCTATCCGATAACGCTCGTCGGCGAACCCGTCCCCTCACGATAGAAGGCGCGCAGCACGCCCTCCCGCCGCGATTCATGCGAGCGTCTAGACTACATTACGGTCTATCCACTTGAGCGTATGGTTGCGATGTATACGCTCGACGAGAACCCCAATTAGCAGATACTACGACTTGTCGCGACAAAAAATAGTCGAGCATCTTCTGCACATCAGCAGCATCCCACCCCTGAGGACGAATTTAAGTGCCACATTACCACACTTATCGGTAGTTCAGGCAGGGGTTGTAGCACAGACTTAGGGAGGGACAGGAGGTTTAGTAGTCGTTTGGCTACAAGTTTACCTGTATAACCGCCCGACGCGGCTTAAGGGCCCGCTATATCATCTATAGCCCCTTAAGGGAGTACTTGTGAGGTACCGAGGGTTAACACCTACGGCGTATTTAATAAAAAAAATTTATTCGCTGTCAGTTTATGAGGCTAGATCCAAGCAAGCCAGTATACTCAGGAGACACTTGATGTACCGTTGATTTACTTTCGGAGTCATCGAGTGGCCAGGTTGAACGGCCTTGTGAAGATGAAGGGGCCAAGTCATAATTATTGGTCACTGGAGCACAAAATTCCTACTGTCAACCGCTCTGTCTTACACCAAAATGAGTGGAATCAGACTGATACGGTCCAGGGTCTCCCGAAATCCTTCCTTCGAATCAGCATTCTGTTGACACATGCGGCGCCAGGTGCCTGTTGCGCGTAGAAAGCGTATGGCATTGGTTACGCATCTCGGGCTTTATCTATCGGGGAGGTACTTAGGACGTGTGCAAGCCGTTGTCTTCAACTAGACGTGATGAAGTGCAAAATGAAGCTGCAAGACCTGCTAGCGACGGACATATCCATGGAACGCATCTTATCAGCAGTGTCAACGCCGAATAAAACGTAACAAGACAGAAAGTTCGAGCCGACCAAAACCAGGTCAGACAGAGGGAGGATATTACACAATCGCACAACATTCCATTCTGCTGTGAATGCAGTCCAACGACCGATCGTCGTAATAACTGTTGCCGAAACATTCGGAGCCGACCGATATCTTCAACCCGGACCGGTGTGCTGCGTACACTCCACGACCCCACACCGATTTGAGCCGATCATGGTGCCATTAGATGGGTAACCCCAGCCTCCACCATTAACATACAATTGTCCCCTTTGCGTAACTTCGTGTCGGAAGTGGTGTATATTCCCATTTCAAGCTCTTGCCCAGCATTTCTTGCGATCTCGAGTACGTTCATCACATTCGAGACCGCTGCCCCTTGGAACCAACTCAAGGCTGTCTCCCAAGCAACCTGTCCTGGATACCTTGTTGATCAAATACTCAAGATGCCGAACATAGTCGTTGTTGGGTACGTCGCACTGAAGAACAAGAAGGGATTGGTGCTTGTAAACTAATTAAATGTCGAACAGTGCCGGCGTGTCTGGATTGACTACAGCTTATCTGCTGTCCAAGGACAAGGCTAACACCATCACCATCGTAGCCAAGCACATGCCTGGCGATTACGACATTCAATACGCCTCTCCGTGGGCGGGAGCAAATGTCTTGCCGTAAGTGCCGATATGCTCGTGGACGTTGGAATCAAAATGCTGACGCTTGGAAGAATGGCGACAGCCTCAAATAGTCGTTGGGAGCGACGGACGTGGCCTCAACTGAAGAGACTTGCACTCGAGGTGCCGGAAGCTGGAATCCACCTACAGAGTACATCAATTATAGTGCCAAATATCTTATGGAGTTGACTTGCTAATTCCTCGCAGAGGCGCGCGTGTTGCGCCGGACAAAAGACCTCGAAAAGCTCAAGACCGGTGTATACTCCTTTGACGGGTTGTTCATGGAGAACCCGTGGTACAAGTCGCTCTTCGACGACTTCCGGGAACTATCACCGAGCGAATTGCCCGCAGAGATGGCATCCGGCTGCGAGTTCGGCTCTTTGTGCATAAACACGATGCTGTACTTGCCGTGGTTGGTAGGCCAGTGCAGAGCAAACGGCGTCGTGTTCAAACGAGGGGTGCTGATGCACATCTCGGAGGCTGCGTCGCTGAGTCACGCAGGAGTCAAGGCGGATATTATTATCAACACGACCGGGCTCATGGCCTCCAAACTTGGAGGCGTCATGGACGAGAACGTCGTGCCTGTGCGCGGACAAGTTGTGGTTGTGCGGAACGAGGCGCCTTACATGCTTACCAAGTCAGGCACCGACGATGCCGACGATGAGGTCTGCTATGTCATGACAAGGGCGAATGGTGGTGGGACTATCCTAGGGGGTACTTACCAGAAGGGAAACTGGGAGAGCCAGCCAGACCCTAACCAAGCCTTGCGCATCATGCGCCGAGTCGTCGAAATGATGCCTGAGATCACAAACGGGAAAGGGGTGGATGGCTTCGACATTGTTCGCCACGGTGTCGGACTTCGACCGTACAGGAACGGAGGCGTGAGGATAGAGAAGGAGAAAATCGATGGCACATGGGTCGTCCACAACTATGGTCACGCCGGTTGGGGGTATCAAGGCTCGTTTGGATGTGCTGAGGGCGTGGCCGAGCTGGTTTCTGAGATTCTCAATAAGCCTAAGCTGTAGATAGGCCGCCAGCTCTACGTGGATTCAAAGGGGATTTTGAAACTATAATACAATATTGGGTTTGCCGATGCCACAATTTCCGACTCTGACATACGCATGGATTCTGGAGCTTTTGGACACGGATGAGTACTGATAGGAATCCGAGTCAGCCCAGATATTGATGATTGTTCCAAGTTGCCGCGGAATTGGGACCAGTGTACTTCAGTGTCAGCTGAGATGCAGCTGACACAATCAAGAGATAGGTGTGTCCGTGCTCAAGCTCTCGTTGTACTACGGTAGACTCAAGTCGCACTGAGTGGGCCGTCTGAGCCCACTTAAGCCCGCTCTAGCAATCCGACTCATGGAGCTTATGAGCTTCAAAGGTTGCTCGCTTCCTTACAACCTTCATTGCGTGTGAACCTCAAGCGCGTCGCATAGTCGCTACATGACTGAAAGCAACCACAATGGCGGACACACAGCCAGGACTGGTCTCACAAGCCATGAAGCTCGTGTCTGACGTTGCCAACCGCCACCATGTCCTCTCTAAGCTCGTCCCGCCCGCTCTCTTCCTTCTCGACGGCATCCTCTGTGCCTTGATCATTTGGAAAGTGCCTTGTGAGCTTCCCCCCACCTGATCACTGCTTGCTGCTTGTCCAATTACTGACGAAGACTCTTGAAAACAGACACCGAGATCGATTGGAAAGCCTACATGGAACAGGTGTCACAATATGTGTCGGGCGAGCGTGACTACACGCTCATCAAGGGCGGCACCGGCCCGCTTGTCTACCCAGCAGCGCATGTGTACACGTACACTGGTCTTTATCACCTCACCGATCAAGGGAAGGACATATTCATGGCGCAGCAGCTCTTTGCGGTTCTCTACATGGTCACTTTGGCTGTCGTGATGGCATGCTACTGGAAGGCAAAGGTGTGTATGCTGACATGCGCTCCCTGGTCAAATCGCTAATAGTGACGTGCTTGCAGGTTCCTCCATATGTCTTCCCTCTGCTTATTGCCTCAAAGCGACTGCACAGTATCTTTGTGCTGCGATGTTTCAATGACTGCTTTGCCGTCTTCTTCCTATGGCTCGCAATTTACTGCTTTCAGTATAGGGCTTGGACCCTAGGCAGCATTGCCTACATATGGGGCCTAGGCATCAAGATGTCTCTGCTTCTGGTTCTCCCCGCTGTAGGAGTCATTCTGCTTCAAGGCAGAGGCTTCTCGGGCAGTCTGAAGTTGGCAGCAATCATGGTTCAGATCCAAGTGGCCATCGCCAATCCATTCCTCAGAGGGAATGCTAGTGGTTACCTATCACGGGCATTTGAGCTGTCCAGGCAGTTCCTATTCAAGTGGACAGTCAATTGGCGCTTCGTTGGCGAAGAAGTATTCCTCAGCCGCCCGTTCGCGCTGGGTCTTCTGGGTTTACATGCAGCTGTCCTTGCTGGGTTCCTCGCCCAGAAGTGGCTCAAGCCTGCCCGAAAGCCCCTATTCGCCATCATCTCACCTATACTCCGGTTCCAGTCTCCCTTTTCACCCCAAGAAGAGCCAATGGTTGCGTCCCAAATCACACCGCAATTCGTCACAACTACCATGCTCTCAGCCAATGTAATTGGCCTTCTCTTCGCCCGGTCCCTGCACTACCAATTCTATTCTTATCTCGCCTGGTCCACCCCGTACCTCCTGTGGCGCAGTGGTGCCCATCCGGTCGTCCAGTACGTGCTGTGGGCAGCTCAAGAGTGGGCCTGGAACATCTTCCCCAGCACACCAGCAAGTTCCGGTGTTGTAGTTGGTGTTTTGGCAATCACGGTTGTGCTGTCTTGGGGTGGGGCCACGAATGATTTGGAGGCTGTTTCAGCAAAGCAGGTCTCGCCAGCAGACAAGGCAGCTTAGCTTCTCCCATTTGGTCGGGAGATAGCTTTGCGTCAGTCCTCTTCCTCCGAGTCAGAAGGTGGCATCTTGCCAACATTGGAGTCCGAATCTTCCTCGTCATAGTGAGTGGTCTTTGTGAACTCCTTTGGCCTGAAGCAATTGTCAGCTTACTTTGTCTCTGTTGTCTCTGCAAATACAGATGACACCATACCAGTAGCTTTTCTTGCGCCATTCTCTCTCCTCGCGGACGACATTGACGATCTCGCCTTCCACTTTGCCCTTCACTTCCTTGATAGGCGTGAGGTCGACGAGGACATAACCCGCCCGTCGGATCCAGATGGTGCTGCGGAAGCGAGCAGCAAGCTCTACCAGCACGGTGCGGCTGTCAGGCAAGGAGCAGCTATAGAGGCTGTTACCCTCTGCTTTGATGACGCGAGCTAGCGACTGGTTGGCGGCGAGCTCGTCTGGGGGTGTCGTTGACTCCTCCGCTGCTGCGCGTATATCACGCTTCGGGCGACCCATTTTTGCGAATCTGGTGTTCTTTCCGTTTAAGAGGGCAATTTTGAGGAATTCCGCAGCGGAAACTGACCTGAGGTTGACGGAGTCACCAAAATTTGGAGAAGCGATTTGTGGGACCTGTATCGCAGAATAGTCCCGCAGTTATTCCGTCTCAAGTATAGTGACAGATGAAAGAGACCGCGGGTACAAATCCCCGGAGTTCAAACTCATCTCCTGGATCTGGCCTTAATGTAGAAACGAGCTGTTGACGAGGGCGTATTCAAGGTTTGCCAGTCGCTTTGATGTCCTTCAGTGGCTTCCAGGCGAACCCTAACCCGGCTTCTGCATATGTGCGCTTGCTCATCTCGAAGAACCGTTTCTGTGATCACAAAAGATGACGCACCAGCATCGTCATGATGCTTGGGAATGCTAAGTGAAGGTACGAATCAACCCCTACGAGGATAATCTCGGAAGTCGACTGGGTGCTTTGAATGGCGCGTTGGCGTGACGGGCCAGCAAAGCAGGCCCTGGGAGCTGGCTCGAGGAGCCTTTGCCACCTCATTTCTGCTTCCTGAGGGTCAAGCGGGAATACAACAAATAATGACAGAAACCCATTGCGCGACCCAGAGCGTTTGCGCTGGATTCTGACGAGCGTGGAGGGTGAATAGGACCGTCTTTTAAGCCGATGATGGCTCCACCGAGTTTCCGTACCAAGTATAGTTAGCCGCTCCGCATCTCTCGTCCATGTGCGCCACCTCCAACTTTCTAACTTGTTGGTATCTGGGAACGAGAAGGCTCTCCAACTACTCTACGTGCAGTCTGAAAACTGGCTCGCCCCAAACGAGTCCCCGACAATTTGCTTCGTGCCATACCAGCGAAGTCTTTTAGGTGTTAGCTCCATGTGGGTGGGATTGGGCAACTCCGCCATCCCTGGAGAGTGGAAAGAAACTGCGAAAGCCGCTTCTGTTAAAACACGCCCTATCCGTCAGACTACTTAGGTTAGTGATTTGCGGGGTGTTGTGTTGTCATGCTTCGTGATTGGAAACCCAATCTTTGATTACGGACCTGTGTCTGGATGGTGAGTTGGTAAGATCGTGAAACTGACCTGGATTTTGAGGCCCTTTCCCACTCTTATATTCTAGCAAGTGGGCGACCGAGTCACAGATACTCAAGTACGCTGCGTGATCCTTCGTTTTAAGGTGCTAGCACTCTATACTGATCCCCCACGGACACTGCAGTCTATATACCTGCTCACGGATGGGCCAGAGTTCTAAATGGAATCCGCCGTGTTCAAGACTTTGGTGCAGGTCGAGTCGGGTCAGAGCAAGCTCCCAGCACGACCGGAGCGAGCTGTATCCCGCACGTACCCTGCCGCCCCTCACGCAGAAGAGGACAGGATTGAACTGCAGCACTTCTCTCCGACTCGTTCAAGCGCGACGACGCCGAGAACCGAGGCCGCTGGCTTCTATGTCGATGTATCTCGTCCTCGCACCCCAAGTCAGTCAGACGAGGTTGGGACAGATGGCGTCGGCGCGCTACAGAGCGTCTGGGATCCATACATGAACCGCTTCAGACTGGCAGCTTGCTGTCTGATGAACTTTCTGAGTGGCTTGAACGACTCTGCGCCCGGAGCGTTGATCCCATTCATGGAGACGTGAGTGCCCCTGATGTAACATGTCCAGTAGACACATATAGCTGACCAATATCCCCAAAGCTACTACAACATTGGCTACGCCATCGTCTCTCTCATCTTCATCGGCAACGCCATCGGCTTCATCACCGCAGCGCCCTGCATCGACACCCTGCGCGCGCGTCTCGGCCGTGCCAAAACCCTCGCCCTCAGCCAAATCCTTATGGCACTAGCCTACGTTCCCATCGTGTGCACCGCCCCGTTCCCAGTCATCGTCGTCTCCTTCTTCCTCGCCGGCTTCGGCCTATCGCTCAACCTGGCCATCGGCAACGTCTTCTGCGCCAACCTAGCCAACGGGACGACGATGCTGGGACTTATGCACGGAAGTTATGGTGTGGGAGGAACCATTGGGCCCCTCATCGCAACCGCCATCGTCACTGCCGCAAATCAGGTCTGGAGCCGGTACTACCTCCTGACTCTCGCCTTCGCGGCGTTCAACCTCGGTTTTGCGACTTGGTCCTTCTGGGACTACGAGAAGGAAGCGGGTCCTGACGCGAGCCTGCTTCACGATTCCCCGCCCGGAACAAGACAGGTGTCCGCTATTTTGGCAGCATTCAAGTCCAAAATCGTCCTCCTTGGCGCTCTGTTCATCTTCTCGTACCAAGGAGCCGAAGTCTCCATCTCCGGCTGGGTCATCTCCTTTTTGATTTCGTCCCGCAACGGCAGCCCGAGCGCCGTCGGTTACGTCACTTCGGGTTTCTGGGGCGGCATCACGCTCGGCCGCTTCGTGCTCTCGCCCCTAGGATCCAAAATGGGTGAGAGGTCGTTCGTGTATGCCTGCGTGGTCGGGGCTACCGTATTCGAGCTGCTCGTCTGGTGGGTGCCCAACATAATGGGAGACGCCGTCTCGCTGGCTATCGTGGGGTTGCTACTGGGGCCTGTGTACCCGTGTGCGGCGGCTGTTTTCACGAGGAACCTGAGTCGGCAGGAGCAGGTCAGTGGGTTGGGGATTATTAGTGCCTTTGGCAGCTCTGGGGGTGCCGTTGCGCCTTTCACGACGGGTATTCTGGCACAGGCTGTGGGGACATTTGTGTTGCATCCGATTGCGATTGGGCTTTTTACTGTTATGCTGGGTTGCTGGTATGGTATTTCTGTCATGAGGAAGAGGACTGAGTAGAGCATATGACGCGCGGGAGATTGGAGACATTAGGGTACACAAGTAGGTATGAAGCTGAGAAATTGAGAATTGAGTTATTAGATGGAAAAGCATTTATGTCTATTCATCTACGAAGAATCTATATTTCGGGTCTCTATACACGTTCAGCCAAGATCTATCATATCCATCAAAGTCATTTTCATAACACAGTAACCCTTCAACCACGGCCGGTAGCCGCATCCTGCACACTCGTCTTACCCTCGATGACGCTCTGAACAACCTTGTAGATGTCGGAAAAGTCGTTGAAGACGGTGAAGGGCACATTTTGCCTCTCGCACCATTGCACGAGATCTGGACACATGGTTAGCATACTTGAGGTTTTCACACATGCGACAGATTGTCGAATTCTCACCCCGTCCGGCCTTTGCAAACAGCAGATCCGTCTCCTTGGCCGCAGACAGGTCCGAAACACCATCACCGGCGTAAAACATGATGGGCCTTTCGGCCAGAGCAGCATACGGCTTTATCTCGAGAGACTTGTCATGTCCGAAGGAGCTAGAAAAGGAGGTGGGTCAACCCCCGATACTTGAGTGGTGTCACGAAGAGACTCACCTATCGTCATGGTACTTGATGGTCCACCCACCCTCCTCGTTGATACTCTTCCCGGGCCTCGCCTGCACGTCATTACTGACAATCTGCATTGCCTCAACCTCCTTCTCGCCCACCAAATGGGCCAGCAGGGCCTTGATGACGGGTGTCATGCCGCCCGATAGCACTACGATAGGTACGTTGTTGGCAGCGCACCAGTTGTGGAACTCCTTGAACTTGGGGTCGAGCTTGATGTTGGCGAGCAGGATCTTGATGCACTCGGCAAAGGGCGTCTGGACGCTGTCGAGCATCTCCTGGAAGCTGTCGCGAAACGACTTGCGGTCGAAGAGCACGTCCTCATTGCCCTTTTTGCGCAGCGCCGTGCCGAATCCCAGGTTGTCCGTCATGAAGTCGTTGCTGTCTTGCAGCGTGATGGTGCCGTCGAAGTCGGTGAAGAAGATGGCCTTGGGGTTGGTCTGGAGCGCCGGAAGGGCAGAGCTGGTGCCATTGGTGGTCGCCATGGCGGGTTGCTTCCGTTTATGTCTACTGTAAACGGTAGGTAGATATCCCCCCACGAGATCTGGATCGCAATATGTAGTGAAATGCTTTCAACTCGCAATTGCGTCGTGATTGATTGAGATTCTGTCTACAGGAATGACGTCACTGTAGGAATCATCTATCAAGTCTATAGGTGCTAGATCTGAATGAAGCAATTGTCTAGAAGGAGTGTCAATTCAAATATGAGAGATAAATCAGAATCTTTCCAGAATCACAAGGTCGAAGGCTGAAACGGCCCTTCAACGTGGACTCGGCGACGTGCAGAGTCATCCATACCCACGGCCAACACCCCCCTTCGTGCGGCGTCGCTGCCCCTCCAAAAATCCATAAAAGCGGGATGATCTGCGCGCTGTTCTGCCAAGAATGGGCAGGGATCTTATCCTTATCGTGGCAGGCGGTCAGCGGCTGAAATGCGGACGGCCCGTAGTGGTAGTGGATTCAACGGCCTACCACCGGCACGGCGCTTTGGACACCAGCCCAGCCAGGAGCTTGCTCCAAGCTTTAAAACTTGCTAGCCCGAACCGACGCACGATTCTCAGCTCCACGACATCCCAATGTTGGTGTGTTCCCATACTCCTAATAAGTAGCCTGTCATGTCTCGTCCCCGAGCAATGCTGCATCTCCTTGGGGCGAGCTCACGGCCTCTGCTTGAGCAGTTTGTCGCCCCGAGTACACAAACTGCTCCTGGTAAACTGGTCCCGAGACCGAACCACCGGGTGTCGACATGGTCGTCAATATGCCTGAGCTGCAGCTTCACAGGCAACCGCCGCCAACTGCGGTTGCACTCTACGAAACCCGATAACGCACCGCCTCATCCCAACTGTCCCCCTGGCCCGCCACCGGAAACAGAGCCCTTGGGTTCCACAACGAAACCATCCTCTGCCGAAAACGAACCCCCGAGCTCAACCTCAACCCCCAACCTCCCCTCACACTCCGAATCCGCCCGCTCTGAACTCTCCCACCGCTTTTCATCGTTCATGGACCGCGCCCAAACGACACTATTCACCGCCTCGCAACGTCTCAACGACCTGACAGGCTACTCTGGCATCGAAACCCTGAAATCGCAAATCGCCTCTCTGGAATCCTCCCTGACGAATGCGCAAGCGCGCCACCACGCCGTCCGGCACCGCTACCAAACCAAAGTCTCGGAGCGTTCCGCCACCCAACGCGAAGTAACCACCCTTCTCGCCCGCCAGAAGACCTGGACCCCGGCCGACTTTGAGCGTTTCACCACACTGTACCGGCAGGACTACGAGTTAGAAGCCGAAGTCACCAAGAGCGCAGGGGATCTGGAGGATGCCGAGCGCGAGGCAGAGAAGCTGGGCCGGGAGCTGAGTACGGGGATTTTGGCAAGGTATCATGAGGAGCAGATTTGGAGCGACAAGATTCGGCGGATGAGCACATGGGGGACTTGGGGGCTGATGGGCGTCAATGTGCTGCTGTTTTTGGTGTTCCAGTTTGGAGCCGAGCCGTGGCGGAGAGCAAGGTTGGTAAGGGGGTTTGAGCAGAAGGTAAAGGAGGCGCTGGAGGAGGAGAGGGAGATTGAGAGGAGGAGGAGGGAGGAGAAGGAGAAGATGCGAGACGCAAATGTGACTGCGACTGCAACTGGTTCTGTGGCTGAACCGGTGTTGGTGGATGTCGTGGGTGCCGAGCAGGCTTGCGTGGAGGTTGCCGTGGCCGACGAGATTCCTCTACCGTTGGATGACCAGCAGCCGCCGCCGCCGCTATCATGGCGCGAAACCTTCGCCAATCCCGAGCGGATCAAGGCGGCCGCTTTGGATCTCGCGAGCGAACGAGTCGTCCCCGTGCGCATGCGCGACTTGTCTCTAGTAGCACTGGAAGGCGTTGTCGGCGGCGCCGCAGTAGCTGGTGCCATCGCCATCTTCTTCATCCGAAGAGCTTGATTGAAGAGCAACGCGAGCCCATTTAGGGGTAAACAACATGTAAATATGTACAATGAATTAAATCTAGAAGAGAGAGCTGTATAATACCATGTAAGCCCATCCCATCCCTAGAAGACTACGACGTATTGCAGGGAGGCATCCAGTGGTTCGGAAGCTGTCGGAATTGCCCATTTAGGTACGTACGATTATCCTGTCTGATACTTCTTCCGTAGACAATCAGCCAGCTCTACGGGAGCTTTGTCATCTCTTCGAGTCCGCAATCCCCTGTCTACTGGCTATAGTTCAACTGTTGTGAAGTCTCCGCAGTCAAATACAACACAACACCGACATTGAGACAATGGCTTGTTGGCAAAAGTCGCTGACTGGTTGTATACTTCGAGATTATAAATGAATAATCACCACAGGACATTCCTCAGCACCCAAGCCCAAGCATCATCCCATAGTACCCAGGCAACTCAATTAAAAAGATTGGGAAACTGGTCATCGTTACATTATGAAGGTCGTCTATTAAAGGGGGGAGGGCGAACGATGCCTCGAGAAATCTAAAAAGCTGTTCCAAATCTTGAGCTTTTTACGAGCGGATGGATGGCTCTGCAAAAAAGGTTCCTCGGCGAACATACCGCCAAAAACAATGGATATCCGCCAACGAATCTAAGCCGCTGTGCGCTAAATTTGAACGCGCCCTGTGTGGTTGGTGTGCGTGCGTATGTGTGTCCTGCACTTTGCATGGCCATTTTCCCACCCCCAGTCTCGTTTGTTCTTTTAATCGAAGTCCGACGTGTAAGAGAAGCCACGAAACTCCTCTTGCATGGCTTGCGAAAGTACTATAGGATGTTTAGTGGCAATACTCATATGAAGCAATATAAATTGACTTACCTGAATTCACCGGTGTGAGGACAGGTGTAACACTTGTAAATTCCGAGTCAAAGTTGCTGGTGTCCGTCGCGTTCTTAATTGTTGGCATGAACGGCGGCGCCACTCGCTTGTGGTAAATGTCGTCCCAGACGATATTGCGGAAGAAGGGCTGGTTCATGATCTCCTGCGCATCTGTTGGCCCGCTGCCAAGTCGTTGATCGGGTTCCCTGGTGAGCAGTTTCTGGAGAATCGAGACCGAATCTCTCGGCATATGAATAGGATACAGGGGCTCGTCCGCCAAAATAGCGTCGTAGATTTCATCTTCATCTTCGCCCCTGAACGGTGACTGTTGAAGAAGCATTTGGTATATCAACACACCAAAAGCCCACCAATCAACAGCTCTGCCATATTTCTTGTCAAGCAGGATCTACACACGTTATTTAGTAGTTGGACATGCATGTCGACACCAAAGGGGCATCTTACTTCTGGTGCCATGAATTCAGGGGTTCCACAGAAAGTGCTCGTGTTTGAGCCGAACCACATGTCTTCCTTGCAAAGACCATAATCCGCAATCTTGATATGACCATCAAGGGTCAAGAGAATGTTATCAAGCTTGAGATCACGGTAAATGACGCCGTTTTCGTGGAAGTACTTCAACGCCAGACATACTTCGGCAGCATAAAACCTGGATACAAGTCAGTCGTCGGTCTGCGCTCAACATCGGGTTGCGACTTACTGTGCACGCTTCGTGCCGAACTGACCGCGCTGGATGTGAAGCATGAGATCACCACCGCTAATGTATTCCATGACGAAATACACTCTGGTTTCCGTTTGGAAGCAGGCGTGGAGATTCGTCAGGAACGGGTGCCGCTCTCGGTTAGCAATCAAGAAGACTCTCTTTTCTGACCGAATGCTCTCGACCTCGTCGTTTTCAATGATGAACTCTTTCTTCAAAACCTTGATCGCATACAGTCTCCGTGACTTCTTGGTCTCAGCCAACATGACTTTGCCAAAGTTACCCTTACCCAAGACGGCCAGGAAATTGAAATGATCCAACCCGATACGTTGACCGGTTCCAGGGTCAGTCGCAAGCGGCAGCGGTTTTCTGCTGTTGGAGGGGACGATTGAGCTCGACGTTGGCGAAGGGAGCGGCTCAGCGGCCGGTGGGGGCTTTGACACGGGTGGATTTGATTGGTACATTGGCTGTTGTGCTTGCGGTTGAGGGGCTGACTGCTGGTGCTGCATGGGCCGCTGCTGTGGCGGTGACTGCTGCTGCTGTTGTTGCGGTGGCATTGAAGGCTGGGTAGGATATGTGTTGATATTGGCATAAGCTGCAGGATTATATTTTGGCTGCTGGGGCGGGCTGCTACCATATCCTCCGGGTTGAGAGTATGGATCATCATGGGAGTCCACAGATCCGCCATATCCACCAGGCCGACTTTGAGAGGCCATAGACCCACCCATGGCAGCTGTAGCAGCAGCGGCGGCTGCGCTGGAATTGCCAGAAGAGGTTCGATCGGGGTGTGTAGGCCTTGAAGAGGACGACTGAGACTGCCCGGCGTACATGGCCTTTGCCGCATTCGTAGCTTCCTGGGAGGCGATACTTCCTGTATAAGATGGCGTATGGGTGCTGTACGGAGACGTAGGCCCTTCGGAACTCGGCGTAGTCTTAGCTTGTCGGAGAGTCCGATCTGTGAGAGAGGATCCTTTCGATTGCCGCTGCTTCTGTGTTCGTATGCCTTCCAAGATTTGGTTGGCCACGGCCATACTCATGCCACAGAAGTCGGGTACCAGATGCGCGCATTGTGCATGAGCTGTAAGACTACATTCTGGAACTTTGTTAGACTGTTGCCGAGGACCTGGGTTGGGGTGGGTGTGGAACAGAAGGGGAGGGGGGGTAGTGGTGGTGGTAAGGTGGCTAAGAGAGCATGGCACGAATGCTTACCAGAACACTTTCGGCAGTTCTTCTTTCCAAATGGTAGAATGGATCCACAATGGCAGCACCAGTTAGCCGTGACATTGCTGAATGGTGTGAATCTATGGGGGATACGGTGGTTGATCTTCTCCTCGTCAGGGTCGGTTTCTGCGTTGGATTTACTAATACACTTCGTAACGACGCTCTGATAACATTTCGTGTGGCACGTGTATTTGCAGTCCTCGCATTGCATCCCAGCGGAGTATTTGAGAAAATCGCCGCACAAGGCGCAACGCATGATGTTGTAGAACTGATGCTGGACGAATTTGTGGCCATACATCTCATGCACCTCTTCTTTGCGCTGACGGACGGCACCCTTGCGACCAAGACCAAGATCAACCTGTCGTCGATCCTTGTTCATCTTGTTGAAGTTCACCTGGAGGTGGATTGAACCTGTGGGTTCCAGATTAAACCAGCCATCGATTGGCTGGTTACCGATCGACGGTGCAGCCTGAGGACCAAACTGCTGCTGCGGTGACGTCGGCGCCGACGGCTGGCCCTGTAATCCCGGCGATGTAGGCGGAGGGCCGAACTGCTGTTGCTGGGGGGCGAGCGGGAACTGCGGCGGCGGGGCTGCGGAACCGCCCAGTCTATCGGCAGAAACCCAACCAGAGTTGTAGACCTCGGCCTCGATCCTCTTGCGGCGCATTTCCTCGACGATATCCGATATCCGGACCCACAGCATGGCGATGGGGAGGGCGTGCTCGCCAGGCTTGTCGTATACCGTGAGTTCGATTTCATTTGCCTCTCGAACTTCGATATTGTGGTATTCGCCGTCCCATTTGTCGAAGCGCGAGGCCTTGGTGCGAGCGGCCACGTTATCTTCAACCTTGACAGCCACGAAGGTTTCCGGACCTCGAGAGAACCGACTTGTGCTCGCGTGGTCCACGTCTTTGATCTGGATAATGCGAACAGACAGCTGACCGGTCAAAGGCTTTCGCAGGTTGGGCATATTGATGCTGTCGTCTGGTAACGAGTTCCGCGTTAGCTCACTAACGTATGCGCCCCGAATACTAGCAACTTACCGTCGGGCGAGTCGTTCGTTTCCATGTCGTCAATGTGAAGTTCCTCGTATCTCTTGAGTGCCTGCTTCAAGAGCTGGATCTTCTGCTTGCTCTCGACACGCTTGGCGGCGGCGTCAGCCTTACTTTTGCGATCGCCATCCATGCCATACAGCTGGACCATCTTCTCGATACCCTTAAGATACTGCTCTTCCACGTTAAGCTTGAATTGGATCTGCGAAAGCATAAGTTGAATGCGGGGGCCGAGGTAGGGGGTATCGTATTTGATGAGGTCTGGTGTAGCGCTGTCAGCGAAAATCATAACCAAGCCAACACCATTAGCAGCATACCTAGTTTGGTGAAGTTCGGTCTTGGCCTTGGCGTGCCCGTGTTGGGACCGGGAGGCGCATAAGGATGTCGTGGAGGCATCATGTCGCCGTGGCCGCCTATTTGACTATAGCCACCGGGCCCGGATGTGCCAGTATCGCCTCCTTGCCAGCCGCCGGCATCTTTGGGCGGCGGCGTCGGCGGTCCTTCTGCATCTCCTCGTAAATCTGCGCTTTTGGGATGTATCGAAGCAACGGCAGTCGAGCCCGAGCTCAGACTGAGGTTGTCGACGCCGTGTCCCATGCGCTTCATCTGCAGGTCGCGAAGTTTCTCCTCGAAGAATTGCAAGTTCCTCCGGCCCTCTCGCATCTGGGTATCGAGTCGAGACCTAACATCGTCGTTGTTGGTCTGCTGTCGCATAGCATTGGCAGCGTTTATAAGGGCCTTTTCTCGCTCGATCTTTTTGAAGATGTTGGCCATGGTCTCGTCCTCATTGATGGAAGCCATGCTGGGTGCGGGTCGCGCGTCCTACGCGCAGGACCAAACAAGCGATGGGGCGATTCGCCAAAACAAGAAACAGCACTCGCGGGCCTGTCAAAAAGCAGGTGCAAGCTTGAACAAGTCCTGTCCCAGGCGGTCGTGGTAGCAAATACAGAGTAGCAACTGTCGGGTATGAATGCGATGTCGTCAGTTCTTGGACGGCTCTGGAGAATGGCGGGGTTTTGTGTTTCAAAGCGCGAGTGGTGGTGGCCAGGGCTGTGGGGTGGTGCGGTTATAAGGCATGGGCATGGAAGTTACTTGTCACTTCCATCGTTGAAAGCCAACATTTAAATACCTTACCTTGCGTAGGTGGGAACGCAAATGGGTTCGATTTCCCCCTGTGCTTCTGCCATATCACTTTGTATCGTTTTTGTTTTCACCATCTACATCAAGCTCTGGACACATGAGACAACAACTCATCGCAGATTTGTCGTTTCTTCGGTTGCTCTGTCCAACTGACACCCGACTTTATGAGTTCTGCAGATCCCATACTTCCTATTATCGACCTAAACGTAACCTCTATTCTCAGCCCAGCGTGACCATCAGCATTTCATCCTGGACCACCGGCGGCGGCGTCCACTGTCTCTAGATTGTGTGTTGGTTGCATGATTTATCGAAAATTCGTACCTCATCCAAGGTCAAGTATCTCTACCCACGTGTGCCCAGGTACGTAAAGTTGAAGTACCTTTACAAATTGAAAACATCGCGAAGCTCCACCAGGCATATACAGGTTTTCGCCATTGATGGTGAAGGACTTGACTTCATAGGAGGCGACAAACCACACGTTACACTTGATGAGGCGCAGCGCAGTCCTTCGCCATGTAGGATTCCTCTGTTTCCGTTTTCTCAACAGTTCAATTGCAGCTCCGAATGCGCGAGCACATGCATATGCCACCTTGCCCAATCCCCCCACCATTTCGTTTTATGCTTGGGGAAGCTTGGGCCGACTCGTCGTCATTAGGCAAGCCAGGCCCCGGCAAGACGACAAGCAAGAAACCGGATGAGGCACGTGACAGAGAGGCACTCGAATGGAAGCCGCGTCCCTTGAAACCTCCAACTCAGTCAGAAAAAAATATAACAAAGAAATGCTGTTTGCATGCGGCAAGAACTGATAACTCAGCTTATCAACACTGCCGGCATGTGAATGCGAATCAGTTTTCCACTGTCAAATCGTATCAATATCAATATATCCTCTTATTAACTTGCAGTAACGTATTCATTCGAGCTGGAGAGTTCTACAAGGTCCCCCTGGTGTCAGCACAACATCAGATGGATCTGAATCAATCAGTCAGACAAATTCAAACATGGTTGGACAGCGTTTGGAAACCTCAGCTCTACATTTTGCCTCCAAGTGTTTCCACGGTCGCCCCTGACAGGCAGCTCGAAGCTTTCACTGCAATGCCTTTTGTCTCCAGCCCGATCCGGTCGACTATCTAGTTATATGGGAATCGTGCTTTTAACTTGTCATTTACAATACCCCAAACAGCATCTTCGTAAACCAATCAGCTCGAAGCAAGCAGGCTCTCTGTCCCACCTATTGTTCAGTGGGAACAGGCGTCATGTACACATTTAGGATCGGTTTTTCCCAGAGCATGTAAATCTTCTGGTTTTTGATCCAGTGCCTGCTGTCATCGGCAAGTGTGAGGTCGAAGGTGAACAAGATCCTCGCGAGAATGAGCCGCATCTCAGCATATGCCAAATTGCGACCAATACAGTTATTGGGACCTATGCTGAATGGCTGCAGAACGTCCAGCTTGTCGCTGGCAAACTTGAGATCGCCAAAGAAACGCTCGGGGTGATAACCCTCTGGACCGATGAAGTTGTACTTACTGTGGTACATCGGGAGCTGCCAAACGCTGACGAGTGTCTGTTGGAAAAAAAAATGTCAGTCATAAATTCGGTGTGTTTCGGTAAGTAACGAGAAAGAAGAAAGCAGGGCGGGGGCTTGCTTACACCTTCGGGGACTACGTTTCCGTTGATAATAACACTGCCCATCCCCTTAACTACTCGACGTGGCATCCAACCGGGTGCTGGTGGATAGCAGCGGAGTGTCTCATTCAGGCATGCGAGCATGTAGGACAGCTTGGCCACAGAGGTCAAGGTGATCTCTTCCGATGTAGTATACGAGGACCGAACCTCTTCTACCACCTGTTTGAATGATTCGGGATGTGTCAAAAGGAGGTAGGTTACGCCGCAGAGAAGAGTGGCAGTGGTTTCCGAGCCAGCAATGATGAATAAGCCAGAATTTGACTGCAATCTCTTCAGACATAGTTCCTCATCGTTTTCATCAGCTAGCAAGTAGGCTCGGTAGGGGTTGGCATACGTACGACGCCATCTTTGTTGTGAAGAAGCCCCTCAAGCAGGTCAGGCTGTTTCCCGGATTCAATACGCTTGAGGAGTTTTTCCTTTGTGTATTCCACGTGCTTCAATCTGTTTTTCCCAAGGCCGACCTTTGCAAGCCACTTGATGAGGAAGCTGAAACCGTTCCGCTTTAGCTCACCAAGGTATACCGTTTCACGGTTGAAAAACGTGATCATTCTGACCCATGGGTCTACATCTCAATGTCAGGAAGTGCTACTTGTATATTGTCTTAGACGTGAAGAGTCATGTCGGTGAAGTTGCTTTTACAGATCCCATCACCCTGAGACACGGCATATATAAGGCAGTGAGGACTCCAAGAATTACTCACGATAATCGGATGACTCGAGACAGCCAAAGTCACTAGAGAAGGCAAGTTTGCCAATGACATCGAAGGTCATGAAATTGTCTGCCATTTTATTCAGCAGCGGCACGTTTCAATAAGTTGGCCACATGAACGGGTACTTTGGCATCACTTACACCACTCGCGAAGGTTGACCGCTGTGTGCCCGCCATGACAATTTTGCATGAGCCTGTCAATGAGCAAATCGACGTAGCCGCCAATCATGGGCTCCTGCTCTTTCATGGAGCGATCCGAGAAACTAGGTGCAACCCATTTACGTAGCGCGGCATGTTCAACGGGGTCGGCATTGATCATGTTGATGGGGCCTGCAGGAGTCTGGCGATAGTACTCATATGCCTTCTCGAACCTCCCACTTTGACGATGGCCGTAGATGTCCTTCCATGCTTGGGCGTCAATGAACCCCAAGTTGTTAGGGCTTATTCTGACGACAGGGCCATACTTTTCGAACAAAGATGCGACGTATTGTGGCTGTCTGCCTTTGATCGTGGCATACACAACCGGAAGCTTAGTGATCCGGTTGAGAAAGGGGCCTGGGTAGTTCCGTAGAGGGTGGAAGAGAGCTCTATACACTGCTATCAAGAGTAGATACAGTCCGATCTGCCAATGTTAGACTTGTTTCTGAGTGACGTAGGTTTCACAAACCCCAACAACAGCTGCACCGACGACAGTGCCTATGGGTAAGGGAAACACCATAGCTGCTGCGTTTGGCTTCCTCGTATTGAGTGGAAAAAAGACAAAAATGGTATGCTGCGGCAGATCCTTTGGACGTTATATCTGAGCGAAGAGAGAAGATCATTGGTGTTGTTGGGATTGAGTCAACTGGCTGCATATAATATGTCTACTCATAAATACTAAGGCAGCAAGTGACCTGAATCTCGGATGTGATGTATGCTACTAACCTGTGAGAGCTCTCGATGTAGCAACTGAGAGATCTCGTGAATTGGTCGCATAGCAGGTATTTGGCCAACTGGCTTAAACACTTCGACCCTTTATGGACTCGGCAAAGATTCCAGCCACTATTTCCAAGATAGCAACGTCAGAGGCTATTGGCTCAATCAGGAAGTTGCAGCGGGTCATCTCTGTATGAATTACTCGTGCAGCCTATTGTCGACAATAAACTTCGACTGAACGTCATATAAACGTAGATACCGTTAGAAGCCAAGCACTTACTGAGATGCTAGTAAGTACTTAGGCAGGGATCTTACAGGTACACATATGAGGGATGGGGGCACTAGGGTTCGACCGACTTTGCCGATGTTCCATAGAAGCTCTACACGCTCCACTTATTTCGGATTCGCTTGAGCTCACCACCAACTTAGCCAGTTTTTCGATAGATTTCAACTTTCAATTAGAACCTACGTAATAACCGCTAACTAAGGCCTGTCTCGAAGACATCTATGGGCTTTAATTAGCCTGTTAATCGACGTCTTCTAACTTCTTTTACGGTTTTTAGCTACTCTCTCAAGCCGTGTAAAATACTTGTGAAGGTCAACCCTCGCAGACTCACTACAACCAGGTGACTTACAGCTGGAACACCTGCCGTGGCAGTGCCAGATGGGAAGCCAATCATAACCCCTGCAGGAGCCCCGCCAAGCGTGGACGACTTAGTCGCGCTCCCTCAAACCTAAGTTTGTGATCTTCTTTCCTTCGCTCCTTAGAGTAGAATCTTCGTCGATAGCACCTAATCGAGGTCTCTACCAATGCGATGCAACCCAGGTCGTAACAATACTCTCGTATAGTATCGAGGTTTTTAGTAGTCTAGCGGTTTGAATAGAGCTTCCGCTAGGAAGCGTAAAAGTAGCTATAACGCTTAAGGAAACGTGTAGTCTAGTTTAATCCGACTATAGTAGTAGCTAGTCTAGTAGAACTTAACTCTCTTACGTAATATCGTATTTATAGCGTTAGTGTGGGATTGAGCGCCACGGTTATGCCCTAGGCCGAAGGCGGTGTAGCGGCAATTGCACTAGTGGGGTCAAACCCTTCCTCGTAGATAAAATAGCTACACACTACATGTCACGACCTGGGTTGCATCGCATTGGTAGAGACCTCGATTAGGTGCTATCGACGAAGATTCTACTCTAAGGAGCGAAGGAAAGAAGATGACAACTTAGGTTTGAGGGAGCGCGACTAAGTCATCCACGCTTGGCGGGGATCCTACAAGGGTTATGATTGGCTTCCCATCTGACACTGCCATGGCAGGTGTTCCAGCTGTAAGTCACCTGGTTGTAGTGAGTCTGCGAGGGTTGGCCTTCACACTACACACAACAGAGCAGATAGACAGATCAATCAAGACAGGATCTACGCAGAGTCATCAATAGAGGATTGAATCCCTCAGTTAGTAATAAATTCTACGCGAACCGTAAGATTAATCCTATTAAGGCGATCGATATAATAGAGGGCCTTTTCTTCGGCTTTAGATAGTAGTTTGTTAAGTCCTCCGTAGTTTTTAGTCTTCCTAGCTTACTTAACGCGGTATCGGACGGTCTCGCGGTTTACGCCGCTTTCTCGCGCAATCTTGGTAATTTTAGCTTAAGGATACTCTTACATATAGAGGATGGCTTCCTGTAGCTGTGAGTCCATTGCGATTAGAAAAAGCTGATGAATTGATGAAGATAGGATAGGTCGAAGTTAAAAGTGTTGAGAAACTGGCCAAGTTGGTGAGCTCAAGCGAATCCGAAATAAGTGGGGCATGGCACGGGTACAGAAAGTGATAAGCCACCTAATCATGAGTCATTACATATAGCTTCCAGACCATCACAGCAAGCTACTGCTTTATCTTGCTATGCGGCTTTCATTGTTGGTAACGCTGTCGCTTCGAATGGCAGTGCATATCAACCGAGGAATGAACATCAAACATAACAATAAGCCTTGGACTTCCCCAGGACTGACTGGGTAAGTGCCAACAATCGTGAAGCTGTGGGATGTCCATAAATGCAGCACTAGCAATAGGAGTGGGCCAAGGGAATGAACGCGGAAGTTTCGGGCCGGGGAGTTGCTGACGACTTGCAGATATGCAACTAGCGATGTCCTCGTTAATTATGTCGCGTCGCCCTTGCAGTTTGCAGTGCGTAGCAAGTTGTCGGTCCAATTGCGGCCGAGGGAACATCACGTTTCGGCCATCTGCGTACTTCGTACTGTATACCATTGTTTTTGATTCCTAGACGTGACGCGACCACTGCCTCCACATAATGGCTTCAACGTCCACGACATTCTTGACCTAACCACTCAAGTCACCGCCTTAGCCTGGCGACAAAACAACACAATGGCACCGGAGCCGCCCATCACTCGCCGCAAGAGAACTCGTCCTCAACCAGATGATGAGGTCATCTTGTCACCCGCACCGGCGTCCTCAGCTAAAAAGCGGCGGCTTAACGATGCGCATGCCTCGTCACCATCAACCCCCAAAGCCTTTTCAGCTCTCGCTTCCGCAATAGGAGGGGCTGGAGGGGTTCTTGGAGTCGGTCGTCGAGTCAGCACCAACAAGCTGAATGGCAGGTTCAAGCATGGCTGTGAGGCACTGGAATCAAGCGACGGCGAATCTGCACAGGATTTACAAATAAAATCGAACAGACCGGCAGTGAAATGGGGCAAATTTGGCTTAAAAAATCCCTACGTCCGAGATGCAACCAAGAGCGTCTACGATGTGCCAGATTCGGGAGATGAGCTGGAGGACCCGACCCACGCAAATGACTCTGCGAACGGCTCTGCGAACCCACAGTACACCCTCCCAAGCACGGGACAAAGGGCGAATGGGCCTTCGAAAACAGCCAATGCCTCGCCAAAATGTTCTGCTTCAAGTCGGGCAGTGCGCGGTGCAAAGAAGCATGACGAATACGAATTTTCACATGAAGAATCGGAAAGATATCCACCACAACAAGGGGCGGACATCGGCACTACCGACGATATTGAAGAAGAAGAAGCTGGCGGGAAAGGATCAACAACACGAGGCAGCCTAAGAGGTTTTACAGGCCGCCGGCAGGAGATTGCCCAGAAGCAGCCACCAACGCCTAAAGGCATATTGACACCGCGGCGCAAAAGACTTGGAAGGCCGCCTAAAAGCGTTGCATTTGACAGTGAAGACAATAGAAAAACTCCCGAGGTGTTTTTTGCGGATTTGCCGTCCAAGTCAAAGATCGCATCACAAGCGAAGTCCAAGCCAAACGTCGCGGCCCCAGTGGGCAAGGGCAAGGCCTCCGCTGCAGACGATAAAGAACAAGACAAGGAAGAGGAGGAGGAGGAGGAAAGCGAGGATGACGAAGTCTGTGTTATATGCTCTAAACCCGACTCAAAGGGTGGGAACAAGATCATTTTCTGTGACCACTGCGAAAAGGCATTTCACCAAAAGTGCTACAAAGTGCCCGTGATTCCGAAAGGCGACTGGTTCTGCCGGGGTTGCCTGCAAGAAGATGCATTGCACAATGAACAACAAGCCATATTTCCTGGATTACAAACCGGATCGCAAGAAGTCAGCACCTCTAAAGAACTGCCTGATATCCCCAACTTCGAGCGGCATCTCCACACAATGCAACGCGTGCTGATCGACCGGTGCTCCGGAAGCCGGCGCATCAAACTTACTGGTCAGACTGAAGCGTACGAGAAGACCTTCCAATTGGTAGAACAGACTATTTTGGCAGGCGAGGGTAATTCCATGATGATTATCGGCGCACGAGGCTGCGGCAAGACAACTGTAAGCGCTCCAATGCTTTTCTCTATCACGCGTTGCTAAATTGCGTGACAGCTCGTGGAAACTATCGTTTCCGACCTTGCTGCCGATAATAAGGAAGCATTCCATGTTGTCCGGCTGAACGGGTTCATCCACACTGATGACAAGCTTGCTCTGAAGGAAATATGGCGTCAACTGGGAAAAGAAATGGCCGTAGAGGATGATTTGGTGAATAAGGTGCGTCCAACGCTGTCGCGTAGCCAACCACCAGAGACTAATGCGATGAAGACCAACAATTACGCCGACACCCTGGCTACGCTGTTAGCTTTGCTTTCCCACCCGTCAGAGATTACTGGCACCGAAGAGGGGCTGACGTCCGAATCTGTTGTTTTCGTCATTGACGAATTTGATCTGTTTGCGACACATGCCCGGCAAACGTTGTTGTACAACTTGTTTGACATCGCTCAAGCTAGGAAAGCCCCGATCGCCGTACTTGGCTTGACTACGCGAATCGATGTCGTGGAGAGCCTGGAGAAGAGAGTCAAGAGTCGGTTCAGCCATCGATATGTACATCTCTGTCTGCCCAAGAGCCTGCCTGCGTATTGGGACATATGTAAACAAGGACTTTCAATTGATGAAGAGGATATCGAGTCTGAAGGTTTCGACACCACTTTAGCGGGGGTCGAAGAGTTCCTGCAATACTGGAACGAAAACATCGAGGTCAGCAAGTTGCCCCTGCCAGTCGGGTTTCGGCTATCGCTGACAATATCTCTAGAAACTGCAAAAAACGCCATCCTTCCAAGATCATCTGGAGTACCATTTTTATACGACAAAGTCGGTCCCAATGTTTCTGACGACATGGGTGCTCCCACTCTCTGCTCTGTCCGCCACATCCCCCGTCCTGCAGGTTTCGTCTTCATCGGTGTTATCTGTTTCTTTGGACGCTCCAGATTCGAAGCTTCACCTCTTAGCTGCTCTGTCAGACCTCGACCTCGCGCTATTGATCGCTGCAGCCCGCCTCGATATTGTGGCGCACACCGACACGGTCAACTTTGCCATGGCCTATGATGAGTATAGCTCCCAAATGGGCAAACAAAGGTTGCAGTCGGCGAGTTCCGGCATGTTAGCACTTGGCGCCGGAGGCAGAGTTTGGGGTCGTGGAGTAGCCGCCATGTCCTGGGAGAGGTTGGTCGCTCTGGGGCTTCTGGTACCTGCGGGCATAGGAGGAAGGAGCAACGCGATACATGGGGGCCTCGAGGGCAAAATGTGGAAACTTGATGTAACGTTGGAGGAGATACCGGCGGCCGTCGAGCTGCCTGCATTTCTCGGAAAGTGGTGCTCCCAGATTTAGTTGGAGACAGGCCAACTTACCATCAGTCGAGACTTTTGCTAGACGTTGGTTACCGGTCAGTCCCCTGCGGTTATACACCAGAAATAAACATCCTAGTGCCAGGGTGTTCATCTTTGACTACTTAGACGGCCGGAGCAACATTTCCCGGGACGTTGTAGCGCCACATGAGAGTTGAATGCGCCAAGCATTTGCCTATTCGGAATCTTCTAGTTCTATTTCGGACCTAACACTAACCGCTTACAAACATGTCGGTGGGTGTCACAGCCGCAAGAGCTCCACCACCCATGGCGCATGGACGGGTTCGCGAGAAACAATGAGATCATTGGTTCCCTTAGTACTGAGACTAGGATCTCATTACTTGGTACATCAGTGTTTCTGGTTCGTTTACTTAGCACGAACCCCATAAAGGTTTTGTCCACCTTGCACATGCCAACTTAGAATCCTGCCGCGCTTCCAGACCTTCTATTCAGATCACTTTGGAGGGCGGGCGTGCCAACAAGTCGGCGGTAGGTGTTCTTCGTTGGGGATTGTTGAGCTCTTTGACTGCTGCCTTACGTTCTCATCCCATCGTTTTTCCTGTGACCTGGTTTCAATGCGTCACAACATCTCAGATCGCGCATCCATACTTTCTCCTCTGTTGTCGACCAAGCTGTCTGCCATCTAAGCAGCTTATTTACAATCAACTTTAGCATATCGCCAGACGAGCTGGGTCCAAACAGTGGCTGCTTACTCTTATCGTCTCATCTTCTTTTCCAGCCATCGCCCTTACGCTGGGCCTCCTTTTGCTTCTCTTCTTGTTCGCCGCCTCCTCCATTCATTTCTTCTAATATCGCCTCAATCGAGCGCTCTCGCGCAATCCCAGCCATCTCTTCGGTTCATCAGTTGCTTCACCCCAGGCGTCGCGCGCAATGTCGAAGAAATCCACCTTCACGACCATCACCCCCCTGCCGCCAGGCATAACGCGCGAGGTGGTCGTCCAATTTCTCCACAACCACCAGGAAATGATCGACCTGAACCCGCTCGTCATTGAGCGCCACCCCATCAAGCCGCCGCCACACGCGACGGCCGAGGAGTACCACTGTACGTGGTGGAGCCTGACGGACAAGGTCTCCTATCTACCGGGTGGCATGGCGACGGGCGACATCACCTACACGTGCGCGTTCCACGATCTGCCGACGGGGCTGCAAACCCACTGTTACGCACCCATGGGAACAGACATTCGGGATCGGTGGAGAGTCGAGGGCACGCTTCCCGGCGAGCCGATCCAGCCGATAGAACTCGGGATAGGCGCGCCCATGCATGGGCTTTACATCCGTGAGGTAATGGGAACCCCTCTTCCCCTAAACAGATCTTTTCCCTCCCTTGAAGCTAAAATGTGTCTGCTATCTCGACAGGATGTCGAACTCCGTTGCAATTTCATCATGTCCTCCTTCGTCAAGAAGACGCTCAAAAAAGCCCACGGGGCACTGGTAGACCGCCTCTCAATGAGAGCGCAAATCGCGACGGCCGCCGATCTGAACCAGCGCATGTCCATACAGCGCAGCGCCACGCGCGACAGCGTCCATTCTCCGGGCGGAAGTGACCGGTCCAATGGTGGTGTCGCGCCGTCGCGTACGAACTACCACCAGTACAGCAATAGCGATAGTGGCTTCTCCATGCCTATCACGCAGTATTCACCATCCTCTCACGCAGGAAATGTGTGGTTCAGCCCCCCTCCGCAGTATCAGCAGATGGGAAGGAGCCCAGGGCCGGGGGCAAATTGGGAAGTGGATCAGAGTCCGGGGGCTCCATCGGCGCATGTTCCGGATGTGGTGGGTCTCGGGCTGGCCTCGGTCCCGTATCACGTCTCGGGTCACCATAATAGGTCAGGCTCCATGCCAGCGGGGCCAGGTCGTGATGCGTTCGGGAGAGTTAGCTGGTATGCTTTGCAGAACTCATCGACGGCGGGTGCTACTACTCAGGGGCAAATGCAACAACAGGGACAGGGCTGGCCGAGTCACACGAACTCGCACTTGCGCGATTCGAATTGCATGGCGTTGACACCGCTAAATCCGCATCGAGGTTCGATGTCTCCACCGCCTCAGATTCCGCCGTTGCGATTGAATGAGCATGATGAGAAGGAGGGGTATAATGCTTATGACCCGAGGACGTCGGGACAGCAGCCGGCGAACGAAGAGTTCTTGGCTGAATTGGAGTAGGGCCGGGAGCCACGTAATGTTGCTGAATTAGATGGATGGATATTGCGTTGTTGGGAGCATGTGAGGCTGGTTTGCTTACCCGAGTAATGGTCAGAGCTGTGTTGCAGACGAGAGCAGTGCTTTGGATAATACCCCACGTCATTCAAGTTTATACCATGGAGAAGAGCGCGACATCGTTAATGAACTTCCGTATTTGATTGTACCCTGTATGCGGAGAACCGGGAACAAACAAGTCGTCGCACCCAATACTAATTAGGAAACAACAAATGTTATGGAAAAGCTCCGCTATGCTGTTGCCGTAACCCTCATCCCTGCCCCAACTTTAGCATGAAGTCATCAGTGCCCCGCTATGGCGGGGTACTCGCACCCACTGAAGGTGTAGTTGATCTAGCTCTTGCAGATGGTGCTCAGCTCGTTGATGACAACGGTCGTGTTGTAAAAGGCGTGGTTGACCGGGACAGTGCCCCTTGGGACCGCCACCGACTCGGTTGCCATGGAGAAGTTCATGGCCATTGCATTGAGTCCGACTTGGGGGCGACGCGGCGGAAGCGGAAGAGGAAGGGGGCCAGGGTCTTCATCTGTATTGTTGATAATGGTCGTTTCTGGACTGGACTGGAGAACTAATGATGAGTTCGAGAACAAGAAGAAATAGAAGCAGCTGCGGTTGCGTATCATGTAGCGAGGGACTAAGAAATGAGTGAACAGTCCAATGCATAATATCGAGGAAAACGAAAGCTCTCGTAAGTATGTGGGTATCCGTTTCCTAATATACACCAGCCATGGTGAGAGAAGACCAGCCTGCTTGTCTAGGAGATAATCTGGAATTCGACACACAATGCCCAGTCACTCAGCAAAACCCATTACATATGCACAACAAACCCGAATACTTTGTTGTCGTGGAATGCGGCGACTATCTTAAGTCGCTGTTCCATTCTTCACCTTGGCCAGGTCCCATATTAGACATGTCAACGCATATCAGGCGCAACGGTGGTTAAGGCGAGTCTTGATTTTCATCTGGGAGTCCATGGCAGCCAGTACGCCCATCCCCCAGCTCATATATACAGTTGGCTGAAAGATGCCGGCGGTCATTTCTTCCTGTACAGTCCCCTTCAGCTTGCAGAGCTGTCTGCCTCTTGTCTTCTTGCTATGTCCAGCTTTCCTTCTGACAATACTCCTGGCCATGATGGTGAGCCAGACGAGAGTGCCCCTCTGAGTCGCTGATCCGTTCAACCCTTTGAGCCCTTGGCGAGGTGCATTTCGTCGGTAAAGTCTTCCGGAAAGCCGTCCCGCTCCGCGAGACTGGAAGGAATCTATAATTCTCGAACGCTAAACACCCACACATCTCAGGTCTCTTTTGGTTCGTGGCTGATATAAAATATGTCCACTTGAGCCAATCCATCGCGGCCATCTGGAACCGTCCAACGAGGGGAACGAGGGGCTCTCTCTAAGTTGCTTTATCCTTTGAACGCCGCCATGTCCAGGAAACAAAAGAGTCTTGGGTGAGATGATCAAAATCGTATTACGTTGAGCGGTCAGGTAAGGAGGGAAATGATCACGCGTCAAGTGTCGCACGCCCGGGAAACGCATACCGCAACGGTGGACATAACGACCGGCCCCGGCCAGCAATGCTCTTCGTCACTTCCGGTTGGACCGGCTTTGGCTTCTCTCAGGCATTCGAGGAGCACCGGGAGCACCGGGAGCACCGGGAGGACCAGGGGCAGCCGCAATGGCGTCAAAGTCATAATTTTTTAATGTCTGCTCATATTTGGCATTGCGTAGGAACTTGGGTACAGAGTCCTGCGAAAATGGTCAGCTTACTATTCGACATACCGTATGCCAGTATTTTGGGGACTTACACTAGCCATCAACTTGAAAACAGCATTCTGAGCATCCTCGAAAAGCGCTGTTACCTCGTGTAGCGTGTCGATCATGGCGACGTCCTGTCCGACGGCCTTTGTCATGCGAGTCGCCAGATTGTTGCGAAGTTGATGGTCGATGTTAAGCTCACAAGGAGAGCCAGGGGCTAGGAAAGCATTGTAGATGCCATAGGCTTGGGCCATGATCTCCTTAATGCCATCCATCGACGTGGCATTGGGATTCTTCTGAGCAGATCGGATGGCATGTCGGCAACCGCGTACAAATTCGTCCACGTCCAAATAGAATGACAAGTTCTCCTCGCAGTGCGTCTCTCGCAGGTTCTCGCGGAAGAGCAGTCGTAGTGCAGCGTCGGTCAAAATTTTGTCAAGCCGTTGCGTGTTGGAGTCACGAGCAATGCCGCCACGAGCAGGCTGCACTCCCTCACTTTCCGACGTCCGCCCTCGGGTTCCACCGCCGTTGATGATCTCCCGGCCCTTGGCCGTCATTTGGTAAATGGCGTTCTTCGTTGGTTGGAAATGTGCCGCAGAGGGAGATGACGCCATGTAGACTCGGTCTTGTTGGATGGCTTCCATAAGTTCGTATTCCACAAATGCAGCCGCCATCTCGTAGCTCTCGACACGTGCCACTGTCGTACAGCAGTCCATGAGCCAGTCTGAGCAAGCTCTGCCCGTAAATGTGTCCTTGTACGTCTTACCGGCCACTTTACGTTCGCTCGCCATCTTGACGCCCGTCAAGCCATCTTTGTAGTCGCTCAGGGACTCGTTGTCGGCTGCATTTACGTTGTTCTTGATGTTCATGCCGCTGGTACCGATGAATCTCCTGAAGACGACTTCCATCGTCCCCCGGTCCATGACTAGCTTGTCTAAAGCAGTCTCCCTTTCGAGAATGACCAAGTTGCTCACCCCTGTTGCGATGAGGTCGCCAATTTGTCGTTGTTGAATACCGTTCCTCGAGCAAAACCGATCCAAGATGCAGACGCCCTTGGAAGTCAGTTGCCACACAGAGCCCTTCATGGTATATGTAGATTGCTTTTTGCCGTCGGCAGACTCAATGAACCGTGCGTCGAGAAAACGCTGGCATATATTTCTAGCCATGTCTTTCGCCATGGAAAATGTTGTGGTCGTTGTGGTCGTGACAATGCGCGACGGGTCTTTCGGGTCCGGCATGCGGTTAGACTGCGAGAACTTGAGGGAGCCTAGATTGTTGATTGCATCTTCCGACAGAAATGTGTGTTCGACTCGGGTCAGTCGCACTCGATGTGCCGATAACGGAAGCAAGCTAACAATGAGCGTTGAAAACAGGTCCTTGAAGTCCTACAATGAAGAAAATGGCATCAGCACAAGCCCAGGGTTTGCATAGAGTATGCCGTCAAGTCATTGCTGGATTCAATGGTGGAAAGAAATCCTTGTGGCACTGCAGTGGCAGCCGACTGCAGAAGCGTGACAGGGCGGGCTGGGGGATTGTCACTCACCCTCGTGAAAGGACGCTCGTCATCCGTCATACGGAGCAACCTGGAAGATGTTTGATGCATCTTGTTCTCTAAAGCAGGGATCCGAATGGGTGGTGTTGTGTTTGGGTTCGCCTCCGTGTAGGGCCTAGAAATAGGATCCCCCAGTAGCGACAGGTGACTGGAGCGCTTCGCCTCGACTTGTGAGCTCGGAAGGATGGGGTTCGTAGAAGATGACGAGTTATTAGAGGAGGCACGAAGCCTGGAAAGAGAAGCAATCGTGTCGGCGGTGGTCTGGTCAAGGGCGCTCGGAGGTGAATCAAGCGCGACAGAGAGTCCACTGATGGACTGACGACGACGCACCGTTGGCTCGGATGTGATCCTGTCGAAGGCGGCAGAGGCGAAGGCAAATAGTCCTCCGCTTTTCTGAGACTTGGGCGATGACAAAGAAGAAGACAATTGGTGTTGGTGTGGTCGGAACGTGTTTAGGGAAGCAATTGGGCCGTCGGCAGAAGGTTCAACGTGGATTCCAGAAGTACTAGGTTTGGTGCTAGAGGCGTGGCTCACATGGGCATTAGCTGTTGTGCGAGGCGCCGCGTTGTTTTTGTTAGGGTGGTGCGGTACAGATTGCTGCTGGTACTGGTGCCGGTGCTGTTCTAGGTCTAGATGGCTGGGCTCGTGGTTTTTTGTCAACGATTGGGACAGAGCAGCCATCTACCATTAAAACAGAAAAATGTCAAGAATGTAATTTGGTTGGCAGAGAGGAGTCAGAAAGAAGGAAGACTGGGAAAGAGGGGGTAGACTGAGAGAGGAGAGAGGTATCAATTGTAGATTGGGGTGTAACAGGCCGGCCATGGGGGGTCGCATGGGTTGCAAGGTACAGCTTGGAGCGGGTACTTTTGCCCACTCACAGTGCTTAGGATAAGGAAATGGCACCATTTGTGCAGTGACTGGTAACAACCTAAGGCCCCATCCACCTCACTACAAAGACAAGGGTGTGTGCCCCTGAGGCGCAAGGCACCTAACCTCTTAAAAACAAAAAAGACAAAAACCAGTATTTTTGGAGCCCAAATAAATAATGATATGGCAAGCAAAGACGATGGAGTAGCGACCAGTGGCTAACTGGCAGTTGTGTGAATGTGTTAACGCTCTCACAGTGCGGTGGGTCGAGCTAGCCGAAAAACTGATGAGGCGGCTTGCCAAAATAAAGTAAGGAGCATTCGAAATCTTGGGAGTGGCAGCCACCTTTCCACACTGCCGTTGGAACCCCATCCATGCCATGTGCGCAATATGAAGAAAAAAACTATGTCCCACACCCAGGGCCACAGTCCCACGAGGCAGTGACATGGAGCAGATCACAAACCCCTGGAAGCCCTGGCATTTGTAGCACCCTGTTGATTTGCTCCAGTTGGCACTTACAAAAGTAGTTGTAGCCAACTCCCAAGATATGGCGAATCCCGAAGGACGAAAATTGGCCGCCGCCTCCTTCACCGTCATCCCAGCTCTTACTTGTAGCTTTGGCACGGTGAGGAAATCTTGAGAATGGCAGGCCATAGAAACCAAAATTTTCAACTGTTAGCAGCACCAATGTCACAAGCGCGGGAAGCAGGATTGCGTCGTGGTTGAAACAGCTTGCATGCAAGCATATTCGCCGGGCAGTATATATTCGTACACGGCAATTCCGGTAATGCACGTGCACCCAGTGATTGCCTTGGTGTACGATGAGATCAGTCGCCGCCGCCCGCTGTCTGTGTTTCCTCGAACTGGGACAGATCTGGGGACGCTCAAGCGCTATATTGCAGCTTGGTTTAGAAATGACAAGAGACCTGCCGTGCGCGCTGGAGCACATTACAGGGCCTGTGGTGTGGTGGTCACAGGACAGAAACGGCCTCAACTGACCCCAAGTAAAATTGCTGGATGGGGAGCTATGGCATGGCATGATGACTGCTGCTACTGCCATGCCATTGAGTGTGGCTGTTTGGTTGGATCCCTCAAAACGATGCAGCATTGGTCTGTCGAAGGCGTCATTGACCCAACTTTGGACTACCATGCAATAATTCAACGCCAATTCCCGGTTACTATTCCCGGTATGCCCTTCCTCCTGCTGCAACACGGCGGAGTATTTGATGTGGGACGGGGTGATGGCGGCGTTTGCATTGGCATGGCCGACAAGGGTGTTTGTCGTGTGGGTGGAGCCAGAGAGGAGAAAATGCCATGCTTGCCATGCTGCCATGAAATGTACATGCACGCGGCCACACGGCTGACAGTCAACCCCACTTGGATGTAACGGTACCATGGCCCTCCCTCTCTCCGACAGCACGATTCGCCCGGCCGACAGATCTGCGCGTGGCTGGCAGGGATTATTCCCACAAGGCCTGTCCAGGCTCCTTTTTGCAGGTGTGGTTCTCCAGCCGTAACAGGCCGTTTTTCTCGCTCAAGGTCTGCTGCACCAAGCCAAGCACCAACAGCAAAAGTCGTGACTCCACATGCACCTGCTCGTCTTGTGTCCTGCTGCTGTGACATGCCACATGCCTGCTACTGCCAGTTACAGCCCGAGCTTAGGGAACTCGGGCCGGCTGGCAAAAAATATTGAGGAAGACGGCGTGTCCGCGGCACCGTATACAAGTCCGGGTAGACCGGGCTCTGCGAAATTGCAGTCATATCCATCGAATCCTTACTCCGGATTCAATCGGAGTGGAAACCCAACAATGGCAGGCGTTGAAACTCAAAGAGCGTCACCGCCTATCCGAGCATTCCTGACTGCTTGTAGCCGGTGCAGCTTGTGCAGTACTCCGCTGGGACTTGCTCTGAGCAACTGTCAAAACACCAGATCCCGGGTTCAACCGAGCCAAGCTCCACTCTGCCTCGCTCTCGTAAAGCCTCCCTCCAAGCGCTTGGCTGGCATCAAACCATCCACGGCAAATCCTCACCTCCAGTTGGAAATTAGGTAAAGCGTTCGGGATGGCAGAGCAACATACTTAGTAGTGGAAGTGGAATCCTGGGGTTGGAAGTCTGAGACGCTTCCATGAGGGCCACACTTGCAGTCCAGAGACTATTGAAACTCTTAAACCACGAGCAAGGGTTGGCATTTTCCCCCATACGACTGGAAGACTAATGGGGTCTCAAAATCAAACTTTTGAGAACGATTTAAAATAAAACACAATACGCACCTTGGCAAGAATAACTCCAGCTGCTCTTGAGGTGACTATTTCCAGCCGGCACGGGGTGGTCGGCTTTACTGATGGGTTGATAGCGTCTTGGTAGGCGTGTTACCAGCAGCAGTGAGCACAAGGCCAAATCGGGACCGATCGATCTGAAAACGTAGCTGTTACCTAGCGAGCAGTGCTATGCTGAGGCCCGGTAATGGAAGAGGTACTGACTAACAGATCAGTTCACGCTTTTTCGTCCCAAGAGTTGTTCCTTCAGTTTGTGTACAATAATTGGTGCAAGGAGTTCCAAGTCAAACGGTCTGTACTTATCCGTTCTGTCAGCCTCTACATGGCCAAAAAGCAAAAAGCTGAAACCGTTGACGAGAAAAAATGGCAAATGTGGCGTTTGGCGACTCTCGATCGCTTAGATCTTCTGCCCCGGTTTTACCACGTTTTCTTCCTTTTTTTTTTCTTACCGCCTGTACCGCCACTCGCTGTGGATCTAGATTCCACAAATCTTCTAGAATAGCTGAAGAAGGACGAGACTGCAGCATGAATGAATGTTCTGAGGAAAAAGCACGCCCTACCTGGAATAATACCCACACTGCCAGCCTTTGACCGCTGGGGCTGAGCGGCCAGTTTAGATATTTCCGCCGTCGCCTTGTTATTCTAATGTAGAGCACGGAGACACAAACCATATGAACCAAGGGTGTTGACCAAGCTGACGTTTGTAACCCAAACTCAACAGCTGCATGCCCTTCTTGGTACGGAAGGTCCTCAAGTCACCAAGTACAACGTCGACATCGACACTGGTCAGCAGGATTACACGGGACCCCTGCCCTGGCATCTTTTACCACGTGGGAATGGAAGCCACGACCCACGGCACAGGCTATGGGTCCCGAAAGGGGAATCTCAACTAATCCCCCTGTGGCAATCACCTACGTTTTATCTTCAACTTCAACTTGGCAAACTCTGAATACTCTCGTCAAGCCAGAAGAACCCATCGTCGCCATTCGCAGAGGAACATACTCACAAATGCAAAACGCATTATCAGGGCTGCAAAAAAAAAAAAACGTCATAGCCCTTGGCTTGGAGTGAATGCATTGGATTAGCACTGGCCGACATGTCCCAAAAGTCATGGTACTCAACAAACAGGGAACACACGTGTGTACGAAATACCGTTTACTCGACAAGCAGAGAACGCGACCGATTCACCAAAAGCCCCAGCTACAGCTATGTACGACACCGACGGATGCTCACAGGACAAAAACCGTTGACCCAGACATCTGGTCTCAACTCTGCGGCATGGCGCTTCTTCTGCGGCGTCTTGTTTGGCGAATTGCCCACCATTCAGACGTGCCAATGAAAGCGCACTTTCGCGAGAGCGAACTCGAATCCTACCCAGATGTGCGTACGAGGGTACATTGGGGTACTTCGTAGCAGCATCGTCTACCTTTGGAAACCCAGTTAGGCCTGGCAGCTAAACCAACAATCATCTTGGACTACAGGTAACACTCATGTAGTCGGTCCAATCACCCGCTCTCTCTGATTTCCGTCAGTCATCCTTCTAGAAGCCTTCTGAAACTTGACAAGGGTGAGAGAGTAACCCACTGTAACAGGTAAGAAAGCAAAACGTGGGGTTTCCCTGCCCATGAAAAGGAGAAGTCGTTTTGAGATAGAAATGTTCCGGAACATCCTGATCATGGCCCTGACGATCAAATTAGCGATGTCTAGAGCCCACAACCTCGCCAATCTCTGCTCCAATCGCAGACATCTGACGGAGTTCGGACACTGTGCCCACCCAAACCGCACGCGTGCCAGTGGGACCATCATCAACAAACCAACCAACCTAAAGATCTCGACATAACAAGCATGCTGGGTTGGATAACCCACTGCATTGGAGATGAGAAGTCACACGCGCTTGCAATCTTTCGGATGAGATGACTTATGACGTTGACCATTCTTACAGAGGCAACATACGGAGTAGGTAGGGGAAGATGTCCAATTCAAATCCTCTCCACTCTTTGTGTTTGAGAGGGATCTGCACTGTCAAAATCTACCGACTTCTCTCCAGACTCCTTCAGATTCCGGAGATTCTGAACGGCTAGAGAGTTCACAATTGACCAGGGGATCTAAATGTGTAACAGCATTGACCCCCTTTTGCAATGGATTACACCAAATAGGGTAAATTCGACCCTTGATGAGATCATATCTATTCAACCGATAAGGCTAAAACTTACACATTATATGGTAATTAGAAAGGACAACTATATATCAAGTTTTGCAGTATCATTGTTTATTATTTTTCCCAATAGAATCTTTAAAATATAGAGCATAGCTTTATATAAATATACATATTAAGTAATATAATATGTTAGGCAACCTTGGTGGGCTTTGCCAAGACCACCAAGGTTACCACGTGACTTAGCCCTTCGGGACTAAGTCCAACCTTCGTGTTCCATAGGACTAGATAGAATGTCATGCTTTTACAACCTCACAAATCTTTGACCACCTTTGCGTGTAACATAATAGTTACACTATGGATTTAGCTACAATATCTTAATAATACCTCTAATCTAAACTAAAGAAGATAGAATTGCTCTAGTGATCGAAGCGATCCGAACGAAGCAAAAAAGAATTTAGGTATTCGACGTGCTATAGTGCTATATAACTGATGCGTGTGCATATGGGGTGTGAATTGTTGTATTGGAAAAGGATGGCCAGGTCAGCTGTTCTGGCCTGGCAGAGCTCTTTTATAGCTCTTATCTTATCTTATCTGTCTTATCTGTAGCTATAGGGTAGCCCCCCATGGGGTCACGTATCAATAACGTACCTAAGTCGATACTACGCTCTTAAATAAGCGGTACTACTCTACGAGCTAAAATACAACACGGTAGAAAGAAAATAGATAATATTAAAGAGATAGTTATTACTAAGTAGGTACTCGATATAGATTCGTAAGGGATACCCGTTAGACTCGATAGTATGTGTGACGGTCAACCCTCGCAGACTCACTACAACCAGGTGACTTACAGCTGGAACACCTGCCGTGGCAGTGTCCGATGGGAAGCCAATCATAACCCTTGTAGGAGCCCCGCCAAGCGTGGATGACTTAGTCGCGCTCCCTCAAACCTAAGTTGTCATCTTCTTTCCTTCGCTCCTTAGAGTAGAATCTTCGTCGATAGCACCTAATCGAGGTCTATACCAATGCGATGCAACCCAGGTCCTGACAATACGGTTATTTAATGTATCAACGCTAAGTGTTAGTACCTCCCGCTATTCTTAATCGTTAAGGGCTAATATTACCTCGCGAATTAGTTTACGGAATACGATCTCCCTAGCGATTAACCGCATTGACCACCTTTTTGCATGCACCCCCATTTTGCAGGGTCTAACTGAATCAACCTAAATACTTCGTCCATATTATTTATATACAGAACATACTTGATACGAAAAGGTGGGGGACCCACTGGTTAGGTGAATCCCATTCAATTAAATACTATAACGTTGCGCACTGCTGCATTATAGCATCCTCCCCCCTAGGTGCACGCATCAATACTTAATTTAAGTGTCCGAAGACTTAGATATATTCTTTCGAGCCCTCTTTTTAGGAGGGACCCTTCCTTCGAGAAAAGTATCAATTTCTAACTGCTTATCCGGTAAAATAGGCCGTATTCGCTTATTTCGCTTGTCCTGGGCTGTTCGGATCGCTGATAAGTTAACGAAAACTTTATTCGGGTCTAGCTCGAAGGGCTGGCGTATATCTGGAGCGTATTTATCGAGTTCTTTATATAGTTGCTCGTTTTCGATACATAATTTGGCATTCTCGGCGGCCTGGAGTGTAAGGGCCTTGCCCGCCTTGCCTACTAGGGCACGAATCTTACGAGATACCCCGCCCTCGGCTTTCTCTATCGACTGTAGTTGGCTAGATAGTTGCTGCGCTTTCTGAGGAGTAAAAGCAACTAAAGGTGGTGATATATGAGGCGGAGGATCTGATGTATGAGGCTCCGGAGGATCACAAGATACGTCGACTAGTCCTTCAGAGCCTAGTGGCCATATACCAGTCTTCCGCCAGCCAGATTTAATATTTTCCGTAGTAAAGGCTCTCTCCGAGGCACGTAGATATGCTTCTAGCATACGTTGCTTGTAAATTGGGGCTGTAGCCTTGTAGGAAGCGTAAGCCCTGAGCTCTTGGCGGTAGTAGGTCTTCAAAGGTGAGAACGGCCCGACATCGCACGGCTGGAGATTGTCACTGCAGTGTGAGGGTAAATACAGCACGGCGACTCTATTCGAGTAGGCTTTCCACATAAATTCGGCATGAATATGTGTCTGGTGGCCGTTGAGGATAAGGAGTCGCCATTCGGTACCCCTAGGCTTCGTCTCGGGGAGAAAAACCTGATCTAACCACCTATTTGCGATAACTTTATTACTCCAGCCCTTACTCGCCGCGGTGTATTCCCACTCAGGGATATTTTGGTCTGGGAACCACTGTGCTTGGACTCTCTTGCCGGAAAATACGCAGACAGGTGTACCCCGTTGGGTATGCGAAATGTACTCTAACCAGGAGCACCACGACGAAGCGTCCGACTTTGATACGCGTACCCGGCGTGAATTAGACGTCCCAATAACCGTACCATGCCCAGATTCCCCTCTTGGACACCTGTCTCATCCATATCATACTCGTTGTCGGGTTTGATACGATACTTCGTACGGAAGCGTTCGAGGAGAGTGTAGAAGTCTCGGATCTTGTTCGAATCGGACGCTCTAACTCGGCTAGCATCTACGACGCGCCCAATTTTGGTACGTATCTGTGGATGGCGGCTAACGAAGTGATCCACCCAGTGTTGGCCGAGTGTATTGTTATCCCCTTGAGCAAGGAGGATTTCGGCAGCGAAGTCGGCCACATAACGCTTGCTAGGAGCCCGTCCACACACTTCTTCGTGTAGGATCCAGTTCACGATAACCTCCTCTTGCTCTAGAGTCCACTTTTGTTGCCTGGAGGCCGCGTCGCGATGCGAATTACCGTGACGAATACGGTAGGACAGTGTAGTCCCCTTGATACCGTACCGATGAGCTGCTACGGCCTGGGAAGAGCCCTGACGGACAAGCTCTTTAGCGCGTTCGATCCGCTGCTCAAAATCGTCCAGACCATTCTCCACTGGATTAGCCATTTTGTACGTAGATAGGGAGCAATTGCGAGGTAAATTGAGAGACGTCGTGTTGTTGAGGCGTAGAAATTCCCTGCAAAATGGGGGTGCATGCAAAAAAGTGGTTCAATGCGGTTAGGAAGTATTATAGATAGATATAGATAGACTTATCTTGATTAGTGTATTTTTTTCTTGGCATATCCGAACTAGCAATTATAATCCCTGGGGAGGTGTAGATGTAGATATTCCCGTTGCATGATCCTGGCGTTCCCAATATCCAAGTACCTTTTGTTTGGTGACAGGGGTTGGATTTGGATCCTCTTCTCAACTTCGACTACGCCACAGATTGAAAATCACGGCCAGGACCGAGCAAGCGGAGCAACAGTATGAATTGCACGGGGCACAGCGACAAGCGTACAAAAGTCACGAACAGTGTACGGCACTGCCGTGGGCAATCCATCGCTTAATAACTAGTGTTGGTTCGCGAGTGGTGCTGTTGGTCGTTACATCAGCACCCAGTCTCCCGGGCTATGGTAACAAAAAAAGACGCTAAGCCAACAGCTCTTCACGGGAAGCGCAGATGCATGCGATTTACCGAAAGTCTACGCAATGCCTGGACCGCCTGAACCGTGGGAGTGGGATAGGAAGCCAACACCAGACAGACCGCCCTCTACTTGGACGTTCTCGTGCCCACAACTACAGCAACTCGTGTAACAAGACAGTGCTACTGTGCTCCAGTCTCGGAGGTGGGTATCGACCCGATTATGGCCTGATTGTTTACTCGAAAGTACCAATCGATCATTCGTTCCCGTCCGTCTCACCGCCTCCGCGTCCGGAGTTATTACACTCTACTCTAATAAAGCCGGACGAGCAGACTGGTTGAGATCTGCCAATCCCCCATGCCGTTACACTGGTAACGGGTCACAGTTCCAAGTTATCATCCACCCGCCTAGGTTTGTGTCGGGTTAATTTGTACCGGCTTGGACTAGGCTGCCTTGGCAGCATTTAATAATGTATCATATCAATGTACATCCCTCCCTCCTCGTAGTCCTTCCACGTGGCGACGGGGTACGTTGCGGGCCACCCAATTTGTTGCTGATCAGTAATATAGACCGCCTGTTGACGGACATTGTCGACGTTGACCCTGGGAACGGCCATTGACGGCTATACCCCAACAGTGCCAGCTTCTTTTCGACTTCACGCTAACAACCTTAATGTATATGTTCATGCTTGTCAAGTGACGTTGGCAATGACATCGGTCAAAATGTCGTTGCTACAAGGGGAAGACAGTCTGAAGACGCGCCGCGGCTATCGTCGTAGGCCTGCCTGTACGTAGTTAGATGGGTTTCGGCATGTTAGAAGCTAGCAATAACATTTCGCTGTCCCAGCCAAGTCCGTCTTGAGCGCCGGTCAGCATAACGCTAAACGTGGTCCATGTTTGGTGAGCTTTCGGCCGACTGGCGTGCCGCAGGAGCGGACCAGGCGGCTGGTGACCAGATGTTGTGTTCGAGTACGACATCACGGCTCGCTCGCACCATCTCGGTATTCACATCTTACACAGCGGCTGCTAGATACAGCAGCCGATCCGGATGGGTGATACGGACTGAATTCGGCATCTTCGCCCAACCCATCTGCTTTCACGGCCTAATACCCCATCGTCTATCACACAATGCATCTTGCGGGAGGTGCCACGGTACCCAATGCCCCACCGAGCCGGTGACTTGCCTTGCCATCAGTCCACTAGTGGCTCCCCAAGTCACAGTTGGTCGGCGAAGTCGTACGAGTCCTTCCCGATGGGTTTGCAGCAAGGCAGCCGTTTTGTGCTCAATAGTCCCCAGAGCTATAGTACAAACTCAAAATACCGCGTTGAAGTATGTCGTTTCATCTTATTCCTAGCTTCTCAACTGACTCTTTCACAGCCGCCCAGCGGAAAACCTGGGAGAACAGTGGACTCCAGGACGTCGGGTACGCCAACAATCCGTCCATTACACACTACCCTGGCGGAAATTTAAAACAAGTTGTGGGACAGTCGATAAGGTGTCCCGTCATGGGTTCAACGTATAACCTTCCCAAAAGCCATAGCCGTGTGCGGATGCTGACTCGCCGAGATCTAACCTAACTACCTGCATACGGGTAACCCAAACCACGAAGCGTTCATCCGTTCGCGTATGGACGTCGTCTTGCCTGGGCCTGCCATGCATGCTCGGTGAATTCAGTGCTCCCTGACTCTGGCCTATCTCCCGCTCCCTTGGTCGAGAGGACGTCCGTGCCACATGACACCTTCATAGCGGTCCTTCAAATAGACTTTATCCGTATAATTTTGCCAGTTTCCGGGGAGTCGCCCGCAGCGCCGTCACCGTGCTCCGGCACATCAACCCAGGGAGTGTTATATTGGCTCGGGTGTTTCCAGTGCGCCTCGAGGAGGACGCTCCGTATCTCGCGTCTGCCTGGATATGAGTAATGGAGAGAGGGCGATAGAGCGAAAGAACAGAATCGACCAGCTTCCTGGCAATCTACTGCGGCCTATTTTTAGATTTGGGAATCTCATGATCGGCCTGATAGTTAAAAGTGGTTGTGGAGTTCGATGAAGAAACTCCAAGCCAATAGTTTATGCTATTGACAACTGCCTGACTTATACCACCACCTGGGCGGCACTCAGAGGCGGCACTTGAAGGCGGCACTCAGAGGCGGCACTTGAAGGCGGCACTCGGAGCGGCACTCGGGGGTTTGCCGCCATTGATGCGAGTCAGTGCTTCGCAGATTCGGCCGCTCATATTCACCACCAGCCCTATCCATTTCAACAGGCTTAGCCGCGAACTTGCATTTCTTGACGAGCTTCGTCGGTGTAGTGCATCATCGTCCGTTGACGAACTGCAGAAGCGGGTCAGATCTGCATGTGGGGGGCTGAAATTCTGGGGTAAGCCAGTGAGTGTCATGTCACGTAAGATAAAATTGCCGTATCTTGATTTTGCCAACTACGTCTCTGTCACCTTGTGCTAGCAGTGATCTATATCATATAGGATATGTGGCTTTTCGTCCTGCTCCCACCTAAACTTTGAGGAGCCCAATGTCATAAGAGCATGGCTCTACGGGTAGTATTCGCCAACAATATTGCATATTTAAATCCGTTGGCGCACCATCCTAGAGGGCATCTAGAGTATATCCTCATGTCTGATTAACTTGATGAACCTCTGCCCTTGGTTGCCGGGAATATGTGGACTGGCCATTTCCTACAGCAGCTCGCTCAATATAACTGTCACGAAGCAGAGGTTGTTTTTCCACCCCTAGAAGATTCCAGTAACTCTGTAGCTCAGTAAGTTTCGCTTCTTCTTGCAGTTCTGGGAACTTCGAATAGGTATTACCCTCCATCGACTGTTTCCGAGGGCTGCGTGTGCGTTATATCCATTTTGATATATTAAGCATTGTTACACAAGAGACACACTACCATCGTATGAACAAGTCACTCTATTCGTCATTTTTGCAACGGTGTACCTTGAAAAGAATCTCAAAACTTATTGAGTGGCGGTATAATGATATGTCCTTGCGAAGGCTGAGAAGTGCTCTGCGCTGGGCCCGTTTTAAAGTGAGTACGAGTTTCTAACGGTAAACTAGTTTATAGCGGCGACTTCACGTGTTCTCCGGTGTATTCTACGCATCGAGAAGCTGCCAGTAAAGCCTGATATGAGTAAATTTTGCTTGACTTGTTTGACTGAAGACACTTGCTTCGAGTATGTCAGCCGACTAGATCGAATGTTGTTTCGTCGCTAGCCTGCGCGGAAGCGAGTACTAGGAGGCTGGCACATTGCAGGGAGTGCCCAAATCTCCCGTTTGTCACCTCGAGTCTCTTGTCGTCGGAGAGAAGCACACCTCTGGCCACAGTTGGCGATTACTTCCAAATGACGTCAACCTTGCGAGGGGCAACAAACAGTACACGAATCCACCCAAGGTTAAATCCTGGTTCACGATGAGTTAGGGACAGGACCCACAGCTCAGACAACCTACTGATGATGCCCTGATGTGGATGAGTTTAATGAAATATTTACAATAGCCTGATGGTGAGTCCTGTCTTTCCAAAGCGTGCAGAATCCGGAGAAATATTCCCAGTCTCTCTCTCTGGTTCAGGGGCAACCGGACTCAATTAGCTCTATTGCTAGAGGATTCAACTGGCAGGTTACGAGATCCCCCGTCCCCGGCACCCCATCACGCAATCCCAAAATTGACTCACGTTCTCCAGTCACGTATACTAAGTACATTTCTATGCTTGGTGCAAGTCATGTCAAAGATGTCACGCTGGGGCAATGTAGCCACACGTGCTCTCGGCCTATCCATAGCTGCAGACTACCTCCTCGTTAAGTGATATTTTGCAGCTGAGCCGACGTATGTGTGAAAGTGAGCTTCTTCCCCCAAAGCAGAAACGGCATTTTATATTTTGAAGTAGGAACATGATAAAATGGCTCCGGTCAACAAACGCGCAAGCAAAAGGGTATATATCACTACATAATCTGCAAGGTCGCAAGTGAGAATAAAACCCAGTATGCGAGGGAGTTTCTTCTTCTATGAAGGTTCTTCTTCTATAGAACGCGAACAGGACCTCGCCAACTTGCCTAATACAGCCTCAGTGTCATCGAGGCCAAATCTATATGCAATCCTGGCGACAAGATTTCCTAAATTCTTTCTCAAAATCCTCAAGACCGCCCATGTGCGAGATATGTCACAACGGCCCCAGTCAATGGAGGCTTGGGAAACTCTGTAATATCATCTCTTTTCATATTTCCGCGCCCCTTGACTCGTCACCAGTCTGAAGAGCTCGAGACTTCGGCCTGAACCCCAAATGTATCAAACAGTGTCGTACATCTGACTCTTGACTACCAAATCTGCCAGACGAAGCTGGATCAAACCTTTTGTTTTCGTCCATTTCCCTGGTCTAGAAATGATACAGTTCTCATTCAGCTAAAATCAGCCATCAAAGATCGACTGCCAAAAACAAAGGTTATTTCCAACTCCGCGCATGCTTTTGCGATACTCCTACAAGCCGGAATCCTCAGAACGGCCGAGTTTAAATAGGTTCTCAGTCCAGGCCTCGATTGATCATTTTAGGGTCTAGAATGTTGTCGACTCTGGCGCCTTTATATCATATCGATGCCGGAGCCTGATCCTTCTTCCACCCCTTACTCCGCATATTCCCCTCGATAGCCTTCCAGATCTGCTCAACAGCCTCGCGATCCCTCCAACGGCTAGAATCTACTGCGTTCGGGCCCATATCCTTCCACCGCTCTACGCCCACAGCCATGACTCTATGTCCCCATGCCTGCACGGCCTCCGGCGGCTGCTCATGGCGCCATCCGACATAGACGCCCAACACATGCCGGAAGAGCTCGTTGGGGTTGCTCCACTTGTAATTCTTGAACTGCCAGCTTTGACCGGTGGTAAATACTGCGACAACGCGGCTCCAATACTCAGGCTTAAATTGCTCGGGGCCCTCGACCAGGATGAAACGCATGGGACGGTTCGGGTCAATGTCCTTCATCAAGCGGTTGATATGCAGCATCGAGGCGCTGGAGCTGGAGGAGGCGGTGAGCGAGTCGACCGGCACGTACTTGCCGCTCTCGAGGAAGGACTTGATATTGGTCATGCGCAGGAGGGCTGAAGCAGAGGGTGAGAGGAGAATGATGGGGTCGGGTCGTTTTTGTTTTTGGTTCAGGGCGAGCGATGGGTTGGATGATATGTGGGAAACTGCATTGCCAGACGGTTTCTTAGACATGAAGGGCGCTGCGAGTTTGCGAACGTGGGAGAAGTCCTGTAGAATGTCGTTAGTTCAATACCTGAGGCATCCCAAAACAAGTTGGTGGACCTACGGTAGGCTTGATTCCCCTCAACGCGCTGTTCCAATTCCCCATCTTGCGCTCGCTGTTGTAAATGACGGCAAGCCGTGGATCCAGTGCACCTTTCCCTGATCTACCAAGTGTCGTTCCTATAGCTGGAGCTGCTGCGCCCTTGGAAGCCAGAGCGGCCGCTGCGTTCGACGCTGCACCGTGCTTGTCCCCTGCTAGAGGCTTAATGTACTCGCTTTCCTCACTTGCGCCTTCCAGCCACGTGATCAGATCCAGACGTTCGACAAAAGCCAGGTTCTGGACCTTGCCTGTGGTGAGGTCATCGTTGAGTTGCGTTGCCGAGGCATTGTACTCTGGGATGGCCACCTCGCGCTTCAGCCAGGCAAAGTAGATACTGCGCAGGTCGACGGGTGTGTCGTTGGAAGCGAATCTCGTCGGAGTGTCAATCGGTATGGATATACGTGTGGGTGTGGTGAATGTGAGATGCGTAGCTGTAGACAGGCTTGCTTCGGGTGCCGCAGCATCAGTTGATGCCGTGGGCAGGATCGCGCTGTTAGACGCGATTGACTGGCGCAACAGCAATAGCGGGTCGAGATCCGGTGTCGCCATGATGATTTCAGTTCCAGGCGCGCAATTGAATGCGACGCGACTTTCTGATGTTGTAAAAACGTGGAGTAGTTGCAGCTACTTCAGGTTCGGATGGATGAATCTTGACCTAGGGGAAGTTGCGAGGCGTGCCGCCAGCCTTGCCCTTGCGCAGGAACCACAAAATTTTATCTCGGGCCATGGGAGGTTATTGACAAACGGAATTCAAACTCACTCATTGGCAAACACTCCTTGTCTTTCTAGTTATGGTACTTTGTAGCATTGGGTTTATCATCTGAAATAACTGACAAGCCGTATCTTATTACGCTGTAATTGTGCAATTTAGTGTACAAATAACCAACTCTCTCGGTTGTGATTTTCATGTTACACCCAAACAAAAACAACAACACCAGCCAGACAGATGTTGAGTGAACTTTAAAAAGAAATCTTCCGCACAAAAATGTAATGGGGTAAAATTTTGTTGCTCAGTATGAGGATTGAACTCATGACCTTCGCATTACTATATATGTCTCCATGGAGAGGTATTAGTACGACGCTCTAACCAGCTGAGCTAACCGAGCTGTGATCCTCATTGAGGACAATGAGGTGGTTCATTGACTGCCACGAAAGCTTCCTATAATTGGAATCATACTCTCCACTATCATGGCTGTCGAACTTGTCTCCACTACTCATCTCCAAAACTACTTACCATTTGCTGACGTCAAGCTTGTCATAAAAGGAATACGAGGCGTATATCCAACAGCGCGGGAAGTCTTGGGGCAATGGTCCTTTCATGATTCTACAGTTCGATTTGCGTTACGCGAAGCCGTTGGCTATTCCAAGAGCGAAGGTAGTTAGTTGTATGGAGTATGTTCCGCCTTGTAGAAGCCACCAAGAAGTTGTAATATGTCGTTGCTCAAGTAGGTTTATTGTTGTGTCATTACTCGTCGCGGTTTTGTTTTCTCTATCCTCTGTTTAATGTATTCCCACTGCCCTTGGGGTTTGATTCCACAAACTCGTCCCATTCGCGAGCCTTCATCGTCTCAGCATCCGCCTTGTCGTAATTGTCCTCATCCGGCGTTGCCTGCCTTCCACTAGCCTCTCCACCTCCCTCGATTATGCCGCCACGTTTCCGTTCCTCCTCCAGATACTCATCAATCGACATGGTCGGCAGGTTGTGTCCAGGTTTGAAGACCCCCTTCTGTATATCCTGACGTGTTGATGTCAGGGTGAAGGGCCGCAGCGGCTTGCCTTGCTTGCTCAAGATTGGGCCTTTGAACGCCGATTCAAGTCTCTGCAGCGGTCTATCCAGCCTTTCCGAGTAGTTCTCGCCTTCCACTGATAGACGTAGTCGCTCATCTTCCTGCACCGTTGTGGTCGTAGGTATGAGCGGCACTGGCGCCTGCGACAACACCTCAAGCTCACGGTTGATGCTTTCCAGTCCCTGGAACGTCATGTGCGCGCAAAACGCAATATTGGCAAAGTGCAGCTCTCTAACGGATTCATCGTCACCCCCATCCTCCAGATACCGCGGCGAGCTCTGCATGTGCGCCAATTTCTGCTTCAACTCCTTCTCTTGCTTGAAATTGGCGATTTTGGCGTTGCGCCGCGCTGTGGGGTCAGAGGTGGACACGGTAGAGAAAGATTCCGGGTTTTCATTGTACTCTGCGAAGAGCTTTGCATCGGACTTGGACAAGATGCAGTAGCTGTCCAGGATATGAAGAAATCTTTCATACGCATCGCGCGTCGTTTGCAGCGCCGATTTGCGTTCCAAGGGTGACGTGACCGAGATCTTCTGCAGTAGTTCAGCAATTCGATAGTTAATCAGCAGGTAAGGGAGATCCGATGTGTTGAGGTCCTCATGTCCTTCATTGTCACTGAACAGAGAGATTTTGCCGATGATCTGGAGGCACTCCTGGTAGGAATTGAGGGCGAATTCCAGGTCCTCCGCATATGTTGGCGAGCTTGCTTCGAATGAGCCTTCAAGTGCTAATCGCTTTTTCTCGGCACCCTGGAAAACAGACTTGAGACTCCTGGGCTCGACCATCTTGAATAAATGAGGCTGTGAGGATTTGCTGTTAAAATACTGGTGATGGTCAAATTTGAGGAGAAACAAATGGTGACCTTGCAAAATCGATTTAAGACATCTTCATCATCTGTTAGTCAGTGGCAACAAGCTGTACCTACCCCAGCCCACCACGGCCCTTCAAGGTGGCATATGTGCACGGACCCATGAGATGTAGTACAGGGTAGCCCTGATACAAAGCTGACACTCCACGAACAAGACCTCCTACATCAAATAGGACTGGACTACTTACGGTAGATAGCTCTTTACCAGGTTTCCATATACCTGTATACTATCAAGAATGGAAGGGGTAGAGCATTCTGCACTTGACTTGGTGAGACGAGCCAAGAATACGCAGTTAAGACGCTGCCAGGGCACTTTTCCATCCGTCGAATTTGTCTCTCTAGCATATATGATCACCGGAGTAAGGGCAAGTCATCGTGGTTGGAGCATGAGAAAAATCCATGCACGGGACGTTGATGATGCTGATGCTGCAGTTATGCCACACTTGCGACACAAAGCGCTCCTGCCGTTTGCTTCCACTTCTCTCCGTCACTGGTCATCTGTTTGCAACGGGCAAAATCAGAGACACATTATTTGGCAACTATGGCCTCAGATACATCTAGCTTATGCACATCAAAGGTTGATGATCTGGCATCCGTATTAATTCTCCTACTTCTGTTTTCCTCGACAGGTTGGTTTCTGGCTGCAACTGGGCATTAGCATCTAACCCAATTGGCTCATCCCTTAAGGTTGGCGTACACGCCGCTCCTCCCTTCTCTTGTAAATAGACCCTGAAGTCCCTGGTCCTTATCTATAACTACTTGATTAAGTACTTCAGTAAGCGAACGTGGTTTACATCAGTCAAGCTGCAGGGTCACACTGCGACACTTTGGACCTTGACTACTTTGTTTCCATTCCTCAGGTTGGTACCGTGGGCTGTGCTTGCCTTTTTTGATCACCCTGAAACCTGCCCGGCCTACTTGCGCATATCAGAACTGTCTTGCAGAACCAACTGATCTCTACCCAAGACCGGATCGGAACCAAAGAATACTCTGGACATCATGGCCGATGAATATAAAGTCGCATCAGACGACGACGACCCTTCTCTCAACAGCGAAAAGGATAGACATTCGGACGATGAACCTGGTAACCCTGCCAAAAATGAAGCAAAACCTCGCAAGGTTACAGAACGACGACGAGCCGACATCAGTCACTTCCATCAATGGGCGCGAGATGAGCAGCTGCGACGGAACAGATCGGCCCTCAGTGCAGCGACCAGTGGCTCCAGATCTGCATCCTGGCTCGATACCGTTAACACGGCCCACAACAGGATCATCGACAGCCCCAGAGAGTATCAGGTCGAACTCCTTGAGAGGGCCAAGGAGAAGAACATCATTGCAGTTCTAGCCACAGGTGAGATCGCTCTGTTGGTGCCCAGACAAAACTATATGCTGATACGAGTAAAGGGTCTGGCAAAACTCTCATTGCAGCAATGCTCATCCGTCACATTATAGAGCAGGAGCTCGTGGATCGTGATGCGAAGAGAACTCCCCGTATATGCTTCTTCCTGGTACGCTTCTCGTCGACTCCAGCGCTCCAAATGACTAACATTATTCCAGGTTGACAAGGTCTCACTCGTGCTTCAACAACACAAGGTGTTGAAAGATAATCTCGACCACAATGTCAGCATGTTACACGGCGACTTTGCCGGTGCCATCTCGACACATAGCTACTGGAGGCAACAGTTGGATGGAAATATGGCCATAGTCTGCACGGCGGCCATTCTCCTGAATTGTTTGCACTATTCTTACATCACAATGGATCAAATCAACCTCCTCATATTTGACGAGGCGCACCACACTAAGAAGAACCATCCATATGCAAGAATTATCAAGGACTTCTACGCCAAGGTAGAGGAAGATGGCCACAGGCGGCCCCGTATTTTCGGAATGACGGCGTCACCGATTGATGCAAAGACTGACCTTGCTACGGCTGCGGCTCAACTGGAAGGCCTTCTGCAAAGCGAAATAGCCACCGTTGCCGATCCTTCAATCATGAAACAGAAGCGGATCCTCGACACACGAGTCGAAGAACTCGTTGAGTATGGACTGGCACCCTTCACATTTGAGACGGCACTGTGGCAGAGGCTCAACGCACTCGTCGGGGAGAACAAGGCCTTTACGAAGCTTTTCACCTTCTCCAAGGAGTGCACAAGGGATCTTGGACGTTGGTGTTCTGATAGAATGTGGCAATTATGCCTGACGCCTGAAGAGATATTGAAGATCAAGGCGAGGGCGGAGAGAGACCTCATGGGGAGCAACGTGGAACGGCCAATGGCCTTCATCGATGCCACAACAACCGCCATTCAAGACGCTCACGAAGTCATTCTCAACCACTCACTTGCTGAGCCTCAACTTACTTATGAGTACTTGTCCCACAAGGTCATTTCTCTCATCGGCATCTTTCGGAAGCACTTCAATCCCTTCACCGACAAATGCATTGTTTTCGTCGAGCAGCGTCTTACCGCCAATCTACTGGCAGATTTGTTGAAGCACCCTAGCTTGGGATTGAGCTTTGTAAAGCCTGGTGCATTGGTAACTCCTCATCCTTTTCTCGAATATCAAAATGCTGATTGTGTTATAGGTGGGCTCTGGTAATGGAGAGACAGGTGAGCAGCTGGGCATGTCCTACAAACATCAATTGTTGGCGGTGAAGCAATTCCGTGATGGTGAGCTGAACTGTCTCCTTGCTACCAGTATTGCAGAGGAAGGCCTCGACATTCCCGATTGCAACATGATCATTCGATTTGACCTGTACAATACTATGATCCAGTACATTCAGTCCAAGGGTCGCGCCCGCAAAAAGGACTCGAAATACTTCCATATGGTCGAGATTGGAAACCAAGAAAATATCCAGAGAGTACTCGACAACCAGGAAAAGGAAGACAGACTCCGTGACTTTTGTCTTGCGTTGCCAGAGGACCGTCAGCTCAGGGGAAATGATTTCGACATGGACTATTTTCTATCCAAAGAGAAGTCTCACCGGGCTTACGTCATCCCGTCCACCGGGGCTAAGCTGACCTATAAGATCAGTATCTCAGTTCTTGCTTCATTTGTTGCGTCACTAGAATGTCCCCCCGACGTCTACCCGTTAGCAGAGTACGTTGTGAAGAGCGTCGGCAGCGAGTTCCAGGGCGAGGTCATCCTGCCTGATGGTGCTCCAATCAAGAGCGCACTGGGACGCCGAGCTGGCTCCAAACAGATTGCAAAATGTTCAGCAGCTTTCGAAATGTGCCTAAAGTTAAGAAAGGAGAAGGCCATCGATGAACATCTGCAGTCAACCTTCAAAAAGTGGCTTCCAACCATGCGGAACGCGCATCTTGCCATTAGTTCAAAGAAGAAAACCGAGTACAATATGAGAATCAAACCGGATATCTGGTCTCATCGTGGTTTTCCAGAGACGCTGTTCGTCGCGGTATTGAAGCTACTAAGCCCAGCAGCCCTGGGACAATCTTCACGTCCGCTTGCCATCCTGACCCGGAAACCTCTGCCTCGACTCAATAGGTTCCCTCTGTTTTTCGGCAATCACAGTAGCTCACTAACAGAATGTGTGTCTCTCTCTTCTACCATGGCAACCTCGGCCGACGACGTCAGAGAGTTCACCGAGTTCACCTTGAGGATGTTCAAGGATGTATTCAGTAAAGAATATAAGTCGGAGCCGGAGAAGTTGCCGTACTACATTGCGCCAGTGCAAAAGGAGCACGAGTTCGACCTCGAATGCATTGACGATGCACGCCCTCTACTCGACTGGGAATGTCTTCACATGCTCCGAAAAACCGGTGACTTAAATTGGGAAGGTCAGTCCGATGATATCTGGAAGGACAGGTTCGTCACGGACCCGCATGACGGCTCACGCAAATTCTATACGTTTGGTCGAAAGGAAGGCATCCAGCCCACGGATCCTCAAGTGCCAGGGGCCTGTAGAACCAACGGCAAGAGAAAAAAGGGTGGCAATAACATGCCAGATGACATATGGAATTATAGCGTCAGCTTATGGGCCAATTCTAGAGCCAGAATACAGAGGCGGGACGACTTACCAGTGGTAGAGGCCCAGTTCATACCACTTCGACGCAATCTCCTGGATGACTTTGAGAAAACGGTCAAGCAAGAAAACCAATGCTACTTGGTGTTTGAGACTCTCCGAATCTCAGCTGTACGTGTTTCTGAAAGTCGCCTCAGGTTGGGACGGATTTGCTGACGGTTTACAGCTCCCGATTGAATACGTCGCTATGGCATACAATCTGCCTGCTATCATGTACCGACTTGAGTCAAACTTGATCGCTTTGGATGCTTGCAAGGAGCTTGGTCTGGATATCCGTGCTGATCTCGCTCTTGAAGCAATGACAAAGGATAGTGACAGCACAGAAGAGTATGCGGAAGAGCAGGCCAACTTACAGAAGGCTACGGGACACAACTACGAACGTTTGGAGTTTCTAGGAGACTCGTTCCTAAAACTAAGTACGACGATATCGCTCTTCTCACAAGTCCCTGAAGGCGACGAGTTCCGATACCACGTAGACCGCATGGTTCTTGTCTGTAACAGGAATTTGTTTAACCAAGCTTTAGAACTGAAAATCGAGGAGTATATCCGATCAAAATCGTTTGACCGGAGAAATTGGTATCCGGATGGCCTTGAACTCCTCAAGGGCAAGAAGAACACCAGTATACTCGGCAAGAAGGGTGCTGGCAAGGGGTTTCATACTCTGGGAGACAAATCGATCGCAGACGTTTGTGAGGCGCTGATCGGTGCGGCGTATCTAAGTACCTACAAACGGGATCAAAGTGACTTCAACTTGGCTATCAAAGCCGTGACCAAGTTCGTCAAGCACAAATACCACACAATGACGACATACGAGGAGTTCTACAAGTCCTACAACGTTCCGGCATGGCAAGTTGCTGAGCCAACTGCTGTGCACTTGAACTTGGCGAAGAAAATGGAAGAGCGACTGGGCTACAAGTTCGCGCATCCCCGTCTTCTGCGGTCCGCCTTCACGCATCCATCGTACAGCTCTACGTATGAGCACATCCCCCACTACCAGCGCCTCGAGTTTCTCGGTGACGCGCTCCTGGACATGGTCTGCGTAGACTTCCTGTTCCACCGCTACCTCGGCGCCGACCCCCAGTGGCTCACCGAGCACAAGATGGCCATGGTGTCGAACCAGTTCCTGGGCTGCCTATGCGTCTCGCTGGGTTTACACCGACACCTCGTCCACATGTCGGGCGCCCTGCCCCACGAAATCTCAGCCTACGTAACCTCCATCACCGAAGCCCGCGAGCACGCCGAGCACGAAGCCGAGTCAAACAAACAGGACCGCGCCGCCTACGCGCGCAACTTCTGGGTCGAGGCACCTAAGCCTCCCAAGTGCCTTCCCGACATCATTGAATCCTACATAGGCGCCGTCTTTGTGGATTCGAAGTACGACTACAGCCAGGTGCAGCGTTTCTTTGACGCCGAAATCGTGCCCTACTTTGAGAACATACACCTCTACGACACGTACGCCAAAAACCACCCTGTCACCTTTCTGACCAACGTCCTTCAGCTGCGCTACCACTGTGCCAACTGGCGCCTCTTGATCGAGGAAACGGTCGGCGGAGCCTTTGGTAGCGGCATATCTGTCACGGACACAGAGGTCATCTGCGGCGTTATGGTGCATGGCCAGGTACGCGAACACGCCATCGCCGCCAGCGGGAGGCATGCCAAGATTGACGCGGCCAAGAAATTGGTTGCTAGTTTAGACGGCGTAAAGTTGCACGAGTTCAAGGAGAAGTTTCAGTGCGATTGCACATATGAAGATGCAGAGAAAGCCGACCTGTTGGTGCATGGGACTGCTATTTAGCGATGGGGGTTCCCTCGCCTGTGGGGTGCCGGCAGCATTACCGTAAAGGTCGAGAGTGTATGTGAGAGAGGGGGTTTTGATGATCTTAGGCTCCTCGGACGGCTCATTTGCTTTCAAACCTACAGAGAAAACTCCATTTGACCTATGTAAGCCGCCGAGTTACCAGGTACTCGACAGAATGAAACCATCTGTTATTACTCAGAGTGCGTAGTGAATTACATACAGGATTGACAAGTAAACAATGAACTGACTGGTAACGTACGCATGTAATAACTCTGTAACGTTTGTTGACCTCATGAAGCCCTTGAGAAGTAGACATACATGCTTGGTAGAATGCTATCAAGCAGGGTATAATAAATATTGCAAGCCCATCCACCACCTGTGCCTAGCCACCACCGTCTATTTCACCGAGAAACTTATCAGTTAAGACATAGAAAATTCAGCTTTGACCAACCTCGCCTCTCCCGCAGTCCCATACACGAAATTGTACAACCGCCTCATTCAAGTGGAACATGAAAGATATTCATACGATAAGGGGTATTCTGCACTGTCTCCAAGTTGCGATTCAGTTCTGAAGTCCAATCCAGTCCAGTTGTTCAACGCGCCTTCTTCTCAAACGCCACATTTGTTACCGCCTATTTTCACCCTCTATGCCGCCCAATATTCAGACGTAGATGACCCAAATCGTGATGAGGTGAAATGCAAAAATGAAAAGAAACCAGGAAGGCATTATGAATAACATCACTCCACATCAGAAGCCACATCGCCGGTGTTCATCCGTTTTGCTCTTATGACAGCAACGGCCTTAGCCCTGTTGCCGCCGCGTCTTGCAACCGAAGATCCGCTCGCCAGGATGTTTCGTTTGGCGGCCTTTCTCATCTTGATGGCGGTGCTGACATCAATTTTGTCCGATTCCTTCTCTTCCTCAATGACATCTTGACCAGTAAAACGGTTGTTTCGGGGTAAGTATCGCAGAGAAGCTGCAGTGCTCGGGCGTGACAATGGAATATCAAAGGAGATGTCGTCGTCGTCGTCGTCATCATCGTCGGAATCCTCTCGCTCTGTATCAGACAACTCTTCTTTGTCTTCGGAATCGTCAAAGTGGTGGCTGAGGAATCGAAGACGCGATAGTACCTCATGAGGGTTGGGTTCGGAACGAGGAAATGTGATCCCGGGAAGGCGAA